ACTATTAATTAAAAAAGAAGTTATATATATAGCAGATCTTATAAAAATAAAGTAAATTATTAAAAATTATAATAAGAAGAAATTCTATATTAAATTTAAGAAGATTTATAATTTTAAAGTTATATTAGAGTTTATAATAGTATGCTTAGTTTAAGAGATTATTCTAAAAAATTCTAGAGGTTATAAAAAATCTAGAAAATTATTATAATACTTAATTATTAAATAATATATATTTTTTATACTTTTTTTAAAGCTTTTAAATGCGTTGATTAGTAGTAAAAAAAATTAGATGTTATAAGACCATCTGGCCGTTGAGCTGTTGGGGTCGTGCGTATAGCGTGACCCCAACTGACTAGTAGGGGTCGGTTAGAGTATTAGTAATTAAATTAACTATGTAATCGGACACCGAGCCGGCACTGACATCGAGCCGGCACTTCCGCCCGAGAACGCGCTCTATATTGATTTCAAACCTCAATTTCTAAACCAAAACAATAATTATATACAAAAAATTAATTATTAGTATGATTAGGGCATTGAGGCCTTCTATGCTTAAGAATATTATACTTACTACACCGAAATTGGCGGCATATGAGTGCTTGCAAGGCTGGTAGCTCAGGCTTAGCCAGAGCAGTGGTAATACTTTAAGATGCCTTAATCTGACTTTGTATAAATGTTTAAGCTTCTTCTCTAGTAATTTCTTACTCATGAGATATTTGCTTTTTAGATTATCTGCGTTTTTGCTTCTCTTTCTCATATATAGTCTATAAATCATAGACTTCTTTCTCTAGAAGCATGAGGCTATTTATAGTCATCTTATACGCTTTAGATATCTGGTTAATCACCTTATTAATTAAATCTAATAGACTTCCTATATACTAATTTATACACTTCTTAATAATACTTAATTAGCGCTTAAATTAATATAGATTTTAAGATATTTGCAAATAAAATAATTAAGTATTACTTAATCAACTTAAAGGAGGGATAGAAGTCTTAAACTAGATAATAAGCTATTAATAGACTTAATCTAGATTATATAATATTAATCTAGTTACTATAAAACCATTCTAAATAGTCTTAATTTTATATACTATTATATAGATCTCTGAAAATATAGTAAGAAAGTTGATTTTATTAATATAATTAAATCTAAGCCTTATCTACTATTTAATAAGCTATTTATATTTCTACTTTATAATTATAAAATAGCTAACATTAAGAAGCTATAAGAGATAAGAGGAATATAAAGGCATACAGACTAGAATAATATTATTCTTAATATATATATAGTTAAATTCTATAATTAAATAGCTTTTATAGCTATTAAGAATCAGTATTTAATATTATCCTATTATATAGCTATTTATATAAGAAATAAAATGATTTTAAAGCTAATTTATGCTAATCTTATTAATTATCTATTTATTATTACTAATATTAATTTTCTAATTAATTAGAAGAGTCTTAAACTAGTTTTCTTAAGAATATTTTATTATTTTAAAAATTATATATAAAGATAAAGCTTATCTAGTGAAATTGACTATTTTAATTACAGTTATCTATTCTTAATTACTAGACTATAATAGATATAATCTACTATATTGATTATTTCTAGTAATAATCTTTATAGTTATATAAAGTCTTATAATAAAGCTAGTCTTTTAAAAATTATAAATATCTTCTAGTAAAATATTATATTCTAATATAGCTTTTTATATATAGTCAAAATATTCTTAAATTATCTTCAGATCTTTGCATTTAGTATATTTATAATTATATTTTTAAAAAAATCATAATTTAAGCTCTAAGTAATATTAAATAAATTAATATATTTATCTCTTACTAATCTCTTGATTACTATATTAAAAAAGTAAAATATTAGCCATATCTTATATTATAGATGGTTAAGGAGATAATTCTTATTTATCTAGATTCAATATTTATTTAATAAGCGAATCCTTTTCAAATTCAGTTAATTTATAACTATTAGCGCGTGTTTAAAACCTTTATTAAGTGCTTTTTAGTTAATCTTATAGAATTGTTTAAGAAATATTATAAATCTTTACTGCTTATCTAATATTAGGAATTTTTTTATTCTATAAATTAGAAATAACTAGTAAAATTTAGCTTTCTTGTTCCTGAGAACTTTTATGATTTTTATTGCGAATTGGTGGCATATTGACGCGTTGAAATATATGGAATTGTTATGGAACGCGTTCTCGGGCGGAAGTGCCAGCTCGATGTCAGTGCCGGTCGGTGTCCGATTACGTTAAGAAATAGTTATAAAAAAATTCTCAAAATAGTTGATAAAATCAGATATATTTAATAATAGATTTTAATAAGCGAATATATTTTAAAGTAAAAAATAAATATTAAGAGGATTATTTTAAAATAATTAAAGATTTAGAGATTAATTTTATAAAAAATAAAAAGATATTGAAAATCAAATTTTAATAATAAATTTATAATTATATGTATATTTTAAGAAATAATAAAAAAGAGAGATTTTAGAATGGATTTAAATACACTTAATATAAAGATAAACTAAAGATTAAGATAAAAGGTATATATAATTAAATATAATATTATTTAAGGAAAAAAAATATAAATTAAAAAAAATAAAACTTATTTTAATTATAAAAAACTAGATTATTTCATAAGTATTTAAAATTAAAAAAGAATTAAAAACTAGCTATTTTAAGAAAATAGATTATAATAATAATTCTATTAATTAAGATTAATACTAATAAAGCTAATAAAATAATTAATAATAAAATTGATTTTAATAACTAAAATAATTAAAGATAAAAAAGAATAATCAAAATAGATAATAAATTAAATGAATTAAAATACTTTAAAATAACTAAAAAGAATATAATAAATAAAATTATACTATTTTATCTATAAAAATAAAAAAATTAAAACTATACAAGATATATTAAATATTAAACTTAAAGTTTTAAGATTTTAAAAAAATATATTAATATTAAAAAAAAGTATATATAATTGTTAATATTATTAATAGTATACTTAGTTTTATTTATATTAAAAAAATAATAAACTTATAATTATGTATAGTATTATAATTAAGAATATCTATTTTTTATCTTTAATAATAGTATATAAAATAAAATAAGAAATAATTTATTAAATTTAATATTATAAATATCTATAATTATCTATAAATTAAAAGAAAAAAAAAAGAAAAAATAATATAAATAAAATATCGATATAAATATTTTATTATACTGATTAAATTAACTAATATACTAGTAATATTTTAATAATATATTAACTTAATAATTACTAAATATCTATATAAGTTTATTACTATATATTTTAATAATATTATGATATTCTTAAATAATATAAAAGACTATATTAAATATATTAAACTTTTATTAAGAAGATTAAAGACAAATAAAATTAAAATATAAATTCTATATAAAAGATTAATTTTTTAAGGTATAAAATTATATAAGAATTTAAATAAATAAGAAAAAAGTATAAATAATAAAAGACTAATTTATACTAAAAAATATTAAAGGATATATAAATATTATAATATTAATATTTAAATTATTTACAAAAGATATCCAGTATAGATAAAAAGAAGAATAAAAGTATTTAAAAAATAAAATATTATTATATAATTATATTTATACTAGTATAGTCTGATAATAATAAATTAATTATATTACAGATATTACAAAATATATTTAAAAAGAAATAAAGTTTTTAAATTATTATAAATTATAAAATCTAATCTATTTTTTATTGAAATTTAATAAGAAAATAAGTAAAATAATTAAAAATATTATTATAATACTAGTTTAGAATTAAATATTATAAAGAAAAGAAATAATAAAAAATTAGATATATTTAATAAATAATTGGATTATAAAGAAATATAAATACTAGTTTTAGTATTATTTAAAAAAATATATAAAAAATTAAAATATAATCTATAAATTATAATATTAATAATAATAATAATAGAATTTAATATATATATATAAATATAAGATATTCTAATAAAAGAAATAATTATAAATAAAATTATTTAAGATATATTAAATAATATATAGAATAGAAATAAATATAATAAAAAAAATAATTACTAATAAAATAAGACTAGTATTTTAGTATAATTTAATTTATATTAAAAAATATTAAAGAATAAATTATTAAAATATATTGTAATAAATTAATAGCTAGATATCCAAAAATTATTAATATCTTGAAAAAAATATTAAGAAATTATTATTAATTAAATATATATAAAGTAATCTAAAATTATATTAAAGAATATAATATACATTTAAAAAAATAAGATTATAAGATATAAATTATATAAATACAATTACTATAAACACTAGAATATTTATAGTAATAGATAATAATAAATCTTATTATAAAATTATCTAAGTTAAAAAAATATAATTAAATATTAATAATAATTAATAAGTAAAATAATATTTTTAATTTTAATTTCTTATAATATAATACTTATTTATAATTATATAGTGTTTAAAAGCTTTAAAATGGTTTTCTAGTAAATTGAAAAAATCAGGCGGCAGATGATAATGATCAGCTACAGTTCACTGTCTGTTGAGATAATTCCCGACTACATTTGTTTCTAACCCTCAAAAGGATGATACCTCACATCATGTTACGACAACTCCAAACCGAGAGCTAGCAATATTCCCAGCGCTATTTCTTTTGAGTCTGCCAATGTCGTGGAAGGCGTTGAAGTAGCGTTTTCTGAATTATCCTGACCCTCAAAACGGGCGGTGGACTGGATACCGTCCACACATCCAAGCGAACCCCATGTTGCATTCACCGCCAGCGCCCATGCCATTGCAGGATTATACAGTGTCTCCGCTGTGTACCATATATGGCAATTAGCGGGCTCATACAGATACTGCGTCGGAGTCTGCTTGTTATATTCCGTAAATGTATTGAGATAGTTGACGGCTCCAGCGGTGGGGAATGGGAAGTCAGTTAGCGGGATGGGGTTGACCGTAGAAACGGCTGATATTGTCACTTGACAAGATAGGATTGCCAGAAATAGAGCTATTAAGTAGGTACATGGCTTCCTGTGCTGCGTTGTCAATAGTTGACAGGAGTTGCACTTCTGAGCCCTTGATGCCGCCCAACGCCTGCATAGGTCCAGAGATAGGACGGCCACCGACGGCTACTGTTTTGACGCCTTTGGAGACCATGTGGTCGGCGAAGATGGTGCAGGTTGATGAGCAGCGGCCATCTAAGAGGATTACGATGTCTTCGGGCGCAAATGGGGAAGTGGTAGCGTTTAGCACACCACCTCGACCGTCGGTATTGACGGGATCGTCGCTTAGATCGGTTGTTGCAAAGTCAAACTCAGCGAACAAAGCGGATGAGGGGATCCCACCGATGTTATAGGGTCCAAACACATTCTGCCAGTCCTCGAAGCTGGATTGATCGGGTTTGACTGCATCAACAAGACCACTTAAGCCGCTATTATACCCTATCTCTTGGACGGTACTGTTGCCGCTGTTGAATATTGTTCCCATAAAATCTATGGCTTCGTGGGAACGGAATCGAGTGGAAGAGAATAGTGTTTCGTTGGGGAAGAAAATGCTATAGAGACCATAACCAGAAAGGACTACACCGCCGCCATTGTTCTGCAAGTCGATGACGATCTTCTTTTTGCCGTCTATTTGGGATGCATTCTGAACAAAATATTCGGCAATAGCGACGAACTCCTCCGCACTGTTGTCGTAGCCATCGGTCTCAAATGTAGGGACAGTGAGGATAGCTACATCTTCGAGACCGGGGATATCAGGATAGTATCCGGCAATGATATTGTGGGACTCTCGTATTACAGGCGTGGGATAAAGAGTGGGAGCTGGGGTGGAGGAAGAAGTTGAGTTAGTCGTTGTTGATTGGCGTTTCTGACGAAATTTTCTTAGCTCTGCTGGATGTTGATAATGATGATGATGCTGTCTGCTGGTTGATTAGGGTTTGGTTACAATGGCCGTTATACAAGTCATTGGCATCACCGAATGAAACCGAGTCCAGAGATGCCATAAGTTCAGCCATAACGGGGTACGAGATAGACGACCCATTGACGAATGTCACGTTGTAAGACTCAATTCCGCGCCAAACAGTGTCTCTAGAGAATAAACCATAGAGATCATTTCCTTGACCATCGACAAGGAGATTCAGAACCATGTTGTTAAAGCGGGCATCGGGGTCTTGAAAGTTTTGATAATTGGACTGAGCTTCGATAGCGGAAACAACACCAACGCCATTGATGGAGTGAACTGGTGAGACATTGGTGTTATATCCTTGACTCGGCATTCCAGCATCAGCTATTCAGAGACAAGGATTATAAGTAAATTGACTCGAAAGAAGGGGTGGAATGCCCGCCTTATCTTCATGAAATTGAGCTTACCCGTAACATATATCTCTGGCATAGCGATACCATTCGATGAGATAGCACTCAGGCTCAAAGATGAGTAAAATGAGAATGCCGACAACGAGCATAGTTCATCGAAGTACAAGTGCCCGTCGTTTGCTGATGAAATCAAATCAGACACGTCGGCATCAAACTGGTATTGAGATGTATAGCCCCCGCGAGAGGCACGCGACTGGATACTTTCCAGACCACCTAACAAGTCGACTTTGTTCGACAGATAAGATGATGGCGGTTTCGCGAGCATCTCAAGGTCAGATTGGAATTGCAAGTACTTGCTGTACTCGGTGATCCATGTCACGGCGGCATTACTCTCAAATGGCATGCTCATTAGACATGCATATGCAACGCTTCCTGCCACGCTTGTTTCGCCGGATTCGGTGTAAAGATCGTTGATTATGGCGCATGGCGATGCAGTTGTGGCGGCCGCGATAGTGCCCATAGCAAGAAGAGGGAGGAGTTTCTTTGCCATTGTTTGAGAATGTTGTGGTAGAACTGGCGAGCCAGAGAAGATAGAAGCTGTATGATCAAACTTGTCAATATGTATATACATACAACCAATTCGAGGAGAAATTTAGATTATCTAGTTATCCATGTGCTATGCAAATTATGACAAGCCACCGGATTTTCCTTAAAATAGGTGGCTTTGTACGGAGTGTTTTATACAGAGAACAAACAAGAAGTTAGTGAGGAGGCTTAGATTAGTTGTGGGCTCGCAACTAGGATGGACTGAAGCCTCACGGAGTATACTGGTGATGCTCCGACGCAGCTCCGTTGTCTTCTCCACCCGCTGAAGTGTAGCTGAGGCTTGGACCAACTCTATTAAGTAAAAAATTGCTAGCGCGTGGCTCATTGTGTTTATCTCTCTCAACTGCGCAAGATTGTTAGGGCTACGGCTGGAGTAGCGAGCCCCGCTATGCTATCTAGTATATATATAGGGCTACCATGCTAACTTTGCTAGGAAGTAAAACCAGTCTGTCCTTCGTACACCCAAGCAAAAATAAAATTGTATGAATTGAACCACGGAGTTAGATACCATGTACAAGTCCGTTGGTTAGGTTAGGTGACATGTCATTCACCCAGTGATTCCGCAATACCCGTTTAAATTGATACAGGATTGGAAACACTCAGTTGCAATCATAACTGACCAGTCCCAGTGAAGTGGCGAATCGTGTGCTATATAATCCCATGCCCTGCTTACAGAGGAAGATAGGTCTGTGGAGTGGTGAATCGTAAATCATAGACCTCATCGATGTATAGAGTAATATGTGCCTAAGGCTATTACTCAAGAGCACAGCTGAACGTCTGTTGGGGTGGCCAAACGAGACTGCCCTATAGCATGTTTAGGCCGAAGCCTCGTAGATTTAGATTTCTAAATCCGGAAATTGTGGCGTGGAAAACAGTATATGCTACCTACTATCTATCATTGCGGAGCCAACATCAAGTCGATGTCAGCGCGAGCGCCAGTTCGTTTCTTTGGCTTTTGATGTTAAAAATTGTATATATAACTACTAACTAGTAACCTTCGCTCAAGTTCAAAACTAGCCCAAATACATATCGACAAATTGACCTCCACCCTCCCGGCTGTTTTGCTCGCTCTCTCCTATTCCCCTTCACCACTCCATCAGCTGTCAATAACCTCACCGTACAAAGTACCATTTTAACCGCCCTCGAAGAAGTTGACGAAGACCACAGAATTCGCAATTTTTACAATATCGGATTATGGAGCTACTGCACAGGTAATAAGACTAATGGGAGTTTCATTGTCGACTACTGCACGTCACCCAAGGCTATGTTCTGGTTTGATCCAGAAGTCGTCTGGGGCCTCAACGGAACCGGTGCTGATGCCCTCTTCTCGAATGGATTGAAAAAAGCCTTTAATTCATACCACACGGCATCTAAGTGGATGTGTATCGCTTACATTATTGCATTATTGTCTACTGGCGTGGAGTTGCTGGTTGGTATTTCTGCAATTTTCAGTCGCTTGGGAAGCTTTGCCACCAGCTGTGTAGCCGGCGTAAGTCCTACTCTCTCTACCTTTAAAAAAAAAAAAAAAACCCTAAGCGCAGTCTATATAATCAGGTGTCGACCTTCTTCACGATAGCAGCCGCCATCACATCCACAACCCTCTTTGCCACATTGGATATTACTCTGGACTCAGCCACAAAAGAATATCAAATCCGGTCCACTCTGGGCACTCGAATGTTGGCCGTCACATGGATAGCCGTTGCATTTCGATTGCCGGTGGCATCCTCTGGGGGGTTAGCTCGTGCTGCGTCCCCAGTCAATCGTCCGGCAGTAGGGATGCGAGCAAATACCCTCTGGGAAAGACGCCTTTTATGTATGAGCAGGTTCCAACTCCATACCTGGGAGCAGGCGGTACGCACCCAGAGGGGACTGCATACCAAGCTCCTCTTCTGTCTCGTCAGGCTGGGCCGCAAATTACTTCCAGCACTTATGAGCCTTTCCGGCACACTGGATTGGAGGATGGCGCTTAAGCTATGATTATACGATGCGGAGAAACGTGGAATTGATTTGACCGTATGTCGTGATATATATGGATACTTATGCACTTTCTACCTGCAATTTAATCAATCTGTTGCAGGCATGGAAATAATAACACGAGAGGAATGCAAACGAAAAGCAAATAAGAAAATCGAACCCTAGTATGAAAGACTGTCAACACAGTAGTATCCTGAAAAATATACTAAACTAAATGAATTAGATACAATTAGTTTATTGCTAAGTTCATATTTTGAATACTGGGGACGGCTAGTGTCGCTGCTGTATTGTCTTCGCATACATAGCCAACTAGTAGCAAGTTTAACTCTTACAGCTTCTTTCTTTTTATCTGATTGTAGTGAATTTCGCTCTATAATAAATGGAGAACTAAGAACGGAATTCATGCAAGCTTTAATTAAGTGGGGAACTGCATAAATGGCGGTGACGTAATGCCGTACATAATTCAAAACTCGATCCAAAAGCTTCACGTTTGGGTTTGCTTGTTAGCGTCATTGCTATCTTCAAAATGTCTCTAGTCGCGGAGTAAGTTCTTTTACTTGGCTCGTCTCTGTTATGTATCTAACGAAAATCAAGGCTAATGCGCACTCTCACAGGATTATATCCCGATTGGACCTCAACATTGACAAAAGTTACGCCCAGTTTTCTCAAGGTATTAACCTTGAAGGGCCAAACAAAGAACCTTTCAATGTCGAGAGCGACATACGGAATATTCAGCCCACAGCACGAGCATTGTCAGTTGAAAATAGGGGTCTGCTTACACGCCACAAACTATTACATGTCTTGAAAAATGCCCAGGTCGACAAGCAGTTTTATTCGAAATCGGAGGGAGAACATACTCACGAGCACACCTGGTTCATAGCTGCCAAAGTCACTACGCAAACCCTGGGGGTTGTCCTCAACCTGCTACTCGAACAATCCTCCCGACTTGGTGCTGAGATAGCATACTGGGACGATGTTCTAGGATCAAGCTTATACACCGGACATTATATCTTGCAGACAGCGCCATCAAGAATATTTTTCTGGGCCTCTAATACGTTTTCAACTCTGAAGGCAGCTTCAACACAGGAAAACCTGACGTCTCTCAAGGACATTGCAAGAAACTGGCGGTCTTTTTATCGGATTGTACAACGCAATGTTCAAAAAGGCCTTTCTATACACCGCAGTAACGCCCTTTTATCACCGTTTTCCCGTTCTAGGACGAATATTAGACAAAAACAGCAATATTTAAAGTCACAGAAAAATCTGTATGCAAGCGCAGTTGGTATTCTGCTTGAAGAATGTTTCACATTTGCAAGCGATGAGCAAGCAATTGACAAACTTGTCATGTCGCATCCCGAATGGTGTCATGGTATCTGCAAAATTGTATTGCTGATGGAAACTCTGCTTCAAAGCCTCTCGGAACCTCTGGCCTCGTCAAAGGATTTTGAAGATGGCATCTTCCACGCTGTTGGCAACCAGATTCATGAAAAACATCCCCAGTCCCTTGAAGAGTCCTCTCCTGATGTAGCCGATGTTGTGGACCGTTTGATTTTCGTGTTACAGTTCCGAATCCCAGACAATGCTGCCTATAACAATACCATCATCCATCAACATGGTCGCCCATCTATCTTTGCTCGTTACTGGTTCCCAGCCACGGTTACATTGATGTCACTAACCACTTCGCTTCGCATCCTCACAAACCGTAAAGCAGAACTTATGACATGGCTTTCCGAATTCGGGTCCACCGTTATTGACTTCTGGGGGAATTGGGTCTTGCAACCTTTACAAAAACTCATTGGGACCATAAGACACGATGAGCAAAGCGAAATTGCAATCATGAGCAGGAAAAGCTTAGAAGCCGATTGGCAAAGCCTGGAAAGGATGGTGGTTGATTTTGTATCCGACCGTAGCTCACAAACGAGTGGGAATTTGCAGGACAACATCAATACCATCACCACACAGGTCAGAGAAGGTGATCTTACTCCTGTTTTGAAGGCGTACGAAAGAGACCTACGTAAACCCTTTATCGGGACTGTACGCGGTGATCTTGTCCGCGCCCTTCTCATCCAAATACAAAAGACCAAAGTCGACGTGGAAGTAGCGATTGGAGGCATTGATGCCTTGCTTAAAAGCCAGGAGCTTGTTTTTGGGTTGGTCATTCTCTATCTGCATATGTCATGCAGGATGCTAATTTCATTCAGTTTTATCGGCTTGACTCCAGGGTTGCTTGTAGCCTACGGGAGCGTTCGGTGGATTGCCAGTCTCTTCGATTCCAGAAGGGGCTTCAGGGCAGGGATTGAGAAGCAACAATTCAGACGTGCTTTGCGGTATGTTGAAGAACTCCACTTTCATTTACCCGACTATGTGCTGAGTTAGGGGTTTTTTGCAAAGGAATATCGATCGCATACTTATGGCATACTCGTCGACCCCCGGCAGCATCTTATCCTATAAAGATTATGGACTGTGCATCTACGAAGCTAATATTTTGAAACAAAGAGCACGGTATACATTACCAAGATCAGTTCTGCCTATGTTCCAACAGGATTTGACCGATCTTACGGATATGGGCCACGGCGTTGGCAGACAACGAAGCGTGGTCCATCGCATTCAGTGGATGTATTCCAAGTGGATTTGAGAATTACCCACGGGTTTGAATCTCGCGTGTTAAGGGACGAGAGTATACGTAGGAGAAAAGAGACAGGCGTCACAGATATACCAGTGTATTATCAATAGGGCATCTTCCAAAGAAGACTTGCTTGATAAGAATTGAATACGGGCGAGGCCAAGATCGCGATATATACCACGACGCCAGGTTGGCAGACATTTTTTCCTTAGCATAGTGATTCAGCAGGCCCTACGACTCTCGGTCGCGAGTAAGTGAAGATGAGTACGTGTTTGTAGAAATTTGTCTCTCGTAGGATATTTTGCAGCGCTGGCGGAACGGAAGAATGCTCGGCGTCTGATTGGGCCATCCGCCGCCAGCCGTCTAAGCTCGTTTGGTCGTCGTGCGAACTCCGAAACGCTGAACTGAAGGAGAGCAAGCACCAGCATATCTGCGTTCCTTGAAACCAGACATATCAGCATATACCCCCCCACTCCACACCCCCTTCGAGGGCGTTTATCTCACCGGAATTTCCACGGGCCCTAGCAGCGCTTGTTCTGCATTGCAACAGCAGGTCCAGCGGGACTTATCAGTTGCACGTATCGTATCGGAGGAGGTGACATCAACGCCTCTCGCAATCATGGCTGGCACAAGGAACTATGACTTTCTAGTACGTATACAATTGCATGTGCGCTAATATTCTTCTCTTACGTGCTCTGCTACAGATCAAATTATTACTCATTGGAGACTCCGGTGTAGGCAAATCGTGCTGCCTACTCCGCTTCAGCGAGGACTCCTTCACCCCGTCCTTTATCACCACCATTGGAATCGACTTCAAAATCCGTACCATCGAATTAGACGGCAAGCGTGTGAAGCTGCAAATATGGGATACCGCTGGACAGGAGCGATTCAGAACAATCACCACCGCCTACTACCGAGGTGCGATGGGAATCCTTCTGGTTTATGATGTCACAGACGAACGATCCTTTAATAGTGAGTAGCGCGGGCAGCTGAGATTGCACCTATGTACACGTCACTGACAGCCCCTAGACATCAGGACCTGGTTCTCGAATGTCGAGCAACATGCCAGCGAAGGCGTCCATAAAATTCTTATCGGCAACAAATGTGACTGGGAGGAAAAGCGAGCGGTATCGACCGAACAAGGACAGAAACTTGCCGACGAACTCGGCATCCCCTTTCTCGAGGTTTCCGCCAAGAATAACATCAATGTCGACAAGGCGTTCTACAGTCTTGCATCAGAGATCAAAAAGGTCATGGATAGTACAAAATCGGAACAAGCAGGCTCTCCTGGGGTCAACATAGACCAGAATAGTGCTGGCGCAAACAGCAACCTCGGTGGAAAGTGCTGCTGAGGATTGCTCTGGGCTGAAAACCACACCCTCTTGGAACCCGTGTGGCCACTTCTTCTTTCCGTCTCTCCTTTTACCCTTGCTACATTTTCTTTTCTTCTCTTTCTGAACTGTCTGCTATAATAGAATGTGCTCTGAAGGAAGGTATGGAACCGGTTTACCCTGCTGCTTGGACTGTTTCGTCATTGTGTCTATATTTCTTGATGATTTTGCTGTCTTGTGTTGGTCATTTCATTATGCTTGTCGGATCATATTTTTAACAGCGGCCTTGTCTATCTATTTTCATGCGTCTTCAATAACACATAAAATATCTTGTACTTCTAATCTCATCTCATCGTAGTAGCAACATACTATGAAAAAGGTGCTGTAGCACGAGTGGATGCCTTTTTGATACTCATCGTTGACGTTAGCCAATTGGGTTGCCGAGATCCTTCTCCTCAACACCCCACACTACTATTTTTTTTTTTCCCAGACTTAGCTACCAGTGACCAGGAATTAGACACGCAAGTTATATTACATTCATTCAAGGTCTTTTACAGCCTCAATGTATCGCTTCCTACTCGCGCGCGTTATCCGGACCAATAGATTTGTGAGACTATGAGCGAAGCTCGCGTCTTCACATTACGGCCACTGCCAAAACCCCCGCGAAGCGACTTGCGCGATTCATTTCGCGTGTATCTCTCATCGACCTCTCTAGCATATCTCAAATTATCGCCTGGTAGTCTCTGTTCTCTTCACCTGGAGGGAGGCGCCGAAAAAACAGCAATTGCTTGGAACGCCGTCGGTGACATCAAGAATACAGTGGTTCAGGCGTCGAGCATTCTACAGGAATGCTATGGCATCAAACTTGGCGAAAAGCTTACTATCTCGAAGTTAGAGGGCCCGTTGAACGAAACAGATAGAGTACATTTAGAAGAATGTTCTCATCCAGATAAGCTATCGAAGTACGGACCGTTACCTGACTCTGAGATATCACATTGGGAGTGGGCTCTAGAATATCCACTTTTACAGTGCGGAGTACTTTCAGTCGACTTGATTTTTGAAACAGAGATAAAGGGACAATGTAGGGCTTTCAAGGTTGTTGGCATATCAACACCCAGTGCTTCAGGCCAGACGATATCTCTCTTTACTGAACGTTCGGGCCTACAAATTGGTGATGGCGTCAAAGAAACAAAGCGTCATGGTAGCCTCAAGGTTATCCAGAGCGGCCTAGGTGGGCTCTCGGGCCAGGTTCGAAGAATAAATGAAATGTTGATGGATTTTAACTTGGAAGCACTTGGTGCAAACATGCCGGGGTTTTACAGGCTAAACCGAGGTATTTTAATTCATGGCCCCAAAGGCACAGGGAAGAGTTCCTTGCTACGCCAAATTGAATTAGCCGGCTGGCGCAAGACATTTCTCATAGGGTCAAATTTGCGTTCAGGCGATGGCGAGGCAAGATTGCGCAAAATTTTCAAAGACGCCTCTCAGGCAGGGCCCAGTGTAATCCTTATCGACCAGATTGATTTTATCGCACCTAAACGAACGACTCTAGAATCCTCCTCCTTAGCGCATGCCTTATGTGAGAGCATTGACGCGTTGGGTGAGGCCAAAGTGCTTGTCGTAGCAGCAACACGCCATCCAAACGATGTCGACGACTCCCTTAGGACACCGCATCGCCTCTCGGTTGAAATCGAGGTATCAATACCGACAGCAGCCGCTAGGAAGGAAATCTTATGTGCAATACGCGAAAATTCTCCAGAGCCCAGTGATTACATTATAGACTTCATGGCAGAAAAAACACACGGATATGTTGGAGCCGACTTGTTTGCTCTCCTACAGATGACATGCCGCAAAGCGCGGGATCGATTAATGCCCGGCATTAGCTCGGAGGATAATCATGCCCCTGACACGGAGAATTTTGCGAGCGATGGCTCTACATGGTTAGTCATAAACGAGGACGATGTTATTGCAGCTATGCAAGAAGTACGTCCTACTGCGATGCGAGAGGTTTTCCTGGAAACCCCGAAAGTAAGATGGTCAGATATCGGAGGGCAGCATGTTCTCAAGAAACATCTACAGAAAATGGTTGAGCGGCCGTTAAAGGTATGCTTATCTTCGATGCAGAGAAAGAAAAAGTGGCAAGGCTTTGGCGATACTAATTTCCTTTGCAGTTTCCTGAAAGAATGCGCAGACTCAATGTGAAAAGCCGGAAAGGTATCTTGCTTTATGGCCCCCCCGGTTGCTCAAAGACGCTCATCGTGAAAGCTCTGGCTACGGAGGCTGGGCTTAATTTCCTGGCCGTCAAAGGAGCCGAGATTCTAAGCATGTATGTTGGAGAGTCAGAGCGTACTCTTCGAGAGATTTTCCAAAAAGCTCGTGCGGCTAGGCCTAGCATTCTGTTTTTCGATGAGATTGATGCTATTGCAGCAAAGCGTAGCAGCGCGAGTGGCGGCGTAAACGTCCTCACAACGCTTTTAAATGAGATGGATGGTATCGAGGAACTTAAGAATGTGCTTGTCGTGGCAGCAACTAATAAGCCCGGTGTGCTGGACCCAGCTTTAATGCGACCTGGTCGTTTGGACAATCTTGTCTACGTTGGACCGCCTGATTATGATTCTCGGAAAGAGATTTTTTCGATATGGTTAAGCAGATCAATCGTCAGTCTCGATGTGAGTGTTGATGAGCTTGCAGCAAAGACCGACGGATATTCTGGCGCAGAAATCATCAGTTTATGCGAGACTGCTGGAGAGGCAGCACTGGATGAGGAGGATGAAAAGAATGAGCCACAAGAAGTTAGGCAGGATCACTTCGAGGCTGCTTTCTCTCGAGTCAAGCGCCAATTGACGTATGATATTATCACGGAGTATGAGCAGTGGGCTGAAAAATCGGCATTCTAGCAAGACGCTGCAAGGGCTGGATAGACGACGTATACATATAGTTAGAAAGAAAAAAAAAAGGCGAAATACATCATACATTAAATGTACGACGTCGCATTTCTAATGCCTGGAAGCCTACCTGGATTATATTATTATGTATATGATTAGTTGACTATATGTTAACTACTGCACGCATTAGTTGAGCCTCGGGCGCTTGGCGCTTAAGCTGCCTTCCGCTTCGCTCGCGCTAGTTGCACGTCTCCGAGCTTGGGCCAATGCGAGCATTCCATTTCTGAGCAATCTGTCTGACCTCTCGCGTTCCAGCTGGTTTCAACGAGACCAGCCATTTCCTTCCAATTTCCATTCTTCTCTTCAATCTGAGACTCTTCCTGGCCGTCGAAAGCTCCCTAGAATTTTCAAGCATGCCAACTAGATCACCTAGCAGGTCTCCGCGACGCTCAGTGCGCCGATCAATGTCACGTTCGCGCTCACGGTCTCTCAGTAAAGACCGCAGTCCAAGCGAAACACGAAGCTATGCACGGGGGAGGTCACGAAGCCGATCCTATTCACCTGAACGTGATACTTCGCGAGGCCCTCGACGTGCCGGCCGCCGGTGGCAACGAGATCGGAGCTCTACCAGAAGCCCTACACCCCAAAGTCCTAAGCGAAGTTCGAAGGTGAGAAATTGAAATCAGGATCAACCGAAAACGAGAAGAATTCGGGAAAAGCTTTTAATAGTGATTTTACAATGGTTTTACTGACGCCTGTCTTTGGCAGATTGTTGTCGAGAAATTGACGAAGAATGTGACAGAAGGACATCTTCATGACATCTTTGGGACTTTCGGGGAAATACAGAGCATTGATCTTCCTTTGAATAGGACATGTAAGGGTCCGACTGTAAGCCGCGTGGAAATTTTGTTGCTGATATATCTTGTTTAGTCATGACGAACCGAGGCACTGCATACATTCTTTACCATGACCCTGTTGATGCTGAAGTGGCCGTCTCAAATATGCACGAAGCTCAAGTTGACGGTGCCGTACTAAAAGTTTCTATTGTATTACCTCGACGGGTGTTTTCTAGAAGTCCCCCTCCAGCTAGGCGACCAGCTGTAGGAGACACGTCATTTTCACCCAGGAGACATCCACCAAATCATGGTCGCCATTTACCAGGCCCATCGCGCATGTCGCCGCCAAGAAGGAGGTCTCCAAGACGCCATGCCAATGGCGGAGCTTCAGACAGACATGACATTTATCGCCCAAGATCATTGTCACGATCTCCATCACCGCGACGCTCTAGAGCCCGTTCATATTCAACTCGCTCCGACTCAGGCTCCCCACCAAGAAGGAGAAGTCCTGTTAGAAGGTATTCGAGACACCGCAGACGTCGTAGCCCCAGCTATGGCAGTTACAGCTCAAGGGATAGCATATCCGAGAGAAGTCGCAGTCCTAGCAGAAGTAGGGGTCCAAGATCTAACAATAAACGGAGATGATTTCTGTCTTGTCCAAATTTCTGTTGAAATTATATCCTAAACATTTCATAACGCAAAACGGAAACAAGATCATTTCTACAATGAAACGGGGCGACTTGCTGGTTATTCTGTTGAAAAAGACCAAGCTTTATTCACGGCTCTTCATTTTTTCATCCCAATACAATACAGTCAAACAGAAAAGGCGCGACTCAGAAAAATGCACACCAGCCAATATACATGGCAGCCAGGTTCCTTTTATCCGTGGCTTGTATTATCAGCTCATCTACATGACCGTCTACCGAGAGCGGCACTGATTGGCGAGGCAATAGACCCCTCAATTTGTTTCTGATGCACTCCATAACTCCTTCCGGCGTCTCAGGGACATCTTTGTGGGTTCGTCTCTGTCATTGTCAAGGAATCAGTTAGCATTGTCCTGTTTTAGTTTGATGGAGCGAAGTGCGTGTCTTGCCTTCTTGCCAATAAAATCCGTTGTGGGATCGTATAAGAATGTTTCCATGATATTCATGAGCGCGTCCTCGTTTTGCCGCAATAGGCCGAGTGTTATCTCACAGGTCCTACGGAACGGCCCTATATCAAAGAAAAAAAATCAGTTTAACAATTCAATGATAACAAAATAATCAACAGCCTTTACCGTTGTAGCCGTAAGCCCCAAAAGCATCGACCATATTATGTGTCAAACGAAATGGGACTACCTCGGGTTTCTCAAATGTCAAACCCTAGAATATTGAATCAGTTATTACAAACCGAACGTACTGTACTATAAGATTACTTCTCGATGGTAGCGTGCCTACCTTATCAAATAAGCAGTTGAAGTCTACATGCAATATACCTCCCGTACTTTCTTCGAAAAGTAAATTTTCTCCATGACGGTCACCCAGTCTAGGACCTTTATTAGGATCTGACTTCAATCTGGCAATGATTGTTACTTACCCAAGGACGTGGCCGACCATGGACATGACAGCACTGGTTCGGGTAAACCGTAATCTCGCCGCTAACCATGCTCCTGGGTCGGGAAACATTTCAACAAACCACTCGTGTAAAACAGGGGGGAGCCTGCCCGGATTTGTTAACTCATCCATATATATTGATTAAAATGATGGGTTGCTCTGAGGGAGAATTTGGCCTTACTTTGCCAGGATCTTTGTCGTGAACATAGGAAGTTTCTCATCACTTGAGCAAGCTTCATTCAAATAGTTCCGGATCTCATGAAACTGCCAATATAGATTAGCAAATATAAACGTTTCATGCCGTTTATGCCGTTCATTGTGATTTACATTCAAAGCTGTTCCCCTCTCTCTCAAAAGTTTCATGACAATTTCCCGTAGGGTACGTAGATTGTCAACCCACTCTATAAGTCCACACTCCTCGTTTAAGGGTGTCACAGCGTAGGTTTTGATATCTTCCAATAAGTAAGTAATGAGTCTGCCAAAGAAATTAATGCAAAAGAGAGTTACTTACACATGCGCCGCTTGATTGAATCGACGTCTTTCTTAAGGAATCCATTGATCATGTTGTTGAACTCCATTAGACGCTGATCCTTCCTGAGGTCGTCTTTCGGCTTGCATAGGAGACTGTAAACCTTTCCATCCGTGCCTATAATGCTGATTTTGCGTGGCTTCTGCAGTGAATTCAGAACCAACGCCTCGTCGAGAACTTCTATTTATCTCTTTGTTAGACACTGTAGCTTTGATAGATAGCTTGTGAGGACCACTTTACTTTCTATGCTGACAACATCACCCGGAAAGGGATTGAACTGCTTCAAAAACGACTGGTCATGAGTCGGTGGTAGAATTGGAGTTAGCATGCTCTGAAATGGTACCACTAGGCGACATGGAGCCACTTTGTGGTTAAATCCCAAGTTTCGAGCCAGGCTTATTTTGGCCGTTCCTTTCTCTTCTACATGCCCAATACATAGGCTCAACAGTTCCTCACAGAACTTTTGTCCTCGATTGATCATCAACCGTATATCAGATGGCGAAATGTCACTTCTGTTAACCTTTTTGTTGATTTCCTTGCGCGAGTGTCAGATGTATTCGTCGGGTTTCAAGAGTTAAGAAGTCTGGCCATACTGATATTTTCTGAAGGCATGCAATGCCTCTTGAAGCACGATCCTTTGAAGATGACTTCACCAAAGCTAAAACAGTCCAGAGACCTTGACGCGGAAAATGGGTGACTGTTTTGATCACTATCTTGGCTAACAGATCGTGTACTGTGGCATTCACATTGCATATTCGAGCAACGACTTGAGAGAGAACAGTGAAGAGCTATCACGGTCAGTAACGGTAACAAGAAAAGAAGGAATTTGGAAAACAGGGACGTAGGCTCTTACCACTTCCGGGGGTATACGATTAAGATATTTCTTCAGCTGGGAATGCATATCATCTAGGCTCTTCTTCCGTTGAGCGTTGATCTGCCTTTGGAATTCGCTTGAATTTTTGTTAACCATCCGCTTTTTTCTCGTTTTCCAAGGTCATATATATCTTACGAATTTTCTCCACGCCTGGCATCATAGGGTTTATTAACATTTGACGCGTGGTCCAACCACAGGGTCAGGACCTTGGGTAATGTTTGGAAGACAAATTTGTTCCCGTTCGCTAAGGACCGCAGGAAGTTATCGATGGCTAGTTTCGAAGCCTCACCAGTCAGACTTGAAAATAGGCTAGTCAGTACGAAGTCTCGAAGTAGAAGTCAGCGAGAGACTCACTAAATCTGAGATTCTTTGCCAGGCGTTTTTGCTCTTTCGGATTCTATGATTTTATTGTAGTGTTTTCCAAGATAGTAATGTGCCTTTTCCCACCTGGAAAGAGCTAAATTAATATGATCTTCTTGCAAGCTTATAGAAAAACGGGCCGTTACCTAGTATGCAATTTGATAGCCTCTCGGTATTGCTGGACTATAGTATCTGAATGGGTTTGCCCAGCTCGATCAGACCACTTTGCTAGCAATAGGTGTGCCTAATTCAAGTCAATTAGAGTTCAGCTTGAAAACATTATACTTCAGTGCATTGGAACTTCCTCAAAGAACTTGCCTTCGCAGCGAGAATATTTTGTGCTTCAGCTCGGTCTCCAGTCATTGAAACAGACGTCCTTATTGGTGTCTCATGTTCGTCGGAAACAAAAGCATTCGCAGCTATTGCTCCTTTCAGGATCTGGATTGCCTTTCGATGATGTCCATCTGACCAGAGTAGACGAGAATGCTCAATTGTGGCCGATTTTGCTTTGGATTGGGCCGCATGCATTACTGCATTATAAGCCGGTCCTATGTGACCGTTCTTTCGGAAAAGACGAGCACTTGTGAGCCAGACAGCGGCTATGTCTGGCTCTGAGAATCCGGTCCTGGTTTTAAGATGTTAAAAAAATCATACTGCATACGAGAAGGTGAAAAAAGAGAGACTAACGAAAGTTCCATGGCAGCCCGCCTCAATCCTAATAGGTACTGTTTTTCAGAAATGTATACCCCCAGCAAACCCAGACGATGATCCAAAGTATCCACAAGTTCTGCCTTTGTCATCCCTGGGCGCGAGTCTGCATTCACAATAGCTTCAACATCAGACAGAGCATGTAGTTGAAGTAACTCGTCATGGCATGACTGCAAAGATATTGTCGAGTTAATTGTCATAGATCTTGTAATGTTTAGTCTTAGTTTCTGGATGGTATCATGAAATTGCGTCTTGTCACCATTGCGAAGAGCAATTAGCGCCGAGGATATGCCAATGGTAAAATCGGTAACATTTTCCTTGGGACATATTTTGAGATATTCATCTAATTTCGACCATTTTCCAATCGAAATAGAAGCTTCTACAGCGAATGGCAGAAGCTTTGATGGATACGCTTCAGATTGACTGAACGTGTCAAATCTACTCAAGAGTGCATCTATAATGCCAAAATGAGTGTATTGGACATTAAAACCAGGACGAAATTTACCTACCTTGTTGACCAGACTCCTTCAGACATGTGAGCAGATTCAACTGCGCTTCGCTATTGCTTGAATCCTCGTCCAACTGTAACTCATACCAGCTTTGAGCAGCAGCCCATCTGCCAGCTTTACGATGCTCGACGACCTGCTGATCTACATTAAGCACATGTAAATACGTTGAGATTCCTTCAATGCCGTCTGGCTCATCAATCTGTGTGTATATCTCCTGGAGGCGCTGGTAGAGAGGTTCGAGTTCATTGTCATCTTGTCTCTCGGGGTAGCTGCTGCACTGTCGAATGTATTGTTCCCAGTGAAAAAGGGCCCTAGAGAAAGACTTGCATTCCACGGCTCTTTTTGATATGACCTCTGGTGGTATAGAAGACAATATTTGCTCGACATTTTTGATCTGCGACGAAGAGAGCTCAAGCATTGTTTCAGCTTGATTACGGTTTCCAGAGAGATTGTTTGCGAGAAGGGCATGCTGTTTCTTCTTCCCTTGCAGCCATCTTAACAAATAATCCAAAACACTGAATACTCTCTATAGAAAGGTAAGACCTTGGTTAGAAGAAATGTCGTTTCGAATAAGGTGATAGCTGAACTTACCTCGCTGCAAAGAAGAACATTTTCTCTCACACGAGTGCTACCCTCGGGTAAAGGATGAGATAGTACATGAATAAGTTCCTGGCGTACTTCTTCCTTGTGTTTCGAGGAACCATCTGCTGCAATACTTAAGACTGCGAAAGGTAATATGAAAGCAGCGATTGTGATGTCTTGGTCACGAATGATCCTGGTGAACACTCCAAAAATCATATTGGCATTGTACGTGGAAGACTTATGGAGCATATCCATGACAAAAGTACGTAGCCATTTTCCGTAGCTCATATCAGGCAAAAACAGCGGGTAGGTGCACTCTGTTTTCGGAGCACCTACGGTGATAGAGTATCTCGACGTCAGGAAAGGGGTCACAGTGTTCCTCACAATCTCAGGTAAATCTAGCCAGCGCCGGTGTTTGTTGTCCTTCTCAATGTCGTTTGAAGGTGCGGTAATCTCTGTTGTTATATCGCTGGAGCTCATAAGTGCCTGCATGCCATAAGCCAGAAAACTCTGGGCTCGAGTATTTGAAGCCGACAAAAATGCATCAACAAGGACATTTTGAAGAAAGAACATCGTGAAATCAAACGTCTCTTCTGCAATAGCAAAATTCGAAAGGACTACAATGTCTTTCTTCTCTTTTGTTATTTCAACCCTGTTAGGGTCCAAACATCCTATCAAACCAAGGGCACGTGCGGATAGTATGGCTATTTCGTCGGAGCCAGACTGAAACTTTAAACAACAATCGAGAAGGGTGCGTGTTAATTGTGCAACTCCACTGTTAGATTGATTGTTGACAAGCATTTTATGTAGAAGCCCGTTCTTATCATCCAGGAAGGAGACGAGCTCCTGCAGAGCTTGTTCGACGACAGTCAGACTCTCGCTTTGACAACGAACACTGAATGCTCCCAAACGCTCGCTGATATCCATAGAGCCCTTGATGTTGTTTATTTGAGCCTCAAACCGGGACATTTCAGGGATAGATAAAAGTGAGGGTAGAGTTTGAAAAATCTCCCGCAGTTGATAGCTATGATGTTGAAATAAATGATCCATGAGAATCAATGCCATCTGCTTACTGCCCTCCTGGATACTTTTCCAGTATCGGACTATGATTGCAATTGATTGATCAATAAGCGCCTCAACCTCATCAGGCTCAAGATAAGTAATGAGAATGCACCAGACAGAAAAGGCATGATCACACAACTCGTCAACCTCAAGAGAGGATCTGAGACAAGAACATATCTGTATGGGAATAGTCAGTCGTCCAGGAACACTTTGAATGTGGCAAAACAGAAATGACAACACAAACCTGTGGAATGGCTACGTTGACATGACCTCTAGCGAGTTTGATCATTTCTCCGATAGCTATGATATTGCGCTTCTTTTCTATAACCGAATAACGTATACGGACGTCATTCACGGTATCCGAAAATTCTGTTATGAGACCTAAGAGATGTTCCTCTATGAAAAGACCAACGTCGGGATATTTGTTTGAGTTGGACGTTCCGGATGATCTTTTAGTAGGTATAAGTTTAGCAAGGAGTCGAAGTGCACCGTCAAACTATATGCCTTTTAGTGTCCAGGCTACGAAGCTGAAGAGGGATATAACCAAACCTTCAAATCTTGATTGCCGCTAGCATCACCTATGTTCTTCAACAGCTCACGAGTGATAGGTATAGGTTCAGTTTTAAGCAACATTGTGACTGAGGTGCCTTTGAACTTGGGATCAACATCAACCAGAAGAGAATATATCATGCTCTCGTGATTTTGCTCTTGTTGACTCAGCAGATACGCAATAATCGAAGCGAAATTATTGCGTTCCATGCAAAGTTCAAAAGGGGACTTGGCGGGATAAGTTGCGGCAATCCTCATAATGATCTCCCGTCTGCCTGTGCGAACAAGATATGGTAATGTATGAACTTCAGTTAGTTGCAGGAAGCTGTCCACGGACATTCCTAACATGTCACATAGCTGCTCTGCCATGTGCGGGCGATTCCGTAGATTCTTAACCACAGTGACTGATAATGACCTCCAAAATGGGCGAAGCAGACCTGCTACTGTCGTGGACAATGCTTGTGATAACTTAAGAAGCTGCAGAATTCATTCAATTTTATGTACTTGGTGGGGACAGAGACCCTTACTCACCTCCGTGTAGGCCACAGCACAAATATAAGGATTCGTGTGTCCTAGATATTCAAGAAGACGGAGTAGGATAATATTCAACTCCTCATCCTCGGATACCCTGTTATAATCAGTTGGAAGTCTGCACTTCTCGTCTAGAGTTAGAATACTCACTCAGCCAATTTACATAGTGTTAGAATGCAAGTTTCCTGAGAGGGAATATCTGTTCGTTCCGAGACGCTTTTCAGGCATTCAAGGATGATCACAAAATTTTGCCGTCGTACTTGGGCATCTACAGCTTTGCGTAGAAAGCAAGGCAAGACATGTCTTCTTCGCAGTCAGATCTCATATGATCGGTAAATGGAATGAATGATGATACGTACCCGGCTGTGATTCGCAACTCCCTAGAAGTGGCTTTCAAACAGTGGAGGCACATTTCACCTATCTGTAAGGATTTAATCGACAGGTTTTTGGTCTCAGGGGCATGGTAGAGAAACCGCCTGGATGCAAGTAAAGACGCTATGCGCAACTGCGAACTACGTGAAATTGTCGGTAGGAAATTCAAAAGAAGGTCCCGGAACTCATTGGCTTCGCTACCATGCCAAGGTGCAAGATCATTCAAAACAGTATGTTCTGAGTCACAAGTTTGGCAATGAAAGGATATCGACGACATAGTTGTCATCGCCGGAGGCGAATTGTCATCTTTATGTGAAGCTGCAATACACGGGACTGTTGCGATTACGGCGAGAAATTCACATTTCTGCTGTTCTGGAATTTCTGTAAATACTCGTCTGAAAAACCGTCAGCATCTGATTTGTTTAAACACATACATAGCAAAAATTTACTTCGCGACATTAACTAGCTCACTGAGACTTTTCAAATCTTCAGATCCCAAAAGCTTAGAGGCTCTTCTCAAGTTTTGCTGGGTTAGACCGTCCTCGTTAGGTGTACTTTGGGGTTCTGAGAGTCGAATGCGCTTGTTGGCACGCTGGGTAAGGTCATCTACTTGAGACAAAAGAAAAGCAACATTTGGTAAGCGTACTGCTTTGACTTGTAGGAAGTGTTTAGTGTTTGACTTGCTCTTACCATCCGAAACTGCAGCAGTGTTTGGTTCCTCGTGCACGTCAAACAAGGCCTTTAATGAAGTCTGTGATTTTCAATTAAACCAACCGCTCCAAGGAAATTCCGGAAGGGTCGGGCAACGTACATGCAACGATGAAGAACTTTGGGTCTCGAGGTCGAAGATCCTAGGGACGAAAATTCCCTGTACATTCACCCTAGTTGCCGGTGAGACGTCTTGAAATTCTCTTAGACTTTCGAGGCAATATTGCAACGCCTTCTCAATTTGAGGTTCACCGCTAAGGATTGGATCTGAAAGAACTGTTGCTAGGCTTTCGCTGAATATTTTACTAGCTTGAGCATCCATATATTCAATTTTGTCTGCCTTTAACGACGTTCTCATCAGAAGGTGGTTAAAATAGAGACATTGAACCACAGGGTCTACAATAATTTGCCTCGAGACCGTTCCGCATCGTTTCATCATTGAGGAAAGGCATTTCCAAGCGCTAGCAGTCAGCCTAAGGGCAGCTGTGAAATCCTGTATAATACCTGCTGCCGAGAAACCATCGAGCCTCTCCTCTGCAGATGGAAGAAGGGCCTCAAGAATTTGGAATAACATATGCATGGCACGACTGAGGTCTCCAAGGTGAATTGTACTTTGGAACAGACGTCGTGATAAATTCAGCTTGGTCATTAGGTCCTTCTCCATAGAACTTCCTGCGCTAGGCAAGGTAATGTCCGACGATCCAGGCTTCACAATGTCAATGACCTCAAGGGATCTTATAATATCTAGAATGCATCGTAACCTTAGTAGACTATCAATCGTGATAGAAGGATATGGACCTACCAGCGGCTATAGCATTGAGAAGTATAGAAACGGAATTTCGAGGAACGAATGACGATCGAAACATATCATGCTGAAAGCGTGTGATCATTATAAAAAGTTCTCTGGTTTTAGCCTCTACTGCGTTGAGACGCACTTTGGCGCCAAGGTCAATCAGTCCAATAACCAGTCCTATATAAAACGGTAAAGGTGCATCTTGACTCGAAACCTGAGTCTCAAGATCTTTACCAAGGACTCTAGAAGAGCTCTCGATGAGAAGCTGAATAATATCCAGACAGTCTAAGAGGCGTTTCTCTGTCTCGATACCGGGAGGCTGATCTGCCGCTGGAGTCACTTTGAAAGCAACATCGAGTGCGACCGATATAAGTGTTTTTGTGTTCTTGACATCTTCAGTACCCCGAGAGGATGATGCGGGTCCCTTTTCAATCAGCTCCTTGCGGAGGTGAGAGATAGTACTAAACGCTTCTTGCGACACGCGGCTTGGAAGCAGACCGTTCAACACAGATGAGGGTGGTGCGTTTGCATTCTCCAAGTGTAAGCCTTGGAGCTTTGGTTCCTCGTCCCCTGCCATAATTCCCTTCTACTCACGTCCATGGAGGCTCTGCTTAAAAGGCATGAGACGAAGACGGAGAGAAACAGTATAAGATAAAGCAAAGAATTATGCTATAGAAGCGATGACAGGCAGACGGGCCCAATTGACGGTTGCGATAAATATCGAATTGGCTGTCTCTTCACCCGTCGCCCCATATGGGCAGGACGCGCCTGTAAGGCTGCAAGGTGTCGAGGAGCCCCACAGCCGTATTGTAATTACTGTACCGAATGCTGTAACTTATTATTACCGTTTCATGAATAAAACATCATCCTAAGAAATTCAATTCTATATCATTATTCTCATATGCACAATGTGTCCACAGAATACAAAATGTGGCTCCAAACAGGGTCCTGGCGATGTCACAACACAAGAACAGGAATATTTCATGAAACAAGCTCTTTTGATGGTATTCAGCCCTCTTCTTTCTGTCAACACCTGCTTGACTGACCTTGTGATCGCAGGGAGAAAAAGCTCTAGCAGGTGGCGAAACACCAGTAGGGTGTGTTTTAGTATTGCAAGGCAAAGTCATTGGCTCTGGGATGAACGACACAAATCGGTCAATGAATGTAAGGTCCAATGCAGATTTGCATAATTGACCAGAAAACCGCAGTCTGATAGAGACCTTCCAACTAGGGAACACGGCATGCGGAATTCCTTGCCATTGAAGAAGTGCTGCGAAGCTACCCGAGATCGATCTTCAGCAATGTCGACCTTTATGTGACAGTTGAGCCATGTGTGATGTGCGCCTCTCTCCTTAGACAGTATAACATTCGACGGGTTTTCTTTGGTTGCGCCAATGACAGATTTGGTGGCACAGGAGGCGTTTTATCTTTGCATTCAGAGTCAGTCATCTTTCACCTTGATATCCTTTTCCCGGCAAGTGTTCTCATTGCGTTAAACCTCAACAGTCCTAGTATAAATCCGCCTTATCCGGTATATGGAGGAATCTTTAAGAATGACGCCATAATGTTATTGCGCCGTTTTTATATTCAGGAAAACGAGAACGGTATTTATCCTTTCCTACAAACCAGCATACATATTCTACAATAAACCGTTGACTCCTCGAAATCTAGCACCTAATCCACGTCCAAAGCGGAACCGTGAATTGAATAGCGAGTTCACGGATGAAACATAAACGGAAGCTTGCCTCGGTGCTTTTAACAAGCAAAGAAAGTCATATTTTCAGGCCGTTCACAGACTCACTAGTGCCACCACCTAAATTGCGAAAGTGGAAACAATTCTCATGATTCTTCTGAAGTATTCATTGGAATATAGAAATACATACAACACCAGAAAATCTATGAAAACGCCAGAGATCCACTTTTCATGGACTGACTTCATTTGCCCAAGCGCTCTGCCTCAAGCTCTCTCTCGGCTTGCTGATAATATTTGGCCGTATCCACGCCGTGCTGATCCCATGGACGTTAGAATGAAACAGTGAAACTTTGAATGGTACAGAGACTTACATGGTCATGGTTGACAATGTTGAACCATGGAATGACATGGGCGAATAGGCCAGTGTATCGAGAATTGCGGGCTGCAACGCCTTGCATATATTCTGAAAGCTGTGATGTGCCGTAAAGTGGTTCCCCCTTCTTCACCTTATCAACCATCTCTCGCATATCCTTCTCAACCTCGCGCGAGTTTTCTGTGAAGCCGTAGAAGCGGTCTAGATGTAATAAGAGTTAGAATAGGTGACGCCCGCCAAAACAACACAATCAATCACATACTTGTAGATCGCTGATAGAAAATGTGTAGACCTCCAAGTAGACCAATTGCTGTTGCTAAGCGCATAACCGGCGCAAACCCTCCTTTACCGACATGAGAAGGGCTAAACTTTTCCATAGCCCAGAAGGCGATCGGGGAGGCAGCAGCCGCAGCACCGCCGACGACATAATCCGAAGGGCGAGCATAGCCAAAAACTCGTTTAATATGTCTAAATTAGAGAATTAGATATGTGTAGGCAGGTGTTGAAGGGGATTGTCCATCGTACGGATCGGAATCAATCAACTGCAAAGAACTTCGTTAGCAAGCAGAACGTGGGACTCGTGAGGCTTCGCAGCATTTTTAATGTACCGGATAGTCAGTCTTGACCCCCTTAGGAGGCACCACTGCCTTTGATGGTTCAATGGCCATTGTGTCAGCGACTCGCTGCTCCCGAAGTGCGGTTTGAGGTGTCGAGGACGTTGAAAGCGTCAGTTGACGGATGCTGAGGTGTGGTCGACGAGCCGGGGCGGGTGCATGGCGCCTATACCGCATTGGGTTAGATCAAGGGTGTTTCCTAATCGGGTTTAATGATTACCGGCTTGCCTCTGTCGCGTCCCGGACTGAGACGCGAGATGAAGACATTATTCAACGTTCAACGCACTCACGAGCACTCTTCATATAGTCTACTGACGATGTCTGACATTGACGATCTCTTCGATTATGACGCCGGACTTGACGAAGTCCTGAAAAACCTGCCGTCAGCTCCGAAGAATGATGCACCAAAGGAAAATAACAATGCCTCTGACGCGACTGCAGTGCTGGGTCTGGATGCAGACTTGAAAGTTAGCAAGCAAAGAGCTCCCATAGCCAAACTTGACGAGACTCGGTAAGGCACCATGAAAATCCCACAACAGAAGTTGGTCTTTGTGAGAATATCATCTTCTAATCGGGTTATCGAAACAGGCTACTTTCACAGAACGGGATTCCAAAATTGAGAAAAAACGCAAAATCTAAACTAAAATTCAAAGGGAAAGGCCACGAGGTTAGTTCAGTTCAAAGATTTTAGCTGACTCTTTCTCTCCCAATACCGAATGTGGAGTTGACTGTTCTTTGGTTCCTCAGTTTTCTGACTTGGGACGACTTCTTAATTTCTATCAATTATGGCTCGACGATTTATACCCTCGCGCGAAATTCGCAGACGGCCTTGCTATGATTGAAAAACTAGGTCATTCTAGACGAATGCAAATAATGCGGAGAGAATGGATTGACGAGGGACGGCCGAGCTTTCAAATTAGTAATGGCGATTCTGCGCCAACAGTCGCTGCACCTAGTGGACTGGAAGAGAGAGTACCAGATGTCAATGTACCAACAGACAATGCGCCACCGGATGATGACCTCGATATGTTGTTAGCTGAGGCTGATAATAGGGGCTCTGCACCGAAAATTAACCCACCCGGCGGGCCGGATGATAATATGCAAGCAGAAAATGATGTTCCGCCAGACGATGATCTCGATATGTTGCTAGCTGAGGCTGATAATGGGAGCTTTGCACAGAAAGTCAGCGACTCGGGGAACAATAATGTACTGCAGGATGACGATGACCTCGATATCCTTTTAGCTGAAGCTGAAACCCTCAACCAGGCCGGTACTTCTTAGCGACTTGAAACCAACATCGATCATAAACCCTCAATATAAATATCTTACAGAAGCAAAGTCTTGGCCTTTGAGAATCTTGATTCACTCTATTAAACAATCGCAGAGTGCCTTCTCAGAGTGATTATCAGTGCTCACAAGTTGCATAGCACTAATAAAATACTCGACATCATTGAATATAGCATCTCCGATTTGAAAAGAGTGACAGGACTACTGTCTGTTCAAACGCTGGCTACTCGACATGTCATAGCAGCTATCGAGAACCCCTTTGTTCTGTTGTAAGCTTGAATATTTTCAACTTGAACATGTGAAAGCAAATGAATATAGAACCCTCGTTTTGAGAGAGTTACTCTTGTAATTGAGGGAGAGCTTGTGGTGGGAAAAGATTGTTTATTGTCAGCTTCAGACGCGTGGGTCATCAGTTTTCTACTTAACAATATCGGTCTAATTTCTAGAAATCCACAAATCAAAGAAAAAGGGGGAACCTTTTTTGTATTTAGCGTTTCTTGTTCCAGTCTCCGATGGCTTGGTCGACCAGGTTTCGGTATTCCTTTTGCTTGTAGCACTGCTCAAGGAAAACCTTGTATTTGGCCTGAAGCAGGGCGATCTCGTGCTCGTCTGTCGTAGGAACGACTTTCCTGCCTGGCTTACTCATTTTGTCCATGATGGTCCACAGATCCTCAGTTTTGCCTTCACTGTCTGCACTAGCAGCCTTAGCACCAAGCATGGCAGCGCCGTGGCAGACAGCTGCTTGAATATAGCGAGGAATAAGAACGGGAATGTTGCAAGCGGACGCAATGAGCTTGACCAATATCTCGTTTTGACATTGAGATCCAGACATAAAAATCGAACTGATAGTGTGTCCAGCATCATTCATGGTCTCCACAATCTGTTTGGTCTGCAGTGCGATGAACTCCAAGGTGGCATAGTAAAAGATAGCTAGTCCGTCAACAGTTTCATCGCTGGAGAGCCCGACTACAGAACCTTTCATGCTTGGATCCGCTATGGGGGAGCGGTTTCCAAACAGGTCACCATAGAAGAAAAAGTGGCGGCCGAGGTAGGAAATACTAGGTGCCTTCTGATCTTCCATCATCTCTTTCAGATGCTCATTCAAATACTCATAGATGTTGGTATGGTATGACTCGGCAATGGAGATGGCTTGATTGAATGCAGGATGTGTCTCAATGACATGCCTGAGCAGTTCACCAGTTGCAGATTGTCCACCCTCCGCCATCCAGAACCCTGGGATAATTGTATCTCGATAGGGACCCCAAACACCGGGAACGAAGACTGGATCCGGTGACATAGCTAAATGGCACGTCGATGTTCCTGCAACAGCGGCCAGACGACTGAAGGCTTGAGAACGATCATTCGATGCGACGCCCGCGTCGATTTCGTCGCCCTCTAGGTTGACCTTGGCACCGACTGTACCGATCCACCCGGCATAAGCATCAATGACACCACTGCCAATTGCAATGCCCGGAGGAAGGCCAAGTTCCGCTGCAGCTTTTTCGCAAAGGGTACCAACGAGTTCGCCGGCACTCAAATAATCGCCATTCTACACCAAACGAAGCGAGTTAGTTCCCTTACTATTCAGAGACCAAGATAAAGCCACCGATCAATTCGGCAAATTAAATGAGAAAAGACAGTAAATGAAATAGGCTCACCACCCCGTCGACTCCTCCCATGCGCTTGTAATCCTCGTTCACGAGATCCTCCAAGCCAATTTCTTTGAGAAAATCATCCTGCCAGCCCTTGACGCTCCCGTCAACTCCGACTGGAACATATCCCTGCTTACAAACGACGCTGCAATAGCTACGTTTCTCATTTCCAGTGGCGATATGGGTCAAAGCATCCGCAAGATCGTAGAACTTGCACTTCTCAAAGAGTTCCTTGGGCATGTTATTTTTCAGCCACAGCACTTTTGGGACCTCCATCTCAATGGACATCTGGCCACCAACATAGCGAAGCAAGTTGTGATTGGTCGCGTTGATCTTGTCAGTCTCATCAACGGGGCGGTGATCCAACCAGAGAATCACATTGCGGTCAGTGTCAAAGTTTGGTCCCGTCACTGAAACAGGCTCATCGGTGTCAGTCGAGAACACGGCCAGAGAGCAGGTAGCATCAAAGCCAATGCCGCGAATGTAAGATGGATTGATGTTGTGCTGGCTCACAGCGCGCTGCACTGAGATACAAATACAACGCCAAATATCAGACGTGGATTGCTCCTATAATGGGACGAATTATTACCAGTCAACGTGGTTAGTTTTCCCAAATCTGCCATGATTCAATCCAGTAACATACGTAGTAGCCTTGCTGGGGCTGCCACAGCCCAATGTTCTCAGAGGCCAGTCCGACAATGTCGCCTTTATCATTGATGATACAAGCACGGGCACTGCCAGTTCCAACATCGATACCAATGTAGTAATCCATCTGGGCTTGGACAGCTTCTCGGTCGTCTGTTGAGGCCTGTCGAGACGTCTGTCGCGACGGGCGACGGTAAGGTAGCGAAGACGAAGCCATGGTCTTTTGATGTCTTGTAGGGGTGGCACAGGTCCACGTCAACCGTAATACCACAGGTGGTTCTAATTGCAAGTGACAGCTGAGAGAATGGCAGGCGTCACAGGGTGGTTGGGTTGATAACGGAACAATTGGGAGGGGGGACAATTGAAGCGAAGAAACTAGGTTACACCACGCTGCTGGAACCTGACCGGCAAATATAACATCACTGGCTGATTTTGCGAGAGAAAAGCGAAGCAGAAAAAGAAAAAGCAACGAAGAGCCAGACAGAGCAGGCAGTCTAGGCTCAAAAGGTCAGTGAGTGTCGCAGTCGGTGTGCACCTGCCGTGTGGGGAAGCAACGCTGCTTCCTGCGTCATCGGCCTTCGTATAGTTAGTCGCTGCATAATTACCAGCTGCTAGTAATTGGCCGGTATTTGCAAACGCCTTTTCGCGGCTGTCTGTAACACCTGGCGGGCCTTTTCTGGTCTTGGCGGGTTTGCAAATTACCGGAGGCCACCGTCTAGCGAGTTTGACGGAGATTGATTCATCACGTGACCCTATTCCTGCCGTATGCGGTATAGTCAGCCCCCCCAAGCGCTATCTCCGATTTTATATTGATCCGCGTTTCCCTAAATAAATAATCAGTTGAATTGCTAGAATCAATGCGGCCAAGATGCGCGACCTCCTCACCTCGATCTTGTTTCTCTTGAGTCTATGCGTCTGCTATATCCAATGCCAATCGACCGATAGTAATGCGCTCCCCAAATCCGCCGACATTTATCATTGGGCCCTGGACCTCCCGCAGCCCTCACTCCTTGCGAAGATAGCGTATAACCCCGAAACGCTCGAAAGCAAAGTCCTCTCATACACTCCTCCTTCTGATTCCACACGCGACGGCGAGACAGAGAATCTCTACAGAATAGGGTTCTTCACAACTGCGGCAGACGGCTCGAAAAAATGGGTTGGAAGTCTGGTTTCTCACTCTGCCTTGGGCACGCTGCAAAAGCAGAAGAATGATAATAATAAGAACAACAAGAATGTGCTTCAGCTATACCTCAGCAAGTCACATCAACATGATTTGTATCATGTATCTCTGTCGAAGAGTTCCTCAGCCAAGTCCTCGGAATCTATTGGTGTAGAGCTTGTATATCCAGACGCCGGCCCACTCCCCGAGCTAAACAAACCTGTTGTGCTCAGTCCGGATGGCACGAATACCGAAGAAGTCGTCGAAAAGACTTTCTTTCAAAAGTATGTCTCTAAAATACCCTTCTCCATTCCTTTACATAGTTAAGCTATAATCACTTATACGTTCTATTTTGTCTAGGTACTGGTGGGCAGTTTTGATAGTAGCGCTTTTGGCAATTTCGGGAGGCGGAGGTGAAGGACAATGAGATTAGGTTGTGGTGATCAGGAGACATGCCATTGGCATTTATGACGTGAATATTGCAAGCCGAATGCATTTCCTTTCAAGTGACATGGAGATAGGTGGTAGAGATTATGCGTAGCAGCTTTATATCTGCGTCTTCTCGTATTCGGAGTGAATTTGTAGAAATGGCGGATATTTGGGCGACATTCCTTAAACCAGCCATAACATTACCTCCCTGTTCACTAACTAGTGTGATGAACCCTGCACTTGGTCAATATCCAGGTTTGAGACAATCCGTCTCTGTCGTGCATGCGACCCCAAATCCCACGTCCTCAACCCTCGATCCGTCAATACCATGATAGTATTCTCATCGATAAACATGACCTTGAAACAAACCGCCTCCTGTCGTATCATCAACGGAGGCAGACTAATCAGCTCAGTCTCTTCGGGACACCAAGCGTCCGGATAATAGTCGCTTGAAACGCCCTGGATCACTTCCTCCGGTCTCAGGGACCAGACGTACAGTATGTCCCAATCCAAGATCGCAATGCGAGTGCTTTGGGGGGATACGGTAAAAATATGACCCAGCGAGCTTGTTGGGTACGGATAATTGCAGAGACGTGCAACAAATTCCCAGTCCCTAAGGCGTCGACCCCTGTCTAGGTTAACTGTGTGTTGGCAATGTGCTGCCTGACATACAGCTTGCGATTTCAGCAGATATGCCATCGCAGCACCGTTAGGAGGGTTATCAACCGTTCCGTAGGAGAGGTAGGTCCAGCGGCATACTTGAATGCCATACTGATTTTGGTACGATTCATGCGTAGCGAAAAAGGGAATGTCTACGGCCAAGGTGAGTCTGTCATTATGGTATTGAACCCGAACATAATTTTTGTGTGCTTCGACCGCCTCAATCTTGTGCGCGTTATACGGATCAGTGTGAAAATCATGGTAATATCCGTATATCGAACCGCCTTTATGAGTATAAAGCAATTGGTCATGGTTGTTGAACTTGAGGCTTGCTACTGGCCCCAAACTTGTAAATCCGCGATGATTGGCAACCTGGTTATCTCTCAATATCAAGCCTGTCTCGTCCACAAATCTCGTTTGTGTGTATTTTGAGTCTGTCTCCCCTTGTTAGAAAAGTCATGAAGCCAAGGTGTAGTTCAGATGCGGAGGACATACAGAGAATTATATCTTCACATTCATCGGGCGAGGTTCTGTATACGATGACCTCATGCGCCCCGGTTCCTGTGATCTCCTCCCATGATATGGCAAAATTAAAGAAATCATCAACTGCCAAGGAATTCACTTTGAAATTGTCATGTTCATATATCCTGCATATATTTATGTCGTAATCCGAAGAACCAAAGGAATCACCTCCAATCACAAAGGAAAGTAGGAAATAACTTCCTTGAAGTTGCCATTGCTGCGCTAGCTCGGCAAAAGCAGGAGATACTTTGCTAGTATCTGGCTGTGTTACTGTATCAGAATCCTGGATTCGAACGAGGACAGCCAATAGATCGTAATCCGGGCCAGGAGAGACCACAGTCTTGACAATTCTGACTCGGTCAACATTCAGTAGTTCCGATGGGAAAAATGTTTTCTCAACATGCATCGTCCCATTTCCCTCTGCACGACAAAGGTGAACCTTGTTGTTATCTTCTTTGAAAACCAAGGCCGCGAATTGGTGAGACGGGGTACGGCCAAGCGAGGAGGCTTGAATATCAATGGTTCTGCCGCTGAAAGTATGTATTGTGCGGTCAGCATCAAAAGCTGCATTGAGTAACTGCTCAAAAGTGCGTCTTCGAAGGAGCAAAAACAGATCATGTGTGACTAATTGGTCATAGTCTATTCCTTTGCCTGGGTTTATTTTCAAGTGATGTAAAATGACTTCTCGACAAGACGCAGCGATGTTGTAAAGAGAATGGCAGCTCAGAACAGCTTGTAAGTATGATTGAGTATTGCAGTGTTTTAGAATGAGCTGTATGAGCTCCGTTGGAAGTTGAAGGAGCATGGTGTAGCTGGTAGTTGGGATGGTTCCTGTCTTCCGTCTTGACGTCGAATTCTAGAATGAAGGTTCTTAAAAGTTGAAAGTTCGGTGCAGCGCATGCCGGGCTCAGAAAAAGGCTACGGAGTTATTCAACTCGTTATATTGCACTCTTGTAATGAACCTGGTTGGTGATGCTGCTTGTCTGGTTATGAAGGCAATTCGGTAGAGCCGAAGTTTGAAGTCACGCCTATGTTGCCTAAATAATGCCCCAGGCACCAGCGCCGGTGCCTATCCGTTCAATGTCACGCAACAAGATGATAAACAATGAAAACGACGATCTACTTGAAATCTTTAAGGAATATGGATCTGGTGGGAAGTCAATTCAAATTTATCCCACTATACCGTATAGACATGTCTAGATTGCTTTCCAAGAACAAGGGTATCATCTAATGCTGGTAATTATATAGACCTATATGGAATGCTCATGAATTCCCAGCCTCCTGTTCATCAATGTGTGCAACAGCCCACTCCAAAATAGTTTCGTAGCAGAGCACAAATTGGCTCAGATTTTGAACCATGCTTGGACGCTGCGTTCGGAAATCCTCAACTGTTTTGGCAACTAAATCCACTGAGTCATCGAACATCCATTTCTCGTCATTAGTTATTTCGCGAGCTGTCTTCCGCATCAACCGCTGCTGCTTTAGCATATCCAACACGCTGTCGACAGTACAGAAAGTGCCTGTTCGACCACATCCGGCACTGCAATGAACCACGACAGGCCTGGAATCGGGAGGCTCAACATCCTCATCGCTTAGATGAAGTCCACTGCTACTTCGAGTGATTTTATTACACTGTTCCACAAGCTTCAGTAAGTGAGCGGGTTGAGATGTCGTCCCAAAATCTGGCCAATAGGAATATTGAAGTTGGGTGATTTCTCGAATAGGCTGAAAGGGATAAGCAGCGTGCGAGAGAGTAAAATGCCGGACAAAGATGAAAGGCCGTTCATCTCCTGCATTGTAAAGACCCTCTGAAGACATGCTTTTTCCAGACACCGAAGGCATTCGCAGTGATTGGACATTTTGTTGAGAGTCATCAGTGGCCTCGGCCGTTTTTGGGTCCATATACACACGCCTTTCTCCAAGAGGTTTAACCTTGAATGGACCGTAACTGCTCTTATTCCAATACGGATGGCATTTAATCTGTCCTCGCTCAACTTCAGCTGTAAGAGCTACGATCACGCGGACATCTTGCTCCCAAATAACACGCCAAAAATCCTAAAACAAGACAGTCAGTTTTGAATTTGGGCAAGATAAGAATCACGAAAGATAAAGTAAAAGTCTCATGGGAAGTACTCACGTCAAACGTATCTGGAATAGGAGCTTGAGTGGCAATATAACTCTTGTTGGTAAGCTTAGCTTTTAGATAATTACCATTCACATAATCGCAGTCGCCGGTAGGAATATCCTGAAGCCGAACTCGAGTGTGATCGAAGGGATAAATATCGTTGTACCTATTTTTTGAGCCCTTCTCAATTCCGGCAACGCGAAATTTAGTGGAGGACGTTTCATTGTAATTGGCTTTAGGACTCAGTGCTTCCCGCATGCGATGAAGCTCGCGCTCTTCAATATTCAAGAATTTTTGTGAGACGTTATGTCCTTTATCTTCGTGAGCCGACGCGGTGCGAAGCCACGATGGTAGACTTCTATTCCGACTAGGCGTCAGACCATCTGGAAGTTTGACTGGAATCTGTCCAACGCCGCCGACCAAGTCCATATTCTGTCTAATGTTGCCAAAGAAGGGTTCGCTGGCGGGAACTTCTGGCAACGAACAACCTCCAGCTACTGGAACGGTAGATGGGAGGTTTAGGCTCATTGGTCGAGGTTGCATATTTGAAGTGTTGGCTTTACCTCGACGTTGCTGTCGAACACGGTTTGGAAATCGGCTGGCAAAAGCCGCAAACCCTCCACGCAGTATTTTTGCTTCGCCTAGCCAGCCCTCCACCTTAAATTTTTTAAGAACATTTATGAGTTGTGTGGCGTCTCGCGGCTGCTCGGTATTTGAATCGTATACTATAATATATGTGCACTCCTTCCAAGACGAAAATTTGCTCTTTTCATGCTCGTTGGCGAACGTATCCGTGAGTTTGTCCGTGTTGAAAGAAGGCCTTTTAAGAAGCGTCGTAGGTATACAGAGATTGAGACTCTCCATGATATTTGCTTGGGAAAATTGGGGATACGGCCTGACATCAAGTAGCAAAGTTGTTTGAGATACTGTCTGAAGTAACTGTTCACACGTCTCAGCCGAGATAAAACTGATCGGCACTTGTTCCAAAGCCGTTGGAAGTGTATCTGCACGACGGTGGTCGCTTTTGTTTCGATTTGGTGATGGGGTATGTGTGGCAGCCGGTGGCAAAGACAGACTAGGACGGGGGATGGGGCTCGAATTAGTCGATTGATATGTGGCGGGAGAATATGTTTTCGGAAGCTCAAGGTTCATGCCCAGATTGGTAAATGGTCCTCTCCGTGAGGTGCCTACAGAGCCAGGATATTCGTCAATTTCCATGCCAGTTTCCTGTGATTTAGATCCACCACCTTGGTTGACTGTTCTTCCTGGCAAAAAGGGCGCATCTCGATTTGACTCTGAACCCGTCGGGGGAACATCAGTAGTGTGATCTCCAATGCGAGAGGGATCTTGCTGAACCACTTGAGATTCGGATCCTACCAGGCTAAGGATATGCTTCTGCACTGGATTCGGTGATACCCTGTGCAGCCTTGGACTGGGGAGTGAGGAATATGGCTGTGTCAACGTATCCCAGTTCCTTTTTGTGTGGGGCCCTGGGTTCGATCCAGGCGGATTGCTGGTATTGTCCACAGGAAGACCGAAGTAATTAGTACTTGTCGCTGATCCGCCAGAACCAACTCCATCTGAAGAATCCCGGGGGAACAAAAACGGAGATGCCATGGGGCCGTTGAGAGCTGACGATTGCATTGGCAGAGTAGCCGAGGAGTTCAAGATAGCACCTAGTTGCCGGGAATGATGGTCTGTTCCCCAGGGGGATGAGGAGGGCGACTGCCTAGTTGTTGAACTCTGCATGCTGTGATTTTCAAAATAGGCGACTCTTCAATTGTACAGCCGATGGCAGCACGCATCCATTTCGCGATTCAAGCAAAGATTGGCTATCATACAGTCGAGAGCATTCTTAACGCGATGATCCAATATAGTAGTGTATCAGACCCGCACAAAGCGAGCCGAGAAAAGGACGTATCCCTTCGCTAGACGAAAACTGAACAGGATGGATGATGATGAAAACATATACCGGAGTAGCGATTGTCAAGGATAGGCGGAACGGTTTGAAGCACGGTCAACTGGGGGAATGCAGCCAAGAGATGAACAGAACGAGTGTTGGCGATGTACCCACGTCAGTCAGTCGGTCAGTCAGTCGAAAACACCGGTGGATCACGTATGTTCTCTTCCAAAGGCAGCGAGGTGGGGGCTTCTGATATCACAGATCAGCAGGTTGTCAGTAGGCGCAACCCCTCTAGTTTTCCATGGGACGGACGCCAATGGAATGAGGCAGAAGAGGAGGAGGGGAGGACGAAGGACGAAGGACGAGGACGAGATGTGGTGATGGCTGGGCCCGAGTCGGAGGAACATGACGTAGGGAAGACCCGTCTGGACTGCCTCAGGAACCAACGAGAGCGCCCGCGGTGGCGATGAGTGACGGCAGAAAATTTCCTCGCTTGCATCATTAGCTAAAGCAACCTTATAGTTAGAAGCCTAGATGCACGCTGTGCTATACCCCCCCCTTTTTTTAATATATACATATAAAGACGTCGGCAAAGCATTTATGAAAGGGCTTGCTCGGGATTATATCAATTGGCTTGCTAGTGAACCAGGGAAGAGACTTTGTAATATCTATATTCAAGCATTGTGTATAGTCTGGTCAACCTTGGAGCATTGTAAACGTGAGCTGGAAATAGATAGAATCAAGGCTGTATATTAACGATTTGCCTTCAATCAATGCTGCCTGAGAAGAGGGAGACACCCTGTTCATGATCTGGTATCAAAACGAATTTCAAGGGCCCCCCTATAACTTCGAGAAGAATCATACTCATCAGGGTCAATGAAAAGTGCGCAGAGTTTCTTGCATACTACCTTAAGAAATGGACTCTCAGAGGTTTCCCAAGGGATTTTGTTGCCACCAAACATCCCAATCTTATCTCACTTTCATGGTGTAGGCCGCATTGAGTAAGTGATCTTGCACTGCGACTCCTGATTGCCAGATTAGGAAGTGCGGTGACAGCCAGCCAACACGGCACGGGTTAGAGCAACTGGACCAACAACGAAATGACTTGCTTTAACTGCTATGATATGGTGATCAGCCTTCAGCCTTTGCATGTGGGAGCCACTGGAAACGGCCATGCAATGTGACTATGGCCAAAGCCATGATGGTATCTACAACGTAAGTCTTTCTACCGTTAACAGAAAATGTCTATCTGTAGTCTTCTAGTAACACTGGACCTCAAGATCCAATCATCGTGGCAGGAGAGTCCACCGTGAACGAGAGTGCCACTGTATCATATATACTGCCGATTCTCAGATCAATTGTAAAAACCTCAAATGCGTGCTTATTCCTGAAGCCATCCTGCCTCTACTCAGCGAATCGTGGTAAAATCTTTAGACGGTGTATAGATTTCTTATAAGACCTGAGGGCTTCTAGCTGGCACACCAAGGAGGGTAAACTCGTCGTAGGCTTCGTAATAAAGTAATGTACATCGGAATCAAGGAAATCGGAACGATGGTGACCTGCATCATAATCGCCCATCTGGTTCTCCCTTAAATCGCTTGACTCTGGTCTGTTCCCAGTCGTCGAGATCCTTCGCCATGAGCCTCTAGAGACCCCAGTAAGTATTTAACCAATTGACGAATGGACGCGCAAGTAACTTACGTAGTATTCATCCCTATCACTGCCGACGATATGTCTCCGAGGATTTCGCTTAATCGTTTCCTCGCCATCCTCGCCCTTCAGGCCCAGTGTCATGGCTTCCTCCTGGTTGAGCTGGCGGACTTTCCGATCATGTCGTTCATACCGCAAGGCCGTGGCCGGAGTGAGCACAAAGGAGGCGGCAACGATAACTGTAATGAAGGGAAGACCGAAGAGGAGGAAAGGGTGCCTTGGTAGCCTGGATCTGTAAATCGTTCCGAGTCGTTCTCCGAGTGAGGACGACGCTGTGGTAGCTCGCCGGAACGTCCTTGAATCAAACGCCGGCATTGAGAGATGTAGATAGCACGCTTGCAGGTCAAGTCTCGTGTCGCTTGTTGTTCGGGTTCGCAGACGATGAGGCTTGGAGAGGAAGCTTGACTGAAGTAGTTGGAGCGTTTTTGGTATTGTGGGGCAGGCACAGCTTGCCGCTTTGTTTCTCTCCAGTTCGGGAACCAGCAAGCACAACTCAGCTCTTCTCCTCACCAGAGCTTTCTTTCGTTGCTGTCTTCTTGGGCCTTGCCAATGAAGGCTATGAGTGTCAGGACTACGCGATAGGCCACTTGTTTTCCGAGTTTCGCGGAGGAATCGAAAAATTGGCGGGCGTCTTTGCCTTCCCTCGGCCAGCAAAAAAGAATCATTCGCCCTGTTTTCACCACCGTAAAGCTTGACCAGCGATCATGGCGTCAGGCGCATTCGGTGCATCTTTTTTCAAACCAGCCGCATCGTCAGGCGCTGCACAGTCTAACCCAGCCAGCACGTCGGGTTGGTTCACTGCCAGCCAACAACAGCAGGAGACGGGACAGAGTCAACAGCCGTCGTTGGCACAGTCCACGCAAGCTCCCCAAGCTACACAACCTGCATTCTTCAACAGCCTGTTGGAAAGGGGCAAAAAACGGCCCTTTGCTTCCACTTCGCAGGACCACAGTTATGGAGAGCTGCCAAGTCTTCAGTTGGGCCTCGATGATATTCGCAGAAAGGCGAGGGAGCTCGGTGCCCAAGATTCAAAAGCCACGCGTCAAGCTGGTCGAGACCAAAAGGCGTGAGTAACAACTAGAGCAATACGAGTGCTATGGATGGGTTACTGACAATGGAATCTTTTTGCATAGCCATTATCTCCTTGCGGCATCTGGGATATCTCCGGGCCATGCATTGCGCGACCTGAAAGCTCTTGACGTTCAAACCTCGACTCCTAGTCCGTTCAAACAGGCCGATGACTTCGATCCCGACAATGAGAAATTCATGAGAAGCGTCCAACGCCGCGGCCGACAAGCCATGGTAGCAGAGAGCCTTGCTCGAGTCCATCGAGACTTCGACTCATTTTTGGAGGAGAAAGTCAGCATGAACTGGGACGAACAACGCCGCAAGATCTTTCAGCATTTTGGTCTTTCATCTCGAGATGATCTGGCAGGTGGTGAGAGCTTCAATCGGGGTTCCTTCGGTCGCACTTCTACACACACTAAGCTGCCTGGCCCGTCTGGCACTCGAAGTGTCTTCGGACGCTCCGCTCTGGAGAAATCTGTAATTGGGCAACCTGGAAACGTTCTTGCGAGCTCACAACTATTCGCAGACCACGGTGATAGGGGTGAGGCAGCAGCTCAGAACCCTGATACTCGGTTCATGCGTGAGAAGATGGGTCTTTTTGTCAAAAAGGTTGGCGATCTCAATGCAGCAAGACTCGAAGACAAACCGTACCCTATTCTCCACGAATTCGCGGAAGTGGAAGACCATCCTGGTGGTGATGTATGCCCACTATATCCCAACGCTAAATTGTGCAGGCCGACTGACAGTTATAGGTGCCGCGACATCTATCGGGAGCATACCATGCTTTGATATCCATTACCGGAGAAGCACGTAACGCATCCAGCTTTAGTGAATCTGGCGCATCAAAGGAGAGGGTGTTTGCCAACGATTATCTGAATGAAGTTTCTACTTCCAAGGGCGCTACAAGCATGAGGAAAAGAATTGTAGAAGGTTCAAGAGTATACTTGGAACAGTTGTTTTATTCAGAAGTCGAGGCCGCGATTGCTAAGAACCCACGTGAAGCACAACTTGGAGGAATCCCGTCCACCATCAACAGGATTCGTGCCTACATTCGCCTTCGTGCTGCAAGAAAAGACCTTGCCCCAGACGGGACGGAGTTGCAGATTGTTGGTGATGACTACTGTTGGATACTGATCTTCTTCCTTCTCCGGTGCGGCTTCGTGACCGAGGCTGCCGAGTATGTCAGTTCAGATCCAGGTTTTCGGTCACTTGACCACAAATTCGTCACGTATATGACTACATATGCGCAAAGCAGGAGATTACCCAGAGACCTGCAACAAAAGATAAACGGAGAATATCAACAGCGCTTGCGAAATGCGCCGGAGAATACAATTGATCCTTACCGGATGGCCTGCTACAAGATAATTGGTCGATGCGACCTGGGTCGCAGGCGCCTGGACGGGGTCGGACAGGGTGTGGAGGACTGGATGTGGCTACAGTTCGTTTTAGCTAGAGAAGATGACCGTGTCGAAGAGTTCGCAGGGAATGTGTTTGGCCTCGAAGACATTCAAACCGACATTACGGAGATTGGCCAAAGGGTGTTTGCAAAGGGCCAAGACACGCCAGGAGGCTATGGAACCTTCTTTCTTCTTCAAATTCTAGGTGGCATGTTTGAACAGGCGATCTCCTATCTTGGATCTCATGCTTCAGTTAGTGCCGTGCATTTTGCTATTGCACTAGACTATTACGGACTTTTACGCGTTGCGGACTTTTACACTGGTGGCGAAGATGTTTGTGAGTATCTGAAAAAAGAAAAAAAACAAAAAAAAAGTCCCCAAATTGATAGCAAACGTACTGACCATTGAATTCCTAAGTGTCATTCACAACAAAGCAATTCCCACAGATCAATTTCGCCTATCTAATCACCCAGTATACCCGTGAATTTAGGACCGGTAACGTCGAAGCGACTATCGACTACTTTTCTCTCATCTGCCTGAATGCTGACCTCCCCGGGTCGCTCGGGAAATCGCAAGCCTCTGTCTGTCATGAAGCCCTGCGGGAGTTTATCTTGGAAACAAGAGACTTTGCAAAGCTCCTGGGTGACATTCGCTCGGACGGCGTGAGGATTAAGGGGGCCATCGAACGCCGCCTAAAACTTATTAAACTTGTTGACCAAGACGAATTTTTAAGGACTATTACTGTGCAAGCTGCAACCGTCGCAGACGATAAGGGCTTAACTGCCGACGCTGTGCTTCTGTTCCACCTCGGAGAAGACTATGACCGTGTTATCGAAATCATCAATCGAGCTCTATCAGATACCGTTGCGCTGGATCTAGGCCAGTCCGTTTCGGATTTCCAACCTCTGAAACCCAGAATAGAACCCGGTGTTTCTGGTGCGGGTGCTGCAGAACCTGGCAGTAGTCTGAGTCTGACAACTGTCGACGATCCCGTGGATTTGGCTAGGAACATGATTAGTCTTTACAACAGTAATGCACTATATTATCAGAAGATCCGCCAGATCAACCGCGATGCGTGCGGACTGTTGCTTCGGATGTTGGACGCGAAGGGGCAAGTCGAAGTTGGTAACTGGGCACCAGCTTTAGATGTAAGTCTTTTATACCCATACACAGGTGTTTTGATCTCTTATACTAATCATTGGACAACACCAACAAAGGCAATCAACAATTTACAGATTCTACCTCTCCGCGCCAAAGGATCAGTTCCATATGTCCGCAACGCCTCTCAATCATTTGCATCATTGCCCAGCGTCATCTCTCGTAACATCGGCCACCTGATCATTTGGAGCATAACATGCATTGGTCGCGAACGGGAACGACTCTACTCAGGCGCATATGAGAACGAGATTCGTCAAGCATTGGCTGATGATTTGTTGATCATGGCCAAAGACCTGATGTTATTTGCAGGCATGATCAAGTACAAATTGCCGCCGAGGGTATATGAGACATTGGCTCGTGCAGGTGCTGAGATTGGGGCGTTTTGAGTAGCATGCTTGCATAAAAGATAAGAGAGAGAAAAGACAAAAGACATCAAGATGAGAACAGTCACTGATTCTTTTGTTGGTTTGTGGACAGCGGAATTATCTCCCATTTCTGGAATGTTTGTATGTGATTGTTTTGTACCTACCTAGGTCATAGTTATATCTATTCTAGTCGATTTGGGTACCGATTTAATTCTCTCGATACAAAGGCCAAGAGCTTTATTCGCAAAGGAGCACGTAGGTTCGTTCGGACACCAGTAACTGATGTCTATAACTAGCAGTGCTACGTGGAGATGAATGCATATACGTATAATCTAATTGATCCTTCTAGCGACCTCGAGCAGAACACTGTCTATGCTGCTTTTCACGTAAGAACTGAGACAGCATGCCTCACATGGAGTACCGGAAGTTAGGGTTCTGCATGTCAGTCATGTCTTCCTGAGCCAGTTCCCAACCCTGCTGTACTCGTTCCTCCTCCGACAGTCCAGACTCTGCCGCCAAACGGTCCCGCCGCCTGTTCTCGTACATGTACCAGAACCGCCAGAGCAGGATTGCAAGGGCCTGCAGTCCAAAGCAGACGGAGCATGCCACCGTTCCGGAAACATAGCGTGGCGCGTCCTTGGTTTGGAACACCTGGGCGCCGCCCATGTTTCCCACACAGTATGCGATAAGAGTCATGGAGGAGACTACGGTCGTTTTTGTTTTGCCGGCCACGTTGGAAGGGACTATTCAATTGGTGAGATAAATCACAAGCGAGGGAGGAGGCTGCGGGGGAAGAAACGTACTGAGACTCCATCCGAGGAAGATGGACAGCGAAAACACCACAGTCATCATGTACATTCCCCATTTGATCCACTTGTATTCTGCCGTGTCGGGCAGCAGGGACATGACCAGCAAGCCAGCGAAGGGAATGATACAGGACGCAATCATCACCCACATGCGCTGGTTCCTCACTTTTTGCGTATACAAGCCGACCACGAGGAAGACCACCACGTAAACGGCTATGATTGCTTGGGGTTAGCTGGGGCAAGAAACGCCATGGATTTTTCGAGGAGGTGGTAGATATTACCATTGCGAGGGCACCCATAAAGCATGGACTCCCACTCGTCAAAGCCGAAAGTCTCGTACATGAGAGAGCTGAACGTTGTAATGCCACTGAAAGAGGTGTCAGTAGATTCCAACGTACGCGTGGGCGAAGAAATACACACCCGTTTGGAATGTTGGCAAGGAACGAGTTGACGAAGGAAAAGTACAGTTGGGGGTCTCTGAACGCTTCCCAGACTTGGGGCCACGACCATTTCTTGCCTACTGTGTCCTCGCCGACGTGGTTTGCGATGGTACGTGCTGTACTATTTGCCATCTCATTAGCTCAAAGATCCAACAGCCGCGTGAAAGCGATGAGACAGTTACGCCATGATTTTCTCGTCTTCAGTCAACCAGCGAACCTCATGCGGCGTGCCGAGGATGAAATAGCAAGCAATAGCACCACACAGAGTCAGTGAGCCCAGAAAAAGCGAAATGCAGCGCCAGGCAGCAATACCACCGACAGCCTCTACGTGCCGTGCAATACCGTACAGGATGAGGTTGCAGACGATGGAAAAGAAACCTTCGGACGACTGCCAGAAGAGCGAGCGGTTGGCGTGCTCTTCCGTACGGTACCACATGCCAGTCACCAGCAAAAACCCTGGAGATATGTTGCTTTCAAAAAAGCCTTGAAGCGCGCGGAGGGCCATGAGCTGAGACCAGTTTTGCACGGCACTGATGCAGATTAGACAGATACCTGGACCTCGGTATTAGTTTCGACGCCATAATCTCGAAGATGGCATATTTATTGACTGGCTCACCCCATCCAGTCATATAAATGGACAGAGAAAGTCCGACCTTCCAACGCTGCAGCAGGTAGTTGGATGGAAATTCACCAATCAAGTACGTTAGGTAGAATCTCGGAGCTGTCAGTCCACGGGAGGTTTAGGGTTATGATCCAGGGGTGGCTGGCATACATGGTAGTCAACCATTGATATTGCTGGCCGTGCAGTCCTAGATCCGTCTCCATTCCAAAAAGCTCAATGACAGTCAGGCTCATGGGTTCATTGATGAACAGAATTGCTCGTTCTTACTGCTTGCAAGCTGGTCGAAGTTTTATCGGTCTGCTGGATGCCATAGCAAAAGAACCTGTTCGGCCCATCTCAGCAATACATCCTCCAGCCAACGAACAAGGAACGGGACACCAACATCATCGGAAGCAGGAAGCGGTCAATTTTCCTGGTCAGCTTCTTGTACTGCTCCTCCGAGTAGCCTGCAAACAGTTTTCCCATGAGCACACACGATCATTATCACCAGAACGGACGGCTATGTACTGGCTCACCGTTCAACATGATTATCTGACCGGCTTCAGTCCGGGGTTTGTCTTGCAAGCAGATTTCATATTTTTTCTCTGGCTGCTCAATATCTGGCTGTTGATTGTTGTTTGAAACGTTGACGGCCGCCGACATAGTTAGTAGTGAGGTCTCTTGTGATAATGTACTCTCTCCGAAGTGTATGTAGATGGACGGATTAGCATGGGAAATCAGGGCTTGGACGGGGAGGCCGTATGTCTTATGCATTTGTCCTTCGCCGTCCTCAGAGAATCCACCATACATAATCTCGACGATATACTGGCGATAGTAACATCCAGGCGATAAGCCTGTTGGAGATCGGCCCAATGCGAGCTGGATAAGCCTCCCCACCGCGGGTCGCCGACGCTTACAGGAACTAACGCGTTGATTCGATGTCTGACTCTATCTAGCAATTTTCACTTTGTCGTCCATCGTGGCATGCATGTGTGCGAAGGCGCTCGCACACATGCCAGGTAGACTTCATACTTGGTTGGTTATGTAAATAGATACAAGCATGCAGAGCTACTCATTGGGTATGTCGGTAGAAGTATACCCTGGCGGGATTTCCTATTCAGTAAATCCATGATTTAAAGGTTCATTTACCTGGGCCAAGTGTGATCTATGTATTGTTCTAAAACGTAGCATTCCTGTTTGCTTGATTAACGCTACTTTGCAGCATCAGTAAACGACTCCATTTCGAAGCTGATGTTATGTCAGAGCAAGACCCCCTTTTCCCAGACCGAAACCCACGCTCCTTTAACTCTGCAGGTAAATTGGATTATGGGTGATGGAAAGGAATAGTGAGAAACGAGAGCAAAAGACGTACATACCCGCACCGTCGCGTAGTAGCAGCATCACACATCACGAATCCCATCTCACGTATTAAGCAATAATTGTTGTATGAAAAGAAGATATGCCCTGATAGATGGATGCATGTATTCATTCGTATCTTCTATCAACCCTCATCGGCGGTAGGCGTGCGGGGATGCTGGGCGCACGCCCAAAGCCGGCGTCTTGCCCTAAACTCTCATTCTGTGGGAATACCAGATAGAATTGCATACTAGAAGACCACAGCATATTACGGCATCGACTATGCGATGTAAAATGCTCGCCCCTTTCCAGTCGAACTCCTTATAGACCTGTCGCGCCGGGAGAAGTTTGAGTGGATGATAGAACCGTAAAGACTCCTTGACCAAGCCCGCGACGTATGGGGATTTTTTTCCGTAAGGCACAAGTCGTATGCTTCTTCAGGGCTGTTGTGAGTGTTCATAATGTCGTCGTAAGCGTTTTGCTGTATTGACTGTCCTTCGGCGCTGGCCCAAGAGAAGCAACATATTTGAAGCCGTCAATTAGGTTGTCCATGTTAGTGACTAGTGCAACAACATGCAATTCTGGCTTCTGGTTGTGTTTGTCTACCTGATATCTTTTAAACGACAAAATGGGCAAAAGTGTGATTGAATCGCTGCAAACCAAATTGTATGAGGCATGCACAATCTGCCCGGACAACAGCGACGCTTGAAAGCGACAGGCCGCGAGATAACCCGCAATGCTCCCCTCACGCATAGCAAGCCCTAAACAGAAAGCTATTAATGCCTTTTCGGGAGAAAAAGAGCTAGTCATACAGACTACTCGTCTCGGGCGCGCGAGAAGCGAAGAGAATTTTGTTGGATCAGTGCTGAGTAGCAAGGCTACTCCCTTTGTAGATGAGGAGTAAGAGGCTGATTGTTGATCTTGAAGGGGTGACTACACTCGGAGCCTCAATATTTTATAATTTAAGAGGTTACTACAGCTTCCACATGTAAGTAATGTTGATCGATGGAGGTGCATATTCGACGAGGCATGACATGATTGACTGATGATCTGGCTATGGTGCCTGAAACTCCACATGCGAACGACTCGTAATAACTTGACATGCAGTGTAAATAATTCAGTCACTTATGCTTCTCGAAACATATGGCAATGGCTTAGGGCTATCGGACCAAAGCGGAGCGGAAAGAAGGCCGACGGAGTAAGCCGTTACATATCGCTGGCGCTTATCTTGTGGACGTCTTCGCATACATACGGAGCGCATAAAGCTCAAAGGTAATTCAATACTCAGTCCTTATTGATTATAACGCACACAGACATGATGGCTTGCTTGGATACAGCCCCAACCTGGAACGGCGTTCCCGAGGTGATCGCCAGCGGCTCGCCATGGGAAATCGGTTTCGCTCATGGGAGCCAAATCCCAAATAGAATCGCCGTGTGCATTGCAAACTATGCGAGATTGTTTGTCGAGACTGCAGAGGCAGATTGGGCCGAATCAAAGGCCAGGGCCGCAACATACCTGCCGGCTTTAGAGCAGAATGAACCCGATCTCGTCGAAGAGATGCGTGGGATTGCCGCCGGCGCCAGGGTCGACTTCCTAGACATTCTGGCGTTGAATGTCCGTAGCGAGATTGCTCTTACAAACTATTCAGATGGGTGCACGTCTGTTGCCTCACGCAATGACGACGAATCCCGGACATATGTTGCCCAAAATTGGGACTGGGTGGGAGAAGCAGGAAATGCCACCACGTTTTTCGACATTAGAAAAGCAGGAAAGCCGAGATTTCGTATGATGGGCGAGGCTGGAATCGTCGGAAAGTTTGGTATCAACGATGTTGGAGTTGGCGTATGTATGAATGCAATCAGATGTGGAACTGTGAATAAAACCCATCTGCCAATACATATTGCCATGAGGCGTGTACTGGAATGCAGTTCCTTCGACGAGGCGTTCGCGATGTTGACAGAAAAGGGAATGGCCTCATGCGCCAACCTGGTGATTGGAGACAAAAGTGGTAAAGTCGCGACTATCGAATGTACACCGAGAGGACTGGCTCCGATCTTTCCTGCCCCTGGTTTCGCAACCATTTTTCACACAAATCATCTCTGGTCGCCAAACCTGCCTAAGGGGATTCGCGATCATCCGTCTGCAAACTCGTTTTCCAGACTTGAACGCATCAAAGAGCTGTCTCGCTCTGAAGCAGCCACTATTGACAAAATCCGGACGTGGATGAAGGACGAGCAGGGAACACCGTACTCGATCTGTCGATCCAACCCCCCAAACACCGTCGGTATCGAGAGAATGGAAACGCTGGCCACGGTCATCCTCGACCTGAATAATCTCAGGGCTGAAGTTTCATTTGGTAAGCCGAGTTTATCTCCACCTGTACGAGTCTTGACCATTGAATAAATGAGTTGGTGGTGAACTTAACGAATCCAAACGCTATCTGTATGTAAAAGAGTACTAGACAAATGAATTCATGTGCCTTGCATATCAAGAAGGTCAACTATACTCCTCCAAACCTGGAGATAACCATGTCCACCCTTCCAATGTGGTGCGAAAAGGGAAAGAATATCCGTGCACTTGATCAAATCTTTCGTGCTTGACTGTGGGGTTGTCCATTTCTTTGAAATTCCTGTCGCAATCGCGCACCCTGCAACTAGTGTCTTTGAGCTGGCTATAAAAGGTGCAATGAAACCGTCCTTGACAGTAGCAGACTGATAAACCACTGATACTAGCTGTGAGGCCGCGTCAAGCACCCTCTGTCTCAACGTCCTCATTCCTTTGCCGTTGTTGTCGTCATCCTCTTGGAAGCAAAAGACACATTGCTTGTGCTTGACGCAGATAGGTAGTGACAATAACCATATTTCGTGATTTATTGTGGTCTCCGTTTGTAGAGCCTCCGCCATGTTTAACAGCGCGGCAAGGTCGCCGGTGAAGGGGCACTTCTTGCCATTGTACATTTGTCTATCACGGTAGATTGCGTGATAAATCCGGTCGTAACACAAAAATGCTGAATTATCATGCGATGTGGCCGGCCATTTAGGTCCATTCAGCATGGTTGGTCGACAGAAGATTGTTCGCAGTGACCTGAGTAAGTAAGCCTTGGTATGTAGCTGACTAGGTGCGATATTTTCAGCTCTTACCCTTCAATCCCTCGGAGGATTGATAGCAACCGAACCGCAGCTTCATTGTGTGCGCCCGCGTCTGCATTCTCTCCGCTGCCTAGCGGAGATAAGCTAGGATACAATGCCGTTATCGTCTTGTGCCAGCCCTGTTGCAAGCACGTCCGTGTTGCAAGGTCGAGCAACTCCCAGAGAGAACCTCTGCTCGGGTCCGCCAATTCATATATAAGCAGCAACAGAATCGCGGTGAGGGAGTCGACATTTGCCGGTAGTATTATTGGTGTGATCAAATCAGCGGCCCAGTCCCGACACAGCTGTGCGAATGGTTTCCAATGAGGGGAATGGTAGCTTTCGCGAGCAGCAGAAATCGCGCATGCCATTAGGATGTTAAATTTTTGCATATCTGGCTGTTTCTGCAAATTCATGCCATCATAATGCAAAGTTTCCGGGATGAGGATACCGTATTGAGGGCGGATACATCTATCATAGCAACCGAGAAGAAAGCGGATTGTCCCAGGGGTAAGTAGAGAGCGATCGAGGTTTACAAAACCAGGTGGATTGGAGTTGTAATCATCAATCATAGCTGAGATACCATTTGGTTTCTGCTGGCCCGCGAGTACTTCATACGTTACTCTTGTAATGCGTGACGGCAGTGATAGGTCCAAATAAAGATTCTTTCCAGGACCAGGCATCAGGACATGAAAAGAGTCATCTGAGTCTGCCTCACCTGATCCTGGTGTGCTGCGTAGAATGATTAGTGAACCGAGATATAGGCTTCAATTTCTCTCTCCATAAAAGACTTACCTCACGGGGCGGCTGAACTGCAATGCCAGTTGAGAGCTCAGCTCCTCGATTCGATCATTCAAAGATTGGACATAGCTGAAGCTATCAGTCAAGATTGCGAGAAGAAACGGAGGCCTATTGATACCTTCTAGGAATGTCCTCCTGCAGAGCATCGTCTCTGAAAGTGCATTCCAGGTCGTTTTTGGCACAATTCGCGCATGCCGGGAGCAAAGAATCGCACTGCGCTGTCAGAATGGATGCCAAAGAGAACGATAGAGTAGCCAAGCACCTTTATTCTTTGGCTTCGACATCGCGAGCACGTCTGAAGCATTGTGCTCACCTCGTAGAGTTCGAACGATCAATGACTGTTGATGAGTAGAGGTTTCTGGAAATACACCGCCTACGGAGAGGCCCATCTGCTGGCCTCCTCACTGCCTATCGCTGCCGCACGTACTCTTCAGTGTCGATGCTACCAAATAGAACACTACATTAGAGAAGCAAAAAAGGAAGAAGATTCTCTGGGATGTTCTGCAGAAGTTCAAGGCAGTCACGCCTCACGGCCCCGCTTTGCGCCTGTTGCCCTTTACGGCTTAGTGCGTAGATAAGTAGATAGCTGCCAACTCAACCTCACTAGAGACATCAATTGTTCAGTAAATTGTCCATGAGATGCGAGAAGACCACAAGATCTACGTGGTAGCGTGCTTTTCGACCTCAGAATGCAGCGGTCTCATCGCCGCTCAACCAAAGTATGCACGCGGTGTCGAAAGCGCAAGACGAAGGTATCATCTCTAGCCAGCATGCTTGAATCGAATAGATAGTCGATTGCTAACTGCTTGCAGTGTGACTTCAAGTTTCCGGCCTGTACTTCCTGCAAGGTTGTAAATGCGAGCTGCTTAGGTTTCGATCCTGTGACAAGACAAGCAGTTCCAAGAAGGTGAGTAGATTGTTACTTCCGCGATATAAGCATTGCATTTGCTGATAGAAGTACCATCACATAATTTAAGCCTCGTAAGGTCTTTGGAAGCCCGTGTGGCAGAACTCGAAGCCCAGGTGCTTCCATTCCGCGCCGGTTCTCAGAATGCGTCATACTTGATGTCTATGAAGGTGGCCCAGGCCACAATGTCGGTAGGATTACCTTCATCGGGGACGTATTTGCGCTCTCAGATCTCCCCAGCGCTATTCTTTCGTCCCTCCTGTCCACCATTTGCTGTTGTTCGAGAGCGAAGGCAGGACTCGCCGAGCATGCAGAAATCACCGCCTGCCGTCCATGAAAAGCTGCAGGTGCCAAAGCGGCAAGCCAAACATTCTCCTGGCAATGTGGTGAATTTAAGTAGCGTTCCATTCCCTGCCATCCAACGAATGATACTTAACTACGTCGACATTCACCTACCACAGTATCCTTGTGTTTCGCAATCCATGCTGGAAGACATTGTCGAAAAGACCCAGCACGAAGAACTTGGGGATACAAGTTCTCTGCTGCTTTACGGAACTCCGGTAGCACCAGGCCTAGGACACTTTGAATATTTTGTACTGTTAATTGTTCTCGCTATATCAGCGATGACTCTCACATGGAAAGCGGATGATCAAGCTCGGGCTGCGTCAGATACCTTCTACAATTCGGCCATTAAGCATCTTCAGGTCTTCAAAGATCCAGGAGAAATACAGGCTCTTCAAATTTCCCTTCTTCTAGCTCACTACGCGCATCTATGCCCGGAAAGAGTGGACAATTGGACGTGCATTGCCAACGCGGCCAGAATTGTTTTAAGTTTGGGATTGTACATGGAATGTCCCGAGGGACTTGGTAAGCAGGAAGGGCTCCAGCGCCGGAGATTGTTCTGGGTGACATATGGTATGGAGCGATCTCTATCTTCTAATCTTCGACTGCCACTGTCTTTTCCAGAAGAGACAATTACTGTGAAAGTTAGTTCTCACCCTTCATTTTCACTTCTTTTAACTTACTGACAATAACTCAAAACCAGTTTGAAAACAGTGAAAAAGAACCATCCGTGGCTTATCATCACGATAGAAAATCTGTCGCCAACCATATCTACCGATATCGCGCTCTAGAAACCGAGGTGCACCGAGTACTCCATCTCGAGGAGAGTCTTTCTAAATTCGGCTGTTCGACAATAGAAGAGTGGATTCAAGACATATCCGGCCGTCTAGAGGCCTGGTATGGCATTGCCCAAGAATACGAAAAATACCATATGCTAGAATTCAAACACGTCCAATTCCATCACCTTGTAGCACGAATTCATCGACCAACGCCGCGGCTTCGAATACGAACACATGAGGACCGACGTCTTGTGTTATCTTCCTCCATTGTACTCGTTCAAGACTATCTCAAGCAAGAGCAACACCGCCGGCTATTCTATCCTTGGCACGGTGTTCATATTTTATTTGAAACTTGTCTTATCTCACTAGACGCTTGCTGGTCGTTCCGAGACTGGCAACCGATGTGAGAAGAGGCGGAGAACTTTTTGAATTTCTCTATTCCTCAATGCCTCCAGCTTCTAACCAATATCGGCCAACGATGGAGCGAAGCTACTGCTTGTGCGGACACGTTGTCTTCATTGGCGCAAAAGGTTACAACTGCATTCACAAACTGGAATAGTACGGTTTATTCATTAGAAGAGGAAGCGGGAATTACGGACGAGATTAATCGGCTTCTGTTCGCCGATGGACTATTAACCTGGAATCAGACGGCGCAATTTGATCCGTTTATGAATTTGGGGAGCTCTCTACAGTTATTTGATACCCTTCCGACTTCTGATCTGGAATTCTTCGAATGGAATCCCGAATGGGATATCATGCCGGCTGACTCGATATAGCCCCATTTGAGATTATGCCTGCTTGCAGTTGAAAACGTTCGTCCTCTTTCTGCTTCAAAAACCATCGAGCCTTCGAGTATGTATCAAGCATCGTCTCCGCCGCCATGGGATACCTCACGCACAAGGGCGGTTAGTGCCTCCCTAAGGACCAACTCTCAAGTGTTGATTAGTTCTTCCAAGGCAATGATGAGCGACAGCTGCAAGCTGTGTCTATGCAACCTAGCCTTGGGCGCTGTGTAGGCGCTTGAATGCATACTGATGGCTTTGGATTCTACTGATCTAATACAACCCTATTTGTACTGACAAGTCGGACATGTCCAAGATTCTAATCCACGAAGCCAAGAAACCCATTAAGGCAGCAGCTATAAAATCGATATCTTTGTAACAGAACTGTAAATAATATACTATTGAAAAGAATATATAAAATCTTAATCATAAAATCTGTAATGCCTCCGCGATATTAGGCTATGATAATCAAGTACTCCCTAGTTTATTAGTATTATAATAAGTTTCCTATCTTAGAATTTCCCTCTTCAAATGCTCCTTTGAGGGATTAAACCTATATTTAGCTGTTAATGCTTTGATACTTAACTTCACGAATGACAGACAAGCCTATATTACTGCAAACCGCATTTTCGTTCAGTGCAGCGTCTATGAGAAATCCATGGCCTTGCTACAAGAACACGTAAGCAGATTGTGGTAGGACACGGCGCTGGTAGAAAGAAGTACAGTCGAGGACTCCCCAGCTCAGAATTCTCAAGGAGAGCCAATGATACCTAGCTTATATCATGCAGTAATATTAACAATGCAAACTGGTAAGAAATGCCCGAAAACAATGTAGAGAGTAAGGTAGAAAAGAGGCAAAAATAAAAAAGCAAGGGCTCAATGGAACATGTAACAACTGACTAAATAACCAAGGATGTACGAGATGGATTATGAACTGATAACAAGGCCCGCCTGAAATATATAGACAAGGAAGGGGGACATGCTTGACGAAGAGACATCTTGCATAGCATGTATGCAATGCAATGCAATGTAAATCAACTAACTTTAATGTTTGAATTATTTCCCCTCCACTCATTCATAGCTCCACCGGTGCAGAATAAGCAATACCGCTTGAAGTTTGCCCTATAGTGTAAAACTTCTGCTGCTTTGAGCCAAGAGCTAAGGTATCGAAACGGTCAATGCCCAACGTATCGAGATCGTTGTAACCAGACAAGTAGAAGCCAATTATAACGACCAAATAGGTTAAGACAAGGATTGATCCTTTGAAGTAATTGCTCTTACCTTCACCATATACATATGATAGAAGGAAAACGCAGAGAATCACTGTAATCATATCCCATTGTGGGAATATAAGGCTAGAAAAGGAGTTAGTTGATTGACTATCTAGACATTGGCTTGGTAGTCGCAGTCGTTCGGGTACAAAACAAATAAGAGCAGAACTTACTTGAATGAGTGGCTGCTGAGGTCGGCTGGGTCTATGAATTGCGCATTCACAGCACTGTATAATACGAGCGCTGGAATTTGTAGTAAGCAAACCTGAAGAGCGTATGCGGAGCCAATCTCCATGGAAAGGGCTATGTTTCCATTCATGGCAAACGAGATAGCATTCTAAACACATATGAAAGTTAGCCAGAAAGTCTCAATAGGTCCACATGAACCCAAGTTTATCTAAGAGGGAATAAAGCACATACCAGAAATTCAGTCGTATTAGGGACCAATGCAAATAGTGTGATTCCCAAAAATTTCTCATCGATGTCCACGCTGTCCAAGACAACATCCACAGTGTCAACGAGAATTTCGGCGATGATGGCATACAGAATTGTTGCACCGAGAAGTATGACTGCACTCTTGGTTTTGCTCCAATTTGGCGCATCGTGACCGCCGCCCGCATGCGTAGTCTCAACCGGTACCCCAGTAAACTCCTGCTCCTCAGCAATAGGACCTGGATGGTGTGTAGAAGCTTTAGTTGCTTGAGGCCGTCCCGACGCTTGCGAACTTGCAGCTCTCCGATGAGCGCGAGCAGAATCATGTGCAGCTACTGTAGCAGCAGTCGCTGCAACCTCAGCAACTTGACGTGCCAAGCTTTCATTATCTTCTTCCGTAAGCCCGCGAAGGTGTAACCCATGTTGATCATCGTGGGTTTTCTGTAAAAGAGGGTCTAGTTGCGGCGACACTCCACCTGTAACGAAGGTGGCGTCAAATTCATCATGTGGAAGGCCAATTTGCTCTAACGAATGCCCCAGGATACGCTTGTAGAGCTGAGACTCACGGATACTATTGGGTTGTAAGTCGCCACCTAACATAGGTAGACCGTTTGCAATATTGATCGGTCGCGAGTCCTGTGGATGAGCTTCGACTCCCACTGGAGCTATCTTCTTCTCGTCTCCATCAGTTGTCCATATGACTGCTGCATGGGTCCTTAGGGTGAACCAGAGGCCAATAATATATGATAGAAACAAGAAGAAAGCCGCAAACCAGCAGAACGGCTGTACGGCTTTCCGAAAGAAATCATCGTTCACAGTAGCAGATTGCGAAAAATAGCATCGACGACAATCACGTTCATCTGATGCATTGACACAAGACCGACAGTTCAACTCGTGCTGGTATGAATTAGTATTTAATAACAACGAGTCATATCGAAAGGCTAAGACCTACACTGCCGTATATCTGATAAAATAAAGTTGGTCCAAAGGCAGCGATTACCGCAAACAACAGCATAGTTGAAGTAACACCTGCGGACTTCACATTGAATCGTTGCGTTTTGCGTCTGATTGCACCGAAACACATTGACAAACCGGGAAGAAATAGAATACCAGCGAAGATACTGCCAATCAAGCTGCCCTCTACCAATTGAGCTTTACCCTGTCCAAGAGCCACACAGTAGAGAAAGACTTCCACAACTGTTGAGAAAAAGGCATTGATAGCAGCACCCAGTCCCATGGAAGATTGAGCAGAGATAGAAGCAACTGCCTGACCGATAAAATATGCCAGCGGGATGATTGACAAAAGGGACAAAGTAAAGACGAGTCCTGGGTGCGTCAACCACGATTCGAGTCCGAAAGTGACATCTAGTACGAAATAGTCGAAGATGACAAAAGCGACAATGCTCATAAGATTGAAAAGGAAAATGTTCGTTCCATCGATCGTATACTTCCAGTAACGTAGACCCGCCGCACGATAGGTACAGAGAAGGATGGAAGAGGATGGACTGGATGGTAGCCGAGCGTAAGTGTTATCAGAATGAAAAGACAGAGCAAGGGGATGACGGCGAAGATGGTCGACAAGTATGTTCATGACACGACCCATGGGTATCCAGAAAACAAGTAGCCAGCAGACTAAGGATACTAGAAGCATCAGTGGACCTGTAAGGAAGTAGAAAAATGCGAAAAAGACAACCCTAGCCAGGCTCCACTCTCCGCGGCCAAATAATCGTCGTTTTGGTCTTGAAGAATTCGTGCCCCGGAGACCCCCTCTACCAGCGTGCCCAAGGAGACTATCATGCTCGCTAAAGCCTGAATCAATGCTACTTCGTCGTCGACCGACCAGGGATCGATTACTCAAAGGGCCAAAGAACAGCCGCCCATGTTCTAGATCTCCACTCTGCCACTGCTCGTATTCACTGATACTGCGCCCCTCGCCTTCGTCCTCATCTACATAGTGTTCATCAGTTTCTAACCGCACGAACGACCCAAAAGGGTAGAGCATGTAGCGAGATAGACCGAAAAAGACCTTGCCGTATTCCTTCGCGTGAGGCGAAGAAATGCACAGAAAGCAAGCTATGGCACCTAGCATGGCGGCAGCTGCAAGCCACCATCCGAAGATAACAGACCACATTAGATTGACAAGGAATAGAAGGTTGTTTACGCGCCCGCCGGGTGACGAGTGGATGTCACCCTCAGCAGTCTTCTCGACGGAGCGGTTTTTCTTATATAGAGCAGGTTTCCAAATCCTGATACCAAAAGGGTGTGTTTCATTAATTGCAGCTTGGCGATCCCTTAGTGTAAAACTCTCTGCATCGCTGAGATGGCCTTCATCGTCACAATCTTGTTCTTCCGATTCCCGTAGGTCGTCTTCTCCAGAGTTGCTCGGCCCTGCCTCAGGAAGCGTAAAGTCATCCTCTGCATCTTGCGAGCTTTGTTTGCGCGATTGAAACGTCGGCGCATTGGTCCTCCGCCTTATTGTCGAATTTTTGTTTGCAATTGGGGCGATTCTTGGGGAAGGCTGCGCAGTGTTTACCATTTGTTGTAAGGCATTGTCCCGCTCAACTTCATATGCTTCGTCATCGACAGAGAACTCCTGACCACGGTATGGTTTGGAGGACATGCGGCGAATTGTAGACGGTTTTCGGCCTCGATCAGGTTGAGCTGCAATATTGGGCGATTGGGGAGGTTGAGGACGCCCGGATTGACCGCGAGGCAGTTGTTCATCTTCAATATGCCCCTGCCCGGGAGGCTGTGTAATAGTCCCTAAATATATGTAATAATGAGATTCTGATATTGGGAGCGAATAGCAGATAGAATAAATCACGAAGAACACAAGTGCAGGGATGACAGTGCTTACCGTAGCCGTGGCCAGGCCGTGGCCGCTGGAATGTCTCTCGAGTGGACGACGCATCTTCGTCGGTTTGAGCAATGGGCAGAAAAGCCGACGGCTCGTTTTCCGCAATAAAGCTCTCTGACATGCGCGACGAGTCGCGTTCAGTTTCATTTTCCGCCATCGTTTTCGCGTTTTCACGACCCAGCGATTGTCTTCTCTCCGTGAGCAGGCTGCCGCCAAACCAGGAAGTTGAGATGCTTCACGGTTCACAGGGCTGTGTCACACTATTATGGGGAATACCTCACAGGTGGCACCGACAGTCTCTGTTAAACATCTTCTGTGAGAGGAGAGGTTGGGGATATCCCCGAACGCTCGTTGAGAGGCTTGAGGTTGCAGAGGAAGGTAGATAACACGGAGGCAGCCACGCGGATATTTGGTTTTAAGCATCCATGTGCTTGGCTCACGTGCACAGAAACAGGTCTGATCTCTCAATGTTCCCAAGACTGTTGACTACGCCATGTAAATCAAAACAGGGCAAAGGGAAGGAGTTTCTTAACATGCTACGGTGGAAGACTGCTTGATAAATCGCCAGTACCAGGGCGTGCGTACTCAGCTAAGCATATGGAACCGAGCCTTTTACGAGCTTGCCCAGCAGTTTTCACAGATATTTTACCGTAACTTTGACTATACAACGGCAATAAGCATATCGACGGTACTAGCATATCCTCTCCGAGTATTCACGTAAGAAACAATAGAGCAAGCATTATTCTCTGATTCCATTCCATCAATAATGTCTGCAGAGCTCCTGGTGGGGAACACGTCAAAGCCACAAATCCTCTGCTGGCGGCTGTGGCTGGTGTGGGCGGTGAGCAGTACTGCCGAGCCGCAGCTGCCATGGAAGCTCATCGATCTATCGATCCTTCGTCATCTCGCTGAGCTTCATCCAAACACACCGTGACCCTCGCGCTCAAACCCTCGCATTCGATCCTGTGGGCTCACCAGTACGCTCTTTGGAATACACGTAATATTCGTCCAACACCGCACCGCTCTTTCGAATCGTTACAACCCCTTCCTGCGCGGTCAAAGGAGAGCCGGCCTCCTTAGCTTTCATCAGTCATGGCGTTGGATAATTATTACCGCAACAAAATCGAGAGCATGAAGCTTGAGATCATACAAGGACAGGCTGTCTTGAGGAGATTAGAGGCTCAACGCAACGATTACAACTCCAGGGTCCGCCTCTTGAGAGAAGAACTAGGATTGCTACAGCAGCCTGGGTCTTATGTCGGCGAGGTAGTCAAGGTGATGGGTACCAAAAAGGTGCTCGTCAAGGTCCATCCAGAGGGCAAATATGGTATGCTTTCTCTATCAATGATCTAACTATATATTTGTGTGTGTAAGCCTGGTGATGCGATGTGGTGGCTAATCATTGGTTTCTAGTTGTCGATATCGCCGATAACGTGGACATTGCAAAACTGACCGTAGGAAAACGCGTTTCCCTGCTCTCTGATACATATAAGCTCGAGAAGATGCTGCCGTCATCCGTTGATCCTCTCGTGTCTCTAATGATGGTGGAAAAGGTCCCAGACAGCACTTACGACATGATTGGTGGGCTTGACCAACAAATCAAGGAAATCAAAGAAGTCATTGAGCTTGGGTTGAAGCACCCAGAACTGTTCGAATCACTAGGAATTGCGCAACCCAAGGGAGTGTTGCTATACGGTCCACCGGGAACAGGAAAGACACTATTGGCACGAGCGGTTGCTCACCACGCAGACTGCAAGTTCATTCGGGTTAGCGGCTCGGAATTGGTGCAGAAGTATATCGGAGAGGGAAGCCGAATGGTGCGAGAGCTGTTCGTGATGGCAAGAGAGCATGCTCCCAGTATCATCTTCATGGACGAGATCGATAGTATTGGATCAAGCCGAGTTGAGGGCAGCAGCGGTGGTGATTCTGAGGTCCAACGAACGATGCTGGAACTATTGAATCAGCTCGATGGTTTCGAGCCAACAAAGAACATCAAGGTTATTATGGCGACGAATCGATTGGATATTCTGGATCCTGCACTTCTAAGACCTGGGCGTATTGACCGAAAGATTGAATTTCCGCCACCTACGTAAGCTTCCTTTTCGTTCTCTAGTCCCTAAGTGGTTTTATGTTGCGCGGCCATGCTGACTTGTCTGCGTTTTAAATAGTGTGGAAGCTCGAGCTGATATTCTACGAATTCATTCACGCTCCATGAACCTGACTCGCGGTATCAACCTCACCAAGATTGCCGAGAAGATGAACGGATGCTCGGGTGCTGAATTGAAGGGAGTTTGCACAGAAGCAGGCATGTACGCCCTGCGGGAACGACGAGTTCATGTGACACAGGAGGACTTTGACTTGGCGACAGCCAAAATTCTGAACAAGCACGACGACAAAGAGGTCAGTCTGGGCAAGGTCTGGAAATGAAGCAAATCCCGGCAGATGTTATTGTTTGCTCTACGTACGTATCACGGGGTGTTTGCACTTTGCAAATCCACCATTGTTTGATCGACGGGCCAAGCATTGGCATAACAAGTCTTTGGCATGGGCTATTGGGAACTATGTAATTTAGGAATTCATAAACTCGCACCATTACTCCGTACTTTGCATCTGCATATCCCGTACAAGTTTAGAAGATCCAATAGACGATTCACTTTACTAGTATCTCGCTGATGTTCTTTGCCAATGCTTGGACGCTGATGAGTATTAGATGGTACAGCCCCTAACTTGCTTCTACAATAGAACCATATCCTCCGTACACTGTACCATCTTTATTATAAAGTATAATAGGTTTAGAATTTTTTTTCATATTAGCTAAACCTTCTGAACAGATAGCCTACAGTGTCCAGACCAAAACAGAGAGACCACCTAGTTGCTGAGGGTATGTGACTCAGTTGGGCATCCTAACATTGATATATTCCATAGTTACCCAAGCTTGCTCAGGTATTTATGTAATGCGCGGAGGTAGTATTCCGATTAGTATCTAAGAGCTTAAATTGCCAGCCGGCTTTCACGGGCATTCTCCGTAGTTGGTCAATGGAGATAGTACTCATGAATTCGTTATCAAATATCGATAGTCAAATTTCAAGCATAAATTAAACAAATCCGAGGCAGAAGGTGACAGTTGTAACTCGACAGCCCCAGACAAGCCCAGCACGGCCTAGCGCCCTGGGCCCACAGTCTGGCCCCGGGCGCGTGACCTGCTTATTTTTTTTCGCGGCGGAGTCGGCGCGGCACTTGGCGGGGCGGACCCGCTGGCTCCACTATCATTTTTTTCTATTTTATATCGGCCGATGGAGGTGGCGACCTGGCCAGCATATTTGCTGTATAATTACTGATTCTACATTCGATTCTTGATGTTCATATCTGATATACAGTGTATGATTTATATATATATATCATATAGTGTGTGCATCAAATACATTCAAAGGAATGGCGCCGGTGGCCTGATTCACTTTTCATCCACTGAATTCAATATCGAAGAACAGCAACTAGATGCAGTGCGACACCGTCTGATCTGCATGTCAGCAGATCAGACCGCTTTGTCGGTCTTCGGTGCGCCTGCTCCGTACAGCGATACACTATATTCCGTGGGCACTATGTCGTTGGGGGCGTCGCAGTTTAATCTATGAATTGGACTCTGAGATTGGGTGTAAGTTCCTCCGTCATGGAATGGCAGACTTGTAAGGCATCGGGCGCTATTTTTAGATAAAATACAGACTTTCAATGCTGTTCGATACAGAGGGGATTACAGACTCACAGACAGCTCGTATTACCTGATTCCTGTTATGAATTGCTATTATATACTATGTAGTATACGAAGGACACGTGATTGTCTCTATAAAGTCCAAATAAGCACCCATTCAGCCAAGAGAACAAAAATAACTGACAATTCTCTTTTCCTCTTCTCCTTGCTTACTGCAATAAACACGGATAAGGCGGTACGGAAGAGCACACAAATTACACAACAAAGGCTGGGCCTGGCCGACTCCACCAGCAGCACGTTTTTGAACCTTCTTTGCTGCTCCCCGGACTTACTCCTTTGGTCCTTCCGCCAGACTCTCTTTCTCCTGGGCCCATCGCGACAGGAACAACGCACGGCAAAAAAAAAAAGAAAAGTACTGCGCTGTTCACGCGCTACATCTATATTGTCTTTTTTGGGCGATCTCAGCCCGGCCCTATTACAAGCCCAGAGTACTACAAATTCTGCATCCTGCATAGATGCTAAGGATCCAGATCATCCGATAGCACAGCACTCCAGTCCCGATTCTCCGTCTCTCGCCCCACTCCAGTCAAGGGGTTTTTCTCCATCTGCGCAGCAGAAATTTACGCTTGCCTATTTGGGACATGCAAGAAGCAACGTGATACCTGTGCTTTTCCCCCCCTTCTCTGTTGACTCAGAGAACAGTTGGTTTGGTTATAACTAAACCCTCTTCCCCCCCTATATCTCCCACCTATCGTGATTATACTCATCCTTACTACGGAAGAAAAAAGAGAAAATATTGCTAGAGTTTGTCTTATTGCCCGCTCTGCTTTTTTTAATTTATTTTCTATTTCTGTTTTCGGAAATCGGCAAACTTGCCGACATATAGAATTGAAACACAGGACATCCGCACGGAGAATTGCACCACACACGTCGATAATATCTGTTTTGAATAATGTCTGCCGCAGTACATCCAGCGACTATTGATCTTCTAGAGAACGAATTGGCAAGGGCCAGAACTGCCCTACAGGAAGTCCAGCCACACCCGCTCCAGGTATTGACCCTAGACGATGTCACAACCGGGGCCCTGGCTGCTCACAAGCAAAACCTCATCAGTTACGACCATGACTTCTTCTCAGGCGCAAGCCGTCTCACGGCAAAGGAATTGGGCCTTGTCTCTGTCCAAGAAGTCCTTCCCTCGCCAGTAGAAGAATGTCCACCGCTACCCAAGTCTCCGACTAACATCGTTGATCTTCTGGCCAACAATGTTGTCTTGCATCACCTGGTGCCATTGCTCCCTATCTCCTCGTTGCTTGCTTTGGCGTCCGCCACCAAGACGACACGTTCCATTATCATGGAAACCCCATACGTTTTCAGGCATTTGGATTTGAGCACCTGCCGCGTAGCTCAGATTCCCGAAAGACTACCAATTGATGCCGGGAGTGAGCGCCGGACAAGTGAAAGAACGGATGAGTCGGTCACTGAAGACGAATTCTACGCTGCGCCGTTGCAAGGCATCTTCTCCCGCCTCGAGGGACAATCCCTTCTGGCAAGTGTCCGCACATTGGTGTTGGATGGCTTATCTGTTCCAGCTGATCTCATCGCCGACATCATCCTTACTGATCGATTCAACGTGAATATACTCTCGATCCGTGAATGCTCGCATCTCAATGAGCGGAAGTTGATGCAGACCTTGGAGTACGCCGTACGCCCTACTCGCCCGGAAGGAACTCCCAAAGTTAAGGGCATCTACTACTTCACTTCGAGAGGATCAACGGGCAATCAACCACGACACCGCCGAGGATCGTCTCGTCGTGAGTGGTGGCAGAGTTGTCTTGGTGGAGGACAAAATTCAACTAAAGAAGAGCCAGCTTCGACAGCTGAAACCGAGGACAAACATCTCAATGAGTGGTACAAGCCATCTGGTAACATCCTGACACGCAACATTGACGCTAGCTGGGCTCGGACACTGCAGAAATGCGAAGGTGTCATTGCCTTTGATACCATTTTATGTCGAGGTCCCAGGCACAATTCCGATCTTTACTGTTCGAGCAACAAAACCGAGCCCCGTCCAGAAGGCATACTTCTTCCACCAGCACTTGCGACTATTGCTTTAGGGCCCCGTGGCTGTGACGGCTGCCGAACATCGCCCGAGGGACCAGCAATTTGGGGCGAATCTCCAGATCACCATTTCCCTCTGCTCAACCCTCTCCCACTGCATGCATCCAGCATTCTTGACGCAAAACGTCCAGTTCCGAGAAACGAAACAGCTGTTATGATTGCACGTTGTGCGGACTGTGTACAGAGACGTTGGTGCCATCAATGCCATAAATGGTTCTGTTTTCAGTGCCTACCAAGCCCTGAGCAGGCTGTTACGCGTCTATCCCCGCATCAAACCGCCGTACGGAGACCCGGGGCTAGGGAACCATCACCAGTCAAGGTATGTTAGAGACGATCATATAAAATTTACGAGGCCATTGCTTACTTTCTCAATTCAGACGGGTCCAGGTGTCAGTAGAGACTGCTGGGAATGTGGACCAACTGTAAGTGCACCTGATAACTGCAATTTTGCCGGGCTCTCAAACTGATTCATCGCTTTAGTGCGCAAGCTGCAAGCTAGATCGCCAGCGCTCTTGCGGTAGTTGCTTTGGGGAATACTGTCTGAAGCACAATGACGGCTGCTCGTCCACCAGGGTTTGTCTCCCGTGTCGTTACTGGGCTTGAATGTATGCTAATGATCTATTGTTCAGTGCGATTGGTGCAATATGAGCTCTAGGCGTCTTGGTCGAGATCTCTACTAAGGCTCCAGGGCAGGATATCACGACTGAGGGAGTTGATCTTTCTCGTTACATGCTAATTACCATACTTATGACTTGCTTCTAATTCTAATTTATAATGGACCTTTTCCACTCTCAGAGCAGGAGGTATAATAACCAAAAGGTGGACCTGTGTTGATATTACCTGGGGAGACTGTCGGAATTATTTTACGAATCCCATTATTATTCTTTCGTCTTACAATTGCAGTAACACGCTGTAGAACTCAAGGCCGAATGTTATAGCAGTGTGATACATTGCGGGGCGATAAGCGATTAGATAAGATAGGAGAACCCGATTAGTGATGCAGCGAGAGTAGCTTCCAGAACAACCTACGTCAGCAACCAAGAGCTTTGTGAGCTGCTACGCCAAACCTGCAATTATTTTACTCCAAGCCATGTCTCATGTCCCACCGGTGCTCTTGAAGGCAAACTCGAGGACATGGCAGACACCAACAATACCGCGGTCAGCCCACTGAGATGGTCATCCCAACTTGCAGTTACCTCACCTTTGCGCACTCCGAAGCTACCAGGGGACAAAATTCTACTACCGCCGTCTGCCCTCGAACAACTTCTTGCTGCAGCGCCAGTTGTCGCGGTTGAGGGACCGAGTCATCGTCATAACCATGCGCACACATCTACCTTCGATCCCTTTAATCCATACACCTTTGCTGCCGAGACGCGAGCTCGAGCTTTCGACCCATCGTCAACAACTGCAGACATTCGACAGCCGCAGCTGCCGCATCCGCTTACTTTTCGACTTGTCAATCCGGTGAATGGAAGAGTCGTGTACGCCGGGATTCGAGAGTTTTCTGCCGAGGAGGGCCAAGTGAGTCTGAGCAGTTTTCTGCGCCACGCGCTCGGCATCGACGAATCAGAGCAAGGATGGAAAGAAGAAGAAGGAAAAGAAGAAGCAAATAATGCTGGTATCGACGGCGCGGAGGGAGGTAATAATCATAACAACATAGACAAAGAATTAGCGACTGTTACGATACATGCTCAACAGCTACCGAAGGGAACGTATGTGCGGCTTCGTCCTCTTGAAGCGGGGTATGATCCGGAAGACTGGAAAGCCTTACTGGAGCGCCACCTACGAGAGAATTTTACAACACTGACAGTTGGAGAACTTCTTACCGTTCCTGGAGGACGAAACAAGCGCTTTGAGTTCTTGATAGACAAGGTTGCTCCGCAGGGAAGTGGTATTTGTATTGTCGACACCGATCTAGAGGTGGACATTGAGCCTCTGAACGAAGAACAAGCGAGAGAGACGCTCAAGAAGCTTTCGCAAAAAGCCTCGCGCAAACCGGGCACTGAAAAGGGAAGTTCGCCTGGGGGGCCGATCGCGAAAGGTCAAAACATACAGGGCCGGGTCAGAAGAGGCGAATATGTAGATTACGAACTCCGTGCTTCGGATTTATCACAGGGGACGCTGCAATTAGAGTTGGAAGTTGCTGATGGAGTCGATCTTGATATCTTCGCCAGTCCTCTTTCACCGTATCAAAGAGCGTATCCGAGGAGCGATGAGTATGTATTCGGCGACATGTCCTCGAAGTCATATAAGGCACTCAAGCTACAATCATCTTTACCGGAACTGGCCGATGCGGAGAAGTTATATGTCTCTGTACATGCCTTTCTTCCTCCTGCAGAGACCAATGCAGATGTAGAAGACGAAACAGAAGCGCCACTTGAATATATCCTTCGTGTTTCCGAGAGCACACAGTCTGATGTTGATGTTGATGCTGATGCTGACAATGCCTCTGCAATGGAGCATGACCCTGGAGACGTTCAATGTAGGAACTGTCAACAATGGGTTCCGCAACGTACCTTGTTCCTACATGAGAATTTCTGTCTTAGAAACAATATTCTCTGTCCAAGGTGCAAAAACGTTTTTCAGAAATCTTCGACTGAATGGCAAAATCATTGGCATTGTGAACATGATGATTCTTACGGCAATGACATAACCAGCAAGGAGAAGCACGAGTTTGTCTCCCACAGAATACATCCCTGCTCCAATTGTGATTATGTCGCAACTAGCCTGCCGGCCCTGGGCCATCACCGAACAACCAGGTGTCCTGGCAAGCTGATTCTTTGCCAGTTCTGTCATTTGGTGGTTCCACAGCAAGGAGATTCCGATCCAGGTATGAATGACCCCGAAGTTCTACTCTCGGGCCTTGCACCGCATGAAATTGTAGATGGGGGTCGTACAACAGAGTGCCATTTGTGCAATAAGATTACTCGACTTCGCGATATGAAGACGCATCTACGCCATCACGATCTCGAACGTCTTTCACGGCCAGCGCCTCCAATATGCAGAAATATCAATTGTGGTCGAACACTTAAGGGCTCAAAACCGGGGAGTACCGATGCCTCACTGGGCTTGTGCAGTATATGCTTTGCCCCCTTATACACCGACGCGCATGATCCTGAGGGCAAAGCATTGAAGCGCCGCATTGAAAGGAGATATATGTCACAAATGCTCTCGGGCTGCGGCAAGCCCTGGTGTTGTAATCGATATTGCAAAACAGGCCATCAACGATCCTCTTCCTCACCTGCTGCTCCCTCGACTCTGCCCACTTCTTCAAAGGACATTCTCCAAGTCATAAGACCTCTGATGGATGCGATAAATACGAATCCTACTGTATCGTCATCATCATTAGAATTGCCTCCGTTCTACCTCTGTGCTGACGAGACAAGTCAGCAGCGACGGACGCTTGGGGAGATGATTGCTGCCGAGGGTGTTTACGACATTAGATGGTGTCTCGCAGCGCTGGAGTCCGCTGGAGGCGACTTTGAAAAGGCGAGAGATTGGCTGAGTGGATGGGCTCCGAAGAAGGATGAGATGCGCTAGCCACGATGCCCTTACGTTGATGTATAGAGAAGCCTACTTGCATTATATTATTATGACATCCGGATAGAATAGATACAGCATTTTTAATATATACCTATATCATGATTCATAGATATTCATTCACTGAATTGGATGTTTTTGTGTCTCCATTACTCCTACAGCATCAGCAAATCTATTATCATCTAACATATGTCTGTTATTGACAATCTGAATCCAAGACCATCTCCTCCTTTTAGTTCCAGCAGCTCTCCCGTGTCGATTAGGGGAGTGATCAGAAAGACCCCGTCTTCGCAGCCAATGTGCCACTACCCCTCGACGAGAAAATTCCCATAATTCCAAACACAATGTAAAACAGAGCCAGTGGATACGCGACCAAAAACCGCATACCACGCATTCGTCCCACGGCACAGAACATGCCAGAGCTACTATATGTACACCAGCCCACAGCGGCCGAAGTGAGCAGGTACCCGAACATGGTGTCCATGGGGAGTAGGACACCAATCAAACTGGTCAAGACGAGAGGTAAGAAGCAATATCCCAAGACACTCGCGGAGCGGGGGAACGTTAAAGTCGCGGAAAAATGGCCGCTGCCGATACCTCCTGCTGCCGATGAGCTTGGTACCGATGGCTTTTGGTGGGGATCGTAGTTGCCAGGATCAGCGGCATTCGGAATTGGCGATGATCCGGCATGGCTGTCTAGTGAGGGCGACATAAGGCTTAGGATGAGGTGAAGAGCTAAGGTGCCAAACACTGCGACGCCGTAGATGTAGCCGTAAAACACTTTGCCGGAGAAGAGGAGGAACGTGCCGTATAAGACTATGTAGAGAATTGCGCCGTACAGATCGCTATCATCCATTAAATGCTGGTCTATTTGTGCGAAAGGGTTAAGGACTGTGAGGGTCTATTTTTTTTATCAGAACCGCATGGTTAGGTTAGCTTGGGGTTATTGTATATATTTTGCCCTGAAGAAAGAACTGTACAGACCTTGGTCTGGATATGATCGAAATTCACACCCAACTCCTCCAACAAAGGAGGCTCTCCGTCATATCCCTCCGTGCCAAAAGCTGCCAACCACCCGGTCCTTAATCCACCTTGTTCTCCCATTCTGCCCGAGACAGATGGCCCTGCAGGGCCACTGCCGAAACCTGCTCCTCCTCCATACCCTCCAGCACTGCCGCCCACTGCGCTAGGGTAGGCCTGTGCTGGTTGGCCACCATACCCAACACCGTACGATGCCTGAGATGGCGTTGTATGGCCCGAGACTGTGTAGGAGGAGGGGTAGAATTGGAGGTTTTGTGGCGAGGACTGAGAGCCGTAGGATGGTTGTTGGGGGTAGTATTGGGCCATGATGGGCCGGCCTAGGTGTGTGCGCTGTTATCGACTTCAAACGATTGAACGGAAGAGCGCTGATGACTTGCAAGTTGAGTGTCTAAGTGAGGTTGAGGTTGCTGGCTGGAAGTGTATGTTTGACCAAGTTGAAGTTGGAGTTGTGGAGTAGACAGCTTGGCCGATTGGAAGCACCCGTGATTGGCTGTCTTTCGTCTACTTCACATCGGCAACAACAACCGTCGCATGCTCCAGTACTATGTGCTATCTATGGGATATATGAATAGAGTAGGAGATTTATGTTATTTGCCGCAACAAAATTGGATATTTATCAGCTCAGAACCATGTGTGCTAAAACGTTAGTGCTACAGAAACATATGCATGTATGTCTACAAGAAATTGATTCCAATCCCCAGCTGGAGACCTTTCCTTCCTTCCTCTCCTTTGCGCTGGAAGACAGGAAGAGAGAAGTTCAGCTCAAACCGAGCGACGGGATGCGCATATACCAGTCCAATACCAGCTGCTGTGCTGGGAAGCCCGTTACCAAGCTCACTTATGGTTGACGTGATTGCATCCTTAACTTGGTCATTGGTTTTCGGAGGTTCGTTGTTAGAAGTACGAAGAGAGAGCAGGCGGCCTGCGTTGACAAATGCTTGCAAGCGCAGTGGCGTATCACGGCCAACACGTGGCAGAGGAACAAAGAGGTTTGCGCTTCCTGCTGCATAAACATCGCCACCAACGGCATCACTGCTGTCGCGGGGACCAAGACCCGCCTGGCGGAAACCTCGAACGTCTGTGGGACCACCTAGCAAGAAGCGATCATTGATACGAGACGGCTGTGGTGGTGATTTCGGGTCGAGACTCAGAGGGTAGAGAAGACCAGCCCGCAGACCAGTCGTGAAGCTGACACCGCTTGGGCCTTTAATACCGGGAATGGGAATGGGAATGGCCCCTTGAGTTTCAAATTCCGATTTCCAGAATGAAACATCTCCTTTAAGTGGGCCCACTCCAGCAACCTCGTTGAGAGTTTTGGCGTATAACCCGCTAGATGGCAAAAGGGGGTGGTTCCTGCCATCATAAACCCAAGTGTGCGAAATGCTGCTTTTGACGCTGTCACCCGCATCGCCCCGAACAACCAGCGAAGCATCTGGCGACAACCCGGTGACTTGCCTCCAAAACCCGTTATACGTAAGTTCATGACGTTGACTTGCTTGAGTTTGCCACCGCAGCCTGGCCCATCCTCCCTTGAGGACTTCTTCATGGCTTGCCCAGGGCTTTTGTGTGGCACTGGCTATGGCTCCGACTTCCCAGCGGAAGTTCGGATCGCTCAAAACTGGGGCCTCAAATGCAGCCTGGTACGCAGACCTCGTCCGAGTACCCAAAGATGCATTCAAATTCAGCGTCTCGGCACCGCCGAATATGTTCCGCCACAACAAGTTCCCGTAAGCGGAGCCTTCGGCATTACCCAAGTCAGTTCCGGTTTTCAGTAGAATCCTTGACTTCTCTCGAACAGACAGATAAACGTCAAGGTCGGTGGGCAAGGCATTTGGATCTGTTGGTTTGTCCAGGAAAATCGAAATGGGTTCGTGGAAGACATCTAGAGCGGTGTATAGTTAGTTACAAGCTTCATCGATATATGTGACAGTTCAACCTACCAAAGCGGCTAAGTTTGTCTGCTCCTTGAGATACTTTCTGCAGAGCTTCCGACAGCGTGTAAGGTCTTGTTTGATTGGCACTGAGGATTGGATTGAAGATGCGTTCCAAGAAGCCTTTCCGAGTATGATTCGCGTTGAGTATCTGTATGCGGGAAATAGTGACTGGCAACGTCGAGTTTTCGTCGATCTGGAGCGGAAGCACAGGGAGTTAGACAGAACGGAGCTTCATCAACCAACCGCTTAGGGTGATATTGGTATATGTACCGCTTCCGCAAGTCGAGCTTGCGCTTTTTGGTAGATGGCATTAATTCGCTCATTCATAGCTTGCTGTTGCTCCTCCAATAATTTCGGATCGGCGGGTTGCTGTAGCCGGTTGAAGATCTGATCATTGTCGCGCTTCAAGTCAGTAGATGTCACATTTATATGTAAGCAGAAGATGCTGGCCTGGAGCTCTTACATCCTCATCATCGCTCGTGAGTGAGGAAGCCATTTTGGCGGCTCAATGGGTGCGATCCAAGAGTGTTTTGCGTTTCTGCCGGCGAGCGGAACATCGACGAAACGTACAGTACACACGTGATGGCCCGTGCGTGGACGGTTGCACTTTCCCAGTTGCCGCCTGCCGGATTGGGACGACCGAAGACCGTCCAGGCACCGTCTTTTCGTGTCTCTCTCTCTCTGTCTATGCTTCTCACGGTTTCATAACCCAAACTTCGCCTGCGATATTATTGCATAGAGATAGACGCACATAGGTTCCCTACGTGCAAGACTCGCCAGCAGTCTAGTTCTCGGCTTACCTGGCTCCCTCTCCCCCTCAACTTGCCCACACCACCGCGCTTTTCCCGAAGAGCGATCAGGATGGCTACCAGGGCTGCACATAAGCGAGTAAGTCCTCATTACAAAGAATCTTAAACTTCAGCTCACAACTCTAACTTCATCTAGCTCACTCGCGAGTATCAAAACATCCAAAAGAACCCGCCTCCGTTTATCGTGGCACACCCATCAGAGACCAACATATTAGAGTCAGGATCCCTCGCCACCAAACATGCAGAAGATATACTAATAAGCCGAGTCGTGCAGGTGGCATTACATATTGACCGGACCGCCGAAAACTCCCTACGAAAATGGCCAATACTGGGGTACTTTGATCTTCCCACCGGAATACCCTTTCGCGCCACCGGCTATTCGTATGCACACACCTAGCGGTAGATTCCAGCCATCTACGAGATTATGTCTCAGTATTAGTGACTTTCATCCAAAGTCTTTTAACCCAGCGTGGGAGGTGTCGACAATTCTTATCGGTCTGCTGAGCTTCATGACCAGCGAGGAAATGACCACGGGCAGCGTTAGTGCCTCAGACAGTGAACGCAGGCTTTTCGCCGCACGTTCACGCTGGTGGAACTCTACAGGCGGAGGATCGCAATCCAATATCCCTGCTGGCGTTACGACCTCCAGCAGGGGAATCAACAATATTAAGGCTGGCGATGGCGGCCTTAAATTTCGGACCGAGTGGCCAGAATTAGATGAAGAGAATTGGAAATGGATAAAGGACAATCGTATCGACGCAGCAACTGGGCATATCATTCCTGACCCCAATTCTTTAACATCAAACAACTGCTCGCCCGAGACCTCGGCCTTTCGTCGACGTCCTATTGGAAGCGGTCCGCGACTGGGCGCCGTGATGGGAGGCGGTCAAGTGGCGAGAGAAGCAGGCCAAGGCTGGGTTCGTCGACACAAGTTCTGGGTTGGACTGGCCGTGATTTTTGGATATGCTCTTATATCGAGGCTATATCAAGATATACAGGGCTCATAAGTCCATTTTCAGGGGCGAAGAGTCGTTTCGCTCTGCCTCACATGGTTGAACACCTCTTGAGCAGCTCTATTCACCAAATTTTCTGTACTTGAAGGGGACAGAATCAATGTTATGTTTTTCATAGATTCTTATTTTTGTGTATTACCACGTTATTCCCAGACCTTCGCCTGGTATTGTCATTTTCTACTTAATAATTTATTCATGCAGTCGATACTCTCAGACTTCCAAGACAAAGAATATCCAGAAACCGCGGCATTATGCACAAACAGTGATTTTGTTCCTATGATTTACTTAAGTCGAACCACCATCCAAAGTATCTTCATATATTTCACTATATTTATTGATTACATATGCAGAGTTGACACTCGGACCCGCCGAGCGTCATCCATTGCGCCGGCGGGCCGGGAATTTTCCTTTGCGCTCCGCGGAAGGCGAAAAAAAAATCATAGATCAAGACAACAACAGCATACATATCAATTGTAGGCCAAAATCATCACACGCGATTGCGCAAACCGTTTTCTCTGCCTGACTTGTACAAGACCCCTTTTTTTTTTTCTTTGCAAATATATTCGTTTTTGATTCACAGCAGCAATGGGTTGGTTTTGGGCAGATTCTCAGCGGCCGGCCGCTATGCCTGCTACCACGCCTTCAACAGCAGCAGCGCCTCCAGTGAGTTCTTGTCATCACCAGAAATCAATTTAAGCGTCGTGCTAATTTAGAATAAAGCCTGCATGCCCAATGCATCAGAAGGATTCTGCATCTCAAGTACCCAGCACATTGGAAGCATCGCAACCAAGCGCGTGCCCCGTGAAAAGGTCACCTAATTCACCGTTCTACACGCCGCCCCCATCACAGCCACAGCAGCAGTCATCTTCAGAGAACCAAATATCGAATGCCGAGTCATCCTCGTCGAGTAATAAATCAAGGATAAACCCACTTAACTATATGTTCTCCTTCATTTCACAAGAACGCGCCCCAAGTCAGACAGTCGATTTGCCCGTTGATCGTGAAATCTCCTCTATTCCACGCGCTGACGGAGCCGGAGGGAACTGGGAATACCCGTCGCCGCAGCAGATGTATAATGCGATGCTTCGAAAGGGATATACTGACACGCCACAAGACGCGGTGGAGTCGATGGTCGCGGTGCACAATTTTCTGAATGAAGGCGCTTGGGCCGAGATAGTCGAATGGGAGCAGATATTCTCAAAAGGCTTGGGTAGTGGCTGGGAAAAGTGTAAGCGTGGCAATGAGAATCTTGCGATTGAGTTGGCCAAGGAACGGATCAGAAACAATCTGGACGAAGAGCAACCCTCTCTCGTACGATTTCAGGGACGCCCACAGGATTTGAGTCCAAGGGCTAGGATAATGCAAGCTCTGGGATGGCTGTATCCGGCTAAGTTTGGGTGAGTCAACTATCATTTTTCTACTATGCAGCAAAGAAGTTGGTATATAGTAACATCCATCCTGCAGAACCGAACCACCCTTTGATCGACATGATTGGTACGTGTCTCGACAAACACCCTCCGGCACGAAAGAAGTCCGCTATGTGATTGATTACTATTCCGGGCCGCCTGAGCCAACCGGTGAACCCGTGTTCTTCTTGGACATCCGTCCAGCTGTAGACACGCCCACAGCGGCCGTTGAGCGGCTGATGAGATGGGGAGGAGATGTCTGGTGGCGAGCTAGCGGTGGCCAGGCACGAGAGAATAAATAAGTCAGCAGCTCCATGCAATTGGATTGGCTCTTCTCCCATTTAGAGAGAGTTGTGTCGATCTATATTAATATCGACGCTTTCCTCGAAAAGCAACAACAACAACAACAACATTGTACTACCACGGTCACGATCAGTCAACTCGTGACAAAAGGATGAATGAGTCTTGCATATCCCGGATTCAACGGCGTTCTCCAATTTAATCGCGTATATGTTTACAGGCACTGATAATGATTATTCGGGCTATGTTTTCTTTTCTTTTTTTTTTTTTTGCCTTTCTGTCTGTATTATTTGATTACAATATCTCCTTTCTAACTTTTCATGTATGATATTTTGAACAAAAATGCTTTTGTTAAGTACGTATTAATATGGTTGGTGGATTGGATGTATAACTAACTATCACTAAGATTTGGTTTACCTAACAAGAATCATACCTCGGTATATATCCACAAACCAAAGAGATGAGTCCAGTCCGAAAAAGGCATTCGATCGTGAATATTGTAGCAGCCATCTACATCATACTCTAATATTACATGTATGTACTAATGTACTTTACGTACGCATGTGCGTAGGGTGTTCTATTCTAAATGTTGGGTGCCAGCATATCGTACTTTACGCACATTTCCACACCTTCCAGAGTGGCCTGAAGGAATGTGCGTGCTTCGAGACCTACCCAGACTCGAAGCATTGAAGTATTGCCGCCACGCACTGATCGGAATAGTGTTGAGCCTGAGCCAAGTTGACGGAGAATCGGGAGGGCACTGCATCGAGGTCATTAGCTGTGCAACTAAAACGATGAGTATATTGTACATGTGCACTACATACCTCTTGAACAAATCAAGATTCGGATCTAGACTCCTTCCGATTCCCTCCAACAATAAAATCGATATAACGACATTGACAAAGTCACCTTCAAGGCGCACATGATGTTCTCGCACCATTTGGAGCACCTGACTCAAAACATCGCCAATCTTGATATTGCCTAAAGCAAACGTCCGTGATTTGACGCCTAGCACGAGGTGCTGCATTTTTAATGCAAATATTTCAGCATCAATTACTGCTTCTGGTTGTCGGCAGCGTTCGACCATCAAATGGCCCGCTTTATATCCATCAAACTCGGCAACTGCACGGAACAAGTCTAAGAAATTGCGTCGGTTTTTATCGTTTAGTTGTGTTACAAGCCCTGTGTCGATAAATAGCAGTTGAGGTCGGTAACCCTCTTGATCTAATCTATCAAGCGCTGCCTTCCAGGCGTCCCGATCTTCCATGTGAGGCCGTAAGCGTCGTAGCACGTGTTCGTTGACATCTAGTTCTGCGGACGATGTGGCTTCGAGTGCCCGCGTTGGAGCATGAAGAGAGATATCAAGTTCACTGGGTTTGTAAAAACGAACCATAATGTTTCCCGGATGAAGGTCAGCATGGACGAAGTTGTCAATGAGCAACATACGCAGAAAAGCGTCAAGTCCCTCGTCTGCAATTTCCTTCTGGTAAACACCGCCTCCTTTCTCGAGGAACACAGACAATGGGATGCCTTGTGCGAATTCCTCAACAAGGACTTCTCTCGTAGTATATTCTGAATATGGATATGGAAACCAGGCTGTAGTGCGTGATTTGAAATGGTCTCTAAAAATTGCCAGATTAGCTCCTTCTATTCGCAGATCAAGTTGTAATTTCATCATTTCCCCAAATTGCTGTACTTCGCCAGGCAGGGACAGCCACTGCATGGTTGGAATGATGTTGATAATTTGAGCGAAAATGTTCATGATGTTCAAGTCTCTCTTCACAATAAGATCTACTTTCGGATGGAGGACCTTGACAGCAACATAAGAAGAAGGCACTCGCTGAGGCGAGCTCTTGACGAGAACATCGACATTCTTTCGTACTCTGGCGGCCAAGTCTTTAGGCATATCTCGCATTTCGTCTGCATATTGGGCGGCTAGGTCCGGCTTTAATTTGGCCTTGTACACCTGCGCAATGGCGCCAACGCCAAGAGGTTCTTCTTGAAATTCTTCGAATATCTCGTCAAATGGAAGGCCCTTAAAAGCCCTGCGTAGTATCTTTTTCGTGGCTTTCAACGAATGCGCCGGCGCATGGGAGTGGAGAGACGACAGTCGAGCACATAGCTCCGGAGGGAAAATGTCTGTTCGGGAGGCAGCCCATTGACCCAGCTAGCCGACCCCAGTCAGCAGGAAAGCGACAATAAGAAAAGGGAATGGCGGGTACCTTTATGAAAGCTGGACCGGCCCTTTCCATTGATTTCACCAGGAAATCAAACCACCATAAAGTCCCCCAACGTTGGTTATTGCGGTCAGGATTTCGCCTGCCGATCCATACCACCGGGACAGATATCAAGACAGGAAGGAAAATGACGGTCAAATGGAGAAATCTGAAGCCCGTTGCAATTGGTTCGTAGACGTAGGAATAGAGAAATATGCATATCTGTTGCTTAAATCGAGTGTAGCCGCCTACATCGGCGGACACTGTTTTGCGCAGCTCTTGCCGCGAGGCCCGTAGCATTTGCTTTTCCGCAGTCTCATCTTCGCTGGTCTTTTCTGCCAACTCCATGAACGCCGCGGGGCCCAATGCGGCGGCAAAGAGCACAGAGCCCAGGATCGGAGCTCTGGCTCTGGATCTCCTGGCCAAGTTGCTCCATTGTTGGAATCGGGGACCTTGCGATCGAGGTCGAGGGGCAGAGAAAGTGCGCAGTGGTGGAGGTGCGGCGAGTTGGGTAGCTCCGCGCCGAAGACAGAAACGGCGGAACAAATCGACCACTCTCATGGTTTGATGCCAAAGTGGAGAGGACGATTGCAGGCCATAGATCGAAGGCAGAGCATGGCGGTGGTGCTGGATGAGGTTTTGCCCGTCTGAGTTGCTCGCAGAACGAAACACATACGGTTGTCATCGCGAGGTCATGGCGGAGCCCCACATGAAGTGGGATAATCCCGCTGCTGATTGGTTGGCACACCACACTAGCTTAGCTTGTATATTACATAACAGCCAGCCTCTCACGTGACTAACTAGTTAACTAGTAATGAGGTGGTTAACTGACGAGTTATGCAGTCCAGTGCCGATGCTGGTTTTGGTGCTGAAGCAGCCACGATAGGCGAGGCTGCCAAAACAAGGAGGAATGATTATGATTTGCTAAGAGCAGTTGATTCCCGATGCGGTTAGATCCCTGGCACGGGACCTGGCACGGGACTAGCGGATTAGTGCAGGATTAATGCAGGATTAATGCTCAGTGTTGCGTGCACTACACGCAGATCATCTGATCTGGGCTACAACATCGAACAAGTATAGTTACGTACCTCGCTCCTGCATAGCCCGGGCTGACTGGCTGCTGGTGAAATGCCAAGCAGCAGGATTGATAAGCTAAGCTTTGCAACGAGCGCGCATTCCACGCCCACAATTCCCACCGCTTCCGGCAATGCTGTGCCGCGCCCGGAAGGTCGGATGCCAGCCATGATTACTAAAGACTACGCGAGCAGCCTTGGCCCAGTTAACTCACCATGACTTATGGCTGACTAGTTACGAGCAGTATTTGCTGCTCCTTTTTCCTTGAGTCACTCGCTGCCTGGTCCCCAACGCCCTGAAGAAATGGTAAACCTCTATGCCAATATCGATACAGAGGATCTCGGCGGAACGATCTAACCTCCCAAAATGGCTTGGGCTGACAATCTCGAAGCAGATGTTAAGCTCCAGCCCAGCAGTCCCCGACCACGGCATGTTTTGCTGTTGCTGGTGCTAGCATCCATCCTCGGTACCATTGTATTTTATCTGGCTCTGGGAGTTCTTTTACTTTGCTATTCTTCAGATGCTTCTCCGCTACTGGCCGTCATCACCACAAGCTCGCGGTTGAATGACCAGTGGAGTTATTGGTCGCCCTTTTACGCTGTCTCGAAGAGTAGCATTGCGCTTTTTGAAAAACCCAAAGGTCTCAACGTTGTCGCTGTCGTGAGCTATAGGAGTCTCGAGCGGACCTCCGTTTTGGACTGTTATCTTCAGGTAAGCTCTTTCCTTCTGACCGTGTATAGCCATGCATGACGCGCATGATCTAAAGGTTGTTCGTCGTTTTAGAGAAATCTCGTCGAGAATGGCGGTCTATTAGACGAGGTTGTGTTCATTCCGGAGACCGCCGAGCCGATGCATCTCGAATGGCTTGACGAGACGGTGAATAAATCGGACTCTTATTCCATCCAGCCTTCTTGGCAGGAACTGCCCTTTTTGAACAATGACGGCGAAAGTAATAAGAGCCATCATCTATATGTTAAAATCGACGGAGACGTGGTATATATCGAGGATAATGTGATCCCAACAATTGTCAATACGAAACTGCAGCATCCAAAAATGACCCTGGTATCTGCCAATGTTATTCACCAACCAGCAGTCGCGAAATTCCACCGACGGCCTGGGGTAGTTGTGCCCCAGCTGTTTGATTTTGACTCATGGACAGCAAGCACTTCATATGAACAGGACAATCAGCGTGAACCGACTCTGCTGTATTGGAAAAACGTGCTTACAATGCAATGGCAGGGATGGTTGCGCCGTGCGGGCAGACTTCCAGGGTCGGCTGATGCTTTTTCAACACCAGCAGCATCGGCATCGCTACTAGGTGACACTGAAAGATATGCCTGGGTAGCCCAGGCCCAACAACATAACTCATTCCTACATCATCTCGAGCGCGGGGATATGGATTTGCAACGATACAAGTTCCCGCTGTGGATAAATCCACCGGAAGAGGTCTCCGGTGCATTTGTTTGCGCTACTAGAGCCGATATGACTGCTTTGATGACTACAAGCGAGAAGGATGGTAGCAACTTGTCGACGCAGTTGCTGAAGAAACATACGATAATTGATGGTAAGGGAGTCGTATCGCATTATGACGGCATAGCGGGCTTGGACGGATTGGATTCGACCAATGTGCTTGGTCGGTATCGAAGCTATGCTGAGGAGAATGTCTGTCCGAAGCGGGACAGCTGAGTCTTTGTCATGATATTCTATGATATGAAAAATCTTTGTTTGTCTGTGTGTTCTATTTAGCGTGCGTGAAATATCCAAAATGACTTTTTGTTTCACTCGTTGACTTTTTTTTTTATGCCCACCTAACTTGGTTAGTCAACTTAGCGTACGATAGCTATCCGCACTAACCGCAACAAGTAAATAGCGGGGACTCAAATACTCCTAAAAGTTAACCAACTCCGCATTCTCATTTCTAAGCCCTTTCTTTTTTTTTTTTTTTTTTTTTTTTTTTTTTTTTCTTACTCTCTGAACAACAGATACCAAGCCAAAATGTCGATATTAAAACAACCACCTCCCAATGAAGCAGACGTTATCTTCAATCGCGCAAATATAGCCCTCGCCCGGAGTCAACGACTTGTCGCATCATGGCTTCCGGCCAAGACCGAGGAGGAAACATCGGCTAGCCGAGAGGGCAAGACCGAAGACGAGGATGATGACAAAATATTCACGGCCGTTCCTGAACGGTATGTCTTTCTTATAGAACCTTTTCAGAGTGTGATACTAACCGGTCTGTAGACTAGGTCTTGGGGCACCGATACCCGCAAAACCGGGCTTTGCGGCAGATGGAAGTTTGACGAATAGCAATAATAATATAAAATTGAATGATAAATTACGACAGCGATTGCTAGGCAAGAATGCGAAGAAATTCCTACAGCAGCAGCAACAACAACAACAAAGGCAGGCCAACAAATCCGGGACGTCTTCAGCACCGGGTGAGAATGCAGTCGGACATAATGATGATGACGACGACGAAGATGAAGAAGAAGGAAGAACATCGCTTGGAAAAAGCAGAAAACCCAACAGCAAGAAACGGAAGATAAAATCTACGGATGCGGAGATGGTGCCTGATGAAGATAATAATAACAACAACCACGACGCCGAAATAAACAGTGCCAACGGTGCGAATGACGTCGACGATGAGAATGGGGATATCAAACAAATACCAACAGTGGTTCCTGTCCCTTCTTCTTCATCCAGCTCGAAACGAAAGAAAGCTGCAACAGGCAGCTATTTGGATGAATTGTTAGATAGAAAGAAGAAGAAAAAGAAGAAAGCGGCGAATGAGTAGCTAAAGGATGAATGAGAAAAGCTCATCTCTGCCGTTACGGATTAAAGGATCCCATATACATTGCGTCTAGAAATTCACATTACTGCTCACATAGAGAAAAGTGCGTACAATATGAATCTTACAATATTTTGTTATCAATATAATAATATAGTTGAAAAAAAGACGAACAGGAATAGGTCAAGACCATCATATACTTCAAAAAGAAAACAAAAATCGATTCCTCGAATGGAAGAATGTGTGGTGAGGGAACAAAATAGAACAAAAAACAAGGGATGGACTTATGTATGTTATTGTACACACTGGACAAACGAAAAAAAAAAAAAAAAAAACTCCCTCCATTCGCCTTACAGTGACTAGATCATGGGTATAAAGGTGATTGTTGTTATATAAGTCAAGAGTGAGGTTGTCGAGGATTTTGAAATTTGTCGTTGGTATTAAGTTGTGTAATGTTTATGCGAGTAGGACGGGAAATAGACCAAAATGCGACGCAGGATATGCAACAAATGGTTCCAGAGTTATAAAAGAAAGAAAGTAGTCGTCCTATTGAACTCGTTTCCGTTTGCGGTCCTCGGTGATGGGATCGTCTTCCTCGGGCCGTTCGCTAGTATCAGTAGGATTGAGAAGTGAGTGCACATTGCTAGCCATACTGGATCGACGTGTAGCTGGCAGAGAAGTGTCATAACGTGTGAATCTGGAGGCGCCAGAAGCAGACCACGCAGGATCAACGCTTAGGTGTTGATGTGAAGATGAAGATGAAAGTGGTGGTGGACCTGATTCAGGAGGGCCTAGAGGCGGTGTGGCATGTCGCGATATGTGGTTCCGTCGCCTTGACCCACTGAGCTCGTACTGTGCTAAGACCTCGCGAACTTGCTGATCGCTTGACGCAGGGATTCGATGTGGAGAAGACGGCCACGGCCCAGATGAGTTGCCGGCTGTATTTCCAAAGGGCGATATCCCGCTTGGCGGCCACCCGTGCTGGCGGATATCTGCGGAAGTATGTCGACGGGCAAGCATACTTGAATCAGATGGTGAGGTAGCTGTGGACAATGGCGGAGGCAGTGGAGGTTGCTGCTGAGGAGGAAGTGGCGGCCGATTGTAACCTGGAGAAGAATGACCGGTGCCAATAGAACCGTAACGACGGGGTGAAGCAGCTAGATGTTGAGAAATATGAGTTCTCAGAGCATTTGGCTTGGAGGTATCTGCCAGTGAAGGACGGCGGCTGTCATCCTGAGGCATCTGACGTGGAGAAAGAGGCGGGCCAGCTTCCGCTACGTTCGCGTAGAACGGCTGTTGTCGACTAGACAGAAGACTTTCATGAGGAGTCTCCAGAGCACGTGTGCTATCTAGATGCCGTTCAATCTCCTGTTGTAGCTCCGAAACTAGTGACGCAGTTAGCTATTATTGACCCTTCGGGGAAAACAATGAAACGGGCCGCATTACCATCGCGATATAGAGTACTGTCACGATCTTGATGCATGGTAACAAGGACTTGAGAAATGGAATTTGTCCACTAGATGGAATACATTAGTCAATATCCTTCCAGATGATGAGTCGACCACCTTACCTGATGGCATTTGACAAGGCATTCTGCCAGCGCCTGACACCGAGAGCTCAATATGTAGTTGGTCTCTTCCCACCGCAACATGCGATTTTGCATCTCATACATCGAGTGCTCCAAATTCAAGATGCGCATGTCGCCCGTATCGGGTATGGGCTCAGCTGGAGTTCCCGGTTGCGATAGTCCCGGCTTGTTGTTCGAGAAGGAATCCCGGTGGATAAGAGTATGTCGGGATGCTCGCCGTTTGATCTCTCGGAGACCAACCAAATCGCCTCTTTTGAAGTTCCCATTGCCGTGTTTGAATTCCCAGAGCGCTGAGTCAGGCGAGCTCGTATGAAAGACATCGCTTACTACTAACGGTCAGAATGCTTGTTACATTTCGTATATTCTGAAACAAAGACGATCCTCACCTTTGTGAAATCCGTACATGTTTAATTGTCGCACAAACGACGAGATGTTGGTGTGTTTGAAGTATTGCCTAGCAGAGAGTAAGAAGGGCGATTCTTTCCTTGACGGATGCATTTGTTTCGCACTTACGACAAGACCTTAGAGAAATCGGAGGTGGGGGACATGACAAAGCTTTCGTTCGAAGTGGACCATGAGATCAGATGCTGGATGCTCGGATCTTCAAGCATGCTTTGAGTAATCACCAAAAGTCAACATGGAACCGAGTATACCAACTACACCCAAAAAAACGCGAGCTTACTTGTATAGCTTATGTATAAATGCCGTCTGGACTACCTTTGGTTGCTGCGCCGCGGCGGCTGCTCCTAGCGATTGACCCGGACCTGAACTATTCGCGTGACTTGTGTTGGGACCGTCTGACGAACCGTTTGCATTGGGTACGCTGGAGTCGCCATCTGAGTGGGTTGAAACCGACGTCGCCGGCACGGCACTTGTCACCTCCATGGGATCACCGCGATGAGCTTCAGCAGCCGGCACGGAGGAATTCAGCACAGGAATGTTCCGCTGTCTGTCGCCTGGGACGGAGAAGGGGCTTCTCGAGGGGAGCTCGGCGACTCTGTTCATGGCGACGCAGAGAATTGGGATTCAGAGTCGCGAAAAGAGTAGCCGGTATTATGGCAGCAGCTTCTTCGGATTCTCCGTCTTAGGAGTCGTGCGAATCGCCCCGGTTCTCAGCGCAGTGCAAAGTGTGCCGTCGCGCTGCTCGCCAATCGTGTTCGTAAACGTGCGTCGCGAATGGGCTGCAAGACTCACGGCCAACAGAGCTCGGCGGGTGCAAACATGGTGATGACACAATATCAATCAAACGGTTGGGTGTCACGAGCAAACAGCGAGAGTGATAACAAGCCGGCGGAGACTGGATGGATATACAGACGACGTTATACAAGGCAGTTGGATTGAGTCTTCAGGGCAACGCAAACGAAGGGGGATGAAAAAGGGAGTTGCGGGGGAGCGAGTCCGGCGCCGGGGGTTTTCCTCGTGCCGTAATGCCGTTACACGTTACAGTACGTCCATGCAAACGCAAATTCCTTCCACTGCAGGCACGCACGATCGCTGTGTGTGTATATCGTAACTACTATATTACTGACCTCTTCGCTTCTTTCTTTGTTTGTTTCTTCCTCTTCTGGTTTTCATTCTTTCATTCATTCTTTCTTTCTTTTTTGCTTTTCTCTGGCCACTCCTGCACTCGGCCGATCGAGGGAAAAGACAAACCAATACAAACACAAATACTTCACGTGAACTTCATATCTTCAGTGGCGCGCTGGCTGAAGAACTCGTTATCGTGATGTATACCTCACTACTTATGAGCACTGCGCGACAGGGGTCATCCTTGTCCGTGTACTCTATAGTTCACTGCACCAGCATCTCCAAGCCTCCAACAGCATGAAAGGACTGCAAGCCTGAACTGAACGCTGATGGGGGCCGAAGTCGATTCCTCACGGCTCAGGTGTCGACTTGCCCTATCTGGGTTAGCTCTGCCTGCGCCCCATGGCATCAAATTCACTCGGAAGGTCCCAGCATATCGGATTACATGTCATTTCAGAAAAGGCTTGTCTCTGTCTGCATAACTACTACTATGGAACTAATATAAACCATGTTAGTTACACTGTACATTGAGACATCGTCATTGGCGTTCTGTGCACACAGTTTCTGCCAGATGGCGACCCTCTTCGAAAATTGCCGCTGCTTTGAGGATTGTGAACTCCTCCCATCTCTTTGCAATTACCTGCATCCCAATCGGCAGCTTCGCCTCTGGTGAACCCGGTCCTTGGCCAAATCCGCACGGTATACTCATGGCAGGATGACCAGTTGCGTTGAATGGCGCCGTGTTAGTCGTGACCCCGACAGCAACGTGCAGCTTGTCCATAATGGAAGAGGCAGGTCCCTGGTCATCCGGCTTCATTTTCGGATGTGGCATAGAGACCGTTGGGTTGCACGGCGTAACGAGGACATCGAATTCCTCCAACGCACGATCGTATGCTGCCCGCAATTCAAACACTTTTCGATGTGCCTTGGCCTCGCTGACCGGGCCAAAGTGTTGGTTTAGAAACGGCCCAGTGAACATGATATTCACCAACGACGGGTTTGTAGCAGTAAGCAGCTCGTACATGTGCTGGTCGGGCGGCCATTGGACGCGGATGTGAGGTGGTAGAAAAGAGAGGGCCCCTCCCGGTTTGCCCTGGCAGGCAAAATCAGACGTGGACATCCTGGTAGCTGCTGTCCAGATTATGATCCCTTCTCGATGCATAGGAACGGATACTTCCGAAACGGTGGCCCCGGCTTTTGCGAAAAATGATTTAGCTGCTTGCAAGACCGTGTCTCGCACCTCTGCCGAAAGCCCCGGGATGTCGAAGGACTCGAGGAGCAAGCCCACTCGAAAAGACGAGCCCACTCTCTCGCCAGCTGTGAGGGATCGAGATTTAAATTCATATAGTTGTTTTGAATAATTCGGCACCTGGTTGCGAAGCGGCGATTCTGGGGTCATGCGAGGGTCAATGCCATCGTATCCCGCCATCACCTGCAAGAGGAGTGCAATATCATCTAGATTTTCTGCGATAGGCCCCAGATGATCAATCATGGGAACCAGGCCGACGGCTCCTGTGTACGGAACCAGTCCGAAGGTGGGTTTTAATCCATATATTCCAGTATAAGCAGCGGGCATTCGTACAGAGCCGGCTTGGTCACCACCGATGGCTAGTTCAACCGTCGGGCCAAACGTTTGGCCGGTCAGACGTTGAACAATATTTGCTGAGACTAGAGCGGCAGAGCCACTGCTGCTACCACCAGAAGTGCAGCCATGCATCCAGGGCGAGTGGACGGGGCCAGTAGCTGCACTGTATGACAATGGCGATGCACAGAAATTCTCACAGGTCGATGAACCTTTAATCGTAGCTCCTGCATCCAAGACTCGAGACACCACGGAAGCATCTATTGGCGAGAGAGGGAGATTTCCGTCATTGCAGAGTATGTCAGTGAAAGTCCCCAAGGTTGTTGGCAGACCTCCAACGGAGATATTGTCTTTGATTACAATAGTTCTACCCCGCAGCAAGGAGCTGGATGGCTGAGCAGCGACTAGCTCACAACAATGTCGCCAGGCATTGAGGGGATTTTCCTCGGGCTTTGGAAGCCAAAACACGCGTGGCTTTGTTGTCGGCAGCGGTGATAGAGACGGGTGAATATAATCGGCGCTGGCTTCTACTTGTCTCATAAGGGCCTCCGTCGACTGCAGCAGCAGCAGATAGGCATCGGCATCAGGGCCATCTGGAATGGAAATATTCAGCTTGGCCGCGATATCCTGTAAATCTTCTTTTGTGATTTTTGATCTGGGTTGTTTCGAACATTAGCTTCACAGGCACGCACGCATGCAGTCTCGCATTATTGATCAGACCGGCGGGGGGTTAGCTGACTGTGCTTTATCCGCTAAAAATGCGACAGACATGGCGGACAGGAGGTGTACAATGTAGAACTCATAAAACCGATGTATTCTGAATCCAAAATGAACTGGAGTTATGTAAATTTGTGAATGCAGATATCTAATAGCATGAATGTAGGCTGTGACTAGGATAAGCGGACTGTCCGAACGATGTATATCATGTGTCCGGAATCGGACCTGACCTAAAACTGAGCAGTATATCGATGCCAGCGGTAACACCGATGCCTAGGCTCAAATGAACAGGTGCGGTAGAGTGCTTTGTTTCATTTGAAATGAGAGCAGAGGAGTATGAGAGAGTGTTGATGTCAACAGTATGGACCGGAAAACCGACGAGAGAGACATTTATACCTAGCTAAACTAACTACTACATAGCAGTTAAGTACAGTATCTTCCTAACAATTTAATGTTTTAGGCAGAACAACTCTGAAATTGAATGACTGCCAAGCCCTTATTTGACCAACTGACTATTCCTGCCCATTGGCGAGAAGAACCCTACCGCCATCAACACAGAGAGAAATCCCGTCTACGTAGGCCTAAAAAAAAAAAATAAAAAATAAAACAGAGAGTATGATTAGCATTGTATATGTCTTTCATGATTCGATTCGCACTTACACCAGCCTTGCTGACCAGGTACATAACGGTGCCAGCGATATCTTCGGCCTTTGCTGCGCGTTTTGCAGGCACCTTATCAAACAGTGAGCTGAAGATGTTGCCTTCAGCACCAACCGGGTTCATATTACTTGGGACGACTGTGACAAAGGCAACATTCTCGTCAGCAAAGAATCCAGACTTAATCATCTAGAGCTAACACCTCCACTCACATCCGGGGTTGATTCCAACCACTCGCACATAAAATCGTTGATATTTAGCCGCCAGCAATTTGACAAGGTGATCAGTGGCTGCTTTACTGGCTGCGTAGCTTGTCAGGTCTACATTAGTCACATTGTGCATGCTTGCACACGAGCTGGTGATCACGATGACTCCGCGTCCTTCGTCACGACCGCTGATGGCGCCATCTTGTTCACTCTGGCGCTGGCTAGCGGCAGCTGAAAGGAGAGGGAGAAAGGCAACACTGAGAAAATAATGTGCAGTTGTATTTACACGAAACGTTTTCTCCCAGTCTGTCGCTTCGATGGACCACATCGATTCTTGTAGTTCCGGGAGCGATGCAGTAAGCACATTGCATTGGATTGGAGGATCTCGACGGATACCGGCATTTGAAATCAACATATCCAGGTGTTTTTCTCTGTTAGAAACTTCCTGCGCAAGGCTTTTGATTGATTCTTTGGAAGAGAGATCACATGGGAACCTGTTTGCAAGCAATCAGTCTCGCTAGTCGGCCAGAACAAACCGTTTTATTGAGAAACAATGGAAGATAAGAGTATTCAAATGCATTAACTTACCCATGAGCACTGCCTCCAGATTCTTGACCGATCTCGTTCAGCTCTTTCACAACCTCGTCGATAGGATCGCTCGGTAATGCAACCACGTAGACCTTTGCTCCATTGGATACCAGTGCCTATTGCAGAAGGCTCTCACTTCAGCTTTTGTACCCCGAAGTACCTAGGTAGTACCTTTCTTCCGGGTTCGAAGATGGGGAGATGAGAACTATATTGCACCTACTTTGCTTATCATGAGCCCTAACCCGCTGCTGCCACCAGTAACCAATGCCACTCGACCTTGGACGTTGAAGAGGTTTAGACAATTCAGCTCAGTCATCCTGCTAGTTATTCATAAAAAATTACTCAAAAATTGAAATTGTGAGTATGTGACAAATGAATGAGAATTATATGTCGAAATCTTTCGAGGGCGATCTTAAGTATCCCCTTTTGGATGCTTATAGTAGTTGTCTAATTGTGAGGATAAACTCGCAGTAGCCTTAGATCATAATACTAGGGAGTATTCTTGCATAACTGCAAAGAAATTATGGGCGATGCGCTATTATAGAGTTATCTCTCGGTTTCCTATTGGGTTTCGGACAGTCCGACTCGGTAACGACAAAAACATATTTATGCTTATAGAAAGTACCTCTAGATCATAATTTTTCTTACAGAATTTTTCATCTAACATATTCATAATCTGGCAAGAGTGGTATGGAGTAAACAGTCGAGCTGCTTCAACGTATCAATCGTATCAAGGACTATTCGTTGCGCAGCAATAGATTCAAGAGTGAGAAATCTTTGACCAATAGTCGCCTAGGTATGCTATATAAGAAAAAGAAATACATGACTCTCCATGTTAACAAGAGCAAATGATAATAGTTCACAAACAACACAATAACTCTTTTAAATCATTCCTTGTAATGATCCTTCGTGCGCGCTTCGGCTGCTCCCAAACACTCAGTTGTCATTGCATCATCTCTGGGGACAAGTTTTACTTTGAAGTCCCTTGGTATAGCGACAAGCGCTGACTTGAACTGGTTATAGTCCACATAGTCTGTATTGGGCGGGTTTTCTTCACTCGCAACAATCTTATACGATGACAAAAGGCGGACTAAAGCAGCATACAGCAGGCGTGTGGCGATAGCTTGACCAGAACAGGCTCGAGAGCCAGCCCCAAAGCTCAAGTGAGATAGACCAACAGTCTCTTTTTCCGCTGGTTCATCAATTGATTTTAGCCATCGTTCCGGGTTGAATTTTCCAGCATCCGGGCCGAAATGATCAATGTCTACACACGACGGCGGTGAGCAATTACTCACTGTTTCCTTCTCATTTCGTTCGGTAAAAGATATAGGAACTCACCATGATTGCCAGCTTGGGCGTTAATCAGAATCATCGTCTTTGGTGGAATTATCGCACCGTTCCAATTCACCTCAGTCACTGTCTTTCGAGGCAGGCTCATGGAGCTCACGGTATAGTAACGGCCAGCTTCCTTAATGATGGCATTAATATAAGGCACTTTTTCTTCAAGGATGCAGTCAGTCCAGGCATCACGAATATCGGGATAGTGTTTCTTGATGTCTGCATATGCACGGTCTTGCCAAACTTGACCCTCGGGCGTCGAAAGTGAGCCAATAGCCGACGTTAACGTGCCTGGAATAGTTTCAAACCCGCCAGAAACTAGCGAAAGACAAATGGAGGACACCTCCACTCCAGTGAGCTTTGTCTCCTCGTCTTTGAGGATGGCAGCAGAGATGCAGGGTTTGTCGGTGCCTTTCTTGATCATGGCGCGGACTTTGTCGAGGAGTAGATTCAAATAGGCATCTCGACGTCCGCGCAGCTCTTTGGACCGCATATTCTTCTCGTTGTTCGGCAAGTAGCGTAGAAGCGGCACGTAGTCTTGCAAGTTCTCCGATGCACTTCGCAGGAGGGAGATGGCGGATCCCACGTAGAGGATTTCACGGAGTAGTTCGTCGTAGACTTCATCCATGCGGATGCCATAGCACAATGTTAGGGTTGTGTTCAGTGCATACCGTTGAATGAACGGCCGGACATTGAGTTCAACCTGACCATTTTCACTGCTTCGCTTGAGGTCTCGTACGATGCAGTAGCTCTCCAGATCAAACATCTCGTTGTAGTTTCGCATGGCAGGTCTCCCCAAGGCAGTGCCTGCAGCTTTCCGCTTCTTCTTGCACGAGTCGTCCCAGGGAGATGACCCGATGGTGAAACCTTGCGTACTGCTGATAATGCCATGAAAAGTATATAGTTTAGGGCGGTCAATTATGGCGTTCTGGTGACCGAGGAGCATTTTGCGACAGTCTTCGAACGAGTTCACGACCACGGCACGCGTGTTTCCCAGTCGGATCTGATAAACCGAATGTCCATACTTTCGCCACCAGCCTTCGCAAACGCTGGCATGGTCGTCACCCAATTTGAGAAGATGGCCAAAGGCGGGGATTGCGCCTGGGATTTCCGGTAGCCCTTTAATGTGAGGGATGTCGGTTGCAATGAGCCACTTTTGTCTGAAGTCAGCATTGAGGACTATGAAGCATTTTCTCTTCACACGAGCTCACCCTGTAGACTGCATATACGACGACTGCCCCCAGGATAGCCAGCGAATAACTTGCAGGGACTGCATTGAGATAAGCCGACAAGCTAGCTTCCAGTTCAATAGGATCTTTCATTTTCCGTGATGCCCAGAAAGTGCAGTTAGCATGCAACTGAATTCCAGGCAGTTCACTCTTACGGACTGGGGAGTTTATAAGATACTCATAGGCTGAGGCCTTCAAACATGAGTACCAAAGAGGTGGCTTTGCTTCTCTCCGGCAGCGTCGGACCGTCCGCCTGCAGCCATGCATGCACGTTATTATCTTATCGGCCAACGTGCCACTGTCTGATACGGTACGTACTGTTTCTCACTAAAGTGATTTTGTACAGAGTACTTGAATCGATTACGAAATTGGTTGACACTAGGTAGGTAGGCTAACTAACTACTGGAGAAAGCGAGCAATTCTGCGATCCATCCAATCATTGTCCTCCGGATTACAACCACTGCCAGCCAGATGGCCCCAGACCGAGGGGATCACGGCCAACTCTGCATTTCCGAGATATTGGGCCTCCCTCGTACTAGCTTCCCACCGGAAATACTGGTCACTCTGGCAGGGCATGAGGAGAAATCGCGTCGCTTTGATATGCCCTAGAGCTTCGGCCAGAGGAACGGAACCCCCGTGTACGCTGATATCAGACCGCTGCCACATTCCCAGCATCACCAGCAGATCATCTGGATGCCAGTCGTCGTAGTTTTTGCCTGCAATAACAGCTGCCCAGTCGCCGAGGGTCTTGTATCCTTGTTTCTCAAATAAGCGTTGCTCGAACCAGTCGGCGCTGGTCAGCCAGGCGGAATACGCGCGTCCGAATGCATGCAGCCCCCGCAAAGGAGGGTGCTTATTCCCGGCTCGGAAGTTGCCATCAACATAGTCAATGGAATTCTCGAGAGCAGCCTTGGGCCCTTCCAGGAACTGGTAGTTGTGCAGGCTTGTCTTTGCCGATGAGCAAATGACAACAGCATTGGCGACCATACTCGGAAACATTGCGGCCCAGTGATATGCGCATTGCCCGCCCATGGAAAACCCGACTATGACATGAAGCAATTCCCTATGAAGGTGCTCGGTGATGAGTCTATGTTGTGCGCGAACGCAGTCTCGATACTCCAAGGTCTGAGGGAAACCCGGGGTATTCGAAGGACTCGATGACTCGCCGTTGCCGAATAGAGCTACCACGATAACTCGATAGTCTTGCAATGCGCCCTTGGCGAAATTAAGGGTGGAATTTATGCGTCCGCGGAAACAGGTCGGAACCAGGGCAACCTTTTGCCGTGTTCGGTTGAATTCTCGATATGCCAGCCGCACCTGAGGAAGAGCAGTACCATCTTGAAATTTGAAATCTCGTATTGTGAAATACTGAACTTCGACGTCGTCATCTGTGGAAGACATTTTCATGGTCTCTATCCAGTCGGTAGAGTTCTTTAGTAGGCGCAAGTAGGATTAGGGACATATTTTATCAGTCTACGTATCTAATATATGAATTGCTTAGTCGGCGCGTCCGACAGATAGCTATACGACTTGGCTAGACATTACAAGCGCACAGGGTCAACCATGGAAGTAAAGCAGAACAGACTAAAGTAACAGGATCATTGTTGTATTGCAAATGTATGCACACAAGACTGAAAAGCCACCCCAAAACGAAGTGTAAATGCCACCGATCAATATGTCCCCATCTAAACCACATATCTTTATTGTCATTTCTCGAAAATTGCAGTAGCTTTGATCTCAACCAAAAACCGAGGATCTGGCAGCTCCCTAACCCCAATAGTCGCACGAGAAGGTGCACTGGCACGATCATGCCAAATCTTATTCCACTCCTCATTCATCCCGGCGTACTGCGTTTTCATATCCAAGATATAGACCACAGCGTCCACAATATTGTAAAGGTCTGCCTTTCCATCCGAAGCGCCCTTTATGATGCTTTCAATTCGCCGTAGAACTGCAGCTGTTTGTTTGCGGATATCGAGCTCGTATGTGCCGTCTGGTTTCTCGGTTACACCCTCGTACGTTCCGTCTGGACTGACGGCTGCAATTCCCGAGACATATATGGTGTGATAGGTATTTGGTTGCACCGTTCGAGCATGAGAGTAGCGCATGGGACCGGCTGTCTTTTCAGGGTCGAGGAGGAATGATTGACCGTTGGCCGACATGGTAGTATAAGTTGTTATTTTGGTGTGAACCTTAGCTGATGAGAAAACAACGTGATAAATAATTCTACTGGGCAGAATTAATATTTTAGGAAAGAAGAAAGAATATTTCGAGGTCCTTTTGACTTATTATGTTATTTCTGATGACAAGGCGGCCCGTCCGAATATGGCAAACGTTGGGAGGCGGCTCAGGCGACAACATGACATTTGGATGTCAAAATATCGTATAATAACAATAGAATAATCTGTTTTTTATCTAGTATATAAGTAGATACCGCGGGGTTTATAAAGAGACCAAATCAAGCAACTTTACTTTAAGAAATATCCTCACGAGGCGAGAAAGGCGACCGATTTGGGGCTAGCTCCTCCCCGGGGCTTGGGTACCGTAAATGGAAATTTAGCCCTAACCCTGGCCGGCCCTTCAGAGATTAGATTGATTGGGAATATAGATTTTTGAAATCTAAAATAGGACTTTATTCTGAGCTCCAAATAAAATTTCATGCATTATCCGATGCGTTAGATGCAAAATTCCATGATTAGAGGATGTAAATAGCCCCCGCCGGAGTGGGGGGGCCACGATAAGACGGCGATAACACGCTTGACGTCCTTGCACGTTTCATATCAGCAATCGATCTGACGAGGTACCATTAATATACCTGCTAGATGGCTTCAAGCATGGCAGAGCCAGCGGCAAGAGCAGAAAGCTCTTGCAGGAGATGCCATCGAAGGAAAAAGCGCTGTGATAAGACCCTCCCCCAGTGCAAAGCATGCCAAAAGGCCAATCAACGATGCAGTTATTTGGATGACGAAAAGGAGACGGCCACCTTTTCGATTGCGTATGTCTTTTCATTTCATCTTTTTCAAGCCTTGACGCAGGTTTGTGTGGTAGATATTGACTCTGACTTGGCTCAGATATGTACATGGGTTAGAGCTTCGTGTCAAAGAACTGGAACAGCAGTTGGCCATTTGTTTGGACATACAAACCACGGAAAATGGAAAATTACCACACGACTTTCATGAAGCAACGCTGCTCTATAATACTACTCCACCAGATCAATCATCAGCATCAGCCATATCGTCACCGCCGCAGATGCAAGCAGGAACGACGACTCAGCAAAGCATGGTGAATGTATCTCCTACTCGCCAACGTAGTCCCAATACTCGCAGATCCGAGTCATTGGCCAATGAGCTGAAATTGCTCTCCCTGGAGGCTGCTGCAGAACGACACGTTGGCTCGTCATCGGGCATTTCGTTTGCTAAACTCACCCAGGCAGTTCTTCGGCGACTGTCTCCAGATCGACAAGAGTTTGTATTCGAAGACGGATTGCACGAGGGCCAAGAAGATAGTGACCTTGGGCTTGAAAATGGATCTACTCCCACCTTTACATCCGCTTTTACGGAAATCAATACCCACTTGGTCCCGTCCCCGTTGCCACAGCATCATCAGTATAGTTATGCTCCAAACGATCAGCCAGACGACGATCTTCAAGATCTTCAAGATCTCACTCTTCTAGAGATGCCGCATATTAGTCATCTTCTTGAATTCTATTTTGCCCACTCCCACACACTTTATCCGATTGTTCCGCAACAAGAACTGACAAATGTACTATGGCGATTATACGCCAATCCCAGTGATGCCCTGGGGGATTCCCCATTGTGGCGATTTCGGATCTGGATGGTTCTAGCCATTGGTTCTACAGCATACTCTTCAGTCTCCTTGCTGGATGAGTCTGAATCCGTACAACTATTCAACAAAGCGATGGTTCATTTCGAGGCTGCCATGGGATGTGGAGATTTGGTGAGTGGATAAACCTCAAATAATCTTCAAACAAGCTATTGGACTTATACCGGATGTTTTAGGCGGCTCTGGAAGTACTAATGCTGCAAGTGTCTTATTCCTTTTTCAACAAAATCGGTCCCAGTAAGTGTATCCGCACTCCTTCTTTTTCTTCTCCTATTAACAGGATAGATACTTGGATTTTGATCGGGATGGCGGCTCGTATAGCAACTGGCATGGGGCTTCATTCAGCCGATCAATACAAGAGCTTGGCCGTTGACATTATTGAGCACCAAAAGCGTCTCTTTTTTTCGTTGTATATGATGGATCGGTATGCCTAATCCCCAAATCATATATCCGTCCTCGCTGCAGGGCAGAATGCTTACTGATCGTTTTGTTCAGTGTTGTTTCTCTAGCACTAGGTCGTCCATTTGCCATACAAGATGACGACATTACTGTGGAGGTATGCCGCATATAATATTAAATATGGATTCTCCCTATTTTATACTAATGCTTTGATCTGTTCAGCCTTTTGCAGATGCGGATGATGAAAACATTCGACCGGACGGTATCATACCATCCACGAAATTAGAGCCATCAACTATGGCCATTCCGTTGCACATTTTGGCTCTCCGAACCATCGCCAGTGAAATCGGGAGTCGAGTTCACTCTGTCAAGAACAGGGAGCCTGTTGTGAGTCAGCAGGGTAAGGAGCAGATACTGCAATGTCTTCACAAACGATTGATAGAATGGCGACGAACGATGCCGTTCCCACTGCCGGACCTGCAGTCTAAGGTGCCCCATTTGTGTACCAACTGGTTCGACTTTAATTATTATACCCATGTGATTATGCTTTATCGTCCTTCACCGCTCTGTCAAACACTTGACCTCTCTCAGCTTCGGGTGCTGGCCGAGGCTTCTAGCATGGCTATCCGGCAAGCCATTACAATGCATCGACAGCAGCGGTTCTCGTATAATTGGCTCAATCTCGCCGTTCTATTCAATGCGACACTCTCGTTGATGTACTCCACGACAGCGCAGCCGAATAACCTGTCGCAGGTTTTGGAGTCTTCCAAAGCTATTGAGGATCTAGAGCTGAGCATTGAGTTATTACATGCTTTCAGTAGGAAGTTTGCTTCTGCTAAACGGATACAGAGTATGGTTCAGATTGTTTTGGCGAAGCTGAGAATGCAGATTGTCCATTTGGTAGCATAGTAATCGGAAGAGCCACATACACCGACTTGCCATTCAACGTGTATCTTCTTTTACTTCACTAAACCAGACAAGCTCTTCAGGTGATAGCCAATTTCTCCAATACATACTAGTCCAGTGCTCACCTGGGGAAGATTTGCAATGTGATTAGGCATGAAGCCGGGCTGAGCTAGGGTTATGCTGCACTCACTATATTAAAATTTTCATTGTAAGCTATTATGAGTCATTCTCAGATGATTCAACCCGCGATATACTTGTCTACGATCGCGACACTATATTTGATTCTGTTCGACCGTGTTTTCATTTGAAACAGATTAGCCCTGGATAACCGTCCGCCTCACGGACCATGGTATTCTCATAAATTTATGGAAGCGAACTCCAGAACTCTTAGTATTGTAGTAATATGTAACACGATTTTTGGCCCGGTTGTCGAGTCACATGAAGAGGGTGGATTTGTCAAGAATGTACTTTCAAACGACGACTCCTCGCCAAATATCGCTTACTGCAAAATGGCAGCCGCAGCTTTCACTTCGGCTGCTGCCTGTGGCCGTCGAGAGGAAGACACCCAGCCCAAATCAAGGAGACGACATCTGGGCCGCGCTCATCAGAGCGATCGGGTAAGCCATTAGCAATTGATATTAAAATAGAGCACCCGTATACCGAGCATTACCAAAGCCCCATTAAGAGGAATCCTTTGGGTGGCTACAGGATTAGGCCGAATTTGGCATCATATGGTGTAGCAAAAGGAATGCAGCGAGTCCTCTAATGGTGGATATTGTCCACGGTTGTCGATAGGATCGAAGAAAGGTGAAGAATTCCTCGGCATTGCTGCTGTACTATTGATGAGAATATGTCAGCCGTGCACGATACACTGGAGATATTATGTTGGAGTACAGTCTTGCTTTAGGCTTTTGACGTAGGCAATCATTAATACCTTATCATTAGGACTTGATCCTGATCAGGATCTCTTCCCCTCTAACCCTTGAGTTAAACCATTCCTTTATCTCAATACGATCAGTGACTAGTTCCGCGTCTCGAAGTATATCAGTCTCTGCCACTTTCATCGTAGCCAAAGTGAGCTCGACCATTGCCAAGTTTTTTGCTATGCACGTCCTCGAGCCTTTTCCAAACGCAAAGAAATTGGTTAGCATCGCATCTGTCGGGTTTTCCCAGCGTTCCGGTTGAAAATTGTGCGGTTCTGGAAAAACAATCGCGTCCTGATGTAATTGGAAAGCGGATATACCAACACTGGTCCCTTCGGGGAAGAAATGGCCTTTAAACTGCCAACCCCCTTTAGGGACCATGCGAGGTAATCGGGTCGGATTCGCCCATGAAAGTCGAAGGCCTTCGCGCACAACTCCTCGTAGATAGGGTCCTGTGGCCGGGTCTTCATTGTTGGCAATTCTTTGTCTGACTTCCTCCCGGAGGCGATTATAGCTAGTATTGTTAAAATATTAGAGACAGTTTGCTACGTCGAAATATTTTTAGAGGCATAAAGTAAGCAAAAGTGGGAAGCATAGAGAGCACTTACATTCCAGGGTACTTCGTCAAATACCACATTATCGTAGCTGTGTTCATGCTCGTCGAATCTGTGCCTGCGAAACAGACGTCCTTCAATTCGATTTGTGACTGTTGCGGGGAAACTTGCTCCAGCAACCGACTCTGGTAGCTACCGCTTTTGGGCACGGAGGAGGACACAAGCTGGTTGGTAAAGCGATCCATGAGTTGAAAGGCGGCCTCCGTTTTCGCATTCGTGGCCCAGTGATCTGCCATGGTCTGTACAAAGTCTCCAATTATCCCAGGAAGCAGATTGAAAAAGGCACCAACACCGACATAAGCATCTACAAATGGTGACGCTGACATGGCTGATGTTTGCTCGCCGATAGCTCCATACTGTTGCTGGAAGAGATACGAGCTAACGGCATCAATGGCCATGGATCGAGCAGCATTCAGCACATTTACCGGCTGACCTGTACGAGCGGCCTCTGTACGCATTCGACGGACAAAGTCATCGACTACCTGTTCCAGCTTTGCGTTGGCATTGCGGATAGATGCCGTTGAAAAAAGCGGAGCAACGGCTTTTGCGCGCTGAGCCCGCACTGGCAGAGTCAAGCTCGAGAAGATGGTCGTGTGTCCGTCAATATCAAATTTTGAATATTGTGGTGTCTTGGGAAAGCCACCCTGGGCGACGTAGATGGGGTCTACGGCATCTCCATCGTCGATATCAACGTCATTGGGTGCCACGCGGATGATTGGGCCGTATTTCTTGTGCAAATCGAATATTACGCTGCTCTCGTCTCCGACGTATGTGTGATAGGCAAGCCATAGCGAAGTGAGTGCTGCTACTTTTGGCCCAGGTACGACCGACAATGGATGCACGTAAAGACGATACATGCATCGTAGAACAATAAGGGCTGGGAGAAGGAGAGCGGCTGCTCCTCCGATCCAGGGTTGAAGCGTGATCGTGGTTGCCATTGTCGTATGCAAGCGTGTTCCCTCCACTACAGCATCTGCCGTTCTCCAGTCTATCCTGGCATAACAACGATACTAATATCCGTTCGGAGCTGAGAGAAGACTTCCAAACTCGGTGCGCCTGTGGCTAGGAAATGATGTGGGGCACATCGATAAGGGTCGGACCGGCCGAAGGTGAACCAACCTAATTCGCACTACGCACCCGTGTCTCGGGCTGATAGGAGATACTGTCCTAGGATTACGAGTGATAAACCCTGGCTTCTGCTGATAAGCGGGATTCTCATGCCCACTTAAGACTACAGGAAAAGCACTGGGCATGGACAGCCCCATCAGCAGAGGGAGAACATCCCATTCCCTCTCCTCCATACGGTCTCCATTCATTCCCACTGCGTAATACGACGAAACAGGATACACAATGGAAAGCGATATTTCAGCCAAAGAGAATGGCAAGGGCTCCTTGGGCACGAGTGCAAAGGAGAACCTGACGTTGGAAAACCTGGGATACCAACAGGGTAAATATGAAGCAGCTACTCAGGCCAATAAAACACTACTTCATGCCCATGATAATAACTTCTTGCAGAGCTCAAACGGTCGTATACTTTTCTGGATATGCTTGGGTTCAGTTTCAGTATTGTCACTTGGTAATACTCCGCTTCCTGCGTGCACAGGTGCCTCGCCCCAATCGACATGATGAAACTGACTTTGTTATCAGCTGGACCGCATTGAGCGGATCATTGATCATTGGCGTGAGTTCCGGGGGTCCGCCGGTAATACTTTATGGGTGGATTGGCACGTGTGTGTTTACCCTAGCCGTGGCCTGCGCCTTCGCAGAAATGTGCTCGCGATGGCCTGTGGCTGGTGGACAATATTCATGGGTAGCTTTGATGGCGCCGAAGAAGATTTCTCGCGAAATGTCCTACGTGACCGGGTGGTTTATGTTGATGGGTTAGTATTCTGCCAAGTTATCCAGAAAGCTATGAGTATCGTCGATGAAAGAAATATCTGTGCTAATCATTGCGAAATTCCCAAAATCCAGGCATCATTGCTATGGGGGCGGTAAATAACTCTTTTGTCTCCAACTTCATCTTGGGACAGGCAAACCTCGTATTTCCTCAATACACTATTGAGCGCTGGCAGTCTGTCCTTGTGGCGTATGCGGCTGCTCTCATCGGCGGTGCGGTCAATATCTGGGCACCTCAAATAATGCATCGCATGGCTCGAGCTGTATTCCTCTGGAACATCTGCTCGTTCATTATCATCACGGTTGTTCTGTTGGCCACCAATGATCACAAACAGAGTGCACAATTCGTCTTTCAAGACTTCCAGAATGAAACCGGCTTTGGGACGGCAATGGCGACCGTCTTGGGTATTCTCCAGAGCTTTTTCGGCATGTGTTGTTACGACACCCCAGTACATATGACCGAAGAGATGACGCATGCCTCTCGAGATGCTCCGCGCGCAATTGTGCTCTCTGTAGCGGTTGGCGCAGTCACTGGATTCGTCTTCCTAGTGACACTCTGCTTCTGTATTGGGGACATTTCAAGCACCGCCGATACCAGCACGGGGGTGCCCGTGATTCAGATCTTTTATGACTCAACAAATAGCAAAGTGGGAACGTGTTTCATGGCCAGTATGATCACTGTGATCATGATCGTTAGTACCAACAGCCTCGTCGCGGACGGTTCTCGATCTCTTTTCGCTTTTGCTCGAGACCACGGTTTGCCATTCTCCAGTGTCCTGTCTCGCGTCGATCGAAAGAACCACGTTCCCGTTTATGCTATTCTGGTAACAGTAGTTATCCAGATGGCTTTCAATTCGATATACTTTGGTACTGTAACAGGATTTAACACTATTGTTTCTATTGCCACAACAGGATTTTGTAGGTTTGCTCCTTTTGACGCCAATATTTGTGAAACGACACGACATCGTGACAGATGAAGTGATGTGCTGACAAGCAATATAACCAGATGCCTCATATGCTCTTGCCCTTCTCGCACGCTTGTTAGGCTACCTTTTCCGCGACAGATCCAGCACCAACAGCAAGCTCGTGTTCACAGGGTCACTGTGGTCCCTCTCTTTACCGGTTTCATTATCAATGAACGCGCTTGGATTCGCGTTCCTACTCTTCGCCTTCATCACGTTTAATTTCCCGTCTGAAGCGCCAGTGACGGAGGAGTCGATGAACTATACGAGCGCGGCAATCGGAGTAATTGCGCTGCTCAGTCTCATCACTTGGTTTACGACGGGTCATCGCCATTTCCATGGACCTGCTGAAGTGCGTGAATATGGCCATGAACAACAAGAGAATGAGGCAGTTGAGGTTGAGCAGACAAAGTCTTGAAGAGGAGGGTACGACAAACAAGCAGTACCACACTTGTGTATATTAATCTGAATGGAGTCGATAGGGTATATCGGTAGTTTTACGGCTGTTGTTTGGTTGTAAAATCATCCACGGGGTATCCTACAATCTTTCTTTGTCTGGCATTTAAGGGATGGATGGTTTACGTGTTCAATAGTGTATGAAAAAATAGAATGAAGGCGAGCCCATGAGAATGAGTAATATTCGTTGACTATTTAACAGACAAAAACTAAGGGGAAAGAAATAGAGATGAAAAAGATCATACATCGAATTGATGAGAAAAATCAAAAGTTAAATATCTCAACATGTCGGACAGAAAAGGAAATAAAGCACATAAGCAGCCCCTGGTCTATCGATTACTACTTGAATTGTATGGAAGTTCAATGAGGTATCCTCGAGAGCTTGCCCTAAAAGCAACCATTCTTTTCCCCGCTTGTCCTTTACAAACTAACAATTCCCCTTCCTGCCACTTCCTTGCCGACTCTGTTGCACAAATATAGCCCTCCGTATCCGCTCATGATTAAAAATTTGTGGAAAGATTAACGAGAACTGGGAGATTCTGAATGTCAAGCGGATAGCAGGGATCGAGAAAAAAAAAAGGCGTCAGCACTCCTGAGTCATTTTTCGAAAAAAAAAAATGATGGATTTGATAGAGGAAAGATCAGAGATCAAGGACGATCACGATAAGATTTCGACCCGTTCTTGCTCTCTATATCTAATGCGGTAGATGTCAAGCAAGGAGAAGGCGAGATGTGAAATATATAGCATGAAAACACCGAACGGAGGAAAAAGTGGTAAAACCGCAGGTCAAACCCACGCTAATCACAGAGGTTTTAGATACCGAGAGTAAACTCAACGCCGACATCAATGTCGCGAGCCAACTTGACAACCTTAGAGAACTGAACAGACTTCTCGGCGGCACTCTGAAGGTCTTCGATACAGAAGATCTTGAGACCGGATTCGTCGATCTAGTAAGAATAACATGTTAGAATTATTCATATTGACTTTTCGGGCCCAAAGAGAACGGAAAAACGTACCAGCTTGCGAGCTTGCTCCATGTTGGTACCTTGAAGACGGGCAATGACTGGGGTGCGGAGGCCCATGTCGCCAACAACATTGATGAGACCCTGGGCAATGGCGTCACATCGAACGATACCACCAAAGATGTTAACAAAGATGGCAGTGACCTTGGGGTCGCTGGTGATCAAGTCAAAGGCAGACTTGATGGCAGCTGGGGTAGCACCACCACCAACGTCCAAGAAGTTGGCAGGGCTACCGCCATTAAGCTTGATGATGTCCATGGTGGCCATGGCGAGACCAGCACCGTTGACTATTAACATTCAGTCAGTACATTTTGTACGTTTGGCTTCTTTTCAAGATGTTGCATACCCAGGCATCCAATGTCACCGTCTAGCTTGATGAAGTTCAATCCGTGCCTATAATTGATTTGTGATTAGCACTGCTAATTATGATTCAAACATGCTTGGCAACATACTCGGCAGCCTTGACCTCATCGGCATCCTCCTGTGTAGTATCCCGCCATGAGAAGACCTCCTTTTGTCTGAAATCGGCGTTGTCGTCAAATCCCAGCTTGGCATCCATGGCAAGAACCTGGTGGTCGGAAGTCTCGGAGAGAGGGTTGATCTCAATTTGGGTGGCATCCTTCTCACTGAAAACCTTGTAGAGGTTCTGAATGGTGTCCTTGGCATCCTCGATGCACTGCTCGGAGAAGCCTAGATCGGTAGCAATGCTGCGAGCGATCTCATCAGTAACACCGACCTTGATGTCGATAGGAGTAGTGCGAATAGCGTCTGGGCTCTCCTTTGCGACAGTTTCAATGTCCATTCCGCCCTGGGAAGACGACACGATGACGGGGGATTGGGTTTGACGATCCATGAGAATGGCAAGGTAGAATTCACGACGAGCGAATTTGCGCTCAACAATATAGACAGCGTTGCAAAGACGGCCGCTAGCGCCGGTTTGTTTTGTGATCAACTTGTGTCCGATCATCTGCTCTGCGAACATCTTGGCCTCGGTTGGCCTGGGGAAGGGGTCAGCAAATGTGCCTATAGAGTGCTACGGTTCGAAACTTACGAGTAGATGACACGAACACCTCCCTTCAGACCGTTGTCGAAGGAACCTTTGCCTCGACCTCCGGCAAGGACTTGGGCCTTGATCACCATGTCATCTCCTCCTAAAGACCTTCCTTCAGTAACAGCTCAAGAGCCAACGCCTCTATATGGTGGGGGGGGGAAATCATACCAATTGACTTTGCAACAGCCTCGGCTTCCTCCGCAGTGCGGGCAACCTCGCCTTTGGGGACACCGACGCCATACTATTTGCGAAAACGATCAGCGAGAGTTCAAAAGGTGCTACTTGATCGTATTGTATAAAAAAATGGGGTTCCACTCACCGTTTTCAGTAGGTTGGCTGAGAGATATTCGTGGATAGAAAGATTTCTCTTTTGTTGCGCAGCGAATCTGCTCTGAATTGACGACTCCTGAAACAGACACACAAAAAAGTCAGCTAGAGTAATGTATGAAAAGGAAATAAGGTAGACGTCTGGGTCTTAATCTGGAACGGACGAGGAACATCATCGCATTCCGCTTCATCCTGATATCTGAGGGAGATTTGACTTACAACCGTGGCTCTCAAAGCCGTCGCGATCGGCCTGCTTCGCGCGAGTTTGAACATTTTGAACACTTAGCAGCAGACTGTATTAGAAAGACGCAAAAGCACGTCGGGTATAACAGGAAATCAAGGAGAGGAGAGTGCAACGAAAAGAGGAGCTTTTGTCAATTGACAGAGTCAAGGTGTTTTGCAGGGAACGGCAAGTCAGTCTCCGCCGACTCTGCGGGAGCTACGTATTCGGAATAATCCGTCACCTGACGGGACTACCGACAAAACATAGCCAGCTTTATCCGATAGCTGCCGAACAAGAACAACGACGCCTTTCACGCCTGCGATCTACAGCAAGATTTTTGCTCATTTGTGGATATGAAAGCCGTCGTCATTATTAATATCATTCTGCGACCCCTCAAAACATTAATGCGAGCTATCAATGAAAGAAAAGCCTCCCCTGAAGCACAAACATCCGATTTACCGCGTTCCCTTCAATTTCCACAGTTTGAACATCGATGTGAATAGTTTGTCAAACACGCTATTCCAGAACCAACCGCCACTCAGGGTCTTGACGAGATATGTGCGATTGCCCTCCCAGATGTACTTGCTGTAACCCGGCTTCCACGGCCATAACCATCGCCAGGGCGCCGTTCCATACAATACCTGAGACACAACGCTACGCGCATAGTCCTCGTTGTTCATTGCCCCTTCTTGGCTGTGCTTTACCCGTCGGAGATAGTCTTCTTCGATAGGCGCGTACAGCGAATTAGGAGCGAGAGTGCGATCAGTGCGCGCTATACGTGATTTGACACCACCGGTGATAACCGTTATCACCTTGATCCTATGGGTGGCATCGTTAGAGCCGGGGTTCTCTGAGAAGGAGAGTAGTCATGCTACATACCCAAAGGGAGCAAGCTCGACTCGTAGTGTATCACTCCAGGAATGTAGAGCGGCTTTTGAAGCATTGTAAACCGAGCCGAAGACGTACGGTATCACCTACAAGGGGAGACAGTCAGTCAGGAGATGGTATTGTTACTCTTGGAGAATTGCGCGTACTCCAGCTACGGATCCTATTTGCACAATAGTTCCCTTCGCTGTTAAAAGCAATGGTAGGAACGTCTGGCAGATGCGTATCACGGAGAAGAAATTTGTTTCAAATGTCAGCTGCGCCTCTTGAATGTCGACTTCCATGGCCGGCACCGTGTAGTCTGTCCCTCCTGCATTTAGTCATGGCACAATGACTCGCGATATAGATATACGAATCATACTTCGCCCACTGTCAATCCCAGCATTAGCATGAACTACATATCATGAAGCCGGAGGAAGATAATGTATTTTCTGTGCTAGAAACAAAATGAACAAAGTACCCACGCATTATTAACCAAATAGTCCAACCCTTTCCCCTTTAAGCGCTCCGTGACTTCCTTGAAACAGGTCTGGATGCTTTCATCAGAGTCGACCACCAAGCTGAGTGTTTCGATGCCAATAGCATCAAGGTCTTGAATATGCTGGGCGTCGCGTGCCGTGGCAAAGACGCGCAACCCATTGCGCTGGAATTCACGCGCCAGAGAATTCCCAATTCCACCAGGGGAGCATCTGGAGGAACAGATATGAGTGTCTTCTTTCTTTTACCTCTTGTGTAGGTGTATATGCCCAGAGATAGGTACATCCACGTGGTAATACACGAGCAAGATACTTCACTCACCCTGTAATCAGGACGCATTCTCGATGATCGTCCGCACTCGCCATGTTAATGGTTGTTATGTTTCTCAGTGGTAGGTGGAGAGAACGAGAAGAAGGAATACTTCTTTCCCCAGTTGGCATTTGCAGGAAGTCACTTGCCTCGGTTTCACACCGGCGCTAAAATATGCACGATGAGGACCCTTGCAAGCATTTGCTTTGATTATTGGTCAGTCTAGCATCTGTGCAGGGGCGCATAGAAGCTCATATGCTTAGGATTTTAATTGTGACCGATTATGGGCAGTAGGTAAGCATAAATTGATGCCATTGCAGACAGCAGATGTTCGATCTATACAGTAAGTACATAGTCAAGTTGTGTCAGAGATTCGCCAATCATCATATACTGGATGCATAAGCCGTGAGAAAAGCATCTGCACAATGATTCCAAAGATCCAAATTCAGATTGTATTTTCCATGTTCCTCATCCAGAGTGTTCCGAGTCTCTAGTCCACCTGAAGCTGAGCATTGCTTCGTGGTTTCCTGCACTCAACGCAGATCCGTCGGATATCTCCAGGTTTCCCGCACCAAGAGACGATCATCTTGCATAACCCGGTGTAACACATGGCCTGTCGAGCAGAATGCAAGTGAGCCGAAACTAAAGACTATGGAAGAACGGCCTGGATTTACTATTCTCCGCTGAGCGTTGATGGCGGGGAACTCCGAAGTTGAAGGCAGCCTGAGGCTTTAGAACTAAATAGTGGGGGGCCAATCACACGTCGTCATTCATTGAATTTCCTCTTTGGTTCTGTTGCAACTTTTTTTTCTCTCTCACTCTCGACTTTCTTTTTCCCTCTGTCAGGCTCCTACGTTCCTTCCAGCTGATACAAATAAAAGAACCCCGTTTTGGTTATATACTTCTCCCTTCCATTTATCTTCCGTTCCTCAACCGTCCAAGTCATCATACGACCCCACAAGTCAAAATGCCTGAAAAAGTTTATGTCACATATAATCAGGTACATACCACGCATATTTCTGATAGAAGACTTCATATTCGTTACCAGGCTTCTGCTAACCTTGCTCCTTCCGTCCAGCTGCACAAGCTGTGCAAAAATTCCGCGGAGAAAATCCTCAAGGACTTCCACCCACATCTCATGATCGCAATCGGGGGTGGCGGCTATGTTCCTGCTCGAATCCTTCGGTACGTTTTTTAAGATTCACATGGCCTGGCGCAGTCAGATACTTCTGTTGTGTGCAGGAGCTGTTGTCTTTGTGGTGAAGATGGTTGCTAACTCTTTCTCGTCCACTCCATCCAGATCATTCCTGAAGCGTCCCGGCGAGCCGAACATCCCCATCCAGGCCATTGGTCTTTCATTGTACGAAAACTTGGGCCGTGATGATCCCGAAGAGGTCCCGGGCACAAAGGTCACGCGAACACAATGGTTAGATTTGAGTTCTTTGGAGATGGCCAACCTGATTGGAAAGAATGTCCTTATCGTGGATGAGGTCGACGACACTCGCACTACACTTGAATATGCTGTTCGAGAACTGGAAAAGGACGTCGAACTTGCGCAAAAGAATTTGGGCCGTGAAGCGGAGAAGACCACATTCTCCATCTTTGTTTTGCATGTAAGTTGGCCATCGGAAGTCAAGATATGTAAATATTAACCTGTCAATGCAGAACAAGGACAAGTCGAAGAAAGGGAAGCTTCCAGAGGAAATGATGACCGCTGGCCGGTACTATGCTGCCGTGACGACTGGTGATGTCTGGATTTGCTACCCATGGGAGGCTAAGTATGTCCCCCCATTTATATGAAATTCGGCATTTTCGAGAAATACCTGGCTAACATTTTTCTTTCTCTATCTCAAGGGACATCGACGAACACGACGAACTTGCTAAGCAATTTCCCCTCAATTAAATGCCTGTCGAGTTATACAGATTCTTATTTCGACCGACTCTTGATGCATATTATGCTAGTTACGCTTCATAACTACGTGTTATTCGATATCCGACAGCGTTGGCGTTTTTACTCATTCATGCTTCTTTATTTACGTCCTCCTTTTGGGGCTTCAGCCTCTTTTATTTTCATTTTGCTTCTTTTTCTCATAGACATCGATCAGAATCTGGTCTTGCTTTAAACTCAAAATGATGTCAAAATCACCTGTGATTAAAATCTTTTATATGTACATTTACACATTTTGAAAGGGATTCCCGTATGTTGCTGGACCCGGTCTGGAAAAGATAGCCCTGCTGAATTTCAGAGATTCGAGATATACAACGCCGTGCATCCACCACTGGTAACGCAGTATTATTCCCTCCTCTCTTAAGGTTCCCTGTTTTATCTCGTCCACTTCGGTTGTTAGGGGCGACGGTTCTTTTCCAGGCAGCGTATGTGGTATGTCATCTCATGTTAGTTATGTAGAGAGGAACACCAAGTGAAATCCCCTTCAATGCCATGTAAGACCAGACCCAATAGCGGACTCTAATCCACATCCACATTGACCTTGCGTAGCTCAGTTTTCGCCTGCTCAATCTCCTTCTGGAGTAATTTGTGTTCTTCGGGGACGTCGTTGAATGTCAGAATCATGTAGCCGAGCCGGGCACCCAGAAAACAGGCGAGCACGATGAGAGCATAAAAGGGCAGCTTTGAAAGCGGGCGTGTGGGTTAGTACAATGATTATGAAAGGAAGGAGCTTGCTGGACTGCTGCAACTTACGACAGGGACTATTTCATTTTGAATGGTCTCGTTGATGGGAACAAGGCCGAGGAACAGAGCAAAATAGAGCTGTGTACATAACTGTCAGTAACCTGGATGCAAGTTCCAATGCCGCTATGCGATGAACTGAGGCCACGCTTACGGAGGAAAGCAGGAGTAGAATCGAAACTGTTTGCTGAGCGCGTGTCATTGTCGCCGAGAGACGTGGGCTGTGAGTGAGTGAATAGCGGCGTAGAGTGCAGCGGATAGAAGACAAATTATATGAATTATATAGAAAGGAGCGTAATGTTGACAATTGGCGTTGCTGAAGTTAAGCAGGCCTCAGGCTCCTCCTCCTTCCTGACACAACCGCCGGCTGCACTTGCTGGCCGCGGCGGCTGCCGTATTGATTCCTGAGGCTCTTAACTAGGTTCCTGCCTCAGGCCTCGACCGTCCAGGGGCTTGTTCTCAAACTACGTATATATTTACACAGATCCTATACATGGCTATCAGAAGTAAGACAACTTAATATATTATCCATGACACTCAAGCAGGCTTATTGACTACTCAAGTAGCAAAGGCATTAGCATACACAAGCCATGGTTCCTGCCCAGTTAAATGTCTCCCACCGAAACGCACGACGACGGATATTTATTTAGCCCAACCCTCTAAATTGACGACAACGGTCTAATGTCTCGTGCGACTGTATAGCGCCGTGACTGGAATCTAGTTTCAGGCAACATATACTTATTATTTTAGTTATATGCTTAATACTCATGAGGATGACTTCGCAAACTCACGAAGACAGCAGCCTTGGGCTCGCCACGGAGAAAACCACCCCCTCTCAAGATCTGTCGTCCATCGCAAGTGATATGCCCTCAGTGGACTCGGTGCTCTCAAGGCTTGAAAACCCACATTCTCTTGCCTTGTCGGGAGAACTAGAGGGATTTTTAGCCAAAGAAGATGAAGAAGAACATGGCCGATTACTTCATGCTTTGCAGAAAGTTCTCTCGAAAACCGAGAGCGGCGACGAAGATACGTCCTTTGATGTTCAAGAACTACGTGATGCTCTCGAAATGACAGACGCAATTGCCGAGCAAGAAAGACATGTCCCACAGATGGTGGGAGGTGCTGCTTCGATCCTCCAGAAACTCTGGCAGAGCAAATCTAGATACATGGTTGAAGCAGCCGAAGCATTAGCAAATGCTAGTCGTGACCGTGAGACATCCTGCCGTCAGCTTGATGGAGTATAGCTGCTAATATTTGTTATAGCATCATGGAGAATTCCCTTTGGCCAGTCAGGAGTATTGGAATTCTTCCTACAACTGATTGCCACAAGGGAGGGTACTGACACGGATTTGCTCTTTCATTCTTTACGGCTCATAGGAAACTCTTGCGCCGATACTGGTATTTATCTTTACACTATTTGCTCATAGCCTGAGCTAATGGTATATCATAGATGAAAATCGAGATATTGTAGTGTCCGGCAAATACACTATATCAATCATGCGCCTTCTTAACCCGGACTTGGTCCACATCGCTGAAGCTGGCTTAGGCAGTATTGCTATAACTGTGCTTTATAATATATGCACGGACTATGGTACTATAACACTCCTTCATATCTCTTTGCTCTTGACTTCTAACAGACCCAGAACCTGCCCAGGCCCAAGCCGCGGCATATCGCCTTGGATACATCCTTTTAAAACTCATGAACGATGGGGACATCGAAGGAAATAATTTTACGTATGAATTAATAGAGATGACAACCGGACAAGGTTCGTAATAGTCTGGTGGAACTCAGAGTTTGTTACATATTGCTGACCTAGGAAGGCGATGGAATTGAGAACTCGCCGGAGAGTATCATTCTGCTCATTCTGAACATAGCTCTTGACGGGGATACACCTTTCGTGCAGTTTGCTAGCCTTGTGGCCTGCCTTACGAACTACTTACAAACCGAACGATTCCAGATTGCAAGTGTTCAACAAAAATGGGTTAGGCAAATTGCATCTGTTTTGCGTCGATCATTCAGTATTCAGGTCGATGAATCTTCGACCGAAGAAACCCAACTACTGGCTCAACTACGCCTGAAGATCAACCAGGCACTAGCAGATATTTCAGCGCTTCCGCAATTCCTCGAGGTATATCCAATAGGGTCACCTCTTCTAAACGACCTCCAGTCATGGCTCGCTGGACCGGAGGAGTCGTTGCAGATTTGTGCTTGCGTTATGCTCGGAAATGTGGCAAGAACCGACACAATATGTCGGCTCATGATAGAGCAGCTAGGCATCCATCGATCGTTAATCGACATACTGAAGACCAACACACGGGGTGGTGTACTCCATGCCGTACTTGGGTTCCTCAAGAATTTGGCCATTGCACAAAATAACCGTGAGGAGCTCGGGGATGCTGATATTATCCCGGCAGTATCTCAGCTTTGGAAATTCGATACTGTTCCTCAAGTTCAACTGGCGGCTACCAGTGTGACCCGCCTGGTTATCACTTCTTCAGTGAAGAATATTTCTCGTTTACTGGCCTCATTATCCTCTGCACCGGACTCTCCTGATTATTCGCGTACCTATCTATCCACCCTGCTCTCCCTATCTAGCCGCACCGATACTGCCCCAATCAAAACAGAGATTGGTCGTACTATTTCCTCTATTTGTCGGACCCTAGTATCGCGAGCTAGAGAAAGTGAAGGAGCTGGCGAGGACACGACGACACCTTTGAACCGGCTGTTCGATCTTCACGAGGACGTTGCTAGTCCAATCGGTGCTATGATTACACAAACAGAATGGCCCGTCGTTCGAAGCGAAGGCTGGTTTGCCTTGGCCCTTATGGCATCTCATGTCAAGGGCTCGGTGGCTGTTGTAAACTGCCTCAGTGACACGAATGTTAACGCACAGGTAGAAAAGAGCTTTGAGTTAGGCAATGATGAACCGACAACAGCGAACGGGCAGTTGCAGAGGAAAAAGGACCGCGACAATCTGGTGGTTATGGTGAAGGAGTTATTGGGCAATAATGTAAGTTCCCCCTACTTAAGCGGTTACTTTTTTTTTCTGTTAGTTTTATTCACTGCTAACTTGCGTGCACTCATTCATATAGCCCGAGAATCTGTCCGAGCCTAAAAAGACCCGATTGAGGGAATTAATGAATAATGCTGTATCCTTATCTTTGCAAGGAAATCCATAGATCTGATCTCAAGTGATTTCGTGTCTAGAAGCCAGTTTTCTTATAGAACTTGAAAATTAAAAGTTATCTAATTCTCATCATTCATCATGTTATCTATATATAATGTATATGTACATCAGCCACAACGTCAGATCTATATCTGTGCTGAATATATGCAAGAACAAAAAATGTATATATACATACGTATATATCAATGAGACCCATCTACCAGAAATTATGTGGGAAGATTCAAGCTGCAGCCCCTCTATGCTGTTATTGCTGCTGCTGCTTCTTCTTTTCTCGCAACTTCTTCTCGGTCTTCATAAACTCTCTAATACCAACCGGGATCCCAGCAAACAGATCCTCCCCTCCTTCTGTAGATGGCATCTCCCAATTAGTCTCACTGCCCCCACCATCATCGTCCATGCTAAGACTGGCACTGGCAACCTCATTCCTAGGCCTCTGTCGCATATCAGAAGACCGCATTGACGTATTTGTATTTGTGGCTTTAGCCTGCGCTTCATTAACCCTCGACGCCCAATTTTCAAGATCATCTCGAAAGTCGTCCCAAACGCAATGAACACAGCCACTCATGCAGCAATTATCTGGTTCCGTGGGCCGCGGGGGAATCGGGACACCATTTACTGTTTTCCAGGTTGATTCGGGAGGCATTGTCTCCGGATTGTACCTTGACGTTGACTGATAACCGGGGCCAGCGAGTCGGGTGCCGAATACGATGGACATCTTTTCTTCTTTCGTGAGTGCTTTGCCCTTATTCTCCTTTGCGCTCTGGGCAGCAGTAGTAGCAGTAGCAGCCGGTGATCGATGCTGCGGATAGTGGAAGGATAGAAGGTCGGAGTAGTAACCTGAAAGCGGATATGCTTGATGTATCTCGGTGCTACTCGTAGTATTGTTATGTACTCGATTGCTGTGAAATTTCCTTCTTGTCCTTGTAGGATGAGATGAACTTGCGAAAGTGCGCGATGATGATAATGGTTCGGAAAAGCGTTTGCGGCTTCTGAAACCGAGGGCTAAACCATGGCCAACGGTGCGGCGAGACGACGTGGGAAGTAATCGCAATATCGAACGCCTGCTCAGCGTCAATATGGACGGCTCCATGTCTACCTTGGTAGATGTTGTTTGGAAAATACAAAGCCGAAAACAATTAGCAGCGGAGAAGAGAAATAATTGACTGACCTTGGCGGGATGGACGGCCGTTATGTCATTGATGCAAACATCACAAACAAACTCTGAATTTACGTGCTGCCCAAAAAGGAAAACGTCGATTGTTGACTGACAAAAGGCGACTTCACATCGCTACCCCGCCTGGATAAACTGTCTAATTGACTTCGGACGATTTGTTTTCGAAGAAGTTGCTGATAAAACGCCCCGAGGATTTTGGGGCGGTAAAATGTCAGAACTTCCAGCGAAACGGCGCAAAACGAGTCCGAGTACCGCTGCTCCAGTCGACGCGACGGCCGCCGGAGATGTGAGCGCAAATTCGCATCTATTACAGTCGCCGGTCACACACAGACAATCATTTCAATCGCCTACCAGAGCGAGTCTGGCACGGTCTAATCCTGAAGTGTTGGCGCATGTTCTCTCTCGGTCTCCAACGCGAAGTCCTCAACGACAACCTGTTTCGCGCAGCAGTCGCGGCAATCCTGAAAGGCCATTAGGACTACGTGATAGAAAAGCTCTACGACCGTCCCTTACCAACGAGATGTCATCTCCACCACGACAGACCATCCAGTCTCCAAGGCGAGGACCTCTTGCTGCCCAGGCTTTTGCAGCGCCGCCTCGCAGGGTATCAAGAAGACTCGAGACACCAACCCAAGGAGGCGATATTGGAAGTGGAGGAGCGCCAACCACACCTTTGAATAATTTTATGCGAGGGAGTGACCCGGATGAACAATTGGCGTCTGAATTGAACAGTGCTACCCGAGAGTTGGAGAATTCTGGTCTTTTGGCACCATCCGTATTGCCTGACGACTCTCTAGAGCCAGAATTGCCCCCGACTCCGACTCAATTGGGTAGGAAAAGGATGCCAGGGAAGGATTTATCAGGACCGAGAACTCTCCATGCCGCGGAGACAACCTTGAGAAGCGAACCAGAGCCCGAAGAGCCAGATGTGCAGAAGCGAAAGAATGTTAAAAGGGAGCTTCTGGCACAACTTGATCAATTAAAAACGGATGTTGCTGAGCTAGAAAAATGGACTGATCGAGCTAAACGTAGTCTTGATAAGCCGCAGCCCGATCCTGAGGCTGTCGCAAGTCTGATGTGAGTTCGCCCGTGCTTTGGCGCATTTACCTGGTTAGCGATGTTTTTCTCACACTCGTTACAGTTCTCTTCTGGCTTCAACAAATAGGTCGACGGACCGACAGTCGAACTCACCTATCCTAGAACACCCCCCCATTTCTACTCTTATTTCTTCACTACTTCCCTTTTCGGCCAAAGCCGTACCTGTCCAGGCTCGTCCAACATCCCCGGAACCGATAAACACGTTCGCACTTAACAACATACATGATCCTAAGCCATATATAACCGCCTTTGCTTCATTGTCTTTGGAGCATTCTCAAAGTCTATCTCTATCCACCAGTTCCGAAGGAGCTATCACCGAAACGCACGAAATTATATTGTCAGCACCTTTCCCCTTTCCTCAGAATCAATTTAGGATACCGCTTGTTTTTACGATAGAGCTGCAGTCGCAGCGCATTACATCGGTGTCTTTGCAAAAGGACCATCATGCATCACAAGCAAAAATTCCCTCAAGTTTACAAGCTTGGATTAAATCACGCATATCCAGTCCCATTTTGGCTCTTGATATTTCAGGCCTCTGCGTTGGAATCAGCCGGTACTGGGAAGCATCCGTGTGCCGGGCAAAAATTTGGTCGAGGTTAAAGAAAAGCCAGGAAATTCTGTTGGCCAAAAAAGGCCAAAGGAAGCTTAGTGACATTCGTGCGGAGCAGCATTTAACAGGACCTTTGAAAAAGTCTGATCTTCGGTCTATTGTTCCTCATCTTCAGCGTTCGTCAATGCTCTTTTCACCCTCTTCATCAATTAGCCGCTCTACCTCCAACAGTAGCGGCAGCAGGAGAGAATCAAAACTCCTCCTGTCCTGCCCACTAAGACTGGACCAATGGACGAGCGAAGCGCAGCTACAGCCAGATATTAGTATATCGATACCCGATTTGTCTGAGTCAAAACGTAAGCGAGTAGAGTTGGACATGAAGCGTTTATTCCACAATGTTCTGAGGGAGCAAGGCAAACTCAGGAAAGAGTCCTCGACTGGGATGAATGAGGAGAGAGAAGCACAAGCTATTGTGAATGCAGCGGAAGGTGTCATGGGTGTGCTTTTCGGGCTTGATATACTATGAGTTGTGTGTCTAGGTTAAAATTTCCATACATACGCTTTAGACGTAGACAGGCCCTAAAGCTGCTTAATTGAAAAGCAAATTCTTACCATTCCAATGCATGAAGCGGAAAAAAATCATTTTTATTTTTGTAACATGACATAAAAAAACACCCATTCATTTGTACGACATTTGTAAACGATCCAGAAAAGATCACGCCGTACCCACACAATGTTTAAATTTGATACTTTAATGAACCCGAGTACCCTAAGGATGTAAAGAAGAATCCAGCAAAATGGTTCTACCCACCAAGACATTGTAACTTAAGGAAAATCACATTTAGTCCATAAGAATATCACTTGGTTGGACTCGAATCATGGCATTTTTTTGCTGAATAACATGTGAGCATGCCACATGGACACGCGCACATGTAAGAGGAGACGATGCAGAAGGAAGTAGAAAAACCCTTGTTTTTTCTTGTATCCCATGCAAGACAGCTGGAAGAGGAAGGAGATGAAGAAAAAGAGGATATCATTATCATATTTTGGAGTGTTTTTAGAGTGATATCTATTTCTTGGCAGCTTCGGCCTCCTCAGCCTTGGCCTTAGCCCTCTTCTCGCGAGCTCCCTGGTAGCGGGCCTCGCTGCGAGCCTCACGCAGCCGTCGGTAAGCGGCCTTCTCACCCTCGGGAAGATCAGAGCGGCTGATCTCGGTAACAGCCTCGGCGGCGGAGATGTTCTTGACGGGGAAAGTGGATTGGATGTTGGTGGCGTATCCGGCAACCTTGCCCTCAGCGGCGAAAGCCTTGGTGGCAGCAGCAACGTCCTCGGCAGATGAGTCGAGCTTCTTGTACTGGCCGCTCTTGCGAGGGAAGAGGATCAATCGGCTCTTGTACTCCTGGAGACGAGCAACGTTGGCGGCAAGAGATTCCTGGGAGACATTCTTGCGGCGGTGGTCAACGGCGATACCGATAGTGGGTGCGAGCTTGCGGGGAACACCAGCCTCCTATATAAAAAGTAAGTACCTAACCATGTAAAATCACACCAACTTTTTCCGAGAGAAAAATCATCCAATTCCTGCTTTGTTGGTGAAAAGACGACCAAAGAAAAGACGAGTATTGGTGATGATTCATTCGTGAAAATGTCCGCTAGATGGTTTGTTGGGTGAAGTACCTTGAGCTCCTGAAGTGTGAAACCACGTCCGGCCCTGACGCGGCGGTTGTATTTGATAGTGGGTGCTCGCACAACGGGGCGGAGCTTGTCGACCGGGCGAGGAGCAACAGCAGCGGCCTTCGCCAAACGGGCCTCACGACGGCGGTGCTTGCGTCCGGGCTGTAATCATCCAGGTCAGCTAATGCCCTAGCAACACTTTTCTTCCTCGCGAGAACATCGCGTTAACGATCGGATAAAGGGATTCTCGTTTCGTACCTGGTTGAAGTGCACGCGGACACGACGTTGCCAGTCCTTGTGGAAGTCTGCAAATAACCAGTGCCGTCAGAGATAAAAGTTCCTTCAATTTTCTTTCCAATATCTATTTTTTTTTTCCAACGCAAAAATCCTCTTCATTCCTCTCAAAATCCCCAAACACATTTTTTTAATATCCGCCCCTCCTTGATCCTAACACACGAAGCGGAAGTAGGGAGTGAAAAACTCACGAGTATTGGGGATAACGTTGTTGTGCTTGATCGCCTAGTTCATGGAAAATCCGTCGTTAGCATTCAAGCACGCCCATCTAAATTACCGATCTCTCCCCTTGCCAAATTTACAATGGCAAAAGAGATCAAAGCAACAACTATGTACTCACCATTGTGCCGGACGGAGATCAAGTCTCTCACTGTTGTGTTGTCGTCGGTGTGTTGCTGGTCGAGTCTCGAAAGGACTGACTACGCTTCAATATTGGGTGGAACTTTTTTGGTGTGGGCGGTCCAATGTGCCAAGCGCGCTCGACCGCCCACTCACGGCGCAGAAGCCTTTGCTGAGTCTCGCTTAGCGAGCCCTAAGCACGCTATCCCTGTTGTGGAATGGCGCCCTCTGCGGCGCATTATGTAAGCTTTGCTGCTAGATGCTTGCAGTTTAACTATTGACAGCTATGCATGCTATTTTACCAGGAAATGCGGTGTAATCACAAAAGTCTTAGCGATCTATATTCACGGGGTATGCCTGGAAAGGACCCTACTGATAATTGTACACGAAAACACATCAAAAAAAAAGCAATGGCAACAAAAAAGAGACCCAAAATGTCTCCCTAAAGAACCCAATTTTTCCTTCTCATTCCGGCCAAGTAATAATCATCAGTCATCATTGAACACGCTGTCAAAAGTCAAAATCAAAATCAATCGCTAAACACCAATACAGTCATGGGAATTTCTCGTAGTACATTAGCTATGCGGGGGATAGCTTCCAACTAGTAATGCCCAATCCGACGTCTTTGGGTTTCTTCACTGCAGGGTGCCCTTGCTCTTCAAATGAACCCTTTCGTTTCTGTGAGACTGGACTAGGTCGGTCAACGCCGGGTTTCCTCACTTGCCCAAAAAGTTTTGTCTGGAGTAGCGTGCTGGACTTTCCAATACTACTGCGATGGGAAGAGACGGAATCCTGGCGAGTTTCTGGTACGCGGCGAAGCCTATTAGTGGCTAGAGAGCTAGCTTGAGATGCTGGGATATCCTCATCGCTAACGGCTTCATCCGCATCTGAAGCAGAAATAGTGCTGTCACGGTCGCGTCGACTTTGATCTTGCTCATGAATGTCTTTCCCAACCAAGTTCTGAGGAGGTCTGCTGCCAGGGGTAATGTATTGGGGATCATGAAGGTTTCTAGAGCGCTGAGGAGTCACTGGCAGAGAAGACATTGAATGAGCTCCTCTAATATGGGACCCTGCATGGGCGTTTCTTGAGTGGCGATTCCGCTCGGGGGATACATTTGTAGCTTCACCATGTAAAACGCGATCGGCAGCTAGAAGAGTAGCAAAGGCATCATGACTCCCGTCACGAGCATTCGAGTGCGTACAGGCACCATCGAAGACACGGGCATGAGACTTTCTTTGTGGCGTGTTGAATTCAGGGCGAGAAGTGGGTGACAATGAACCAGAATCAAGAAACCTCGTCAGATGCTCACGATTGTCTCTGATACGCTTCTTGAGAAGTCGATTCTCTTCGGTAAGAGACTCATTTTTGGTAATACCTTCATCGATCTTTTCTTTAATCAGCTTCTTCGCGTTCACCAACCTCCCCTCCAATTTTGCGTTAGTACGCTCCAGTTCAGCAATCCGCTTCAGTGGATGATCTGACTCTGGACTGGCGGAAAATTGAGAGGTTCGGGAGTTTGATATAGCACGGCGATTTTGATACTCTGCGCTCTGTAATATCTCCACTTCTCTTCGAGCAAGCTGCTGTTCAACTTCGGCTCGTTTGATAGCTTCGTTACTGGTGAAGGATAAGAGACTATTCTGTAACTTGAAGTGTAGGGCGGACATGCGAGCTTCCTGAGCTATCGACAGTAGATCCTTAGCTATAGTTCGAAGCTGGGCTTCACTCGCAGCCTCAATGTCTTCGGTCGTAGGCAGATTCTCAGCGGCGCCGTAAGCAGCATAAAGTGACTTTTCCAATGACGCGCTGGGGGGAGAAGCGGGAATCACCACGTGGGATCCAGAACGAGATCTAGAACGCCGGCGCAGAGGCGCACGAGTCTGAGATGAAGGAGGTGGCGTCATTTCAGATGACGATGCGGGTTGCGGCGAGCAAAAGCCACCATTTTTGTCTGATAAGCTACCATTTCGGTCCAGCACCGGTTGTAAGTCTGGAGATGCTGAAAGAATGGATCGCCGCGGGGGCGTGCTGGGGATGAGGATTTCGGCCGCGGGAGCCAACGAGGCCGGAGAATGGGTCTCTGAGGCTTGAGACATGGCTGTCGATGCTCGTCAGCCAAGTGAGGAATTGACCTGGTAGATAATTAGTACTGGCATGACTCCCTTGACATGGATCTGATCCTTACTAAAACGGACAATTGGAATGCGGTGTTTGACGCAGCGACTGACGATAACGGAGAAGGCTATCCGGCTTATCGATATGAATGAACCCGACTATCAAACACTATGCGGCACCGCACAGTGAGACGCACAGACAGCACCCGCTATGCAAGCAGCACGATGGACGGAATCGCGGTATGGAAAGCGGAAGGGAAAGGCGACGCCGGAATGCAGAGGGAGGAGAGAACTAAACTGAGCAGTGGTGGTGATCATGCGGGCTAATTATTCTTGTAGTGAGGTGTGTGCCTGGCAGGTGACGAGGAGGCTGGGGGAGGGGCGACCGGCCACGACCAACCACGTGAGGCCAGCGGCGCATGGGAATGTGATGCGCGTGATGCAGCCAATCACAGCCGCGCGATGTTCCTCTTAGCGCGCGGTCCGCATTCCACTCTGTGGCGGCGGCATCACGTGACGCAAACAACGGTTGCCATGGTGTCGACTCCTCCTCGTCTGGCGTTGACAAGGCAACCCAGTCTGGACCGCCCATTCCATAGGGCTGTGCAGCCACCGGCTGGCACGCAACCACATGCAAGGAAGGCATTTGCAGACCGCAACAATGAGCGGCAGCTTCTGTCAGAGCCGAGGCTTGTACGGACATACGTACATTATAAGACTGCAGCTTCGAGGGCACAGCGATAGCCCAACGGAATCGATGTCGTACTGATGTGATCAGCCAGCCCATTTCCCTCCCTAGAGTACAACGCCGATTCATTGCGACCTGGAGATGAGATGATCTGATCTCCTACCCGTCTTGGATCATGGTGCGCTGCAGATTCGCACAATCTGCGGCGAACAATTTCAATCTACGTTTTCATGCAGTCGCTTCGCAATCTTCGTCAATTCTCTTGGTTCTGAGAAGATTTTGTACGACTCATAACCTCGTCATATGCAAAACTGCTTTTGCCCTTGCAGAACTTTCTAGACGTCTTCATCCAGGTTGCGCTGGCGCAAATTATAATCAAATGCCAGTGTCGTTGAAGCATAAAAAGTCTCCGTCCTTGCGCAAGAAACAAAGCGACTTCACGGCTCAATTAATGATGAAGCCATAATAACCGCATGACCAATTAACCCCGGAAATCTTTGTACATGCATGAGTTATGAACAGGTCTAGGGAATTTTTTTATTTGGCAGTAAGGGCCAAACCCCCTGAGAGACAAGCTTCCCTCGAACTTTGCCTTGTCGTCTGTCTGTCAGTACTCGGAAAGTTAACCGGGTTTACTAAGAGCAAAATGTTAACTTGTTGAAAAATAAAAGTGGACGCTGTAGTTGCGATCACTGAGAAGCCATCACATTGGAGTTAGAACTCGCTTGTAGGTTCAAGGTTGAAGTTCAAACGTCGTAGCTACCAAGCGGGCCGCCAATAGGATGGCAAGCCGACATTGACCCCTTGCAGTTCCCACTTTCCGTTGTTGACTTCCCGAACTCCTGGCCCATGTCTCCTTAAGTCCCTGAGCTATGCTGCTTCACGACACACTTTTTGGTCAAGCTTACTCGAGTTCACGAACACGGTGTGCCGGCTCTACTGAGCTTTTGGTATGTTCTCAGTGTCATTGATTGAGGTTGGACGCTTTGAAAAGACTCACAGCGAGACTGGTCGCAGTGCCTGCAGTGTGCAGAGCAGCACATCGCAGTTACTCATTAACAGCTGTTTAGTCCCAGTCGACGTCTAAAGCTGTATCTATATACATACCATGATTGGTGTCTATTGTTGAAGTTTGTTCAACAGCATTCTTTGACAGCGACCATGAGTCAAAGCAACACACCAACCCGTCCGAGCGGGATTCCTCGCCCCGTTTCCAGAATTCCATTGCCAACCCATACGAGTGCCAAGTCTATCAGGCCCTCTCCATCTAGAGAAAAGCTTCAAGCAGACACCGGAATTGACCACCGACGCCTGCGACGCCCGTCCCAAGAAGCATTAAACCGAAAATTCTCAAGTCAACGTCTCAAACGCCGTGAATCGACGCAAACACTTCATAGCTTCGCCGAGGAGTCGAATTCGCCCGATGATTTTGATAACGCGATATGGGGGCCATCTCGGGGCCGGAGTGATGTGCTAACGCCGGTGCAAACATCGCTCTCTGACCGGACAATCGAAACCTTGTCGCGGATTTCTCCTTCGCCCTCCCCACGTGGTAGAAAAACCGCCCATATAAGCCACGACTCTTTAGTGGGCACCTCAATTGACCCCAGCGAACACTCAGGATCACCTTCAAGATCCATACAGTATCTCGGCATTGACGATGACGTACCATCTACAACTGTTGCGCGAGCCTCGTCAAGGCTATCTTCTATTTCAGTGTCAAGCCGGGAATCTATGCCGAATAAAGCTACAGAGCCGTCAACAACGTCGGTGAGGTCATTTAGCAGACAAGGTCTGGGCCCTGGAAAGCGTAGTTCGATTGCTGGAGTCCCATCCTCGAAACGCGGGGATACCTTACCTTTGAGGTCATCACGTATCACTGAGAGCAAAGAAACCATCAATGGCCGGCCAAAAGCAAGATTATCTCTCACATCTACTTTTGCAAAACCGTCGTCAGATGAAATCGTCCATTCTCCCATTTCAGTCAAGAAAATCCGACAGCCATCATCTAATTTCTCATCAAATATGACTTCGCCATCATCGATCGTATCCAAAAATTCCTCGAGTGGGTCAGACCAGGCTATACATGACCCGGAGGCGGAAACCCGCAAGGTATCAAAATCGTCAAGTGCATTGCGTGAGAGTATCGCCAAGGCCAAAGCAGCCAGGAAAGCAGCCAGACAAAGCAGCGCTGGTACAGCTACTTTCGATGCATGGGATAATGTTGAAGCCCAAGATCCATTCAATCAGCTTCCTAAAGATGGCAATAAAGCAGTTCTTCAAAAACGAGTAGCTGCCGCTCGAACGTCCGGATCTTTGAACATTGCCGCAATGGGCCTAACCACGCTACCAGACGAAGTTCTCAATATGTATGAATACGACCCAAGCTCTAATTCAGACTGGTATGAAAATGTCGATCTTGTCAAATTTATTGCAGCAGACAATGAGTTCGTTACGTTGCCAGAGTCAGCTTTCCCGGACATTGATCCACACGACTTTGACATGGAAGATGACAGCAAAGGCAACCAATTCGGAGGGTTGGAAATTCTGGATCTCCATGGCAATTTTCTTCAGTCTCTGCCTCTGGGTCTGAGGAGATTGCAACGGTTGACGGTTTTGAATTTGTCAAACAACCAACTGAAGATGGAGGATACTAAGGCGATCTCAGAACTTGAGCAACTTACCAACCTCAAACTAGCAAATAATAACCTTGAAGGCACTTTGCTACCGGCTCTAAGTCAGATCCACAGTTTAGAAGTCTTGGATCTACACGGAAATCGCATCAATCTCCTACCCGAAACTATATCTCAGCTCAGAAACTTAAAAGTATTGAATATCTCCGAGAATGAATTAACATCCCTGCCATCAATCGCGTTGAGCAAGCTTCCTCTACAGGAATTGGATGCTTCTCGGAACAAATTGGGGGGCATGTTGCTAGATTCAACAGTGGAGAAATTTGAGAACATGCAGACACTCAATGTTGCGTTCAACTCGTTGGAAAAATTATCAGAGGACGACAAATTTCAGTTTCCAAGTTTGCAATTCTTGTTGGTTGATGCGAACCGTCTGAATTCCTTCCCTTCCCTTGTTACTTGCAAGTCACTTTTGAGAATTTCGGCAGAAGGCAACAGTGTAACAGCATTACCTGATGGGTTTTTCGATCTGGATAACCTCAAACATGTGGACTTGACTGCCAACGACTTAAGTAAGCTTGATGAACGTCTCGGCTTGATGGACAACCTTATTACTTTCTCCATCGCAAATAACCCGCTAAGAGAAAGGAAATTTCTCACTATGGACACCGAAGACCTTAAGAACGACCTGCGCAGTCGCTGCTCTCCGCCAACAGTAACCAACCATCCAAGGAACACGGAGTCAGGGGAAGCCCACGGAGCGCAAGCTGGAGGTGAAAACTGGGAAGATGAGGAAGAAGGCTCCGTGGCAACGGAATTTACTCTAGCTCCAGAGAGCCCCAGTCATTTGAATCGTTGGAAAGTGAAGACCGGCGGAGTTCTTGACCGCTCTGCTACCGACATGACTGAATTGGACGCTGAAGAGCTAAAGCCTTTGCTGTCTTCTTATGATATCAAGTATCTTTACATCCAGCGCAACAAACTTCAATCTTTCCCCGCTGCTGCACTCAACCTCATCGCATCCACTCTGGTTGATTTGGATCTATCAAAAAATCCTCTCAAAAGCGACGATCTCTTCTCGGCGCCAGTTTCTTTGCCTCATCTGCAAAGCCTAACTCTAAATGGAAGTGGTTTAACCAGAGTTGACTCCTTGTTTGAAAATCTCTCCGCTCCTACCCTTAAGTTTCTCGACATCTCCAACAACCGTCTCTCAGGACCCCTACCCTTCGCTCGGTATCATTATCCCAACCTTATCACATATCTCGCGGCCGATAATCAGCTCTCTAGGCTTGATTTCGAATCTGTAAAGGGTCTGCATGTGTTGGACATAAGCAACAACAATGTTGATTATCTCCCACCGAAAATTGGATTGTTGGGAGGAGAGGATGGTTCAGGATTAAAACGATTCGAAGTTGCTGGAAATGTGTTCCGTGTTCCTCGATGGCAGGTTGTCCAGAAGGGAACCGAGGCGATCCTGGAATGGCTGAAGGGCAGAATTCCAGCCGACGAACTGAATGAGGCAGATGCTCTTTAACCTCTATATATGCGCCGACCTTGCTTTGACGGCAGGTGTCTACTGAATCACGATATAAAATGTTTGCAAGGCCTTAGCGTCATGTGCAGGCCGTAGTTGTATAATATGAGTAGCAGAACACTTTGTTTTCACTATGATTGAATATCTTTAATTACATTGCCCATTACTTTTCTCCAAGTTGTTGACCAAATTGTGAATTTGTCCCCTTGCTGCTGCTCTGTAATAGTCGAGTTCTCAGTCCAGGGGTAAATGACCAATTCAATCGCCCGTTCAGCAGTCGTCTTCGCCTTGTTCAAGTAACGGACAGAGTCGTCCAGGTTACTCTCATACAAAGAGCCCGCGGCCTCATCTACATGTCCAGGGATGCTTTGAAGATCGGATGTCAAAGACTCTAGCTTTGCGATTTGGGACTTGGATGCCGTGAGCCCTCCCTTTTTGCATCGATTCGAGATAATAGCCGGATAAATCTGCGCAATCGGTTTGAGAGCGCGTAAAAGCGACTTCTTCTGCTCGTGTAGTGCTTCAATGTCATCATCTTCTTCTTCCTCATCGGATTCCTTGCCGTTCTTTTCAATATCTTTTGCTGTTTCGTCGCCAACGTCCAGCAGTTCTTCAAAGTCTGCATCATCCTCCTCGGGATCCCACTCCTCCAACTCGCTTATTGCATCTTTTACCAGATCATGCCATTCCTGGACTCTGCGAACCACATGACCGACAACACCTTGCGTGACGAGTGTCGTGATTGTATCACAGGCATCCCACACTCGTCCTGTTTGCGATGTTATAGCTTCTTTTTCCGACTTTGAGAGCTCGCTTTTCTTCTCCCCCTTCTTTAGCTCATCCGCGAAGCTCGTAATCGCTTCAACCAATACAGAGAATTCCTTCAATGCCGTTTTCACCAGTAATCGCGCCTCAAGGGAAAAGGCCTTTGTATATTCGCCGGGCGTCAGCATAAGCACCGCCGTGACCATCGAGGGCATAACCGAGTCATTGACGGGCGTAAGAGACGTGCACAGTGCAGAGGGAGTGAAAGGTGCAGTTATTGTGAGGAGCGACAGTTTGGTAACTTGAGCTCTTAGTGTTTTTGCACTATTAGACAGGAGGACAAGAGGAGACGGGTTCGCAGCGTCGTCGTTCTCTGCTGTTGCTGCTGTTGGCGGGGTCGTGTCTAATGTGGTCTGGAATTGCGCTGAAAGCGCAAGGGCAGTTTCTAAAAGAATATGTAGTTTTTCCGACATTTTTGCAATCCTTTATTTTTCTATGGCATGTGTGTGTCGGTTTGATATGTAATGGTTTCCTGGCGGTGGAAGACTATTTGTTGATGGTGAGTCTCTTTTTTCAACTTTTTCCATCTCGTTTGTGATAAGATCCGATAAGGGTTCCGTAAGCGGCTAGTGCATGACAGTCATCAGAGGGGCAGAAGAGTGTCTCTTCATGGACGCATATAATGGTGGAAATACGGAGGGGGGGAAAAGGAAACTCAATATAAAAGATAAGAACTAATCTTTACCTGGTTAATATTGTGACAAAGAAGGTTGTTTAGAGCATCGTGAGGAGAGGAAAACTGATGTCGGATCACGGAGAAGCTCGATATATTGCAATACTGCATTCTTTTTCATCTTAACTCAAGAAAATCTTTACATTGGAAAGCTCTACGCTGCGTGCTATGTGTCGTATTGCTATATGGTTTAGGGCAACTAGTCAATGGTTGCTTACAAGCCCTAATAATAAGCCCTAATTTCCAGTTCCGTAGGTTTGTTGTCTCTTTGAAGCTTCCCGGTTAGGTCTAGTGCAACTCCCATGTCAACCCTCCTTTCTCTCTCGCTTCCTGTTCCTATATGGCAGGCTGTTACTATCATCATGGCAAGCAAGCACCCAGCAGAATACCCATCTGACTCACCTTTCAAGAGACCTTGACAAATGCGTAAGTTTTACCATATGAATTTATTGTGTCTCTATGTATTAAAGCTAACGTAGCCAGATCTACCATGATCTCAAGCAAAACCTCATCGAAGTTACTCTGCCGCTGACTGACTTGACACATCTGAATGGAGAAATAGGCTGATATAGATGACACGTTTCTCCAAAAGGATGGGTTTCCTGGAGAGAATGAAGCTTTTTGTATCCGTCGGTTGGGCAAACAGACTGATGTATCGGCCATGTGCCGCTTCGACGCTGACAGTTACGAGAATATCGCACCTCGTGTGACTACTGTCAATCCCAGAAAAAGACGCAAGAAGGAATGCCGCACCGTAGGTGCTCCTTTCCCATATTGACTCCGTACCTGCTAATTTCTTCCTAGGCGCCCGCATCCTGCGAGAACCTCGCCCGTCAGGCGATGTATCAGGCACACACCAAGGAAGCCCGCGGCCTTGCACTAGCCGTCGCTGCTTTCGAGAGGAAATCTTTGAGATGTACGCCCAAAGGCAAGGTGGAAGTTTCCAGGACGTTTTTTGTGGGACGATTCCGACATCGTGAATGCTCCTCATATTCAAGGAGAGAAAAGAAATCAATTGGGATCGGCTTGCGTTGAGCTATCAGAGTATCACCGAGACCGTGTTAAAGGACCTCTTATTGCATGGACTTAGGTCAAAAGGGTCACATTCGTTCTGGCGAGGGCCCACAGAATGGAGCAGTTAAAGCTTCTCTTCAATCTTTTAAGAGTCTCGAATCTTACCTGACCAAGGATTTGTCGCCAAGCCTCTATTATGAACGAGTTGAGTACTTCCGATGGCACCTTGCCGAGTTTAGTACTCGACAAAATTTATGTGAGCAGTACAGGAGCCATCACCCTCTCAAATACTTATCGCCGTATACTGCCATGATTGGTTCATCTAGAGTAGGTAAAGGCTTTGGCCATACAGCATCTAGCTCTCTCGCACGATCAGCATGTGACATATTTGAGCCTTTCTGGAGATTTGTGGAAGGGTATTCGAAGCGCTCAATTATTGCGAATCATGTTGGGGGATAATTCACTCATAAAATGAGCGTTACCAGAAGCCCCAAAAAAGGCCAGGGCCCTTTTTGGTGACTTATACTGGTTGATATTCCGTTCTTACAATGAACCATTGCCGCCGCCTGGCTTTGAGATGAACGACATGCCGAGACAAGAGAACACCGACAAGCAAGAATGAATCGAGCGCGGGCCGAGGACGATATCGTCGTCTTCATACTATTTTGGCCTTCGCTAGGCTTGTGATCCTGAGAGTGGAATATAAGCCAGGATTTATACAGAATGAGCATTATCAAAAGCCCCATTAAAGAGACTTTCTTGGTGACTTAATGGTTAATATTCCGTTGTATCTTGATGGAATCATCACTTGATCATTCATGGATGGAATATTGACCACTGCCACCATGAAGGATCCCTTTAATGTGACTTTTGTTAATACTCGTTTTATAGGCCTTCTGTTGTACTATTTTGTTGACATCGCTTCGTGTAGAAATCTGGTAGCTTGTATTATCTTTCGGTTTTGTTATTCGATGAAAATTCCTGTCTGAACATTGTCTAATCCCAGCATTATTGTCACACCACCATTTGAATTAGATGGGCTGCCTAGAGGAAGGACTTCTAGGAAGCAAAGGCTGCATCCGCTTATGCAACACTGTCCAGTAGTTATTTGGTGTTTACTGTCTGGTGTCATGGCTAAGATCAAGGCCCTGAATAATCTTGTTTTTTTTTCCCGGCCAATCGGAGCAGACTTACAGTAGTCAAGCTCTCTCCGCCGCTCAACTTTATAAGTAATTCTGCAACGACAAGAATCAGTCTTCCTAATGAATCCTCCGCGATGCTTACCAATTTTTGTCTATACGCATAAATAACCATCTTCCACGAAAGAAATGGGCGTTACCAAAGCCCGTACCCCGGCAAAGCAGGCAGCGCCCAAAGTCCAGCCCCTACCGGAGAAGACCTTCATCATCGATAACGGCGCGTACACCATAAAGGCAGGATACGCTCCAGCCAAACTCACACCACAAAACGAAGACGATGCGCTTTCTGCATGCGCAACGATTCCCAACGCGCTCGCCAAAACACGCGATAACCGCGTCTTTGTCGGCGCTCAGCTCTCCACACACATCTCCGACTGGAACGAGGTTGTCTTTCGCCGTCCCGTGGAAAAAGGGTATATAGTGAACTGGGAGGCTCAAAAGGAGATCTGGGAGCAAGCTTTCTTTGATGAAAAGACCGTTCGGAATAAAGAAGCGCGCATCCCAAACCCCGAAGAGACGACGCTGGTTCTTACCGATACGCCCAATGGTCTTCCCGCTTTGCAGAGAAATGCAGATGAAATGGTCATGGAGGAATGGGGCTTTGGTGGCTATGCGAGGATTGTTGGTGAGTTCTCAACTTTTGTCTAGAGGCTTATTTCACTTCATGGCCATTACTAAAGTGCGCTCAATTGGATACTAGGATCGACGATGAATGCATGGAACGATATACACTCTATTTTCGGAGATCCTACGGAAAGCACAGGAACAGAACTGAGCCCAGCTGAATGCCTATTAGTTATTGATTCGGGATATTCCCATACAACTGTCACGCCTGTTTATAGAGGCCAACCGCTTCAACGTGGTATCCGCAGACTAGATTTAGGAGGGAAACATCTTACCAACTACATCAAAGAAATGGTTTCAATGCGGCAATACAATATGGTTGACGAAACACATATCATGAACGATGTCAAGGAGGCGGTATGCTATGTGTCTAGTGATTTCATAGGTGATATGGAGCAGGTGCGGAGAGCGACAAAGGCCCGTGGCCAAACCCAAGCAGCCGAGGGCATCGTCGTGGACTACGTCCTTCCAGACCCCAGCGCGAACAAGAAGGGCTTCGTCCGCTCACATGACCCTTTGATAAATGCAAAGAAGCGAAAGAGCTTGCTGTCTGGGTCTGGTGACTTAGTGACCGAAGACTTCCTTGTTCTTGGTAACGAACGATTCACCGTCCCCGAAATCCTATTCAACCCCTCAGACATCGGAATGAGGCAGGCTGGCATTCCTGAGATTGTTCTGGAGAGCTTGTCAGTTCTGCCAACAGGCCTTCATCCTTCTTTTCTTGCCAACATCCTGGTTGTTGGAGGAAACGCCCTCATTCCGGGATTCATAGAGAGATTGTAAGTACAGCTCTCTCATTCAGGCTTAGCGCCCATATGTTGATTGGTATACCCAGAGAAACCGAAGTTCGTCTGATAGCGTCTGCCGAATGTGTTGTGCGAGTGCGAAAACCAAATGAGTGAGTGAAATATTTGAAGACGACGCAGCAATAAATACAAGCTAAAGCTAACATTTCATATAGTCCCATCCGTTCAACATGGTTGGGAGCGTCACGACTAGCCACAGACCGCCAGGAACTGGCGTCCGTTGCAATAACAAGACAAGAGTATCTCGAATATGGGTCAGCATGGGCTGGGAGGAGGTTTTCCGGATCTGGTTGACAGTGTGGCAGTTGTTTTGCTTGATATATGGCGTTGTGGAATTTTCATTTTCTTCAGGGAAATTGTTAAGCATATGATACCCGGAGTTAGAAACATGAGCCAATAAAAGTGTTTATTTGTAATTATTCAATTTCAAGTTAGATATCTGCTTCCTATCTACAAACCCAACAAGTTACTTGATTTATCATCTTAATTATCTATTGTTTCAATACTCGTAAAATCCTTTGCCGCTCTTTTTACCCAGCCAGCCAGCATCAACCATCTTCTTCAAGAGAACCGATGGCCGGTACTTGCTATCTCCGGTCTCTGTGTGAAGGACGTTCATGATAGCGAGACATGTATCAAGACCAATGAAGTCGGCCAATGTCAAGGGGCCCATAGGCACGTTTGTGCCATACTTCATAATACTGTCAATATCTTCGCGACGGCCCACTCCAGTCTCCAAGCAAATAATGGCTTCGTTGATATATGGCATCAGAATACGGTTTGCGAGAAAACCCGGCGCATCGGCAGAGACGGCGGGTATTTTGCCCATGCGCTTGACGAATTCGAGTGCAGTTTCAAGAGTGTCCTGAGATGTTTGCAGGCCCGAAATAATCTCAACACCCTTCTGAACGGGGACCGGGTTCATGAAATGTGTGGAGACAACGCGTGATGGTGCTTGGAGGTCTGTTGGGTCTGAAGCTGTAGAAGCGGCGATTTTGGTAATAGAAATCGAGGATGTATTCGTGGCTAGGATAGCATGTTTGGGTGCAATTGTTGCAAGTTTGGAGAAGATAGATGTTTTGAGGTCGGTGATTTCAGGAACGGCTTCAATAACGAAATCTACGTCGGAGAGGTCTTCAAGCTTCGTGCTGGGAATAAAACGGCCGCGAATTTGGTCCGCAGCTTCACGAGTGATGCGCTCTTTAGAGACATCCTTTTCAAGCAACTTATCTATAGGTTCCATAGTGTGAGAGATATTCGGTTAAGCTGTTTGCGCGGAAATTTGCTTACCGGCAAACTTCAGGCCCTTCTGTAAACCGGCGTCTGAATTGTCTATCAAAACAACAGGCACCTCTGCCTTGTGAGCCGCTACTAAAGCAATACCAAGACCCTTGTCCTGTTAGTTCATGATCATATCCCCAAGCAGGGGGCCTCTATCAAAATGCAAAGAATGCTCACCATCTGTCCCGCGCCGACGACACCTAGCTTCTTAACCTCGGCAGCCGCGAGCTGATTCTTTGATGAACTAAACCACCGAGGCGCATTGAGTGTCTGGCGACGAGCGCCATTTCGAAGAACTGCAGGCAGCATGACTGTAGCTGTGCTGATGTGTAGGCAATGGCAATTGATTTGGCATCAGCAAAACAAACACAAGAACTCAAGATGGACCGACTGATCGAACAAGCGCCGAAGCTTTGCCGACAAGCCGCGGGCTGGCACGACGTCATCGGCTATTGTCGGCTGGCCGCACTAATAGTATCGCCGAGCTCCGTCTTGACATGTGATCTTCAATGCCTCAGGCTCTAAAATGCCAATTAAGCAGGACGCGTCGACGCGACTGGACCGCGTCTTGATTGGTGCATTGGCTTTGCTACGTTTGCTCTCCGCATCACTGAGTTGCTTCCTAGCACCAATTCACGCCCGCATTATCTATATCGTGATAATGGAGTGATTATCAGCAGTGCGAGCCGTCACGATGGATCTCGACGCCGTTGCCGTTGGACAAGACGTCCAGGTCGTAGACCCGGAAGTGCGCGCGCATGTGTATAGTCTCGTTACTGCGGTCAGTGTTGATATTCCTTTGCAACAAGTCACATCATAAACGCTGACACAACACCCAACAGCTCGGAGGCTTCAATGGCGAGGATGTGTCGAAATACTCCATCGGAGACGACGCCTTGGCGTGTTTACGGGACATTAAGAAATGGCTGAGACTATACGATGAGAAGACGAATCGGTTGGATGTTGCACGGTGTCTTGGAGAGGCAAATCTCGTGAATGGCGATTTACTGCCAATTCTCTCCTTGTGGTTTGGTAATGGAGGTCACACTAAGAAACATATGACGCGGATTGCATTGGCATGCTGTATGGAACCCCGGTGATGAACTTGCAGTTGCGCACAAGTAGCTAACAAGTCTGCAATAGTGGAATTGTTGGTCCCGTTGACCTGGCCAGTGGAGATTCATAGTCAAATGACCGTCAACCACCATCGACATACACCATATCTGCAACAAGTTCAAGTACAATATAAACGAGGATTGCTCGACCAACATGCTGGAATGAACGTTTTGCGCTCTATTATTGGAATTGGACTGCCTAGCCTATCACTCCCAAAATCTGAGCGAACCAACAGAGACGAGGGGATCTTGAAATTAGTGTTGTATCTATTTCGGAATGTTGCCATGATTTCAGCACCCAAGGGCCTGGTTACCGACACGGACGAGGAAGAAATATCAAGGTCGGCAACTATAAACGCCTTTCAGCAGCAACAGGTTTTTGCGCTTTTGCTCACTATGTGCTCCAATATCAATGATGAATTCAGCTTCCAGGATGTCGTTCTGTTGGAAATTCTGTTTCACCTCGTCAAAGGTGTTAATGTACAGAAACTGTTCATGAACGATACAGAACGCAATGCAAAGCGCAATGATGAACTTGGCGATTTGTTGCAAAAGGAGTCCGGTGTCTCAAGAGAATATGCCAAAACTGCGCCGACACGTCACGGTCGCTTCGGAACCATGATTTGGGTGAAACGAGATGATGCAAAAGTTTCCACTGTCTCGGGACAAGACATTCTCAAGGATGGGCAGACTGCTTTCAATAAAATGGATCAGTCAAAGAAATGGAATCGTCCTAAGCATGGACGTCGACAACAAGAGGCTGAAGCTGCTAGCGGTGACTTCAGCTCAACCACACATCTTACACCCGCTGCATATATAAACCTCCGCACGTTTGTTGAAGAATTCTTGGACACAGGGTTCAACCCGCTTCTCACACATGTTCGAAAGGCCATTGAGCGCGAAGCTAATAGAGTCGTCGATATCAACACACGACAGTGGCTCTACCTGGTGGCTTGGTTTCTCCAAGCTGAACGCGAACGCCGCAGGTACCAGCAAAAGCAACATGAAAAGACTAAAGGGACATCAAAGGAGATTGAACCAGACAGTTTCTCTCTGGTGGCCGGCGTACTTAATCAAGAAACATTCGTCTTCCTCAACCGCGCCATGCAATATAGTTATGATAATAAGGAATGGCAAGACCTTAACGCAAATATGCGTTGCTTTACACAGATTCTCTTGACTGTCCAAGAAATGGCCGCTTCGCCTCTTGAGGAGGATCAGGAGATCGCAGAGAATATTCAAAATCGTATTTTCTATGAAGAAACCACACATGACCGAATTCTCTCTATTGTCAGAGGATATAACGATCAGGGGTTTGCTTACCTTGATGCATGCACCGAACTTGCTCACGTTTTCCTCAGGATGCTTGAAAACTACTCCAAAGAAAACGTAGACATGCAAGTGCGGTCAAAACGACGGTCAAAACGAGCAAAGAAAACAAACAGTGAAGGTCAAGATGAAGAGAACGTAGAAGAAAATGACTCGGAAGCCGAAGAGCTTGCTGATGCTGCTCGAGCGGTCAGGGAGCGTAAATTTGATTTCAAGCGGTTTTCAGCTAGGTTCTGCAGTCAGAAAAGTGTCGACACTTACGTTCTTTTCACCGCTTACTACCGGGAGCTTGACGATGAGCAACTGAAGCGTGCTCATCGATTTTTCTACAGAGTGGCTTTCAAGCAAGAACTAAGTACTCTGCTCTTTCGTGTCGACATCTTGAACCTTTTCTACCGCATGATCAAAGGGCCGGGATCGCTTGATTCCACCAAGCCAATATACAAAGATTGGCAAGAACTTGTGAAGCAATTAACTAGAAAAATGATAAAGAAGCTTGATGAACGCCCCGCCTTGTTCACAGAAATGCTCTTTAGCAAAGTCAACTCCACCCTGTTCTTCCTGGAATACGGCTACGAGAAGCAAACATTGTTTACCGGCGGTACAAGGCCGCCTGCCGAGCTTGAAGTCCACCCACGTGCAGGCACGTCTACGGACACGAAGCTGAATGTAGTTGTGGCGGCTTTGATCATGGATGGCCGAGCCGATCTAGCTAAGTGGCTTAGCGACTGCCTAGGTTCAGCAGCGAACGAACGCAGTTCCTGGGAGGCTGAACAAACCATACGTCAAGAGGAATCACCTGAAGCTGTTGTACCTCCCAGTCCTATCATAGGTATGCTTTATCGAGTATTTTTGAAGAGTATATGCTTACAATCTTTCAGAAATCCAGTCTAAGGATGATTCGATCCGGACAGCTATGTTCAGAAACGGGCGGATACGTCTGCTCATGAAATTAGTCGGACTAGAGCGTCTAGGAACAGAGGATGTCATGGGAGCCTCCTGGTTTGTACCATCTTCGCTAGACTCAGCTGCTCTTAGTGAAGTCAAGTCTGTTATTGACAAGGGACTTGAGAATCCTGTCACTGAGGTTGACGGACTCGATCCACGCGAACAACTACGGCGCAAGCCTATGGCTGAGCCTAGAGAAACTTTTCAAACCACGCTCGATGTTGATTTTGGCTCTGAATCTGAGGGAGAAGATGGAATTCCTGATGGACCACTTTTCCCTCCGAATATACGGTCCAAGTCTTCAAATGCGCTCGAGGAACTCAAAGAGAAGCGTCGCAAACGCCGTCAATCCAATAAAGAGAAAGAGCCACTAGACGATTCCACTATTGAAGAACGCCGGCGCAATCGCGAAGAGAATGCAAGAGCAAGGCAAGCTAAAATCAAAAGTGACTTGTTCGTTCACGACAGTGACGACGAATCGGATGAGGAGGCGGACAAAGAGTTCTTTGCGCGCGAAGAGGTTGGCAGGAAAGCCCAGGATCAACGCATTCGGGAAGCTCTTGTGTCTAAAGCGCTAGAAGAGGATGATGCTTCTTCTTCCACTGAGCAACCACGGAGCAAGAAGACCAATCGTCGTAAAAGGCGCAGCATTGATGGTGATGATCATGGTGAAAAGAATACTAGCAATAAAGCCCTAAAGAAACCGCGAGTCAGTATAGGTGGTTTCGAGCTGAGTGAAAACGACGACGACGACGATGATGATGATGAAGACGACGATGTCTTGATGACGGGACTCAGCGATAATCATCATGGATCATCAAAAGGCGCCTCTACCAGCCGAGAGGATGGCGAGCACGACACTCCTCCGACCTCAGCAGAGCATGAGGAATGGGACCTCGATAAAGAGTTGAATAATCACAAGGATCTGGAGCAAGATGCTGCTATTGGGACAACAGCGCATGCTAACGATTCCGAGGAAGATGCTCCAGTTGCAAGCAACCGCCGACGAGGGCGGGCTGGCTTTGTGTTTGATAGCGACTCGGAATAGTATGATCTACAATATTAGACGCCTACTCGAGAACTGTGTATGATTCATTCAAGGTTATATGTTAATTATTAAATGAGTGATGACAGTAATTCGGACTGCTTGTTTCATGCACGTAGCCGTGTACCCCTTGATAAGTGACTATCAGTAAACAAGAACAACGCTGTACATGTAACTCAGATGAACAATCCCTACAAGAGAAGCGAGAAGCCAGAGACATGTCAAACCAGGACACTTTGGAGGGGCTCGAGAGAGAATTTGTTTACTCCATACAGTGAGTCATTCACCGAACGTCCGCTTGATTAGCTCATCTATATATGACACACCAGAATTTTAATCGATGGCACAATTCTTTGTCTCAATTCTTCCAATTCCCCATCCTCCCTCAGATCATCTATACAGGATTACGAAAAATCTCACAAGAAAAAAAAAAATAAGGTATCTAAAATGGCCGCGGCACAAACAATTCCCTACGTTACCCTAGACGTCTTCACCAAGGACGTCTTCAAGGGGAATCCGCTGGGCGTTGTCTTCCTCCCAACCCCAACAGCCCTAACTCAGACACAGAAGCAACTCATCTCTAAAGAGTTCAATTACTCAGAAACAATCTTTGTGCATCCAATTGACAAACAAAACTCGCCAAGTCAGCGAAGAATCGACATCTTCACTACCAAGCAAGAACTTCCATTCGCAGGACACCCGACTGTTGGCGCTGCATCGTGGATTCTATATCTTTCTCCCGATGCCTCAGTGCAACATGTGAATACCATCCTGACTAAAGCCGGCCCGATTCCGATCTCGCTGAAGCCATCGGGTGATGAGGTTACGGCTCTGATCCCTCATGATGTAAGAATTCATCAGAAAAGGTTCCCTGCGGAAGAGCTATTACGCCTCCATCCTTCACTCAAGCCGTTTCTTTCAAACGGCTCCGTTGCCGAAGAGGCGCAGCAGGGATTTCCCATCGTGTCCATTGTCAAGGGCATGGCGCAGGTGCATGTTCAACTACCAAGTCTGGAGGCCCTTGCTGCTGTTACAGCGGCTTCGGGGGGAGAGTTTGTGGCCGACGACGATGTGAGTCAGGGCGGCTACTTGGATGACGGATGGGGTGGACGCGGCCTTGTGGTAATATATTTCCATGTCAGGGACGTCGTGGATGAAGTCACAGGCAAGACGGTTATCAGGACAAGGATGTTGCTTGAGTCAGAGGAAGACCCGGCAACGGGGAGTGCAGCAAGCGGTTTGGTGGCATACCTGGCTTTGAGCGATGCTTCTAAGGGAGCAAAGGCTGATCGCTATCAAGACTTTTACGTTGTGCAGGGCGTAGAAATGGGCCGAAGAAGTGATATTGGTCTGCGAGTCGGTTTGAAATCTGACGGTACGGGGATTGAGTCGGTAGAGCTGAGTGGAAGCTCGGTGAAAGTCGCAGAGGGAGAAATAAGAGTATAGAATTTGTTAATTTTTTTTTCCAATTGTTTGCACTCTCGTGTATTAATTGAGTAGGTATATTTTGCGATTTGATATGCAATAATACATGAAATATAATTCAAGTCACAGCATTGTGTGCGTTCGTTTGGCTTCATATAAGTCTCAATAACCAAACGGCTTGTTTTCTTCCTTGGTAGAACTGCGGCAAATTTTGCGCTCATCGACCCCTCAAGTTGCTCTACTTTTTAAGAATGAGACTATCTGTTCGTAACGAGTTACGAAAAACATCCGCTTGCGGTCCGACTTCCAGACCAGTACTCCAATTTCCTCCGCATATCGGCATGGCCCTTCGTATTCGGCGAGGGAGGCAAAATCTTTGAATAAAAATCCAGCAGTGGCTTTGACGCGGTCTCTCTCAAGCTGCCACAAACGAATCTGATCGACTACCGTTGGGGGAAGGACTGATCGTGGCAAGCCAGCGGTATTTGAAGTTGATTTGACTGCGCTTTCTTTCCGCATCTGAGGATGCGCGTGTGTAGAGAGATAGGAAATGATTTGATCGGCTGTGATACCCATTTCCACTGCACGACGGATGGATTGTCGCGTTATTTTACCAGTAACTAGGTTCGGGAAACGGTACTTGAGCGTGGTGAATAGAGCAATGAGAGAGATCTGTAGAGGTGACGAGGTGTACGCATAAAGGCGGTAGTTTGTTTCAATGATTATGAACCCTGATCCGGGTTCTTCCGTGGCTGCGTTTGTCTGCGCAGATAATGCGCTTGACATCGTATTGCTGAGGGCACTCGAATCTGAGGTAAGCGTAGTTGCAAGTCGGGTAGGATAAAAACGATCGGCTTCTGATGCAGGCGAGTGCTGGTATACGATCCCAAAGTCCGTCAGGTCAGTCAAAGAACGCAGCTGGCTAGTTGTGAGATGCTTCTTTTCGTAAGACTGCCCAAGTTCAAGGCTACTCAGAAGAAATATAAAAGAAAGCACTTCGACGTCATTAACTTGCAACGCTTTGGCACTCTCAACATAGAGAATAATGATTTGCCAGACTTGGGTGTTGACATCTTGCAGCACAAAGGCGAACCCATCCTGGGTGATATCGACTCTCCCGTGGTGAATTTCGACAAGATGGCCAGCCTGTAAAAGCTGTTTAACACCCCGACTGAGGTTGACAGTATCCCGGACACCAGGTCCACCGGTCCCAACCATGTATCCAAGAACGCCCTCCCACTGCTTTCTGGCATATTCGTCCAGATCTGCAACAGAGACTGGATTCGGGTCGGGGGTCGAGCAAGGCACACCAAAAGACTGGGAATTCTCTGCGCCAGTGAGGGCTTGTCGTAGGGATGAGGCAAAAGGGTTCGTCACCATGTACGCTCGGACCTGGTTCGAAGTCACCGTGTTTGTCATGATGTGTAATCGTCCGAGGATGGATATGGCATGGTCCCTCTCTCTTCTTTGTGTTAGCTCTTCCATCCGACAAAGGAGTTTTCAATAACTCACTTTTTGCTATCCGCTTTGATCCATAACTCCAGATCTGCAGCAGGGAGAGGCTCTCGCATGTAGAGCAAGGCCATTACAAGGCATTTTGCTGCGACCCATCATCAGTCAGATTAAGAGGTCGGCCTTGTTAGATCAACAGTAGGAAACACACCAAGTTCAGGCAGCATGCGCCGAAATATCGCAAGGGCCGTAGATGGCTGCTGGTACAGCTTTTGAAATGTGAGGCCAGGCAGCTGCTCCAGATATTCAAATGATCGATTGGTTGAGGCGGCCATTTCGCCTGTACGCTCAGCTCAGGCTTCCCGCCGTGCTATGCAGATCAAGGTGCTCTCATGGCGCGTTGCCAAGCTGGAGGAGAGCTCGGGACTGACGAGAAGGGCTGGGAATCCGTTGAGTTGCAAGCCTTTCTATTTGAACTGCGTCGTGAGTTTAGGGCAAGCAGTTTCTTTGGCTCGCAAGAAGAAATGCTGAGATGGTACGGTAGCCGCAGCGGCCAATCGCGCAGCCCGGCTGCTTTGAGGCTCAGCCCGCAACGTCATTGGACGATAATCTGCCGGTCTATCATCGTCGTCGTCGTCTTGTTGTTGTTGTTGTTTTTACTACTCTGTGCATTGAGCAAAAATGTCTGCTTTAAAGTTTGTCAATTCTGTGAGTCCCGTTTTCGAGCTTTTGCCTGCCAGCCCTCCAACTAATACTCGTATGTAGGTATGGCAATCCTTCCGGGCTACGTCCGGGTTAGAGCCGAGGTAGGTGGACTATGAGCCCGGCCATCTAGATGGAAACAAGACGTAGTAACGCCGCAATGGCTTCGCCTTTTTAGGCTTCTAGATGGTGTAAGTACTAGGCTCTGTTATTTACACATATTTTTATGATTTTCGATATTAGTCACCTCTTCCTGACGGCGTAATACACGTGCTGACTCGGAAATATAAATATAGCTGAGAGTGACCGCTGCTCGCCCTGGCGTTGTGAATTTCGAGCTTGACATTCAGAAAGAGCATACGGTATGATAATTTTACCTGTGACACTCGAATCTGACCCTGTTGGAATTCATCTAGTGTTTGTCGCCTGGCTAAGACTTAACAACAGAACAGATTAAATATCCTCCATGGCGGAACCATTGCTAGTATGGGTACGTTAAACGCACAAAGACCCCAATAAAGGTTTTGGAATATCTCCAACAGAGCTAATTATGGATGAAAACAACCAGTTGATCTGGGCGGATCACTAGCAGTTGCCTCTCGAGGGCTCTTTGCTACCGGTGTTTCAACAGATCTAAATGGTAGGCAAAGTCTTTTTCCCGGTCTTTATAATGGATCAATTCATTCATGGTTCTCGACATACTAAAATTACTTGCCTAGTCACCTACTTGAGTTCTGGGGGAAAAGTGGGAGACAAGATCAGAGCTGTGAGTGTCCAAATGTTAATAACTAGAGCTGGCATTAATAATCACTGATGTAAACTCTCAGGAGGTTTCATGTGATAAGTGTAAATCACCCACTATCGTCATACATCTGCTGTGATACAACTGACACTTGTATAGTTGGAAAAACACTTGCATATACCTCCATCAAATTCTTGAATAGCAAAGATGAAGTATTCGCCCGTGGCAGTCATACAAAGTAAGAAAGATACCTACTCGCAAATCAGTTCCTCCCTACTGACCAGAACAACAGATTCGTTGCCCTTGCTTTTAAAGATCCTCAGAACATCGTGGATGAGCTCAAGCCATCCAAGGAATCTTCGTGAATCAGGTTGACGATTCCGTAAAGCATCGCCAGGTTTAGTTAAAGGCCGAATGATTAGAAATGAAGCGATGGCGGTTATCAACTTTTTTCTTTTTGTCTATAGATAGATAGTCTCGGTACACGATAATATAGTACACCTGTCAACGTGCAAAATGTCCGTCTGCATGAACGTAAGAAGATCTTGTCCCTCACGTGAACCAAAGCGTAAATTATGGGGTGAAAAATGTCGAAAAGCTTTTTTACATCTATTCTTTTTATGAAGGGAAAAAAAAAGCCAACGCTCTTTTGGGCACCAGAATTACACATGTTGTTGGATAGTGAGGTCTTTGTTGTCGTCTGCGCCTGCCATAATTTCGTCCTCGTCGGCCTCTTCATCGTATTTGTCTGGAATATCGGCAGTACTGGCCAGAGTCTCCACACCCAATGCTTTCATTTTTGCCTGGGTCATTTCAAAGACATATTGCCCTAAATGCTCCAAACCTTCCATCGCCGTACCCTCAACACCATCCTTCTGGAGACGTGTGGTGGGATACATCTCTCCAGGGGCGAGCATCAACTTATCAGCCCGTTTAGTGAAAATGTCAAATGCTGGCTTTAGCTCATAACATGACGCAAAAACATCCAGTCGCCCAAGGACGTACAATCCCAGCCTGGCTCGTGACAATGCAACAGTTAGGCGGCGGACATCACGTAGGTAACCCACTGTTCGCGTACGAACTAAAGAAAGAATAACATCTAGGACCAAGTTAGTATAATTTTCTCTAAAACCCAACAGGGCGAGGTAGGAGGAGAGGGTTATAGAATAATCTTACAATCATTCTGCTCGCCTTGATATTTATCAACTGTCGTAACTATTTTAGGCAAACCGAACAAGGGATTCTTTGTGCATCGGTGATTGAGCACGTCCCTTATAAGTGCTCTCTGTCCCGCATAAGTTGTAAGAATAGAAATCTTGGAAGCAGGATATCCTAGAAGTCGCATGTACTGAAATATGGCAACAGCATACTCGGCTTCTCCAAGGTTCTGTATGAAGTGTGGGACTGGCTCCCTTTCGCCGACACCTTGGTAATCTGGCACATTGATGAATTGGTAGTCGAAAGCAAAGCCTGCATTTGCTCTCTTATATTCCTCCGCTTCCTCAAGTATAGGCAGGTGGCCGAGAGTTTGATATCGCCACTTGAAAAGATCCGCAATGCTAGGCCGCGCTCGGCCTTGCTGGTCGAGCGTAATAGTCGGCACACCCAATCGGACTAGCCTGAGGAAAAGGCTCTGTTCAAAGTTGGCATACTGTCTAGATGCAAGATTCTGCACGATGGGCGAGTTCTGGTAATGATCACCGCACAGGACTACCCGTTTCAAAGGCAGTTGCTCTTTTTCCATATTTTGCAAAGCAAAAGGAATGAATGTCTCAATTTCGGTAATTTGTGCTGCCTCTTCCATTATTACATTATCATAATGGAACCCTAACTCAGCAATTTCCTGTCGGCGCATTGCTGCATGGGTCGATGTCATCGCAATAATCCTGGCTTCCTTAATGAGCAGATAATTGGCACGATCTCGAGGTTGCCTTAGAATCTCAAAAGGCCGGATATCTTCTAGTTCGGAGAATATCTTGTTAATGTGGCGCTGTGCGCCCGATGCGGCATCCAGGACATCATCCTTGGAGCTCCCTGGAGTGAAGAGAGTATTTGGCGCATTTGAAAAGTATGAATGGAAAGGGAAAGAGACTACAATATCCTCCACAGAAGCCTGCTCTGTGCGTGCTTTATCCCAGAACTTTGTCCATGCTGGCCGAATATAGACTGTGTTGAAGTAATCAGCTGTCTCACAAGAATTGCCATGCGCGCCTAGAGCTCCAATTGAAGTTGCTAATCGATCAACCTCTGATAGTAGATGTGTGCGGTTTTCAAGAAAAGATTCCACTCGTCCATATTTGCTATAGCTGGTCTCTGCCTCTAGCTCTTCTTCGCCATGACCCAGTCGGAGAAGGTGGCGCTGGTCAATATCAAGAGAGACGATTTTTTGGAAAAGTTGGTTCAGAGCCTGATTGCTGTGCGCAATTAAAAGGGTGCGTTCGGAAGGAAAATTGTGATAGATGTTGTTTATGATCTGTGTTGCCACGTCCGTCTTTCCTGTGCCAGGAGGACCGACAATAACTGTCAACCCGGGTTGGGTTCCTGATGTGATTGCTTCCACTTGTGCTGGGGTAAAGCGGATGGAATTTAGCTTCGGGGCATCAATGGGATATGGTCCAGGATTTGGAGGCTTGTACGTCGACACATTGATAGAGCCAGACTCGGTCTGAGTTTCTACTTGACCGCGTCGGCGTTTCTTCGAGGTATTGCTAGTGCTGGAATCATGAGGTTCATCTGCAATCTGAAGAACATACGGGGGACCGAAGCTTGAAGATTCCTTGCCTGAAGGTTCAATTGTCTTCCCAGGAAAACTCTCCACTAGATGCTGCCAATCCAAGAATGTGTCTCTGAAGTCGACAGAGTTAACACGATTCGCAAGCTCAGTATAGCAGGCGCTGGCTGGATCACCATAACCAAGAAAGATCTCTTGAAGCCAAGATGGAAGTGCAATATCCGAAGTGATAAGTTGTTGCATTGTTTGAAGCATAGGTTTGAAATTATTTTCCCTCCCTTTTCTTCTTACAACAACATTGATCAATGGGTAAACATCTCGCTTGCCTTTAGATAATTTATCGCTATCAGCTTGAAATGTGGCTGCATCAAGATTCAACAGCAATCTCCTAATTCGTGGCCGACGAGTGAAGCCATTTTCAGAATTTTGTTGAGGTTCACGTAGTGCACGGCCATTTTCGTCCAAAACTTGTACGACATCTGCTGTACGAATGTGCGTAAGACTAGGGCGATCCGTCAAGTTCAGAGTCGTTGAAGTCGCCGGAGAAGATATTGCAAGCAAGAAAACAGTATCGTCTGGCCGGAGAGATTCCCATTCCTTCCGTATGTTGTCCGCGAGTCGGCCCACTTCTAAGGTGATTTCAGCACGAACAAAAGCTGGCTTTGAAGACCCGACCTTAGGTGGAGCAACTTCAATGATTGCTGGCTTGGAGATGGGAATTGCCATCCTAGAGAATCCGTCAAATGCAACTTCGCGAGTTGATCTGTTTACTCGGGGCTGCAATCGTTTCACAACAGCCTCTAGATCCTTTCGAATAGCGAAGAAGGCTTCTGATCGATATAGCATAAAGGACCGCCACAGAAAATCCCCCAAACTTAGGTATTGAAGATTAAGCTTGGGAAGAGCAAGAGGCCGTGATCCATCGTAAATTTCGTTTCGCAGCAGGGCAGGCTCATACAAACTCTCTTCAGTGGGCAATATACTTAAATCGGCGGCTGATTCTTGAAACGAAGGTTTCTTTTCGAAATAAGACACCAGAATCTCGAGATACAATTGGCGATGGGTAGTCACTTGACATTGCGTTGGATAGCCAGTCCTAAACCCAAGACGTTCACAGAGATCCTGAAGCTCCGTATCATTCAACGCGGACAGACTCCCCTCAAGTTCTGAGCGCCGCTCAATAGATCCATAATTGGATAAAGCAAGAATGGTGAGTTTGTCCTTGAAATGTCTGATAGCAGTCCTTTGGAGCCGTGCCAGCCGTTGACAATGGATGTCGTATATTGTTTGCATGGACAAAGGTTCGCCAGTGTAGTCATCGATTGCAAAATTCATGAAGTGTTGTAACAATGCAGAAAAGTCACGTATTAAGGAATTATCCGGAGAGTTGTACAGCTTTGAAAGTCGAATAATTGCAAGAATATTCAAGTCTTGCAAGAGGGTATTAACATATCTTCTTGTTGGAAGCTGACTGTTCAGGTCCACGAGCAACTCAAGGAATCTTTCACAGTATCGTATATTGTCGGCTTGGGTTTGTTCTGGAGTACTGAGTTTCTGGAGGAAGTCCAGAATCAATGTGTAAAGCCATGATCTCTCGAATCGAATCTTTGCCTTCATCGGTTCATCAGCTGCTTCATATCGTTTGGCTGCTGCGCGCCATGCCTTTTTCAAAATGGGTGCTTTGTCCAGAATTTGATTCCTTGTTGTCTCGTTATATAGGTTGTGCCAGATAGAAATTGAGACCAATGGCGCGCATTCTTTCCTAATCAGGTTATTCTCAAGAGACTGGAAGCCACTGATTATGAACGACAAAACTGAAAGCCTTGAGAACGTCGACAGGGATGAGTCGAGACTCAAGGAAAGAATGCGATGGAAGAGATCCGCGAAGCTATCAGGACGATCGGCAAAATGCTCTAAGAAATTTGCATCTGTTAATAAAGGTAAACAGAAAGTGTTCCCTTAGTTATCTTACCCCATATCGGCAGATGCTCGCCCTTTTTGACTCCCACAACGACGGCAATCAAGAGTACGTGATGGTTCGATGCGTCGTCTGTGTAAGCGGGCCAGAGATACCTAGCATGTGTAAGTATTAAGTAAACCTTGCCAAGTAGACCGCAGATGCCCTTTCACTCACTTTTCCAAGATATTCAGATTTTCCAGCGTCAGTAGCGAGCGGGCAGAGAATCCTTCAGCTTCCAACGGATCCCAGATCTCGTTTTTGAGGACATCTTGTTTGGCCTTGCGAATTTTGCTCTGCTTCAACCAATGCTTCTGCGCGAGGACTACCCAACGGTCGTCCCCCTGCAGATCAGAAACAGACGGTCTGGTTTCGAGCTTCTGCGCCATCGCAGAAGAAATCCCTAATCCCAGTGCTCGCTGTACAATAAAACTCGGCGCAGCTTGGAGATGGTCGAGTGCACTCTAGCAGCAGGCGCGAAAAGCAAGCAACTACGGATGCTTTAAGTTTAGCGTATTCCGTGCAGGTCCCGCCAGGCGCTCGCCGCCTGGATCTGCCAGCGGCGCCGATTGGTGACGGCTTGCTTTGAGCTTTTTTGTCAGTCAATCATCACTAACTATCGTTGTTATATTCGCTGACAGGCTTCATTGATATAGCTGGCCTTTCCTGGTTGCCGTCTACTATATGATTGCTGCATAATGACATAATAGTACAACGGGGTCCGGCGTCGCGAACTGAGCTACGAACGAAGATGTCAGGCACAGCTATCGACTCTGCAGTCGAATATCGCGGTCTGGTTCGAGATTTATTGGCGAGAGCAACAGAGGTTAAGAAAAGTCACGGTGTCGAACCGCCTATCACAGAAGCGAATCTCGGCGATCTGGCGGCGCGCGTGCTTCTGAAGAACGGTGACGCCCTGTCGGAATCAAACAAACAACTTAATTATGCCGCGGTTGAGACTGCATTTCGAGAAAAGTTCTACGAGTTGCTGGTAACTGAAAAGTCTGTGTCGTGTCATTTGACATACCTGTGACTGACGATTGTTATAGGCCTCAACCTCGATAGACGATCCTGCTTTTGTCAACATTTGGAATCTTCTCGATATCGTCTCGATTTTCTCGGATAATGGTTGGTGCTTTATTCGTCTTGAAGGATTCATGTGATCTTGAAACTGATTCGATGTGGTGTGGGAATACAGAACAATGCGAAGCGGGCTTGATCTTCTGGCTTATCGAAGAACTTCTTGACAGTCAAACAGTCGATGGGTGTCGCAAAGTTTTTGACTACCTGGAGTCGCGCAGGGAGATCAATACGGCAGTATGGACTAGTTGGAAATACATCTCTCTGGGGTCTATGCTAACTCGGTCTTAGAAACACTTCGAATCAAAGAAACTGATTATTCTACGATCGTGTAACGAGCTACTTCGCCGGCTTTCGAGAGCAGAAGATACCGTTTTTTGCGGCCGGGTATTTATCTATATGTTTCAGAGCTTTCCGCTCGGAGATAAAAGTTCAGTCAATCTTCGAGGAGAGTTTCATACTGAAAATGTTACTACATTCGACGATATTGTTGAGAAATCTCAAGATGTTGTCATGGAGAACGGGCCCACCGAAGCAAAAGGCGAGGGAGCGGAAGAGGGTTCTCAAATTGCACAGGGTGATAAGATAGATGAGAACGAAGCTGCTCAATCTACGAAGGGTGCAACTCCCAAACCGGCGGATGCTGGTGTTAATGGACAAAAGGAGGGCGAAAATTCCAAAACAGTTGATCTGAATGCGCTCTATCCCATCTTCTGGGGACTGCAGGCCTTCTTCTCAGCACCAACCAGGCTATTTGATGCCCAGAACTTTGCATCATTTCGTTCGGGTCTAGAGACAACACTATCTACCTTCAAGTTGATGAATACGGATATCGACACATGGAGCACTACAAAGGCTCCAGACGAGCTTCGTAGGGGACTGAAGCGCAAGCGCAATGACGAGGGAGTGGACATCTCAAGCAGCTTCAACCCCAAATATCTAACGAGTCGCGAGCTTTTTGACTTGGAGGTAAGACGGGTCTAGTGTAATTGAGCCTGTTTTTGTGATATATCCTTGCTGAACTGCGTGTCTTTAGGTTAATGATATTGCATTTCGACGCCATGTTCTAGTTCAGGCATTGATCCTGCTAGATTTTGTTCTATCTCTGACAACGCAAGCACGTCAAAGGCTTATGAAATTAGTGCAGCCCGGAAAGGCTCTAAACAAGACAGTGCTCTACCAATACACTGTCAGTGAGGAGGATGTAAGTATCTCAACCATCACTTAGCCTTCATGTGCTGACTACTTTTATGAAAGGCCAAATGGGCAGCGCAGACCCGAGACATCGTTGCAGATTACTTACAACAAGGAATTGACGGGAAATTTTACTACCGAATGGTTGATACCGTTCTTTCTCGGGATAAGAACTGGGTACGCTGGAAGGTCGAGAATTGTCCACCCATTGAAAAACCAGCGATTGAAACGGACGCCTATTTCCAGGCCCGGACGAACGCACTCAAGGTGTATTCCAGCAAGCGTTTGAGACCCTCACCTATGGGCTCGCTTGATCTCACATTTTTGTCCGAAGGAGACAGTACTTCTAGCCTGGAACAATTGAAAGACCCAGATCGGTAATGACAGTCTTACTATCTGAATTGATTCTCATTTGCTGACTTTGTTTCATTAGATATAGCACCCCTGCTCCCGATTCGTTCATGATGGGAATCGTGGATGATGAGTTTGATATTGATATGGCCAAAGAAAAGGATGAGAAGGAAGCTGCAGAACGAGCGAAGGCGAGCAAATTATGGCGAACACTACGCTTAACCTCGAGAAGCAAGCTTTTTGAGTTTGAGAAAATCGAGGATGGGAAGAAAATCAATCTACTGTTCGAGAAGACAACGGAAGAGCCAAAGGAAGAATCTAAGGAGCTCTCGTCAGAAGAGCAAAAGAAGACAGATAATCCCGGAGATGCCAAAAACGAGCAGCCGCCTACGCCGTCCGAGACACAGGCGCAACAGGCTGATGGTGCTACGGCGACGTAATCAATTTGAATGCTACAATATATGCAGCAAACTCAATTGACATGCCGCGCTTTTGCGCTGGATCAACCTCTTTTTTTATCGCCCAATTCCCTACCGTGGCATGCTTCTCGCGTTTCCTCAAACGTCCCAGCGCCGATATATCCCATGATAAGAGTAGCGATTCCACATTCCGAGGCTGTTTGAATTAAGGATGGCTATTTCCCTGCAATGAACAGCCTGGAAAGCAGCACTACGGGTGACGGGTCTTCTCGAACAGACGTGGCAACTGCCCTGTACGATGTATTTCTAGCACAACATTTGACGGTGCTGGTCGTCACCCTGACATTCCAGCATAGTCCGCTCTTAGCGAGTCAAATTCGAGACTATCAGCGAAATGAAATCGAAACATAGTTGGAATCCATGCAGACAATTGAATCGTGGGCATGCTCCGTAGCTCGAGATATTCTACCGCATTCAGTAATTTCTTCAGAGTAATCATAGAACCTTGGCAGGGGTAACGAGTAGTAGTTCTTTTGATGAGAGAGGCAAATAATCGAAAAATTTATGCAGTAAGAGCTAGGTAGGCCACGTGCCAGGCAGTCAGGGCAAGTGTGCCCGCGGACGCACGCCTTCCTTCAGGGATTCGGCTCCTCGCGCCTTCCAAGTTCCAACAGACGCAACCAACGAGTCACGACAAATTGTGCACACGGAACAACTAAGAACCAACCTCCTACGAATGCCACTACTACACAGGGTGACGCTCACAGTGCATGTCGAAGGAGGCACAAAAAAAAAGAAGAAAAAACTACCTGCCTGAACCGGAAACCCGGTTGATGTCAAGTTATCAACGCTAAGTGACAAGGGCAAGCGTGACCCACGCACGGGTCGATGGCTTTGCAGATATGCATGTGTTCTGCACCTACTGGACTTGAGATAGCAATGCATGGAGAACTGGGGGAGCCTTCAGGGTTCGTCAGAGACCAAATGACCTGCGTATCTTGACTATATTGGTTCACTGGGTTGACGCCTGAGAATTGACGCACTTCGCCAAATGCAAGAGCAGGGTCCATCACGTAGGGCTGTCGTTCTTCATGGCTTCTATCAGGCCATCATCATACACTCTCACGTCAATGACAGTCTTCAGCTCCTGGACTGGACTTGACTTTACTAGCACGTACCACTCTGTACTCGTATTGAGTACCTGGTCTTCGTCCCCACAATTCAACGGATGACGACGTCGACGGATTCTTCCATTCAAACTACACTTATACATAGCCAGTTAGCCGGTGTCTTAGTTGAAAACTCAACTTCGATTTAGCGCCAACTAGACGGGTCACGGCCGGACGGTTGCTAGCGAAGATAAGCGCCGAAAGCGGGTTTCTGCTGGCAACTGCAGCTTTTCCTTGGACCCCTGATCATTTTGTGGCTTGTCAACGGCGCCGGCCGGCCTATCGAATGTTCCATATTTTCTGGTTCCGTCCGTCGAATGTTCGACGAAGCTTCCTTCGTTTTTTGCACTAGAACTTAAAAGGACAATCGGCAATTTATTGTAATTCTCCGAGAAGACGGCTGGCCATCACTCATGGCAAATCAATACGGAGTACCTTGGTATTGGCACTGAGTAGCATATGGCTATATGTTCTATAAGGATTCAGGAGTATGCGCCAGGTTGCCCCATTGAAAATTCGGTCTCACGGCTACCTACGGAGTAGGGTAAGTATGTGTAAGAATCATAAGATTACGAGGTACCCCACTAATTTCTTATGCTAGGGAAAAATTTCCGTATCATTGTTGATGCGATACGCTTTCTCCACAGATAGTCAAGCGAATCCTCGGTAGAATTGCATGTGAAGGGTTCAAATTGAAGTAAGTTTTCCAGTTAAAGGGACGAGAATGCTAAGGGTCACCACAGTAAGGAATCTAGGTGCGCACATGCATATAATACGGACACTAATGCTCACATCTCGATATTTTGGGCGTCGATACAGATGTGTCTCGAAAATCACGGGACTCGCCGCCATAAAGTTCCCGAAAATAGCTCCAATCAACACGGGAAACAGAGAACGGAGAACGGAGAACGAACATCATCCGACATTCCCCACATCAGCTACGCTCTTATTGACTTAGTCTAACTTGGCTAAATGTGTACTCTTTCTTTCTTTCTTTCTTTTTTTTTTTTTTTTTTTCAAACAGTCAAACTTACGGAGTAGTCCGGTCCAAGGACCAACAGTCAACGATGACAGGCCATCCACGGAGCTACGCCGTACGGTATGAACTCATGAAGTTTAATTCCCTGGACGGATCTTGTCCGACCAAATTCTATTGATCCTATCATGGGTAAACTAAGACCTGTCAATCTACCCATTGAAGAAGTGACTCCAAGAGCTGCAGTCCACCTGGTTGCAGGCAGACTGAGGCAACTACTAATTGGTGACCGACCAACCGCAGTTTGAGCTGTTTACGTACAATTTTAGCACTTGGTCAGTGAGAAACTGATCTGTCTAGGCAGGCGTCAGTGCTTCAACCTTCAACGTTCATTTATCCTAATTCCTTCCTCCATCGCCTGCTCGAAAAAGACGGCAGCCTGACACCCCTGCTGATAGCCCGTGCCCACTGTGCAGTGTCCACGCAAGGAATATAAGTCGTTCGTGATTGATCCGAGTTACCCGCCCACGGAGCCAACGGCTCAGAGTCCTCCTATTCTAGCAGAGGTGATCTACGAAATACGGTTTCAAGCAACGAAAAGTGGTCCGTAGAGAGAGAGAGCTCTCAGCTTTTGCAACTTACAATAATGTATACACCCCCGCCATTAATTAGTTGCCTCACTGTCTAGCAAGTGCCAAGCACTAGCTAATCCAACAAAGTGAAACGTCGATGAGCAACCTTAAATTAGCAGGGGAATACATACGATATTACTATTCCGTATACATATTACCATGGCAGGGCCGGCCGGCCGTCAATGAACCGGACCCGTTCCCCAGTGCGCCGTGCGGTGATTGTCTCTTTTGAGTCTTCAGCCTCGGCACGTCTTTCTCTTTCACGAGTCTTACATTCTCAGATCATTGGAATCTTCCTTTCTAAGCGGATATCTGGTGGACAGGAAGCTTGAAGCTTACAAAATAGGAATAAGGCGTTCTTTCATTGCTCCACTTGCCTCGGGCGGAGATTAAAAAAAAAAAAAAAAAAAAAAAAAAAAAAAAAAGGGCACTCGGCAGTCCTGCCACCAAGAAAGGAAATGTGACCGAACGAACACGTCCAGAGACTCTTTTTCGAAGGTCAGTCAGTCGATGACCGTGATGGGGGGAAGATAAGGAGAAAGCAGGGTATGGCCTCTAGCTTATATGACATTTCACCGGAACAACATCATCATCACAGCAGCAACAGGACCGTGCTATGCAGTCCAGTTGACCATACCGAGTGGGAATGGTAAATGTAACTTCATGCGGATACACCTTCTAGTTCACACGAGAGTCGACTCCAGTTCCACGCAACGTGGTAGACTAGTCGCAGCTAGTTGGTACCTTGACGGCTAAGCAAGCTATCTCTACGCACTAAAATAGTACGTCGCAGTCGACTATGTGGCTCGTTGAATAATAGTCCGGGCCATGCGGCGTGTTTACCACATGGTGTGGCCCTCTTAGTACGTATGCTTTTTGTCTTCCCCGTCAAGCGAGCCGAGCCTGGAAGGACGCCCGTGCCCCGGATGGACTTGGGACTTGCGCCTTTGATACGATGGATCTTGGTTAGGGACTTTTAGCGCTGCACTAAGAATGTTCATGGTGGAGCTTTGTCTTTCTTTTCTTTTCCCCTGGGCCTGTTATAATTTATTCCCTCACAATGGGGATGGCCATCGCGAACGACGGGAAGAAAAGAAAAAGAAGGCCGAAATTTCTCCACCAAAGAAAATAAGTCGCCTGCGGTTCCAGCCAGCCAGCCAGCCCAACACGAGCAAGTACTTTTTCTTCTTTCTCGCAAGCATGACGAGATTGGCAGATGCGAGGGAGAGAGGGGAAAGTAAAAGTCTGTGACCGATGACGAATCTAACCTCTTTCTCTCTACTTTCTCTTTTCATTTTCCCCTATTAACCTATCCGAGAGTCTACCGAACATTAGCAGTGAGTCAGTGACCCATATCGCCATTATCTCGTCTCGATCAACATGACGACCGATCGTGAGCCGTCGGTGATGGCAAATAGCGCGGATTCTGGGTGGGTGGATTGCACGGCTGTGCTGTCTAGCAGTCTCTATCTCACTAGCACCGTAGCTAGCCACGCACAACTAGTCAGTGTGTACTGTGCACTAATTCCTACCACGTTTTCAGCAGCACTAGCATGGGCGTTCGTATCATATGTCATATGCACTTTCCAGGACTCCAGGAGAAGCGAAATCAATATTATTGGGCGAGTTGGACATGAATAGCGCATACCGAAGCTCGATAACTTGATGGTTTGAATGCTACCTTAAGTACCACCCACTTGACTTGACGTTCTCGGATCGTGTTGGCGTGCTGGTCCGACGTCATTCATCTTTTCTTGCTCTTGAGCTGAGAATGACCGACCATGGCGACCCTCCACTTGCCTGCTGTCGATAGACAGGCAGACAAGATACGATAGACAAGCAGGGGAGGATGCTGAGGGCAAGGGGTACTCTTTATGTGTATCAAGTCGTCCCTTAGTCTCAGGTACCCCTCCACAGAGCCCACACAGCGGAAGTCGGCAGCCGTCCACCTTCAGACTGGCATGATACAAGTTAGACATGGACATGAATGCAGGCCGCTTCTGTCTACGTAAAGCAGTGAAACCGTTGATGAACTCCAGGCTGGCGGGCAGGAAGATTAAGGACTGCATACGTACTTATATAAGAACTCGTAGTAACCAACTATAGCTAGTCCCAGGCATAACGCAGAGGAGAGGGAGAGGGAGAGGGAAAAAAACGGCGCCGGCCAGACAGAGATCGGGGCACGCCACTTTTTTCCCCATCAGCGCGAGCCATAATCAAACAAATCTCCATAACCGGCTCCTCTTATATTGATCCTGAACCTAGGAATTGCCCTTGCTTGCTTGTGATTTCCTCTCTCTCTCTCTATTTTTTTTTTTCTCTCTTGCTTGTTTATATTGTTGTTCCCACGGCCGTTTCCCATCCAATCCAATCTAGACCCTGCTGCAGAGACGAGAAGAAGCCAGTGGAAAAGATTTCCAGGTGGTAAGTACAGTCTCGTGTTTCCCTTGTCCAATCAACTCGGCTTGCCCCCCTCTGTCCATAATGTCATCATCATAAATCAAAGCCATTATTATATTGTTATCCACCGCGTGTCTTTTGAGCGTTGGGCAGTTTCAGTCTGGGAAGCGGCGGCGCGACTTCCCTTTCCGTCTGTCTGTCTGCCTGCCGTGCCCTGCCGAATGTTGCTCCCAACCTTCTTCACTCACCATCCTGTTCAGCTTCACTATGCACTATGGCTGAACGCTATTTTGCGGTCTTTTCCTCCCTTTTCGTCTCTTCTATCTGCCGCGCTTTCTGACTCGGATTCCCTGTTTTTCCCCCCTCCTCCATGCGCTAATTAGTCGGTAAAAAGGATCGCTTACCCCCCCCCAATGTACCAGCTCGGAATTAGGTAAATATTCATTCCTCCTTTCCATCTATTCATTCATTCATTTATGCAAAAGCCTTGGACGAAATATCGCCACAAACATGGCAACTCGCTAACTCGTCCTTGTGGCAGTATGCTGCATAGTATAACGTCAATCTGCGACTCCATGTAGCCGGGTCTTGATATTGGTTGATACACACACACAGAGAGAGAGAGAGAGACAGATTATTCCACGCTTTCCGGCTTCCGTTTGTTTTCTCCTTTGAAGAAGTAGGAAAAGAGAGAAATCACTATTCGGCATTCGATTGGGCTTCCTTACGCCCATCAATCAATCCACGTGCCATCTAGGAATGTGCAGTGGTGATATACCACGATATTCAAGCTGTAATGTCGATGGTCAGTGTCTATCGTTCGGTTCCGAGTCCGCAGTCCGACTTGTATCGTTACTCCCGGGCACCAGACTCCATTGTCCTGCGGTCTCCCGGTAGTCAGGGCGTTGAAGAAAGCAAAATGGGCCTTTCAACAGCCGCTCCATCGATTTTAGCACCTTCGATTAAAGACAGCTCGCAGCCAGGTCCTGGCGCCCAGCGCGAGGCCAGCTCGTCTTTGGCACTGCCTAGACCTGCGGCCGCACAATTTACTACCCAGCTGCCGAAGTTAGAAAACATTGATCCTTCGCTGAAGCCTATCACGCATTTGGAAGTTGAAGATGCGAAAGGACAGAACCAAGTCTCGCAAACTTGGAATGGTGGTGACAGCACTATGAGCGTCGCCGCCCCGTCAAGTCATGGCCCTGATATTTTGGGAGAAGAGAATGACGAAGAGCTCGCTGGGGATCTTAGCAACGGTGAAGACGCTGATGGTGGGCACGTGAAATCTGCCGGTGATGCCGGAGACGACAAGAAGAAGTCGAAACGTTTTCGGTAGGTCACTTTCCCCCTTTCCCCAAGGAACCGGGAAGTCAGAGACGAGCTTAGACTAAACATGATGTGGGTGTATATCTACAGCCTCACGCACAATCAGACACGCTTTCTCATGAGCGAATTCACCCGCCAAGCTCATCCTGATGCATCGCATCGAGAGAGACTTTCACGCGAAATTCCGGGTCTTAGCCCTCGGCAAGTGCAAGTGTGGTTTCAAAATAGGTACTTTCTCTCTTCCCCTCTCTTTTGTATATGGCAACAAATAACTCACCATTGTCTAGACGAGCCAAGTTAAAACGCCTCACAAGCCAGGATAGAGATAGAGTGCTCAAATCGAGGGCACTTCCTGAGCATTTTGACAGGACGCAAATGTTACACCAGCCCTACAACTCTAGACCATCAGCTAATACATCCCCAACATCACCTACAACTTCTCGACCCTCATTTCCGAGCGGCGCCCCTAAACCATTAGCCGTGAGCAACATAACACGCAACCCTGGCGAAGATTATCCGGTGTCCCCTGCTAGTGCGGCATCAGCGTATGGAAGCTACGTGAACTCACCAGGACTGGCAGAACCTTTTTCTTCAGCTTCCAATAACCCGGGCAATGCGGTGACAGCAGGCGGCGCAAGTACGACATTCTCTGCCACCCATGCTCTACCAAGGGTGCCAGGAGTACACTCCGATTATAATCGATCACATAGCTTTTCAACCTCGTATGCACCGGGCTGGCAACCATATCCGTCGCAGAGGCTTCACTTGCCGCCATCAGATTCCGGCATCAAACCCGAGAACATGAACTCTATGCACCGCCCATCTGCTTCATATCCAGGACTGGCTGGATCCATTCCAGAGTCACCCTACGAACGACACTCGTCACAAGCAAGCTCTGCAGGTCACGGAACTGCTACTCAAAGTAATAGCCCTCTACCGGGCATGGCCTATCAAGGTAAATTTTTCTTATACAAGCCTACCTGAGCCTGGGTAACGCACAATCATGATTTAATTTCTTTCTAACAATTTCTTTCTAACATTTCACAGGTGGTCAGTCACAAGGAGCGCAAACCGAACAGTACCCAGCATCTACCCAAGATTCACACGACGCTTACACATCTGGAAATTATCGCCATGTTCTCACATTACAAACCGCTCAGCTACCTCCGCCACAGGAATATCAAGTGTCCCCGTTTACACCATCATACAGTTCATCATATAGTTTCGACTCCTTTTACCCATATGCGCATGATAATACGTCCGCGGTCAGTTTGCCAGCATCATACATGCGTTCTCATACCGGTTATGAGTCTCCTGGTGGATACTCATACGACAATAATGATATGAACAGAATTGCAACTTCGAACCTAGGGGGAGCAAGGTGATGCGACAAATTTTCATTATAAAATATCACACATACATTTATTGCAGCGGTATATTCGACATGCAACAACCAACAATGTCTATTGTCTAGAATAATGTCTCCTTTTATGGAGAGACATATCTATATAAGGAAGGAGAGGGCTGGAGTTTTAAGGTTTCTTCTCTTCTGGATCTGAAAAATCCTATACTGGTTTTTTTTTTGTTTTCTTTCTTTTCCTTTTCTTCGCTTCCGTTCGACTTGCCTTGTAATTCTACAGGAAATATAGGGGTATCAGGGTATAGGTAGCAGGAGGCGGAATTGATCTATGTATATATGTTCTATGTATATTAGGGAATTTTTGTCAGCCATGTAAGGGCATGCATATCTGAAACTTGAGAGCTGTATATACAACCAACCATCCAATCAGACGCCCGTGGTTTGTCATTGCTTGCAATACTCTCCAATCAGTGACTCGCATTTGCAATGCTTATGATTGAATCACCCGTGATTGGCTGTGAGTCACATGACTTTCCTCTACCAGCCCCACCTATATCCGGGATTGACCAATGAAATCGAGGATGTTGCTAATCCGGCGATGCCATCATGTGCATGGAGCGAAGTATATATTTGGGGCCTGACCTCGCTCATTGAAACTCCGAATCGAATCACTCTTCATTCATAACATACTCTTTTGACATATAAAGTCTTCCTCGTCTCGCTCAATCGCTCGTGCAACACCACACTCTCATACCTATCTCCAAATCATCCAACGCAAACATCATGACTCAAACACGCCCATCCACCTGCTGCGGTCAGTCACAAAGCGGCTGCATCTGCGCAGCCCAGGCCAAGTGCGAATGCGGGCGAACATCTGCCGAGAAGTGCGATTGCAGCAAGAAAGCAGCTCATGATCCACAGAGCGAGGGAGCGAGGTGTTCATGCCGTATGTCTATTGTCTTTTGTCTCTGTCTTCTCGGACTGCGTACTAATATAGGCTGTAGGAATGAGACCCGCCGGTCAATGCACATGTGAGCGATCTGTCAGTGAGAATAAGCCTGTAGAGGGGGATAGCTGTCCTTGTGGTCAGAGACCGGTTGGTAAGTGTTTTAATCTAAGGTCACCTACTTTTGTTTATATATATATAGATAGACTAACTTTATACTAGATTCATGCACCTGCACAAAAGCCGACAAGGTAGACGTTGCTACTGCTGCATATGACAACCTGGAGACAGATTTTACCTCAAAAGCTTAATTTGCATTTCTTTATAGAGGTTTCAGTTTTCTCGCATCATGTCAAATGGGGTGGGCGTTTTGTTTTTGTATGGGCTATTGTATTTTTATTGCTTGTGAATGGAGTTGGGCGGTGATGCATGAATACATGGATGATGGACTAAATGTATTGATAATAATTAGCATTATACTCAATCAGATCTTGTGTGATATTCTTGCTCTGAATTCTACGAAAATTTTTGATATCAAAAGATGTAATATGCTAATGACTGCATGTATAATTCACGTGCTTGAGCCGCGCGCATCAAAGTTGTTCCAGCCGCGGACTTCGGACGCATTTGTGTAGATCTCAGTCGGAACGTCGGATTGTCGATTGACTAGTCCCACGTCCCCTGAAAGATCAAATAGAAAATCGGATACAGCTATTTGATCGAGCCATTACCTTTTGTTGCTGGTTGTTTCTATTGTTTTCTCGGTCTCTTCCTTCTTTCCACTCGTTCTCGCTTCTTCATGTTTACGTGTGGGTCCCTGGTCTAGTGTCCACTATTTTGAGGCTATAAAGTCAGTTCATAACTAACCGGCGGCCCCTATATCGATATTATAGAACGTCATTTGCACAGTTCGACGTCTATCATCTTCGTTTCCGCCGCCTTCAATTCATTCGTTCGCTTCCTTTACCTTCGTATTTGCAATGTTTGAGGTCACCTTTCATATTCGATGAGAGACCACGGTTTGATTATGTCGAATGGTTCAGCAACCAGTCTCCTGTGAACAAAGAAAGAGAGTGTGAGTGAGAGTGAGGGCGCGCTAGGAGAAGACTGTTTTGCACAGATTCCGCGAGCAGTCGAAAGAGCATTAATACAATATGTCGTCAATGCGAGGCTTGGTCCAGTTTATCGCCGACTTGCGAAACGCGAGAGCGCGCGAACTCGAGGAAAAGCGCATCAACAAAGAACTCGCCAACATCCGCCAAAAATTCCGCGATGGGGGGTTGAATGGATACCAGAGGAAGAAATATGTCTGCAAATTATTATACGTCTATATACAAGGGTATGACGTCGACTTTGGACATTTGGAGGCCGTCAATTTGGTCTCGGCAAAGAACTATTCGGAAAAACAGATTGGGTATTTGGCTGTTACCTTGTTCCTCCACGAGCAGCATGAACTGCTCCATTTGGTTGTGAATAGCATCCGGAAGGATCTGCTGGATATGAATGAATTGAATAACTGTCTCGCCTTGCACGCTATTGCGACAGTTGGTGGGCGAGAGATGGGCGAAGCTTTGAGCGCTGATGTCCATAGACTTTTGATTTCACCGTATGTTTTTTTTTTCCCCCAGGCCATTCGAGAACATTAATCTGGGAATGGTTGACCATTTATGCTAACCCCACGTCTAGAACATCAAAGTCGTTTGTCAAAAAGAAAGCCGCATTGACCCTCCTCCGTTTATACCGTAAATACCCGTCGATTGTTCAGCAGGAATGGGCCGAGCGTATTATCTCATTAATGGATGATCCGGACATGGGTGTCACATTATCCGTCACATCTCTTGTCATGGCGTTGGTGCAGGAGAATCCCGAACAATATAAAGGAAGTTACGTCAAAGCCGCTCAGCGACTGAAAAAGATTGCTGTAGATGGCGATGTTTCCGCCGATTATCTCTACTACCGGGTGCCTAATCCGTGGCTTCAAGTGAAGCTGCTGAGACTTTTGCAATATTATCCGCCGTCTGGTATGGCCCCCCCCCCCTTTTGGGATTGTCACGATCTGGAAGGAGAAGAAAAGACTGACAACTTCTAGATGATACTCATGTCCGCGATTTGATTCGTCAAGCTTTGGAGCAGATTATGCACACATCTTTTGAGACGCCCAAAAACGTGCAGCAAAATAACGCTCAGAATGCTGTTCTGTTTGAGGCTATCAATTTACTCATTCACTTAGACACAGAGCATGCCTTGATGATGCAAATGTCCTCGAGGCTTGGAAAGTTCATTCAGTCTCGCGAGACCAACGTGCGTTACCTTGGCCTGGAGGCCATGACTCATTTTGCCGCTCGAGCAGAAACCTTGGATCCGATTAAGAGCCACCAACCATTTATTCTGGGCTCATTAAGAGACCGTGACATTAGCATTCGGCGAAAAGGGTTGGACCTTCTATATAGCATGTGTGATGTGACTAACGCGCGAGCCATCGTTGCGGAGCTCCTCTCATACTTGCAGTCGGCTGACTACTCCCTTCGAGAAGAGATGGTGCTTAAAGTTGCTATTCTAGCCGAGAAGTATGCCACCGATGCTCAGTGGTACATAGACACATCGGTGAAGCTGCTTGCCATGGCTGGTGACCATGTAAGCGATGAAGTATGGCAACGAGTCATTCAGATTGTCACAAATAACGAAGAACTGCAAGCATACGCTGCAGATCATCTTCTGAAATACCTCAAAGGAGACTGCCACGACAGTCTGATTAAGATCGGCAGCTATGTGCTGGGAGAATTTGGCCATTTAATCGCCGATAAAGAGGGCTGTAGCCCCATTGAGCAATTCCTGGCTCTTCAGCCAAAAATGTTTACTTGTTCTGATAATACCCGTGCTATGATTCTTTCGTCCTTTATCAAATTTGTTAATCTCTTTCCCGAGATCAAGCCTCAGTTGCTGCAGATGTTCCGTTTGTACAGCCACTCGCCGGATCCTGAGTTGCAGCAGAGAGCATTTGAATACTTGAAACTAGCCACTATGCCGACAGATGACCTTTTGCGAACGGTGTGTGATGAGATGCCCCCTTTCTCGGAGAGGGCGAGTGTATTGTTGTCGCGCTTGCACCAGAGTACAGCTGGGACTAGCGACAAGCGGACATGGGTTGTGGGAGGCAAGGATGCCAACACGGACAAGCAGGAGGTCCTGATGGCACAGACAACGGGCCTAAAGCGCTCATTCACGACAATAGTCAACGGCAGTGGCCGCAATGGCACCAATGGCACAGCGTCTAAAAGTGGCGGCGCATCGAGGGATCTTGAGGGTCTGGACTTGACTGCCAGGCCCTCTGCTGCGCCGCCCAACCTGGCTAGTGCAGCTCACTTGAGCCCCGATTGGGAATATGGATTCAATCGGCTGTACTTTGCCGACGAAGGTGTTCTGTTTGAAGATGCCCAGATCCAGGTGGGCTTGCGTTCGGAGTATCGCGCGCATCTCGGTGTAGTCAAGATCTATTTCATGAATAAGGCTTCATTCCAGATTGGATCTTTTACAACAACATTGGACAATCCAGCAGCTCCGAACCTGAAGATCGACACCAAAAATCTTCCCGAGTCATCTATTCAACCGGCTGCTCAGACGCAGCAGACACTTTTCTTTGAGGCCCATGGCCCATTCTCAGATGCGCCCACAATCCGAATATCATACCTCGCAGGTGCATTGCAAGCTTATACGCTCCAGCTTCCCATATTGATGCATAGATACATGGACCCGTCAGATCTGTCAGCAGAGGACTTCTTCAAGAGGTGGCGGCAGATTGGCGGTCATCCACTCGAGGCTCAGAAGACATTTTCAGTAACCAGCAAGGGACGTATCATCCACGAGAAGTTCACGCACAATACCGTGAGGGGCTTCGGGTGGAAGATTCTAAGCGGCGTGGATCCTAATCCTAGTAATATTGTGGGATGTGCTGTTTATCAGGTTGAGAAAGGCAAGACTGGTTGTTTATTGCGACTGGAGCCGAATTATGAGAAGAATGTAAGCATCCTCCCCTCCTCTTTGAGGAAGACTTGAACTAATAGGATCAGATGTATCGGATTACGGTGCGAGCAACGCAAGAAAATGTACCACAGATTCTTGCGCGGCAAATGGAACAGAGGCTTGGGATGGGATCCACTGTAGATGCTGACTTGGTGTGAGGAAAGCTTCAAGTAGAGGGAAGGAGGCTAAAAGAAAAAGGACATTGGAGGTTGGTATTTACCTCGATTATTCTTATAACATATTCATTGGCATCAACAGCGTTCAATTCGTCCCGCTCATTTTAGCCTTGGTCTTTCTTTCTGCTTTTCGTTTTGAATCGTGCGTCTCGCCTTTTTACTATTCTTATTATGCATCATTTAAAGGTATATACATGTACATAAGTCAATTGATGGCACTTTGGATCTTCCAGGATGAGAATAAAAAGTTCACTGCGTTGTAACGATATTGAAGTATAGGAGTAACCACACCAGCACTAACTAGGCACGCGACGTCCCAGTAGTAGCAGCAGCTACGGCCGTCGCCTTGGGAGGCCTTTCCCCAAAAATGGTCGTGCCAACACGCACCTGGTCACTTCCAAGCGCAATGGCGCCTTCGAAATCCGAACTCATACCCATACTCAATTCGAACTCATCCGCCTCCTGCTCCGTCATCTGCAGCTCCTCAATCACAGACTGACGCGTTTCAATCAACGATATAAAATCTTCATTTTCGACGGTAGCAGAGGTCTGCTTGGAACGAGCTATTGCGCCGATTGTCATCAGGCCCTGCAGATGAAGACGCGGGCATTGGTCGCGGATATATCGACATAGACTGGCGGTGAGAGCGGGTTCGACGCCGGATTTGTTTTCTTCGCCGGACGTGTTGACTTGCACGAAGATGCGGAGTTTTCGCTCCTTTTCTTCAGGCGTAGTAGTGTCGCGTTCGCCCCATCCCTTATCTAGTAGTTTCGCTTTCTTCTCTGTATCCACGCTCTCGACGGCCCAGAGGCCGCGTACATCCCGGGCTAGAGAGACGCATTTATTCGATTGGAGACCGCCGATGAAATGCCAGTGGATTCCGGCGGGGAGTTGGCGGGACTTTTCGAGGAGTTCTTGGAAATAGTTCTCGCCGAAATGGACTTGGTGGGTGGCTGAAGGTGTAACTGAAGACGAGGGATTGGGAGGGTTACTATTGTTGTTGTGATTGTTAGAATATAGGGCTAGGATGTCCGATGCCGGTTTCAGTTTGGAGACTGCGACGAGGCGGACGGGTTTGTTGGCTGGTCGGTGGCGGCGAAGGTGCGATGAGGATGTGGGTGCTTGCGAGAAGGTGGATGCGGCTGACGAAACGCGTGCGAGCACGTTGTTGAGGTTCGTGATGAGGGTGGCTGTTCGTGAGGGACTTGCCATGGTGGTGGTAGGCGGCATGGTGGACTCGGACAGGGACGGTTCTGGATTCAATGACATCTCTGTCTTGCCTCGTTTCCTCTCTTCTTGAAATGCTTGGCCAAAATTTCTATAATCCTTTGGAATTATGGGGTGAAGCGTGAAACCGTCAGTCTTTTGAGGATTTTGTCGGAAAAAAACCGGGAGAGCGATGGAAGTATGTCGACTCGGCTGCCATCTCCGGAAGTAAGCTCGGAGGCAACATGTTATATACCAATCCCACTGAAATGGATCCAATGCTCAGAGAGATGGTCGTCAATATAATTCTGATAGACTGAGCACCATCACGATTCTATCAAGAGGCAGAAAGCAGTTCAAGAGCATGTCGATCATCTGTCACTGCGTCGACTGCAGCCTCAGGCGTCAATCTGGCTTGACTGGATTAGGAATAGTGTCATCACATACGCTCAAGAGTCAGACTGACTTCGCTCATGATGATGAATACATCGGCCAGGCATCTTCCTCACGATGCTAGTAAACTAGCAGCATGCAGACAGCCACGAAGCCGACCAGAAGCCGCATGTCGCTGAGCAGGGCGCGCAGTGGATGTCGGACTTGCAAGTTTGTTCTTCATTCCTTGCCGTATACCGAGCGAGGCACACAGTGCTGACGAATAAAGGACGAGGAGAGTAAAATGCGACGAAAAGAAGCCTGTTTGCCAAAGGTGTATCCGAGCAAAACGCCATTGCGCTGGCTATGCAGATACTACAGCCTTGGATAAGAAACCCCAAGCTTTTAATATCACGTACTACGTGCCCAACGGGCTGTCTCCCTGGAAAACTGGAATCTCAGAAGATGTCGAACAAGAACATGCCCTTGACTGTTTCTATTACTGGAGCGTCAAATGCTTTCCGCCAGAGCTCACGGCGCCATTTTGGCGACAGGATATTCTTCACGAGCCAGCAACCAGACATGCAATGATGGCCATGGGTATCCTGCACGAAATCTATCGGCACAAAATAACTGGCCCCCCGAGTACACAGAGGAGAATAGCCGCTATGCAGCACTACGAAAAGGCTATTCAGAGCCTCTTATTACGGCACAGTAGCGCGTCGAGCAACGGCAACAACAAAATGGCGATTTCCTTGCTAGCATGCTTATTATTTGTATGTCTAGAGCTGTCTCAGGGGCATCACAAGTCCGGACTGGTTCATTTGCAATCCGGGTTCAAATTGTTTCAAGGAATTTTGCGCAATCAACAGCATACGTTACAGAAATATGACTTGCACGCATCAGAAAGTGTCTTACGTTCATTTTTCGTTCGTTTGATGTGTCAAATTACTCATTTCAACCCGGTCGATTGTGCACGGTTCCTTGGCTTGCTTGACGGATCTGCTGAGTCTGCTACTATAGGGTTTGCTAATCTCGACCAGGCTCGAGAACGGTTCGTTGCAATTTTCTCAAAAATTCTCTCGAGACGCCAGATTCGGACTGCCCAAGCTGCCGAGTATGACAATGACGGTGCCAATGCCAATGCCAATGCCAAAGCTATGGATGGAATCATTGCCAAGGAGCTTCTCGAAATCGACCAATGGATCCTTACGTTCAACATGTACCTCAGCCACAATAACCCGATGCCGCAGACTTGTGACTCGTACGTTCTTGGCATATGTGCTTTTTTTCTAAAGTTCCGTCTTACCATGGATTCTCGAGTCTGCGCACAAGCCGCAGGTGTCTCAGAAATGGATCTAACGCATATAGCCAGTCTCGGAGACATTCTTTTTGAAACCTCGCAGACCTGTGATGCTACAATGTTTGCAGAAGATCTGAGGTCTACATGCCCTCTTCATAGGTTCTTTCTCGACGACGACGACAACAACCAAAGCAGCGTGTATCTGTCAGAGCAGTCTCTTTTCCCATTTCTTGGTGTCTTTTGCTCTCTATTTGTTTCATCGATGTATAGTCCAGACGCCGTAATTCGCCGAAAAGCGCACGATACCGTGTCAAGGATCTGTCGCTGTGGCAGGGGCTGGGATCAAAGTTTAACTGCCTATATCGCGTCTTTAATCTGTCCGTTTGAGAACAGGAATGGTTATACGCTCATCTCCGAAAATTCCTTCACTGACCGTATAATTTCTACTGATAGTCGCTCCTTGTTGACATTATTACGTTTGTTCAACAACTTTTGAGGCAAAATTTGCATTGTGGTTTGAAAAATAAACGATACGACGAATTTTCTCTCATACTACTATGCTTATGCATCTTTCCACTGGCAACGCAGGATATCTGGATTCTGGAAAATGGTGTATATCTTCTTTGTACCCTCGTGGTTTGCGGCCAGCGCTGCCTCGTATGCCATTCGATATTCTGCAATGCCACTGGCGAAATGAGCTCGCTTTTCTTCCCATCCAGTTAGCCGACGGATCTTGTCCGACGAGACCCATTGTGAGTATTGCAAGACAGCCTCGATCATGCCCGGGATGATGTTTTCGAACGGCTTGGGGTCTTTGTATTCAACGGAAAGCCCATAAGACTTGCCCAAGGCCTCACAAACATCACGAGTTGTTTCATATCTCGAATTGGAAATGTTGAATGCCTGACCTTTGATTTCGTCTCTGCGTGGATGCTCGGCTAGTTTCACGTAGGCAAGTGCGCAGTCGTCAATGTGGGCAGAATGCATGATGGTTTTGGGGTCGGCAGCGACTCGCAACACGTCTCCTCCCTCGTTTTTGGCCCTTTCTGCCCAGGCAAACAGGGGACCATAGTAGCTGGACCCATAGCCATAGACATTCGTGGGACGCAGCACGACCACGTCAAACGGCAAAGGATTGCTACTGTCTAGAAGACTAGCAGCGCTCCGAGTGCGTGGAAGGAGAATGGGAAACGCATCCAACGGACTTGTCTCGGTATGCGGACTCAGATCAGCATCGCCATGCTTTCCCGTCATGCCATAGTCCTTACACCCACTACTAAACAGCACAAGGGTGCGAACATGCGCCGACTCCCATGTGCGCTGCCCGATATGCGTCAACATGGCCTTGACCTGTTGGAAGTGGGCGTCATAGTCGGACCAGTCCTCGGAATTAGACACGACGACGTCGAATATGCAGGTGTCCTCCTCTCCGTTGCTAGAAGAAGAAACCAGAGTTTCCGGAGTGCCGATGATCGGATGGATCTCGTTTTGAGTGAGGTCTGGTGCGTCTTGGATGCGGCGGATGAGGCCGTATGTCTTCCAGCCGGCGCGATTGAAGGCTTTGGCAACGGCATTGCCGATGTAGCCGTTTGCACCGGTGACGAGGACTTTTGGCATGTTGTTTATGTTTATCTTTGATGAGTTTGGAGAAGAGGTCTTGACTGATTAAAGGATGGCATTCTATGGAATTTGCCATCGTTTATATACCCAGACAGACACCCTTGACATACACATATGGATGGATTTGTAAGAAAATGTTCGTATACATCTAGCCTGATTAGCTTAGTCTCTCCACTTTCATGGATAGATATAAATGCGACATCGTTATAGACAAATAGGGCAAAAAGAAGCCATCTTCAATCCATCCATTTCGGGTTAGATCTATACGAGCTTGGTCGTAGTCCAGAATCCAGAAGACTCCGGGCCCCACCGGGCGATAGGGACCAATCACACCGTCCAGAAGTTATCCGCAACAGTTTCCATGATAGAAAATGGCTGAGCAGCCATCTAGATATGACTTACTATTCAAACGAAGCAATCCAGAACTTTAGACAAGCAATGAGAAATCGCTAATACATATCTAGGGGCTATCAGCCACCAGAAGTAACAGGCTCATTGGCCACTGATCACGTGGTTTGCTGTAAAAAATTAGGCATACTACATAGCGTCCTCCCAGCCCCCTGCTTTTTGGCGGGGAGATTAGATCAGGCATCGCCGCAGATGAATCGATCGATATCCAACGGATCGTCTCCCGTCGAGGTGATGTGTAACACCTGCTCACACTTTGTCTATAAATACATCCCATTCGTTTCATGCAGTGGTAGGACAAGCCCTGCCTCATCCCGGCCCTTGGCCGCCGGGACGATTGGCCGAGAATTGTTTCTTTCTGTCCTCGTTTCACGGTCGATCAGAGGGACGATCGGATCGGAGCCTGAAACCAATACCTTGTGGATTGATGTAATCGACTCGTACCATATCCAAGCCGAAGTTCCCGCCGCATTGTTTGGGGGCAGATGCGGATTACGTAGATGCCGTTTGCGGCACACCCATGGATTTACTTTCAAAACTTGAAGTTTGTTGCTGCATGGATGAAGTCATCAGGGCCCCGAGGCCGCGTAAGTCTTTCACCATTTTCTAGGGCTTGTAGACTGGACTCGATGGCGTCACGATGCCTATGCCTCAAGAATATAATATGACTCGACTCAATTAGGCAGAGAAACAGAATCTGTTTCATTTCTTTCTCCTCGCTTACCCTGTAGACCTACACCGCAACGTGATTGCTCGTGGAGGGGCAGTTCTGGAACGACCCCGGCGCTTACTCACACACTCTGACTCGCCCATTAATCATCGTCGTCCGGAGCGGATCGCTCGGAGACGAAACCTTTCTACCCCAGGGAGATATTTTTTCTCTCTTATTTATCAAGTCTCTTGCCTGCCTAGGGACCGGCCAGAAACTAGCAACTTTTTCCTTGTTCTCGTCGTGAGCACTCTCTTGGTTGCAATTCAAGTTCACAATCAAAACGGCGCACGTGCCCCTCTTCTTATCTCTCGATCAATATTACCCAAAGCGGAAATACCGGCGGTCCTCGCATCCCTGCTCCAACGTGGCTCACATTCCAACAATAAAATCCGGGGAAGCCTCGATATAAAACATATATACGCCCTCTCATATATACATATATACATACATACATACATACGCATATACACACACAAAATGTGCCGCACATCCCAAGCGCTCTATGTCTGGTGCCAGTGCGAGGAAGCCCACGTCCTCGAAGCATGCCACTCCGGCCGCTCCTCGTCCAACGGCAGCTGCGACTCGGTGGCCAGCGAGACAGAGACTGTATACCTGCAATGCTTCTGTCGCTACCACGCCACCAATGGCTTCACCACGGCGCGCAAGGACCAGCGCCTGCAAAAGAAGGCCGACAAGAAGAAGAACAAGCGCCGTTCGATGGATAGTGCTGTGAGCGTGGGCACGGCTAATAGCGCTGCTTCCTCCTCGCCTTCCACGGCTTCTTCGGCGTCAGCGTCAAGCTCGGTCTTGGACAGGACGTCTCGTCGGTTTAGGAGGAGCTGGACTCACATTCGGAAGTTGAGCTTTGTTTGATCTCTTCCGCCTCTCCATTCCATTCTTTCCGTATGATATCATGTCTCTTTTGCTTCTACATGTCTGGTTACGTGGACGAGTCTCTCCCTTGCTATATACCCTCGTTTTTGCTTGCTGAGCGTCTAGATTACGCGGCCGATCCTTTCCTGTCTGCATGCTGGGTGTGCGGTATTGATCTGGTTTGTCTGTTACGAGTATACGCTGTCTTGATTATGATATGATTTACGAGAATTTGACGTTTGGATAAGATAAACTGGGAGGTGTTTTTTGATTGGACTACATAGTGTGCTGGCAATCAAGGACTGTGCATTATCAATCTGCTGTTTACCAAGGAACGGCGCTCCTGGGTGGCGAACAATGACGCCACATACACACAGTTGTATACTTAGGCTAAGAACAGACTATAAGATAGATATCGATGGATAGATATATCTTTCCATGAAGAATATAAAGACTCGAAAAGGCGACAATGACATTCTCCGGCCCACCTGCTCCTTCCGGCAACGCGTCCCGCTTTGTGGCCCGTGCAGGTTATTTTATTATTGTTTGGTGTTTACCCTTAGTCTTCGATCCCAAACACTGAACATTGCAACATATCGCTCTCTTCAAGCTTCTGCCATTGTCCTGAATTGACCGCACTGGCAATTGATTGATGAGCTGATCAATCTTGCCATGTGCAGCTGCAGCCATGGCAGACCAAGCTTATGCTCAGCCGCCGTCGCCAGATGAGCCTCCCCTCCCCGGCATGGCCTCTCACAACCTCGCCGACAATTTCCACCGTCTGTCGCTGGCAACCACCGTCTCGTCCGCGAGTCCTCTCCTCGCCTCGTCGCCCACTCCCTCGCCTCGCTCGCCAAGCCAGGCCTCGTCGCGAATGCGCAACGTTTCCTCGTCTGCGACCCCTGTCTCCTCGAGGGCGAAACCCGGCGCATTGAGAAAGACCACCAGCACCGCCTCCCTGCGGGACGAGCGTCGGCTCTCTACTCATTCTTTACAGAAGCGCCCCTCTACGACTTCGCTGAGATCCGTGAGTGTGAGCAAAGACCAAGCTCGCCCTAGCTTGTCGCGCCGCTCTTCGTCCAATGTCCTTGGCACCATGTATTCGCCCAAGACCTCTATTATGGAAGCGCCCACTGCTTCTTCCATTGCGGCCGATCATTTCAAAGCTGAGCTCACTCGACATGAAGCAGTAGACCTGCAATCCAAAACTGCCGTCATTATTCAAGACGCCTGCTACGGTCATCGTTACTCTCGGCCTTATACTAGTAGAGAAGGTCTCTCAACTATCGTCGAACGGCCTGAGCGAATGCGTGCTAGTCTTCTCGGATTGTCGACGGCGTACATTCGTGTTGGCAAGCGACACACCGGTTCGTCATTTGCGCCTCATCCAGACCTTGACATTGATCTGCTCCCGCCCCCGCCTTTTCAGATTCGCAAATCCAAACGAGCTGTGCCCTTAAACTCCCCCGCTGTGACTTATGTGCATGGAGACAAATGGATGGAAGACCTACGGACTATGTGCGATGCAGCTGAATCTCGCCTGGCCTTGAATGGAAAGGAAATCGTGCGACCGAGGAGTGCTTCCAAAAAGGATACTGAAGAAAAACAGCTACACGATGGCGATCTGTATTTATGTCCGGAATCTCTGGAAGCCTTCCAAGGCGCCTTGGGTGGCGTATGCGATGCGGTAGACACGGTTCTGGGTGCCAATCTGACTAAACGAGTTTTCGTCTGCATCCGACCCCCTGGCCATCATTGTGCCTCCTCCGACCCGTCAGGATTCTGCTGGCTCAACAACGTCCATGTTGGCATTGCACACGCCGCGATGACCCAAGGATTGACCCATGCCGCAATCATTGATTTCGACCTCCACCATGGCGATGGATCTCAGGCTATCGCATACAAGCAGAATGAGCATGCTTGGTATCTTCAGCAACGCGGTGGCGCGACGGCCAGAAACGCAGCCCAACACAAAAAGACTGCCATCGGTTATTATAGTCTGCACGATATCAACTCTTTTCCTTGTGAAAATGGCGAAATGGATAAGATTGTCAATGCTAGTGTTTGCATTGACAACGCTCATGGCCAGTCGATTTGGAATGTGCATCTCGAATCATGGAGGACACAAAACGAATTTTGGAAGCTCTATAACGACAAATACTCGGTTCTGCTTGAGAAAGCTCGAAGCTTTCTCCGCTTGCACACTCAGCGTCTTGAAAGTACTGACGGTGGCCCCGCCCCCAAGGCTGCAATATTCATATCTGCTGGCTTTGATGCAAGCGAGTATGAAGGCGCTGGAATGCAGCGACACAAAGTCAATGTGCCCACAGACTTTTATGCCCGCTTCACGGCTGACGTGGTTCGATTGGCAGAGGAAGAAGGGCTCGGTACCGAAGGTCGAGTCATCAGTGTGTTGGAAGGCGGCTATAGTAATCGAGCGCTAGCAAGCGGAGTGCTTAGCCATCTCTCTGCACTCGCAGACACTCAAACTCCTGATGATGTGTCCAATGCTCGAAATCGTCTAGCTTCTGAGATGAGCGGGCGATTGGGCCTAGATCTTGGTGAGACAGATCAGACATCTTTGGATCAAGATGAGTATACCGGTCCTGCCTTTGAATCCGACTGGTGGGCTCCTGATCTATTGGATGAATTGGAGTTCCTGGCATTTCCTCCTCCCCCTCCGCCTACCAAAAAGACGCAAAAGTCTAGCCCGACCTATTTCTCTCCTACTCAAGCATCTTCTGCGAAGGTCGTGATTCCACTGCGAGAGCGAAAGTCGTCGGCAAATCTTACTGTTGATGAATATGCTACAGAACCGCTTCCCGAAGTGGGCTGGGCCACTTCTGCACATGAGCTATGGAAATGTCTCATACCTGGTGACCGTGAAACCTTGAGTTTTCAGTTTGAAGAGCTTAAAGTCAAGGCTGCGGAAGCCAAGAAAAAAAAGTTGGCAAACGTCGAGGTTCCAGCGACACCGATGTCTGGGAACCGCAGACAACTTCGTACCAGAACGAGCAAGACAACATCACCAGATACCCCTGCTTCGAAGGCTCAAACGCCCCGTCGAACCAGCACCCGCAATACTCGTCGCACTACCATTGGGTCTGCTAGTGACTTGCCGGAGCCTCTTTCGTCAGAGCCACAGTCTGCGAAACCTCAGCGCCGGAGACAGAGTGCCATGGGGACTGTTCCCGAGGCGAGCGATAACCCTTCTGAATCTGGTAGCAGAACCCCAACTCGTGCTAGCTCGCGGCTATCATCTATTCCGAGTCAGACACCTGCTGGAGGGGTTGTGAATAAAAAGACACGGGTTTCCAACGGCTCGCGCACAGGAACACCAAAACGAAATGCAAGTCCGCAAAAAGTGCCGCCGCTGCCCAAAGTGCCATCGCTGTACATGCACACCCAAAATACCGCTCCCACCAGCACAGCAACTTCACAAATCACAGCCGATGCGGATGCAAACACGATCGGTAACGATGAGACAGAAAATTCCATTGAGGATCTTTCAACCGGTATCAAAAAATTAAGCATAAAGCTCAAAGTTCCGTCACCAGAGGAGAATGCAATACGGGAGAAAAAGGCTGCTGAGCAACGTAGAAAGGCAGCAGCAGCAAAGAAAGCAGCAGCAAAAACAGACCGTAACACAATTTCCAAGCCAAGCTCGAAAAATGAACAGACTGCCTCAGTTAAACCACCACAGTCTGCGCGCAAGGCCTCCGGAAAAGCTGCCAAACGCGTTGAAGATGGGGTTCCCATAAAAATTGAAACTCCTCCAGCATTACCTACACCGGAAGCCCGCAGTGCATATCCTTCAATGGAATCATACCACGGGTTAAATGGTGCAGTTTCACAGCAGTATAAGGTGCCATTGTCTCCGGTGCCACCCCTTGAATTTCCACCAACTTCGGCACCTCCAAGTGATAATGCATCATCCACGCAGCCTCCCGGTATGGTACAGTCACCTATGATCCCAAATAATGTCAACCATGGAAGCTTGCCTGTCTTCACCTCTACAAGTCATATCCCCTTTGCTCTGCCTTCCGATCGGGAGGATCAGTCGAACAATCACCATCAGTCTCAGCCTTATCCCCGATCAGGCTTTGGTGCAAGCCAGCAATTTCCGCATGCTGGACCTCAAAAATCACGGCCAAACTATTCGGCCTACGCTCAGCAGCAGCATTTCGATGCCTGAGCATAATCAAGAGAACCAACAAACTGGGATGATTGGCAAACTAAACGTCGAACAATACCTTTCAACTGTATGAGTATTTGCACTGCCTCTTTTTGTTCTCTATTCATGTCATTTCATCATACCCCTTGGTTTTTGTGTGTTTTGTATTTCACATAATTGTAATCCAAATCCGATTCACTTTCTCTTCTTCATGATTCGCCGCACTGTATGTATTCATCCAAATATCTTCTGTTAGCTGGTGTTGGGATTGCTGGTTTTCTTTGCTTTGCTTTGTCATTGTCTTGTTCTTTTCAACGAATGGTTCAAGCTGATACCCATCCAATTAGTGGGCATTCCTTCCCCATTTCAGGAGTACAGAGATGGTTGTTTGGGTTAATAAGAAGTTGTTTATATGATATCCAAAATCCTCGAACCAATAGGATTGATCGAGTCAACGAACGATCTAACTGGAATTGGCTAGCCACACAGCCTTATCGGCGATTGCGACGATTAGATAAGCAACCGATGGAAGCTTCTCCGGATGTCTGGCATCGCCGGATTCAATTATTAAACAAACAAACAACTGGTGGATTGTCCATTAGCCAGTCTATTCGTGCATTCGTCGTGCCGTTGCTTAGCGCTTGACTTATTATACGCATTTCAGCACTTGTTATATGTATCGCTCTTTTGATTTGATGCATAATCCGAGCCCCTCGTGACATCCTCGTTCATTCACCTCCAGTTGCCACCACCGCTGCGACTGGCAACTGACATATCAACTTCTTCTTTTTTAAGACAAAAAGGACAGAAACCAGCGCCGTCATGTCTTCCACAAGTTTTACCCAAATGGCCGACACAGACCTCGAAGCTATCGGGCGCAACTGCCAATACGAGTTCTGCGGCCAACTCGACTTCCTCCCCTTCCGCTGCGAGTCTTGCAGGGGAACATTCTGTCTCGAGCACCGCACCGAAACAGCACACAAATGCACACATGCGGGAGAATGGGCGCGCCGCAAACGGGCAAGCAATAACAGTACTACTACTGGTAGATCTGCGCCTACCGTGAAATCGAGTGTTTATAACTCCGATCAATGCTCGCATCCACAATGCAAGTTACTCATTAATACACCGACGAGCGTATCGGTGCATTGTGATAAGTGTAACCGCAATTATTGTCTTCAGCATCGTCTTCGAGAAGGCCATGATTGCGCCAAGCTCATACCCTTAGGTGCTCGAGCCGGTGGTGGTGGTGCTAGACCCGGCGATAACTCTGCCACTATTCGATCTATGTTTTCGAGGTTGCGCGGGTTTGGGAAAGATATACAGGCCCCGAAAGCACCGAAGATCTCGCTGCCGGCAAGCATACAGTCGAGGAGGGTTGCTGCTTCAGGGACTAGCGCTATTGCTCAAGTCAACGAAATCAAACGAACGGCGAAGGGTGAGGCATCTATTCCTGCCGATAAGAGAATATATTTGCACGTCGTTGGCACAACGGATAAACCGGCTGCAACAGACGAGCCGCCCTCGGGGAATTTCTTCTTTGATTCGCGCTGGAAAGTCGGCCGTGTGCTTGACGATGCGGCGCGGAAACTCAAAGTACAGAATCTAAATAATCGGGGTGGTGGCGAGGAGGCTCGTCTCCGGGTTTTTCATATAGAATCTGGCGCCTTTTTGGACTTTCCGGAGCAGATTGGTGGTGATGGGAGTAAAGTGAAGTCTGGTCATACCATTGTTTTGCTGAGAGGGGCTGGCGTGTTGTTGAATAATTGATTGGATGTGATATCTGCATATACCTCTTCCATTTCTTGTCAGTTTTTGCCAGGCATAGCGTGTATATTCATGTTTAGAGGATCATCAATATACCCTCATCATTTTTCCATTTGGATTAAACAACGGTTCTTGCTTCTTAGAAGATATATCTGGCCCATCGTTAAAAGCCCGAGGCAGCGCAGTGTGGCCGGCCTGCGCCTTCCTCTTCTCAGATCGTCCCAGATATCTTGATCTTCCCTTAGTACTCTCTTCACTTCCTCGTCTCATCTCTCTCTAACCATCATCGTCTCTAATTGATAATTTATAATATAAGAACTACATTCCCATATACATATTTATGCCGTGCCCCGGGTTGTATATCTCACCCCGAACAAAGGGCCGCAGGTCTTGAAGGTCAATATTTCCTATATCACAAAGTTCCCATTCATGGATAAACGTTAACTATAATATAGCCAATTTCCGAAGAAGGTCATAAGGAAGAAGCCGAAGCAGACTGTCAAGATGCAAGAAGCGACTCAATTCGAAGCTCAGCCTACAACTATGTCTTCGAGAACGGCCGTCGCTACCATAGTTACTGCCAAGGCGCCTACCCTCTACCCAACGATGAAGCCGAGCAGGAACGCCTCGAGCTGTGCCATCTCATTTGGACAAAGTTAATGAACGATTGTCCCTGGCTAGCCCCCCTCGAGAACCCACCAAAGATACTCGACATTGGCTGCGGCACTGGCAGCTGGGCGATCATGATATGAGACACGTTTCCGGATGCTATCGTTATCGGCACCGATCTCAGTCCCATTCAGCCCTCATGGATACCGCCGAATATTAGATTTTACATTGAGGATGCTGAGGATGAATGGACATTTGCATAGGGCTTTGATATGGTTCATGGACGCATGCTTGCTGGGAACATCAACAACTGGACCAAGTTCTTTCGGCAAGCATTCGGACAATCGAAACCGGGGGGTTGGCTTGAAATGAACGAGTTTGAGAGCAAGTTCTACTTAGGAAATGACCAAGAATCAGTGCAACTCAATATGCTGGTGAAGGTTTTCAATGACGCGAGCGCGAAGTTTGGTAAGCCTTTCAATGATATTAATATCATGCCGCAAGCTATGCGAGACGCTGGGTTTGAGGATGTTGAAGACCCGAATCTGAGAGATCTGGGAGAAATCGTCCACCGCGCTGCACTGGAGTCAGTGGAGTCTTACATCCTCGCTCTTGGCTCGCGTATATTAGAAAAAAAAGCCGAATCAATCGGAGACATTGTCAAGACTACCAAGAATGAACTTAACAATGACGAGTATTGCCTCTACGTGCATGCGCATTGTATATGTGGACGGAGACCAAAATACAATTAGGATCATAAGCCTGTTTTGGGCAAATTACTAAACATTTCCTGTTTACCGTTTCAAGTTCCAAGATTGTCGAGATGCATCTCGAATCATTGCATTTGGACTACTTAGAATTAGGATATTATTACCCTGTTGTACTAGTATTAGCTTTTAAAAGCATATCATTATGAGAATTGAGCTTAATTATAGATGTCTGTCCCGTGATCATCGTAACCCTAATTAGGCCGGATGTTGAGCTGTGCAATGTTACTTCACGACACCGATTATCAGAGGTATATATCTAGTTCTACAATACGGTAAATTTTAGTATCCTAGATAAACTATCTACAGTAGACATATTTGTCATGTCTTAAGTTATCTACCACCCAGCCTTCCGATACATCGCATCATACAATTTCAAGTCATTCACCGCATCTTCGGCGGTCGTCTTAATCTCCTTCCCATTCACAAAACAATCATACATCTCCTTCAACTCAGCCGTATAAGCATCCTCATAACTCGAAACAATCTCCCTAACCTCCTTCTCACCATACTCATTTACCTCCTCAACACGAACTTTGATCGGCAACCCCTTGACATAAGGCGTGTCATACTGTATCGAAACACGCTTCTTCTCCCCATAAACAGCCATGTGGGCATCAAAATCAGCCACACAATCGATCCCACTTTCGTACATAACCGCAAACTCGTTTTGCTTCCCGTCCCTGAAGCTGAGAATAGCAGAATAAAACGGGTCATTCACCGAAACCCCGTCAATAGAGTACGGCGTCAATCCACCTAGTGCTTCGCGCATCAACGACAAGTCGTGCGAGCCAAGACTGCCCAGGAAACGACAGTACTTCTTCATGGCGTCTGTGACGACGCCATTGGGCGCATTAGGGAATGCTTCACGGTACAACTCGTCTAGTAACCTGTTTCGTGTCTCGACCGCAGTATCCGGGATATCTGCACCGCTACTCTTGACCTGGAACGTGCCACTTTGGCTCACAAAAAACGCATTGGGTCCGCTCATATCGCGCACTCGCGCATACAGAATCTTGGGTATGGAAGCTACTTCGCGCAGAAACGCGCCTGTGAATGAAGGCGCATAGCGACGCATATAGCCTACGAACACTCTCCCCTTTGCATATTTTTTCTCGGCATCAATAATGCGCTGAGCAGCTGGTATGGAGAGCGTCAGTGGCTTCTCGACCATGACATTCTTCCCGGCCTGCAAAGCGGCGATGGTGTATTCGGCGTGGAACTCGTCGCTGGTTAGGATGAAGACAACGTCGATGTTAGCGTCGTTGATGATTTCAAGGGGATCGGTCGTGGCGCGTGGGATGTGGAATTTGGTTGCGCAGTGTTGTGCGGTATGGAGGGATATGTCGCATATGCTGACGGTTTGGTAGAGGTGGGAGAGGAGAGAGAGCGTGGGGAGGTGGATGACTTGGGCGACTTCTCCGGCTCCGATGACGCCAACTCTGAGGGTTGTCATTTTGACCTTCACTTATAGATTGAAGTGGTGCAGTCAGAAGTTCAAGTGTTCAAGTTGGATCGTGCCTGATAATTTATCAACGCCGTCATCGACGCTCGTGGACGCCCCACTGCGGGGGTTCCCCAATCTATACATTCTTTACTTATACAACCGTTATTGAACCCGCAGTTACAAGAAGTATGTAGTAGTAGTATTATATTAAGATACAGCAGTTCATCAGAATGCATCGCTCATGATTTTCAAAGGTACATGTGGGTATAAGAACAGACTGGAACAAAAGGACTCGGTTATTGCACGGCTTTCAGACAATCCCATGTCCCTTCTGAGACACGTTCGAATCCATGGCCACCAGACTAGGCAGTGAGCTCGTGATTGGTCTCGTACTTGGGCTCGGCAGGGGCTCCAGTATATGCAGCAGGTGCGGCAGGGGCATCAGTGGCAGAACGACTCCTCATGACCAGGTATCCAGGCCATTCGCCTGTCATGACGTCGAAAATAGCGAGGAAGCTGAAAATGAACAATGCCATGTAGACGATCCTATAGACGACATGTTAATACTCTTTCTTTTTCCCAAAAAAAGAAAGGGGTGAGCACACCAGTTCAGAATAGCGAATGCCAGAATAGCAGCAATAATGCCAGTACCAGCGGTTCCAATAATATTAGCCAGATCGGCGAAGCCCGCCAGCCAAAAGACCCAGGTAACAAAGTAAACAGCAATCAGACCGGGGGCAAGCCAGCGGTTATGGTGATGGGCGTCTCGTCGATGGAACCATAGTGGGAGCCAAATGGCAACAGCAGTGGCAAGGACGGACCAGACCGCGCAGAACATCAGGAACGAGACAACATCGGGAACATGACCGTGGATAGTCTCGTTGCAGGTCTCTAAATAGCCGCAGTAGTACTCGATCGTTTCGGACTGGTCGTAGTAGTGGACGCCGTATGCTACCATGCCTAATTCCACGAGGGAGAAGGCGAGGGCTGTGCCCAGGAGCGAGATGAGGATGAGGCTAAGGAGAAGCATTTTATCAGAGCCCGAGATAATTCAGTTGTATAGTGTGTGTGCGGCCTGGTCTGGATGAATGAAGTTGATGAAGAGAGATGAAAGGAAGAACAGGAAGATGAGCGAGAGTGGCTGTTTTTATTGATATACACAGGAAAACTTTTCCTTTCCCTTCTTTTTAAGTATATTGAGATCGACTAGTCCACATCCAGCCCAGTCTATGCCTAACCTTATATATACTCTATCTATAGAAAAGCTATACTCTGTGGAGATACGGAGCCTCCAAATGAGACGAATCTGCCTTGTCGGGCTCCAACGGCACCAGGCTGAGTCACACATGTGGTTGTAAAATAAGCAATCAGCTCGAATGCCCCTGCCGTCCGGCCTTGATCCTGGCATGCTCGATAAGGGCATACAAAAAATGCTTTTCCCGTGGGGAGGAGAAATTAGGGTAAACATAGCCGGCAGATGCCTGCGAAGTATACCAATGACACGACGCCTTGGCCGCTTAAGAAACCCGCTCATTGGTCACAGCTCCTTTGCCTAAACTTGAGGCTTGAAGCTCTGCTGCCAAGAGGTCTAGCTGATGAAGTTGGACTCATATTAAGCCATAGCGACTACGGAGGGAAGAGGTCGTTCATTTGATTGCTAGTCGGCTGATCAGATACACCGTGTTAAGCTACTCAGCATAGATTAGATCGCCTTAATTGACATTATAATACAGATATTGGTGAAAAACAAAGCAGTCTCGGCTGAGGCGCAGTACATTGGACTCTCCTCTCGGTAAGTTGACTCCCATAGCCGATTGCCATATACAACCATACACTGGCTGTAACTACCTAGGTACTGTACGAAGAAACGTTCGAACCAGCCAATCCCCTGATTTGGTAATTTTCGGCCTCTCGGTGTTTTGCATCCATGTTCCGGCGAGGCTTAAAGTTTTGCTCGATCGTCGGCGCCCTACGTAAAGGTGGAACTAAGATTTTGTTTTTTCTTTGTATTCTTGACAGCAGACAGACGAACGATGACATAGGTACTTCTGTATTCCTCGTATTTTCCTGTCACTCGAGCGTCGAAAGGCTGAAACAGCCACATTGAATAACCTTTTCCGCACGCTGTTCGCCAGCCCTTTTTTTTTTTTTCTTCCATTAAACAAGTCCCAGGCCGGTGGTCTCCTTGTCAATAGCATAGTGAACCCCCGAATAGAAGCTCATAGACTGGTTGTACAACTTGTCTATATTAACCCTAACCTCAAATAATAACTTTGGCCTCTGAATGCAAAAAAGTCTAATTCTGAGTGAAACTCGCGTTATCTGACTCGATACGGCAAAGTGTGCCACAATATTCCTTCTTTTATGCATAGTCATTGCATGGCTTCATTTCAGATTCTTGCATATTTTTACATTATATTTATTGGTAGGCAGACAGCCGTATGACTAGTGATGATCTGCCTCATCTTAGCATTTGCATACACAACCGGTGAAATTATGCATATGCAGGTGCCAGAAATGCCGTAATTTTAAGCGAGCCTATCACTAACTAGTCTTAGAAAACTGCAGAAGAATGAATAATACGTCTGTGCCTGAAATCTTGGTAATAAATTTCCTAGGCTAGCTATCTAACAGTTGTTCAAATCAACACTTATACCTAGGTAGTAATAATATGCATGATTACTTCATGCAAGCAGGCATGATGCGTAGCGTTATACCCCTTAATCGTGCCCCGGATCATAGGCTGGCTTGTATGCTAGCTAGCTCAGGCTTCAATGAATATCGTATTCTAGGTTTGAGAGCACTTTGAGCGAATCTTGGAGTAAGCTGATCTGTAGTTATGACAGCTGGCTATAAGGCAAAGTTTACATTACCATAAGCCCGGGGCCCCTTTCTGCTTATACTAAGTACCATTCTGATCTCAAGGCATCCCCAGTATATCATGAGAATCTCCCACCCTAACGACTCCGTACCACAGTACGTGTTACTATTTAGATTGCCTATTTATTGGTGAGATTGGATCTCTCAAACTCTTCTACATGACTGGGGGTGCTACCGGAGCTGGGGGAGGATACAATAGAATGCGAGAACACCTCTCTTACACCTAGATATATTATATACATAATTAATTCATGCAAGGTGACATGATGCATGGCGTCGACAGCTTGAAAATCTGCCTCTATTAATAGTCTTCTCGTGGCACTATTCATTCACATCCTGTACGAGACGAATTATCATGTCTCCTGATGTGTTATAAGGTAGAGTAGAATAGTAAAGGAATCACGTAAATTACACACAAGTACGTACCTAGAAAATAAGTAGCCTCGAAGTATACATAGACCCATTGCATAAATAACATACATCACAGCATCCAAACGTCAGGGCATTCTTTCTAGCCCGGGAAATCATAAACCATCAAACATTAAAATCAATCAACCTATCGCAAGACATAGGACCTAAGAAAACCAGAACATAACAAAGAAAAAAGTTATTTACGCCAAAACATCAACTTCCTTGCCTTTCGTTGGATACTCCACCCCTGTTCCGCAATCCAGTCTTTCACGCTGGCATTACCGCCATAGCGACTCGATCCGATAGCGCTGCCAGCAGCACTACTGCCACCTCCAGCGCTCCCAGATTTGGAGCCCAGAGAGCCCGCTTGGAATTTCATGCGACCCTCGGCAATTTTATGGACGAGATTAAGAATGGCATAGGTGATGGACCCAGTGGCACGGATAGCCGCCAGCCCCGCCACAGACCACAGGATAATTGCGAGGTATACGTTGTTTGTTGATGTGGTTCCATACACATCAGAGACAAGCATGGCAAGAAGCGCGTTGGAGCCCATCCAGCAAGAAACCATGTATGTGCGTACCGCGCGGTAGTAGTCTTCCTGCAGCTGGCTCTCGGGGACCGGGGGTTCGGGTTCCTCCAGGCGGTCTCGAAGATTGCGCAGTGCCTCGTCGTATCCACTGTCGATGTCCAGTTGCTCAGTAGGCATTTCCATGATGACTTTGGATCCACCGAGACCCTTGGCGGCTCCAAGATCCATGCGGTGCACGTTATCTCCCTTCGTACCCCAAGTCACATCGTGCGTGTTGCAGAATGCGTATGTTTGCAGCGTACAGATATAGCTTGGCATCATGAGGAAGTATGCTCCGGAGGATGTGACTAGGTGCCATGGGTCGAGATACAGGAACGACGTGAAGATGTATAGTCCCATTGTCGACATGAGGGATATAACAATGTCGGCGAAATCGCCAGAACCGAGCGATATTCCATCACTGCCTTTCAGTTTGATGACGACTAAATAGAATGTTGCGAATAATGTGTACGCCATGATAAGGGCATACACAATGATACCCAACAAGAACATTTTTCGCGAGCTTTTCAAGAACATCAGGATCAAATCATCATCAACAAAAGCTTGAAGGAAACTTACCCTTGAGGTCTATTACCCATACAAAGAATAAATTGCCATGCCATGAGCAATACGCATGCATAGCGAAGAACCTCGAATATCCACTTTCCCATGTTGTGACCGAATGGATCAATATCTGAACTAGAAAGAGATCCTGCAATAAAGTAGAATGCTAGATAGAAGTTTGCCTGTTCCATGTTAGTGGGAAAACATCTTGCTATAAAAAAAGGGGGGTGGAGAGAGAGACATACCAAGCCGAAATATGTAAATAAGAGTTGGAAGAACTGATACACGAATTCGACATGAAGAAGAATCTTTCTTGTCAATGTGTGGTCTGTTTCCCAGATCTGCTTCATGTTGGCCAAAGAGAAAACGGCTGCGAAAAAAGCACCGTTTAGCCAACGACGTCGCTGTGAGACGAATTCCGGGATCGAGTCTACGTGAAAATCATCAGTCCTGCATAGATACCGTGAAGGATATGAGCGAGGCACCCACCAGGCACATCAGTTTCACCAACAGCACTCTTCACAAACTTCAACACCCATCTTTCACCCTTCTTGGCCACAAGCTCCCAGCAGAGAATACGGTCCTCGGCCAAGTACATATTCGCGGTGAAAACGTCGGCATCTTTACCTTGTAAAGTCTCACCTTTGAAGTATTGTGCAAGGGGTCCATGTCCATCCGCATTGTTCTGCAGAGCGTAATAACGATACGCACTCAGAGCACCAGGAAGCACCGTAATATAACCGAAGACAGATTCCAGCGGCTTATCCAAGATGTTCGACATTTTGTACTCGAAGTTCTGCGACGCAACCAGAGGATTCAATAGACCCCGGAAGTGTTTCCCTTTACCCGCAATAATCTCGCCCGCTGCTCCGGCGACGTTTGAATCCTGGTCAAATGCTTTCCACAGATGGTAGAGTGCTGTAGGGGCTGGCTCTGTTCCTACATCGAGTAAGATGCACACGTTGGGGTCCAACATGGGAGCGAAAGCATTGAAGAACCATCGGTGAGAATTGAGTTTCTTCTGGTTCTGTTCCTTCAGACAAAACATCACCTGGCAAGGCACAATACCCTTCTCGGCACCTTTGAACTTCAAGTCCGAGTCCAATGAAACTTGAGTCGTGTATTCGTACAAGTGGGCTGTGACTTCTTTCTGATTGACCACGTTCTTTGCAATGCCTCCCTGGTACACACCCATGGCAGCCAAGGCATCAAGTGTCCGCTTGTGGACCTTGGAACGACCGTCGGAGATAATGCACACAACAATCTTTTGCCAACCGTCCTTTCCCCAGGTACGTGACTTCGCACGGGAGCAGAAATGGCTAATGTTGCGCATGATACCATGCATCGTCCGGGTAAACAATATTTCGTTCTCATTGTACATGGTAACGCAAATGAACAGCTCTGTCTCCCGCATGGTACTTCCGATGTTCTGGCGCAATTTGTAGCCTCGCTCCTTGAATTCATCCGGATCACAGGTGATGGCGGTGTACCGCATGTGAGTGAACTCACGCTCATCGCGTCGTGGAAGGAAACTATGTAGGATAGTAGGGATCTTACACTCCAAAATAAGCTCGCCGTTGATAAGCTGAACTTCCTTCTTTGACACCTGTGCTGCTCGTACGCCTCGACGGCTTTGTTTGCCCTCCGGGGCAGGCCCATAATGTAGGTTCGTGTCGGCAAGCATTTCGGTATCCTCCTGGGATTCTCCATCAAGGTCGACTTTTACCAAATCTTCTTTCTCGTCAGTGACCATTGTCGATTCGCTTCTAAAGGAGTCGTAGGAACGCCTTGGATCAATGGTCTGTCCATTCCCGCCAAAGGGATCTTCTGCAGAATGTGCTTCACCAATATCTATGCTTGTCTCTCCGGAAATACTGCTAGCTTTAGGTCCTGAGAACAGAGGAGCGGGGGGAAGAGGCCGTCGCGGACTGCCTCCGTACTGCGAGCTTGGTGTACCTGGTCGTGGACTTCCATTGATGTCTGCAGGCTCGTAGCTGACCCCCGATATAGAAGAATTCGCGCCTCTTCTGGTAGAGGCCCGCGATGGAGTCCACGGTCGTGTCGGAGAACCTGGTCTAGAAGAGTACTGTGGTACTTCTGCGACTGAGGGAGCAGGTGGCGGGATTGAAGGAGTGTAGCCCATACTAGAGCCAGGGCGTGACCCGGCATTGGAGATATTAGCGGTCGAGTTCTGACGCGGACGAAATGCTGGGTACCGGTTGGGTGTTGCTCTGGTAGGTGACGGGTTGGCACTGTTTGGAACATTGTTAGCCCTATTTTCGATCATACTAAGATCCATTTCCTGAGCCTTGGGGTTCTGTTCATCAGGGAGCCTTGAAGGGGCTGGTATTTTGGCAAAGAGGGGTAGGGGAAGGATATTCTTTGGTTTGCCATATCCATATGCCTGTGCATTTTTTGAACGTGACGGTGCATTTTGTCTGTGATTCTCCATGTTTGGGGTTGTTGATTGCATGACAGTCTCCACTCTGTGCTTACATGGATCTTCCGAAGCACGGCGAATAACAACAGGTTGAGGGAATGGGGGTTCCTTGAGGGTTTCCATAGAAGAAGAAAGAAAAGACACCTTCTTGAGGGGTTTCAAGTCAGGGTTAATATCGGCTACGTACGCTCTGCGGGTTGATGATGTTTGGCCTAATCGAAAACGTGCAGCGTTTGTTCCTAGATCACTGCTGTTATCGATATCCTCATCGTAGCCAGTCGGCAGCAGTCTCATTGAAGCTGTTGCTGCTCCATTTTCATTCTGGTTCGGCGAGCCGTTGATGTTGCTGCTGGCATCCTCGTTGCCGTAGTATGCTGGAGGGAGTTCATCTGGGTACGAGGACTCCATGAATTGGCCGTGTGAGGGCGTCGGTGGATCCATTGCGTTTGTCCCAGACAGGCGCGCAGACTGAGTGTCAGGTTAGGTTTGCATTGGTGGTCTTCTTGATATCGCAGATGTTGACTGGTTGGCTGCGTGAACAGAAACAAGTAACAGTGGGCTTGATTGATAAGTAGGGATAGCGATTGTCTGGGGCATCAAGATTTTAAGATATATAAGAAGTGTCAGTCGAGTTGGTCTACCCCGAGCGGATGTTGATGGAGTCTGCGGGCGCTGTTTCCCCAGCAACCGTGGCCGCTAACCCGCGTCGGGAGTATGACGCGCACGCCAGATGCATCTAGCATAATTATTGTACTAATTAGTGAAATATACATAGTGAAGATCCTCGGTCAACCAATAGTAGTTGATATTGCTGCTATAACGGGGCTTATGAACATACGAGGCGAGGAAGGGATATTTCACATAGCCGAATACCCTATAGACAGAAAACAAAAACGAAAGGACAGACGAAAATCATACAAGAGATGAGGCGCAAAGCACGTAATATGATCACATATATAACAAATGAAGGGTTGGAAATTTCCGAGGTTGGTGTGTATCGACAAGTCCATACATAATTCGGACACGCTCCCCGGGGGGGGGACCTCAGTATCTCTCTGGCATACAGAGTATGCTATAAGAAGATACTGTAATAAGCAATCAAGGCTCATCGAGCAATGGCTCTCGTTCACGTTCAGTCGATGACTCCGGAGACACGACACGCTGAAGCCAAAGGTTTCGACCGGCATAAGCGGTAGACGAGACATATAGCGAGCCGACGAAGAAGACCGCGAAAATAACAAAGGCGAAGATCCACTGCAGGGCAATAATCTTGATATCAAATTGTTTGACAGCCAGTGCTAGTATCGGTCAGTAATCGGAAAAGAAAGGGCAAGGCAGGACAAGAAACTCACATAGGGTCAAAATGGACAAGGAATATCCAAAAATATAATCTCTGGCAAAGAAAATATGAACAAACCCAATGACGAAAATCACCCAGATGAAAATATTGGCGACAACGCGTGAGGGCAAGTTATGGGCATGCACTGCAACGGCGCCATTCCAGAATAGAGCAGTGAGCGACCAGGCGTATGGGCCGGCGATGGCAGGCCAGTGCACGAAAGGAGGAGATGCAAGATGAATCCAATATGCCGATGACTGACTCAGGACATGGACAATGAGGATGAGTTCGGCTGGCCAGAAATGATTCCGGACCCAGAGCAAGATGAAAGCAAAGACCAAGAGGTTGTTCAAGATGAAATGAGAAGCGACATTGGCAGCGCTTGTGACCAAGGCAGAGTTTCTGGAGAAGAATTGCCCGACATAACTGACTTGAGACAATAGCAGCAGAACCCTGAACCAACGCTCTTATTATTAGCACAAGATCTTGAATCCACAGTCATACTGTCACTGTCGGGGTAGCTACTTACCAATAAATCCCAGTAATGACTGTGTTCTGGGAGAAGGGTGTCGGGTGTTTGTTTGCTTGCTTCCAGATGTTGTGTCCATGCTTCACATCATGAGGCTTGTGGAGCGAATAGTAGATGCCAGTAACGACGACCAGGATCCATGACAGGACTGACAGCACTTGATACGTGATCAAGAGGTTGCGATGATGAGATTCTCGTTTAGCAAACGGGTTGTCTGCGGTCGAATCAGTTGGGCCAACTTGCTATACACATGTAGATCAGGCACTTACAGATTGCCATGGTGATTATTTGTGAGGCTAACGTTGCAATCGATGATTGTCTGTTAGGCGTTTGCCGACTTTGAGTTTGTGGGGAGAAAAGGTGGAAGGACCTTGATGACGTATGTATATGCAGCAAGTGGCGTGATCTGTCACGACAGTCGACACCAAATCAGAGATTCCACTTTCTTTCGGTTGACTGAGACTATGAGTGTACCTCGTCGACAGAAGATGGAGAACAAGGGGGCTGCTCTCTTTTTCTTATGAAATATTATGTTGGGTGATCTACGGGAGCCTGCGCAAGCAGCAAAGACTAAGTAGACAAGGTAGCTATTGTATAAAAAGTAGGGATCCGAGCAGCAGCTTCTCTCTCAACGAATCAACTCGGCTTGCATCGTCTGCGACTTCCTAACATGAATCTGACACCTATGGGTAAGCCCACGAGCAGCTAGGCAGCCTGGATAATGAATTTCCCCGCACTTATTCTTGTAAGGGTAATGGGCAACTATGTTTCCTCATCGTGACAAAACATGGTCTTCTGACTGTGAAAACGAGCAATTACAAGAGCTTTCCTGCGGCGGGTGCATATCTGATTCGATGGAAGCCATCCTGCTCACCCATTGACCGGCAGACTGTAGGTTGCCATCGACAAATTGACGTCACGGAAACTGATACCTTGTTTCTTGGGAACGTATCAGATTGTTTGACAAATGAACGTAGAGAAAATTCAAGGAAGAAGATTCAAACAAGGTAAGAAATGCCAAGAGCAGCAGTCTAGAATGAGGGAAGAGCCCTGATTGGTCGGCTCTCTCAATTACGATTGCGGGGTAGCAAGATCAATACTGATTGGCCCAGAGTATTGACCAATAATATCAACGATATCAATATCTCTATATAAGTTATGCTTCATATATGCCAAAATTACATAAGGGAAAAAGGAAAAAAAAAAAAAAAAGAAAAGAAAAAAAGAAACAAAGCAAGAAAGCAAGAATTATATGCCAGCCACCTCTTGTGCTGCTCTTAAAACCTCCTTGTGAATAGCAGCAGGGGCAACAACCAACCCGGCCGAATTAGCCAAAGTCCTCCCCAATCCACAGTTAACAGCACGTCCATAGATATCTGTGACGACGCACCCAACTTCCTGTACAATCAGCATCCCGCCGACATGATCCCAGATGCTAGATCTATAGGACTTATTGCGAAGGATTTTTATAAGCGCGTTTCCGCCTTCTCTTTCCTTGCCCACCGCAATGGCAACATAGCGCATTTGCGTGGACCACAGATCAACCGTTGCAGGCCAGGAAGAGCCTAACTTTGCTGCCACAAGACCGTGTTTCTCATAGTCGATGGATTTGGAAGCTTGGCAGTCCACGAATCTGGCGTCGCTCGGTTTGAGGTCTGTCCCTTTCATTGGTAATCGCGATGCCGACTCCAACGAAGCCGTCAACGGCGATGAGAAGTTCATAGGCTGAATAAACGCACCCCGGCCAGTAATCGCAAATACCATCTGGCCATCGCCATCCTTATCCACAATATCCTCATGCACCTTACCCGTAGCAGGCGAGTCAGAGTCAGACTCAAGTCTTAAATTGGGACACCCAAAAACAGCCAATTTCTGTCGTCCATCTTCCATCAACGCCAGACACACGGCGTATTGCTGTCCCCGAATGAATGTTGCCGTTCCATCAACAGGATCCAAGACCCAAATGCGCCCCTTTGATCCCCCTTTTCCCTTACCGCCGAGGTCGATTAGATGGAGCATTTCCTCCTGCGTAAGTGGAGTAGCCAATTCTATTCCCTTCCACTCTTCTGAAGAGGACTGACTTGCAGCAGATGAAACAAGCCCCCAAACCCTCTGCAACAACGCCGGGTCCTCTCTCAACGCGGCCGCCGATTCCTCGCCCACAAATTCATCGTCCGGAAACGCATGGTGGATAGCGCTGATAATAAGTGCCTGAGCCGCAAAGTCGGCTATTGTGACAGGAGTGTTGTCATTTTTGTCTAGAGCGCCTTTGTCGACTGCTGCGAGGACCGCTTTAGTGATTCTGGAGGCTCGCTGGACAGTCAGACTGGCTATTTCTAGTTCTTTGGCGTAGTCCATTGTTTTTTTTTTTTTTTCTGCCTCTTGTATTGGATAAGCCGATCGTAACAATTTGAGTAGATACTGGCAATTAAGTGACTGATTGGGCGAGTGTCTTATGCAGAATACAATAAAATAAATATCGTTTCGTTCGTAGCTTCCAAAGGTTGACGTAGAGGAGGAAAATTAGAGTTTGATTGGTGGCATGGTCCGATCAGATCAGTTCTCCACCGGATCTAGACATCTGCGTTACTATCTTAAGCTCTATGTATAGTATAAGAGAATGGCTGCATTTTATGCAACAATCCTTGTATTTACTCTTGGTGAATACATCCTCTTGGAGAGGTAACTAATATATTGGACCGTTAACTATTTAACGGGTATACAGTCGTACGTACAATCAGCGTGACGTCAGCACTCCTTTCGAAAGTCAAGCAGAGGACTGGTCATATCCCAACGATATATATATACTTAAAATACGATTCATCATTATAGAGGCGCAAATGCAAGTTCATAAGCAAAAGCCAGGCTCATCTTGGCATGTTGGATCATATGATCGAAGCTCAAGTACTTGATCAAGTCGTCCGTCGAATGGATGTGCTTATCGCTGTATTGGAACTCGGATTCGATAACAAAAGCTGAAGGATAGCCGTAACGACTGGCCGATGCGTGGTCAGAGCAGGCATAACCGCATTTTGTCTCGACAAAGGGGATGTCGCAGTACTATAAAAACGACCGATTAGTATAATATCCCCAAGGAAAAGAGAAAACCAAAAAGACATACCTCGGTAATAACATCTTTGATAAATTGGGTCAATGGCGTGTCAACAAAGTCTACAATAACACCAACAGACTCCTCGTGGCCGGCATCGAGTGTGCCTTGCACATAACCAGTCATGTCCTGCTGCAACATAGCTTTGATATCGCGATCATTCTGTCGGTAATTGGCAAAGATAGCCTGAGAGCCGAGCAGACCACCCTCTTCTGCGGAGTACCAATGAAATTCGATTGTGTTGGCGGCCTTGCCAGTAGCGATATCCTCCGAAAGAAGTAGCGTACGCAGGACTTCCAAGATCGTCACAGTTCCGCTTCCATCGTCATCGGCACCGGGAGCGGCAAGGATAGATGGCAAGAAGAGGTTAATGCTATCCTGATGCCCGCCAAGAACAACAGTCTTATTTGTATGTCCGGGGATGCGCGCAATGATGCTGAACTGTCCCCATTGATGCGCGAATTTCTCCACCGTTGCGCCATAAGATGCAGCGCCGGATTTCTGGACAATTTCGTTCACTTGGTTGTACAGCCAGGTTGCGGACTCGACACCATATTCTGACTTGTAATATCTCGTATGGAAAGAAGTGAATTTTTCCAGATTGCGATGCATGTTCTGCTTATCTAGATTTTTGGCCAACGAGTTGATAGTGTCATTGTGAACCAGCTTGGTGGGATATTGCACGGCGTTGCTTCGGAAGAATTTGGGGTAGAAGTTGGACTTGTTCTCGTCGGTGATATCCAAGAAGTTCACTCCATCCTGCGGAAGCATAATTGTCAGCGCCAAATCCCGCAGATGGACAAATCGTACAGGCATGTGACTTACAAGTTTCAATTCCCACTTCTCTTCCTCGGTTACCCAACGTGTATCGTACGGTGCCAGTTCGATGAGAAATTTCTCGGCCTGTGGCAGTGAGGGTTTGCTATTTGATGGGCGTTCAGCCAAAGGAACTTGACCGTCGTAGGGCACTGCAGCCGCGGACGTAGACTGGATGGCCGCACCTAACGCGAGGACGGCGTGTAGCTTCATGTTTTCTAATAAATAAGGGCCAGTGTGAACTATACAGACAAGTGAGTGATTCAGGGCAAACAGAGTGAAAATGCAGGCAAGCTCATTTGTAAGCAAGGACAGCAGGAGGCTGGAGATGAGATGTTATCATGTGGCCGGCGCACACGTGACATGGGCTATCCCGCCAGGCACGTCGTCGGCTCCACTCGTGATGGGCTTCAATTATCTTCCAACTTACACCTCCAGTACTACGCTCATGTACCTGGTCAGCGAAAAAAAAAATTCCAATAGTTAGCTGTGCCAGTGACTTTGTACAAAATCTCTGCGCCATGATGGCTAGCAGAATGACTGAGAATGAATCACAATGGCTCAGGCGGAGCGCCGGTGCTCATGCGACCAATCAAACGCTCCCAAACCGAATCCGCCAATGACAGCCCCGCCTGCAACCACACGTTATCGCAGCGCGTTCGGAACGGCTTATCGCATCGACCCGGAGTGTCCTCACTCTGGCCTCTCGCTTTCTCTCATCCCTCTCTCCTCCTTAAAATATTTCCATCACCTCATCCACGATCACTCTTGCGCTGCTTTATTGCATCCCCTCATCACTTCCTCAGCCATGGCTATCCATCCGAGTATTCGCAATGAGCATCTGCGCGAGCGCACAGCCGCCACCAGCTTGACGCAGCAGCAGGCAATCGATATCTCAGCCTGGACAGAGCAAGCAGCCGCCTCGCTTCAAGTTCTGGATATCTCCGACTCGGTTGCGGAAATTGAATTTCCAATTGTCTCTTCTGAAACTGCGACTGCTGGTCGAGGCACATCGAATGCGCTATCCATTCCTTTAGACGGGCCAATCGTCAAGAGCTTGACGCCTCGTGTGAAAATTGTTCACAGAACGGGCGAGGAGGATGTCTCAACAGCGCCTTCAAATACCTATCGTCGCCGCGAACCTATTCGACGCGATAGCATGAAAAGGCGCGAGGCCTTGTTGAAGGGCAAAGAGGGCAGTCGGCGTCGACAGCGCTGGGAGAATGGTGCGTTTTTGTCGAAAGGATCTACGAGTAGAGTCGAATATATGGTGTAGTGGAACTAACTCATTCGACTTTACTGGGAGTAGATCGTCTTCTGAACAATCCCTGGGCGCAACCGCCAGCCCCCGGCGACTGGTCTGTTCAACCGACGCACCCGCGACACGATCCTCTTCCGTACTACCTAGCTCCACTTTGGGATAGCCATTACGCGCACAAGGAGCACGATAAGTCGCGCAAACATGCGAAGAGAAGCATTAAAGACTACGAGGATGAGAAGAACCGAGTATCTCGAGAGATTCGCAAGTCTCTGAAACACGCCCGAGCAGCACGCGGTCTGCTACAGGATTTGGAAGAAGATATTCGGTGCTTCCTTGAAAACTGGAATGACAAACAATTGAGGCTTGAGTTCAACGATTCCGAGAACTCTGAATTTGAGGACTCGGATGAGGAGATTGTCTTTGTCGGCCGGAATGGGCAGATGCACGACTCTCACAAGCGTAAAGAGAAAGCAAAACTTGTCGATACAGAGGTTCAAGATGGACAAAAAATGGTCTTTGAGAGCTTGGCTCATGACCCTGGTGCGGTATTTGGGTATGTATGATTCAGTCCTCTAGCGCGAAGTGCCGCAAAGCTAACTTATGTATTCGTCAAGACGATGGCTCGTTCATTCGATCGCTGCATACTACGGCTTGTATACATGGTCCGTCACAGCTGGCAATCCAGCTCGCCGCCAGGCCTATGTCGGGCTCAATCCTCCAGCTGCAAGCAAGCATATCTCGGAGATCGCCTTTCCCTCGGGGCAGAGGGCAGCGTGTGGGACAACAAATGCACTGAGAATAAAACCGGGGGAGCCGTTGCCGAAGCCAATATGGGTGCAAGTGTGAGTTACATTTTGAATCTATTTCCATCCATTTCATGTGCATTGCACATATATTCCGCGGTTATCGATATTTTTTGAATTCTGGCAAACAATCGGATCTAATAATTAGACTGATTTATATAACATACATGTCATTCCCATCTCAGATAATGAAGTGCATTTCTATTCCAAGTTTGCAGAGAGAAATTAAAAAAAGAAGCAGGGATGCTATGCCAAAAGATCAACACCCACAGTCCTCAACGCATCAACAGCCCACTCGGGCGCCTTGGAAAGCGACCCATAATAATTTTCAAAAAAATTGACAATAAATGCTGGAAATCGATCTTCTAAGACAGCCTCTCTGATCGAATTCATCAATGAAAGTTGATATTGAACATTGTGCATTGTGAGTCTTGAGTAATCGATGTCAGTATTTAAGAACAGAGAGGAGAATGGCTCGAAGAAACATACAGATGAGCACCAACAGTCTCCTTGCAGGTGACATGGTGAATATATGCTCTTGTAAGTCCCAGTCCGCCTTCGGATTTGGGTCGGCAGCATGGACATTTACAACCTTCTTGAACTGGGGCGTAATCGCGTGCGAAGGAGCCGTGTCGCAAGTTGAGCACGCCGAAGGGGGTTATGGCGTTGCCGAATCTCTAAATTGAATATCAACGAATGTGATCATAAAGGATGGACTTTAGTGGGAAGGGACATACGGCTGTTCGTGTCGGCCACACGCAGTCGAACATGTCTGCGCCTAGGGCAACGGAAACAACTAGATCTTCTGGGTATCCCTGATATAAAACTTGTCAGAGTGGAATAGGGACTTGCTAAATAATCAGAGTATAGCTCTTACCACACCCATTACATATCTAGGTTTGCCATCTGGAAGTAGCCCTGTGCAGGTATTGACCCTATGATAGACAATTTCGTCAGTGCCATTGACCAGGAAATGAGAGTAGATAGGTTAAACTGACACCTTGCAATACTCAGCCTTCGCCTCACCACCAGATAATCCTCCAATAGCAATACCAGGTGTATCTCGCGCAACCATCTCCTTGCAGCACTTGCGCCGCAACTCGAGATCAAGACCACCTTGGATAATGCAAAAAAGATTTTGCCGTTCGGGATATTTGTGTGCTTCGATGCACCGATCTAGCCATCGCACAGACCGTTCCATGGCTTCTTCCATTCTTTGGTGGTCCGGCGATGTTGTTACGATAACGTCGTCGAGTTGCATTATGATGTCGGAGCCGATGGAATTTTGGAGGGATATGGAGTGTTCGGGAGTCAGAAGCCTAGACATATTTGTCAGTAGAGTATTGATTTCATATAGGCATGTCACGTACATCGGTGTCCCATCATGGGGACTCAGAAACCTAACGCCTTCTTCTGTGATTTTGGCCAGCTTCAGCAGCGAAACCATTTGAAATCTAGGTATCAATTAATCTATATTCCATGATGGCTTCCTGTAAAGTTTCATGCTTGGAGGATAAGGAGAGATTACTCACCCTCCACTATCCGTCAATATATTCCTATCCCAACCCTGCAGTTTGTGTGCTCCGCCAACTAAATCCAGCACTTCTTGTCCCGGCTTCAAGCCCAGATGATACGTATTGTTTAAACAGAGCATACAACCAGTCTCTTTCAGTTGGTCATACGTCAACCCCTTGAGGGAGGCCTGAGTAGCGACAGGCATGAAGATCGGAAGCGGAACGGAGCCATGAGGAAGGTGAAGAGTGCTTGCGCGCGCTTTGGTGGTCTATGCAATAAGAGAAGAAGAAAAAGAGGGTAACCAATTAATCAATCCATTCATTTCAATTTCAAGTACGTATAATTCTGTAAACACAAAGCAGTGGAGAATACGGCCTACAGAGCATTTGGCATGCAAGTCAAAGGTTAACGCAGAAGGCATTGACTTGTGAGGTTTCCTATGAGGACTGTCGATAGACGTCGGCATGATTTGAAGCCTGCGGGGTACGACTGCAGGTGTCGCAGCTCCGGGAGGGGCCCGCAATGTGAGTCGTGGAGTAATCTCTTCACTCTTCTTTCCTTCTTTCTAGGGGGAGAAAAAGAAGCAGAACTCTAAAGGATCACAAGACAGCGGTGCTTTGTGGTGTGATGATCTGGTGCGATCGTGCGAAGGAACGTTCTCGAGATCAAATTTTTGGGGTTTTCCTGTTCCTATGTTTGCTGTGTTTGTCTTTATGCTTAGTCATAAAGCTTATGTAATATCAACTACCCCTCGATGGGCAAATCTTGAATCCTCCTCAAGGGCGCCCGGAGAACTCCGAGGTAGGTACCAAGCGCTATCACAGAGGGCCATTCGGATGGTTAGGAACATTTGAAACTGGTCGGGGCTTGAAATGCATGCAGTTGCTGTCAAGGACAGGCAGTAGTACTTCGTACAATGTTTTGGTTCATGTACATCTACTGCTTTGGTAGTAGACTTATGTAGCTAGCTGAATCGTAGCTTACATTGCAGGCAGTCTAGGCAGTAGGTACATGAAGGACATTGCATACATGTACAGGTAGATTCGTCACGGAAAGGATTACGCCACCGATCCATCGCCTCTTTCTCTAGTTTAGTTAGTTAGTAGGTATAGACTATGTAGCATGCAGTTAGGTTAGCCTCACTTTCCCCAGCATGAGTACTCATTCGGCTATTCTTCACCGTGACGAAGTCTGAACAATCACACACATACATTAGAAATGTCAGATGCAAAAAGAAGGATGGAGGTGGGATGTCACACTCCCGTCGGGCCAGCCAATCAGAACCGAGCATCGGGGGGATTACGATTAGGCTGAGCCCGTCGGCCCGTCGAGATCGACTGGTTCGGAACAGCGGGAAGTCTTTTTTCTTCTTTTCACGACATGCTAGTATAGAGATCAGATGAAGAAGAATCTCGCTCAACTTATTCTCTTTCTGTTTCAAACCGCGCACAGAAGAGCAAGTCATAATGTGACAAAAAGATCTTTCCAATTAATTACGGATGGAATTTCCCCCTCAGATTTGACTAGGTTCAAAATTAGCCGTGCAACAGCAACTCGAAATGAATGTAACAGCAAAATTAAATATAAGATATTGTAGTTCATGTAATTCGTCACACTCCTGTCGACTATCACATAGTTAACATCATCTGTACGACCTCGGCAGCCCTCTCATTGCCTTGCTTTGCCTTCTTGCCTCGCCTGCGCGCCTCGCATCTTTTTTATCTTATTTTTTCTCGTCTATCCCTGTCCCTCATTCCCCTCCTTGTCATACGTCAGGCGATAAGAAAAAGAAAAGAATAGGCCAGTGACTCGACATAGGTACCCAAATGACATCCTTAGGCTAGGCCGTTAGGGCTAGGCTCAAACGAAACTAAAATATGCAAAGCGGCCCGTCCAACTAACTGTGCATGGATGGCGTGCATTCGACTAACCAGTTCGTTTGAATTTTTTTTTTATTGACGATTAGCTTAGGTACCCAAGAACAACAAAACAATAGCCAACTAGCGTATCTAGCTTTGCTACTATCAAATATTGATGACGATAGTTATCAGTCTAGCTACGTGTTGAGCACGTACGCCAATTGAAGAGAGAGAAAAAAAAAGGGCGATGTTTCAATTGCAATTTCAGTTCCTCAAGATGATACATGATACATCACTTTGATCAATGCAAAAAGAAAGAAAAGACGAGTATCATGTCAGGTCATAGACGACAAAAGAAAATAAAAAGAAAACTCCTTAACCCAAAATTCCCGAATTGCACATTTCCCTTCAAGTTAGTTTCTCTTTCGGTGCAAACAAAATAAAGTAGCATAGCGTAACAATTTGATAACAACAAGTTATTCATGTCATATAAACTTCATGTTAAGGGAGTGGGGGGCGCTCACAGTGGCTCCGGCTGTTTTGTTGGTTTTGATTGATAGGGAGGAGGATGACAAGGAGGGGCATACGAAAATTGTACAGAGAGGGAAAAACGGAGAATAGTTCCGAAAAAATAAGGGGCAAAAATCAGACCCGAATTGCGCCTTGGATATAGGGCGTCAAGCGTTGGCTGTCGATAGCGCAAATCCCTAGGCGGTATGGCAGAAAAGGAAAAAGAGAACAGCAGGTCGTCGGTACTCGACAGTTGTAAAAGACGTCCCGTAATCAAAGACATATCAGTACAAGTCATCGTTTGTTTGTCCTGACTCTACCGCTAGGGATAGAATTGACCCTGGTAGCTTGTCTGGGGGGCGAATGCTTGAGGCTTCAATGCCATTATAGCAACCTCGGAAGCGTCCTCTTTGGCGTTGTTGATGTACTGGCCGTCATACCAGTATCGAGCGGCAAAGCTGCGGCCTGCTACGTCGACGGTGGCTGACCAGGCGGTTCTGCCTCCTGAGAAAGATAGGATAGTTAGTTTAAATGCCAGATATGTGTGAACAGGAAGGAACCATACCTCGCCGGTCAGACACGATGTGGAAGACGGGGGCGGCAAAGTCATTTTTATCGCAATGGTCTATGGACAACAGCAGAGGGTCAATCAGTGTGAGAATATGGAAGATCGAGGCAACAAATGGGTTCGCACCCTTCAGTTTCTCCTGCCAACTAGGTCGAGTTGCTCCCTGAGGGCCACCGGCACCTGTAGAAGACATTGCGAGGGACGAGACGTTGCAATTAGATATAAAGAAGGTATGAGTAAGGTAGGCAAGACACGGAGGATAACGACGAAGAAGAAGACGACGACGACGACGTTGACGATAGGTAGATCGGTTCCGTTCTCTTTGAAGTGAATAAGTGAGGAAGTAAAAGCTGACTAGAGAGAGAGAAAGAGATTGGTTCGGACCTAGACAAGGCAGGCAGGAAGAGAAGAGAGAAGATATCCTACTCAAATGAATGACACAGGAGGGGAAAGGTCATGTTAAATGCCATTGGCATGCCATGGAGGAGAGTAAGAAGAATATGGGAAGGAAGGCTGTATTGTAGGATAGCATCGGATATTTGCCCCTCATGTACAAGTCGGCAGAGCAGGAAACCAAGCATGCATGGGACCAAATGTATGAACCAAGTAGCTTACCATTAAAAGGCACAGAAGGGGACAAAACGAGAGGAGATAAAAATAAAAGCGAGGAGAGAGAGTGACATGAGACCAAGACACAGGACAGGATAGCACCCAGGTACAACAGGAGGTACAACAGCCAGCGATAGAAAACAAAACGAAACGAAACGAAACAAATTAGGAAGAAAATACCCCTCCAGATGTTGTCATCCACTTCGGTTAGTGGGCTAGTTTGCTTTTTTGCAAGCATCAGAAAACGGAAGAACATGCGGATCATAAGGTAAGTAAGGTAAGGTCAGAAAGAGGCTGCAGCCAGGGAACGGCCCGTCGTACATTAGGTACCTAGGTAGTCTGATTGACCATTTACACCTTCGTTACATATGGATATGGATATCCAGAGCATTGACGTGACTTGGAGCGGTTGAGTCTACAATTATGCACACCATGCACACTACTAGCCTGTCTGCAGCCTATGCTCGATCGGTAGGGACGTTGTCTGCAGGGATTATTATTTATTTATTTTTTTCTCTCGTTTCTTTTTTTTTTTTTTCAATTCTTCTTCGTCTCTGGCCGATTTGGTGTTGCCGCCGGGCTTGAGGGTCCAAAGGATCCATGGATGAGGGGGAGCAAGGCGAGGAAAAAAAAAAAAAAAAGGGTGACGGCGGATGTGGATTGTTTGGCTGAGAAGAGACGAAGAGGAGAAAAAAAAATTGAGGGTCCATGATCCATCCAGCCTATGAGTATTAGACTGTAGGCAGCTGTAACTCGTCACCCCCATACTGGCTTAAGCCAGTAAACGTGGTTCTTACAGACTAATTTTGTGATTCGACATGGAGATAACTACGGGATTAATTCAATCCGTTTCTTCTTTTCCCGAGCCGATAACTTCATCACACTCCTCAGACTAGAAAGCAACAAGGGATAACCATTCAATGGGCGGAGCAGACGAAGTACAACAACAATAAGATCGAAAAAACCACGCACGTCAAAAGCTGCACCTGATAGGGACAGCACTTGACGCCTTGCCGAAATGCCTATCCCGGCCAGTTGGGCTGCACGCTACGCTATGTATGCCTATGCTATGCCATGTAGGGGAGGGAAAAAAAAGCGGGACCACACGTAGTACTGTTCTAACTGCTAAATAAATATTGGCAAGAGGAAGGCTAGAAATTGCCAGCACATCGACGAATCCATGGTTCGCTTGATTGAAGAAAGCTAGCTAAGCGATTTATAATATCAGATACTAAGTGGCTAGTTAGTTAGTTACCTAACACAATAAGGTATGTACCGACAAAACAATGAATAAATAAGAGTCATTTATTAATTGTCTTGTTTCCTCTTCTTATCCAAAGGGAATACCTAAACTGGGAACACAGGGGGGAAAAGCAACCATCACGCAGTAGTTGCTATCTAGACGCAAGCAAGCAAGCAACTACGCCGCGGCGTTTTCTCTTCTCTGTTCTTCAAAATCAATAAGCAGAGACAATAATATCTGTCCATACCTGACAATAAGACCAGACAATGGCATGGGGCATTTATGCAGGACACCACCCCTCAAAATCCCGACGCCAGGCAAGGGGGGGGGTTACCTTAGTTAACTACGTACGTACTTTGTTATTTTGTTTTTTCCATGATTCGCTGCTTTACTTTTGTTAGATTTTCATTTCTGTTGTACTGTTCTCTCTGAGTTTGTGTGTGTGCGCTTGCTTGCTTGTCTTTGAACGAATTGTACTACGTACCAACAGCACCGTTTTGGGCATTCATGCCTGCAGCTATGTGTCAGGATCTTGTTTTTGGCTTGACTTGACATGAGCTTGGATGCGTACTATTATTTTATTGAGCTGACTAGTCATCTTCACAATTTCACCCCTTCACTACTGCTACTGCTACTGCTACTGCTACTGTCTACTGTCTACGTGCATTGTCGCCTCCAACTGATTTGTGTCTTGTCCGAAAGAATTTCCCAACGCGGAACCTGCCCTTTTCGGAGGGGTTTTTCCTCTTTCGCCCAAACCCTAACTTCAACATAAAGAAAAGCAAACAACAAAGAAATATTTCTTCTACAGGTATCCACCAGAGGTTTTTATATTTATAGCCTGTTCGTGTCCGAGGGCGGATTGTCACGCCACTTGGAATTTATTATTCATAGAGCACATCATAGCACGCTACCTAGCTTTCCAAGGCTCAATCACATAGTTAGCTCTGATGTTATTGGATAAGCATATATATTTTCTTATCATCTAAGTGTTTGATCGAGATATAAAATAAACAGAGTACATATTCAAAGGTATATACGCTACGATACATTCCTGTCGTGTCACGAGCTAGGTAGATAGCTACCCAGGCAAGTAATTCACGCCGACCCGCGGCGATGGAACATTTCATCAATCAGTCGTTTCGGTCCTAGAGACTCCATATTCATGTTCATGTTCATACTCAGCAGAAAAAAGGATGACCTCTTGCTGCCCAGACTCAGTCGTACATGCCGCTTATTGTGCCATCGACGTCGGATGCTGTCGTCGACCAGGACTGTGATTCCAGTGGCCACGATTACGCTGTCTATGTTAGAAAGTTGTCTGCGAGAGAAGAAGAGCGAAGAAAGAACATACTCAGCAATATCACTCATCCTCTCATAAACAGACGAGTCGCTAATCCACATGGAGCACTTGGGCACCCAACCCCCTTTCCCTTCTTCTTCCATCTGCTCCATGGGCGTCAATATCTCAGGCACTATGTAAGCGACCGTCCTCGACGTCTCGAGATTGACCAGATGATACGAGATCTCCTTTTGGTCTCCAGCGCAAGCTTCCTTCCTAGACTCGCGTCGCCATTGATAACGCGTGCTCCAGTACTCGAATTCGTAGCGCTTTGATGGCTTGACGCCTACGCGAGAAAGCTCCACGTGCGCGTAGTTGCAGAATTCGAGAAGGATGGTGTTTGTCAATTTCTCGGTTTTGTTTGTTGTTGTTGATGTTGTAGAGGATTCGTCATTGAAAAACTCTTGCAGAGGAGATGACGACTTGGGTAGGGATTGGTGTTTATGGTAAGTATTATGATTATTGTTATTGTTGTTGTTGTTGTTGTTATGATGATGATGATGATTCAAAAACCCAGTCACGGAATGCTTATCGCTTGAACCAGGCCGTAACCCACTCAGCACGCTACTCCACGACCTCCTCAAAGTCGGGCGCTGAGAATGAGCCGCAGGCGTCAGTCGCCTTGAATGACACACTTCACGCCCGGAGTCGCGACAGTAGCGCCGAAACGAGAACGTGCGGCTGTGCAAGTCGTGCATCCTCAGATGGAACAGGGTCACTTCTTGCAGCGGGCTTCTCCGGTCTCGACGGCTCAGAAGCGTGTCGACGCGAAGGTTCATGTTCCCATCGAGCGTGGAGTCGTCATGATGGATTAGCAGCCGTCGACCGGATGGAAATAGGTCTGCGAATGTGGCTTGGTTGGATGAGATGGCGCTGGAAGCGAATACTTCTGGTCGGTCTGTCACGACTTCGTATTTGGCTACTGCGGCTCGTTCTTCGTCTCGTCCTTCCTTGGGGAGGTCCTCGTCGGATGACACGGTGGATGCATATGTCGAATTGGAGTCGCGCGGATCCTCGGTGAAGAATGGTTCGGCCATGCGACGACTATAATCTGTTGGTGCCGTGCTTCGCGAATGCTCGGAGCCATCGCTGCTCGAGGCTGCACTGGAATGGCTGGTCTGCATTATCGGCGGCATGATATAGGATGAGCAAGAAGCTTGCAGGACTGGATGATAAGCCAATGGGTACGTAGGCGTAACAAAGGCCACGACAACAAAGAAGATGCCGATTCCAGGCAAGAAAGAGAGAAAAAGTTGACCGGTTTATTAGCTACTTCCTCGGCTGTTTACCAATCGTCATTCATTCTGGTGGATCATAACAACATTCACTCATCGACTGACTGACGCTGGCTGGAATGTCGGATTTACGGAATCGTGCATCCAGCGGCGCGGGGCGTTGTTTGATGTTGTTATAGACCGAGGAATGAATGGCATGGGAATCTTTGACAAAGAAAAACAGACCGCGTCTGTCTGTCTGTCTACCTGTCAGTAAATAAACAATGAGTAGCAAAATAAATAAATATAACAATCGATAGTTGCAGGCAAGGCAAGGCAAGGAGAGAGACGCAGATGACGGACGCCTGAAACCGCGCAAAAGCGAAAAGCGAGGAGGGGAGTCGAGGCCCGCTCACCATAAGAATCTGGAGTACACGTACGTAGTTGATCCAACAGGATTGACTGGCCAGTAACTTCGCAGATGCACGCTAGATGGGCGGGCGATACGCCGTGAGTGTATCAGCGTGATGCTGTGCTGTGTGAAGCTAGCTGTCGTGGCTGTCCTCGCTTCGTATTTCGCTCGATACGCCTTGGCCAATTGATCGCTTGCCTCACTCCGTTTGTCTCCTTGCTAGTACACTGCAAGAGAATCAATCCGTCGGCATCCGTGCGTGTGTCGTTGGTGAGAGAGATAGAGAGAGAGAGAGAGAGAGAGAGTGTGTGTGTGTGTGTTCAAGCTTCAGCCCTCGTGTTCTCCAGAAATACAGTCCTTCTCGAACGTGGGCGCTCGCACCGTAACCTAAGGGCTAAGCCGGGCTAGGTGAGATTGCAGACAATCCATCAAATATGAACTTACATCGTGTGATTAGTCGCCGTGCTCGTCGTACGTGTCAGACTATGTGGCGGTGAGACGCCGATTAATTGGCTGTCGGCGTTTGACTTTGGGGGGGCCACATGTGAATATCATATGCACAACAGCTGATCATGCCGTATCTATCTATGTAGTATATACGTACAATAACACTAATACTAGTCCACTTCATATGAACAGTAGAGTAGAAAAGCTACATCCTATCCTCGCTCCATCGGCTCCTCGTCTTCTTATACGCATCCCGGTCCTCTATCCCCTCTGCGGCATTCATGCCGACTCCCATGCCACGCTCCACCCACTGCTTACTGCCCATCTCGGCCAGTCGCGACAGAGCCCGCGCAAATGCAAATCGCTCCTCGTCGCCGCTGAATATCGATGTCGATTTGAGGGCCGACATTGAGAGCCCAAGGTCGTCCATGAGTAGTCGCATTTCCGAAGATAGGTCGCCTTGCGATTGGTCACCGCTCGAAGAAGATTGAATAGAGTCGTCGATTTCGTCTTGGGACATGAAAAGGTTTTGGAGCGGGACTGCCGATGTGAGGACGAGTTTTGCCTGTAATATGCCGTGTAAGTTCCAAGACATAAAAAAGAAAAGAATAATGCAGTGCAGACCGAACGAACCTTGCTTTCATAAACAGCGTCAATAAACGTGATGAATCGTCGCGCGAGATCACGCTCTCGAAGAGTCATCCCAGGGACATCAGTCACAATAAACGCATCATAATGCCGGACCAGCTCAAGATAGTCTGCTGCACCGGTGGCGCGGCCCAGAAGCTGCTGGAACGAGAACCTAGCTGCGCGTCCACTCGCAATCGGAACCTGGATCTCGCGACCCCACACTTCCTGGGTTGCTGGGTGCGGCGGATCATTTTTGAGATCGCCCAGGTATTCAAACCATTTATCGGCATGGTGCGTAGCTGCCTGGTCTAGTGGATGATGGTATACGCCAGAGGGTGGGCGCGGGACTTTGCGGTAATCGGTCTCTGAGTCTAGGTTGAGTACTTGTAGCTCCGTTTTGAGCAGGTTTATGCACGGAATGAAATGCTCTCTTTGAATGCCGTTCTTGTACAGATCGTCCGGATGTCGGTTCGAGGTCGTGACCATGACCACGCCGTGCGACATTAGAAGCTCCAGTAGCCTGCGCAGAATCATAGCATCGGCAACGTCCGTACATTGAAACTCATCAAAGCACAGAACGCTAGCAGTCTCTGCAATATCCGCTGCAACCATGGGCAGGGCATCAAACTGGGCTCCGCGACCTTTCTTGACGGTATGGAGCTGCTTGTGAACGCCCTGCATGAAATTATGAAAATGTATTCGCTGCTTCCTTTTGATATTCGACGGCATCGTATCGTAAAACAAGTCCATTAGCATAGTCTTCCCACACCCAACATCTCCATACATATACAGTCCGCTTGGCAGATTCTCCGGCCGGGGACGCTGGTCATGCGAACGGGCGGCAACACCTCGTCCGAGAAGGGAGCTCCAAAAGGACGGTTTCGCATTTTCATCCAGACTATCTGGAGAAGGGTGGATGATTGCCGGGGGAGTGTACGATTTCAGCATTTCGTGGAGGCATTGGAGGTGGGAGACGATACCTGAGGAAAGTAAGCATGGATTAGAAACAGAGAGAGAAAAAAAAAGGGGGGGGGGCGGGCACAGAGAAAATCCATAACATACTCCTCTGATGCGCATCATCTCGCAAAAGATCTGCCGTGACCCTTCTATCGTACTCCTCTATTGGCCCTCCCCCATTTCCAGCACCTCGCTGTGGCGATGAGGCAGTCGCAAAGGCTCGTACCGTCGTCGGTACCGACTTTCGCAGCGACGAGGAAGATGCATTATCCCACAGCTTCCGGCGTGATAAAGAAGACGACGCGTTCCGCCGGTCTAGCTCACGGAAATGGGATCGATGAGTGAAATATGTTCTCAGGCCCGGCCGATAATACGCCGACGGGATTCTTCTTTGTACACATCTTGTACAAACTCCAAATGAATTCCTGTTCATTTTTCCCTCTTTGTCTCTATCATATACACATAATTCGATAGTACCAGACGTACAAAGTTGTCTTTTTCCTTGACGGTCAAAGAGAAAGTGCGCGGTCGAAAAAAAAAAGCTCCGGTTATTCACTGTCTAATGTCGAGGTGGCGGGTGAGAAAGTAAGTTCGCGAAATGAGTCAGAGGAAGGACGTAAAACAAAAAATGAAAATCTGTGCTCAAAGCGAGTGCGATTTTGAGAGGAAAAAAAATGACTATGTACAAGTTCGTGCTACCTCCACAGAGAGAGAGAGAGCGAGAGGGGAAGGAAAAGAAGATGTTGGATCGGGTATTCCAGGTGCGGAGCCCTTCCTGGCTCCTGCCGTCCACGGATCGGTCACCCGTGATCCATCCTTCCACCTACCTGCAAAATATGCAACTTATATACATGGCAAGACTGATAAATCTCATGCTTTTCAATTCCATTCCCATAGTTAACATACCGAACACATCTTCACAGAAAGAAGACTTGACTTTGCATCGGTTAAAAGAAAGCGCTATTCTAAAATATTCGATAGATCCATCCACTCACATCATCGGTTACATAGAAGACAAAAAAAAAAAAAAAGTCAACGCAAATAACAGGCAGACTCACAAAGGAAACCAGACGATACAGCTGTACAATGGTATCATAACCATATAAAGGAAAAGATTTTGGAGTTCGGAAGTAGAGGTTACAATGCCGTGGTAGCTGAGAACTCGAGAGTGGAAAACAAAGAGCAAAGTTCGGGGTGATGCCGGGGTATGAAGTCAGAAAAGAGGAAAGCATGGCATCATATGGAAGATCAAATGAGATGAGATATGGGGGGGGGAAAAACATAACGTGTCATAGTTTCATCGGTAAGAGAAGATCGGGGAGCAAGAAAGAAATTCACAACGCCGAGACACCTAGGACAATATGCAAAAACACACGAAATAGTGACTAGGCAAAGGAACCTATGGCACTGTAACGCGGAGCGTCAGCTTCGAATTTCGCTGAAGAGCCGAGTCCAAATCATGATCACTTAGCAAATTGACAAAGTCGTTGGTCGATTCATCCCGGTACTGAATCACCATTTCACTGTTGACCTTCAGTCGGTCACGGAGTTTGTCTTGCAACTGTTGGAAGTTGACATCACCGGGAACACGGATAGCGATAATATCATCTTGGAAGAAAACTTTAACTTTCATCGCATGCGTGCTGGAAGTGTTGGATGCCTGCGTCAATGAGCTAGCCTGTCGGTTCATAGGAGGGATCTGCAGCTCTGTTCGTGACTGTGAAGCGAAGCTATTCTGCTGAGACAGAGACGGCTGTTGGCGTTGATGGGATGTGCGGGTAGAAGGCACCCCGTTAGGAGTCGCATATACCGTGGCAGACGCACTGATATGCGCCTGAGAAGATTGCCGAGAGTCGGTAGCGGAGCCATCTTGGCCGGACGATTGCTGAGATTCGCCAGAGAACCGATACGTGTCGCCGATCGCGTTGGGATCAATCTCGAAATCGCCGGGGCGAGGCGCAAACAGTTTGCACACCAGAGAGCAACGCGCGATATGTGGCGGCATTGTTAAGAGCTTTTTGATGTAGTCATCCAAGTTCTGCCGTCGCCCATTGGAAATTGCATCCGTGACATGTGTCACTGGGCCTGGCATAAATGGCAACGTCCGAGGTCTTCCGTTATGGCCTGCTTCCTCCTCGAATTGCGTTAATAGCGCTATCTGAAAATCGTAGAAATCGTGGTAATAACGCGATAATTCCCAGTGGGTTCCATCCTCCATCTTTGCCTCAATGATATACCAGTACTTATCGTGATCAAAGCAATATCGCGGGATAGAAGCGGAGACTGGCGCCAGAAGCCGATTGCTAGGAGGAGCAGCTTGCTGCACCGTTTTGACCGGGTGTTGCGTAATTTGTTGCGCGTATGCCGTTTGAGGATATGCTCCGGCTCTGCTTTCAGATCTTGAGTGATAACCCTGCGCGAGTGTTCCTACTTTTAGCTCACTTCCCTGCCAACGATGCTGTAAAAGGGCTTACCTGTCCATTCCCATTCAGGGACAACTTCTCCATATCGTTTGAGACTGACTGTACGCCTGCTGAAGGGTGCGTATCCAGTTTCCCCAGGGTAATACTGCTATTCTTATACTCGGCCGTCATCTTCTTCCATTCCTCGACGCGCGGCACGCCTGCTCTTCTCACAGCCTCGTGCGAGTCCGGTACGGCCTGACCCGTCGCCATGTCTCTGATCTCGATGAAGGAAACCGGGATAAGACCGGGCCCGCCCAGGCGACCGATAGGCTTTGCGACAAACCATTCCGGGTTTGATTGCGCAATGACGATGATAGCCTCGCCGGTCTTGGCCTCCAGCTCATCGGGGCGTTCGGCCTTGAAGTCATATTGCACGACCCCATACACCATCGCGCCATTGCCTTTGCTGCTCGTAGACATCCTGAAGGCGGCCTGTTTGGTGGTGGTGTTGGTGGACGACTCTTGGCGCTCGTGATGGACGACGCGGTCCGAATATCCGGAATCGTGAAGCTCTTGCTTGAGCGAGTCCTTGGAGCCACCGCTTTGGCGATCCTTTTCGTTTTTGTGCACAACCTCAAAGAACGACACGGGGACCAGGCCGCGAGCGCTGGGGACGAGCGGATTGCAGGCCTCGTACCAATCGGGATCGTCTTCGCGGCTTATGACATGAAAAAAGTCGCCTTTATTAAAGGCCAATTCCTGGGTGTTGCCGGGCGCGGGCTCGTGGTCGTAGAGCGCTTTAATGACCTAGTGGTTAAGGATTAGAAAGGGATGGCAGACAGGAGAAAGTCGTGTGGCGCGGAAGGGAGGTAGAATTATATAGTAGCACCAAGGTGCTAGGCAAAAAACGAGGCGGGGCGCGCGCACGCCAATCTTACCTTTTTGGGCGGCAGAATAGCGAGGGCGGACTTGGGCGTGATGGAGACGTGGTGCGACTTGGACTCTTTGTCTCCTTTCAGAGACCGTCGGATGGCCTAAATTTGGAAAACGAGCAGAGTTAAAACGGGGCTGGCAGGATGTATGTGTTGAGTGCGTAGGTGTATGTGTAGTGGTGGCAGAGAAAAGGCGAGCGGGGTCGCAGAAACGGTAGAAGATGACCGGGCAGACAGACAGACAGACAGAGAGAGAGAGAGGGAGGGAGGGAGGGAGAAAGGGAGAGTTGGGAGTGAGGAAGACGAAGAGGAAGAGGAAGAACTATCGCGAAAGCAGCGAGCGACACAGGCAAAAAGGGAAGGAGCGTGCAAAGAGGGAAACGCTGGCGAGGAAGGAGGGACCGGCGTACCTTCATGCTTCTGAGGCGGGCGGACTATGTGCTGCGTATGTCTATGTACAGGCAAGGGACCCGGCAGGATGGAGAGGCTGATAGAAAGAAGAAGACGAGGAGGAGGAGGAGGAGGAGGAAGAGGAAGATGCTGCAGAGGGAAGACGGGCGACAATGAGGCCTGTTGCGATCACTCTGACTGGATGGGCTGTGGCGGTAGCACCTTTTGCAGTCCCAAGGAACCGCCTGCTAGTGCCAGCGTTAGTGGTACGCAGGTCAACAACTTAGTTCGATCGCTATCGTAGGATTCTGGACTCTGGTGCGAAAAGGGCCGACAGCAAATAAAATAGATTCAGATTGATCAAATGCTCGTCGTATCCACCAGGCTCGTGCAGGCCAGTGTTTCAGCGGGTCTGCTGCTTATCCAAACGCCTGTGTGTACTCATAATGCATAACTTTGTTATAACTTCCATCAATGCATATCTAAGATACAGTTACAGATAGACGCGTATATATCTATATCTATATGTAGGCGTATAAGTTAGATGTCTCGTGTCCACGCACAGCGCAACCGCATCATGTGACTGACGGCGTTGTATACTGCAAAAGTTGAAACGCGGGATGCCAGTCTAGAATGGCGTTAGTTAATGAACTGGAAACAAACTCCATGCCTGCTACAGCCCTAGGCCGTTACATCTGCCGGGGCGCAAACGCTAAATGCCGGCTTGGGCCCAATAGGATCATCGATCCTTTCGGGGCTTGGTTGGGCAGCATTTTCTTCTTCCTTCTGCTCCGTTCGGCGTATAAGCAGCACCGAGACAGTCGATCACCAAACCTATTTCTTCATGCAAGGTACGCACTATTTGCTCGTGCCAGCCAACCAGGCTACTTAAGGAGTGCTTGGCAACTTGAGGTGGAGGAACTATAGGATTCGGTGGAAAAAAGAAGTCAACGAGGCGTGAGCTGAGTTTGATGGGGGGGGGGGGGGGTTTCCCTTCTTCTTTTTTTTTTCTCCCTTCGTCATCATACATGATTAGTATGTTTGAGCCTTGTTTGCCTGCTCGAATGCAACGGACGGTAAATGATAGGTCAGACGCCTGCAGCTCAGTCACAATCGCCCCGAACATGACGGGCCTATCATCCAAGGCTTGTACAAGGATTTCAAAATCGCTGAAAATGCATGGAAATTAGCCCAATCCGGCCGCTTTTGCGTCCAATTCTGATTCATAGACAGTAAGTAGTACGAGGTGGTGATGTAATATGTGTTATTTCAACGTTGATTGAGAGCTTTGGGGATTTCATTCTTCGCATATCTAATCCCAGGCTAACTAGTCGAGTGAGAAGACTGACGCGGATGTAAATAACTGGAAAAAAAAAAAAAAGATAGCCTATCCCTGCACCTGCCCACGCCAGCCATGCCTGTCTGCCATAAAATGCTGAAAAGATAGAATCTACGTACGCTTCGGAGAGATTAAAGACGCCAAACGGAACGGGCGGTGGAATGGAAATGCGTAAAAAAGGGTATCGAGGTTTAAAAAGGGGAAAGAAGGCAAGACGGATTTTAATGAGTCGACCGATAAGATCTGCTAGGATATTGGGCACAAAACCTCAAATCTGTCCCTTGATGTCGACAACTCTGTGCGCTTGGGCTTTGGCGTCTTCAAACAGTCGGCCGGCTTTGCCTGTCAAGAGTCTGACATGCCCGTCTCTTTCCTCAAGCAGCTCTCCAGAAGCATACTCGAGGATGAACCGTGCACTTTGCTCGTCCGATTCAAAGCCTAGTTCTTCCGTGATAAATCGAATTTTTACATCGGGTTTGTATCTAGATTACGTTAGCAACAGAAATTTCAACAAGCAAGATAAATAGAAGAGACAAGGGGGAGAGCCCACGTTTTACAAATGCAGGCCAGCGCAGATAGCCGTTCTCGGTCGACAAACATGTCCATCAGGTACGCACCCATATTGGGAGTGTCAAGATAAAGTTGAAAGAAACGATGGTAGTTACCAAGGGCCAAAGCGGACCTCACATCCAACGCGTGCTTTACAGCCAAGTCCGATTTATCTGCTGGGGTTAGATCTGCCAGGGCGTCGTTCATGGCCGTCTGGTTCCGTGTGTAGATAAAATAGAGTATACGGTACGCCATGAATTCCATAGGGTGCCCACCCAACTTTTGCGCATACAAAGCCCGCAACTGGGTCTGACACTGATTATACTCACCAAGGTCTCCCTTTTCCAGCGCAATTCGCGCATGGATCTCATAAACATTTACCGTAAATTCATTCCGAATATGTTGCACCGTCAAGTCTTGGCGAAGCGATTTGAATTGGTCGCATATGTATCCGTAGTTGTTCTCTTTCCGCCATTTCTTCTTCAAAAAGTCCAAAGTCTTCTCCAAAATAGGCAATGGTCGGACAACGTCAGGGTTAGGCGCCGAGGTCAGCCGGAAATATCTCTTTTCTAATTCCTGGCATCTTCCCACAATGGGCCCTTGGATCGCGCTGGGCAGTGGGGACTCGGAGCGAGACGAATCTCTATAGTCCTGAGGGTCCCCAAAACGCCTTTTCCGGAGTTCCAGGCTCGCTTTGGACTTACTTGAGGATTTGAGGTTGTAATCTACGCGTTGCCGCTTGTCAGTTGGGGTATAAGAGCCTTGATCTTCCGGCTGATTTCGGGAATTAGCTTTCCTCCACGGCGGAGAGTCGTCCGCACGTTCCTGCTGAAATTCGTTGGATTTTCTTTTCTTAGTTTGCTGCTCTGCCTGTGCTAGGCTAGACTTCATTGCTGCGACATTGGCGCCGGCATCCCATGGAGACGAGCTCAATGAGTTTGTCAGCACATAGTTGCGCTCATTCTGTATCATAACCTGCGGCAAAGGCAGGGAATCCCAATTAATAGTATCGAGAGTATCGTTTCTGGCTGCTTCCGTGATAACTTTCTTTAACATTTTCTCAAGTTCTGGTTTGGAAACACTGGCAATTTGGTTTTCTTGATCGAAACTGCGCTGGACGTACTTCCGCACAGGTTGAGGCCATTCGATGCGTTTCCGCTCTTGCTCCGGAGTTTCTGATCGGGTGGCGGTCATGTTTTGACTCTGTGAAGATGATGTAGCGTTGTGATCGACGTGAGCAGTAAGACTGCGTCTAGCTTGTACAGGAATATAAGCTATTTCGCTATGTTAGTCATAAAAGAGCACTGCCTAAATGATGATCATCTCAGGTGAAGATAACTTACCTGTTGGCGTGTAGCTTGTCGTTGTGGTGGTTGCTGAGGCTGATATCCGCCATGGCGGGACCGTCGAACTCATCTTGCTTTAGCAGGTCTAGAGAAATGGTATGAACAAAAAAAGGAAATCTGAAAGCAAAAAATTGATCTGGGTTCTACGTATGTTAACCGAGCCAGGCGCACTCGGAAGATGATGTTTGGTTGTCGGACACTTCACAAACAAGTGGGAAGTCTCTGAAAAAATATAAAATATGTGTGTGGGGGGGTTGAGAAGGACAAGAGACGTGTTGGCGAGATGGGGTGTGCAGAGTGAGGACTATCGAAGATGAGAAATGTCGTCAAAGTCAGCCGGTCGGGTTCGCTTAGCTTCAAGTCACGGGTCACGGGAAGTGAGGCACCCAGGCATCAACACTCTTGGCATTACGCCACCTTCTGAGCTATCCGATAGTGGTAACTCGTCGTCCTACCAAGTTGGAGACGTATAAAGGTGACTGTGGAGCAATCACGCTGCCCAGTATGGTGCTGATTTCGAAATCTTTCTTCACACGCAGGCTCGATGTTTTTCAAGCCCTTGGATTTGACGACAGCCCTCCGCCCATCTTTGCTTTCGGATGAGTCCCTGCTCTTTGTCCAGGATGCGGTGGGCTTGTACGAGGGGTAGGCAATCCACCCTCGCTCTGTGCGGATTGAAGTCAATGCTGAGATAATAACCTTTAGGAAATTCAAGATTCCAAACTTTCAGGACGGGCACGCGTATCTTACCTCTCACCGGGTCTGTTACGTTGCGACCGAGAATCCTCGACAACATTCCGTCGCCATTGAATTGAAAGATGTCGACCGGGTTGACTACCAGGTAAGGCACATTCACTGCATAATTGCCGTTTCCAGAGTCTTACAAGGTACCAGGGAGTCTTCCTGAAGTCTTCGCCGAAAATAACTATATACTCGAAGAAGCCAAAGCGGAGTCTGGGCCAAGATAACAATACTTCATCCGCTGCATCTGGCCAGTTGTCGCATAGTAATAGGGGCACACCCACCCCGCGAAGTATACCGCCGACCTCACACTCCCTTAATGCAACGTGGGTTTGTCCCATCTGTTCATTTTCCAATCCAGTGCCTTCTAATTTCGACGCCGCAACCGGGACACCCCTCCCACCTTGCCTGGCATGTGGTATCAAACCACCACTTACCGTTATCTTGAAGGCAACTATCGCAGCTGCCACCGACAGAATCTCGAGTGGTTTGAATTCGGTCGCGCCGACAGATGCACCTGCGCGAGAACCGATTCAGAGTCCAGCTATAGGATCAGAATCCGCATCCTCCGGGGTTCAAGGCAGCACTTTGTCTTGCCCTAGATGCACATTCAATAACCATCCGTCCTTGTTGGAGTGTGAGATTTGCGGGGCTTCTCTAGTGACACTGAGTTCTAAGGACAAACTTGCCGCAGGTCCACACCGTGAGGAGTCTCCAGCACCGATTTTCAACCAGTCGAGCATTACGAATACAGAAATTAAGGATTATATAAAACTTTCATTTCGAGGGGGCGGCGAGAAGATCTTCTACGAGAGATTGAAGGGCTGCTTGGTGCAAAGGAAGTGGCTGCTCCAGAACGCCCCTCCAATACCCCAATTATCTAGCTCTGCACATCGCGAAACCAGCTCATCACCTATTCCCGGTCGGTCTAATGATTCTACGCCCAAGCCGTCGGCTGTAGGGATTGCCGGTTTGGAGATGCGAGGTTTTGAGGCTCGCAAAAATAATGAATTGGTGATTGGCAATGCCTTTGAGGATTTGGAAGCACTGATGGCTTCCGCAAAACAAATAGTCTCTTTGGCGGAAACTCTGGCCTCGGAGTCGGGCATAAATGCAGCTGGAGGATCTACCGAAGCAAGCACTGTTCTTTCGCAGTCTGCGGCAGCTCTAGGTATGGTAACGACAAGGGACATGCTTGGCTCCGGTGCAGAAAGTTTGTATATATCTGAGCTCTCGCGGAATTTGGCCGAGTACTTGACAGATGACCGCAAAGGGGTCCTACGCAAGGAAGGCGGGATTATCAGTCTCGTTGATCTCTGGGCTTTATTTAACCGGACTCGCAACGGGGTAGAACTTGTAAGCCCTTCTGATTTTGAGCAAGCAGCACGCTTGTGGGATAAGCTCAAGCTTCCGGTACGTCTGCGCCGCTTCAAAAGCGGACTTCTTGTCGTCCAGTCAAATGATTGGAGTGATGAGAAGGTCATCCATCAACTAGACAAGTGGCTACAAGATATTCGCGATCAAGCTCTACCCGAAGGCATATCGTGGAACTGGAATAAGTACGGTCGTGGAATAACAGTGCAGGAAACGGCACAGCACTTTGGCTGGAGCGTCGGCGTCGCTGCGGAAGAACTTGAAATGGCAGAAGACAAGGGGACCTTGTGCCGGGAAGAGGGGATTGAGGGAGTGCGGTTCTGGAAGAATTTCTTCCTTGCTGACGAGTTGGGGGATACTGGACTGGAGCGAAGAATCTCATCTCTAGCCGTATGATAGGTAGAAATAGACGTGTTCAATCCGATATGAATATCAATAGCCATCTCGCGCTTATCGGAATGCTTATCAGCTATGATGCATATCGGCAGCCCCACCCCCGACATATCCGACCAGGCAGCCCCGTGACTTACAAGCGCGCAGATAACTCCTGCATACTCCATCGAATTTGACTTCAAACAGCTCTTTCTCTCATCTTGAAAAGACACTGTCTTTGACGGTCCTTATTTCTTTCATTTCTATATCGAGGGTTACTTGCTATATCGTTGCGATTCGATGCAGCTCGCGCTTATCAATGCCCTTATCTGACTCACATCGGTGTCAACGGCTGTCTTTCATCGAATGAATCATTTAGTCCTGTGATAGCCTTTTTCTGGACCGATACTTACATCTTCAGATTATTCTACCGTGCCCTGATCGACTTCTTCTTTCGCGCAATGAGCACACGTGCTTTAACGTCCTCCTCTATCCCCAGCGCGAGCCTTGCGCGGAGCAAGCATTCTATTAGTATTATCGCTTGTGCAATTTTATCTAGGCATGCCAGTGCTTTGGGGGATTCCGTATACCCCACGCAAGTGCGAATGTTTTGGGGTCGAGGCTGGAAGTCTTCCTGTCACGGGCGGATGAATCGGAGGGAGACTCTGGAAACTATGGCGAGGGACTACCGCGAGCAGTACAAACTCCTCAACCGCATGGCGAGACGAAAATCAGGCTATCGTCAGCTTTGGCGGAATTGGGATGATTACTCCTCGAAGGGGTCTCATCGCTGGATGCGCTCTGACCGAAGGAACGACTGGGAGTCGGAGAAACGAAGAGATCACTGGCACAGCGATATGGATGAACTCGTCAAGAAAATTGAAGCCGATCCGTATACCTTTCTGTTTGGGAAGAGCAATGAGTACCTGCAGCTTCCGAGGAGCTGGTCCTCCTTCTGCCGCTCATTCCTCAACCCAGAAGTATCTCCAGAGCACACACGCAACACTTCTCCAGCAAAAGAGCATCATGAAAGAAGTAGCGCTTTTGCTGCGTCTGCAAAGACGCCATCTGAGAAGGTAGAGAATGAGAAAAATATAAAGATGTCGTATGCGACATCTAGCCATAAGGAACATTTTCAATTTGATCCAATCAGCGGTCGAATGAGGCCGACAGAGCAACCGAATACGCAAGGAAAACAGGTCGAGAAAGGCGAAGACAATGGAAAATATAGCCCTACTAGTTTATATACGGGCTCTGATGGAGCAAACTCTTATATAGCAACGCCCATCCAAGATGGTGAATCGCAAGTTGGTAAGAATAATGTGCTATATATGGCAGGACCCTCAGAACCTGTGTCTGTTACACCGGAATATCAAACCAATTCTACCACTGATACTGCAGAGCAAGGAATTACACAAAAGACAAACGTCAATGAGAAAGGTAAGCAGAAGCAGAGACTAAGCTATGACATGGGCGAAGTAAAAGAAGACGACGTCGATTTGCTACGTGCTAGTGATATCCGAGCATCTTTCTTTACTGGCCCGACCAAACAGGAGATGGCGGAGAAAAAAAAGTTGGCCAGGGAAGCTCTGGAACGGGATTATGCATCTTCTAGTGATTCTCGAACCGATATCAATAATGAGATCCTCCGGGACTTGAAATTGAAGAAAGACGCCGGTTTCACTACACCGAATAAATATGCTATAATGAAGGACACGGCCAATTATTCTATCAGGCAGGTCCTCGAAGATGCGAGACAGTTCGTCGATGACATTAAATCACTGGCGCATGATATGCTAAAGACATGCGAACGTCTAGAGGCATTTGCTTTTCCTGCAGACACATTTCGTGTGTTAGCTTATGATCCTGCAAGCTCTGAGATTGTGTTTGCTGAAACGACCTCGTCCATGCATGCAAGCGAACGGATACGCCATCCAGCAGAGGTGTTGTTACACTTGAACAATCCTGCAAAGTTTCTCCCACACTTGGTGAAGATGAAGGCGGAAGGCTACGAAGTGGTTTCAGGCGGTGGTGATATCCTTATATTTCGAAAGACAGTGGATGAATTACGAGAAGGTATGGCCGAGATTGGGGAGGTCAAATCCGATGTATTGCCTTCTATGAACGAGAAGGAAATTCCCTGCATCGACGCCACTGTGTCTGATTTGTCCCGGTCTGCACCCCAGCAAAGATCACCAAATTCAAGAATAGTACATAGACAGGAGACGGTATACACAGGAGGTCCACCCAACTGGTCGCCATATCCACCGACTTCTTCATCCACTGTGACAGATGGTGAAGCAGTGAGCACGAGCGTGGGAGACAAACGGCAGGAGCAGGCCGAGCTGTCTAAACGATCATCTAGAATAGGCAAAGGCATTCGACGGGTCATATTGAGTGGGCTTGCGACCGCCGGGACATTTTACGCAATTGGGGTGGTCTGTGAATATTTTATTACAGGTGGGCAAGACGGATTGGGACCGGAAGGATTCACTGAATTTGAGGCTGAGAGGCGGCGTGAGTAGCCGAGTTGCCATTCGGCTCTTTCGGATCGTGGTTATATTATGTATGATAGTTACGTTTGAGTCTCCATTATTACGAACTCTACTCAATAGCAATCTCTATTCTCTACTGACAGGATCCCGGACCCGTGAGTTTGTCTATCTGTTGGCACCTAGGATATATATATCCATACGCTGTGGCTAGTGAACATACGATGTAACCAATTATTCAAGTATATTCACTCAAGACTGAATCAAGCAAATTGCCTACAGACTCACTCCGATACAGAAGTTCATGAAGCTCATGATAACTATTTTTGGAAAGTGGATACACCTACTATTGAATTGACACTCCATAACGAGTGCCGAATGCACATGATTGGACTGTGCAGACCCCGTCTATGTCTTGGCGGAAATAGGAACAGGCTTAGCGCGATATTTCTTTCTCAAGCTAAGACAAAAATCAATGTATGTATGTATGTAGCCGTACGAAGTCGGATATAAACCCTAAAAGACATCCAATTCTAATTGCGACTGTAGGATTTATACGAATCATGTCATGAAAGATGGAATAGGGGATACCAACGGAGAACGGAACGGAGGTAGTAAGACCAGGTGCTACATTCTCTTCTGTCGGATAGTTTTGCTGACGTCCCAATTTTTTAGCAGTGCCACCTACGTATTCAGTTTCTACAAGATCGTTCCGGAAGATATGTAGACTTTGTTGTTTCAGAATGAGACAGATGCCTCAGGTGTCTTTTCTTTTCTTGTCTTTTCTTTTCTTTTCTTAATTGGCTGGTATGTTTGTATGTACGACTACTGACAGATTGTAGACTGCATAGAGGATAGCGTGAGGGACGAGCTGTATTGATGAGAATGGTATCATATTGTATAATTACCTTCTCCGTACCAGATAAATAAGCTCCGAATTTTTCGTTCCTGTCTCAAACACCTTCGACGAGGTTGAGAATGTAGATAATCGGTCAATCAGTTACACGTGCAGGGCAGTGCATCGCAGACTTGTTTCAAGTTTCACATGACCTGACCGGGCAGGCTGGTGAGAACTGTGTGCTCGTGCTTTGCCGATCCATGTGATACATAGAATAAATCTGTATGCAAAAGAGCAGAGTCGATTGAGCCTCGACTAATGACCCTTGCAGATCCGGATGACCCTCTCACATTGCTTGGCTTTGCTCTGGCAGCCTCTTTGTCAGCAGGTAATTCCGGAGTGCATGCATACATGCTTCGTATTTCGCGTACAAAGGGAAATAAGCTGGTCGGCCGCCGGATGCGGATGCATGGCATGCTGTTTTATGACTCGCGTGGTGGAGCGCGAGTCATACCGAGTCAAGTCGTGATTTCGTATCCGTTTGAACTTTGAAGAATTGAGATATTTTGGCGAACTCTTGTTTGAGCCCTCAGTCAGCCTCTATATGAACTAGAGTATAGCAGACGCAGTAGCCAGCTGAGGGGCCAAGCCTGCCGTTGGGTAGGTTTAATGTACTACTCCGTATAGGTATAGCCTTCGCCTAGAGGTTAGCCCCTTGGACAAGACCGACGCCGGCCCAAACTAGATTGGAATTTGGGGATGATCTCTTCTTGATGTAGAATTATTGAACATTGACTATTTGGCTCTAACCGTGCGCACCTGGGTAGCGAGACTGAGATGTCAAGGTTGCGATCATTTGAAAAACAAGCAAACAAACAGTGGTCAAGGGCGAGCCAGACGATGTGATATATATGAAACGTAGGTCTGCAAAGTGTAAACTATACCAGTAGCGCTAGAGAAAACGTGGAAAGAACGGCACTGCAACAGAAGTTGTAGAAGATGAAGTTGCCCATGGCGCGATGTCACCAGCAGCGTCGTACGCAAAAGACACGCACTTTTGGCGAGCTTAATTCCACGGCCAGGAACGAACCAGAAGAGGCCGCTGGGTGGAGTACAGCCCCCCTGCCCGCCTTACCGCATGTGGCTTGACGTGGCGGCTAGTGTTACAGGCGCGATGCCGGATTGGGCATTGGCGGTCATTTATTAATTTATTTTCTCCAGAGGCTCGCCTTAGACTTGTTCGTTACGCGAAATTTGTACAGCAAATTTCCCGCCGACCCACTGCGCGCCGACGATCTCATGGGCTAGATAATTTCCAAATAGGATATCACGTCGTTTTGTATACGGAGTAGGCTTGGGGATTGGAGATGTTGAATATGTTGGCGATCATGGATAATGTACATAGCATACGTTCAATACATGATTACGCGGGACATGGCGCGGCAGCACTCACTGGTAGTGACTACTGACTAGTGACTCCGTCGGTATTAATTACAAGAATGACACGGCTGTATTGTGGTTCCAAGCCGCTGTGGGCCAGCCCGCTCGGAACCCAACGTGTTATTATTATGACTGCGGTGCGTGTCACTAAGGCCTAGCCTTCTTTCCCCCTTCGCTGCTGACCCGCCCGTCTCGTTTCGCCCGCCCGTTCCTTCCTCCTGCCCTGCCTTGCGCTCAAACGCCCGTTCGCTCCCCCTAGCCAAATCTCTTCTTCTTCCTTTCCTTTCCTTTCCTTCCCTTCCCTTCCCATCTCTCTGTTTCCGTTTCCATTCCATTTTCCATGCATTGTTGCCGTTGACGGTGCTGCCGTTGTTTTTCTGTGGTGCTTCGCTCGCCCTGCGTCGACGCCTCGGAGGGGACGAATCCTGGACAACTCAGCTTCGCCTTCGCATGTCTATCCTTAACTGATCAACTGCGCTTCTGATTTTCACGCCTGCCCGCTCCACGCTCTTTTAACAACGTATTCGCTCGTTTGAAAAACCGCCGGGGAAATTCTCTACCTCAGAGTCTATCCCCTTCCACTCGTTTTCTGTCATTGTGCAACCCAACCTCTTTCGTCTAACTCCTTGCATATCGCGATTTAAAAAAAACCCCCCATCGTTGTTGGTTTGTCTATCGTCTCCGCTCGCGTCTTGTTTTTGTATGTGTATGCGAGGAATAGTGTGTGTTGATAGTTGATTTTTGGGGAAACTTGCAGTCGTTTTCGTGAAATTGTCATTCCCTACGTTTACACGGTTACGAATAACGACACCATTGAATCGGAATTCCCTGTCCTTCGTGTGAAATAACTGTCAACAACGCCTGTCAAGATGCGCTCAATCGCCCTCATGGCGCTTGCTGCGCTATCGTGTGCTACCGAGTCTGTCGCGACGGAAGCTCTACGACCTAGATACTATTTCCCACGTGAGGTCAACAGACGCCTCAACTCGACTTCCAGTGAGGAACCCATTCCAGTTCTGATTCCTGCGTCTACTTCCACCAGCACGGGAACCTCCGACGTCGTTGTTGTTCCTGTCTACGTTTACGTTGCTCCTGATGGTACCACCAAAACAGTCACCGGATCGGCTCAGCCAAGCACTCCTCTCGCTATTACTACCTCTGCTGCAAGCCCAACCTCTGTCGCCGCTAATGATGTGACTTCGACCGCTTCTTCCTCGGTAGCTAGTACCACTTCTCAGTCTTCCACTTCGTCAGGTGGCCTGTTGGCTAGCCTGGGAAGCGATGTGTCTGATTTGGTAAGCTCCAGCACCAGCACTAGCACCAGCTCCAGTTCTACCTCCAGCACCAGTTCTACCTCCAGCTCCAGTTCTACCTCCAGCTCCAGCTCCAGCGCGACCTCAAGCAGCTCGGCGGTTACTACTGGCAGCTCCACTGTGACCAGCAGTTCTAGTTTTACCTCTGGATCTGCGGTTTCTAGTTCCAGCTCGACCTCCAGCTCGACCTCTGATCCCAATTTGCTATCAAGCCTTCTGGGATCAAGTGGAATTCTTGGATTGTCCTCGAGCTCGTCTAAAGCGGCAGTCATCTCGTCTAGCACTCTGACTGGAGTTACAGTTGGCTTGTCCAGTGTCTACTCAGCTTCCGCTGTCTCAACCGCTACTGGTAGTTCATCTGCGGCTTCATCTACAGCTTTATCTGCGGCTTCAGCTTCAGGCACTAGCAGTGCTGGGCTTATTCCATCACTCTCACTGTTGAGTTCAATCCTTCCCATTCCTACCGCTTCGAGCTCGTCGAGCTCGATCTCAGGAAGCAGCAGTGCCTCGTCAACGAAGTCCAGCTCTAGCAGCGGATCTATCTCTGTGTCAATTCCCATCTCAATCCCAACTTCGTCGTCATCAACTGCTGCTATTCCAACTCTTAGCAGCCATTCTGCGATCCCTACCACCTCAGGCAGCACTTCGAAGCCCGCTATTCCAAGCTTGAGCACCTCTTCCTCCAGTACCGCTCTTATCTCTTCGTCGTCGTCCTTGGCATCGACGATACCATCCTCCACATCTCTTCCGGTTTCATCTTCCACTGCGGTACCATCTCGCACTCAAGTGACCAGCTCTTCTGTGACGAGCACCAGCGCCAGTGCCAGCGCAAGTACCAACGTCGGCGCCAGCACCAGCCTTAGCTCGGGATCGTCTTATTCAACCACCGCAGCATCCACGGAAACGACACAGTACATCCCACCACCAGTCCAGACTCCCACTGAGACAACTACTGGATCGACTACCCAGGCATCTAGTGTACCTACCGAACTTCCTCAGGCCATCTCTCCTCCTGGTGGTACTCCATCAGTTCCTGAGAACTCCACATTGGTTCAGTTTGGTTTCAACAAGTATCTTTCTTGGGAGACTGTCGCCACATCGGAGAACTGGTCTGATCAAATCTACTACTACACTCCTATTGGTGTTGCTTATGCTCTCGCCGATAGCGAAAGCGACGTTGTCAATTATTGGCTTGGTTCGTACGATACAATGAAGAGCCTTGGCTACGATACGACCATCATCAAATTCTATATTCCTAGTGACCAGGTCGACACACTGAATGCGCAGCGATTGCTTCCGTCATCTGATCTCTATAAACAGCCAAACACGCCAAATGATGCACCCACCTATGACCAGGAATCAGCCATCAATCTGTTCTCTATGCTAAACACAGATATTCCTCTTGTCGCTCAACAACCTGTTGGCACCAGCACCAGCGGCACCGGTGGCTCTTCTGGGGACGACGACTCAGGCTCTGGAGATGATGGTAGTGGATCTGACGGCGGTGATGATGCTGGCGCAGGCAACAGCAACAGCGTCAACACTAGCTCTATCGGCATTGGTGTCGGAGCTGCCGCTGGAGCAGCTGCCTATGCTGGAGTTATGTTCTACGTTGCTCGCCGCTACAGGAAGCGCAAGCAACTTCACCAGCGTACCCCATCTGTCTCTACTGCATCGATGAGTGAAGTTGGCACCGCATCCGTGTTCGCTCCGGCAGCTCGCATTTCGCACAACAGTGGTCGAAGCGGCCGTACTGCACAAATTAGTGCTCCAGTCATGTCAGAGAACTCTTTGGGATGGAATTAAGTTAAATTGGAGCACAAATATATACATATACTAGCTGTGTCTTTGAAAGTCTTATATTGTACTTTTCCCCCCCTCCATACATTCAAATTTTCTTTTTTTTTCTTCTTCGGAATTTCTGAACAATCAATTATTCCCCATTATGTTTCATCTTTTTTGACTTTCTTCGTTCCTCTCTCTCACAATCTCATTTCCTACAACTCTGTTCTCAGGGTGTATTCCTTCCTTGATTTCCTTCACACCTTGAAAACATTCTCTCTGTGTCTCCTTTTACCTCATGTGATTTCTAAGTCTCACGCGTTCGTTGATTGTGAAAATATGTAACTCAGCGCCTGAGACCTTTTTTTGTACAGATGTATATTTTTTGAAACCAATGTTTTTGATCTTAGATGGTTGAACAGAACACTGATGTGTGTATGTAGGTAGGAACTCTGTTTCTACTATTGGAGGTTGTTGTTATAGTCGATTGGCCTGATTGGATTTAATGAATTGTGCTTTTTCTCCTTTAATTTCCATTCTTTTTCAAAGCTAGTAAAAAATCTCGTATGTTGAATCTAACCTAACCTGAAGACAAGAAAGTCCCTTCGCAATCTAGTGCTAAGTACATAGCTAAGGAACATCAACCACAACAACCCTCTCAACAAGCCTATCTGTCCAAAACTGAACCTCCCATTTCCAGCGATCTTTCTCTTGCCATATGTCGATTAGCCAGTAGTGCCATGAGGCGCGGTTGAAGTGGTTGTAGTATGTTGTTGATATGCGGTAGGGATCGTGTTTGTTGTTATTATTATCATTATTGTAATTACTATCTATGGGTATTGTTGGTTCGGGATTTGGTGGTGGTCGTGGTGGCCGTGGAGGAGGAGCAGCTTGTTTCCACGGGAATTGGAAAATGGAAGATCTTGTTGTTGTTGTCATGGTCGTGGTCGGTCGATTGGTAGGATTGCCGTCTCTTTGGCGATAAGGATGATTATTATGCATATCGTTATTGTTAGCGTTGTTATTGTTATTAGCAAGAACAGACTGTCGCAATCTCCATTCTCGCTCTGCCTTTTCCCCGGCTTTGCGCGCAATCGCCTCGTCGTCTTCGGCGAAATAGAGCTCACACTTGTTGCACTCCGTACAGCGAGTACCGGGAATAACGCGAAAATGCTCACAGAAATGCCTGTAGCCACTTTCCCCTGCGTCTGGATCTGCGGCATCGTCTTCGCCAACGCCGCCACGGCGATGGTTCAATGCCTTGCGGCAGATATAGCACATCGAGTACCCGCATATGCAGGTTAGTTTGTTGCAACCGGATGATTTGACGAAGGATAGGTTGCAGCGCGGACAGGTCCGTTTCACGGCTGCGGTGCGCGCGGCTTCGACGGTTGTTCGTAACGATTGTTGCAGGGGCTCTTCGCATGTGTGCGGATCCCGCCAGGGTTTGTGACAGGTCATACAGGTGATTTGTCGACAGGATGGGTTCTTGCATGTAAACCGTTGGCTGCGTGAGCGGAGACAGAGATTCTGTAAGGAATTGTGGAATAGCGTAGTCGCTGTTTGCGGGTAGAGTAGAAGTAATATTAAAAATGGTAGCAAAAGTAAGGGTATCAAATCAAGAAGTAAGATGGTCGTGACAATCGTAGATATGAGCGTTTTATCTCGTCGGAACTTCCAGCGAAGACCTCCGCCACTTGAGGTTGAAGAAGAAGGATGGAAAACTGGGTCGATCTCTGCATAAGAACAAAATGGACAGCGAATGAGCTTGAGATTTGCTTTCAGCATTAAGGCTTCTGAGGCCAAACGATCCTCGAACTTGCGGTAGGTCTCCGAACCGGCCTTCTCAGAGAGAATAGCTCTCTTGACAAGCATCGGGTCTAGATATCCTTCACACACACCGTGGCTCACGGGCGCTACACATTTGAGCGTTGATCGTTCCGATTCTACCGACTTGTCCCATGCTTGCCCAAAGACGGCTTCGTGGAGCGTTCTCTGTATGCAACTGAAACATATCATATGGCTCTCGGACGAACAGGCCGAGACTTGCTCGAATGTAACATCGTCTAAACAACACTCACACTCGTACAGCGCGTTGCTAGCCGTGGCCTCTTGCTCGTTGAGTTCCGTCGCAAGACAATAATCTTGGCATTCTTGCGTTTCTTTTTGCTCACGCAGAAATGGGCCAATCAGAGTCTGATGTATCTCTTGATCCAGTTCATCAGATCCGGTCTGCTGCTTGAGTCGTGGAACGAGTGGTGGCGGGCCATTGTCGCCATCTCTACCACATGCAGACCGTTCCCAGATGACCAAGGGATTGTCGTCTCTGTTGCTGTCCTTTTTGCGCTTGAACGGATTCAAATTAATGAATGTAGCACGCCAACCTTTTCTAGATAGCTCTTTGAGTGTTGGTCGCGCGCGGGTATATGAGTAATTGACCTCAGCCAGAACTCCTTTAATGGTGCTCCGACTAAGCCCGCTGAATTCTTTGCACAAAACAGTTGTCACGGTATTCCTGTATATCTCGCTCCGAAAAAGCTCTTCGGGAGCCACGGCACCTGCACCGTCAACTGGATTTGCGACAACTTCCACACCCACCACTTTCTTATCATCAACCGGTACATTCCAGCGCCCTTGAACCCACTGCTCTTTATGCCTCAGCAACTGCTCGACGCAAACATGCAGTCTACTCTGACCATCAAAACGAGTCAGAAGCTCACGAAACACCTCGATGCGCACATCCGGGAAAAGATCGGCGAGCACGACCAGCGAGCGATTGAGATCCTCGAGATCGCGACGAAGTCGTTCTTCCGTCGAGAGAGAGGCTGCTTGCGCTTCGGCTTCGAGGGCTCGGGCTCGCGATGTGCTGCCAAAGGGGTTGTTGCGGAGGGCTTCGTTGATGGTGGCGGAGATGGGAGTTGAAGTAGTAGCACTATGATTATTATCTGTCGCTAGGCTATCGCCAGACCTTCCTTTTTCTTCTCCTTCTGCTCCGCCACCTCTGATACTCTGCGATCCTTTCTCGTTGATCCGTAGGGGCGAAGTGAATCTCGATACGGAGGGCGACATTATTCACAATAATGCGGGCGGATGACGATCTTCGTGTGCATGGCTCGATATTGGTTGTTTGCCTGCGTATGGAGGACTTTGTATTCTGTAGAATGAGGGAAACTGCTCAAATCCTGGAGGTGGAGTGAGACAGTCGTGAATGTTCTTGGGGAATGCGGAGCCCCTCTGAATTATGCAGCTTGCAGACCATAAAATGCGACGGGCCAATCACAGCCGCGGGCTACTGGTCGGTGGGGAATCTCTACGTAATCAAGATAACCTCAGCAGTAAGAAGTAGATATACAATCAGTATTCTGTATTATCAGTCTAGAAATTAACAAGCACTCTAAATAATACAGCCGCCAGAACTCCGTGTATAAAACAGGTGACAAAACAAGTCATGCCTTAAACAACAAGGCAGAATATTTCATAAAACCCAAAGCAGGAGAGTCATCACAAACGAGTTAACCACTTGGTTGGTAATATATCAAGAAATTAATGTCAATGAACCGAAAATATAGGGCCATTTCAAACGCCGGGAGTGGAGTAGGGTTCGGTGTATATGTATCGCAAATCAAGCAAAAAACCCGTCATTTATGACGGAACATCGCATCCAAATAGATCACAAAGCGTAGAATATACAGTATCACGAAATCGTCGTCAAAGATAATGGATGATAGTGGGCGATCCACTCGGGACAAAACAATCATAGATGACGGTTTCGGTCATCTTCGAGTTGAAGTTTCTCCATCAGAGCCGCTCTCATCCTCACATTGACAACTCCGCCAACTCCATAGGCCGGGACAATCTTGCCCATGCGCGCAAACGAGCTGACAATGTAGTCTCTCCGAATACGAAGAAGTCGCTCCCGCCAACCCAGTCCTCCCGGTGGCTGGCGATTATACAAATCCAGTCCGAGCAGATGCATGGGTGTGCTGACAAACTGCATCAAAGCGGGACACGCAAACTGGGCCATGGCAGCTTTCATGCCGGGCGTCGAAGCGATGAAATCCGGGATTGATGGCGCGATCAAGGGCGGAATATTGAAGGATGCAAATATGGTTACGCTATCTCGCAAACAAAATAGCGTAAATGATGTTTTGGGGATCTTTGGAGGCTGCTTGGTTATTGTTGTGGCAACAGCAGTACCGGCTGCAGCGGTACTAGTCGTAGAGATAGATGTAGGAGCAGCAGAAGGATGGCATTGGGTAGACGGGCTGCTGGACGGCCCGAACAGTTTCGCGAACCGGGCGTCCTTATAAACACAGATAGCCATGTTAACAGTTGTGGTAGTAAGGAATTTCGCTGTCCCCGGTGTCACGGTAGCAAAGGGTTGATTGCGTAGTGTCGACGTGACGGTGTCGATTGCATTGGCGGTCAAGTATGTGCCCGAGTACAAGGTGTAGATGAGGATGAACGGCGTCGATAAAAAGAAGCCGGCGGGTTTGCGTACCATCGAACTGAGACATGTTGTTAATGTGTGACGAATAGATATGCCTTTGGATGCTTTTTCAATGATGGCTCTGTTGTAATAGCTGTCAGTCTTGTACCTTCCTTTGCACCCTTGATAGACTTGACTGCCCATACCGGTCAATAATAGTAATAATTGGACAAATCAGAGCTCCTGCTACAGCAGCACTGGCAGCATCAGCAGCAAACCGGAGTCCCAAGCTGCGCGTATTCCACTGATTTGGATCCGGGCTCGTCTTCTTGTTCACCTGAATTCCAGGTAAGGACGAAACGCCCGCCGACACATCTCGAGACATTGTGGATCGGAGATGAATGTTTTAAGAAGAGAGAAACAGAGAAGGAGCAAGTAGCATTGGATGAAGCAAATCGCGCGACTGCAATTAATAATAAAGATAAGGACAATAAACACGATAGTAATTCATGACGCGATGCAGAAGAAAAGATTCAGGCACGACAAAAGAGTCGACAAAGCAAAGAAAGACAAATCTATTTACCGCCTTGTATAGATGATGCTATCAGCGTCATCCTCATCGTTACCACGCAGAAGGATGGAGCAGAAGATGAGTAACTTTTAGCTGAACTTCGTTATGGCAGGTAAGGAAACGACGGGGAAGAGATAACGCCGAATCGCCCAATCAAGTTGAGTTTCCGCTAGCCCGATAACAGCCTAGTCCCGTCCCGGGACCCGGAGGAACGCGCAAACTCCGGAACCATCCTGGGTTCGGCTTAGTGGGTATCCACCTCGGGCGATATCGCAACAGCAGGAATTATTTTGACAGCAACAGATGTATGACTATGTGCTTTTATCTGCAACAGAAAACTATCCCACAACGCCAACCAGGAGGTGAATAAAGTACATCGCATAAACCCAGTGCGAAAAGAAAGACAAAGTGTTGACCAATAAACTCCAGCTCATAACGTGTGTAATTTTCTCCTCGTAAATTGCTTTTCCTTCTCATACTCAGCATGAAAATGTAATAGTAAATGGTTATACTCTAATTCGCTGTGTTGACTGCCTGGAAGTCGTCTAGTGAGACGTTCACTGCACCGGCTTGCACGAGCTGTAGAAAAGAAATCCAATTAGTTAATTATCAAGACAGTGGAATGATTAAAAGGACTTACAGCTCGTCGCAAATCATCAATCAAATCGTCTGCATCTTCTATACCCACACACAACCGGATGATATCCTCCGGCATGGCTCGCTCCTGACGCGTCTTCGCGTCAATACTGGCATGGCTCATGCGGCAAGGCATGCTAATCAAACTATTAACGCAGCCGAAGCTGACACTGATAGCCCAGAGCTTGGCGCTCTCGACAATCCTCTCACTGAGAGCGACGTCGCCAGTCTCAAAGGACAGAACGGCACCGGAGCCGCGAGCCATAGAGTGATGCAGCTCATACTGCGGATGAGACCGGAGACCAGGATATCGTACTTTAAAGCCATGCGCTTCGAGAAATTCAGCGATGCGCTGTGCGTTGGACTGTTGCTGGTCCATGCGGACTTTTAATGTCTTGACACCGCGCATCAACAGCCATGAATCAAAGGGCGAGAGACCGCAGCCGGAAGCGTTGATCGGGAAGTATAAACGATCGCCCAAGTTGGCGTCATTGACAGCAATAACACCAGCCATTAAATCGTGGTGACCGGACAGATACTTGGTGCCACTCTCGTAAACAATATCAGCGCCCAGATCAAGAGGGTTGAGAAGTAAAGGAGACATCATCGTATTGTCGACTGCAACCAGACAGTTGGGGCTAGCTTCGTGGGCAATGGCGGCGATTTTAGGGATATCAACCACCTTAATCAACGGGTTTGTCGGAGTTTCGAGCAAAACCATGGCTGTTTTCGGATTGACCACCTCCCTGACCTTCTCCGGTTCAGTGGTATCGACATGATGAACGATAATTCCACCGTTCGTTCGGAGGTAGGTTAAAAGTCGGTTTGTGCCGCCGTAGAGATCGTCTCCGGTAACGACTTCGTCGCCGGGGCGCAGGAGCCGCGTGATGACGTCGAGAGCAGCCATTCCCGAAGAAACCACTAGAGCTCGTTTGGCGGACATGATTTTCGCGAGGTGTCTTTCGAGGTGTGTCCGGGTCGGGTTGCCGGAGCGTGTGTAGTCATACTCTCCACCGCCAGAGCCAGATGACTGCTTGAAAGTGGCGCTCTACATGATGTGATGGTCAAAATTAGCACGAGAACATTGAACTCAACATGGTTCCAATCGGCGAGAGAAGAAGTTGCAAGACCAACCTGATAGATAGGCACACTGCTCGCATTGTACTGATCGCCTCCCTCAGTATATACCAATTCGGTGGCAAGGGCATATCGGCGCCCGGCATTGGGACTCGACGGCGCTGGGGACGGAGGTAGATTGTGACCATCCAAGTCGATATGAGGGAACGCTTTCTTCAACGCTGAAGGGTCATTCTGACCGGCGCCAGAGGAGGACATCGTTAACAATGCTGTGTGTGATGTAGAATATGTGTAGGAGGGGCACAAAGCACAAAGAACAAAGATCAAACTTGCGAGTTAACCGGAGCCGAGAGTGTCTGTCCAATTATTTATGTGAGGGAAGGGGAAAAAAAAAGTAGGAGAAACAGGAGAAATCAAAACACAACAAATTCCGAAGAAGTATTGACTCATGCAGTTCTAGTACGCAGCTAGTTGGCGATGTTATATTTCGGATTGCGGAGAGGGCAGGCGCCAATGGGGCAGAGCGCCTTTGATTGGCCAGGCCGACATCGGTGAGCAACAGCAATAGCACGCCATCGCCGCCTGTCTTGTTTGGGCTAGCGCTCAGTCGATCGGAGTAGGAGCTGATGCGCCGCTCTGATTGGCTGCTGATTAGTAATACTCGACTCTATTCGACAGGACCCAATAATATCACATGCGACACAGTCTGTGTTCGTTCATATATATAGATGAATATATGTATATATACATGCACGCAGATCAATAGAGTTATCTTAAACGCAGAACAACATTCCAGCCTGTCATTCTCTTGCAAGTGTCCTCTCTTAAGTACCCATAGGGTCTGCGATCAAATCACCAAAGCTCCCGTTAATCCCAAAGAATTGGAACCTAAGAAAAGCGTATGGTTAGGAAACATAAATAAACGAAAGTAGAATACAAACATACCAATCTTCGACGTTCAAAGTCGTTGGCGCTGATGGCCCATTTCCACGCGAACTATTGCTCCAACTATCATCCTGACTAGCAGCGTCCCGAGCATTCCCAGCCAAAGCCGCATCTAACCCGTGCCAATTCTGCATTCCGTCCATTCCAAAGATTTGCTGTGCCACCGCTGGTGCGCCCTGCATGCTGCCCATATCGGTATGGACAAGATGTGGGCTACTTTGCGAGCCTTGTGCATTTCGAGCCGGCATTTGTTGTTGTTGCTGCTGTTGTTGGTTCATCAGTAGTGTTTCCTGGCCGCCACCCATTGTAGCTGCCGTTGACTGCATCTGCGGGTCTATTAGATTCGTTTGTGAAGGGAAGAAGTTGGTTCCGTCGGGAAAGAGCTGGTCGGGTTGGAAGTTCTCCCACAGGGTTGGCGAAAGGTTGGGTGAAGTACGTGTGACGAGGAAGAGATCTGGAGGTGTAGCTGGGAGCGAGAAAGCATTGAACGGAGTATTTGCCCGTGATGTTCCGGTATTATGGGCGGCGTCCTGGCCTTTGGATACATTCGGAGATATATGCGGGAGTGAGCCTATGGCGATCTGTGGCGTTGGATTCGCTTCTCGTGATGGTGTTGCCGCCGGAGTCTGTGGACGCGATCGCTCATAGGAGACTGGAGGCGTGGGATTACCGTTGGGTAGTCCAAGATCCATATCATCGAATTTTCGCTTGGGAGGATCGGCTTTTCTGAGTGGAGCGCCATTATTCTGATCATGATCAGAAGGCCGATTTTTCTGATGCCGTTTACCCGGCGCCTTTTGCAGACGTTCCTCCAAGAGCTTGTTACCCAAGATAGATTCAAACAAGGTGTGCACCATTTTTGCAACCAACCACACTTTCGACACATCTTTAAGTGCCTGCATACAGATAGACATTCGTTCTTGACATGCTGCCACTACAGATGGTACGGATGAGCGCATCTGGTAGACGTGCATAATCAACGCGGAAAACAGACTGTATACAATGAAAGCGGGTGTAAAGCGAACCTCATTATGAGACTGCAACTTTTCTACAATGGAGGTGATCATACCAGCAGCCTGGAAAGCAATGGTTCGTGACGGGTATGCGATTTCTTCGGTGCGGTAGCTATTCGCGCTTGCTGAAGCTGGTGGCATATGCGCTCGATGCAAGAGACAAAGTGTTGTGCTGTACGAATGCATTAGCCGGGTCTCAGACAGTACCTATACCCGAGACTTTTTTGATTAGGAGACTCACTAGTAGTTTGAATGGAGAAGCGCAGCCCAGAAATGATGATCCTTCCTCTCCCAATACACTGCTCTGGGACAGTTTTGAAGCCAGTCAGCCAAGGCCATGTCAGAATGTGTTAGGTCAATGGCATTCGTCCGCCGGGACTTTGACGCGACTGAATATTGCTGGGATAGCACGAGTCCCATGATCTCGCACAGCTTCACGTATTGAAGGAAGAATTGCACGTGGACGGGATCCAAAGGATACTCGGCAGGAACATCGCCCTCATCCTCTATAAAATCATCTTCCGTCAGCATCTCAACATCGGAGTCGTCGATGTTAATGTTGATTGGTCGTCCAAGAGCGACGGCGACAGAGCGATCTCTCGTAAATAGAGTCCACCATATTCGCTTCCAAAGCCGCTTATCGGTTCTGCTGAGCTGTGAATTTTCAACGCTGAATTTGTTCAGGTGTTACTATGTACTTCTAAATTCCAGGAATAAATCACTACTAACCTGCGATGCATGCCAGAGCCCTGAGCTACAAGGATCGCGACTCGACTCCAATAGAAGACGTTCTTTGTGACATCTGAAATTCTCAAGTAGTTTAGCAGAGAGCCTATTGCGTAGAAGATGAGGGGGCCGGAAGAGAGAGAAAGCTGACCTTCGGGTCCTTCCCAATACCAGCCCATTAATACCAAAGCTTGGACTAAAGTGACGCGGTCCTCTTCATAATTAGCGTCGTAAAGTGCCTTTGCACGTTTGTAGAACGTCGTGGATGCAGGGACCGTGGAGCCAGTTTGATCCATCAGTTGCGGGTTGGTACAGACCCTGGAGCCAGCCAACAGAATAGCCTGCAGCAAGAGCAGCGATGGCGGATTCTTGGGATCCCGATACTGGCGCATGAAGCGATTACGATTGACAATGGGCACAACCGGAGCTACCCATTTAAAATAGGCGTCCACAAGTTCGTCACAGAGTTGCCGCGGAGGAAGCAAGAATGCCCCTCGCCGATGAAGAATCTCGATCTCCAAATTATCAAGGTCTGCCATACGTCCGTGACTGCCATGGAGAGTCTCCGGAAGCGGATAATGAACTACGTCGGTATAGCCACGGTCGTGAACAAGTAGTGACAGATTCGATGATTCGCCCATATAGGCAACTCGGCCGGGCTCCTTGATGGGAGCTCTTGTAAACTTTGGCTTCATGATTTCAGCATTATACGGACCAATATTGTTCGAATGCGAATTCTCTCGGGCATTCGCCAGGGCATTGGCTGGCATCCCATCGATGGATATGGGAACATTTGGAGCATACACAGGGTTCTCCCGTGGTTGCGGCGTCCTTGTATCATCGTCATCGTCTTTGGTCCGACCGACACTGTTAGAGTCACTAGAGGAGTCGCTAGTTAGCCATACATAGCCGACAACCAGATACCTAGGTATCATTAATGAAAGCTTCAGTGCCATACCCGTAATTATCCTTGTTTCTCGGCTGTTGGTTCTTTTTCCGTTTTGGGGTTGGGATGCGGCATTCAATAGAGAAAGCCACACAGTTGGTGCAGGGGACTCCTAAGCTGGCGGCATCACATCGGACCTATGAAATGAATATCCAGCGGTCAGTCTCTCTCGTTTCCCCCCCTTGTTTTTGCTTGTGACAGCCCGATTAAACCCGGCCCGAACTGACTCTGGCCGAAGGATGAGACAAGCTTCAAGGGGACGAAGTAACGTACCTTTCGAGCGTGGCAAGTCTATGAACACGTTGCGAAGAAAAAAAAAGTATGTGTTAGCGAATTATTCCCATACCATATAACTCTTTTCCCTTCCCTTCCTGTGTATTGTTCGGTGCATTGTTATATGACAATAGCAACAACGGCCAAGCAACGAGAATAGTGGGGTGGCTGATTTGCCGAGGCACAAACGCACCTCGCGATGCGCGCGACGTGCTGAAAGACGAGAGAAACGTACCTCGCATGCGCGGGATGCGCGTTGTCTGCATAAGAAATAATGAAACCGATTAGCTAACTAATCTTCGCATTGACGACAAGGTCAAGAACCAAAATAAGTAGTAGTCTACTCTCTTCCCCCAAAGGCAGACCAGACCGTAAGCAAAGAAAAAAAAGCAAAGGGGGCATTTTCACATGTCGGCGTGTACACATTGTCACATAAATTTAAGCACCACTGCAAGTCTACAATGGTATTATCCATGAATGACAAGCAAGCCACGGCACGGCACGTACCTTCTGAAACTTGCGATGCCTGCATTGGGCACTGCGGACGAGAACGACGGCGAAGACTGGTTGTTTTCAGGCTTCTGGCCAGGACCAGGACTGGGATGCTGCTGCTGGGTTGTTTGGCCTGCAACTTGATTGTCTGCGACCATGATTTATATTTTATTGCGATGCGCGCACGCTTTCCATAGAGCTTGGGACAGTAGAAGTATTTTAATGAACAAGTTTGAATGGCGCGCCACCGGACTTTCCAGGGGTATAAGTTAGAGCGTGGGTTAGACGTAGACCGGCGGAGATAGAAGAAACTCGAGAAGAAATGGGAAAGTAAATATAATAATAACGCGACGACAAAGGAGTTCCTCAAGGTCCCAGTTTCTTCTGTTCTGCCTGATGGTGCAGAAAACAAGCCAGTAAGCAATGCCTGAGAGAGAGTCGAGCGGATAATCGCGGGACCAGTGAGCAAGTGCGGCCCCAGGCTGAGCGTGTGGGGAAACAGACAAGAATGGTAAAATAACGTCAACTCAATCCTGAAGATGTCCGGGGATGAGGGAGAGACGAAGCACGAGTGAGAGAGGAGAAATTAAATGTTAGTGCTCGTTGACTTCAGCTAAGCACGAGGTAGGTACGGGGTAGCTAGTCCTGTCCGAGCGATCACGCAGGCCAGATCCGGGGTACACCCGTCGTCGAAGCGACTATAAAAAATAAAAAATAAGAATATAATAACCCTGTAGCGGAGAGGTTCCGGGCTTTATTCGTGTTTCATCATTCTCTTTCTTTCTTTCTTTTTTCCCCCTTCAGCTGGCTTCATCGCAGAACGAAACCTGCAGGCATTGCTCACGTGCGCTCTCCCCTGGTCCCGATCGACAACGTGCGCACCGCCACAGCCATTCAGCAACGAGCATACATTACCAGTTAATCTAGAGAGCTTTATATAGGTATCTGGGACGCAAAGTATTTGATATCAAATGTGAAGTCATTATATACACGCTAAAATGGGCCAAGGCGATGGGCAAGACCGGTATTTCTAACGAATAGCTTTTCCCCTTTCCTCTTTGCCGCTGGCTATTGGCCGCGCTTTTCTGTTGATCCATTGCTTATGCCGTCTTCTGACATCTGACTGATGGTAGCTGCCACAGAAGAAGGGGAAGAGCTGCCCAGATCCACGCCGCTGACAAACATCTCGCTCACAAACTCCAACCCAGCCACGAAGAAACAGAGCAAGTTAGCGATGACAAAGTGGCTGATAGTCGTGCCAATCTCAAGCCACGATCCATCATCGCGTACCATGTAGAAGAAGTTTAGAGTCGAGATATCGGAGATGGTCATGACTGTCATAAAGAGAGCGCTGGGAGCAGCCTCCAGTCGTTTGTTGAGGATACCGAGATTGGCGCTAATCACGGCAAATGGAATCATCCATTTGAGGATGAGAAGTGCGCCTTGGCTGAAGGGATTGAAGACGGGGATTAGCCGGTTGACGCTTTCGAGGGAAAACGATGAGACCGATGCGATGTTTCCCGTGCTGAAGAAGCCTGATTGAACCAGGAAGAAGAAGAAGAGTGCCACGCGTGTATCGGATATAGTAAGGGCGCGATACTCGAATGTGTCGCCATCGACCGTCGTTTTAGCGATGGTCGAGTGCTTGTCCGGGTCGACAGAGGTCGTTGGTTGCTTCTGGTACACGTAAAGAGCATGCTCTAGCCGGACCCAAGTGGCCAGAGTCATGCAGAAGACAAAATAGAACAGCCCCTCGTACGAAATAGTGAGGATCACAAATGTCGGGGCAAAGGTCACAAAGATCATCATTAATCGGTGTAGGTAATAGCTGTTCGGATACATCCGATGAGCGAAGGGGAGAAGCAACGAGGAGACTTTTTTAACTGTTAGTTTATCGTCCACTAATCCATTCACACATGAAAATAAGGGCATTATCTTACCGAGAACAAGCCAACCAACAACCTGATTGCCCAGTGGTAGACCTTCCTTGGCCTGCAGGGACATCGCGCTAGAGCGAGTCACGATGATGGCTAGAAGTATCATGCCCACCTATCAAATTTGTTAGCTATCACCATGCGAAACTCAAAAGCATAAATATATCAACTGCCAATGAACGTAGAAAGAATTACCTGCACTCCCATGATTATACGAGACCCAGAGGCACTGATTGGATGCCCAGAGCCTTTGGTGATTGTTTCTTCAAACGCCAAGTAGAACAGACCAGCCAGAAACATGAGCATGCCTCCGATGGTACTAAAAATATCAATTGTGTGAGAAGTTTTGTTTCAAAAAGCTCAAGACATCCAAAGTATACCTACATTGTTGTGGTGTTTTCGACCATGACAACAGGCAGAAGGGTGAAAGTGCTCATGAGAGCACAACCAATAGCCCAAGCGCTGATGAGAGAAAGATGGCGTGATATGAATCCTGTGCCATAGAAAAGTGGCCAAAAGGCTGCGAGGATGAAACACACAGTAAATATCTCTCGGTGGAAATAAGATTGCACCTGCGTGAAATCAATTATTTAGTATGTCGTTATATATGTGCAAATACTTGTAACTTGCAGTATTGATTCACTTACTAGGGCTTCTAGCACCCCGAGGAATAATATACTCTGAAATGCAAGCACAATATAGCCACCAAAGGACTGCACATGCTTCAATAAAATACGTCGACCGGCTATCAAAGCTTTTCTTCGGGAGAATACTTCCTCCCAGAAGTAAATTGGAAATGCTCCATAGACATAATATCTCCATGAAGAGCGTTGATATATGAAAATGGAGTAGAGCCCCACGAGGGCCGACACGAAGACGGACGTACCGAACCAGGTGCGGTGCGCGTCTGATGATGCATGCAGAACGTGCAAATCAATGACAGTAGTGATCGCATAGGCAATCCATCCCAAATATCCCGCGGTGACAATTGTCCGCAGGAAAATCCAATCATATGTCTGGAGATACCGGAGACCTTCAACTGCGGAAGTGAACACATGTGAAGACACCTCGATGGATTCAGCATATCTGCCCTCAGAAATCAGTGTTTCAATTTCCAAAGTACGCGCCGCCAGTTCATCTTGGCTCAGTGGCGCATATGGTTGGAAATTCAATTGGTTTTGACTCTTTTGGTTTTCCTTAACATGATACATCTCCAGGACTTCCCGCGTGTTTGCCCAGAACGCCAATGCTTTCTCTCGAGGTGATGCAGCGATGTACTCTAGAGGCAGTCGGCCAACGGAATTCACTGGGAAGTCCAATCCAACTAGATAAGCCATAAGAGCCGCAACATCGGCTTGATTCACATCGTGCCTCCGAACATGGTCAAATCCCCAATCAGACGAGAAACCATCTTCATGACCGCTTGGCTGGCCATCTACTGTGAGCTTCGGGGTTGCAACGCCAGAGCCCCAAACCACGAGAGGCGTGCGTGTATTGTCAGGATTACCATCACCATGACTACCCCAATCACTCATGCCATGATCAGCTGTGAAGACATAAGCGGTCTTCCCATCGTTGTAAAAATCATCGATCAATTCAGTGATTTCCTGGACACCTTTGTCGACAACCTTGATATTGTGCAAGTACTCTTTGGAATATGGTCGAAATCCGTGGCCAGTGGTATCCAACCCAAGTAGATGAAGGAAAAAGACGACCTTGTCTTCTCTCAATTTCGCATTCAGCTCCGGGTTCGTCTTAGCTTCGGCAAACAAAGCCTTGACTTTATCAAACACCCATATATCGAGGTGAGTCGCATCGGAACTGAAATCCTCGGCCTCCTCGGCGTAGGTATCCGCATCGATGCGCCCGGGAACCGCTCCTTCTTTGAACATGGGCAGGATGTCCGGACTGCCCCAACTCCATGTATGTCGACTGCGGTTAAAGACGCTATCGAAATTCACCGGATTCAGTTTCCACCCAGTCGTCACTGCCGAGACATCCTCGTACAAGCCGGCAATCAAAGCGACATGGCCGGGGCGAGATTCCGTGGGAACACGAGTATGCGAGACGCCAAAAGTGCCATGGTTAAGCACACGAGAACGCACAAATGGCGCCAGGCGAATGGGCGTATCGTCTTCCGGATCGACATCGCTGGGAGGGGAGGGATCTGGGAAGGCCTGGAAAGCTTTATCGGCACGAAGGCCGTCTCCAACAAACAGGACAAGCCGTTTGGCCGGCGCTTCTGCTCCGATTTCCCGTTCAACGCCATATGATCGCATGCCACTGACAATTGGGCTCACAAAGTATATGTCGAAAATCGAATACAGGTACATCAGATGAAAGGCCAATGCTAGAGCCAAAAACCCCCAACGGCCGACGCGCGCCATGACGCGGAGGTTGACCTCAAGTCAAGTCTTGCGGAGAAAGGAAAAGATAAAGAAATTGGAAATGAAAATTGCTATCGCAGCAGCGGGAGTATCATGTCCCTCGTTGAGGTAATGCTGGATTAACCCACGAACCGCGTGCTGAAAACAATTGTCATGTATGCATGATCCCCTATTAAGCTGATGGTCTTGAAATAATAGTCAACTATGCCCAAAGGTACATCCCGCAGGAGCTATTTCCTCGCAGGCTGATTGGCTGGTCTGTCGACCGCCTTTCGGTTTATGGCAAGGTCCCTGGCGGATCTGCGGCAGTACTTACTGGCCAATCAGATCGCTCCGTCAAATCACGATCTACAAAGATAAAAATAACATCATGAAACGGAACCTCATCATTGTTATGTACACAAGCTTCACTGTATATATAACTATAAAACAACCGTAGACCAATGCTCCACGCCCAACAGCAACGTGCACACGCCTCTTATTAACCAAGTCAAAAGACGCCTAACCAAACCAAAAGCCACTGATTAGAAGCTGGAAGAGATATTTAAAAGGTATTATATGCAGACATAAGATGGATTATCTACTCGTCAGGATCGATGCGGCGCTTTGTTAGGGAATCCATCACCCTTGTATAAAACTTGGACGCATTCTGCCGTGAAAACGTAATGTCCACAGTAAGATACTCTGGTAAAATCTCGAGCAAATCCGCATCGCGACTGGAGTCGAGGTGCGGCATGTAATGGAACTCGGCACTGTCGAAGTTGGCGACAGCCAAATTGCCTTTCCCATCGTGCGCGACAGCAAGTTTGAAATGCAAGGCTAAAGATTTGAAATGATTAGTTAGATCTGCAATATAAAAATTTCGGTATGCGAATGAGGAGCACACTCACTCCCATTTGCGCCAGTCTGGATACAGTCATAGAGATAATCTGCCTCTCTTTTCTTGACATTTCGAATGATCAGGCCCGTCAGATCGCTATACAGGTCTTCCTTTAACTGCGCAAGATGAGCTGCCTGGGCAGCTTCAGCAGCGACACTCGCAACAGCATTGCGGTTGGCAACGGTCTTGACCGCACTTCCGGGAGCTTTGACGTTCAAGGGCTCGGTAGCCACAGAATTGTTTCGTGCAGCAGCCAGCTTCGTTTGCAATGCTTTAATTTCGCTCTGAGCTGTTGACAATTGTGTCGAGAGGTCGCCAACCTGCGATTGGAGGCCCGCCACTTCTTTTTCTCGGTCTCTAAGCTGCTTTTGTAAATTGCGAGATTGCTTGCCGAGTTCTTTTTGAGCGGCAAGCTCTTCTTTCAGAGACTCTATGAGCTTAGTGGACGCTAGAAACCTGTCAGTAACATGTATTATTATTGTCCACATAATGACAACACGTTTCTTACCATTTGTGGCATTTTCACACTGTTTCCTTAGTTTCTCAAAATTCGTATTGGCTTCTACGATACCAATCTCTCGTAGATTACGATACTTTACTTCCAGCGTCTCATACTTTTTCGTCATGTCCCCGAGCTTGCGTCTCAGATCGGAGTCGGACGATGCTTTCTCGGTGTCCGCAAAGGTCACAGTCGGGCGTTTTCGATCAGGCCGTTCCCCGTTGGTCAAGGATTTTAGTGGAGAAACTGCATGGGGTACTCTGTCCCCAAATTCTGCGTCGTCTGCTGTCGCATCATTCCCGACTGAAGTAGGGTTCTGACTATCCTCAGACCGCCGTTGTCTCGCACGCCTTTTTGAAGGCTCTTCTGTAGGTTTTAGCTGCCTCGACCCCGTCGGTGTATACTCGAATTCACCGTCTTCTGTGACTTGTTTTGCATTGCTCCCCGCTTCCCGTCCTCGGCCCCTTCTCCTTTTGATTGGTGACACCACCGCTGCAGCAAGTTCATTGTGTGCACTTTCTCCGTTATCCTGGACTTCCTCTTCCGTGTTTTCCTCAATTGGTTCGGGGTCGGTTGTAGTTGTTCGTGGCCGCCCTCGGCCGCCGGTGGCTCTCCTGGTAGTAGGCGCATTCTGCTTCAATATGCCCGCAGATGAAGGACGCTGTGGCTTAGAAGCTGCGACTGGCTCTTCAATCTTAGCACCTGACGATTTCGGCCTGCCTCTCGACTTTTTTACAGGTCGTTCGTCGTGAGAATCGGGATGCGACGCGACTGCGGCGTCGGCCACCTCGTCGTCGGAGTCGACCAGACCCGATATTCTTGAAATAGCTTTTCGCTTCGGCATTTTTGCATAAAATATTCTAATTCTGATCCAAAAAATAAAGTAGCAATTTGAATATGCTGTTTTCGTCAAGTCCAGAGGCAAAAATATTGTTCAATTAAGTCAAGACGCGCGAACGTGGAGCCGTCCTAATGTTAATCCAAACATGCGACGACGCGCTAGACCAAACACATATGTGATCGGGCCTTACAAGTTAAGTTAGGCTCTCGCCGTCATCAGCCGCGGTAAAGCCACAGTCACCGCCACAGTTCGCTGGCCCGGGATTTCCCCGTTGCGGCCCATCGCCTACGCTTTGTTTCTACCATATCGTGCACTTATATTACACTCAATAACAGTTATCGCTATCAGCTGCTACTGTTCCCATCATGGTGTCTGGTGGTATTCGAAGATGGCAGCAGTTCGTGCAGGAGTTGGTGATGATTGCCGGCACAGTAAGATACATAGTTGCCTCTTCCGTCCTGAGATTCCGCGCGCATACTCACTCATTAATCTCTCTAGTCCGCATCTGCTTATTTCCTCATCCGATACTTGTTATCGCGCATTGATCTCGACCCTGAAAGCCAGAAGAAAGAAGAACAAAGGAAGAAGTCGGCAGCTATTTTGCGAAGGCTTGACGGGCCCGACTCCGACGATGAGGCCCCCGGTAGAAGTGGCTCGCGCCGGCGGAGCAAGCAGAAGAAAGAAGAATTAACCTTGAATCAATACGAGCAAGCTATTGCAATGGACGTTGTGGCCCCAGAGGATATTCCGGTGTCGTTCGAGGATATTGGTGGGCTAGACGATATTATTGAGGAGTTGAAAGAATCCGTGATTTACCCTTTGACTATGCCTCATCTCTACACTTCAACGTCATCGTTACTCACTGCGCCTTCTGGTGTTTTACTATACGGACCTCCAGGCTGTGGCAAGACGATGCTTGCCAAAGCGCTGGCTCACGAAAGCGGGGCTTGTTTTATCAATTTACACATCTCCACCCTCACGGAAAAGTGGTATGGAGACTCCAACAAATTGGTCAATGCGGTTTTCAGTTTGGCCAGAAAATTACAGCCATCTATAGTCTTTATTGATGAGATCGATGCGGTTTTGGGCACACGGAGGAGCGGTGAGCATGAAGCCAGTGGCATGGTCAAAGCCGAGTTCATGACACATTGGGACGGATTGACATCCGCCAATTCCATGGGAGAGCCACAGCGGGTTGTGGTTCTGGGCGCTACAAATCGGATTCAAGATATCGACGAGGCTATTCTCAGGCGTATGCCCAAAAAGTTCCCCGTCAGTCTGCCTCCAGCTGCGCAGAGGCTTCGTATTCTTGCCCTCGTTCTCAAGGATACGAAGATTGACCGCGCAAACTTTGATCTTGAGTATCTTGTAAGCGCTATGTCAGGGATGTCCGGCAGTGATATCAAAGAGGCCTGTCGGGATGCTGCCATGGTTCCCATGCGAGAACTTATTCGAGAGAAGAAAGCCGCTGGCATTCACATGACGACTGTTGAGCCCAGAGAAGTACGGGGCTTACGCACGGAGGATTTCTATAATCGTGCCGGTAGCGGCTTGAAGATCATCCCCAAACCCCAGTCGACGCCACAGCGGGAGAGCACGATCGTAAAGGAGAAGGACGATAAAGAATGGGCGACCGAGTCTGAGGGAGCAGGGGAGGAAGATGAGGAAGAGGCCCGGCCCCCGGCTGCAGTACTTCGTGCTGTTTCCGAGCCACCTGAGTAGGGGCTTTATTGATGATTGTTATGGGCATGTTGGACGTGCATGCAGGGCGTTTTGGACATATAAACCTGATGTATACATACGTAATTTAGTGGTTCACTTCCTTTTTCCCTAGGAGATTGCTTCAATTGACGCTGAAGGTAGATGTAGGAGTATATGAGAATGACGATGCAGCAAAAGCAACGAAATGAGACGGGTTGAATCAGACGCAGATCGGTCTTGGCGGCGGCGGGAGGCAGTGCGGACTCCCGCGCAGGAACGGGCCCGCTGTCACGAGTTAACATACGTAAGTTACTTTCAAGTTTCCACGACTCCTTAGATCTTTCGACTACTCCGAACCAGAACCAGGCCAATCGCTCCGCCCTCATCTGAAAGCACACCAATACTATCTAATTTGCTACAGGCCATTTCGTGGCTAGATTCTGTGCAGAAACCGACTCGTGCTGGGTGATTCCTGTCACTTTAGTGGCTGGTGACTTCCCCGTGTCCGTTATCTTGCCCATCCGAAACCCCAGGTCTACAATCTCAGAGTCGCCACCGGCCTGACAGAACTGGCCTCAACACATTGCCCTGGTTGATGGAATGAAGGAGGACTGCACTGCGAAAAGAATCCTCCCCACGTAATCACCACCCCGGGCTTGGTGGGGTGTGGTGTTTATCGGAAGGCTGTATGTCGACGAATGAGTTGGATCTATTCCAGCCCGGCCTTTCACCGACGGCCCTAAACGATTTTGTTTCATGCGGAGTTGCGGACGATATTATTTAGAATGAGCTCCAATAGCGACTCCCTCGATGGTCTCGGCCCGGCGATCTCGAGTGCCAGCCTGAGTCGGAGATCGAACACCTCCGTGCGACCCCGTAATAGAAAGCTTATATCTGTGAGCGAGGACGACGAGGAAGATGGAACGCAGGCCACAACTTCTAGACTTACTTCTTCGTTCGCTGGATTAACCCCTTCTCAGTCCCGGGGTACAACACCTTCACCGCATCCTTCGCGAAGGAGTTCTCCCCTTCCTCAGAAGGGCTTTTCACGGGTATCCGAAAGGGATGTTGATAACAACAGATATAGTGAAAGGCTGGGGGGCAGAGATACTTTTAAGCCATACGGCTCGTCACAAGCTTCATCTGGATTTTTTGAGTCGTCGTGGTCGTCTATCCAGAGTCTCGCATCATCAGTCCTAGGAAACGAAGTCAAATGGGGCAAGCCAGGGTCTTCTTCCACATTTCCAACCAAACGCCGAAAACCTTCTCGATCTGATATACCTGTTAGTCTGTCCAAACAGACAGGGCCTTCGTCATGGGGTCCTCCGGTTCCTTCAACGCCACAAATTGGCATCGGAACGAAGGAAGAGCGGCAAGCTATGGTCCAGGCAAAGAAAAGAGAGGTGCTACTACTTGCTAATGGTGATCCGTTATCGGATCTCAGAGCTCAATACAAGCGAAAGGATTCAATTGAGAGCCCGGATACTAGGGCGATGGATCCTGAGCAGGATGAAGAAGCATTAGTATACGTTCATCATGTACAGCCAAGCGATACAATGACGGGACTTTCGATTAAGTACGGTTGTCAGCTTGCGATTTTTAGGAAGGCGAACGGATTCTGGCCAAGCGATAGCATACAAATGAGGAAGACGGTGCTGTTACCGGCCGAAGCATGTTCAGTCAAAGGACGAAGAGTGAACCAAGACAACAATATTGATCTTCTAGGAGATGGACTATCAGGCCAAGGATCTCAGGAAGACCTTGGTGGAAGCTCGATAGTACCGCGTGAGTCTCGACCCGAACAAAATGAGACTCAACAACAAACAAGCGACGAAAGCGAGCGGATTTGGAAACACGAAGCATGGGTACAGATGGAAGGCTTTCCTAGCCCCGTGGAAATTGGTCGTGTACCACGCAAAACATTAGGATTTTTCCCACGTTCAAGGCGAAAATCCTTGTCGCTTCCATACTCTGATGCGGAACCTTCAACTCCCGTATCGACAGCATCAACACTTCAACGAATAGATTCCTCTTCCCAATCGAACCAGCGCGACACTTCTCCTCGTCTAACTTCAGGGCCCCATTCATCGCTCAGAGGGAGCCGTACGGCTCATAGACGCACGGGGAGTATTACGCTACAGGGACCAGGTGGCGTTGGGACGCTTGGTCGCGAAGTCCATGCTCCAGGTCCTGCACAAGACGGATTGAACAAGTTCGTCTCGCAACATCTCCCCAATCTCACCGTGCCTCCACCGCCGGCGCCTTCATCGTCTTTGCGCAAAGCCTCATTCGACTCCAACTCGAGCGTGCTTTCATCAAGTAGCACGGGACTGGAAAACGTCGGTGGAGCTATTGAAGGATGGATGAGGAAAATGGCACTTCGAGCACAAACAAGTCTGAATGAACTACACCAGCAGCCGTCATCACAAGGACAGGCACTTGGAATTGCGGGATTGGGTGATCTTATCGAACTCAACGATGGACTTGAAGGAACCACGCCTCCTTCTTCGTTTGCTGCTGCCAGCAATAACCTCGACAGCCGAAATGGTTACTTCGCAGGACGCAACAGTAACAATCAAGCTACTGGCAACTCACAATACCAGCGCTTTTCCAAATCACCTTCATCGATGAGTCGCACTCGTCCTCGTCCTGGTCAGGATGAACCACATAATAAACATGACTAATGACGCCGCATTTTTCCTTTTTTTTTTTTCCTTCTCATTCTAGAATTGTTACTCCTGCGCTGATTTTTTTTTTAAATTGTAAGTTTCAAGTCTGAAGTCTCCTATTTTTGTCCCTTGTTTCTAAGTCAGTCCTATATAAAGCGAAGATACCTCCTGTTTATAATATCATCATCGTTTTCTCTCTCCCCAGCATTATTGCCTCGTCTTGACTTTATATATTATACACTCACATGAATCAAATGAGGTCAGACCAATTGCATGGCAGGCTTCCTGTTCTAATTCTTTGTTCCCTTTTAAGCACTTGAATGTCAACATCATTGTCATATGATTGCCCTGCTAAATACCTTCCGAGGTAGTTCCTCTGTTTGTATCATCATCATCATCATCATCATCAACACAAGAAGAAGGAAAATAACATTAGAACGAATACACAACTGAGACATTCTATTGAATTTTACTGACGATATACTTAACTACTTGAACTTGTTTACCACTACCAGACAATGTAATAAAGAAGAAGAAAATTCAAAGTTTTTCTAAGGTATTCTCATCACTAAGATAGAGTCACAATAGCAGATGGGAACACTAAAACTTTTTTTTTCTCTCTCATTTCATTTTTCACTTTTTTTTTTCTCGGTATTTTCTTTTAAATTCTCTTGAAGATGTCCAATGAGTTGATCCAGTGACCCGGTCCGATGTCTCTGTCTGATATCAAACCCAAGTATCCGGGAATGGGTTTATTGGAATCGTTGCCCTAAGCTCGCTTGCCGTTGATTTCGAGAAGTTTCACTTGGCTGAGTAGTTGGGTTAGTTGAAGACCAGCTAGATAAGACCAGATGGAAATAGATGGCTTACAAGATCAAGTCGGAGTTGGCTGGGATAACACCTGGGAATCCCCTGTTGCATTGGAATACTAGTTAGCTTCTGTGGTTTTGAATATTGTTGCAACGGGATTTTCTTTTCTTTTCTTTTTTGGTGCCTGCAGAATAGCAGGAATAAACTTGCAGGTGATTACGACTGGTGCCGACATCCCAGTTCAAACAAGAAAAGTCAAAAAAAAAAAGATGAAAAGGAGGGGAGAAATCCCGGAGGAGTGCGGGGGATGCGCAAAGCCCCCCTAGGAACAAAACGTACCTATCGCCATAGGCATAGCTCCTGGGTTAAATTAATTATATGTCAGCCCAATTCTAATCTTTGATGTGACTGGGTGATTTGGCACGGAGTTCAGACAGGATATGGGGAAGAAAAGGTGCAGATGGCGTATATCTGCCCAATAAATCAAGGCCAAGAAAACACAAATTTTTTTCAGGGCAAGATAACCAACTTACGAGTCAATGGTCAGAATGGCCTCTTCACCGAGGGTCATGGACAAAACTCCCTCATCCCAGCCTGACGATCAGAAAAGAAAAAGCGGGTCAGTTGGCTGGTTCCATTCGATCGACAACAAAAAAGAATTAGGTTGGACCTCCAGCTGGAGTCCTGGACAAGGTAATTCTCTCACCCTTGATGACCCGGCCTTTACCGATGGGTGTTGCCAACGGACCACGGCCTTTGGAAGAGTCGAATCTGGTGGGAAAGAAAGATTATCAGTCAATAGGAAGTGGAAGCTCCGTGTGAATAGCTTACTGGGTTCCCTTCTGGTGGTCGGGGTTGCTGGGGTCTCGGAGCCAGCCAGTGTAGTCAATCTTCACCATGGCGCCGACTGCTGGCGTATCAGTGCCATTGCCGGGGCTGAGAACAGTCTTCTGCCAGCTCATCCTGATCGATCCTGAGGTTGTAGGTTTGTGTCGGGGTTGGGTGTGTCTGTATATGAAAGAGTAGCGAGCACGTAACCAAGGAAATAGAGAGGACGAAAGAGAAAAAGAAAGATAGAGGACGAGGTGTGGTTTATTTTAAGTTCTGTGACGGACGAAGCGTGAATGAATCATTTTCTGTAAGCCTTAAAAATTAAGGCATTCAATCATTGGTGGGGGGGGGGAAAGCTTGGCTCTTTCCATCCAAACTTCCAAGGCGACAAAACTTACGACCAGCATCGATTCTTTTTGTAGCATTTACCATCTACTGATCCATTGCATGCGCTGTTCGAAAGGAGAAACGAGGCTTATCATGTCTGTGGTTGCACTGCCATTCGTCCTTTTACTGAAGCCTTCAAAGCCTAGGCTCTTCAACTATTTGCGCGAAATGAGGCCATCTCACTGAGCGATTTGAAGAGTTCGACGAATCTCAAGCTCCTCCTGCAATACACTCTGCAATAACTGGCATATGTACTACGTTGCACATCTGCATGTTTATCTGCCTCAAAACCCCAGGGTCCATGGAGCCTCTACCCAATAACAGCTCTTCCCAAACACACCCCCTTTCATCAATTCCGAGGAGAACGTTTCCCGAGAACCGTTTCGTGAAGCCGTCTCGGGGCAGACGGGACTTGGAGGAATACTTTTTTCGGATTGGAAGAAACTCCTTCAAATCTCGAATTGCTAAAAGTCGGGCAGTCCGATTGCAAAGGCTACACTGTAGGTATGCACTCCGTAGTGCTTACTTATTTGTCGGCTCATCTTATTACACTCAGCCTCCCTCTTCTTGAGCAGTGTTCACGCTTTGACTCTATTGGAAGGTCGTCGAGAGAAGAACAGGTCATTGAAGGAGGGGATAGGAACTATCTTGGTACTCATACTCTGCTACTACTTGCCAGGTTCCTGGGGCATTATAGAACAGGGAAAATTAAGAAGCAGCGAGCTTATCAGCAGGTCTCCTCTCCCCAAGACCCGATTGTATTGGTCGCTGCAATTGACTGATGACTGACGATTGTGTCGGTCCCGCATTGGGTCCCTTTTGGCGCTGCAGCCGCATCAATGGATGCGTTGTGTGTAACGTGGTGTAAAACGTAACACATCAGATGCATGGCCTCGTGCATGGCCCTTTTTTTCTACTCGGTGTTACTCAGAGACTAATCATCTACCGGTTCCGATGCAAAATAATAATAATAAATAATAATAATAATAATAAAAACATTATTATACCCACTGCATCTATCTCGAGCAGTCACTTTCTTTTTTTGGCACACTTCGGACAACACCGACAACAGAGCCTTAGCCTACGCCCAGAATGAGGCAGTCTTCACCTCCTCGATAGGAACCGAACGGATCCTTGTCAATGGGAATCGACTATCAAGGATCGGCCCCTCCCCAGACAGATTTAGATCTAGGTAATGTAAGACGGTTATGCCGGCTTGATCCACAAAATCCAGCACTTGACGATAACCAAAGCCCACTTGGTCGATTCCATGACTGTCATCGGACATGCAAAATCGGCCACCCATTGACAAGAATTCCTGTAGACCGAAGGGAAAAGACAAAAAGAAGTCAGGATGAGATATATGAAAATATGACAGGTAGGTGTTTCTCTACTCACGCGGCAAATCTCCTCTTTAGGATACGGCTCCGTCATACCCTTCCTCAACGCAGCCGAGTTGAGCTCCAACAGACCTCCATAGCTAGCCACAAAGCGGAGGTTGCGCTGTATCTTATCCCATACTCGGGGGTACTTGGTGAAAGTTGCATTGGGATCATCGCTTTTCAAACGAATCAAATCAAAGTGGCCAATCACTGGCGGCTTCAGTTTCTGCAACATGTCTAGCTGGCTGTCGTAGTAATCCTCAAATAATCGCTCATCGGTACCACCGGCAGCTTCCCGCGCTTGCTGGTACATAGAAGCATCGTAGTCGATTGGAATTGTGTGCACGTGATGCACAGATCCAACAAAGAGCTCAAATGGTAGGCGGGACAGAGATGTCTCGATCAACTTCAAAGACTCGGGCCGTATCCAGTCGATTTCAAATCCAATAAGAAGCTTGATCTGGGAAGCATATTTCTGACGTAGCCGCAACGCCTCTGCGTAAAAGGCTGCTTCGTTCTCAACAAGCCACTCTTCTGTTGAAACTCCCACCTAGATTTCCGAAAGCATGTCAGATGAGAGATTGGCGAGGCAAGTATATGTATTTATCGATTCATTTACCTCTTCCGGGTAAAAATCTTCTTTTCCGCGAGGCATGTGTTCTGTTAAGCAAAAGACTTGCATCTTCTGTGCAATTGCTGTCTGGATGACCTCTTCGAGGGAGTTTTTTGCATGCCCTGGGCAGAACTGCCCTGAATGGCTGTGGTGAGAGAATGGCATGTCTGGTTCGGGTGGCGGAAATTAGATGTCGTATGTCTTTGACTTGTTGTGGTTTGTTTATGTTCACAGGTAGGCATGCATATACAAAACACTTGAACTTTTGGCGTTCTGTCCCTGTCAGTTTAACATGTGAAGCTTATGCGGGGCAAGGAAACTTCCTACCTTTGATTGAGATACCTGCCCGGAGAGTCCAAGCCTCGAGAAAATTGATTGAAACTGTTCAGAAAAAAGATGCAGGATAATAATAGCTTGTCAAGATCCTGATGATTTGTGTATGGACGGAGTCGGAAGATGTGTGGTTTCAAAGCGCGGGATCAAAGTCGGAGTCAGTCAGTAGGAGCGGCCGGGACCCGCCATACTGACAGCGTCCGTCCACGCCGGAAGAGTGAACGATTCAACTGAAAGTCAAACAAGACAGTAATTGAAGATAGCATGAAGAATAAAATTGTCCAAGGACGAAAACTCTGTGCTGCGTTAGTTGAACAGAGGATATTGCCGTAAAATGAGGAAGACCGTCAATATCAAACAGGATCTTTGCTCGTTCTCTGGTATAGTCCTGCATGCTTGACTGCGGTGTTGAAAGCATTCTATCCTAGAGCTCTCGCAATTCGAATGTCAAAGTTCAAAAATCGAAAATGGTCAAGCTAGGGACAGCTAACATATAATCATGCTTCCGCTGCAAGAACTGTAGCAACAACGTAGTCGCCATCATGCGAAATGGACAGTTTCCCAAGACGACTCTCTCCTCCGGCTAGATACACCACCTCAGGTCTGGTACTTCCAGCAGAGGGTGACAATACGGGCGATGTTCTGACTAAAACGTCTTTCCAACCAATGGAAGATGCCCCTCCAGGTGCTGCTTTGCGTGCTGCTTCTTTCGCAGCGAATCGTCCCGCTAACCAGCGCGCCATATCCGGCGTAATTTTAGTGGCAGAAGCAGCATGATCATGGCCGAGACGCATACCGAATCGAAGATAAAAATCCTGCTGCTCCTGATGACAGAGGATGCGGCGTGTGAATTTCGTCAAGTAGGTTTCATTGCTTCGGGTGCCGCGTTGAGTCAAAAGACGATATATGCGTGGTAAATGGACCACGTCCGTCCCGATGTTGAGGGCATAGGGAAACGGTAAGGGTTTCATTTGTAAGTGTGGGATAGGGATGCAGTAGAAAGTTGCAAAAGACGTTACTCTTGGTATTCAGCCTTCAGCAATCGCGCTCAATTGGATAGTTAGATAGTTAGGGGTGAGTGAAGATTGGACGGAGAGACTCCTTCGAAAGACGCGGATAGCATCAACAAGTGCTCGGACCAATCACGGGCGATTACACGTTTATTAAAGGAATTGTGTGAAACCAAGTATTTAAGTTGCAGTTAGGATTATCTTATGGTAATTATTTCATAGAATTGCAGTAACCATAGAGTGGTAAGGTATCCTCGTTTACCCGGGCCATTATTCTTGTCATTGGCAACAATGACTGCTATGATGAACAACTTGTTCCATGGTGATAATGGTGATGATGTAGATTTATATGTACAATCCCTTTAGTAGAATTTTGAAATAAAAAAAAAAGTAGATTCCTGGATTGCTGTGATGTTTTTCTCTCCCAGCCCCCAATTCAAACGGATTCTTTTCCCTCATCACATCAAGACCAATTGCTTCAACAGTGCATATTCACGGATATGTTCGGCCTTTGTCCGACAATTGAAAATCGACAGTCGGGTCTATAATACAAGCTCGTCGCAGGGTTTAGTGTTTTTGCTCTTTTGCCTCGCCTTCAACACTTTTGAGGAAGTCCCTATATATATGAAGCAGGCAAGCGCCATGGGTCAGTCATGATATTCGAGCTTTTAAATCTTGAACGAAGAACGAATCGGCAGAGGGAAGACACATACTGTATGAATTTTTCCTCGTCCTTGGAACCGGCGTTGATCGGAGGAGTTACGTCCTTCTTCTTACCACCACCACGAGTAGCGAGGTAAACACCGCCGAAGAGCGAGCCAAGAACACCCATGGCAATCTAATTGGGCGAGAAATACATATGTCAGTAAATCCAATCACACGGTTCGTCAACGACGACTAGACTGCAAAGCCGAAAGAAAGGGATGGCGATGATGATGTCGTGGCGGATGGCGGAAAATTATGGTAAACGTACCTGGTGGGAGCCCACTTGGCGACCGGCAATGTTGAAGTAGGCAACCATGGTGAAGGTAGTGGTCGAATTGCTTGTGCTGGAAGACAATTGAAAAGCGCTGGATCGAGGATCACGAAGGAAAGTGTTGTTTCGATATCGCAGACTCGCAGACTGGCAGCCGCTGGTGTTTGCTCTGCAGGATACGGTCTTGGCGCTCTAAGCCTAACGAGGGCTAGCGCAAGGGCTTCCTCACGTGATATACCACCCGACAACTTCCGAGGCAGTTCGGTTGTGGCTGCCTCAGGCCGGGCAGTGCTCCACGGTGAGGTCATTCGAAGATTCGAAGCATCATGCAATTGCGGAGAAGCAGGTTGGTTGCAAGGGAAGAGGGGCAGGCAGGGCATTCCGAGGTCAAAAGCCGCAGCCTTGCTCTCCAATTCATAGAACAGACTTGATAGACCTTCGGAGACCCAGCAACTGTGCTGTCGCGAGCCATCGCCTGATGCCTATCCATGTGCCCGCAGCATAGCCGCAAGAATCTCTTCTCCACTGACGCGTTCTTTACCTTGCTCGACATCCCCGGTCACCTTTACATATCACAAACTACGCTCGTTTCTGCACACAGTCCTGTCACTACATACAGAAAGAACACCTCCTGACACAACCGACTAGCAATGTTCTGGGGTAAGGACAAAGGCGGTGGTGATCAAGATGGGGTCCCTCATACTCGCGATGAGCCTCGTCCCGAGGGCTTAAAGGATCAGATCCCTCGCCAGACACTTCCTCGCAATCTGAAGCAACTCGTCGATCGTGAAGACGACTACTACGACGAACTGTATGCGCCATAGTAAGTTGACCTACCGTTTGTGGATGCCGAATCCTGAAAGGAAACCGGGACAAGAGGAACCCCCCTCTGTGAAGAATCATCGTCTTACTGTGTTTAATCTCAAGCTCAATTGATTCAACACACACCCCGTACCGATATGCAGCCTACGCCAATCGCATCCGCACCATTCTTTTGTCTGCCCACCGTTATATCGCTTATACTTCCGACATTGGCGAGTCATTTCGTCCAGTCGCCCATCCATATCTCGTCCGAAGCGCCTACGCTATTTCGTGGACATATATCCTTGGGGATGTCGGCCATGAAGGATACAAAGCCTACTTACGCAACCGGCGACTTCTCATCCCGCCGGGGGAGGCATATAAGGATGCGACAGACCTCAAAACCAACGACGTTGTTCTAGGCATGGCAACTGGAAACATTGCTGGTCCTCTAACTTCTTCGGCACAAAATGGGTCTGATGCTGGTAGCAGCAGTACTAGTGAAAAGGCTGACCCATTGGTCCCTTGGGCGACTACTCGAATTCCATTGATTGACGATTATCGGATGGTCATGGTGAAGCGTGCCGTGTTTCAGAGTATCGCAAGTATGGGATTACCTGCGTTCACCATTCACTCAGTCGTACGATACTCGGGTCGTGCTTTTAAGAATTCGAAGAGCTCCCTTCTTCGCACCTGGGCTCCAATTGGGGTGAGTCTCTCCTTTCCCCTCGGAGCAAAAAGAAGAATTATCTTGCTTACCTCTTTAAACTTCGTTAGTTGGGTCTGAGCGTCGTTCCCATGTTACCTTCTCTTTTTGACGAACCCGTCGAGCATGCCGTTGACTGGTCTTTCGAGACACTATGCCGTTATATCGGAGGTGAACAGACCGTGCAGTCACCCCCTCCCGCGAGAGAATTGCCAGCAGAGAAAACAACGCCGCTAAGCAAGATTCTCGCATTGCAAGATCAAAAGAAGCGTCACGAGGACAGGAAAGGCGACAGTTCTTCCTGGGAAGAGTTCCAAGAAGATCGCAAGCGTCAAAAGGAGGAGCGGAAGTCGGCCGGTGGTAGTGTTGGCTGGTTTGGCTTTGGTAAGAAAGAGAAAGAGGAGTGAAGTTTCTAGCCATTGGTCCCACATCTGCATAATTAGCAATTGGCTTGTTTCCAAATCCCCTGTCTAAAAATATCCCCCTTCTTATGCATAGTCCCGAGCTGCGATATCATTTTTGCGGGGTTCGATTCATATACCATTTTATAACAGCGTTTAGCACAATTATCTCAACCTTGTAGAATAGTCGCATTAAACATGGAAACATGGACCCCAATACTTTAGGCAAAGAGCATACTACCGCTGAAAATAACAGAAATTCCATCAGCACCTTGAGTGAAAACGCCAGCCGGACCCTATAAACACTAGAAAAATGCACTTTTCTTATACCAAAGATTCAAGGACAAGTCCAATATCTATGCACCAAACTTCCTACTCCTCCGCTCATTCGCCCTCATCTTCCTCTCATTCCTCTTCACCCTCTCCTTACGCTCCTGTCTGCCCGCATTGCGTATATTTTTACCCTCGGCTTCATTCTTCCACTCCTTATCAGGAATCTCCACAAGCCAATCATTCTCGCCGGATTTGTTGGCTCCCTTATAACCCCAGCGAGGAACCCATTCGCCGCTCGCTTCGTCATATACAAGTTTCTTGCGTCGCTCCTTTTCGGCAAGAGCTGCTCCGGGTTTGCTGCTGTATTTGCCAATTCCCTTCTTGCGGGCGAAGAGTTCCCATTTCGTGGGTTCTTTGGGTTTGGGTCTATAGAAAGAGATGTTAGCTTTTGTGTGGGAGAGAGAGAGAGAGAGAGTATAATGGAGCATATGGAATACGCACAGAGGTTTGTATCGTGGTAGTAAGGTGTGATGAGGAGGGAGAGTCAGAAGTACACCGTCCTTTGTACTCGAAGTTACGGGGCATGTAGTCTTTTCACAAAATAGTTAGCTTCTCTTTTTGCGTTCTCGTCATCAAGCGGAAGGCCATACAAGAAGTTGGTTGATTAGCACTTGTGCGCCATCTCGCGCGACAGCTTGCAGACTATCGTTGACATTCTCCGATTTCGGTATGACAAGTGGATTGGGATCTTGCGCCATAAGATGACCGAGGTCGAATGTGTATGGGTTTTCTTTTGTGACGGTGATGGGACTGGAGATGTCAGTTTCTTCTTCTTCTTCCCACACGGTCAAACAAAATATTCTGAAAAATGGGGACTCACAGCCTCGAAGGCTTTGATTGCGCAGAATCTACATCCATCATCTCTGTGGTAGCCATGATTGAGTGCTTAAATGTTCTGCTGTGTTGGTGTATGAGAGTGATTGCTTTTTAATTTTTTTTCTGATAAGCTCGACTTATCAGAATTTCTAGAGCCGCTTTACCGGTTAAGAACAAGCAATAAAAGCGGCACTGCGCCTTTTCCCTTTCGGGGGAGCGAGCGGCGCCAACGAAGGAAAGGAATCTTTTGCTTGGCATTGGCACTCCGTCTCTCCCAAAGCCCGCGTGATATTTATCTATTTTCTAATCCGGCTTCCATTGACCATTCCCATCGTTGCTGGAGAACTCGCCGGCTCCCAGCTCCAGCACAATGGTTTCTCAATTATGCCGGGGCTGCCTTTCAACAGGGCTTGGCCGCACACCGCGAGCCCTTTTGCTGCATCAGTCACTACCGTCACTATCATCGCCAACAACATCATCACTCTTCCATACTAGTGCCACTCGATATGCCAATCCCCTACAGAAAAAACCCAGGGGCTTGGACAACCTGCCCAAATTTCGCGAGTCGAAATCCGCTCGAATGCGCAAGCCAAAGAAGACGGTGGACCGCGGGCGTCCACCGGCCGTCGGGGAACGCAAAGCTCTTCGCAAACGAATCGTGTTGAGCAACACCAACGCTCTCGAGGTGCAGGGCATGCGCGAGTTTTCCGAGGAGACAATGGTTGATTCTCGCATTCGCGGTTCGGTGCTCGCTTTGCCCATGCCTATGGTTACGCAGTTGAGGGCCTTGCAGGCTTTCAAGCCTTCTCAGGGCTGGTCGCTTTTCCGCCGTCCGGGAGTTGTGCTCCGGCGTGAGACACTGGAGCTGGGTAGAATTTTTGAGGGTATCACGGATGGATCGGAGAAGGGTAAAGTGGTCAAGAGAATTCTTACGGGGAAGAGGGTGTCCGGAAAGAGCGTTCATTTGTTGCAGGCCATGGCCATGGGGATTATGAAGAAATGGGTGGTTATCAATATTCCTGAGCGTGAGTCCCTTTTTTCTTTTTACTTCTTCTCACTCCTTACAGTCTGGTGGATTCATATTTCTAACTCATTTGAATATTCAACAGCCCAAGAATTGGTCATTGCCCACACCTCATATGCGCCTATCCCCGGAACAAACCCTGTACAGTATGTGCAAGAGCGAGCAACATCGGACCTGCTGCAGCGCACCGTTCTCGCCAATGAAGAGGTTCTATCCAAACTGCACGTGTCAATGGAACATCCAGGGCTGAAATCGCTCATCCGGCCCAAAATGACCCTGGCCGAACTCGCTCGCCTAGGCGTCCAGGACGTCACCATCTCCTGGCCCGTATTCCAGGCATTCTGGGCCGAGCTCAACGCACCAAACCCTACTACCAAGTCTGAGGACAGCAAACCCACAGCCCGGCCGCCCATTCTAGTAACCGTGGACGGTCTCGCGCACTGGATGCAAGACTCCAAATACCGCAACGCAGACTTCAAGCCCATCCACGCCCACGACCTCGCTTTTGTCAACCACTTCCTCTCCCTTTTAACCAGCAGCCCATCTCAATTGCCCAACGGCGGAATCGTGTTATACTCAACTTCCGCTTCCAACAGCCCAGCCATCCCAACCTTTGACATCGCACTAGACCAATTGAGCGCTCGCCAAAACGGGGTTTCTGAATCATCGCCCGAGTTTCCGCATCCAGACCCGTATGCTACCGTTGACAAGCGGGTTTTGGATCTTTTTAAGCCGAGCACCACCAAGGGAGGATCATCATCGTCATCACTCGAACTGCAAACCCTCGGCGGTCTGAGTCGAGACGAAGCGCGCGGATTCATGGAATATTTCGCGCGCAGCGGCATATTGCAAGAGAAGATTACTGAGGAATGGGTCAGTGAGAAATGGAGTCTCGCCGGCGGTGGGATCATTGGAGAGATGGAGAAATTGGGTAAGAGGTTGAGGACTGTGCTGTGAAAAGAGAAGAAGAAGAAAAAGGAAATATGAAACATAAACTAGCGGTTTTAAGAAATCTGTATTATTATTAACTTTCAGCTTCTCTGTAGTCTTTTTGTTGTTTTGTTTTGATATATTAGCTGTATGATGAATACATTAGACGATATTTTTCTTCACCTAGTTTTTCCTCGACATGTCTTCAAGGTAAGCGATTGGTCAAGATGTAGATCTCGTTATGCCCGCCCTCCCTCTTTCTATACCAATGACTTCAACTAGCTAGCAGTTGTGCTAGAGATAGTTACTGTTGAGAAATCTTGGTGGAGTGGACTTTCAATTCTTTGACTCGGCGTCTCGTGCAAATGACCAGACATCGCAACCTGCATTGCATTGTGGATCGGCCGGCGGTTTTGTCTCTGAATATGACGGCATGGATAGAAACGAATAGAAAGTCCTTGGTTATGGTTATAAACTGTGCAAGGTAATAATAGTCTTTGGTGACTACAGGTCGGGTTTCCGAGCCGTCACAAATCGTACAGACATAGTCGAGCCTTCAGAGGTGATTGTTTCCAGCTTCACCTTCTCGCATAGATCTCGCACCTCGTCTGCAGTCCACTTGCCAATGGCAGTAAGTTGTCGAAGGCTCCTCGCTTCTAACCCTTCCAGGCAGGCAATAAGAACCATCTTCCCCAACGTGCTCTCTCGAGGATCCTGCGACCACATGCCCACCGGCACAGTGACATCGTGAACGGCAATGTTCACAAATCCAACTGATTTCAGAACCGAAGGCTCCATATGGTCGCGGCTACGCGGGAAGCCCAGTGAATCGGCAGCGCTTCGCATGGCGGAAGCAAGAATATTATAGTAAGAGTGGGGATCTGGGTTTGGAGACGTCACGATATTTGCGGCTGGGTCACTCTCGACGACTTCGATATATCCGCCAGGGGTTAGGTGCTTAAAGGCTTGTTCGTACACAGCGTGCCAGTCTCGAAATGCGCCGGATAAGCCTCGAAAGTGAATCAAGTCGAAGGGTTCATGGTACGCCCATGCTTCCTCGGCGTCATCGAGCTGGAAGTGAACGTTTGGGAGACCCAGAATGGCCGGGCCTCCATCAAAAATGCCAATGTCGGTAGCAATTATGTCTGCATCTGGGTACAGCTGACCCATTTCGACAGCCCAATCTCCAGGGCCTGTACCGATGTCTAGAACACGTTTTGGGCCGTGTGGTGGTAAAGGGGCAGTTGTGAGTCCGCCGTCTAGCATGACCAGACAAGCCTGATGGGCGATGCTCAGCCGGGTCTGCTCTGCCTCGTCGTTTGGCATGAAATATGTGCCGTTGCAGTATCTCCGGCCGTTCTCGTAGACGGGCTGGATGCCGGCTTGTGATGCTCTGTTGTTTGTCTCATTAGTGCTAATCTCTCACCAAAGCCAAAACTTTTTCTTTCTTTCTCCTAATCAGGGATTTCCCACATAGAATAAGAACCATAGTCCCCCTCACCATCCTCATCCTCGCCCTCGCCCTCGCCTTCCTCGGGTGTCCTGTTCGATAACGACGCTGCCGTCGCGCGTCTATATTTCAGCTGGGTCCTATCTTCGTCAGAGTCGATGTCGATGTCAGTGTCGGTGTCGGTATCGACAACTTGCTCGTCGAGAGGGCCTCGCTTGGGCGAATGCACCATGGCGGGTCATCTACTCGTAGCAGCAATCCCACTGTACGATAAACGACCGTGATGGGCAGGACTGGGGCAATGTTGTCCGTGAGCGAGGGAGTAGAAGGAAGAACGAAAGAAAAGAAGAGACAAGAGAAAGCCACTAAAGGGCCACACCCTCGACCGACCCCGATTGGGAAGGAGCGTGTTCTGGCCAATGGGCGCATTACATGTATCCGCTCATACAAGCCTTCGATGCCAATAACTAAAACGGCTAAATATACACACACCTGCAACATGCAGCATGCATAAATTACCACTGCGATTCTGGACTACTGCTGCTGCTGCTGCTGCTACTGCTACAGGCAATCTGGTGTGAATGGCGGCCCAAGGCGCCGGGACGGGGACCGGGAGAGCGGGAGGCCTGAGCTGGAGCCAGCGCCCCGGCGCCGAGCTTAATTCAGCGGGGACATGCTACAGTGTACCTGTACGGAGTATTACATACTGGATACTGGCAACAGATTAGTTAGTTAGTTAGTTAGTTACAGCTCACCATGTTATGTTACCCAGGCGGGGGCTGCAGCGTGCATATGCAGCACGACGGACGTACGAGTGAGTTAACTATCAGGGTAATGCAAAGTCAGCAGGATGACTGTCCCATTGCGTGTCTGGCTTGGAGTCTATCTAGCGAGAGACCCGAGGGAACGGGTCAGACTCCGTGAAGCTTCACGGAACAAATTAAAATTACACTCGGGCGTCGGTGTTGGCCTTTTCGTCTTGGAAATTTCCCGTTTGATTCTGGCCTGGCCCGGCCGGCTGGGACGGAGACTCTGAGAGCCTACTGCCTGATTGGGCTAGCTGTATTGGAATTCTGACAGGGTTTTGCGTCGGAACACGTACAGACTTCCACGGAAAGAAGTGGGAGTACAGAGGATGGATGTAAATGGTTTCATCACTGAGGCATGGATGTGAGCCAATCACCAACCGCGCCGCGCCGTAATATTTTCTTTTCCCCGTCCTCCTCCAAATCAACCAGCCTCAGACAAAACACCACGCAGGAGCCTACGGAGGATATCCCGCGATATTCCCGACAATGAAATAACATAACGACCGAATTCGTGTGTCTACTGCCAGTATGCTGTCCACCGCCAAAGTACCAGAACTGAAGATAGTCTCCGGAATATCCTCGTGAAAGACACACACGCGCACACACCAACACTACAAAGACACCATAAGTATCGCCTCCCTGGGTACGAACAAAGAGACAAAATGTCCCCTCAAATCTACAAAGCACCAACCCGATTCCTATTTATCGCGTCAATCGGCAACCCAGCCCCATACACAGGCACAAGGCACAGTGCCGGCCACGTCCTGCTCGATGCCATACAGCCACAATTACACGAGCGCATTGGACTGACGACAGCCCGCTCCTCCTCGTCGTCGTCACTGTCCCGCTCAATATTCTACTCAACATGGAAATCGCCCTCGTTAATGAACGTCTCCGGACCGCCTGTGCTCCGCCAGTTCAAGACATGGGCCACGGAGCGCGAGAAATACTTTACCAATCTAGTCACCAATACCCTGTCTTCTGTACCTCCAACGCTATCGAATACAGGAACAGATGGTAATAACAATAACAACAACAACAACAACAATCATAATCATAATCATAATAATCACACGAACACCATACACGTCCTCAAGTCCTCCTCTACACCCATCACAATCGACATCCGCGCTCTCAAACACCGCTTCCGACCAACCCTCGTAATCCTGCATGACGAACTGGAGGCTCGTCCGGGACAAATCAGGGTTCGACGCGGCGGTCCTCAACAGGCCAGTCTCCGCGGCCATAGAGGGCTGATTAGCATTATGGAAAGCCTGCGGGGTGCTGGTCTACTCTCTTCTTCTTCTGCAGCTGCTAAGAATCTGTCAATCCTGCGTATTGGCATCGGGATTGGTCGTCCCGCAAGTCGCGAACGGGGCTCCGTCTCGGATTATGTGCTCGCGAAAATGGGGGCGGAGGAATTGCAGGCTCTGAGCGAGGCGGTGCCCGAGGTGGTTGATACTTTGGTGCAGGAGATGTATAGGAGGGATGAGGATGAGGTTTAGAGGTTGGTTTGGTTGTATATGTATTGTCGTGTGTAAATACTAAATACGATGTGTGATTAATAATATATAAAATCCCCTTTTTCTTTGTGCCCATTTGCAATACTTCATATAATCAGCTTGCATACTTCATAATGAATGGGAACAGATCAAACAGTCCCCGCAATACTCAAATCCCTAATCTCCTGCAACACCTGCTCCACACGATTATCCAAATCGCCATTAGCATACTGCTCCCTCGTATCCGCATCCAAATACTGCTGCACCTGCGCCATACGCGAATACGCCTCGGCGCAGAACCGCAATTGAATCTTCACCAACGCCTCAAAGCTGGGGTCCAAGTAGGGCACACGCAGGTCAATCAGCTGCGGCAGTTCGTTGAAGAGTTGCTCGTTGAGTTGTTCATAGGCCTGTTTGGCCATTTCGGTTTCGCGCTCGGCGCGCGGCAGCTTTGTGGCGTCCTTGTCGGGCTTTTCGACTAGCTTTTTCACTTTGGCGCGCATTGCGTCGTAGTCGATGAGTTTATGGTTGCGTTTTTTGATGCATTCGTTGATATCCGGGAAGTAGGCGCAGAAACGGGAGATGGGTTCGAGGACCGTTGTTCTTTTCATTTCTTAGCTGCTGCTGCTGCTGCTGCTACTGCTGTTGCTTCTCCTCTTTCCTGTCTAGGAGAATACTCACCGATACGGCCCATCCAAAGCTTTGATTGTCTCCGCGTCCAAATCCTCCACCGCTTGCTTGTAGCTGCGACTCACGCCGTCTCTCGTCCCGGCATCTCCGTAAAAGGCATCGATCGTTTCCGCAATTCGCATTTGAGATGCAGTCATAGCTAGAAGACTTTAGTAAGGAGCCTTAGATATATCCCCCATGATGGAAATCATTCGCACCTCGTAAAGAATCAAGATACCCCTTTGCCTCCTTCTGTAAGCGATTGACAGACGCCTCCATTGTTCGATATCGTCTAGACCACGATTGTTAGACAGAAAACCTGCAAATTCAGCGCCAATGGGTAATATGAATTGGCACCTCTCTTCAATTTCATAATCGCGGTCATTCGTTCTTTCCACATGTCCTGTTATCCTTGTATCAGTCGTCGTACATCCCACCCAATTGCGGGGTTCAAGGGCAGCGAACCCGTCTTCATCATAACCTGCGTCGTAGCGCGGTTGACATTTTTCTTGAATCCTGTAAGATATCGGTATTAGTTATCCTCTCATATAAATATATATAATATAATATAAACTGTGCCAGGCAAACGGACCAGACCACGACATGGCGGCGGCAGATAGACGAGGACTGTTTATCTGCAGGTAGACGGGCACTGAGCCAGTGTCACAATCAATATCACGGTAGGTCGATATAATGGTGCTCGAAGCAGATATCCCAGACAAAGCGAGTCAAGTAGCGAGCGAGCGAGCGAGAGAGAGAGAGAGAGAGAGAGCCTGCCCTACGAGTCAAACTGGTCGGATCGTCGGATCATTCGGGGCTAATCAGAATGCGTGGCGCAGCTGGCGGACTAGGACTAGTTGGTGCTAGTGTGTGCTCAGCCATACGTACGTCATGCGAGAAAACGTCCTTGCAAGTATGAGAAGCATAACTATTGTTTGATTGATTAGAAATATCGGTAAAAATACATCAAAATAATGGGAAAAAATAAAAGAAAACACCTGCAATGTTGAAAGTCGCTTCAACGCCGTCGTTGCCGCATTCTGCCGGACATGTACGTCATGATTGAAAACAAACACCGCCAGTGGAAAAAACAAAAAAAAAAAAAAAGGAAAGGGACAAAAAGCAAGCATGCGATAAAAAAAATAGCAGTGTCGTTAGTTCATCTCGTTCCTCCTGTTCCCCCAAACTTAGTTCAGGACAGAAACTAGTCATGGGAGAGGAAAAGAGAAAATCAATAACTCAGTACGCCTAGAATAAAATACAAACAGAAGAGAGAAAGAAAAAAAAAAAAAAAAAAAAGAGAGGGTAAAACAATGCATCTGCCCCAGACCATGGGAATAAAGTATAGATTGGAAACAAGAAAAAAGGACCTCCGGTCTAGACTGATTATTATGGAACCAGAGAACCTCTTGTATATCACAGTCTGGCCTCCCGCAAAGGAAATAGAAATCGTATGACAAGAATGGAAATGAAATGGAAAACTGATACTAGTATAGTCGTTACTCAAGTCATGATAATGCATATGTTTTTTTTGTGTGTGTGTTGGTTGTACACAGAGTCAGAATGTAGGGGAGTAAGAGAGGAAAAAAAAAAAAAAACAAAGGAAGAGGTATCAGTAGCCTTCTTCACCAGCCTTGCACAGCTTAATCTCACGAACCCATTCAGACTTGAGCACCTGAGACGCGGTGATACGCCGGCCGGGGTTTGGATCAAGAATCGAGTATATGACATTACGGCACCGGGCCTGGGGTAATGTCAGTAAAATGCAAATAGTCATAGAAAAGGTATAGGGGACGAGAAAGGAAAACTGACCCGATGCAGTGTTTCAATAGGCGCGTAGCCGTCTTCGTCCCTACGTCCCTCCAGGTATCGTTCATAAAATTCGTCTTCATCCTTGCGCGCAACTCGCCACAAGTGCCGTCCTGTCCTCATTGCCATGTAGATAACTCCCGTGGCCCACACATCAACCGCCCGAGGATCGAATTCTTTGTCTGTGTACTCTTCGGGAGCAATATACGGAGCAGATCCGCAGAGGCCAGCGGTCATGTGCGCCTGTGTCTCCCACGCCATGCGAAAGCACTCTCCATTACCAAAGTCGGTGATTTTCAGGGCACCATGAGTAGTCAGGAGTAGATTCTCTGGTTTCAAGTCACGGTGTGCAACGCCCATCTCATGCATATATTCGACACCACGCATCAACTGTTTGAAGAAACAATCGGCCTCGGTCACCTCAAGCTTGCCTGCAGCCAATACCAGGGTGTAAAGATCTCCGCCAGCGCAGTACTCCATCACTTCACAGTAATCTCCCTTGGCATCTTGAAGAAGATCCAGCGTGTGAATCACATTCGGGTGACGCAACGACGAAGAGATGCAAAACTCCGATGTCAACCTCTTCTGATACTTCTTGGATGTTTCCTGTGGCCGACGTCGGAACTCCTTGACAGCATACAACTGCTCGAGCTTGGAATCCTTGGGGTCCACCTTGTGAGAGATACGAACGATACCGAAAGCACCACGGCCGACAATCTCCTGGCATTTCCCATATTTGCCGACCAAGGTGGCTGTGGCGTTGGGGCCGCCTTTCTTGTCCTGAGCAAGTCGGTCACGTTCGGTTTTCAATTGGTCGATCCAGCTCGACACTAGGGAAAGTTGCTGCTGCTGGTCATCTGCGTAGTCTTCTTTTTTCTTGCCACCGCCTAGCATATCTCGGAGGAGTCCAGTCAGCTTTTCCTGTCGTTTTGTTCCCCTCAAATGATGCAAGTGTGACCCTTCCGGTACAGTCTCAAAGCGCTTGTGCACGGGGGCGTCTTTGTCTTTTGTGGTTCGCGCTTTCACGGCACCGTCACCGGCCTTCTCGTTCACAGCTGCCTGGAAAGGTTGCGGCTGAGCGGTGGTAGAAGGAGACAACCGCACTGCACCGTTGGCAGATGGCTTTGCCCCCTCGGAACTGGACTCAGAGCCGACGTCGCGCCCTTGTCCGTCCGCGTCTGTTCTAGGGTTGGTTGTCTTTCTGTCGCTAAACATGCGGGTTATGCGATGGGCCATTGACGGCTTGACGGCCTTGGCTTGCTGGGGAGGTGGTAGAGCATCGCCGTTGGTGGGCGTGGACAAGCGCATGTCCTCCAACGCGCGGGTCACCTGGTGGTCCCCATTGCTGTGGTCTGTCGAGGCGATAGAGGGGGCTGTTGAAGAAACAGTAGAGGAAGGAGCCGGCGAAGCAGTTGGGGGAGTCATGTGCGTCCCGGTGATGTTGCGCAACAGCGGCGCCGCGTACACAACTGAAAGAATCGCCACGAAGCCCACGCCGGAGGAAAAGGGGGAAGAGCTGATCTTATTTCAAGCTTCTCGGATCTCTTGGGTGTTTGTTGAATGTGTCAAGACGAATGAGCCGTTGCAGGAAGAAGAGCGGCGAATTGGAGGTGGGTTGGAGGGCGGTGGACACGGAAGGGAAAGGAAAGTGACGAAACCGAGGAAAGGCCACAGGCGCGATGAAGCGGAATGCTGCCTGGTGTGTCACAACCGCCCTTTTCTTTTATAATAATGTTCGCCTCTGTTGTTGCTCGAGACTTGCAGTTATTTATTTCGCGAGTAGCACAGAAAAAGAAGGGAAAAAAAAAAAAAAAAAAAAAAAAAGGGAGGCAGCAATAGTCGGGTTTGCAATCGGCCGTGCAGGGAGAGAATTTCTGTGGGCGGCCCTCGCAGACTCGGGACACGCGCTGAGTGCCGGGCGGGAGAAAAGGACGACGACGAAGAGAAGAGAAATTCCGGGTTAATAAGCAATGCGACTCTGCCGGGACCACATGACTGGAGTCTGAAGGTGTGGACAAAGGCAAATTGGTGGGAGCGAGAGAGAGAAAGAGAGAAAGGAAAGATAGGAAATATGGAGTACAACTATAAAATGTGTCTGGGAGTGGCTTAAATTGCGACAGACAACCGACCTGGACGACGACGCGGTGAAGAGGAGTAGCTCATTTTGGTGTGTGGCTTCGTTGTGGGCACGCTTCCCTCTTTTTTTTTTTTTTCCGCCTGCTGCCTTTGCTCCTCCGTATTGAAAATTGTGGTTCGCCCCAGAGAACGAACGTTATTTGGGTGGGAAAAAAAAAAAAAAAAAAAAAAGAGAGCGCGCGCGCGCGAGAGAGGAGAAGTTGGTTAGTCATCTCCAAGTTAGCCACTGAACCTAACGAAGGTAAATTACCAACCCCGGGTCACTGACATTACGGCCGGAGGAGCGTAATATTACCGGATGACTGCAGGCGCACACGACAATTTGTCCCAAATTTGTGGCTTTTTTGCAGATGCCAAGAGCGGAAATTGCAGACTATTACCGACGTCAACTTGGCGGCGGTCAGCCTTTGTGACTCCCTTCGTACGAAAATTACGCCAGCTAGCAGAACGCTGTGCCACAACACTAACAAACAAGCGCTTCACCGTCTGGACGATGGATCTAATGAGTTTAACGGCCAGGTGACGTCGCAGCGCGAGACTTGCACGAACTAGAAGTCTATAGTGGAACCCATTTAACTAGCTAGCTGGTCTGTCGGTTTGCTTTTGATTTCTAATGCTCATCCATCAATCCCAACTTGGCTCAGCTGCGGCTGTGCATATCATGACCTCATTTGATCAATCCCTATCAGTGGCGTGGCCATGCTGGCAGACAATCTTCCTATTTTCCTTTCGCTAGCTGCATCTGCATGTAAGAGCAATCAGCCTATCAGCCAGAGTGGTAGCTCCCAAGCCGTGCGCTTTTAAACCAGACCGTGTGTGGCTTTTAGTTTAGCTTGCCATTTGGCATTGAGACAAGCTCCGCCGAGCGAGGGGTAGCTAGTTATATCGGATACCGAATATCACTTTTGACCAGCTCACAGGCATATATTTACGTAGATATACGTATATATATATATATCTATATATATATGGGTATAATGCGATGTAACATGCAAGCAAGGTAGCTTATAGCGATACACTCCGACTTGCCCCGAAGGATGCGAATATCAATAATATCATACGAACCACCCCGGCAAATGCAGCCACTCCAGTGCTAAGAAGCACAGCCATAAATGGGCCGTGCCACGCAGGCTCCAACGTCATTTTCATTTAGACGTCAGCTATGATGGTGTTCACTGATGGATTTAGAATTGTTGAATCATCACGGCATTTCCAATCCTGAATGACCACAGGTAGCAGTCATAGCAGTCACACCGGGAGAATTCTGAGACGGACACCGCTAGTACTTCCAGTTGTTACGGACCCTCCCAGTCAATACAACGATCATAGGCATAATTCCCGATGGTCTGACTGACGGTCATGATATCCCGCCTATCATTCCCTTGGGAACAAACCCAGGTGACCGGGATTATCCCCGTCGAGACAAAAGTATACATGTAAACATTGGCATTACCTGGATTGACTTACTATAATAGTATAAACCCTGACACTCTCTGATGATTGTGCGAGGGGTAACGAAACTACGTAACTACGTTGAGTTGGGCTAACGTTGGCCCATACATAGGTTGGCGTCGTGTAATTTCATAGGATAGTTTGCATACCGTCTTATTACCTCGTAAAATAAATAAACCTTGGACGGATAACTTAGTGTTATGAGACATTTAATCTCAGCCATTAGAATACACATATATATACAAGACAAGGCAAGGAAGACTTGCTTTTTTCTGCTACGTGCATGAAGCTTCTTCCTTCCATCGAGTGATACAATGACCTCGGAATGAAGGAGCATGACTCGTTTGCGCGGGGGGGGGGCATCATCTAGTTCTTACTACGGAGTAAGTGACTGAGGGGTAGGACTCTTCCGATAGTTAGTTAGTTAGCTAGTTGGCCAACTAGTTAGTAGTCATTGGTTGGTATGACAGCCCATAGCCAGATTGCTAGCATATCATGAGATGGTCTCGGTATTAGGCGTCCGATCCATACCCGTGTCGAAATACGTTGGAAGGATATGTCCCCGTCATGCCATGTCGTCTATTCTATGATTTCGGGCGAATAAAGAACTAACTAATAGAAACTCTCCACAATACTCTCTTTATTCACATTGCCCGTACCCAATCCCTTGGCTCCCATCTCTCCCAGTCGAAACACGCTTTCAACCACACTCAGCTCTGTCGCCGTCGTGTCCAGACCCGTCACGGCAAGCCAGTCATTCACCACCATCCCGGCACCGACCACAGAACTGCCGCGATTCACACTGCCAGCGACAAGCGGCACTTGCAGGAGCGACGAGAGCTCGTCTTGGTCTCGAATGGACGTCTTGGGGTGCACGATTCCGCCTTGGTTGGAGAGCGCCATGTATGATCCTGTGAGCACGTTGTCCGCCACCGTCTGTCGGAATACTTCTACGCCGAGGACATCTGCAATTCTGTTTACCCCATTAGCTACTAAACAAACCCAATAACCCACATGAGAGAAGGGCGACAGGTAACTCACATTTCCTCCGTCTCCCGCTCCAAATCAGGATGTATCAGCGCCACATGGTCATTGCAACATATCACATTACCCAAGGCAGACAGCCGCTCTTCGACTCGTTGAACCTTGACTGTGTCTGGGATCGAATTTCGCAAATGTTGCAATTCTTGATCTGTCGTGGATGTGGGCACAAGAAGACCCTTGCGGTTTCTGCACTCATTCCAATCCAACCATTAACATTCACTGAATATGAGAACAGGGAAAACGTAAAAAAAAAAAAAAAAAAAAGGGGGGAAAGGTAACATACCCCGCCGTTAATCGGCCAACTATGCGAGTTCCAGCAATTGTAGCATGGCAAATAGGAATCACGTCTTGTAATTCAGCTTCGAATACACTGTATACATACATAATTAGCATGCAACAACTCTATGCACAGAACAGAAAGAAAGGAAAGAGGGCATACCTGTAAAAGTTCTCCGATCCTCCAATGGCAACGATGGCATACGAGTTTGTCAACGTTGAAAAGACTCCAACTCTGAGAGGACGCACACGTGAGCAAATATGAATCAAATAAATCATTGGATCGCCCTTACTCATTAGAATTCTCGAATTGTGCGCGAACAGCCATTTTTCCCTGTATATTCTGTGTGACGTCGCTAGATGTAGATAGTATTTTGAAGGTTGGCCAAAAAGGAGAGGTCGATTCGTCTGGTGATTAAAATTCGCGATTAGAACAATAAAATCAGCTGGTTTTTCTTCTGTTTTGTTTGGTCTGAAAGACCCTCGTCGTCTTGACTGATATTCGAGTAGCTTTATAATAAAAAGATCTTCTGGTGGCGGTTACTTTTTTGCTCCGGCAGCCCCGCACTCATAGCTCCCGCTAAGCCCGATTTCGAATCAAGAGTCATTTCGACTCATTTTGATCGCTCCTGACTTCGCCATTGCTCTTGTCCGCCCTCTTATACAATTTCCTACCAACTATGAGTGCACTTGTACTTCTTTCATATGCATCTGAATCACGTGATAGATAGTATAATGGATCACATGGCCGAGGGGAGTCACGTGTCGTTGTCCTAGAATTTTACCCACGTGATTAGCCCGCACTTCAAGTCACATGACTAAATTTGTACTTATAGTGTCACGTGAAGCTATGGACCTTTGTAAGCTCTTTGATTGGTGACCTAGCTGCGGGTAGGCTTACCCGATCAGGTGGTAGCTTATTTTAGCGCATTATGGATTTTGATGCAAGCCTCAAACTCCCACGTCAACTTCCCTGAGGGAGGGTTCAATAAACTGCTTTCGCTAGAACCAAACTTGGGACATATCTGTACTTGGGTCTCGGGACTCAAATCTCTTGGCGACAATGAACAGGCTGAAATAGAACGAAGAAGTAGGTCAGAAGGTACGACGAATGTGTTTATTCATAACACAAAGTTACCAAATATAACATTAAAAAAGATAGTAATATGATTTTCAAAATAAAAGCAGTAGGGAAAGAGAAACAAAAAAAAAAAAGACAGAATGATTCCCCCTATTGTACAACCCCTATGCTTTGATGTGAAGCAGAAATGCCCGAACGTTGTAATTCTTCGTCAAGTCCTTTGGAGGATGACGGTAGTCGTGATGATGATGGTGATCGTGGTGGGGTTGAAGACTTGTGTCGCTTTGTAGGAGATGTATGTCCCTTTTCAATTCCTGCGTCGGAGTTCTCGTTGCTATTATTCCCCCTCTTGCGTTTGCCTTTGACGTCATTATCGTTGTCATCCTCATCTTCCGATGCATTAAGATCGTCGTTTTGCTCGCTTGGTGAATCTTTATCATCATCCATGACAGCATCTTGGGGCGTCCCCAGCGCCGACTCATCTTGGTGGTCCTTGTCCTTGTCCCCTGCTTTTCCGTCGTGGCCCCCTTTCCTCTCCGCTTTTCGCTTTTCATGCGCTTTATGCTTGGCCACGGCTTTCTCAAAATATTCTTTGCAGTACTTCTTGATTTTCTGCTGCTGTTTTTCGGAAATCCGGTGGATATCCTCGACTCGATCGTGCTTGAAGTCCGAATCAACCAACTTTGTGGCGACCTGTCAAATGAAATTAGTTAACATAACACAGTTTGTTATCTGGTCGTATAACTTGCCTCTTTTGCATATCTCTTCAAGTCCTCCCTAGGGAGCTTCTTCTTAAACTTATCCACCACATACTTAACATAAGGATGTATCTGCGTGCCAAACCAATTAGAGGATGGTCATCAGACAACTAAGCGAATTCATTCTTACCGTATTCTCATATATCTTCTTTTGCTTTTCCTCCGCATAAGACCTCCATGACTCCTTCTTCGAGTCCGCTTTCTGCGGTTGGGGTGTACCTGGAGTGCTCGTCCTGTCACGCGGAGTTTCCGTTCGAGATTCCATAATCGTATCGATAATATCTTGGAAATGCTTCCGCTTTAAAGAAGCAACCGCTGGCAACTCAGTTGCTGGAAGAGTCGGCCTTTCGTATTGACTATGGCCATTGACGGTATAATATATCGGCCTCCCGTCGACGTCTGACCTCTCAGACCAGCCTTGAGGTAGCGCCGATGGTCGTGGAAAGCGAGGACCACGATTATGCGGAACAGTTCGCCCACCACCACCGCCGCCGCCTCCAAAACCGCCTCGTGTCTGCGCAGCAGGTCCACGGGGAGGCTCAATGGAACGTGATCTCGATCGTGATCTCGACTTGGATCGATTGCGATTATCATTTCCGGTCGTCTCACGGCGTTCAAATTGACTAACCACCTGCTGTGTGGACAATGCAGTGGGATCGCGTTTCATGCGAGGAATGCGGTACCCAACTTCCAAATTCGACCACACCTCCAAAAGCGACGAAGCCTGCTTTCCGACACCATCATCTTCTGATGCTGTTAATGGCTCAACTGTCGATTCAATCCCGGAGTCGATGATTTTGTTTCGAGTGAGGGCCGGTAGCTTGGACAATATTTCGAGAACTTGCAGTACCACATTGATATCACCTTTCCACATGCTAAGCTGGGAGTTGAGAATTCGGTACCCGTGCATCTTTACGACACGGTTGAGGGCGCGTTCGTCATCGCATCGCTGAATCCGACCCAAGAGTTTAACTGCAATCCATTTCTCAGTGCACTGCATCAGAGCAGCCATAACCTTCGTGACACCGTTTTCATCCAAAGACTTGGGTTGTACGCTTTCGACATATTCTTCATCGGGCTCTTCTGTCTTCCTCTTACGAGGTTTCTTGGCAACCGCAATATCCCAATCGTCGGAATCCTCAATACCGAGGGCTTCGATGGTAGCATTTGACAGTTTCGTTGCGCGCTCAGTCTGCGTCTTGCCACCAATGAATCCCGTACAGTTCGGTTCACCACAATAGCAAGGTTGAGGATCTGCTCCATATCGGTCAACGTTATAGTTGAAGACAAGTTCCTCTCCAGGTTGGATGTGGCGTTCAGCGAAAATCCCCATCCGAAGCTTCTCGCCTACGACCCATTTATCGACGTAACAGTTTGGATTGCAAGAGTGGTTGCAAAAGCGCGCCAAATTCCCTTTCTTAGTAGCGTCCACAAATTCGCCTTTGTTCAAGGACATGAAATAGAAATGCTTGATGCCTTCTTTGTCGTACTGTATCATGCGGCGCCGAAAGTTAGTCTCATTAATAACTTCCCCGATATACTCATAGATGAATTGATGAGGTCGTATTTCAGATTCGGCGCGAAGGCCAAACCCTTTTTTGGCTGTTTTGATTACAGTCACGTTGGCGTATTCTTTTCGTTGAAAACGCTGGTTCTGGCAGCCTTGGCCACAGCCACAGTCGTCCAAGCACTCGATTCTTGTAGCTCGGTTGATGCAGTCCGAGTCCTCTCCACAAGCATGATTTGTTTGTCCATCTAGGGGCAATTAGTATATAAGCCTCGAGGTAGGGTCGATTTGAAGATGAAGAGAAAGAAAGAAAGAAATTATGATGGGTAACTTACCCCATTCTTCAGAGCAATCGCATTCCATGGCATGCTCAGTATGCCCCATGTACTTGCTCCCATAGATGCAACCATCGATTACCTCAAAAGTTTGACAGGCCTCGTTGACGCTGTCCGGTAAATGACCGAACAGCTGAGGAGGCCGAGCAACCACCTTTTGAGACGAGCTGCGAGCAAGCTTTGGCGGTTTGCCCGGCTCTTGCTTGAGGGTAATGTCACCCCCGATACTACTAGTCATCACGGCTTTCTCTTTCTCGTCACTGTCATTTTCGAGTTTCATCTGTGGCGAGTTACTTGAGCCTGACACCTTGTTGCTGGCAGGCGATGATGAAGACGATGACGCCCTGGCTGGTGTGGACGCATTTTTGCTTCTATCGGTAGTCTCCATGTATGCCGGAGAACGAAGGGCGCCCGCTTCAGCCTCAGATTCAGTCTTGACGACGACAGAGCGCCCATTTGAAAGACCATCAGATGCGACCCGCAAAGAGTCTGACTTGATGTTTACATCGTCGCCGGGCGGCATGACGATACACCTGGGCTGGATGCTCTGGAGCGAACTTTCTCAATCGCGAGGGAGAAGGCAGTCGAGCAAATGGAGAAAGCTCGAGAGAAGGCGAAGGCTTCGGCGGCCCATCGGGGGGCTGCGATTGGCTGCAGGCCAGCGCCAAGCCTTGTCTAACCAGAATTGCCACGATCGCCTTCTGCGTATTTGTTTTTTTCCTTGTGTCTTTTGCGTCGCGGGACTGGCTGCTGCAAGACACAGGAGACGGTCGGCCGTCGATATATATCTTATGTATAGCACGGCGCCATGCCAGCTAAGAATCCTCCTGGAAGGGAATGCAGTGGAATGGCTGCTGGCGCTGGTGTTGCTTGTTGACTGGGAAGGGAGTTGCAGAGTCGGTCTTAAGGGACCACACTAGTCCTGTCTTGGAATCGCGCCCCTTGTCTGGCTGCTCTCATCTGTGATTGGCTTACCCAGCCATAGCAGCGATTCTTATGTGCAGGCAGTGAAGCTGTAGGAAACGCCTGAGGCATTCTGCTCTGGCTGGGACTCGTAACCTGGATGTGCTTAGTTATAAGTATGTATGTATGTATATATATGTATATACACATACATATATACACATACATATATACACATACATATATACACATACATATATACACATACATATATACACATACATATTTACATATATACATGAAGTAGACAGGTCTCCGTATATATATCCAACCATTAACTATGACAATACTCCCAAACAGACTGCAGAGGATGAATGGGTTGACTTCTATCTGGCAAGGGCTGAGACGACTCCATGTTGGGGCCTTAGGCACTGCTCGCAGGGCATTCGTCGGGCAGGCACGACTCGACCTCCGCGCCTCTTCCTTCCCTCAGATTGCCTCTTGGATTCTTCCTACACATTAATTCTTTGTTTCCCTGCTTTCTTCTCCTTCTGTATTCATCAATTGATCGTTGCTCGGTCGGGGCAAAGAAAGCTGCCGTGTGATTTTTGCTTTCAATCCAGACATATCGAGGATGTCACTGTCCGGCGTTGTAGATAGCCTCGGATCGGGCGCATCGCCAAATGCAGAAAAATTCAGATCGCTTTGCGCATGATTTCCTATGAGTCGCCAGGATCCATCTGCCTGGACATTTATAACCATTCCAACTTCAAATTGCTCAATGCTTGGAAAGCTGATCCCACCGTCAGGGATGTCATGAGCGAGCCAACGTCCTGCAGCCGCCCCCAAGCGGGAGAAACATCTATGATTCGCGACCCCTACTTGGTAGAAAACTAAGGGTCCTTGTCTGCATGCATGCGATGCTCTGGCTCTTGAGGCCGTCAGTTGACCTATGACTGGTCACTAGTGTTGGAAGCGCAAGAGACGCCACCGAACAATCCTCGAATCCTGCAAATACAACCCAGCTAATCTTGCGGACTATCTACTTCGTACTTTCTTACCAGCCTTGGTAGTGGCACTGGCGATACAAGCAGGGATCACTACACTTGTCTTAGACAAAACAGGACCCGATGACCAACACTAATGATGGTATAGTACATACTTCTTCCCCTTTAATATGCATTTTCGACTTACTACACTCACGCTATGATTTTCTACGCGATGAATCGACTGGAAAGACCCCGACTGTCGGTGCAGTGGGGCCCAGAGTCGCATCAATGAACTCGCCCACGTTGCGAATTTGCGTCGGCCCGCCGCAGTGGATTATTTGCTGATATCATCCTGAGTATTGCTGGAGATTTTTTCTCGAAAAGGATTTTGGCCTTGTCACTCTGGCCAACGGCCTGTCATTTACATGGTTGTTTAATTCCATTGCCTCGAGTTAGAGTCACGATCGCATATGATGGACGTATTGGCTGAACGCGATTCTTTTGATTAAAGCGGACTTGCTAGCTGCATGCATCGATGCAGTCTAAAGCAGCCAGCTTGGCCTTACACTCCCATCACTCCCGACCCTTTGAGATGCACTTGGGCTTGTCATCTGGAGTTTCGCATATGTATTGAAAATTCCCTCCCCCTTTTACCTTTGACAGAAAAGGGCACGAGATGGTCGGAAGCGTTGTGCCGAGGGCTGACCTTTGCGAAGGCTAGAAAGGAAAGGAGACACTAAACATGCATCTAACGCCAACTAATGTATGACGGAGGAGCCAGCGCGTGCAGGAAATATTAGTTACATGTTGCCGACCTCAAGATTCTTTGTCAACCAACCATCCACCACGCACGCACTGGAGATGATTCCTTGCCCCCGCCCGCACCAGGCTGAATACATACGACATGCAGACGCCGGATTACTCCTAGTAGTAGTAGTGAGTATGCTTTTTTTTTCTTCCCTCTTTTTCTTCCGTGCTACCTAGGTATGTACCGAGCTCGACCATTCACGGCGACTATTGTACAACAAAAGAGGACCAAAAAGTGACAAATATTATTGCGGATGATGCGGCTGTGCTGTGCATATGGTGGCGACGGCCAAAGGCAAGCCAAAACCTAACATTTAGTTACCTGCATGCCCAAATGTTCTGGTCAAACCGCAGGCGACACATGCTTAGTTCTGATTCAAATTCGAGACAAAGGGCATGTGCGACGTCTATCTGATTGATCTGACTGATGTACTTTGCTCTTTCACTACGCTTGATTTACTACGAAATACGAAGAAATCATCCGCTGAAATGGAGTGAGCATGTGACTGAGATATCTATGCACGTGTCAAACGTTTTCTTTCAAACATTCGGTTCATTGCTAGCTAAAACAAAGACCGCAGACAGATACCAGAGTACGTTGTTCATCGCAAGCCTCGTGCTTCGGACTGAAACTAGTCACATAAATATTCTACTTCTTAGTATTCGAGCAGAGGCCATCAGACACTTATCTCAGACGTGTGTCGTCGATAGTAGTTACCATATTAATAGTATGCTTAGTCTATACTATATTATTGCATTCCCCCCCTCCGTATATTCTCCGTACGGCTTCACTACCTAGTACCTACTACCTATGAGAGTACTCCCTCAGAACAGACTTGGACCCAGCACTGGTGGGTCAAACATAGGTTCCAACTAAGTGGTTGTTAGAACTTAGTCGCTTGAGATGAAACTCACTATACTACGGAGTAGTATGAATTATAATGCTCCGTGCTACCGTCTACGTAGTATGGTGCGTTTACTAGGAGTGTGTTTAAATAAAAAAAATTAATATATGCTGCGGGGCGGTTAAGTGTTGGTTCGCCAACTCACTAATCGGCGGGTAAACTACGGAGTTCCTGTAATTTTGAGTGGTACCGGTACGGGTACCTGGATCCCTTTATTTTATCTATTTGAGTTGTCCACTTTGAACAGGTTTCAAGGATTGACAAATAACGACGTACCCAGTCGATGGTTTAGAGGCTTGAGAATAATGACCGTCAATCGATCCCAATTTGGGATATTTCTTGTCTACCACGCAGTCCTCGTATCGCCATTACTCTGCGGAGTAACTACGTGTTATCAACTTATTATGTATATATTTGTACCCACCGGCGCCGACATGATTGGCTGGCAGCGCGACCCAGGCGGGAAGGGAAGTTTCTTCTTCTACCCGCTGCAAGTCACTTTTCTAGGGCGAGGGCTAGTAAAACCATATCCGCTTGATTCTCATGCGTATTTCTTCGTATATTTGTTACATTGTTTATTAGTATATGACTATATGCCATTCTGTGTTTGCATGAAACGAACGCGCCTAACACGACCTGTCCGTAATATATACGAAGTTGTATATGTACTCCGTGCAGTGCATCGTTTCAGTATCACGACCTGCCACCCAGTCTCAAACAGGGGAGAGCACTGATCAACTGATTGTTCAAACCGACAAATAAGTGGGCCTCCTTCAACGTTTACTCCGTAACCCGACTCGCTGAAATACACTGTACGTACCTTGTACGGTCTATAAAAATAGATGGAAAGCGTACTATAGGATTATTATATGCATGCATGCATGCTCGCTCGGCAACTTGCATATCCCTTCAAACGAATCGAAATCATGCGATCCATATCGACATAGATTTTGACTTTTGCCTTCTGTCAAATCAGGTTACTTTTTTTTTTTTTTCCTCGCCTTTTTATTCTTCTTCTTTTGTGGCATTTGCTATGTCGAGAGGTACCAATTTAGATCGATCAGCGATCCCCCTTTGCCGCGCGCGCACACTGACACATACATATGCGGGTTTCCCGTTCCACGTACATACATATCCACGATACGTATCTTTTTTTTTTTATCTTGCTGTTGCATGACATGAGGCGAGATATTTATAGTATCCAAACAATTGGCTATAATAGTCTTGACAGGTAAACTAGTTACATATTCCGCCTGCATGACTCCTCTGTTCATAGTTAGAAGTTCTACAAGATCGTTGTCACTTGTCAAGAACACAAACCCCTGTGAAAAGACTGTCATTGATACATTACGCAGTAATATACTCTGTACTCTGTGCTTTTATTTGATAAACTTACGGCGTAGTCGAAAAACCTTTTTTTTAATCTTTGCCAAAGAAAGTAAATGTCCGCGCCCCAAAAAAGCCCCAAGAGAGGTCTAGAGTAGAAGCTGCATGGAAGCCGCGATCCTTACCCTAGAGAGCTTAGACGCTTATTTTGTCCTGTGGCAATTGGCTTGACGGAGTAATAGTTCTTATTTCTTTACAGATCATTGTTTCGCTTTTTCTCTCTCTTATTTTGATTGATCTATTCCAGCTCTTCCGGGGGATTTTTATAGCCCCCCTTAACGTGACATGTAGTTAGATGTTAGACTTAAGGGGAAAAAAAACATTATTCTACTGCGTCTTTATTAAGTAGATTTTCGTTAATACTAATTAACTAGCCAATATATAGTGGTATTGGTATGGTATTAGCTTACTAGCAAGTTTTCCTAGTCCGGAGCCTCGGGACTGGAAACAACTAAAATACAGTAATTATCTTACCACCGTGGACCAGGTAAAAGAGCCGGGAAGTAAACAAACAGGAATAAAGCCCAAATTAAGATATGTTTTAGCTCCATCTTGTTCCCTGCAAATCTCGAATGGGTTGTTGATCTCGCGTGTACGCTCCTTCCTCGTTCCTTCCTTCCCTTTCCACTTGACTACTTCCCTCCTTCCTTCCTCGTTCTCTCCCATCCCCTCCGCTCCTTCCTTCTTCCAACAAATCCCCCCCCTGGCCCTTTCGACTCACCACCACTTCTTTCTTTTTCTTTTCCTCCCCTCTTCTTCTTCTTCCTCCTCCTCTTTCCTCTCTACCTTCGTTCTTCTCTCTCTCTCTCTCTCTCTCTCTTCACAACAATGCTTCCGTGGCTGTGGCGCTACTAGTCATACCTACTCTCGTTTCATATTCTGTATACTTGTCGTTTGGCAACCTACTACATCCAACGCGCTTACAAGCCGCAACTCGCTAGCCGAGGAAAAAGAAACGACAAGTCTAGCTCGTTGCAGAGAACGCGCGCTGTCAATGGGCTAGGCTGTGAATCCTGTGATATTACTTGCTCTCGTTTAAAAGTCTTTCGTTCCTTCACGCTCGCCCGCGCAGCATATTTATATTATATATATATATATACATATCTGCGTAACAGATTGCATTCATTTCGTGCGTTTCGCCATACCGCTGACGTCGGTGATATATTGTTCGTCTCTTCGCCGCGGACAGAAACCGGATTCTTCCCTGGACGTCGGCATATATGTATAAATATAGATCTCTTATATTTATATGTATATACATATGATCTACTTCTCGCTCTTCTGTCCTTCATGAATTCGACGTCTACTTGTCAGCTTTCCCCTTTGCACCTTCCCCTCGGCTTATCTTCCTGCTGTGTCTCTATCGACTGCACCTAACCTCCACTAGCTTCTTCCGCGTAACTCAGCAGGGGACTAGACGCCTCAATCACGATTTCTGGGAGGTTTATTTTGGTCCAGTTTTACGATTTCTCGTCCTTGTTTGCGTTGCCGCTGTTGTGTTTCAAGTCGGCTGCCTGTTGTGTCTCTACTACCTTCGTTAAGCTTGGAAGCGGAAAGCATTCCCACCTTTCTCTCTCTCTACTTTTTTTTTTGCGTGTCTCTGCCTGCGGTAGCACTATTCGATTTGTCAAAGTCGGCCGCGCATTTTCACTCCCCATGAATACCGGGACATGTCGGATCAACTTGGCCGAGATTGGACAGAGGAGGAGAAGGTACGCCTCCTATTTCGTCGGCTGAGATGGCTAATTCTAGCTACATCCATGAAGATTAAATGACTAACACACCAGGTATGATTACAGTATTCTCTGCTTACTGTGATATTGAGGAATGCCGGTGTACCCTCAACTTCTCTCTTTGGGATATTTCGACAGTTTAATGTTTCACCACCATGGCCGGATATGCCATTGCCTCCAGGTATAGTGGCCGCCTTTCACTGATGACTGCTATTCCGAGACGATTCTCAGCCACGGTGAACTTGGCTGGTGTGATTAATTCAATGCTGACCCCAGCTTAGGTCGCTCTTTAAACGAATGTCGACAGCAATTCGAATCAATGTGGCAGACGCATCAGTCTCAACCTCCACTTCGTCCACCAGAGTCATGGCAGGCTCCCCTCCCACCAACTGCATTTCCAGCTACCCAAGCCGGCCCAGCAAACGTGAGTTTTCACCACCCGCCTCACGACAGCTTCGGGTCACGGAAACGACCGCTTTATCCCCCAGAGAGGCCTCCTAATTTTCCGCGAGCGATCCAGCCTCGACCGCCCCTTGGTGGTGGACAATTGAGTAGCGAGAGTGGCTCTCCAGGCCCGACTTCTCCAGGTTGGAGTGAAGGCGTTATTGGTAAAGGCGGAGAACCTCCACGAAAGCGCGGTCGACCGAGTAAGGCAGAAGCCGAACGGCGCAAACTAGAGGCGGAAGCCCGTGGTGAGAGCTATCCAACACCTCGACGCAGGACCTCAATGGGCAAGCTCCCAGTCACTCCTTCGGGAGCAGCTAGCGCTACGAGCGATAGTTCAATGGTTTCGCCAATGATGACTGCACAGACCCCGGAAATGTCCAAGCAAGAGAAGGCGCTGGAGACACCTGCGACAAGAGACGGGTCGACATTGAACCCTCCATCACATATTCCAGAAGTGGTGCCTGATACAGATCCAGTGAGGGGGATAATTCGGTCACAGACGGGTCAAGATCGCAGACTGCCGCATCCTCGTGAATTCTCTTCCCAAGCAGCACTACCTCACGAGTCAATGTATCCCCAAACTAGAGCTTTGGAGCATCATTATCACAGCGTGTCTACGTCACGACCAGAGGAGAACACTATGCAACCAACAACAGTCCGTCATATAATTCAGCAGCCAGAAGCGGAAACTCATTCGAGTGGGGGAGGATATTTGCCGGCAATAACTCACCCTGGAGGAACGACGACGTGAGGAGAACTAGACGATTTTGGATTGTGTCATGATAATGATGATAGCGACAAATGACGACTCATAGACTCTTTTGTTTTGTTGTTCTCAGCCTTTTTGTTACAGAAGGAAATTCGATGTTTGTTTACGAAATGTGGAGAGAAAGAAAGAAAGAACGAGCAAACGCAAGGACGAAAGAAGAAAAGTTGATTGCGAATGGCCGATGCCTAAACGAATTTGCGCACACCTCGCTTATAATGATATAAGGAGCATAATGCTTGACGAATGTCGATGAATGCTTCTTCACTAAGATGCATGTATCATGCTTATTCAGAGTTCCCCTCCCCTTTTTTTTCTTTCCCATCTGGCCAACTTCTCTCTGTGTTGGCTGAATTCTCGTCGATTTCGATACGTTTATTTTCCACAAAGCGGTCATTTTTAATGCGAAAGTGATACGAAGCAACGCTATTTTTACGCGTCTGTTTTATTTTTTCTCCCTCATATTTGCTTTACTTGTTAAATTTGTTTTTCCTGCTGTCTATGCTGATCAGGACATGTAAAAGTCTTGATACCCAACTATCGATTTAATGATTGTACGGGACATGATATTGTTTACCTCTGGCTCTATTCTCTGTGTCTAATTAACTGCAGTCATATCAATCTCTTGTTTCTTTTATTTAGATGTATATGCGTAATGATTGCTTTTTCTTTTTGTGGGTGGTGGTCTTGTCTGAAACTGTTTGCTATACTACTTTCTCTCTTCCTGTCTGTCTAGACGGATATGTGTAATGTACATTAATCTTTATCAAGGGAAGACATTGATTCTTTATTCTTTCCGTCCTTCACTGATAAATCATACATCAATACCTACGTAAGCTCTAATCGTTGGAAGGAAGTATAAAAATGCAAGTTTGCAAATAGCATGTACCTAGCCATGGTCCCAAGTCCACTTCGCATGCAGTAAATCCTCACAGAATAGCCTCCAGCCGCGCCCGGACATTCTTTACTAGGGTGCTGACCAGGCCATCCCTCAAAGCGCCATCTTCCGAGCCAAAATAAAGGACAGTATCGCCACCTGCCACAGCCACCACATTGACAGTAAGATTCGCTCCATACCCGGCTTTCACGCCGCCTGCAGAGAACTCCATGTTTGAAATAGTCCATTTAGCCCCAGGAGTATCTCCGCCAAACTGTGCGGGATCAAAGACGCCTAGATTGGAGACGTAGAAAACATTCTGTTGTAACATCCGATAGCCAAATAGAAACTGATCCAGGAAACCTTCATCCTCTTCCGGCAGCAGCTCAATGCTTTGCCATACTTTGCGCCATAGCTGGGTGTGGTTGAGATCATTGTTCAGCTGGCTCTTGTGCTTACGCGCCAGGTCCCATATGATATCCACAGACTTTTCAGTGCTTGTTATTGCTGTTGTCGTTGTTGTTGCGGCCCCCGCCTCTCGAAATCTGGACAGCCGCTCAAACGTTGCAAAAACAGAAAGACAACCGCTCATAACTCGTTCCCTAGGCTCAGGTATAAGATAGGGTCGAAGATCGATGACCGTTTGCGAGTTACCGTATCTCGATGCAGGGTACAGGTCTGTCGCAAGGGTGACCTTGAGAAGCGTGTGAAGGAGACTGGTAAATGAAGTGTGATGTTTACGACATGCCTTGATGCATCTCGCCATCAACTCAGAATCAAGGCGACATGACTCGACTTTTGTCCGTGAGAACTTTTCGCGCTGAGGGTTGTCTAAGTCCAGCCTGTCGAACATTCGAGGCTTTGCATCATGGAAAAATAATCCGCGACCAACAACTCGGCTTGACAATTGGATAAAGCAAGCCTTTAGAGTTATCCAGATGGCCCATAGGATAGAAAGCTTTGCCCTGGCACGCTTCACCGGGTCTTTCTCCGGAAATCCAGGGACGTCCAGAGTCAAGGGCGCAATCGGGGATGGGGAGGGCGAGGTGTGGTTTTCGGTCTGCTCACTTGGCGTAGTATTATTTAACGCTTCGAGCAGACTTCCAAGGACATATGTTGCGCCTCGTCCATCGGTAATATAGTGATGGAAAACAAATATGGCGTGTCTGCCATTCACCACAAAAAGAGACCATGGCGGTCTTTCTGAGATATCGTCGAACCAGAGACCATGATAGCTTTCAATTGTCGACCGTAGACCCTCCCTCTCCTTTTCCGTGGATATCTCGACAAACTTGACGTGATCATCGAGGTTCACTTGTCGCAAGAACCCGGACCAGCGTCTATGCTGAGAAGTCTTTCTTTCCGAGGGACGAGCAAAACTGACCATCCCTAGCTCTGGATACTTCTGTACGACCTGTTTCAGGGCTGGATATAGGGTTTCTTTATCAAGTGACAATTTCCCATTTGTGCTGGTGTATGTTGCCGCGATGATTACGTTGGACTGGATGCCCAGTCGCGACACAACATAGAACTGTGTCTGGTATCGCTCTTGCACATTGTTAGAGGTAGTAGTGGGCGTGAAAGTAATCCTTGGTACGCACCTGCTGGCTGTACATGAATGAATCTCGATGGCATGTCCCCAAGGTTTTGTTTACCTTGTGCCTTGTCGTCAAGTCTTTGAGACATCCTCAATGACGCCTAAGAGATGATAGATGACACTGTCTGGAGAATAGCAAAAGAGAGGGTCCGGCATGCAAAGGGTAGGAAGTCTAGCCAGCCTTATATTTTTTCATGCTCGGCGAATAGCTAACTATGGCAATTCACTTTAAATTGAGCTGATGCTTTGAAAACTTTAAAACTGCGTGTCTATTTATTTCTAATATAGTTACCTAGTTAGCAAGGCTTGTTGCCTGAGTATGTAAGCGCTAGTCATCTGGCGGATTCCTACCGTCTTTTCAGCTCAGTGAGAGGATTAGTTCTGGTGAAAGTTTGGAGACGAAGCTTAGATTTACACTTTAACAAGTTCTTAAAAGGTATCGAAACAGACTGTCATATTAGCCAAAGCGACGAGAAACTATACAGCCAAGCAGGAATCGTCCAAGAAAATCCGCTACGTAGATAGATAGTATTATATGATTGCATCTATATACAACGGTATCTCAATTGGTAAGATAACTAATTATCAAGATCGGATTACACATATATACCTGCATAGAATGAGTAGATATATTGACAAGTTAAAATAGACATGCCTTCATGCAGCTCTGCTTTCTTAACTGCCATCACCATAATGATGTTCATCATCCGTCGCTGATTCGGTTTGTGGTTATTATAACCCGACGAAACCACACTTGTCGTTCCCATTTGTCAGTGTGCATAGTTACAAAAAGCCACGCTGGCTTGTCCCGGAGTGCTCGTCACTGACTTGTAGGACTGTCGAAACAGGGGTTTTGTTTTGTTGCTCTGCTTGGTCTTGATGTTGTTGATGATGTTCTTGAACCATTCGCAAAACTTCATCCAAATGCTTCTTTTGACTCTCAACACGCCGGGTTAAATATACTCTTGTAGCTGGTGTTTGTTCGTTTCCTTCTCTGCTCGTGTCTCCGGCTGCTACCCCTGTCCCCGGGTCGAGGCGGGAAGAAATACTGCGTTTCTTGATGCGCTCGATTTCCTCACGGTATGCGGTCTCGTATATATCGATTTCAGAGGCGCCTGGCGATTCGCTGACGATGGGTACCGCGTCGGGATCGATTGGGTGTGTTGTTTGAGGGAATTCTGGGATTCCGTATATAGATGTGTCTGGCACGTTGAGAGGAGGGAGGACAGGTCTTTGTGGTTTTCCACTTGTGCTCTCGTGTGAATAATGGTACGGGCTGTTATCGTACTCGTCGTCGTGATATCCGGTAAATGTTGATGGGCCGATGTGCAGAAATGTTACTTCCTCTTCTAATGGGTCTCGTGCCTGGCCGCGTGTTGCTTCGGACATGCTTCGCGATGGCGTGTCTGCGCGTGAAGATGACGATGATATTGCTGTCGCTGCTGCTATTAGACGCGCCCTGCTTTGCTTATTGTTGGAGGAACTATTATCGGAGCCTTGTCTCTTGGGTGACCGTCCTCGATCTCGTTCGTTAAACGAAGAATCCCGCGACGTGTTGGCCGTTGAGCTCTTGTGGCGAGCCAGTTCTTTATCCTTAAGAATCTTCTTGAATAAACTCAGGCCCTCGGGGCCCTCATCTTCGTCATCCATTTGCATTGGAGGTTGGACTAGATGTGAGTCGTGCTCTTCTCCGAGAATGCTGTGCATCACTTGTTTTGAGGGGTCTACTAGTCTTTTGAATTTGCCGACGGCTTTCATCTGTTGTTATATTAGCTTTCTTCCCTCATTCTCTTTCCTCCCTGTTCTGTTTAAAGTGTTCACTTACCACTGTGAATAGGTTTTCCACACTATGTGTAATAGCTGATACCATTTCTTCCTCCGTGGGCGGTTCAACTACCTGGGCCGTATTTTCTTCCTCTGAAAGCAAGGGATCTTCACCATTTTTGGTCACCCAGGGGTGATTCTGTTCACGTTAGAAGGGCTTAACTAACTTTGACTGCTAGAGTCAGACAAACATACCCGCAATTCCGGCATGGTGATTCTTGTTGCTGGATCCTTTTCCAAAATCCGGTACATTAAATCTTTAAAATCCTCATCCTGCTCGTCCTCCAAATCAAACCCATCGTTGCGAATTGACTCGTATAATTCAAATATACTCTGCTTTTCGAACGGAATTCGGCCGTAGCGCAAACAATATAGAGTTACCCCCATGGACCAGATATCGGCAGCCTTGCCTGATACATCACCATGCTTAACGACGCAGAGTTCTGGAGGAAGAAAAGCCGGTGACCCTGCTGACTTTGCTGTGTACATGTCAGAGTCCTTCGCAAACATTTCGGATACGCCAAAATCAACCACTTTCAATACGTCGTCCGACGTGAGAAGGCAGTTATCCGGCTTGATATCCCTATGAAGAATGCCCTGAGAGTGAAGATATTCAATTCCGAGGATGAGATCGCGGAACCATAATCGACATCTTTCATCTTCGTACGGATCAGATTTTTGCTCTAGTCCGACTTTCATGATAACCCCCTTTTTACACATCTCCATGACCATGTATAGGGAGTCTTCCGTGGGGTCGTCCAAGACTTCAATCAGCGAGACCAAGTTGTTGTGATTGAGTTTCTTCATGATTGCTATCTCTTGTCGAATCAAATCCAAGGGGTGGCCGCTTTGCAAGTCGTCCGTGCCGGAGGGATGGCGATGCAGGGGTGAGTTGAATCCGGTACCTGGGCGCTGTGGTCTTCGAAGCATATGAGACTGCTGTCGTTTGCGCAATCGAGCCTTGGAAAATTCCTTGACGGCCTGGGTGAATCAACTGTAAATTAGCAGATGCAAAGCGCCAATAAAAAGTACGGGAGGGGAAGGGGCCCAATCCTCACGTATTCGTTGCCATATTGATCCACTGCTAGGTGAACTGCGCCAAACGAGCCTCGTCCAATCTCCTGCTTAATTATATACTGGTTGATGCGGTGTTGCGCACTGCCGTCATCTTGACTTGTTGTGTATTCGGAGTGAGCATTGAGTGTTTCCTGCGACCAATTGACCGGTCAGCAAAGCCACTGCCGCAGCGCAAAGGAGCAGCACAGACCTTGACATGGCGTGGCGCAGTCGGCTGGCGATGTTGGTGTCGTCTCGGGCTATCGTAGGATGAGGAGGACCTGCAGGCTGGCGGTTAGTATTGAACCGAACCAAGTCGAAGAGTCCAGGCGCGGGGAGACAAAAAATTAGCTGCATATGGAGATCCACATACGTTTGCCTCACGGCATTATAGGAGGAGTTTGTAGCAGTGCCGTCCGTCTCTACATCTGAGATCCGGCTCGGACTTGTTGACATTGGAGATGCCTCCATTCTTATCGCGAGCTATACAACTGGACACGGGAAGGAGCGGAGGTGTCTGGGAGGCAGGGAGAGCAGGGAGGGTTTCAAGTCTGACAAAATAATGGACGAGAGAACAGCAGAATTACCAGCTGCGTAATAGTTATAAACTGCCGAGGAAGGATCGCGAAGGAAGACGAGAAAAGAAGCACTTATCCAGAGTGAAGCGGGGAGTCGTCGAATCCACTGTATCCGCGTATTATCACCGTATTGTATATTTATGCCGCGGGGTCCACAGCACCAGCTAATCCCCGAGATATCCACGAGAATAGAGCGCTCGGCGCTGAGGACGGTGCATAAAGGTGCAGGCTTGCATGTCGAATCCCTGCCGGCCAGCAGCTTCTGACACAAGATGGTGCGCTGGCAGGCTGGGAGATGCACAAGGCTGAAGAACGTGTATTTTATACCGCAACGGTCGGGTGCGTATTTGGTAATACTCGGTATTGCTCCGACAAAATTAAACTATCGCACCTCAGCCAATCAGAGCAGCACCTGCGGCCGAGGCTGACTCCACCCACCGCCTCACCGCCTTCGACACTTCCAACATCCACGTCGCCAGAATAAACAAGACAAACAACGTCCTTCCTGCTCGTCGCTCGTCGCTCTTCTGCTCTCTTCAAGATTCCAAAATGACCGTCTACTCTTTCTACATCTTTGACCGCCATGGTAAGCTTAGTGCTTATTCTTTCGCATGGCTGTGATCCCAATTGACTGACCTCCCACAGCCGAGTGCATCTACAAACGTCGCTGGCTACCTCGCCCTACATCAATCAGCGGCAAGGTGTCTGATATCCAAAATCCCAACAATATCGTAGCAGCTGCTGGTCAGTCGCCTCGCAGTGCCGATGATGACGCCAAGTTGATTTTCGGAACGGTCTTTTCCTTGCGCAATATGGCGCGCAAGTTGGGCGGAGAAGATGATAGGTAGGGTTCTATGCGTTTGCTGCCGAGATGCATATATACACAGAAAACCTAACCAGTTCGGATAGTTTTATTTGCTATCGCACGTCACAGTATCAATTGCATTTCTATGAAACGCCAACCAACATCAAGTTCGTCATGCTCACCGACACGAAATCCCCGAGTATGCGCATTGCGTTGCAACAGATTTATGTTAATCTCTATGTCGAATATGGTGAGCTTGATATTCAACTTACGGTCTTTGAAGCATACCTGCTAATCAGCAAATGCCGCAGTGGTCAAAAACCCACTTTCTCCTGTCGAGCATCCCGGTGGAATCGGAGTTGATAATGAGCTCTTTGAAGAGTCCCTTGAGCAGTTTGTGGTACGTGATTTTTTATTGACTTTCTGGCTGGCGGCACCTAACTAGTCGACATAGACTCGTGTGCTTTCTTGAAGCAACTTAGTTCAATGTTCACGCCATCCATCGCTGCGCCGCATAACCAGGGTGGTCATACGAGAAGCAGTCTAGTATCGCACACGTCACGCTGTGAAGTCCATCGTGGCATACTGCCGCTGCTTGCAGTACTTGCCAATTGAGGCTAATAAACGGAATATCCGTTAAAACATTGCGAGACGAGACAAGCGAGCGTCTTGCAGGCAGTCCGCGGTCTCGTTCCAGCCAGCTTTGGAATACTCCTTATCGAACCCGGTGTTATGCGTGGGTCGCTACTCCATTTTGTCCCCTCAGAGACAGGCTATCTAACAAGTCTCTTATAACGAACCTGATCCTTGCCAGCCATTGGAAGCAAGGCCTGACCAGAAGATGTTGGGAGAGGATGTTGTCACGTGATTAAAACCAGCTGTGAAACAAGATTAAAACTTTGGCTCCGTCATAATGCCCCGTTTGACTGCGCAACGGTGGGGTTCGGGTGGTTGCCCGGTATTGACACAGTGCGCCTTTTGGGATGAGGGTAGTGCTAGCAGAGGATGAGATCTGCTCGAATCCGAGCCGGTGCCTTGTTAACATCTATCGGGTTTGAGGAGGATGACGACAAGCCCTTTTCCTTCGAGACGACAACACTTAAAACACTACTACTATCGGGACAACAGAGTCATTCGTCTATACCGATGGCTCGAGTGCAAGTTGATAGAAGGATTGGTCCCCGGAATTGGGGGGGGGCCCGGGGGGGAACAACATTTAGATTGGGTTGCCATTTTCCCACTATTACATGTGACTAACTATACTATACAGAAATGAAAGGATTGGCAATATTTATATCAATCTCAGTAGGATTTACTTGACGATATACGGTAGTAAGCAGGTATGTAGTTATCAGCCATGACTAAGTGATATGCACCACTTTATACTACTACAGGAAGACAGCCAAGAACAATACGATGTAAGGAGCTCCTCTACAACAAACAGTAGTTCAAGCCACCTGAAAGAAACTTTCCACAAGAACAAAGAGACCAGCAAAACCGAGAAAACGCCCGCAAAAACAACGCGCTAAACAAGCATGTCAAACAGCCGCTTCGAAATCCGCAAACTCGAACCCGAGCATGTAGACTGGGCACGCGCAATCCTCTCGCTCAGCAACATCTTCCACTCCCCAGCCTGGTCCAAGATATACCACGAGAACAAAACGGAGCGCTTGTACTATGCCTACAATGCCAGCGAATACCTAGTCCGCCACCAGATTGAATCCGGCTGGTCATACGGAGTGTTCGACAGGGAATATGAATTCAAACAGCCTTCGTCATCTATAAGCAGCCATGGTGGCGCTCTATACTGGGACCGAAACGACAAAACAGCCACAAGCGCCGACCTGCTAGCCCAAATGGATTTCCCGCTGGTCTCCATCGCGCTGGCACTGGATGCCGCTGAGCCCCTGGACCCAGCCCGCGTCGCGTCCCTTGCAGAAACCCTGCCCTTCTATGCACGGCTAATGCAGCGTGTCGACGAGCTCGATGACGGCAGCAAGCGTGAGAGGAGACCGGTTACAGGGCCCAGGCAAGTGATGCTGCGCAACGGCACGTCCACACGGCCCGATTATGAAGGGTTGGGCCTTATGAAGAAAGCGGCGCATTTGTTGATGCGGGATGCTGCCGAGGCCGGGTTTAGGGCTATTAGTATTGAGACGCTGAGTGATGCTGTGCAGCATGTTTGGATGAATCCTCCTGAGCCGTATCGCGCGGTTCTGGTCGTGCAGGTCAGGATTAGTGAGTGTGAGGAGAAGGAGGCGGTGGATGTGGATGGGGAGAAGAAATCGGTTGTGCTGCATCCGGATGTACCTCAGATTGCGACGAGGATTCAGGTTGATTTGAAGTAGCATCTCGTTTTTGAGTGAGAGCTGCTGCTGCTGTGTGTGGGTATGGGACAGCTATTCGTATGACTTCGTCCTTGCTTTTCCTTTTATTGATCCCGGGTAGAATGATGAATAACGCTGAATGAGATGGATTCCACCCGTAATAAGAGAATTACAATAGAAATAAACTAGAATACAGAAAATTGAAACTAGGGATCACAGTCAAAACCGGTCTGCCTGCGTAAAAAAGAAAGCGAAGATATCATCAAGGTGTACAGGGAAATCAATACTCCAATGACTGCCGGCAAAAATCGAAAGGAAAAAAAAAAGGTATTATATACCCATCAAGGACATAGGAATGTGCCAAACCAAAGCCGAGGGCGCCAGTGCTGGTAGTGAAAAAACGAAAAAAAAAAAAAAAAGACATACTAGGGTAGAGAACTGAATCGCATGACAAAACCAAAAATCCCCGAGAGTTAAATCAACGCTAATTGCAGTATCGATTCTTTTGTACAGGATGGCCTTTTTCACTCCGCGTGGAAGGCTAATACCGCCGATGAGGTGTGCCAGACGGCTGTGTCTGTGGCGGAGGAGGTTGGTGTTGATGCGCGTGCGCGTGCGCGTACGAGTGAGTGTGAGTGTGCGGAGGACCTGGAAAATAGTAGGGTGCAGGAATGCTAGCTGAAGATGAAGCTGCAGGGGGAGGCGGAGGCGGAGGCGGAGGAGCTTGATATTGTTGAAGGGGGGTTTGTTGGTGTTGACCTGGCAGGAATCCAGACAGTGGCCCCGGACGAGTAAATGCAACGCCTGGTGGTGGTGGCAGCTGAGGTAACCCTCCGCCCGTTGTAAACACATTTGGAAGACCATGGGATCCAGAGAGAACAGGTCTGGATACTGATGGCCGCGGCAGTAGGAAAGATGGCGGTTGTTCTGCTGGCGGCATAGGCATTGGTACCCTGAAAGAAGCAGCAGCAGCAGCAGGACGTGCGTTGCTTGCCGCATCGGCCAGCGCGGACAAAGCCTGAGAGGGTGCTGTAGCGGCGGACGACAAGGGTCCATCTTCGCCCTCAAAGGCTTCCGCGGAAGCTTGAAGCAGCATCTGCAGGGGGTCTGATTCTTCCTGGCTGATTTCCTTCATCTTGGCCCGCTGCATGAAATCGTCCCAGCTGTGCTTACCCAGCTCATACGCTGCAGAACCTGAGATTTCTCGAACGGCTTTGGAGTTGTAACCCCTCTGAAACCGAGGCTCACCGAGATATAGAGGTTCGTAGTTGATATGTTCCTCCGCCTGGGCGACGACTTCGGCTGGCACTTCTTTGGGGACTTCGACTGCTTCAACTGATTCTTCTTTGGCGACATCGACTGGTGCTTCTACGGTGCCGTCGACGTCAGGCTGCTTGCGAGTCAATATCTGACAAAAGTTTATGAAAGTTGAGTAATAGTGTATGAATGCCTACCTCTGTGTGCTCATCGTCCTCGGCGTGCTGAACTCCTTCCACCATTCTCATGTATTCACCTCTCGCAGCATAAAAATGCTCCTCTCGAATATTTGCATAATTGGCCTTTAATCATTCCACCGTTAGCAACTTCACCACGCAATAAACCTGGCGTTAACCTTACTGCATAGCGTTCGTTAATAATCTTTATTTGAGCCTCCAGTAAACGATCTGCCTGTTCGACACGGAGCCGGTATTCATTCTCCAATATTTGTTCCCTTCTGCGTAACGCTTCCTCAAGTGCCGCCTGCACCTCTTCATACTCAGGTGCCTTGCGGTGAGCATTCTTGTCGCGGGCAAGCCGCTGCTGAGTGCGACCAGCTAGGGCAGTAAGCATGAGTTTCTGCGTAGCTGCAAGCCGCTTCCAACTCTGCCTCAACTCTTTCTGCCTCTCATTTAGTTTTTGAGTGGCTGGACTTGGAGAAAGCGAGCGCTCGCGTTCAATCTCTATATCCGAATCGTCTTCGTTGCGTTTACCTCCCTTCAATCCTCCACGTCCACCTCCTCTGCCTTTGCCACGGACAGAACCGCGAGCCAATGCACCTCGACCTCTTCCTCGAGTGCTACGACCGCGTGTGCTACCACGACCACGGTTACCATTGCCTCTGGTACCTGAGCTGCTGACATTTTCATTTTGAACCGAGCTTGTATTGTCAACTTCTTCAATGCTCTGGGATGCTGCCGACTCTTTGTCTTGGTCCAAAGGAGAATTGACTGTCTCGCTGGCGACCTCAGAGCTTTGGGCATCTTGAGCCTCCTCACTGCCAGTCGCCGAATGAGTATTGGAAGAGCCTAAATGCGCTTCTTCTTGGTTTTGTCCTTTTTCTCCAAGTTTCAATTTCTTTGGAGAAACTTCCGTGGAATTGTCTTCAGACGTGTTCCCCGTCGGAGAGTCTTGAAGCTTTTGCTTACGGCTACGCAAGCCTGCGTTCAAGGAAGATGCTGGTTCTGACTTTGTTTGAGGTTGACTTTCTGCATCAGGGCCAGTAAGGCTCTCGACTGATGTTTGCTGGGAATCAGAGCTGGTCAAAGTGAGCTCAGGCACATGAGTGGCTACATCGTCTTGTTTTACAGTTAAATCATTGACATTTTGAGTGGTCGAGACGGCTGCGGACCCAAGAGGTGACTGCCTAGGCGACAGTTGAGGAGGAAGTTCCTGCGACAGAGGGGAGTTTGCCCGAGCCTTGAGCCTTGTAGAGTATCTAGAAGGCTTTGGGGCCTCTACCAAATTGGGTGAAAGCTTCTGACGCTTTGCATGGGGCTCTTTGGGACCTTTGTTTGCGGTCTCAGTTGCAGTTTTCTCTTTTGAGCCCGAGGCAGAAGCTTTCGATGAAGAAACAGGATTGTTCTCAGTCAGACTAGGAGCCGAGGCAGCAGCAGCAGCAGCACGACTTCGACTGCTGCGAGTGCCTCTGCCCTGTGCTGTTGTGCTAGCAGGAGGCTGAGTCGAGTAGTCTAGACAGTATTTAGTGGCAGGCTTTGGCGATCTCGCTGGCAAAGTGAAGTTCATACCTTCAGTGATTACTGAGCTGGAGCTGCGAGACGCGTCAGCTTTACGCTTGGTACCTGCCATAGCTTGCTTCTGGAGACCGTGGTGTTAGTCCTCAGCAGGATAAACGATGTTGCAGTGCTGGGTAGATGGAATGCTGGCAGCTGGTTGGGTAGGTAGTCAAGTGATAGGAGTGATTAGTGAGGCAGGAAGAAAGAAAGGTATCTCGAGGGGAAGACAATAGAGAGATCAAGCAGGGAATTACGAGAATCGCCCAATGAATGGTACAGCAGACGTGAATAAGAAAAAGTAAAATGGCTGGGAACAACGGCATAGAGCAGTGGAAGCAGTGCCTGACGATGAGATGCACGCACAGCAGACGAGAGAGCACCCCAAACAAAGAACCGGGCACGACAAAGGGAAGAAAAGACCAAAAGCAACGGACCAGGCCAGGGGTTTTGAGGATTGATTTAAATGAGGGCCGAGTGATGATATACAGCCAACCAGAGCAAAAAGCTAGGCTTGCTTTGTTTGACAGGCAGGGCATCCATATCGAAAGAACAGCTGGATGCTATATACAAGCGCAGAAGGGCAGTTTACGGCTCAATATGGCTCGAAGAAACGGCAAAATGCGACTTACCAGCTCGCACTCCCAAAGGGAGGAGGAGGCATGAGGCGGCAGAAACAATACAGCGGCCAGATTGTCAGACACGGCAAACCCGATGGAGAAACACGTAGGAGAGCAGAGTCAATGAGCGCAGTTCTATGCGTGGGTGGATTGAATAGATGGGCGCAAATTGGGGATGATGCTAAGCAAGCAAGCCAGGAAGTATGTATGCAAGCAGCAATTCGAGGGCCAAAAAGGACGACGAAGAAGAAGGAAAATAAAGTGATGTCTTTCTGGATCCGGAGCTAGCGGACCCGCTTATTTACAAGCCCCGTACGGACATGACCTCGACTTCCGATGAGCATACGCGAGTACAAATAAATGCAGCAGTAGACTGCTTTGCTTTCGGGATCATATTACGCATGTGCAGTTTCCTGTATGGACAGGTCCATTCTTTCTAGCAGGAAAAGAAAATCAACGGAACACGTAGATAGAAGCAAAGAAAAGTAGTCATCTCCCAAAAGATTGCTGGGTGGCGCCGGTATTTTTGAGTCACGGCTGGKATTGTATTGTATTTATACTTACTAACGGTTGTCAAGGACTCAAGACACATGGCCGTGTCCTCACGACAGTACGCGTCCGGGCCATTTGTCTTGATTCCCTGAGGTTGAATGTATTGATAGGTGGCCGAATATTGCAATTTCTGCCAAATACACGGACATTTCACTCACCCAGGACTGCCGGAAGACTTGCTCGCATAGGAACAGGGAAGCAATGCATAAAAGCCACGCAAAGGTGATTTAGGATCATCATCGGAGGCTTCACTGGCCTTCCGGGGCTTCCTTGAGGATTATGTAAGTAAAGCCTCCGGAAAACAAAACAGCAGGAGCTGCTCCAGGACTAGAATTCCGGCTGCTTGCACGGCGAGGAATATTTTTATAGAGAACTTAGATCTGTCGGCCAGCGGGTGCCCTAGTCCTGTTGCGGTTAGGAGACCCGCATTGCCACAGATACGCGCATCAAATTTCAATACACAAGATACAACAATAAAATACCTGGATAGGGCGAGCATACATACAATCATGATGATGATGATGATGATGAATATACATGCATTGTAGATTCTGCCATTGACTGTTGGCTGTTATGGGTAAACACCCTGCTTCAATGCCGACGCAGACTCGTACCAAAGTACCAACGTACATCTCACCTAGCGCCGGCCGATCTGTGAAGAATCAAGATATCTCCTTGCAGCACAGGTTCTTGTTTGAAGCCTGGCGCTAGCTGCCTAGGGCTTGGGGTTGCGATGTTACATGTGCATCTATCACAAGCACCAAATAGATAGAAACAGTACTACTTACTGTACTCAAGCAGGCGCTTCTTCATTGGGGGAAGTCGATGCTGAGAAGAACACTGCCATAGTTCGCCAGCAGTGTCTCTGCCACCCGATACGCACTGAGTGAGTCGATCCGGCTTGCATGCATGATCATACTGTACATACTACAGACCATCTCGCATGCATTCTGGAAAAGCCTAAAATGATTCAAGCAGCCCAAACAGGCTAGTCTTCTGAAGGATGGGTAAGCCTGGTAAGGGCGCGTGGGTGCCTGAGGCCTCGAAAGCTTAGTCAGTTCTTGGAGGTGCTCCGAGGCAAGGCAGCCACCGCCTTCCATCATACCCAGAGCTGCTCAACTCTTTGTTCAACCCTGTCTTTTTTTTTTTTCAACCTCCCCATTTCCATCCTCAACACTGTGAAGGACGCTCTACAAGTCATTTCGACTGTTACTGCCATCCATCGACTGCAAAGAAAACTGCCATCTTCCCCCATCGGAGACGCTAGTGAGACTCCTCCAGTGGCGTCAAGATGAAGCTCACTTTCAGGGTATATCTCAACACTCCGCACACCCCCGCCATCCTTCTCATCGCCCGCTGCTAACGGATTATTCCCCGCAGGATCTGAAGCAACAGAAATTCACCATCGAGGCCGAGCCGTCAGAGACTGTATGTGGTATTCCCCGTTTTCGATGCTCAATCCTGCCGTCCAAATGTCCAACGTGCGGGGCTAACGGCCGTGTTGTCCATAGGTTGGCCAGGTGAAGGAAAAAATTGCCCAGGAGAAAGGATGGGAGGCTTCTCAGCAGAAATTAATCTACTCAGGTGTGTACATCGTCATGTTCCATGGGGAGCATGCATTTTCATCCGACTCTTACCGTTTTTTGCCCCCCACTCTTTCTATGCTACGCTCACGGGCTGACTGGGACTAGGCAAAATCCTTCAAGATGCGAACACCATCGAGTCATACAATATTGAAGAAAAGGGATTCATAGTTTGCATGGTTTCGAAAGTATGCAAATCTATCTCTGAATAATTATTCCCCCCCCTCTCTTTTTTTGTTACTAACATCCGCATCAGCCAAAGCCCGCTGCTGGAGGACCGTCCACGCCAGCCAAGGCAGCGCCAGCTGCAACTCCAAAAGCCCCTGCTCCCGCCCCTGCCCCATCCGCTGCTCCAGTTCCTTCAACTCCTACTCCAGCCGCTCCAGGAGCTGCTGCCACAACTTCGACCGCTGATGCAACGTTCAATGACCCGTCAGCCCTGCTTATGGGGTCTCAGGGAGAAGCAGTTGTTTCGCAGATGGAGGCCATGGGATTTTCACGAGCCGATATCGATCGTGCAATGCGAGCTGCATTCTTCAACCCAGACCGTGCCATCGAATATTTACTGAATGTAAGTCGAGCTACTAAGAGGTCATCTAGGTTTACGGTTATCTAATTCCTTCTTTCCACTATTCAGGGTATCCCAGAGAATATGCAACAGGAACAGGCGCAACCTCGCGCTGCTCCATCGGCAGGCACTACTCCAGCCGCTGCGGAGGCTACAACAACCGAGGCCACTGGCGGTGACGAGCCAGTGAACCTGTTCGAAGCCGCCGCACAGGCTGGCCAAGGTGGTGCCGGAGGTCGCGGGGCACAGGCTGGTGTCGCTGGAGATGCGGGGGCATTGGGAAATCTTGACTTTCTGCGAAACAATCCTCACTTCCAGCAATTGCGACAGCTTGTACAGCAGCAGCCGCAGATGCTCGAACCCATTCTACAGCAAGTCGGAGCAGGAAACCCACAATTAGCTCAGTTGATTGGGCAAAACCAGGAACAGTTTCTCCAGCTTCTGGCTGAAGACATGGGTGAAGAGGGCGAGCTTCCTCCTGGCGCACATGAGATTCGTGTTACGGAGGAGGAGCGCGATGCGATTGAACGAGTAGGTTCTTTTTTTTCCGACAGTATGAGATACATTATTAACGTCTTCTAGCTTTGCCTTCTTGGCTTCTCGCGAGATTCAGTAATCCAGGCATATTTTGCCTGCGACAAGAACGAGGAGTTAGCAGCAAATTTCCTGTTTGAACAACCAGACGAGGGCGACGAGCAATGATTTTGATCTTTTCTTTTTACCTTTTACAAAATTAGTCTCTTTGTCTGTCTGTCAAATAGTATTCCATATGTTCTTTCCTCTTTCTTCTTTGAACTAATCATATCGAATTCCCATGATGTTTATTATTCCTATTATTAACCGTGATTATGAATGAATCTCCAGCGTGTTTCATTTCTGCCAGTGTTTCTAATTACATTATATGATTCTCATCAAGGCAAATCTCCTACCTACATAATAGCCATGCCTCCATACAAATATTACATACAGAAAAGGAAATAGAAAAGAGTTCCACCCCCCCAAAAATTGTAAATATCCCAAAAGATTCACCCCGGAAATAAAAGTAAAACACGAAGACAAATTCCAAGAGAAAAAGACAAAATATAATATATAAATACTAAAAGAGTATGTAAGCTAAATATTACATCCAATCCGCTCCACGGACCACACCGTCAATCCGCGACGGCCAAGGACACGATATAGAGTGCCTAGAACGCCGTCGTCCCCGACATCGATATCGTCTAGATTCAGATGGTTGGTATACGTCCACTGTTCCGTTAGATGGAGGGACTCGACTTGCTCGTCATGCTTGTTGGAAGAAGTGTATGTATCAAGGAATGTGGCGGAGCGAGGCGCGACGAGGAAGAAGACCCTGTTTTTCTCTTGTTCCTTCTTGTTTGCTGAGCAGCTCGGAACGGTAGACTCAATGCGCTCAATCATGTCGTTGCCGCGCATGCCCATCAAATCTAGCGTGTGGATATCGGCGTCGAGGCTGCTGTTGTCGCCTAGTAGCCATAGCGGCGGCGAGTATGTCTTCCACCAGAAGACGGTTACGTTAGATCTGATGCTGTCCATCATATTGTTCTTATGATCGGCATGATGTGCGTTTATGATCGACGGCATTGCCAGCTGCGTGGGCACTACACCGCCCTGGTGATAGACGCCCATTAGGAAACCAAGGAGTGCATTGAAGACAACCCAGGAGATGAGAAAAGGGCGCGTTTTCAGCGGCCGCATACATGTTAGAAGCAGCGGGACGCAGGGTAGCAAGAAGCGAGGTTCCTGGTGCGGAATGGCGGAGAGGATCATTGTCCCTGATAGCGCGGCGATGGCGCGGCGGTTGTAGAATACGCTTGCCATGGACCGCGTGAATAGGGATAGCACGAGGGCTACCAATGCTGGTCCGAGGAGCTGGGGCAGGTTCACGAGGAAATGCTGGTAGTGCGGGTGAAGGCCATGTTCGGCTAGATTTACGCTGTTGGTGTTGTACAGTAGGTTGTTTAAGGGGGTGATAACGACTGGGTTGCGAATAGCCTCGAGTAGAGAGACGGAGCGGTAGAAGACGGTGTCGGTGAGAATAGCGATTGCGGAAAAGAGGGATCCGAATGCAATCAAGACAGCGAGTGAGAATGGTCTAAAAGAGGAAGATGTTAGCTTGAGGAGAATTGACTCGAAGAAGCACGACCGACTTTTGCACAAAATGCGGAAATAGTTGCAGCCCGGGTATTAGAAGGAATGCCGGGAAAGTGATTCTATTGAAGACGCCGAGTACGACTACTAGCGATAACACGGCGGGGGAGAAGAATACGGAGCGTTTCTGCGAATATGAAGGTGGTCAGCAGATTATGATAGGCATTTCTGATAGTAGAGGTAGATACCTTGTTCTCCACAATCCGCTGCATCAAAACCAACCCCCAAGTGACCAGCAGCGTCTCGAGCGAGTTGGAAAAAGTGTGCGTCTGATACGTCCATGTGACATAGGAGGAGGCCACCAAAACAACCGTGGGAACACGATGTCTCGGAGTCGGCACCAGTTCGTAAACAGCCCAGTCCTCCAGCACAAAACTAAGCACAAACATGACGCCCCGCAGAATGTAGTATATCAGCTCCGGCGGAGGACTGCTCCCCAGACCGGTCTCGTTGTAGAACCATTTCACCAGATTCATGGGCAGACCGTAGACAGGCCATAGAGGGAAGACGCTGCGAATGGGGTTGTCTGAAACAAACTCCCAGGTTAACTGCGAGGGGTAGGAATAGATGCGCCCTGGCGTTAGAAAGATAAATTAGTTTTGAAGTCCCGTCGCAGAGCATCCGAATGATAGTTAGTCGTTAAGCAATGGCTGGACATACCGGCGAATACCTCCAGGCTCTGGAAATGCTCATCGGGATGCACATAACTCGGCGAAAGGGCGAAGTACACCCGGATCAGCAGGAGGAGCAAGTACGCTCGTCTCCACATGATGCGGATGCAGGAGGGAAGGGTGTTTATCTGCAAGTCGGAACGTGTGGCCCATGGACGAGGCCTATTCGCATGGCAGATCAAGCTGGAACTGGGCGCATTCTTGGGACAGGAATAGAGACATGGTTGTGGTAAGGTTGTGGACAGCTGGAGGTAGGACGACAAAAAGCAGCCGGGCCTAAAGCAGCAGCGCGCGACCAGGCACGACGCGTCACTTTAGATTCAGCCATGACGTTGTGGCGGTACTTGTAACACAGTGTGCGTGCTCTTTCTTCGGAGCGAAGGCAGAGTATACAGATAATAATGTAGTCATCTTTGCTGCCTGCGCGGGATCTCGAACGCCTCAGGCCTTGTCAGCCTTGAGCCTTGAGCCTTGAGCCTAAGGCTCCAACTGCAGCCTATCCCCAAACCGGCGCCGCCTTTGGTGGCTTCTCCCTCCCGCAGCCGCAACTTCAATAAGACCTCAGACCAACCCTCAGACTTCAACCCACCGCCTCACAAAACAGACAAACAAGACATCGCCATCAAAGAAGCCATCTTTGTCGGTACGCGCCTTTCATTTCTTTTTCATTGTTCGCTTTGTCAGCGCGCCAGCATAAATCAACACATCCCCACCCCCAACCGCCCCCCGCCATTTAGTTGCTGCTGCTAATACAACCACAGACAGTGAGCTGTGTCTTCACTCCATCGCACACACACATACACACAAACATCCACACTCACACCTGTGAAATAGGTTGTCCAGATCAGTCACATCAAGATGTCGGGCCAAGTTACGCTGCAAAGCTCCGACCAGGTCGATATCACCGTTAGTAAGTCAACCAAATCTCCCTCCACCCAGAGGTAAAAAAACGCTAAAACTCAAGTCCAGAACGTAGCGTCGCTGAGCGTTCCATGCTCATTAAGAACCTGCTGGAGGATTTGGGCGAATCCGAAGAGCCCGTTCCCATCCCCAATGTCAACGAACCCGTCTTGAAGAAAGTCATCGAGTGGTGCCAGCACCACGAGAACGACCCCCAGAGCACTGGCGAGGACGACGACAACCGCCGACGAACCACAGAGATTGACGAGTGGGACCAGAAGTTTATGCAGGTCGACCAGGAGATGCTGTTTGAGATTATTCTGGTATGTCTGCCACATGGAATCGAACAGAAATATGTACCAAATTTACTGACACAGGCGATCGACTAGGCCGCCAACTACCTCGATATCAAAGCCCTTCTCGACACTGGCTGCAAGACGGTCGCCAACATGATCAAGGGCAAGTCCCCAGAGGAGATTCGTCGAACCTTCAACATCCAGAACGACTTTACCCCCGAGGAGGAGGACCAAATCCGCCGTGAGAACGAATGGGCTGAAGAGTAAGCTGTCTGCCTTGTTTGCCCTGCAAGTTACACAAGCTAATTAATAATTCGTTTTCAGTCGCTAAATTACTCTCTTCCTCCCCAAACTTTCTTCTTGACTGGACTTTCACATACACGCCAGCATCTTGCGGTGCAGAATCTTGCTATCGATTGTCCTTCCAAAACGATGTCATGAAACACGAAACGACTTGACTACAAAGGACGGAAAATGTATGGCGGCGATGGTTTGCTTGCGTGTTTGGGCGCTCTTTGTTTTTTTTTTTTTTCCGAATTTTAAATGTAATCTCTTGCTTTGCTGAATGCTTGTCCTCTTTTCCTTGTCATATCGAATTAAATCGGATAGGCGCTTTTACGGGACAACGAAATGAAAGATCCGAAACCTTACTATTTCTATCGTTTCTATCTAAATAAGCACGTAGTTCTATACGAATCATAGATTGAATAATTCATGATCCTAAGGTTTACTCATCACCAGTTACGTAGTCTAATAGATGTCCCTTGTCATACTTTTTTTTTTATTTCAAGAGAAACACGATATTCTTCCTCCCTCAATAGGGAACCCTCGTTTTGTTTTTAAGAAAGGGAAAAAAAGTCATTCATTAAGATAACCGTAGCATCTTCCATTCGTCCACCCACAGACAAAACGCTATGCCCTCTTTTCATTCCTGAAGACATAAAAAAAAAAAGAACAACACACACGAGGGAACAAGAAACAACTGACGGCCACCAAACCATCATTCACCAAAAGAGAGAGAAAAAAAAGAGCCGGGATCATCTAAGAACATAGCGGGAAATCATAGATGATATTATTTGTGGTCGAATTTCCTTCTCCTCTGGCGTGCCATCGTCATGTTTCAGGTGAGGAACAGGTAGTTGTTGTTGTCGATATTTTCAAAACTTCTTCTTTCATTCAAATCGAGGGTTTCACTTTTTTTTTTCAACAACAAATGGAGAGAGAGGAAGAGAGATCATGGGTTCAATTTTTTTCAGGCGTAATTCTTTCTCATGATGTTGCAGGAATAGAGGGAGAAGACAAGAAACCCGTCAAAGGAAGAGCGCCGATTGCTGCTGTGACATTTCCGAAAGGCTTGATGAACATGGACATGAACATTTAGATACCCAGACGGGTCTTGCGCCAGTGGCGTCTCTTGGCGTTGTATCTGTGAGGAGATATATGTTAGTATATCCAAAACGAATCTTTTGGTCTTTGTATTCTTCCGTCTCTTTTGACTATCAGATAGTCTCTTGTAAACGTCGCGTCGCGGATTCTCCTTAGCGATCGGCTCGATATGTAAATCGCCCGCCCTTGCACGAAATCCTCCACGCAGGCTCACAATCGAGATAGATACATATATTTCCGTATGACCCTCAAAGCCCCAACCAAAACCTCGAAGTGGAAAAATTTACCTGATAGTGTTACCGGTCCTGAGACGAATCCATTGAGGGATAGGACGGTTCTGCTTCTGGGCTTTGGCAAGCTTTTGCTTGGTGCGGAAGGACTTTTGGCTCTATATGCAATGAAGAATGGTCATTAGTTCCATGCAATCATATCAAATGAATAAGATATAAAACCAGGACATGGTATATGCTCCTGCAAATGGGATCTGCCATACCGGCATCTTGACTGATTTCGTCGTTCGAGATACTGAACTCAGGTATTGTCGTCAGGGTCGATCGTTCGCGAAAGGCGGGTAAATTTTCGGTTGTGTGAGAGGGCTTCGCTTGGTGCTGGTCACGTGCGACAATCTCTTGGCGCGGGCCCAGGGTTGCCAGTTTGGGTCTGGCCGGGGTCGGGGGCGGATAATATCCGAGCCTGCTGCTTGCTGCTGCTGCCTAGATGTAACGTTTAGCTCGCATTACTCTGAATGCTCGTTCCCTTCGTTTAATTTTATTTACTTCCCTACTGCGGACAAAATACGCATGCGAGCAAATCGCATACGTAACGTCTGAAAACAAGGCCATCCCAAACACAGGGGCGTGCTGCTCATGTTACTGAGTGAGCCCCTTTACTAGCATTTGATTGGAAATAAACGAGCAAAACGAAAAGTCTCGTATATTATTAGTATTAGTTATGCTGCTTCGTGGGGAAGCGAAGAGATAGGTTAGATGCTAGCGTGCATAAATATCTCGATAAGGCTTAAAAATAACCCCCGGGCCAATCGTATCTCTTTACACAGGCCCACTCGCCAGCCCGAGCCAATCAGCGGCCGCTGAATACGCGGGTTCCAGGATTCATAAGCAGCATTACGACAATGACATGCGAGTGGCTCCTGCCCGATTTGTACGCCGCCAGACAGGCCAGGGACCATAATTTCTCTCTCGGGAAACTTTGCTCCCGGGCCTAGCTAACAGCATTTACTCGCTTAAATGGCTGCCTGCATCCCTCGTCTGGATGATCGTTGATCTACTTGTTTAGATGACATGATTGAGGTCAGATCTGCTCGCCCTTGATTCCTCGCGACTCCAGGTATCTAATATTGACGGATCCCGGAGCTCGATTCCTTCCACGCCGCTTTCCTCGCTCATAGCAATATATGATTTTATCTATATTATATATTATATATACGTCGAATACAAAGCCCGCCATCATCCAGCGCGCTGCATTGCGCAGCTTCAACAACTTCGACTGGTCTTACATATGCCTAACTGTGACTGAACGGCCATATGGATCCTAGGAGCGAGGTACCCCCCTCTGAGGGGCAGCCCGTAGAAGCGGTAGCTGCAGCGGAAGAAAAAGTCATATCCCAGACGCAAGAGCGTTTAACAGATGCCTCGACATCAGCTCCTTCAGCTACCGACGAAAAAAACAACGGCGGCAAAGCTGCCTCAGAAGCTGAGCCTGCGAACGAGCTGGAGGCGGCCCTGCGACAGCTCCCTGAAGATGAGAGGCGCGTCATAGAAGAGCAACTACATGCCCCACCTGTCTCCGTCAACTTCTTCAGTCTATACAGATATGCCGATCCTTGGGATTACATGATAATTGCCGTTGCCTCTATTTGTGCCATTGCTGGAGGTGCTGCGCTGCCGCTTTTCACTGCAAGTTTTGAATCCTCGGTTTTGTGCTCTGTCCTTTCTTTGTCAGCCGCTAACTTAGTTTTGATCTTTTACATAGATCCTGTTTGGTCAATTGACAAATGCATTTCAAGGCATAATCTTGGGTACGATGGATTACCATGATTTCCATCATGAGCTAGTTAAAAACGTCCTCTACTTCGTTTACATTGGCATTGCTGAGTTTGTTACCATCTACATCGGAACCGTCGGCTACATTTACACTGGAGAACACATTACGGAGAAGATTCGTGAAAACTATCTTCAGGCAATCTTGAGACAAAATATCGCCTACTTTGACAACCTCGGCGCCGGCGAAGTTACTACCCGCATTACTGCCGACACCAACCTCATCCAGGATGGCATCTCCGAGAAGGTTGCCCTTACAATGACAGCAATTGCGACTTTTGTGACCGCCTTTATCATTGGATATGTCAAGTTTTGGAAACTGGCACTTATTTGCTCTTCGAGCATTGTCTGTCTTGTACTCATCATGGGCGGCGGCTCGCGATTCATTGTGAAATTCAACAAGCTCTCTCTTCAGAGCTACGCTGTTGGAGGAAGTCTTGCGGAAGAAGTCATCAGCTCTATCAGAACTGCCACCGCATTCGGTACTCAGGATAGACTTGCGAAGCAATATGATAAGCTCCTTGACGAGGCTGAGAAATGGGGTTCCAGGCTGCAGATGATTTTTGCCATAATGATATCCGGAATGTTTACCGTCATTTATTTGAATTATGGCTTGGGATTCTGGATGGGCTCTCGATTCGTTGTGGATGGCGACATCCAAGTTGGTCAAGTCTTGACGGTTTTGATGGCCATTCTTATTTCCTCGTTCAGTCTGGGGAATGTTGCACCCAATGCGCAGGCATTCACAAGTGCCGTGGCCGCCGCTGCTAAAATCTATAGTACCATCGATCGAGTGTCTCCTCTTGATCCTACAAATCCAGATGGCGAGGTCCTTGAACAGGTTGAAGGCACGATCGAGCTGCGCAACGTTAAACACAGATACCCTTCTCGGCCAGAGGTGCCCGTTATGGATAATGTCAGCCTATTCATTCCCGCCGGAAAGACTACCGCATTGGTTGGCCCTTCAGGATCAGGAAAGAGTACGATCATTGGGCTAGTCGAACGCTTCTACAACCCAGTCCGTGGAGAAGTCCTCCTAGATGGTCACAACGTACAATCACTTAATCTACGGTGGCTCCGCTCACAAATTTCTCTTGTCAGTCAGGAGCCAATTCTTTTCTCCACGACTATCTTCGAGAACGTCAAGTACGGCCTCGTCGGTACCGATTTCATGAACGAAGGCGAAGAAAAAATCCTAGACCGCATTAAGCAAGCTCTGCAGATGGCTAATGCGCTCGAGTTCGTGACTGCTCTACCAGAAGGGCTGAATACCCATGTTGGCGAACGAGGTTTCCTGCTTTCAGGTGGTCAAAAGCAACGCATTGCCATTGCTCGTGCTATTGTGAGCGATCCCAAAATCCTCCTGCTCGATGAAGCCACGTCAGCACTTGATACCAAATCCGAAGGTGTCGTTCAGGCAGCTCTAGACAGGGCCGCAGAAGGCCGTACAACTATTGTGATTGCGCATCGATTGTCCACGATCAAGACTGCACATAATATCGTTGTACTGGTGAATGGTAAAATCGAGGAGCAAGGCACTCATGATCAACTACTAGACAGCAACGGCGCTTACTACAAGTTGGTCGAGGCTCAACGTCTCAATGAAGAAAAGGAGGCCGAGGCTGTTGTGCCTAATGATGAAGACGAGTCAGAAGAGAGCCACGAAGAAAAGGAACTAGAACGGGCGGTATCTCTCATTAAGATGTCTCGCACAGCTAGTTCCAAAAGTGGAATGAAACCGGACGCGCTTGAAAGGCAACCCACCACCAAATCAGTATCGAGCATGGCTCTTGCAAAGAACGAGCAAGAGAAAGAAATTAAGTATTCACTGTGGACTCTTATCAAGTTCACCTACTCGTTCAATCGAAAAGAAACTCCGTATATGCTCATGGGTCTAGTCTTTGCCGCACTCGCAGGTGGTTCTCAGCCTACTCAATCGGTTATCTACTCCAAAGCTATCACAACTTTGTCTTTGCCACCAAGCGAGTTTGGTAAGCTAAAGCACGACGCCAGCTTCTGGTCTCTTATGTTCCTCATGCTTGGTCTTGTTCAGCTCGTCGTGCATTCGATACAAGGAATAGCTTTTGCATATAGTTCGGAAAAGTTGATTCACCGGGCACGAATTAGCGCTTTTAGATCTATGCTGCGCCAAGATATCAGCTTCTTTGACAGCGAGGCGAATAGCACCGGTGCCTTGACGTCGTTTCTCTCAACCGAGACAAAACACTTGTCGGGAATTAGCGGTGCAAACCTCGGAACGATTTTGATGGTGTCGACAACACTCATTGCCTCTTTGGTTGTTGCTTTGGCGATTGGCTGGAAGCTTTCACTTGTCTGTATCTCCGTGGTCCCAGTCATGTTGGCATGTGGGTTCTGGCGCTTCTCTATCCTTGCAAAATTCCAATCGCGGGCCAAGCAGGCCTATGAAAGCTCAGCTAGCTATGCGTGTGAAGCCACTTCTGCTATCCGCACTGTTGCTTCGTTGACCCGAGAAGACGACGTTTTGCAGCGTTATCGTGAGCAACTGGAAGCCCAGACGAGGAACAGCCTTTTCTCTGTTCTGAGAACGTCCGTGTTATATGCCGCTTCTCAAGGCTTGTCCTTCTTTTGCATGGCATTAGGTTTCTGGTACGGTGGAGAGCTCTTTGGCAAAGGCCAGTATACAGAGTTCCAGTTTTTCCTCTGCTTTACCGAGGTTATCTTCGGAGCACAATCCGCTGGCACAGTCTTTTCTTTTGCACCTGATATGGGCAAATCGAAAAATGCAGCGGCTCAGTTCAAGAAATTGTTTGATCGTCAACCAGCCATTGATGTTTGGTCGGACGATGGTGAAAAATTGGAGAGCGCCGAGGGCACGGTCGAATTCCGAGATGTTCACTTTCGCTATCCAACTCGTCCCGAACAGCCTGTCCTCCGCGGCCTGAATTTGACTGTCAAGCCTGGCCAATATGTTGCTCTTGTCGGCGCAAGTGGGTGCGGAAAGAGTACTACTATTGCTCTTTTGGAACGCTTCTATGATCCGCTATCGGGAGGAGTTTACATTGACGGGAAGAACATTGCGAGCTTGAACGTCAACTCGTATCGAAACCACTTGGCTCTGGTGAGCCAGGAGCCCACTCTCTACCAGGGTACTGTTCGTGAGAATATTCTCTTGGGAAGCAATGAGACCGATGTACCGGAAGAGGCCATCATTAGTGCTTGTAAGAACGCCAACATCTATGACTTTATCTTATCCTTACCGTAAGTTCTTTTTTTTTCCTACTCACCTCGTTTCTTTCTTTCTATTTGTTTGTTGTAGCCAACCTTCAGTAACTAACATCTATCACAGTGAGGGATTCGACACGGTCGTCGGCAGCAAGGGTGGCATGCTTTCCGGAGGACAAAAACAACGTGTTGCCATTGCTCGCGCATTGCTTCGTGACCCCAAAATCCTGCTCCTCGACGAAGCCACGTCAGCTCTTGACTCGGAATCAGAGAAAGTGGTGCAAGCCGCGTTGGATGCAGCGGCTCGTGGCCGGACGACCATTGCAGTCGCTCACCGACTTAGCACCATCCAAAAAGCAGATATAATCTATGTCTTTGACCAAGGCCGGATCGTTGAGAGCGGAAACCACCAGGAATTGATCCGCAACAAAGGCCGATATTACGAGCTGGTCAATTTGCAGGGTTTGGGCAAAACCCAATAAAGCATTTTCTTCTCCACGTCGGTGTTCGGTGTGATTTTTTTACTCTTGTTGAAGTCGCTTATTAGAGAAATACCCACATTCCCCCTATCTCCTGCCATGTATAATCTTCTTCTCATCGTGCCCCTTCTTTTTATTCTGTTGTCCATATATTTAATTCGTGATGGGGCTTTCTCTCCACGCCTCTCATCATCTTGTCTCATCTTTTCTCGTTCATAGAGTCAGTCCCGTCCATATCTCTTCTCATTTCCGAGCCTTTTTTTTTTTTTTTTTTTTTTTTTATTGCGTCAAAAAGACGAACACTTTTGCATTTCATGGCCTTGCATTTCCTGTATACATCTGCTAAGGTTGGCATTATCTCTCCTCCTTGGAGGTTTGCATAGTTTGATCATTGTCAAGCGATCAATTGGTACCTAGGTATCCTCTGCTCATTCACATCTAACATTTTTATTGGTTATTGAATAAAAGAACATCCTCTTTCTCTTTTGGTTCTGGCATCATCCATCACAACCAAGGCTTGGAGCTGATAGTCAATGGTAAGCCTAGTATCCATCTCGCCTAAATACTCTGATCAATCATCGCCATCAACTCCAAACTCCCCCAGAACATCCCCATACCGAACACCGCGCCTGTCAGCAATCAACCCCAGCAACCCCTGTCCCACGTCACGGATCTCATTGTAATCGTGAAGCAACCGAATATGACTCTGGACTGTTTTGGAGGGAGTTGGGGATCTAGATACTCATATCGAATTTTTGCCCCATTGTTGTTTTCAGTATATATCAATCACATAGAGAGCACACTCAAATATTCATTAACACCAAGCGGAAAGAGCAGAGGTAACAACCTTAGTTGCGCGGAGATTTCTTTCAATTGAGCTTGTGTCGATGCAATTTGGCTTTCTATGTTGGAGATTGAAGTTTGGAGAGATTTCTTTTGAGAATCGATCCAATTGATGGATTGTTAGTGTCTCTGTCTCTTCAATTTGAAGAAGATGATGATGATGGTATTGCCAAAAACTCCCAATGATGGGTTATGATGATATCCAAGTTATAGCCATAGAGACTTGAATAGGCTTACACGTCTTTCGTCTGCTTGACGATCCATGTCCCCCTCTTTGGGGGGAAAGTGGTCTGGATTGCTCTGCATTTTTGCGTGACTGACTGCTAGTGTTTGCTTAACTATCGTGAGAGCTGCTCGCGGAAGACTCGGGGAAGTCGGGGCCGCGTCACGCACCAATCAATCACGTTTACGCAAGTCCCCGCCGAGTAGGTAACCCTTTTCGGCCAGCCAACGTCTTCTCTCTCTCTCTCTTTCACCATCACGATTCTCGACTGACGTTCACGCCTGTCAGCTCGTCACTTTCTCGGTCTGACGGCCTTCATCATTGATTGGCGCTGGTTTCAATGAGTACAGATCCCCTCGCTTTGCTACTGAACTGCCGGGACTATTCGACCGCGCGTGCAACTGGACTGCAGCGTTAAGTCCAGGTACGAATACAATATCGACAACCATGTCGCTCAGAACCTATTTGTTGGTGCCTCTTGTGGCTCTCCTAGCCACTCAGACGCTTGCTCACGGTGGCCATGACGAGGTCCCCGAAGGCGAGGCTATTTCTACAGAACCGATAGTGAGTTCTATCCAGGAGTATCATCCAGCCGGACAAAGATTTTTCCTAACGCGGGTTTTATTATAGGACTCAATTTTATGGATACATATGATTTTAATGTCTATAACGTTTGGTGTCATATTCCCATTTGGCATGGTTTTGGGGGTGAGTTAGCACTAGCTTCACAAACATTCGGGATATTCGGGCCTTCGAAACTGACGAGTGATACAATGTAATATCTAGATTACTCGATCGCGATGGCATGTCCCCGTCCAGGTTGTCGCAACCGTCATAGCCGTGCTTGCATATTTTATGGGCCATGCTCATAAAGGACGCCAATTTGCGACGAATGTTCATGCGAAATTTGCCAATGTCTTGATGCTCCTGTTGATTATTCAAGTCGCACTTGGTGTTTACTTGAAACTTCATCTCGAAAGGGGCTTCCAAGGTCGAATTCGCCGGTATTTCGTGATCGGGCATGGCGTGGTGGGCAAAGCGATGCCTATTGTCAGCTGGGTGCAAATCTTGTTTGGTGGCATTGCATCAATGGGCTTCTGTCGCGATGACCATCTCGGTCAGTGTCTTGCACATTTCATTATGGGAAGTGCCTTTATTGCCTATGGTATCGTGATGACAATCTTGCTTCTTGTGGGACAGTTCTGGCTTCGCCGCACTGGCCGAAGTCAGGAATTTTTCGACTCGCTTATCATTGCTATTTGGGGCTGTATCAACACATTCACCGAGCATCGATGGGGCACTGCATGGGTCCACAACGATCTGCAGCACACTTCCATGGGTATTGTTTGGTGGTGTGCTGGGTTGTTGGGTATGTGGCTAAGTCGCAAGAGGAATGGACGTCCCAAGCGCAACCTTGTTCCGGCAATTGTCATTCTGTTGACGGGATATGCCATGTCGGCCCATCCCCAAACCCTACCTTTGAGTACCATGGTCCATACAGTGTTTGGATATACGCTCATGGCGGCTGGTCTGACTCGTATTGTTGAGATCTCTTTCGTCCTCAAGGACCGATCGACTCTCAGCGCTGATGGGTCGGATCCTCACAGCTTCCAATATCTTCCCCCATTTGTAAGTTTTCACTGGTCGTGAAGGATTATACAAGATCGGCTATGGGCTAACCTATTCTCCAGCTTCTATATGCTTCCGGCTTCTTGTTCATGGGCGCCACCGAAGAGCAGATGCAGCTTCTCAGCGATGCTGGCGTTACCCATGTTTCTTACATCTTGATTCTATACAGCGTCGCATTTATTCTTTTCCTCTGTAAGCCATTCACTCTCACCCTGTTCGCAACTAATGTACTAACAAAAAAATAAATAGTCGTAAACATCCTCCTTCACATCTATGCAGTCCAGGCGTTCCCCGAGTCAACCAGCAGCACTCATGGTCAATTCATGCCCAAGCTCCGTCGCGAAGATTCATCATCATCATACACAGTAGTCAACGACGGATTCGCCAATTCCAGCGGCAGCGGCATGAACGGCCATGCTCGTTCACGCTCAGAAGCACAGCGCATCCAAGACGCCGAAGCCTTCGAATTGCAAGGACTCATTTCGGAAGATGAGGTCGAGAACAACTCGAATCATTCTCTTCGCAAGGAAACTGCTGATGATGACGAGGAGGGCGATCTTGCTGTTTCCAGGTAACCCTTTGTTTTTCTCACGCTTTTTTTTTTTTTTTTCTCGACAAATCCCTTCTCAAAAAAAGAAGAAGAAAGAAAGAAAGAAGAAAGAAAGAACAAAAGCTTGTGGGGAGGGATTTAGTGTCATACATATACGGTTATATATAATCTTTATCTCAGGACGTTTCTGAGTATCGATGTACATATTAATATTTCCAAGATGAAAGTGCATTTACATCTGTTTCTGTTGCATAGTCAAGGCGAATTCAAATAATTTCATCTACCCATATCAGACTTGAATAAATCATGTAGATCTAATCCTCAGTCCACGGCAGTCATAATTCAATCTCAAAGACTAATGGGGCTACTACATGTCAATAGTACAGAAGATATCTAGTCTCGCTAGTCTTCAGACACCACTGTCATGCCTATTTTAAGCAGTGCACAGATACTCCGAATACAAATTACTCAAAAGCAAAGAGAAGACACAAATAAAGCCCCTTTCTCAAGGGCAACTACTGTCAATTGATATATGTTCATCTATCAAAAGGGTAAAAGGTTCAAGTTGCAAAAGATGAAAAAACGCTCACGCTCACGCTCACGCCCACGCCCCCAACCTAACCATCCACTCCAGCGAGACAGATCGTACCTGATCTGATTTGAGAAAAGGAAAAAAAAAAAAAAAAAACGCCAATTGCTTTATTGGAAACCAAACCAAAGCCAAGACTGTCTTTTTTACCTTTTTATGCAAGTGTATGACTTTCCCTTCCCCCTTGTCAAAGTGTCTATGAACACAGATAATATGATCATGGAGCAGGGACTGATGCAGACGGATTGGGAAGAACTGGTAAGGTGGTAGCGGTAGTAGTAGCAGCACTCGGCGACACTTTTGCGGCCATATTCTCAATCTGAGGCGGGAAAATGGGATGCAGAGGATATATAGGGGCGATATTTTTCTCTCCATCGAACAACAGTAGATTCTGCAGGGGCTGCTCACGGGCACCCAGCACATTGATCACGTCCTGTGCAAGACTGCCGCCAAGGAATGCAGCGACGGGGCTTAATTCGCAGCCTAGGTTTTCAAGAAAGCTGCGGAGGAATGAGGAGTCGATTGTGCTGATGTCGAGTTGGAGTTCGCGATGGCGCTCGTTGACAAGGAGTGTGAACGCTTCGAGTTCGGCGCGCGAGAAGCTTGGGAGTTTGCCGTTGGATGCTCGCTGGAACTCCCAGAGCGCGCGAAGGCAGCTCAGGAGCGGTGTTACGTTTTTCTTCCTGCGCGCGATGCGGGTATATTCTTCGGGGAGGGGGGAGCTGTTGGCGAGCAGGAGAGGGGAGTAGATTTCGCGTTTGGTGACCATTTCAATGATCTTTTCGTTTTCTCGTTTGGTCGTGATATTGACGATTGATCGTGTGGGCGTCTCTTGCAGCTGGGATGCCATGTTCGATTTCTCACGCTCAATGACAAAATCGTGCGATATCAGATCTGCAAATGCATACCCATAAAACCCGTGTAGTCCTGCTGCATAGAACCGGCGATTGGAGATACGACAGGCTGCATTGATTGTAGCATACGAGTCGAAATCCAGGTCTGTTGCTATAATCACATCGAAACCTCCAAAGTATTCTGGAGGCTTATTTCGGACATCATCTGTGTCGACGTGCAACTGCACTCGCGGATTCATGGCTCTGACCTGAGGAGCTGCAGCTTGCGCTCGCTGTCGATAAAAGTCAGCTAGCTAATAAAACATAGTGAAAGCTCACGTCAGTCTCACATTTTGCCCGACATGCTCCTGGGAGACGAAAAATTGAGCACACAGATCCATCTCAGTGACGGCTTCATGGTCAAGGATTGTCAATGAGCCAATGCCAGCAAGGACAAGATTCTTTGCAATTTCGTTGGCCAATGCCTTGAAAGTAATCAGGAGGATTTTCGCTGATCTCAGTCTATCACGCCGCGATTAGTGGGTGAGAAAAAGCTAGAAGGGGAAACGGGCTTCTGCGTACTTCTCCTGTGCTTTCACGCCCCAGAGACGGATCTGTCGGTCATAGAGAGCAATCTCGTCTGCAGGATCTGTGAGCAACCATCGACTTCCATAGATGATGTGAATTGGCGCGGCTTACCTGCGCTGATAGTGTGACCGTTGGCTTGTTCGTTCGCCATGGTTGATTGCTTGTTTAGTTTCATGCGATGAGCTGGAAGGAAGTAAAACGTGAGGATCAAATGTCAGGCATGCCCAATTGGAGCGCCGCTAGAGTCCTTAACGCTTAGGCGATGCGCGTCTTGGAGACTGTGGAGAGAGAGCGAGGTGTATGCAGGACAGTTGGTTAGCTTAAGCGCCGCGGGTGGGTTTCTTTGATCGCTGCGGGGCTGCCCGGCGGTTCTTAACGCCCGAACGTAAAGTTACCGTACCGCCGGTTACCCACTGTGCTCGCTTCATATCTCATCATCATCATCATCATCATCATCATCATCATCATTCCTCCATCAGCCGCCCTGCCTTGTGCACCCTGCCTTATTGTAGTACCTCGGCTGCTGCACTCCTTATTTTATCTTCGTTGGCCATTGTCTGGAATCCCTTCAATCGTCCCGCTCACTTAGCCAGCTGGCACCCGCTCCGATTATGGTATGTCTGTCCTACATAGACTCAGCTGCTGCTTTCTGTATTTGCCTTTATTCTGTGGATTTTCCTTCCACGCACCCTCCCTCGTGGGAAGACGGAGAAACAAAGGAGAGAGATGCTAACTGTTCCTATCTTCAGTCGGGAAATTACGATTTTCCGCCTGCCTCGAATTCCACATCAAGGCGCTCCGCATCGGACAGACCGCAGGAAAACTATCACTCACGCTTGCAGAATCTTCGTGACTTAATACTGTTTTCTTCAGACCGTGGGGGCCGCGAGCGGTCAAATTCTGAAACAATCCGGGCTCTAGACACACTCAACGACGAAATCGAAGAATTACGGGCCGAAAATACTCGAAGAAGGCTGGCTTGGAACCAGGGTCGAGCCGCCATGTATAGACAACCGCAGCAGTCTCAGAATAATGGGCCAGCTAGCACTACTGAAAATGCCCAGCAACCAGGCCAGAACCGAGAGCAGGGAAGACTTCCCTCAAACACAAGTGGCTCATCCATCAACAACACAAACCAAGTCTCATTTCCAGCACATGAGGGAGCGCGATGGAATTCACCCAGCGAAACTGTCTCGAGGTTGAGAGGGAACAACACCGATCCCAATTCTAGCGGCTACGACCTCGAACGAGCTACTGCCCAGCTACGAGAAGCCGACGCCGCAATCTCTTCCATTCTGAACGGAGGAATTACTAGCTCGTATTCAGGGTCGGGGTCGCGTCACTCCCGGCCTTCAGATTCGCTCCCCTGGCCTTCCCATATTGACCGCTTCCTTGGATTGTCTGACCCTGGCCCTCGCTGGCGATCGAAGAGACGTAAGTTGGACTCTGACGATAACAGAGAAGGATTATCAGGGTTCAGCTATGGTCATTATGGTCAAGTCGTTCCAGGGCCGCTAAAAATGGAAATTTCCAGTTGCGATGGAGGAAATTACTATGATGAAGGAGAGAGCTCATGGCCAGGAAATGTTCTTCTCGACGACTCGTCAGTCTACTGCACCAAGAAAAGCCGATGCAATATGGTCTTGAACCACCGTGGCGAGACGCCGTTTTGTCTGAAGCAAATCGTAATCAGAGCACCGAAGAAGGGATTTGATGCTCCGTAAGTATCCTCTAAACGGTCGTTTTTTATCTACGACACATTTGATAACTAATCGCTTAATAGAATCCAAGAGGGCATGATCTTTGTTTCGATGTCATCCGATGACCTGTTGGAGCGGACTGCTCAGTATCAACTTCATTATCCACAAAGTCAACGCTGCCATCATTCTAGACGACACTACACTAACCCTTCGCGAGAATATATGAATGCTTATCGAGCTCGCAACCGGGGCATAACAACGACAACTACATCTGCCGGAGACTTGGTCGCACAAGCTGAACCGCGGAGGCAGTCTAGCGATCCAAATGAACTTCCACGATCTCGTCGCTCTCTACTTAATCCTACGTACGCAGAACCCCAATTCAGAGTTACTACAGAAAATGATATCAATTCGGACGATGCAACAAACGACGAACAAGACAATGACGAACTGCCTTCCGCCACTGAAATCGAACTCTTGGACCTTGGCGAAGATGGCGAGCTATTCTGTCCCGAAGATGAGGAAGATAGCGATGACGGCGATACCGTCGAACTCAACCGCGGTCGTCTAGATACACGTCGACAGACACTGACCGGCGAACATCGCAGTCATTATTATTCTATTGGCAGTAACCGTCTCGATTCTCCAAGCCTCATTGAGCCCGTCTGGTCCACTGCGGCAGCGAACTCGAATTTTGGCGGAGACATGAATAACGCACAACATCCAGATATTATGAAACCGCATGCTCGCTTCTTCATTGAGCGAGAAAAGAGCATGGTCAGCATCAAATTCGATCCACCAGTGTATGTAACCCCTCCCCCCCCCCCTTCACAAGAAAACGGACAGGAAGTACTATGACATCCTACTAACATCGAAGAACAGATCAGGACGCTTCATCTTAGTCAAGCTTTGGAGCCCCTACAGCGACGGAAACATTGATATTGAAGGAATTATGGTGTATGGGTTTGCAGGCACTCGCTATTTTCCTGCACTTGATGTGCGATAGGTTATCGCAACATACACCGCGAGGAAAGATACTCTACGACGAGCAGTTCACTTATACTTTTGGAGAGTAGAAATCATTTAGGTATATTGTACATACTTACGCTGTAGAATAATTGACATGATTAGAGATGGATTTCGCGCTTCCCTTTTCTTCGTGCTAGTCTACTCTGTAGCTAGTATCGCTGTGCAGGCGAAATTGTGAAGATAGTAAGTACAGAAAGAGTAACAATAGAAGTAGTAATAATAGATTTTCATTTTCTTTCTTTTCTCTTCTCTTTTCTTTTCATTGGTTAGAAAAAGATCAGAAGAAAGAAAGGGTTTAGCAGTTGACTATATTGAATAATACTATATACAAGTGTTCATTGAGAAGGGTTGTTTGAAAACAAAAATCCGCCTTCTTTTCAAGACAGTGACAGGAGAAAGGAAAAGAAAAGAAAAACCAGAAAGATAAAAAGAGCACGGGAAACAGCCAACAGCCGATTGTGATTGTCCTTCCAAAAGAAAGAGAAAGACATCCGTTTCAAGAGAAAAGAAAAGAAAATTAATAGCTCGTACGTCGTTATCGTTCGTAGCAAGGAAGAGAACAAAGATACAGGTGGTCGTCGTCGTTCTGAAAGAGGATCAAGTGAAGAATGAAATGAAATGAGAACAAAAAGGTATTATGCTTCCTGAATCCAATTCGCCAAAGGCTCCAAAGGCAGAACAAGAAGGAGAAGAATCGAAGGAGCAAATAAATCAGCTATTTTCTCTTATCCAGATCACCAATGTAAAAAATGGAAAATAACCATCCAAAAAAGGAGAACAAAAGGCTGCACGCAATGTTCGAAGAATGTAAGTGGGCATATGAATAAAATAGTCATTCAGATAACAACCACATCACCTTCAGCATCTTCTGTATTTGTCATGATATCGTATTTTCCGACGGACATTAGCATTGAATCATCGTCAAGACCGATGCCACTATCATCATGATTGGGCGCATGAAGGTTGGCCATGTTTTCAGATATCGCTGCCGTATTCTTTTCGTTCATGGACCTGCTTCCTGCTGCTGTATTTACTGTTCTTTCAATAGATTGCCGCCCAGTTGATTCTGTCATGGAGCCATTCTCGGAATTCCCAAAAGGCTCGTTCTTCACTACGAGGACAAAATTCCCTTGCCTCGCAATGTGGTTTTGTTGTGGATTATTCTCCGGCCCTGATGATGCTGCTGCTGCTGAGGCCTCATTCTGTAGAGAGCCTGGCGTATGTTTCATGAAACCGCCCTTCTCCACTTGCCATAACAACATTTCATGAAAGAAAACTTTGGTCATCCACCAAGCGCTAAAACTGGGCGCACCAGCAAGCGTCAAGCGATGTAAGACACAATCCCATAGCCTATCGACTTTGTCGACTATGCACTGCGCAGGATGGTTGGGGAAGAGAGACGGCAGGCTGAGTATGAAAGAAATCCATTTGTCAGGGAAGTTGTATTCATCGCCCGTCGAGTATTCAACAGTGTTTTTCTGATCTTCCGTGTCGTCTCTGCTTTGTTGGTAGAAGGAAAGTACAGTGGGAGATGTCGGATTATGCAGAGGCGTGAGGAGCGCACGAACATCAAATCTCAGGATTTGCTCTGTTGCTTTCTCCGAGCAGGACGGAATATCAGATTTCGAGATCATTTCTATAGGATCCACAAACGTAGCAAAATCAAGCCACATTTGATTGCGATTATTTGGGTGGCAAAGCCAAGCGGCGGCAGCATTAGCGGCTTGATTGACGTCAAGCATGTGCTTTAGGAGGTTGCAAAACAAATGCGCAGGTATTAATCTCGACAGGGATACGTGAATAGGGTGAGTTTTGAAGGTTTCGGAAATGTGCGCTGTAAGACGTTGCGAGATGGAGCCGAAGGAATCAAGCACCGGCTGCGGTACCACCTGAGTAGTCAGAGGAGCGATGAACTCGATCATCTTCTGATACATAAGCCAGTCGCATTCCTTAATCCAGGGAGCAAGGTTTGGATGAATGAGCAGTTTCTGTACTGGGACAGTCAACGTCCCGTGGAATGCGGAAAAGTGACGAAACAGGTTTCTTTCTTTGCAAAAACGGAAACTGTCAATGACGGAGATGCAATGTGTCCTATACAGGGCTGCCAAGGCGTCTGCTACCTTGACATCCGTATTGGCAGGGAGATAAGGTGAGATATCAGGTAATTTCAATGACTCGTTATCGGCGTGCGGTGTATTTGAGGAGGGAAAGGTGAGCATTTGGCGTATCATCTTTCCAGTTTGGATGGAGATGTTCTCCAAGGTAATGGTCTGGTCATGCGGAAATCGCTTTTGGGTTTCGCAATTGCATCCGGTAGCACTAGAAATAGGGGGAAACTTCGGGGTAAAAGAAGTAGTAGGTGAAGGAAACACTGCTGTGTCAACTGGGGGTTGAGATGCGCTGATACTGTGTGGTTTAGTTAGCAACTTGATATAAATTATGTCAAGTAGACTGCAATAGTATTTACCTGCGAGGTCGTAGGGAAGAATTGAATCCCGTTCCCTCCGCGTTTACTGATCCGTTGACTGAGGGAGGTTTGTCTTGTGGCGTTTGACCTATTGATTGTTGCGGTTTGTCCTCGATGACAGTGAGATCAACATAATGATATTTTGATTCACCCCTGACACCGAGACGACGAGTTTGAACATTCGGAAAGATGATTCGCACAAGTTTGCCGAAGGAAGCTGGATTTAGAACGGAAACATGTTCACTTCCACATCTCTCCGCATAGCAACAGTAAACACGATCTCGTCGAACAGATCCAGTACTCTTTCTACAATTCTCCTTCAACCTAGAAACAAAGGGCACTTAGTAAGGGAAAGCAAACATACATTTGCTTATATGATCACTTACCACACCATGGCAAAGACCTGTTTCACTTTTTCTGATTTACCACCGGCACCTTCATGCTTCTGAACTTCGGCGGCCATTTGCTTCAGAGAGAAGTTTTCATATTGCCGTAAAAGTTTTCTCAGTTCATTATCATTTGCAACAGTGGAGCTGGACCCTCGTTTCTTTCGACCACCAGCCTCGGAGTTGTCATTTTCGTCACCGCGATCCGGCATGTGAGCGTCCATCGCACTGGTGTCATAGATATGACCGTAGTGGTTTACGGGAATGCCTGAAAGCCCATGAGAGGCAACCATGTCCGGCATTGAGTTCGGCAGACCATGAAAATCCTCCGGTCGTGGAATAACAGCTCCATGGGCATCATGCATCGAGGCATCCAGGGAGCCTGCACTATTTGAATGTACCAACTGCGAACCGAAACGCATGATCATATCTTCCGGGTTCGTACTAAACACGCCGTGTGTTGGCCCTTGTTGAGCCGCCATAAACGGAGAAAAGCCATCACCCATGTGCTGGTCTTGAGTTTGCTGGGTCGTGCTCGAATGAATGCTGGCCGTGGAGCCTCTTGACCTAGGGCGACGATGTGCTCTCGACATTGCAGTGTTCGACCGAGACCGAAGCGGGTCAGCTGTGCCCGGTCGACTGTGAGGTTGTGCATGCGACATGACTGTCGAACCTTGAGAATGTGCTCGATCTAACGAGTCATGATTAGCAGGCGCCGGGTGATGGCGGGATACATCTCATCAACCACGTACTCATGGGGAAATGCGGTTCCCAGTGCTCACCGACGTCCGGTGGCATAGCAGATAATTAGAAGAGTATTAAGCAATCGTAAAACAGCGGAATCCGCGCCGGAGTGAGGGCGATTCGTGGCGTGTGTGGTGTGAATGGTCACATCCACCTCAACAAGCGGTGGCCGGTGGCATCAATGGCTGAATAATACAAACATACAAACCTGGCCGGCAAAGAAAGAAGAGCACGGTGAGTTAGTCGGAGTCGTCGTACCAAGTCAATGGGCTAGCTACTGTCGTCGTCACTGCGCCCGCGTACGAGGTGCTTCGAGGTATCGAAATGAAGGGAGGATAAACAGAATCGGCCGTCACTCAGACAACCGAGCGAGCACTTTGTTTTGGTTTGGTGTGTTTTGCTTGGGTGGCTGGACGTCACGTGCGCAGTTAGTGCAGCATGTGCCGTCGCCCAATCACAGCACGCGCTGCTCGCGACAGCAATGTGAGAACGCATATACGCATTATTACGCTGTTTAGCGTCTAATCTGTGGCACTTGCGCGGTTTAGATGCGGCGGGCAGTCTGGAATACGGTGGGCGAAGTGAGGTATATCATACGCCTATGCTATCGGTCAAGGCTGTCATGCTTGCAACTACACGGTGTACTATATATCACGAACTCGACGACGGCCTCAAGGCTTCCGGCGAGTTCGGGTGCTAGTTTCAGAGAACGGAACCTTCATTAAGTATAATCACCTCTATCAGGATATGAAACTATCAACACACAAATGAAAACAGATAACGACGGCCTCCACCAGGACAAGCTAGCTCCTCGGCTTCGACATGTAGGACTTGTAAGCACGAGGGGTGACCAAACGTCCTTTTCCAAATCCGGGCGTTAAATAAGATCGCGTCGGACAAACTCGCCGAGAAGAGTCTTGCCGAGGGAAGCGGGACTTCGCTCCACGATAACACCAGCAGCCTCAAGAGCAGAGATCTTGGAATCAGCACCACCCTTACCACCGCTCACGATGGCACCAGCGTGACCCATTCGTCGGCCGGGGGGAGCACTGATACCGGCAATGAAGCTGACAGCTGGCTTGTTCTTCTTGTTCTCGGTCTTCAAGAACTCGGCGGCATCCTCCTCAGCGCTGCCACCAATTTCACCGATCATGATGATGCCATCAGTCTCCTCGTCCTCGAGGAAGATCTTCAAGCAATCAATGAAGTTGGTGCCCGAAAAAGGATCGCCTCCGATACCAACGACGAGAGACTGACCCAAGCCAGCCTGAGTAGTCTGGTTGACGGCCTCGTATGTGAGGGTGCCGGAACGAGAGACGATACCAACACGACCGCGCTTGTGGATGAAGCCAGGCATGATACCGATTTTGCATTGGCCCTATTATAGTCCAACATTAATAACCCAAGTCGAACTTGAATGAAAGCAAGTTCAAAATAGACTACGCTAGGAAGACATAGGAACGTACCGGAGCAATGATACCGGGACAGTTAGGGCCGACCAGGCGAGTCTTGTTTTGTGTCTTCAAGATGTCCGTGATGCGCACCATGTCTAAGAAACTGGGATTAGATGATTTTTCTACAAGGAGGCAGTTAAAACGAGATGTTTTACTTACCATGTTGAGGAATTCCTTCGGTAATGCTACAGAGCTAGTTAGGTCCAAAGCCAACAAATATAAAAGAAGTAAGCTCTCTTCAAAAGGGGACAAACCAAACAACAAGAGGAATCTCAGCTGCAATAGCCTCTTCAATACCCGCAGCGGCCAGCGGTGGGCTAGATAGATACTTGTAAGCATGATGTTTTCAGCGACAAAACGCGGGTGTCAAACATACGGAACGAAGATGGCCGAGGCTGTAGCACCAGTTTCCTTCACGGCATCGCTCACGGTAGCAAAGACAGGTCGATCGAGATGTTGCGATCCAGCCTTCTTGGGGTTTGTTCCACCAACAACATTGGTGCCTGACTTGTGTGAGTGCCATTTTCATCCTATAAGTCGACTGCATGAGGGTTGGGGCATATTACCGTATGCGATGGCTTGCTCGGCATGGAATCTGGTCAAAATCGGTGCTCATCAGTATCAGTCCGCATGCCAAAAGCTCCCAGAAGCACTCACGTTCCCTGTTTACCAGTGAAGCCCTGGTAGATAACCTTGGTATCGGAGTTTATGCGAAGGTTGCCGATTGTCGAAGCATATGCTGAGCTGGCACCAACGTAGGTGCGGCGCTGCTTGGAAGCGTTCTGCAGAGCAGAAAGAGTGTTGCGACGGAAAGCCTGCATGACTGCAAATACCTAGGCAAGGAAGAACGGAGAGAGCAATGGACAAAAGCAAAGAGTGGAGGTGGTCTGCGAGCAAGATAATATTGCAACGAGTGGTGATAATAACTTCCCCGAGCCCTGGCAGGCACTTTTCGCGCTTCGGAAACGCCAAGACCAATCAGTAATAACCGTCCTTCCGAGCTCAAGCGGTGCCTCCCGATCCGGTTTTATCGGTCCCGCCTGCTCAATTTTTGTGCCGCCATTTTTTTGCGATAGCAGACCTGCACTGCCAGACGGCGTCGTTCTTAGCTGCAAGTGACCAGTTTTTGGCCTCTTGTTCTTTGACTTCTTCGACCAAACTGCCTGTTCACGTACCACTCAGAGTTCCACGCCGCATCCCTCCCTCGCAGTCCTCCTACGATGGCGACTGCCACGATGACGACGATGGTGCGCCCAGAGACTCTGGCAAAGAGAGGAAAGCTGCCACCTGAGAACGAGCGGTTCCTGCGCGCCTGCTCTGATGTCGCAAATGTCCTTATCCAGGAGCATGAATCCAGTCGGGACCCTACCAAGCCGACGAAAGACATCAACCTCAACAAACTGAGGGGTCAAATCGCCAAGAAGCATTCGCTGGGTTCACTGCCTCCGCTGACTGCAATCATTGCGGCTGTTCCTGAGCACTACAAGAAATATATCTTGCCCAAGTTGATCGCAAAACCAATCCGTACGGCACCTTACAAGATCGTCAAGCATAGCAAGCGCTAATCGAGAGAAAAAAAAAAAAACAGGAACTTCTTCTGGAATTGCTGTCGTTGCCGTCATGTGCAAACCACACCGCTGCCCACACATCGCATACACTGGAAACATCTGTGTCTACTGCCCAGGTGGCCCCGACTCTGATTTTGAATATTCAACACAATCGTATACCGGTTACGAACCGACGTCGATGAGAGCCATTCGAGCTCGCTACGACCCCTTTGAGCAGGCTCGAGGACGTGTTGATCAATTGAAGTCACTTGGACATAGCGTGGATAAAGTAGAGTACATTATCATGGGTGGCACTTTTATGTCCCTCCCAGAAGACTATCGTGATTCTTTTATTTCCCAGCTTCACAATGCGCTAAGTGGCTATCAAACCGATAACGTCGATGAGGCCGTGCAAGCAGGCGAGATGAGCAATATCAAGTGTGTGGGTATCACTATCGAAACACGGCCCGATTACTGTTTGGACACACATCTCAGCAGCATGCTACGTTACGGCTGCACTAGATTGGAGATAGGAGTTCAGAGTCTATATGAGGACGTGGCAAGAGATACAAACAGAGGACACACGGTTGCAGCTGTTGCAGAGACGTTTAAACTCGCAAAAGATGCTGGCTTCAAAGTGGTCAGTCATATGATGCCTGACTTACCCAACGTTGGCATGGAGCGAGACTTGTTCCAATTTCAAGAATACTTTGAGAACCCAGCATTCCGCACAGACGGGTTGAAAATCTATCCCACGCTTGTAATTCGAGGTACTGGTCTGTACGAATTATGGAGAACAGGACGGTACAAGAACTACACGCCGAATGCGCTTATTGACATAGTAGCTCGGATTCTGGCGTTAGTGCCTCCGTGGACTCGTATCTACCGAGTGCAGCGCGATATTCCAATGCCATTGGTCACTTCTGGTGTTGAGAACGGAAATCTTCGAGAACTTGCTCTGAGCCGGATGAAGGATTTCGGTACAACATGTCGGGACGTGCGAACACGTGAAGTTGGTATCAACGAAGTCAAAAACAAGATCCGCCCTTCCCAGATCGAACTTGTTCGGCGTGATTATACGGCAAATGGCGGCTGGGAAACATTCCTAGCCTATGAGGATCCTAAACAGGATATTCTGATCGGTCTTCTGCGTCTCCGTAAATGCAGCGCCACCCATACGTTCCGCCCTGAGCTTACGGGCCAACAAACCAGTCTCGTGCGAGAACTGCACGTATACGGTTCTGCCGTTCCGTTGCACGGCAGAGACGCGCGCAAATTCCAGCATCGTGGATTTGGTACACTCCTTATGGAGGAGGCTGAACGTATCGCGAGAGAAGAACACGGCAGCGAGAAGATCAGTGTTATCTCCGGTGTTGGTGTTCGAAGCTACTATGCTCGTCTTGGATATACCCTTGATGGGCCATATATGTCGAAAATGCTTGACAGTGAAGAGTGAAGAAGATATCCGCGATGAGGTATTTATTATGTACATTCAATAATTTCTCACGCACTCGCATATGGCGGCGTCGTCGTTTTGGGCATTAACCGGAGTTTTCTGTGTGTCGGTGTGTGTCGGTGTGTGTGTAAGACACTATGAAGTCATGTTTCCGAAAGGAAGTTAACGATGTTATATACAAAAGTTCGTTTCGTCTATGACAGATTACGAAAACACGTTTCACAGTCATCCCTTATTCCTGCAGTACTCGTAATACGTCGACGTAGATAGGCGCAATCCACCAATAAGGCAAAGTAGTAATATTCTGCCGATGACTGCCGCCAACCGCTATCAACCTCAAGCACAGCGCCGTCCCCATCCATCGAGCATATCTTTTGCGCGAATAACTCAACGAGGCCTTGCAACTCACTTTCTTTCAATAATCTTGACGTTTCCAGTCATATACTCCCACTCTGACAACACTCGCTATCCTGTACCTTGAACTAGTTCCAGAGTTCTAGACGCAATCACTCAACAACCATGAAGCCGGTGTTTTCCGCCTTGAACGCTTGGAGTTGGTAAGTAGCAATCGGTCATGGACATGGTGGTTATGAGGGTAGAAGCTAATTATAATTGAAAATAGCGTGGTTATATCATTCTTTGCGATCATCATTCTATCCATCCTCGGCTCGTTATATAACGTTCGTAACCTTCGTCGTCCTTCCACATATCACATCCTACTCCAGCCGAAAAGTCTAGATAATCCTTACTGATATCAACTCTCTATCTAGTCGAATCATCCCGCATTCACAGGTTCAGAAGGTACTCCTGAAGATGGCACCGTGGTAGCTGGATCGATTTTCACTGCCGTGATTGTATACGCTGTATGTCACTTTCTCTCTGTGTCCCTGTGCGCTATGAACATCGCATTTTAACTATTCCTTTTTTTTATGGCAGGGTTTCTTCGTATTTTGTGGTTTCCAGGCATATTTGCATGTTCGAGCGAATCGGAGGGGGGCTATTTCTTTGAATTAAACTGCCATTGTTGATACTTATACATATACCATTATCATTACTATCACCATGGTTCCAATAAATATGTTGCCTTGATGGGTGATTTTAAAAGAAAGGAAAATAAAAGATGAATGAGAGAGAAGGATTTGGGGATTGACTCCCATACATGTCCGATGCGATGGTCCAATGATGGTTTTGGCGTTGGGTTATTGGCGATTTGTGAAATTTAAAATATATATGTGTTGTTTTTTGTATATGATCATATTTCTACGTTGTTTTTACCCTGGCTTCTATGTTGCTGTTTTGGAGCATGCTTTTTAGCACTCGGTATGTTCAGCGTCTCATCTGGCGTTTGGCCAATTAGGTCAAATCACTCCTGTAATCCCGACTTGAGAAGGCGTCTTCGTCTTCGTCTATCAGTCTTCTTGCAAATGTATGCTAGTTCTTTGCGGCTGACCGCTTATCCATCAATATCATTAAATCAATGACTTTTATTCCACTGTATACATTCATCAAACGTAACCCCAGAGCCCCCAAATATGTCCAACGCACTTCCAATAGTAAGATCAACCTTACCACCACTACTAGAATGAACCTTCTCAAGGTCTTGAAGATGCCTTGCTCCCCCGGCATATGTAACCGGTATTGAGCACCATTGAGCCAGTTTCTCGACCAAATCCTCGTCAACACCTTGCTGCAGACCTTCTACGTCTGCAGCGTGGATTAGAAACTCTGAGCAGTATGGTTCAAGCATGGCTATTGAGTCTGTTGTAAAATAAAAATCGATAGGGAATCAGCATAAGCTGGCTTGATGTATGAGGAATAGATGGATCGATAGATATACCTTTTGTAATCTCCATCTCGGTGATGGTTTGCCAGCGGTTCATTGCCACGAACCACGTGTTATCTTTTCTTCGACAGCTCAGGTCAAGCACGAGTTTGGATGTGTCGTTTCCCAGTGATGATAAAACGGACTTGAGTCGGTCGAGAGAGAATTTGCCTTCTGGAAAGAGGAAGGATGTGATTATGACCTGCAATTATGTCAATTCAACTTGGTAAGATATAAAACCAAGCATTGTGGGAGAAAAAAATATTGTGTGTTGTTTGAAAAATGGGCAGTCTTTGAGTATGCACATGTACATATTTATAGCTCACCTTCTCTGCCCCCTGTTCAATCCAATACGGCGCATTCTCATCGGTAATACCTCCAGCAACCTGCAACCCACCAGGCCACGTTCTCAAAGCTTCCTTAGCAGCCTCAGTGTTCCCAGAACCAAGCATTACAACATGGCCGCCACGCAGGTCATGTTGCTTGTATAAATTTGCGTAGTGACTTGCGGGAAGCTTTGATACATAATTTGTCTTCAAATCGCTTGCCACAGAACTCAATGTTCCGCCCACAATTTGTTTGACTTGGCCTGAGTGCAAGTCAATGCAGGGGCGAAATTTGGTCATTGTTTTTTCTTTCAATTCGCTCGGTATGTCGTTTTTATCCTTGAAGTTACTCTAGATGAGGGTCATCTTTCTTCCCCGCTGGCCGATGGAGAGATTGTTCTTATCTTATCGCACGTGACAACGATTTCTGTTTTTCTTTTGCGTTCTTTGCAGCATCAAATCCTGCACAACTAGCTCTGCAATTGAACACTATTCTAGCAACGAAAAGAGCAACATGGGTCCTACAGCAGTAAAGAGGAGGAAAATTTCACAATCTTCTATGCAGGCAACAAACTCAACTACGGAATTAGAAGAACACCCAAATGACGTTTTTCGCAAGTTCTTCGAAAGTCAGTTCCGGCCGTTAGACGATACACATATACATAAAAAGCGTGCTGCTGTAGCTGTCACATCCCAGGAGTCAGAAATATCAGATGATGAAGCAGACCAGTCGGGGGAGGAAAATTTCGAAGGGTTTTCTGATATTGAAGAAGACGAAGAAGAAGAAGAACAAGAAGTGATGGTTGTCGAACATGTGGATGTTCGCAACGAGAATGTGCTACTGGATAAGCAAACACGTAAAGCTTTATTGGTAAGTTGTCTATAATATGAGCTATCGACGATAATTCCACCGCTAATTGATCGTACATGAATAGTCTGCCAAAGTCCCAGCTTCTTCAGACACATTAAATAGCACATCCAAGAAATCAAACAAGGCCAAAGACGAAGAAGTCGACAACGAAGCAGCAAACCTACAAAACGATCTCGCCTTGCAGCGTCTACTAAAGGAGTCACATTTACTTGACTCGACATCATCAGATTTAAACCCCACAGGGAAGAACAGACACAAAGCGCTTGATTTGCGACTACAAGCTCTTGGAGCCAAGAAATCTCTATTTGAGCGAAATAAAATGCCCAAGTCACACCGCCAGGGCATCGAGGCCAGGGCCGTCAAGACAGAGACTACCCGTCGCCGGGAAGCCCGAGAGAATGGCATTATCCTCGAGAAACCCGTTTTCAAACAGCAGAAGAATAGTAGCAGTAGTGCGAAACGGAGGGATAGGGGAGTTGGTGCTCCAGCAGTGGGTAAATTCGCTGGAGGTACCTTACGGCTCAGCAAACACGACTTGGCGAGCATCCAGGGTCCATCTAGGAAAGGCGGCAAAGGTTCTAAACGGGGTCGCCGCTGATCGTTCGTTCTTTCTTCCCTTGCGATGGTATATTCACCTTTGACTTTGTTGCATGTATTCGACGTGCTGGACTCCCCGGTCTTGGTCTTCTAACATGTCGAAAACCCTGTGCCTTGCATATACATAGTACATGCTCTGTTGCCAATGTCAATGGTAAAGGGGCCGGAATTGGGTTTGAACCGTGCACAAACAATATCATTCATTATCCAACATCCACTCGAGAGTACGGAGCATTTCCGGAATCCGGCTGGTAGGAAATAATTACAATACGATCCAACTCTTCCAGAGACCACGCGCTTTCGATAGCGGAGACACAGCGCACTAGCACCGGCCAGTCAAAAGGAGCCCTCATCAATTCTCCTTCTGCTTCTGGGATGGGGGCAAAATACAATGAACTATTACTATCTGCAACTGGCCAGCCACCTACATAGCAAGAGCCTAGAGGCATGCATGACTCGAGTCTCTAGTCCACTAAACCACATGCAGCTACCTAAAACCAAGTGTCTCAAGATAAAGCCCTGTCCTATCCCGTAGGCCCAGGGAATTGCAGAAAACACTTGCATTCTCAATTTCTTTGAGACATAGTGCACTGCGCGCGCCGTTAGTTTTGTATGTAGTTTAAAATTTTTGGCCGGTTTCAGAATCTGTACGCGAGAAAAGAAAAAGCTTTGAGTCGGTGGATCCATGGATATCTCCGTGTGAAGAATCAAGTAAAAGTCAAGCAGAAGCTTAATTGGCCAGTTGGATTGATACTATACCCAGGTCGTACATACCTCCATGCTTTTAATTAATTACTAGCACACGTACGCATTCTAAATTGGCAGTATGTCCATATCTAGTAATCTAGTGTATAGTATCCACCAAAAAAAAAAACGGCCTAGATATTTCCGATCCGTTGGCCTGGTAGTGACCCTTAAAGCCAAGATTCAAGAGAATAAGATTTTTTTTCCCACCCTGTTCATGGACTCGACAAAAGAGGGGATGGATATGGAGTGCAGCTTAGAATTCCAACCTGAAACGCATTACCTGAAGAAAAGCTGAGACATTCTGAAGCTTTGCCCTGCATGGCAATGTCATGTATCCGTGCCTGGAAGGAACCTACATGAGAGACTAGGCCTGTTCCTGATGAATATACATGTAGCCTGTATAATAAACCGAATTGGAATTCTATGCTCAGTTAATACGGTTGTTATAAGGGGGGTGCGATTAGTACGTAATTGCATAGGTATGTGATAGTTATGCTGCCACTGTCTTGGCCTGGCTTGTTAGATTAATCAATAGGAGACTAAACCTCGAAGGTATTATTTTACAAGTTTTTATCTCCGTGTAACGAGTACCTTAAGGCTCAAGTTACCTATTTGGCTATGCTACCAGCCACTAGGATGAACAGCTTTGTGCATCCGCCATCCGGGCAGTGGAACGGGGTATAGTTGTGGCTTGATAATACGGAGTACTCCGTAGTTATAGTATGCTATCTAACAACTAAAAGGTTCTTTCTTGATCAGGGGAAACGGGCTAATAGTCCGTTGTATTAAGGCAATTCTGGAATTTTGGTAGAGACTTGGAGCGCTGGAAGCTATGGGTAGAATGGAATGATGGAATGTATAACCTATGCATGCTGGTTTCTCTTATCTCAAAGGGTTTCAGAAAAGGATTCATTCAACCTTTCCGATTTCTTTTGTTGCTTGCAATTGCCAGGTGCATTGGGCATGTGATGGCAGATGAAATGAATGAATGAATGAATGAATGCCATGCATGCATTAAAATTATTGCATGGTGGATGTCGAATATCTCGCTAACACTTACTGTTCCTAACATTCCTCGAGAATGAGCATGCAGCAACTAACGTGATGACAGCCTAAACGAGTCATCGGAGAATAAAAGGGCCAAATTCGGTGCTGCTGATTATGCGGATGACAGATCAGCTGTCAGGAAGAGAAGAGGGTGGCTGGATGCCTGAAAATTCCGGCAGATCTTGACCTGGGGTCATTATTGCCGTGTTAGGAAATTACCGGCCGATTAAGCAAGAACTCTCCGAGCTCACATAGTTAATATGGGTCTATGCATTTGTTGTATTTCTATTACTAAGACTGTGCGAGAAAATAAAAGGTTTGAATCGATCCTCTTACTTGGCAGAGAAATCAAAGAGATGCCAGCTTGTAGTCAACATTGAAATTCCAAATTCGCAGTGCGCGAACAACAAACATAGCACTGCAACGCTGTCAAAATTCTGAAACAGCAGATTCAGATGTCGGCCCGCGCTAGTTTGAGAAGGAGACTGGGCCTATCACAGCCCGCTGTGCCGGCCCCACTCGAACCAGGCCCAGAAGGGTAATCACTGATTCCGTCCAATACCCGTATGCACTAGTAATCTAACGGGTTGATTGATAAAATATGATTGAATGATCAAATCAGATGGTATTCCAGTGTGTGCACAGATCTAAAATGATCCCTGGCATCCATCATCGATGTACATTGTATGGTAGTCTGACTATGCACTGTATCGGCGAGTTCTGCAGACAGTGACACCGCAGTAAGTTGTCTACGGAAACAACGTATTCCGTCGCTTCGAAAAGTCATCATGCCGCATTGCATTCAAATGTTGATTCGCCCGATATGTCTGTCACTCTGTACTCCGTCCTCTACGCAAAATCTTCAGCTCCAAAAAAAAAAAAAGACACACAGTCACTGGTCAGGATCGAAATCGCCCTTAGTCCATAGGTGGTAGGAGACGAAAACCGATCCGAGGCGTCTTTTCTATATATAAATACGCATATAAACCAGTCATACGTCGCAGGGCAGATGCATGACCGTGATTGGCCTGTCTATGCATGACTACGTAATAGCGTACCCCACCCCTGGCGGCTCCGGAACTTAGCCTGGATTTTGGTACCTGAGGCAGGTCGCCAGGTACCTGGCTGACCATTTCCCCATTGCTGGCTCGCATTGGCCGTCGCTTTTGTCACTATTATGTACGGAGTATGCATATAAATGTTCAGAAATTTGGATACAAGTATAAGTATCAATAATTAGACACCGCATATACACCGGGACTAGCAAACTGGCCCCTGGTTGGTTCGCTTTGCCCTAATGTGATTGATCTACCAATGACCGTTGGCGCCATGGAGTGTTCAACGTTGTATATACATACTCTCTCAGCAAAGAGGAACGCAGCAGACAGTAGAAGACTCAAGCTAGCATGGAATACAAGGAAATATTCTAAGATACAGGGATATACTAAGACTGATGAATAACTTAACTAGATGGACATAATGGACCACTTCTACAGCGTACATGCGTACGGTAACAATACCGTGCCGCTTGGGCCGCCCACCCCCACTCCTGCCCTTCCTGCCCTCTCGGCTTCCGCCTTCCCAGCCCGTTCGTTCTTTCCCAAGAAGAAGAAGAAGAAGCCTCTGATCTGCTGCGTGCCTAAAATAAACAACACCTCGTCGCCTCCGCTCCCGCTCTCCCTCGTTCCCTCTCCTCTTCCACTCCCACTCTTCTACCCCCTTCTTCCTCCTCTTCGTTGTTGCCGTCCTTTGGCTTCTTTCACTTCTTGCTCTTTCTTTCTCTTCTCATCCCTTCGTTTGTTCGCCCGCCCTCTCCCCTTTCTCCCTCGCGCCCCTCCCAATCAACTCCATTTGTGAGAGTCGGAGACACTCATCAGTCGGCTGGCCCGCAGTTTTGTCATTGTATCGTCGTCTTCATTGAACCCTTTCCACGCAGTCATCTGCCGATTATCCATCTGTGCCCTCATTGTCTGTGTCTGTGAGGCTGGTCCCTCCAAAGCAACATCAAAAACAGCAACTTAAAACAACGCTAGTTTCGTCACTCCAAAACGGAACAGAGAAGAGAAGACACAAAAATCAAAAGCATCTTCGATCGCGTCATCCTGTATGATTGATCGCTCATTTTTCGATCCTGGTCGTCGTTCGAATCAAGTCTCTGCGCCGTCTTTCTAAATCCTTACCATACCCAACCTCCGGCGGCGGCGGGAAATTCATTATCCTGTTTTTGTTCTGGCTTCTTTGTTATCCACCATCGCATCTCGGCGAGGATCCTCGTTTCAGTATATTTCCAACGTTTTCACGCAATTTGATCTGCAGCGATCCTAGTGACGCGCAAAACACATTCAGATAAGGTATGATACGAAATACCCCTCGTTGCATAACCGGAGGGGAAAGGAGGGAAAAGCGCGTTGCAATGTCTTTGTTGTTGGCTGATCTTTGCGAAAAAGAACTAGACTGAGTTTCTCATTTTCCTGTAGAGGAGATGTACCCCCAACATGGTGCCGTCATGGCACCCCCGCCGCAGAAGCCAGAGACCTTCATGCTATCGAGCGAAGCACAACAAAGTCTTCCTCAAGACGCTCAGGTCGCTCTGCAACAAGTCGATAATCGTAAGCGATTGAAGCCCTTTCGAAGATAGAGCTACTAACGACCTCAAGTTAAATATTTTCTAATATCCGCTCCCGTCGATTGGAGCCCTGATCAATTGATCCGGCGCTTTTTGCTTCCAACGGGCGACTATATTTCTTGCGTGCTCTGGTGGGTAATGTGGAAACTATATTCCGAGCAAGGTGTATTATTATTAGGGAACAGTTCATTATTGACTGTATGATAGGAACAACCTTTTCCATATCTCGGGCACTGACATCGTCCGATGCTTATCCTTTCGTTTCCAGGCCTTCGGGCGCCCCGTTAAAAATTCAAAGAAGTTTGAAGAGGGAATTTTCTCCGATCTGCGCAATCTGAAATCAGGCACGGATGCGTCCCTCGAAGAGCCCAAAAGCCCGTTCCTCGACTTCTTGTACAAGAATAACTGCATTCGCACGCAGAAGAAGCAGAAGGTTTTCTACTGGTATAGTGTCCCACATGACCGTCTGTTCCTCGATGCCTTGGAACGCGATTTGAAAAGGGAGAAGATGGGCCAGGAGGCTACTACGGTGGCAGTTGCAGAGCCGGCTCTTTCCTTTGAGTTCGACTCGTCTCAGTCGCTGTACGAACAGCTCACTAAGGCGCAACAAGCAAATTCATCATCTTTTGCTGCACACGCAAGTACGACATATGGCCAGCCCACTTCTCCAGTCGTTCGGTCCGTTGACGCTATGCCTCCCCCCCAGATGGCCCCGTCGGCAATGACGATGCTCCCCGAGGACAATGGCAATTCAGTTCTATACAACCAAGTCACGATGCCGATGAAACGCGAGAACGATTACGTCCAGATTCCGTATGACCGAAGCGCCAGTATCCCAATCAACCGCCTACACCAACGCCACACATCTATGCCTTCCTACATGGAATACTCCCCTGCTCCGTCTTTCGTTTCGTCTCAGTATGAAGATTATAGCAACCGAGGCATCTCTTTTGAGCCAATCACACCCCCTCAACAGGCCCTCCCCCTAGGTGCTGAGCCCGCATACATTGCCAACGAAGAGACTGGTCTCTACACAGCTATTCCTGATGTCGGCTCCACCGCTTTCAACCCCATGATGCAATTACCACCCTCCAATTTCTCGACTCCGCTGGGTGCGACCTCCCGTCCTTACCAAGGAAATGTCTTCTCCGTTATTGAAGGGTCGCCCACCTATAAGCAACGTCGGCGTCGGTCTTCTATTCCCCCCGGGATCACCAATGCTATTGCTGCTGCCCAGGGCTCAGGCGTGCAGACACAGGCGACAAGCTATGCTGCATACAAACCGAGTGATCTGCGCCGTTCCGTTTCAAATTCTGTAGGTCCTGTTACGGAAGCCGCCGAGTCAAATGACCAACATGCTCCCGGAACCCTGCAAAATGGTTTTTCATCGACTGTTGCATCGCAGAAAGACATGCTGCATGAAGTTTCACGCACGGGCACCCCGCTTCCTAGTCTTGAAGAAGGTGTCGAACAAACGCTTCCGATGATGCAACAGCAAGATGAACTAGCGGCTCTCGCAAATCAGAATGTCGTCGAGGCATCTGTTCCGCATAGTTTGTTGGCTCGAGGCGACCGCCCCGGCCCTGTGCGTCGCGCCAGGAGTGCCACAATGATGGAACTAGGGCCATATCCACAGAAATCACATTCTTGCCCCATTCCTTCCTGTGGTCGCCTCTTCAAGAGGTTAGAACATCTGAAACGGTAAGCTTATTTTCTTGCAGATTATTTCCTAATTTTGCTCTCCTGCAATTTTTCTATTTATACACCATGTTGCGTTTCTGCAATCCTATTGGTCGCACTACTTTCTGCAAGCGCCGAGGCTAATCAAGCACCTAGGCACGTGAGGACCCATACGCAAGAGCGGCCTTATCCCTGCCCTCATTGCAACAAGGCCTTCTCCCGGTCAGATAACCTTGCCCAGTAAGGATACCGCACTTGTCTCTGCTCTCTGCATGCCCAACTAGACGTGGATTTTAATTTGTTGTTTTATTTATAGGCATCGTCGGACTCATGAAACACAACAAGACGGTCAGAGCTCGCAGCACCCCCTGAGCGACGAGTATTTGGAAAATGAAGAGAAGGAGTTTGGCTCTCTTGAAGAAGACTCGCCGGGCTCGGATGGGCCAAGCTTTGTCCACCCGAGTGTAGTCAGTATGTCCACTATGACGCCAATGTCTGCAGCTTCGTCCATGCCCATGCAAGCCTCCATGTCATCGATGGTCGCTCCGCACCTGATTTCACCTCAATATTTGCAGCAGCAAATGTAGAACATATTGGTGTATTAATGTCGAAAAGAAGCTGAGCTTTTGCAATACCGCTACAAAATTTCAGCTGGTGTTGGTTTGAAAAGCAAGGAGCTTCGGACACTTTATATTGTCCCACAAGACTTTCTTCGCTTCCTTGTTACTGATCATAATTTTTTATTTCGTTGTCTTTTTTTTAAGCCGTTTTTACTCTAGAACCTGTCCTTGGTTAATGGTTATGGGTTTGGATTGGCGATACTGGTATGTATGTTCATGTACATGGATTTTGTCTGTATGTGTGTTTGTATGTGTTACCCTAGGAGGGTAAACTAAGCAAATCGATTTCTAAGACTTGCGAAATTGTCCTCGCCTATGTGATCTAAGTTCGACGCTAGAAAAGGTGCCGACCTAAATGTTATTTGCTGTCTATTTGGTATTGCCAGGCAAAAACTGCACAAGAACCTATTTACTTCGCCACCATCACTATATTTCGTTGACAGCCAGCCAAGCAATCAGAGCTCCCCTCATGCAAGGTGAGGAAGATATTGGACTTCTTTATGGCGACATGATCACATTGTATACTTAGCTATTTGACTGCATGCCCAATTAGGTACATACGGCATGTTCCAGAGTAAAGATGTCGTCGACATGTCAGTATCTCTGTTCGCTAGAGAATGTGCTGGAAACAAACAAGAAGAATTCAAACAGAGCGTATTATCACTTTCATTGGATTAAACTGATGCCCTGCATCTCTTCTCTTCTCATTACACTCGGTCCAACCCAAAAGCGAGAAATGAGAGAGAAGTAAGATGACTGCAGAAACAAGGACAATTGCCGATCCTCTTTTTGGATGGTCTTTAGAAGAAGTTCACAATACCTCAAGTGGAGCTGCAACTGCTGATCTGTATGGCAAGATAACCCTTATACATTCGCGAAAAACTTCAATCCTTTCTTCACCAGATGTCGAACTTGGATAAATCCTTTAGGCTTTTTCATGTTGATGCCGTTTCTCTTCCTGGACGGTTGTAGAGGCCGCAACGGGCGAAGAAAAGAAATAGGGCTTGTTTCCAAACAATCCCGTGATGTAAAAGCTTCTCAAATACTTTCCCTGCTTTCCTTACTTTCCCCTCCAGAGTCAGGTCAACTGTGTTCTTTTATCCTGAGCGTGGAGAGGCTACGATTGGGTCAACCCACGACCACACCTTTGATCGGTAAGTAACGGCGCATAGAAGCCAGTTATCATTGTTAGAAATACTGGCATTTTGTTTCTTTTGTGCTTATTAGCTAATCAACAATGAAAGCATCCAGATATGCATTTCCGAAAGGGTTCAGGTTCGCTCCCACGTTGTGGGGGTACGCAGGTTAAGGAGAACCATACCATCGTCGACAATTGGCCCTATACAATAAAGCCTAAGCTTGCCTAGCGAGGAGCACAAGAAGAGTTTGACCGGTGCATGAGTGGAGGGGCGTCAGGCAAGGAGCGCTATGTCGAATGAAGAAGGATTTGAGCGAAAGGGGACTGTTACATAAGATTGTAGGACCTTTATTAAAAACAAGGCGTGTTCACCGCAGTCTGCATCATGAAGAAATAGATCATATGTCTAAGACCTGTCCAGGCGAGAGATATACCACAGTAGAAGATGTCGAAGGAGGTTTATATACCATGACTAAGCAGAGCGAACCACGTGCTGATAACGCGCTTCTTGATACGATTAGACTGGTCACGTGAAAAGCGGATAAGGAGCTGAATCATGAATGACCGCGTTCGATACGGAGGACATTCATTTGCTTATTGCTCATTCATTGTTATCATCCATGCGCTATATGTCTGGAAAAATAATCGTCATCTATCTATATCCATGATCAAATGTGACAGTCCCAGAAATGGTGCGACTTTAAATTCGGAGAACGACAATAATATCACTTGATCTAACTAGATCTATCTAACCCTCCACGAAGGCCGAAGCCCAAGTTGATCCTTCATATTTACGAAGTCTGGTGGGATTTGAGTCCAGATGTCGAGTTCCGATAATAATAATAGTAGTTATTCTCGCATTGCTAATAATGTCGACGTCGACGAGACTTCGCCTCTCGCGTCGTCACCCGTGAAAGCTGACGATGAGTTTCATCGTCAAGTCCGAGAAGAAGATGAAGAGGAAGAGCAGGACATTATGGACGAGGATCCTATTGCGGGGGGCTTTTTGAATGGACTCCAGGACCACGAGGAGTCAAAGAGTACTCTGTATATTTTCTTGCTCACACTCAGTATAGGCGGGTGAGTGTCCCTTTTTCTCGGGTTGATATCCAGGTTTTACTGATATGCAATAAAAGGTTGCAAGTCGTTTGGTCCGTCGAACTTTCCAATGGCTCAGTAAGGACAGCTTATTCTTTTCTCTTGAAGCATCTTCTCTAATTACCTGATAGCCATTTTTACTCTCACTGGGCATGAGCAAGGCCCTACTAGCTATTGTATGGGTTGCTGGCCCCTTAACAGGCACGCTTGTACAGCCCTATATTGGCATTCGAAGTGACAATTGCCGCATTCCTTGGGGTAAGAGGAAGCCTTTTATGATTGTCGGTGGCGCGGCCACGATCCTCTGTTTGATGCTGCTGGCCTGGGTGCGCGAGATTGTGTCAGGTCTGCTCGGGTTATTTGGTGCGGATGCACTGTCAGATGGCGTGAAGATTACTACGATAGTAATTGCTACGATATTGATGTTCTCTTTAGACTTTGCTATTAACACAGGTATGTGTGCGTTCTCTGGGCCATGTTATCGCTTCATTGCTAACCGGATACATAGTTCAAGCCGGTATTCGAGCCTTTATCGTCGACGGTGCGCCAGCACATCAACAAGAGTCAGCGAATGCGTGGGCTGGTCGACTGACAGGCGCCGGCAACATTATAGGGTATATACTTGCATACACAGATTTGCCAAAAGTTTTCCCCTTCTTCGGGAACACGCAGTTCAAGGTCCTCTGTCTGATTGCGAGTTTCTCGCTGGGGTTTACACTGTTGATCAGTTGCATTTATATCAAAGAGCGCGACCCGCGACTCGAGGGACCACCGCCATCGGGCGATCTGGGACTGATTTCCTTTTTCAGAGGCACCATCAAATCCATCCGTGGCCTGCCTCCGCAGATCCGCACGGTGTGCGAAGTGCAACTCGCGGCTTGGATTGGATGGTTCCCCTTCCTCTACTATTCGACGACCTATATCGGTCAAATATATGTGAACCCGATTTTTGAGGAACATCGCAATTTGTCAGACGATGATATTAACAAAGCTTGGGAGGCAGCGACGCGCATTGGTTCCTTTGCTCTTCTCGTCAATGCGATTATATGCTTTACTTCGAATATCGTATTGCCGCTCGTCATCGTGCCTTCATACAACCGGATTGAGGTTCCGGCAGCGGTCCGGGATAGGGAACGAAGCGGATCATTGGCTGATAGTCCGGACAATGTTGTATATGAGTCTTTGCTGGACCATGAGACCAACAGGGGCAACAATGAGACTATAACTTCTACCAATTTGAAGAAGGAGAAGAATAAAACCAAGACAAAATGGGTTTCGACAATGCTCACGAAGCTTCGCATCCCTGGCCTCACCTTGCGACGCACATGGCTCTTTTCACATGTATTGTTTGCACTCTGCATGTTTAGCACATTCTTCATCGCCTCTATTTGGGCAGCGACCGCCGTGATCGGCATCATCGGGATCTCCTGGGCTGTCACTCTATGGGCACCATTTGCGCTGATATCTGCTGAAGTGGCGCAGCGTGATGCCGAGAGACGGCTGAATCGCCTGCAAGCAGAACTCGGCAATGAATATGGGCCGCGTCATGCAAATACTGCGGATAACAGAGACGAAGAGAACGGCAATGTCGATGATAACGACGATATTGAGGCGTCTGCTGTCCCCAGGATTATCGGCGCAGAACCCCAGTCCACCGACCAAGCTGGTATCGTGCTCGGTCTGCATAACGTCGCCATCTCGATGCCACAGATCTTCTCCACGATCGTGAGCAGTCTTATCTTCAGGCTGTTGCAAAAGCCGCGCGGTGAGCCCTGGGATGATAGTGTGGGCTGGGTTATGCGGTTTGGGGGATGTGCCGCTTTGGTGGCTGCGTTTTTGACGAGGAGGCTTGAAGAGAAGCGCGCAAAATAACCCATGTTTATTTATTATTGATTTAAGAACCATTTCTTTGCACTACATTGAATCTTAGAATAAATAGAATCGAGTAGTAAACGCGATAGCTTGCATTGGCTACTGGACAGTGGGCGCGCGGGATCTTGCAGCCAGCTCGCTGATTGGCCGGTTCCCGCAGGCGCCTGCGTTAAGTGAGTGAAGCTTGCGTCGGAAACAAGCGAAGGCCAGATATCCATCAGTTGCACCAGACAACTTGAACCCCCTGCAAGTTCTGGACCATGGACTTTTAATCTATTATTGATCTGTTTATTTTTTTTTCCTTTCTCTTTTCACGTCGCTTTGCTAAGAGTTCTCAGCACTGGGATTATGTGCGCAACACTTGGCGCGGGCGTTTTCCATCATCTGGAGCTCGATAACAACAATCCCATTATCAACGATTAAGTACGACGACAACAGCCACCACCACCGCTTCGGCAGCATCCAGCATTAGCCTGAAGGTGGGATAAGGATATCGAATCTATCAACCAAAATATAATTAAAAGAAATATAAATACCCGACGGAGCCATGGCGGCCAAGTTCGCCTTTGAATTTGCGGGGGATCTCCTGCGTACGTCTCACTTGTGAACGCAATGCTAATGATATTATCCCAACAAGCCCAAGAAGATGCTAACAGACTACTTTAGGCAGAGCGGCAGAAGACTCAGATCCGGAGGATGGTAGGTATTTCATCTTTGTCTTATCGTTGTGTTAAGTGTTGCGTGCGACTGCTGAGACGATTATGATTCATATACAGATGCGCCGGAGCCAGAAAAGAAGGAGTTTTTCAGCTCCTGGGCCTTGTTTATTTTGATCATGCTCTTGATTTGCGCGCTGTTCACAAGTTATATTCTCCAGCAAAGGAAGATCCAGGCTGTTCATGAAACGGTGCTGTCAATATTCGGCGGTGAGTTTGCCACGCTTGTGAAGTTTTTGAAAAAAAGAAAAAAAAAAAAAAAAAAAAAAAAAAGAGAGAGAGAGAGAGAGAGAGAGAGAGAGAGAGAGAGAGAAGAGATTGATATTGACTTGTATCGAACTTAGGGATGTTTGTCGGCCTGATTATTCGATTGACTCCTCCGTCGCCGATTCAAGATAGTGTCACGTTTGACTATCAGTTCTTCTTCAATTTGCTTCTACCGCCGATTATTCTGGCGTCGGGATATGAGCTACACCAGGTCAGTAATGTCGGGAATATTTAGACTTTTCCAAGTGATGATGATGCATTAGAGTTATGTGTTTTGGGACTGACAACGTATAGGCAAATTTCTTTCGCAATATTGGCACTATCTTGACGTTCGCTTTCGCGGGTACATTCATATCGGCAATCGTCTTGGGTCTTATCCTGTATCTATGGACGCGAATTCCCCTGGACGGATTGAACATCAGTTTCGTCGAAGCCATTTCTGTCGGCGCGACTCTCTCGGCCACCGACCCCGTGACCATTCTCGCAATTTTCAATCTATATAAAGTCGAGCCGAAACTGTATACTGTGATCTTTGGCGAGTCGATCTTGAACGATGCCGTCGCCATCGTCTTGTTTGAGACTGCCCAGAAATATGCCGAAAACGATGCGGCGAAGCTTACTGTCCTCAACCTGTTTGAGGCCATTGGGCTTTTCTTACTGGTTTTCTTTGGCAGTATGCTGATCGGAATGCTTGTTGGAGTTGCGACTGCGCTGGGTCTCAAATATACACATGTCCGTCGTATGCCGAAGATCGAAAGCTGTCTGATTGTTTTGATCGCTTATGCAGCCTACTTCTTCTCCAACGGAATCTATCTTTCCGGTGGGTAGTCTTTGCTCTCATGTGTTTTAAAACCAGGCTAACATAAATCCTCATGCAGGCATTGTTTCCCTGCTCTTCTGCGGAATCACGCTTAAACACTACGCTTATTACAACATGTCTCGAAGGACGCAACTCACCACCAAATACCTATTCCAGGTGATGTCGCAACTAAGCGAGAACTTTATCTTCATCTACCTAGGCTTGGATCTTTTTGTTGAATCTGACCTCCAGTTTAAGCCGCTCTTTATCATCGTTGCTGTCGTGGGCATCTGTTTTGCGCGATACCTTTCTGTATTCCCACTATCAAAGGCGGTGAATTGGTTCATTCGCTACCGAGCACGACGGCGTGGAAAGGATGTAGCGGACGAACTACCGTTCTCGTACCAGGCCATGCTGTTCTGGGCGGGATTGCGTGGTGCAGTCGGAGTTGCGCTGGCGGCTGGCATGTCCGGTGTAAACGCACCTGCATTGAGGGCGACGGTGCTGGTCGTGGTCGTGCTGACGGTCATTATATTTGGAGGCACCACTGCCCGTATGCTGGAAATACTTGGAATTCGCACCGGAGTGGTGGAGGAAGTTGACTCGGATGACGAATTCGATATCGAAGTCACTCACGGTGGCACGTACTATAAACGAGCAAACAGCTCTGGCATTGGCTACACCCCGCGTGCCAATGATCGCACAATTCCACTGGACATTGTCGGCGATCGCCCAGGTATACCAACCACGGATAGCTACTCCAGTGGCAACAATCGCCGACCGAGCCCTCCGTCTCGGTCAAGGAGTTCCGTGCGCAAGGCGAATGCATTCCACCCCAAAGATCGCGAAGCGCGTCGAGACCAAACCTCAACCCAGGGACTTCTAGGAGTAGTTTCCGGGAGCAGGAGTGGAAGCGAGATTGGCAGCGATGAGGACATCGCTGCCGTGCGCGGGCAGAACCGAACCGGAAAACAAGTGGGAGTTGATATCGACGATGACTTTGAATTGGACGTTGATCCAATCTCTGACGACGATCTGCCTCCGGCAGCACCATCCACCTCTCGCCTCCGCCGCTCGCCGTCTCAGCCTCAGACCCAAACCCTTAACACATCAAGCAGCGCTTCCCCTGCTCGGCGCGTCGCGGAGCGTGAGCCGATAAGCGCTCGCAATGCGCTTCGGGAACTGTTCTCGGGCGGACCTACAGGCGACCATGCAGAATGGTTCCGACAGTTGGATGAAGACTATATCAAGCCTACGCTGCTTCTCGACCAGTCTAACCATAAAGGACCGGGGGCTGTATGATTTCCGTGCATGTTCTCTGTTCTCTTCTTGCGCTTCTCTTCTAAATTGTTTCTTGGTATACCTATCTAGCTCATGTCGATTACCCCTTTGTCTTTGTTTATGTCAATGTTACCAGTGCCTAACGAGCCTTGATGGTTGATACCTGTCTATATAGAACAGACACACTTGGTGTTTTTGCAGTTGATTATTCTTTTTGTCCCTGCGTATTTTCTATTGTGTTGTATTGTATGGTATTGTTGTATTGTATTCCTCGGCATCGCTCGGTCTAATTTCCCGCAGCCACATCAAGCCACGCCGAAAAGAGTCTGTGGGCGCTGGCAATAGAAGCAACCAAAAAAAAAATAAAAAGAAAAGAATTATTCCAATGTGGCAATCAGCTGTCACCGACAATCCTGCCATGCATAGCACAAAATGAATCAGAGAAGTCGCGTATTGCCGGCAATCAGCGTGCATGACATCAGTATTCGGGGTATGCGGTCCGTCACGGGTACTAATACGCGGACTGTTACACACAATACGCGCCGAGTTGAATTACATTTGCGTGGTAGACGGTGCATCCCGTAACTGTATTTCGGTTACCGTACGGCGGGCAACGGCGCAGCAATGGCATTCCCTTAAGCAAAACCTCCTAAGGGAAGTCGTCGGCATCATGCAAAGGGGAGCGAAAAAGTATGGGCAAACAACAGAAACCAGCCAAGCGAATTGGATCATCAGTCGCTCGATAGTTTCTGCATCCTCCATCCCCCGCCCATTCCTTCTTTCCTTTTCTTCCCTTTCCACCGTCCGCCTGCCCCTGCCACCAGCCCCATCACCACAACCAGACTGACGAATAACTTCACTCACTCACTCAGTCTCGCCCTCTCTCTCTTTTTCTCTGCGTACTACCTACGTACACCACGACAGCGCTCTACTCGCGCGCATATCCAGCCTCCCTGCGCCAGCACACGCCGCCTTGGAAATTGCAGTTACAAACACACCAAATAAACCCCAGCACCGCAGCGGACTGCACGAAACGCCGCCGCAGCCGGGTCGCAACAACGTTTCGGTCGGCCCTGCCTTTGACCGCACTGGCATCGCTCCAACAAAGCCCAACACCCAACGCAGAACTCGCGCGGACTTTTTCTTCCTTCCATCACTTGCCAGGTATACATCCTATCATCGTCAAACCCACCACCACCATCATCACCATCACCATCACCATCACCATCACCATTGTCACTGCCATTGCCGTTGCCATCGTCTTTTGATGATGAGGCTGGGCGGTTCACTTCAGGATACGTAGTCTAACCCGCCAGCTGGCACAGAATCCATCCATGGCTCGCATCCACCGCCCGAGATAAATTAGCCACAGTCCCATCACGCACGCTCTCAAGATACGTCCTTCTGTCTGTCTGCATCATGTCGGGGGCTCCACCACCATACAGCTTACGCTCTCCTCCTCCGCCCGCTCAGCAACCCAACTACGCCTCCTACTCTTCATCCCCCCCGAAAAGCCGCTCGTATTATCCCAACTCCGATCAATACCAGCAACACCCTCCTCCCGAGACGCCCCAGCCCTATGCTTCGTCCTTTTCCCGCAGCCCGCACTTCGTCCATGCCAGCTCTCCGCTGTCCAACACGCTGCCTCCCTTGAACGGCGCTCCCCATTCGGACGCTTCGCCTCCCTATCCAGGTCACGGCGCTGCCACTTATTCTTTGCCCCGGATACATCCTGGCCACGGCATGTCGGATACTCACTCTGCCCCTCCGTATGGGCAGTCACATTCTCACCGTCATGACAGTCATCTGTTATCCCCAAAGAAGGAGCCGGGCACTTCCTTCATCTCTGCTCGTGAAAATGGATTCGCCGCTCACTCACCGGTGATCCGTCCACCTTCGCCGAAGGAATCTGTAAGTTAATCAGCGTCCCTGTTGGGACCATCTCCCCGTATCTTTTTTTTTTTCTCTCTCTAACCACAAACAGAAACCTGCACGTGCGGCCGACCCAATGTCTTTCGCAAGCATTCTCTCCGAGCCTGCCGACGAAATGCCCCCTCGACGCGTTTCACCAGCTGCTCCTGTCCCTGCCCAGCCTATATCCGTCTCAAAGAAACCAGAGCTGACTCCAGTAATGCCTCTTCCCAGGCTGGAAAAGAAACCCAGTCTGGAAAAGCGACAGCACATCGTTGATCGTGACGATGCAGCATCTTTCCGTTCTCGAGAAAACGGTACTATAAAAGAAGCGCCAAGGCCCATCGTTCAGGCGCGTCCTCCTCCTGTCAAAGTGCCACGTTTGACACAGAAGGACCATGAAGCTATCGAGCGTAACATTGCAGAGATTGACAGAGCCGAAAAGAGTGATCTGGAAGATGATTTTGGCTTCGAGGCCGAGTTTCAGCTTTTCCTCGCCAGAAGCAAGAAGCGAGCAATGGACGCTGACATCCTAGAGTCTCACAAGTGCAAGGTACGTATTCCTATATCATCGTCTTGTGTGGGAGAGTTCAGTATAGCTAATTTTTCTACTGAAATTAGCGCCGTCGCAATGACTTTCTCATGAAACTGAGCGCAAATTTTGCGACCGGCGCCGAAGCTGGTTCTGAGCGTTTCCGGAAAGCGAACGAGCATGAGGTTATCGCTGAGGTCCAGCGGAAGGAAATCCAAGACGAAAAAGAGCGTAAGAAGGATATGCAGCGAAAGCGTCGTCGCGAGAACACTGTGCGACTCGAGACAGCCAAGAAACTCGAGGCAGAACGCAGGGCTAAGCGTACATTCGATCCTGTGGAGAAGGAGAAACTTCTACGTGAAGCTGAAAAGGCCCAAAAGAAAATCAAAGGCGTCAAACGCGCTCTTGAGAAGGGAAACCAACCTGCGGAGATCAGTGAAGTCACGCCTCTTGCTCCTAACATGGAAGGCGGCATTACAAGCTCATTCCACATCAGCAAAGGAGGATCCCCATCCACAAAGAAGAGACCCGCTCGTTCTGCTCCTTCGTCCCGCCCTAAGAAATCGAAAGAGAAGAAGCAAGCTGAAAAAGATGCTGCTGAGATGGCTTATGCGGCTGCTGAGAGGGAGGAGCTCATAGCAATTGCACCCAAAGATGAATTTCGCCCATCTGCTCTCAGGAAAGAGGCTAAGGGACTGCGTTCGAAAGAGACCACGCCAACTCCTGCGAATGCCTACGAAACCAAAGGCTTCAACCAAATCTATGAGCAAATCTGGCGCGACATTGCTAGGAAGGACATTCCAAAGGTCTATCGCATCAAGACCATGTCTCTCAGCACTCGCCAGGAGAATCTGCGCAAGACAGCCCAGTTGGCTAGCAAACAATCTCGCAAATGGCAAGAACGTACCAACAAGAGTATGAAGGATACGCAAGCACGAGCCAAGCGTACCATGCGTGAAATGATGTCTTTCTGGAAGAGAAACGAGCGTGAAGAGCGAGATTTGCGCCGTATGGCAGAGAAACAAGAGCTAGAAATGGCCAAGCGAGCAGAAGCCGATCGAGAGGCAAATCGTCAGAAGCGCAAGCTCAACTTTCTTATCTCCCAGACAGAGCTTTACTCTCACTTTATCGGTCGTAAAATCAAAACCGATGAAGCACAAGGTGCAGCTACAGCTGATGCCTCGGTTGATTCTACCGGAGAGACCATCCAGCCAGGCAAGCCAAATGCTCACGTTGTTGATTTGCCCAACAGCGTAGCGGACATGAAAACTGGGGTCACCAATTTCGAGGATCTCGATTTCGATGCGGAGGACGAAACAGAACTTCGCAGGGCTGCCATGGCCAACGCCCAAAACGCAGTGGAAGAGGCCCAGGCTCGTGCGCGTGCTTTCAACAATGAAGAAGACCCAATGGCAGCGCTCGATGAAGGGGAGATGAATTTTCAGAACCCGACTAGCTTGGGTGACATCCAGATTTCACAGCCAAATATGCTCACTGCTCAGCTGAAGGAGTACCAACTGAAAGGTCTCAATTGGCTAGTCAACCTCTACGAACAAGGTATCAACGGAATCTTGGCAGACGAGATGGGTCTCGGAAAAACAGTCCAGTCAATTTCTGTTATGGCCTATCTTGCTGAGGTACACAACATTTGGGGTCCATTCCTGGTCATTGCTCCGGCATCAACACTCCACAATTGGCAGCAGGAAATTACCAAGTTCGTTCCAGACATCAAAGTGCTTCCGTACTGGGGTTCTGCGAAAGATCGCAAGATTTTGCGTAAATTCTGGGACCGTAAGCATCTTACGTACACCAGGGAGTCGGAGTTTCACGTGCTGGTGACGTCTTATCAGTTAGTTGTCTTGGATGCTCAGTACTTCCAAAAAGTCAAATGGCAATATATGATTCTCGATGAAGCCCAGGCTATCAAGTCATCACAGAGTTCACGATGGAAGAATCTTTTGGGATTCTCTTGCCGTAACCGGCTCTTGCTCACGGGTACTCCTATCCAGAACAACATGCAAGAATTGTGGGCTCTGCTGCATTTCATCATGCCTACGCTATTCGACTCGCATGACGAGTTTAGTGAATGGTTCTCCAAGGACATCGAGAGTCATGCTCAGAGTAACACGAAACTCAACGAGGATCAACTCAGGCGTCTTCATATGATCCTTAAGCCATTTATGCTCCGTCGTGTGAAGAAACACGTGCAGCAGGAGTTGGGTGACAAGGTTGAAAAGGATGTCTTCTGTGACCTGACATACCGGCAGCGAGCTTACTATTCTAACTTGAGGAACCGTGTCAGCATCATGGATCTAATTGAGAAGGCCGCTGTTGGTGACGAGGCGGACAGCACTACCTTGATGAATCTCGTGATGCAATTCCGCAAGGTTTGCAACCATCCAGATTTGTTCGAGCGTGCCGACACTCGATCTCCATTGGCCATAGCACATTTTGCCGAAACTGCATCCTTCTTAAGAGAAGGACACAGTGTGGATGTACGCTATTCGACTCGCAGTCTCATTGACTATGAACTTCCTCGCCTGCTTTGTAGTGACGAAGGGCGCATTGATGTTGCCGGTCCGCGCAACCAAAAAGCCGGTTTCCGAAACAAGTACCTCTCACAGCTCATGAATATCTGGACGCCAGAAAACATCAAGAGAAGTGTTGCCGAGGATCAGGCCTTTTCGTTCTTGCGCTTTGCCGATGTCTCTCCTGATGAGGCGTATGAAGCGTCGCATCTTGGGCTCTTTGAACGTGCTGTCCGTCGACGCGGAGTGCCAAACCGTCTATCGCGGCTCAGTGTTGCCTACGACAAATCTGACGAGGATGATTTTAATTCAATCCTCCGGCATTCGCTCTTCCAAGTTGTCAATCGTAATGATCAGACTGCCGTCTACGACTCAACTACAGAGGGGTACATGCGAGAACTCTTGACTGTTTCGCGTAGGACCTTTGACAGAGAGGGTTTGGCCACCATCGAACCTGCAGCTATTCCTGTCGCAGCTGCACCGCCAATCACCATATCTTGTTCCGGGCAGGCAGCGATCAAAGAGACTCAAGACATACTGTATAATGTGCCCGCTCGGCGAGCACTCTTCGCAATCCAGAGTCGACAATTGGACGAGCAGATTGTCGAAAAGAAACTGGACCCTACTCCTTATTCGCATTCTCCAATGCTGCCTGAACCAATCTCGTCCAAGGGCCGTTACACCAAGATTGAAATACCGTCCATGAGGCGCTTCGTGACAGACTCTGGCAAGTTGGCTAAACTAGACGAGCTACTTCGCGAGCTCAAGAATGGCGGCCACCGTGTCTTGTTGTACTTCCAAATGACCCGCATGATTGACTTGATGGAAGAATACTTGACTTATCGCAACTACAAGTACTGTCGACTTGATGGAAGCACTAAGCTTGAAGACCGTCGTGACACTGTTGCAGACTTCCAGCATCGTCCGGAAATATTTGTATTTTTACTTTCGACACGTGCCGGTGGTCTCGGTATCAATCTTACGGCTGCAGATACCGTCATTTTCTACGATTCCGATTGGAATCCCACCATTGATTCTCAAGCGATGGACAGAGCTCATCGTTTGGGTCAAACACGACAAGTCACAGTCTATCGACTCATCACTCGCGGCACAATTGAGGAGCGAATTCGCAAGCGTGCTTTGCAGAAGGAAGAAGTGCAACGAGTCGTCATCTCTGGTGGTGCTGCTGGCGGTGTTGACTTCAACACTCGTCATCGCGAGAACCGCACTAAAGACATTGCTATGTGGCTTGCGGACGACGAACAAGCCGAGTTGTTGGAACAAAAGGAGCGAGAAGCGCTAGAACGCGGCGAGGATCTAGCCGTAAAGAAGGGAAAGAAGGCCCAACCTAAGAAGAAGAAGGATCTCACATTAGATGATATGTACCACGAGGGTAAGTCATAGTCTTTCTGCATGTGTATACATATCCGCATCAATAACTAACGTTTGATGTTCTACAGGCGAAGGACATTTCGACGATGTCAGTGCAAAGCCCTCTGGAGCTGCAACACCTGTTTCAGGTGAAGCTTCTGCTGCCGCTGCTGCTGCTGCTGCAGGCACGCCGACGTCCCCTTTGAACAATAGGAAACGCAGTAAATCAACAAAGGGGCCTTCCAAGCGCGCAAAGACGACCAAGGAACGTTTGCGACTTATTGATGGTGACCACGATCCTATAGATGAGTGATGACGCAGGGAAAACAAAAGTTATTTCCTTTTATTCTCTCTCTCTCGCTATACATTCGTTTTCTTTGCCTATCACGCCTGCATTTGTCTCGTTTGTCGGACATACACATGACTTTATTTGTCAGAAGGTTGTTGTTTTTTTTTTCTTTCTACCATTTGCCGGAGCATTGAAGAATCGACCCTTTGAAAAAGAAAAAAAAAAAACACCCAAAAAGATTTTGTTTAAATGGACGATTAGACTCGGGAGTTTTGTTTTACTACTAACTTGAGTTGATACGAGTATTCAATGCTGTCGGTTTTGTTTATTACTTTCTATTCATAATCATTTGTGTGTTGTTCCCATTCTTGCCTTTGTTTATTATTTGTCTTGTATTCATTCTACGACGAGAAGAGCAGCGACATGGGAGATTTGTTCATTTGATTTGTTCGTCTTTCTTCTTTCTTTTTTACTTTTTTCTTTTAGAATCGGTATGGAAGGTACTTGGCTTTTTACTATTACTATTATCATAACTATTGTATGATTAACTAGTTACTGCTATATTATTACTACTACTGCAAAGTTCACAGATGAGTTATAACTATGGCTAGCAATATACGGTTTCGGGCTCATCTTCTCTCTCTTTTCCTATAACTTGAGGCGTCTGTTATGACAATCAATATACTGAACAAAGACCCTCCCTATATAAGCCACTCTCTACCTTTATCCATTACATACGACCATAGGGTGTGGAAAACAGGGCTTCCCGTCCGCTCAGCCGTACTTAAGCCACACGCCGGCCGGTTAGTAGTTGGGTGGGTGACCACCAGCGAATCCCGTCTGTTGTATGTTTTTGACACTTTTTTTTTTTCATTTTTCATTCTTTCTTACCCATTTCCAGCCTTTCCGGGTACTTCTCACCAGAGCCAGGAATTGCTGATATGGATGGCTTCGGCTAAACTTTCCCATGTCGATCGATACCCACTCTTCCCAAGTCCTGATTTTATCCGTAAATCAAAACGTATGGTCTGCTACTGCTACATGATAGCTATCTCCGGTTTTCCACTCAGTTCTGTGTACTAACGATTTCGGGTATATCGTCGTAGTGACAACTGTCCGGTCCGGATTAAGTTACGTTCCCCCCCCCCCAAAGATGCTGTCAGCAACGCATCGAGTGTATAAGGGTTAGTCCCTCCGGACGTATGATATCATTCATTGATATATAGATAAGAAAGCGAGTGGAGGTGCTTGAGATTGAAGAGAATAGAACAGCACAAGGCTACGTACATGAAGCCAACTGTCAAACCAACTATTCTTCCTCCGACTGGTAAGTCAAGGGAAGCACTACGATACGCGAGATAATGTAAGGGTTAGGGAATGGAACTCCGAGTACATTAACAATTTTGCGAACCATGGGCGTGTGTGGCTGACACGTCAACATTGCAATGCGCAATTGGCACTTAGATCCATCGAATGCAGACCAACTGTGGTGGTTGCACATCTAAGTAAAGATTGCGAGAGACCTTTGCACGAATTATATATCATTTGGCCTGGCCTTACAGGCTAGCTGATCGAGACGAACCTTCTCTTTCGTGGCGGTGTTTTCTTTCCTTCTTGTCTTCATGCTTATGACCGTCGCAATTTCTCATGTCGTTGACAGCTGGTTTATGTTTGTGCTCCTCAGGGCTCTCGGCTTCAAACTTCTCTTGCGATGCTGTAACTTTGGCTCCAAACGCTCGCCGGAGTTTTGTAACCTGCTCCTGCAGACCTTGTATCTCGAAGTTCTTGGCTTCAAGCACTTTCTCGGCCTTCTGAATTTTAGAATATAGCTCAAGAACTCTCAACTCCAATGTTATTTTTTTGCGTTTCTATGTCCTTGCATGCAGAGAATAGCTCTTCCTCCAAAGGTCTATCGCGGCTGTCCATGGATTGCTCTAGTGAAGCAACTTCGCCCCGCCAATAGATGATGTCATCCTCAAGCCCACTGCTCTTTTCTTGTTCACTAGCGGTAGAACTAACGCGAAGAATTAGATTGGAGTTCCATGTTCGAGTTGGATGACCTACCTGTCAACTTTGGTCCTCCACATGGCCGGGAAATGCGGGGAACAACATAAACCCTAACACTTCCCTAGATCTGAGGTGACTAAGGCGATGCGGGACCTTTGTGAGATTATTTGGAAGTAGGGAGGTTTTCACTTTAGGCGCAAGGGAACTGCTGTATGTCCGAAACTACCAATCCTCAGTGGAGGCTCAGAGTCAGTGAGATGGCCGATGTATGGCACGATTTACATGTCAGGGCAAGCTTAATGTACGGCTATGTTTTAAGATTGGTCCCTTTTTCTTTCTATTCACCACAAGTAGCACATACCCGATGGAGATATTTATCTGTCACCGATTGTGCAAAACTTGATTAACTTGCGTGTCTCAAGCAAGACTCAATCAGAGATATACCGTAAAATCCGCGATATTCCTGAGGGAAATTCCTTGACAAGACATCGGAGTTATTACCACTGGCAGAAAGCAAATGGCGAGATATGGCAATTAAACTCCGATTCCTTAGTATTAGCTACAATAGTTCTTTCTAAGGATAGTAAGTATCGAGATTATCATGCCATCTTCACAGCAGGAAACGTAAGGACATTAGTAATGGGTTCGACATTTGAAACAAACAGTGGTAGTTCATCTCTGTTCGTAGTACTAGCTGATCTTAAAGGTACTGACGTTTTCATTGCATGCTGTCTCATAGACCTTATAAAACATAGTTCAAAATAAATCAGCAGAAAAAAGGTCCATCCATAGAGCCTCCGGCGCAATGACATATGCCATTAAGCCGCTAATAATAGACTTAAAGTATTAAGATATGCTCATCTATTCTTTCCCTGTAATTATTCTTATCCATATACGGGGTGAAGCCGTATTCCATGGTGTTCCGGAGAGGGGCAGGTGTTTCAACACTGAAAACAGCAAGAATTAAAGCAGCAATAGACTTGATGAGCACTACCATGTTTAAGCTGTTGTAATGTTTTTTATTATTTTCTCATATTTTTGCTCCAATTTACCATAGATTACTCTTTTGCGGGGACCTGAATTCGGGGAACTCTTCATTTCACCCTCGGCTATACTTACCATTTGATCAGAGCTGACCGATCATAGACTATCTGGATATATCGCTCATACGGCTAGTTACACAACCGGGGGGCTTCCTTTAATAATTTGGTAAGATCATGATATCGCTTGGACAGGTCCGATTCGACATGTGATTGTGCAGTAACGTATTCCGCGTGGCCTTGCAGTTATTACCATTCTATCTTTTCACTTTTGCTTTTTCTTCAGCCTTAGTTGATACCATCAATGCTCGAATTGAAATACGGGGTGAAAGGTGCTAAGGCGATGGTCCACGTCTTGAAGACCATTACAAGATACCTCCGTGGCAATTCGTTCTCTTTTCCGGCAGCCTTACGCAGCGTAAAATGCAGCTTTGAATAAAATTCCAAAGCACCGAAAAGACCTTGACTTCGATAGCCTTCGCAGGGAACTCAAGCATATTCAATCTGGGCGGATACTATTCTCAAACGGACCGCTAATGTTTGAAAAGGCCGGCTTTAAAAATGCTGTTTGCCCGTCTCCAGATAACAAAATTCTTGAAATAAATCATCAACTAGCAGAAAGGAACGCCGATCATGGCAATGTCCCGGAGATTGAAGACGGGAGAGACTCTGATAATGTCAGGGCCGGCGTGAGTAGCCACGAGGGCAGCCACGTCGCCGACTATGAGAGCATCGACGACGACGACGACGACGAGGATGATGACGACCGCGATGGTGACAGCGAAACGGAGGATGAGGGCAACTGCAGTTTCATCTTGGTACGTGATCGTCAAGAAAGCGAATCCGGGAATGGACCAATTACACTCCAGCAGCAGAGCCGAGCAGCCCAGGCCAGAGAAGAGGTGTGTCCCCTTGAGGTTCCTGAGATGCCTGAAACTTCTGAGGAACTTGAAGAATCGGAGGTGCCTGATGCGGGAAGGGCCCAAGACAAGGGCTGAGGATAAACACCGCGGCTGTGCCCGCAAGTGACACTAAAAGCTATATTTAATAGGACAACAATTGCTTTGATGAATCCTCGGACCCCGCCTCCCCCATACCCAAACTTCCCAGCATCGTGAACAGGATATGCAGTAAAGAAGACAAGTTCCAAGAAGATATCCCTCAGAGTAAGCTGATAGAGGACACTAAGGGCTCCGAGCTGCGAGTGCTGGTCCAAAGCTATACATCTTATAGAGAATGCAAAATACATAGCTGCGCGTTGCCAATGCATAAAGTAGATGTATTGGACTACCTAGGGCGCAGTTCTCGAGAATATCAAGCATGGAGTGAAGGGAAAGAAATCAGGAAGTCTCTGAGATTATGTGGGTCTTTATACTCTTCTTTATACCTTATACCTTTCCTTATAGGGCTCTAATGCTTCCTTGTTGAGGTTATCCCTAGTTCCGGCACCGCGCTTAGGGTTTGATATCTGCGCAGGGATGATTGCCGATTCTAGAAAAAAAAAAAAAAAAAAACCTCAAGGCGTCAGACCGTCACATAGCTATATATGCAGCGGGCAGGGTCAAAAGATAGATATTATAACACTTCAGTGCTTGTATGGATAGACCCTAAACGCAAAGGGAGAATGACTATGAAAAAGCTGAATAGCTTTAACTCTGCTGTTATTATTACTAATTTCGATCATTTGCCTCCATAATCTCGATTTACATGTGATACTTTCATACATAGAAAAGTCATCTTAAACGTTATTCTACAGAGAATATTTCTAGAAACTGTATAACATAGGTAGGCACCACAACTGCTTCATTTGACAGGTTCCTGAACGCCATAATTTTAAAGTGGCAGTATATATTCGAATGATGCATACTTACGGCTACCTATTGCACTTTTTCCCCCTTGCTCTAGAACCAGCCACAAACTGACGGGCCTCCAGGGCTTTTTCCGGGCCCGTATTCTTCTTTTGAAGGAATTCGGCTTAATCTTACATCGCTAATCAAGAACGATTGAATAATGAATAATAAATAATAACAATGATCATTAAATCAATTCCATCGTAAGAACCTAATCCAAGTACCCACACATCCAAGTGTCCCCGAAAACGTCGATCAAGATCACACTTCAGTCGCGATCTTTACCCTCTGGCCGCCCAATCCATCTGTCTTCCCATGATAGCCGTCAGACTGAGCTCGCACACCGCGCATAGCCACATTTTTTTTTTCAAAGACCGAAAAGTGTATCTTCGATTCCTCTCACGCTGTATTCGACTTGACTTACGACACTTGCACCAAGGATTATCCGACCTGTAACCCTCCCAGTCGTCTGCTACTTGTCTTCCGCACCCTCCCTGGCAATAGACATAGTACCTGTTAAGATTTCCGTTCTTGTTTGTCCACGCCTTGCGCCTCTGCATCTTTTCACCGCAACACTTTGCCCCGGGAGGAAACAACCGACGGGGACGGCATGGTTGACGTGGTCGAAACATGTTTCCCACCGTATAGAGTTCGACACAATTGTGGAATTCGACAATGAGAAGGGCGTCCGTCTTTCAGGCTTTTTATATACCACCACAACCCCGCCACGTCATCACACACTGCCACGTCTCTATTCAGATGTCAGCTGTTTACCCCGCGGGACACCATCTTTTATGAGAAGCCAATCACGGTGTAATCTTAGCGATTCACAAATGCGTCTGGCTTTTTCCGGTCATGCTTTGCAATGACGTCTGACAGATCACATGCTTTTTTGGACAGCCTTGTCTGCTGGCCTACTACATAGACAGCAGTAAAACAACCAACGTAACTGCATATCGAACCCTCTAATCCAAGACATCCAGTAAGTACTTGTTTGCTCCGGCAGTCAGTAAGCCGCAAACAAGTCAACCACAGATCTTATGCGTAGTGTGACATGGAATGCTCAACGTCTACATCCTGGATATAAGAGATATTCTCCCATTTCTTGAGCGCGATAGATGGGAAAATAAAAGCCTTTATGATGATTGGCCGTTGAAGGCCAGGATATGCTCGGAAGAACAAGAAAATTATGCACGCAATGCCACGCATCAGTCGCGGTCCCGCATTCGCGCTAAGTGCGCGGGAAACCCCAGTGGGGAAACCCCAGGGTGCCGAACCGAACTTTGTGCCGCATAAACATCCAAGGCTTCGCGCATACAAGGCAGCCTTGCCTAATTTGGATCTAGTCCAACCTCGTAACTTGCTCATCGTTCCGTAATAGACTAAGCCTAAAACAAGAGGTTCTGAGGCACGCACCTGTTTTGACCCCTCCAGGTGCCGAACTCGACCACCGCCATCCTCTTTAGGATATTTGGCCCCACAAGTTGGGCACCTCTATTATGCCAACATCTCTTACTGTAACAAGTTAATTCAATCAACTAATAGATTTATCTTTATAGTTGTGATATATAGGAGTTTACTATCTAACTATAACTATACCTTATTAATTGAAATTTCTACTTGTGTAATAAAGAGTTGCAGTCCAATGATGAGAATTTGCAGGCTAGTTAAAGGTAAAGGATTATAGGCTGAAGGCGAACAATACTAGGTTTGAGGGAAGCAAAAAATCTTAAAGCAGCACTTGACTCTCTCAGTTACGACTGTTGTATGTTTTTTGCTATTTTTGCCCCCTTACTAGCAAAGTTTTGCCTATAGAAGACTAGTGTTTTCTTATAACGGAGTTCCTTCTTTGAGTGCTCTTCGGTACTAGGAAGCTGGGCTGGGTGAGCACCAGCGGATCTCGTCAATTGTATGTTAGTGCTTACCCCTTGTTTTTGCTTCTACCTTAATAGTGATCCATGTCAACCAAAGGTAATCGTGAAATAAATGATTCCATGATGAAATTTTGTTGAGTCAGTCCTATGATCGCGCCATTATGCCCTTTAGTTGCGCTTTTTCTCCTGGCATGGGAAGGAAAGTGAACCAGGACAGGACTTTAGAACAGACGATGACTGACATGCAATCTATCATTTATGTGCATACGGATACCGCAATAAATCTTCGCGCAGAAAATTCGGGTGCTCAGTTGTGCATCTTATCTGTAATCCCGATCTGTGCATGATGGAATCCTTCATCATGTCAGCCCCTTTGCGTACAAGCTATTGAGGGGAATCTGGGCTTAAATCAGGAAATCTCTGGAAGTGCATTTGTCACTGGCATTTGGGGGCTACAGTGATATTGAGGAGCAATTGTATTCATAATGCCGTACATTTTTGAGTCGTTATTTTTTCCACTCAGCTAACCACCAACATGCCTAGGTATGTGAATACGGTCCTTACAAACATTGTGAGGTACGTTGTTTGAGCTGATGATTACAGTGTATGTGTATAGGTTTACACCCTGTGTTGCATCAGCCCAACCCTGTCCACCACCCTGCCTTCACCAGAGGTACTAGTGCTATTTACTAGTGGAGGTATCAGGGAGTTTGCTCTCAATAAAAGCCAGAGCCTGGTTTCCATATTCTGCTCCGTAGCCCTGATGGGTTGCTGCGTCACTACCATTGCAGCAATATGGATCTGCAGCATCGCAGTACGACTGTATCAGACTAGCTGAAGGGCAGCTGAAGCCCGCTGGCCGTTCGTCAAACTAGAAGTTGAATCTGTTTGTCAGATTTCCATAAGATCAGACTAAATGGAATGACTTCTTACGCCACCGGCAGTACAGGTGCCAACCTCATATGGCAGGCCCGCTCTGAACATTGGGTCACCCATGAAAATCGCCGCTTTCACCATGGACACAGCAGACGCCGACAGTTGAACAGCAGTGTTGGTATACCCCTGATTGGGATCTCCTCCGCCACACAGAGCAACATCCATGATCTCTGCACCCTGGGAATACCCTACCAGGATGATGTCGCTATCTGGACACTCTGAATTGAAGGAATTCACGGCAGATGCGACGGCTGCGATGCCTTGAGCAACAGAGTCCGAATAGCTTATACTCCCGCATGAAGACTGGCCACCGCATGCAGGGTACACGATGGCTTCCGCGGTAGAGCCTGGATAGGTATTCAGGACGTCATCCACGACTGTGATGGACGAACCGTATCCAGCAGAAACGGTTGTTTCTCGAGCACCAAAAACATGGATGTTAGGGCAGCTCGCGCGTTTTTGAACTGGGATGGAAAGAGCACCACCCATAAAGATAGATATTGCTAGGACTTGAGAAAGCATGGTGGTCGATGGATGAAGAGAAATCCGAATAGAAGAATTTATTTTTCTTTGATCGAAGAAGAAATTATCTTGTGGAAACAGTAGGTAAGCACATTTATATATGAGACATGTTGCTTCTTACCCGGATAAAATCCAGACAGATGAAAAAGTTCCAATAGGTAGACTCGACGAGTGAAATCACATTGCTCAAGTTCCTCCTTTTGTCCGATTACTGTCTACATCACAAATTTGAAGTCCGCCTGAAACGGATTTACCCGCATTGTAACAGAGCTAGCTCTTCTCTGTCTCGTCCTGAATATGAATAATATTAGACGTTGACGAACGACTTTTTTCATGCCGGTAGAAGAATGTGGATTTTACTTTAGGCTAAATAAGGTGATCTACCCCAGGTAAATGACTTAAGACTCTAGGCTATCTAAGGGTCATGAGGCTGACGAACCGGTCCGACATTCCGCACGGAAATAGTTCCTATGCGCATACTACCTTCTGTGACCTTGTGGATGAACGATTCAACAAAATAAAAACTAAAGCTAAATTTAAGAATATTGTCTGCAAGCCTATCAAATTAAAGTAATAAGATATGCGACTAAGGAGGCCATATGCCGGTGCACACTACGTGTACGTCATGGCTTCAAAAACCAATTTCAATTCAAATTATAGAAACTTGCTCCTAATTTCAAGTTTGACATGACACAAAATAAATGCCATAGGCTTCTCGTAGCAGTCCAGTACAGAATTTATTCAGGATCTACCATCCTAATATCGATTCCATGGTAGATGGAGAAACTGCTCTAATAGTAGCAAGCTGCTGTCTACCTAGGCAACATTTCTTGTCCTTGTGAAGAACGACAATACTAAAATTCAAAATTAGTCTGATATAAGCCAACCGTTTTCTCTTACATTATCAGGATTTAGAACACCCATTTTATAGGGGCCTGTTGATTACCGATAGAGATAGACAATCTCACCGACGTCTACCTGAATGAAACGAAAAAGGTTCAGCACCAGTGGGTATGAGATCTTAGGTCTAGTATTAGAACCCTTACCCTTCTGATTACGCATGTTCCTCGCGATCTTTCAAATGCTTGAGTTCTATCGATATTTGCTGTCTGGTGGTCACGTGGTTATCTCTAACCCTAAATCACCGTCAATGAACTGGAGACGGGAGAATTAAATACAAGGTTTCCATTACTTCTGAGAAGGTTGTTTATATTTATTGTATATTTAAATTTACTTTTACTTATATTTTGCACTCCATTTTGGTGGGAATCAGCTCTGCATGGTCTTCGCATACTATTAGGTAGAATTCAACACATAGAGTTTAGGAAATCGACCTGATGGGATTTCGATTTCTTGAGAAGAAGAAAATTTTCAGTATGAATTTGCAGCAGCAGAGTATTGATTTTGCTCATTCTAGTATAGTAAACGCTTTGTCAGTGAACAGGGCCCAACACTAGTACAAAGTCATATAAAGATACAAATGTAAACCCATCAAAACTAAAGTCACAGCAAACCCGACTTCGCAAACGTAATATCCACCAGAACTGTGAGCCACTGTAGTTCCTAGTCAAAATTCACTAATTATGTTGTCTAATGGTACCTTACTGTTTATTTAAATGGCCTTCGAACAGTTCTTTTCTGACAAGTGTGTTACCAATCCTTAGTACGTTGGTTGTTGGCCCTTCGTAATTTAAGATGACTTAATGGGATCACTCGAAACCAATTCAAGCAATCATATGGGTCGGTTAATGATAAGCCCTCATTTCGGCCTTTTAACATATATCCTCTACCTCAGCCCTGCGCACTTAAAGACGGCCCAATTTAGGAACTAATCGTGATTAGCCGGTTGTTCGTATCCTGTCACTTGCGTATACGACTGAGCCAATGATTGTCGGGTGGGTAATAAGTGGGTAGTAAGGCATCTCTATTTTCCTTCGCGAAAAGACATTATACAATCATTTTTAGGCGTAAATCAGATGACTGATCTCCATCGCAGTATTCCTCCTGTAACTTTACAGGTATTGGTAATTCCATGACATACGTACCGTCATTCACGGAGTTTGCGAGTCATACATACCATGACATGTAATTCATAAATCAAAGAAAAGAAAAACCCTAGCATACCCTCCAGAAACGAGGTCTGGTCATGTCAAAAGATTACAAATTGTCCGAGTGCATTGATCCTTGTCGACCGCTCTAGCCAATGTTGTGGTCTAACAACAGTCTGAAGTGTTGCAAGTCGTGGTTCGATTGTGATGGAAAAGACGTAAAAAAAAATCATCAAATTCAAGATGGTTTGCTATTTTGCTGTTGTGATGAGCAGTTGCCTGCATGCTAGTAAAGCTGCTACCTCCTTCATTTCTCCGGTAGTGACTGGGCTATCCTCCGGGCTCAGTTGTCTCTCAATGCATCTATTTCACGGAATACCTCAAGCGCACCTAGGCCATAGAAGTGCACAGACTACGGTATCATGTCACTTTTCTCGACGTATCTGTTGACGTGCATCACTAGCACAGTGTACCAAGGTAAAGTCTAGATTGGGCAGAGTGCGTGGCTATCCCTAGGTACACTAAAATGTGTACGCTGGAGGAATAATAAGACAAGAATATTGATAAGCTCTAGTAAACGTAAGTAAATTATATCAAATTAAGTTATTACTCTTAAATACTCTTTTTCTTTCTTAGTCCATAGAAATAGCAAAAACCGCCGATACATGCAAAGCACGAAAGTATCAACTGCCCTAATATACGCCGATGAAAACGTCACCGCTGGAGAGTGGAAACGTGAAATACGGTGAGACACGAGCAATACTAAACTCAATCTAATGTGCTGTATTTCACGTATGGTAATGATCCCTCGGTTACGCGTGATACCAGTGCATTGCCATACGATGAACCCTAATTCAGCTTCCTCCAAATTTCAAACAATCCGACAGGGGTTTACGCTCAGCCCTGTCATTTATTACACAAGTTATCCTTCTCATGGATCCGAACGGATCCGAGCTGCGGCTTTGTTCGTGCCTGACGTGTATTGATGTTTCTCAATCTTCCCCTTCAACAGCAATCTCCTCTGATAGGGAGGTATCATTCGAAAGAATTAACTGCCTCAACAGACCCTACAAATTTACTTGCTGCGATATTTTACTCCGTTTCAGTATGGGTTCTCGCATCAATACAATCTTGATGATTGGGGGCACTTCTGGGATTGGAGAAGCATTCGCTCGGCGCTTCCATAACGATGGCAAAAAGGTGATTATCACTGGTCGCCGAAACGAACGTCTGTCATTACTACAAAGCGAACTCTCAGGAGTGGGAACTCGGCAGGTGAGAATGAATTTTAACAGCAATCAACGAAGTATAAGTGCTGACCGTCCTTCAGTGGGATTTGTCTGATGTCGCAGGGCTACAGCAGCATGTCGCAGAGATTATCGCAGAGTACCCCGCCTTAGATACGATCTTCATTAACGCTGGTATACAGAGGTCATTCTCTTTGTTAGACCCGAAGACAACAAGTTCTGAAAGTATTTCTTCTGAAATCAACGTGAACCTGACCATTCCGGCACTCCTGATGCACCTGTTTGTCCCGCATTTGATAAAGATTGCATCTGCTGGGAGTCCTGCCAACTTGTTGGTCACTAGCTCAACTCTCGCCTACTTCCCCTTTCCGTTCTACCCAGCTTATTGTGCCTCCAAGGCTGGTGTTCACGGTTTATGCGTTACACTCCGAGAGCAATTAGGGTTTGCACCAGACAATATCCGAAAGAACCTAAATCTCGTTGAAGTTGTACCGCCTTATACAGACACGGAGCTGGATTCAGAGCATCGCAGTGCTGTGGTAGCAATGCAAGGAGAAAATGCCCTGGCGCCTATGCCGCTTGCTGAATATATCGACAAAGCTTACACCAGCCTCAATGAGTTAGATCAGGAGGGGCAGATGAAGAAAGAGGTCGGGGTAGGTTTCGCTCAGACGGCAGTCGAAATGTGGAGGGGAAGCTTTGGCGCATCACTTGAGAGCATGGGAATTCGATGCTAACAGCGGTTCATACATGGTTTCTTGATATTCTTATGTACTTGGAACTTTTGCTCCTTTAATGCAAGAAGAGAAAAGAAGAACACAATGTTCTTGTAACTCAATAGTCTTACTATACATTTGGAGACGTAGATAACGACTTGCATTCACTAAATGAAACAGTTCTTCCCAGTTTCATACTGTCTCCTGTCGCGCTGCACTATTCTTTGTCCCCATCTAACAGTGGGATGAAGTCGTTGCTTGGACATTGACATCTTCATTTGCAGTATGCTGCCTTCCGTTCCTTGTGGCTTTCGAAGATGAAAGCTTTGAAGTCAAGGCCCACAAGCGCGTCAACACTTTTTACACTACAGGTCGAATGAGGCAAAGAGAGCGAGACTATGAGGACGGCTCCCCCGGCGCTTTATCATCTTTAGAGAGTCAGCTGCTTCTCACGGTCAATCGCACAGGGTCTGGCAGTACCTATCTCAAGCTTCGAGAGGTACTGTGGCCTCTGTTCACTAGCTAGCAATCTAATCGCAGTGACAAAGATTGCATCATACATCTTGGAGCTGAAAAATCATCGATCTCTTTGATGATGGTAAGCTTATAACTGATCTGACACAGCACAGCGCTAGCAGGGGATATCAGCGCTTGGAATACCGAGACAAGACTATGCTTACCAACGAATACAGTAACTGGTATGCTATTGTTCGAGTTACTAGCGTGTATGTATTGGAACTTCGTACCAGTTGTGTGACAGGTCACATGACGTAATGTAATTTAGCCTTTCTTTGTTTGCTTTTCAATCGGTCTTGTTCCTACTTCGAACACTGCAACTATTCTGTGTCGAAAATGGCGGTGCTGGAACACATAGCCTCACTAAGGGAGTCACTCTCATCCGACAGCGAGATCTTAGTAGACCCCGTCAGCCCGGACTTCCAAGAACGTCTGCAGAGATGGACTGACATCAACCGGCAAGAGCCAACAGCGATCATCCTTCCAAGCACGGAAGGCGAGTGTCTCAAAGTTGTGAGTGCTGAAACAACAGAGTAAAAATGTCCACAGATTGTGAGGCTTATCCACCAAACTAGGTGCAATGGGCTTTGAGGAGCTCTATTCCGTTCGTAGCAAGAAGCGGCGGCCACAGCGAGTGGTCGACTATCGGCAAAAATGGCGTGATAATCGACCTTGGTCAGTACAAGAGCGTCGAGGTAGATGAGGCGAATCGGACGGCTATTGTTAAGGGCAGCATACTTAGCAAGGAGGTTGCTGTTGCGCTAGCAGATGTTGGCCTGTTCACAGGTGAGTTGAATTATACAAAATTGCAGGTGATGCTTGATTTAATTTTCAATGTCGAATTTAGCCCTGGGAAACGGCAATACTGTGGGCGCAATCCCTTATTTTCTCAACGGCGGAGCTTCTATAACGACGTCCATTACCGGCTTTGGCGCGGATCAAATCCTTGCTGCACGACTCATCACCGCCTCGGGTAAACTCATCGAGGTCAACAAAACGCAGAATGCCGACCTCCTCTGGGCCATTAGAGGTGCTGGTCAGTTCTTTGGTCTTGTGACAGAGCTGACAGTCAAGGCATACCCAATCTCCGCGCTTGGTAATGACAGAGGGGTCATTTGGTCGGGAAGCTTCGTATTCGCCTTGGACAGAGCAGGCGAAGTGGCAGCGGTGATGAAAGACTTAATGGACAATGGCCACCATGCAACAGCTGGCCTCTTGATGGTCATGGCACCTCCACCGACACGCCAACCGTCACTTATTGTGGCCGCGCGATACACGGGAGATCCTCGAGAAGCTGCTGCTGCTTACCAGCCTTTGTATGACCTAAAGCCCATTGCGACGCCTGGTGGCGAAGTACCTATTCAGAACGCCAGTGATGCTCGCAGCGCACTTGGAGCCAAGGGAGATTTCAAACGATTTGGTGTGGTAGGACTTCATCGCTTCGAACCGGAAGCTTTTCTGAAGACAGTCGACGTTTGGAAGGAGATGGTTGCACAGTGTCCAGACGCCATAAATACGGCGTTCAATTTTCAGTGGGATGCAAGGCCACCCAGAAAATCAGAACTAGGCTCTGCTCATTCTCTACAGGACGTTCGGTACTGGCAGTATGTTTAGACCATATTCGCCTCATTTATATCCACTGCTGACCACAAATTCATCATAGGAACAATCTCATTTGGCATACAGAAGTAAAAAGCCGAGCTGCTGTTGACGGTTTCAATGAGAGATGCATTGCCATCATGCGAGGCCCGAACATCGCAGACTATGTGGATTTCGCCAATGGTACACGCGACGGTCCAATCGAACGGCGTTTCCGCGGCAGAGAGAGGCTCGACAAACTGAGGCAATTGAAGAGGACATGGGATGAATTCGGGGTCTTTACTCGACAATTCTTGGATGAGTGAGAGTGTTCTCTTGTCTTGTGATCGTTCATGTTGTATTTTTCATCAATTCAAAAGCTGTGGTGGAAGGGAAGAAGAAAAATCTGAAATAGCAAATTCTATTTAGGTAGCCGTTCAAGTAGTCTTAGCCATTCTCAGCTCATTTTGTTGGTTAGGTTGTAAGTATAAGAATACCTTAACACTTGCCTAATTAGGCAAGTCCCGTGACTTCCAAGCAGCTGCTTCTATCTCTGTTCTGCGGCTACTCACTTCCACTTTTTTTCTTCCCCTTTCACTCCCCACTCTTCCCAGGCGTCGCATTGCTGCAGTATCGGCCTATTCACTAGCGGCATTGAACCAAACCCGATTGGACAACAACAAAACATGACTTTCTCCCCCGGGCGTGTCGCGCTCTCCGTTGTTGCCCTTTCTACGGCTACTGGGGGTTTCATCTTCGACTGGAATCATACTCACGTCTTCAACGAGCGCTGGCCACCACATGCCAAGTTCCACGATGGCCAAACCATGTCTACCGGGTTTTTGTTGGGTTTATCGGCGCTGTATTATCTCTTTCGGACGTGCAATTCGCCAGCCATGAAACGCGATTCACTCCGGACAGCGACTTGGTTGTTAAGCCTGAACTGGATAGCGCAACTAAGCGCCGCATTATACCCAGGCTCCCTGCCGGTCGATCCCGAGTTTGGTGGCGGCTTCCCACAGGCTTACATTTGCGCCTTTCTCTTTCTTTTAATTGCATCGGGGTTCAGCTTCGAGCACCGGAGGCTTCGCTTTGAGGAAAAGCGAGACTAGGAGTGCCTAGGGTTATGCAGGTACAAAGTCTTCGAAACTACGCGGCACACCTCCATCCTAACCGAACTGCATTGAGTGAATGCATGTTTCTTGACTCCTCGATACTGGGCGGTCCCCGCGGCATAAAACGATGCTTCTCATCGGAAATTTAATAGCCCACAGTCTCTCTCTTTGTATGCATTCAATTGTTCGTCATGACCGTAATACCGGTTGCATGTATTACCTAGAGTTTATTTCAGTTCACGTGCGTTACCCGCTCCCAACTCCAATCCTATCCATGCCACAGAGTTATATATAGAAAATACAATGCGTTGCTTTTCCCATGTGCCCTCCTCCTTGGCCACAAATTGGATGAATCCATGAACTGAGGAGACTCGGCATTTACTATCATTTCCGCCGCAGCTTCACTTGTGGCTGACCTACCTACCTACGAAAGATCCCTGTGGAGGAGCCTTGACCGACGAGATATCGTTTGCATTAAAGATTTCGTTCAGATGGATATATATAGTTATATGTTTGCGCTGAGTTTTCGAGGTGTTAGTTAGAGTTCTCTAAGACCGTGCGATTGTCAGACTGTCTTCCTGGCATTACAACTTACAATGATGTTGCAAGCATCTTGGGTTTGGTACCTCACACCATGCGTGCGCACAGCAGCGCTTTCTGACAGCCCGTTTAGTCCTCCAGACCCAGTCTTTGGAATAGCAGGCCAAGACGCAAGCTATGACTGTGTCGTTGTGGGTGGCGGCACAGCTGGTTTAACGGTAGCTGCACGGCTAGCAGAGAGTGACTCGTACAGCGTTGCCGTCGTTGAGACTGGGGTCTTCTATGAGGAAGCAGATGGAACCTTGAGCGTTATCCCATCAGATGACGTCTGGTATGCTAGGTCTAACCCAACAGACTCCAATCCCGAGATTGATTGGGGCTTCGTAACGACTCCGCACAACTAGTAGGTACGGTATGTGGGGAAACAATGGTCTAGATGCTTTAGGGGTGTGATAGGCAAGAACTGTCAAAGGTACAGTGTTAGAGAGTACATATGTATAAAAGAAATACGTACGTATGAATAACCCGACGCTAGTGAAGTAGGAAAGAGAAGAACCCCCGATAATTGTCTTTTCTGAGTCATCTCAGACTTGTACTTGAAGGCGTATACAGTCCGTACAGATAGCATCATTGTTCTGGCGTGAGCATTGCCAGCCTCCGAGCCACTTCGGGCATCCCAGCACTTCGCCAGACCTGATATGGCCAGTAGTCACTACGCTCGTGTTCGAACATCAGCTGAGGAACGTTCTGTCTCCACTCGTCTGTGACTTCATTGCCATCCGCCATGAAGAAAAGCACACCGGGTGCAATAAGGAAATCCGGCCGGTCAACAATAACGAAAAAGGTCTAGTAAGGCTCCCTATCCTTCAAGGCGGTTTCTGGGAAGTCCTCCTGGCGATGCTGCGGGAAGATCCGTGTTTAACTTTCGTGCTTATAAGCGCCCACAGCCATATCCGGTCGGACATTCATAATATCGCGCTGTGATGCCAGGATAGCACTCAGGGATTGAGAAGATGCTAAATAAAATTCAAAGCTGAATGTCTTTCCACGAGGAAGGTTTTCGATGATGGCCGTAGTTAAGGCCTGCGCAATGGATGGGAGCTACGAGCTGGTATAAGCAAAAGAAACGTATATAACATACTGCAGATCTTGCTCTATATTTTCCAGTTTAGATGTAATTAGAATAGTTCCCTCAGTGGGTGATTGCACGGAGAAATCGTCACGAGGGTATGAATTGGCCTTTAACTGCCATGACTCGATTATCTCTGGCGCTGATAGTTAATTTAAAGAATCTAGATCTCCTTCATCGTCATCGAGGCCGTAATCAAAGTCTCCGTCATCATTAATATAACTCCGTCTGAGTACGTGATATAGCTCTTTCAATGAGTGATACATTTGCCGACACTTTTCTACCCTGATTTCCTCCCTTTCAGGACAGATATCCGACTCTTCAACCATTGAAGGGTTGTAGCCTGTGGGTAGCACCCACAGACACCGTGAGTGCATATCCACTTTTGCCTTAAGCGGGAAACTCCTGTTAAAAGTTACCCATAATAGGCCAGTTTCATCTTCGTAGTTAGGGCCACGAAAAGCTTCACAGTGGCTGTGGGAGGTGATCACAAGAAGCAACCCCTAAGGTAGTCAGGTTGACTCGTTCGGCACTGCCTTGGCAATTCTAGGGAAGAATCCCTCGCCCAGAGTCGTGGTCCTTCGGTGGGAAATCTCTCGTCTTTAATGCTTCACACAGGCGAATACATCTGGCTGGGGGCTATAGATTTCAAACGACATGAAAGGCCAGGAATCAATCTCTCGACTAAGATACTCACAAAGGCTGATATGGTCAGAATCGAGGAGCAGGGTGCTGTAGACCTGCAGGGCAAATTCCGGATGCGCTGCGAAGTCCACCCCGGCCTCTCTGATTTCCTCTGTGTTCATCAACTTGTGTACCATCAGAAGAGCAGGCTGGTTTGCGTGGTCCCGGTACGGTTGCGCCACCCATCGCCTTTTCGGAAGGACCTTCGGTAGGTTACTTCTCGCCATCTCCAATGGTGTTCCTTGCTGTTACTTCTATGTGGTGATTGTGGTGGAAACTAAGAGAGTGACAGGTCGAGTGAGGGGCTGGGGTGGGGTAGATTTGGCTATCTTAAAGCAGTTTATTTGTCGACGAATGCTTTCACAAATTAGTAGCATCACCTCCAAACAACAGACTCGATTCTGATTCGTTACATAGTTCAAAATTACCGCTTTAGGTTTAGGGAAGATAGTATATAACTATGAATCTTGATCTAGATTAGCATACTATATCCTACTTTAAGTTACTACTACTAGTTTATTAGTTATAAGCTATCCTTCACTTATTAATCTCGACCTAATCAAACCCTCCAAAAAGGTACGGAGCATATAATTAAAACAAATCAGGCTGGCCGCCGAAACGGGAAATGGGATGGAATTTTCTCCTGTTTAGGAAACATTTCCTTATTCGGGAGATAATGCTGCTTTTAGATAACGACATCCCGTTACGGCCCAGTCAATCCAACTGCCCTTTCATCCTCGTTTGTATCTACAGTGGCGGAGATACAACAAGCGGTTACCGTATAAGACGGACATCATTCAAATTGGTTCAACTTGGGACATCACCTTGATTTCATCAATTAACATATGAGATATACATTCATCCGTTTGCCTACAGTTGCCTGATATAAGGCTTGCGTTTCGACTATGGAGCAAGAACAAAGATGTTCTCGGCGGCAGCTCGAACTCTAGCTGCCAATTGCTTTCGCAAATGCAAATCTCCGTCAATGGGGCTGAGGTCGATAACAGGGATCTCGTCATCGGTTGGAATTCGAGGTGGTGCCATGGATACTTGCCGATACTCTGGCCCAGCGAGAGTTCGAAACTCATCTGGCATGTATGATTTCGTCTCAAGGCACTCGTGCATTTCTTTCGATTAAAACGGCAACCATAGAGTTGTATAGTGAAAAGCACCATATTACCTATTTATAACCTTCGGCTCGGTAGGCGAAGGCCGGTCACCTCGCAGCCGATGGTGACCATCAGGCGAGGGGCAGCGCTGGACAGTCTAGTTTATCGGGGGTTCGCCACATGTACGACCCTTGACTGAGCTGATAAGCGTGCAGATGCGAAGAGTATAGTCCGAATGACTGATCATCATTCCTGTATACGGTTCAAAACATCAATATAAAATAGAAAGCCAAATGTCATCAACCATGCACACCCGGAACCATTCTCGTCAGCTTACAGCTAGTTAATCTTACTCGCCTTATGGTGAAAAGTGTAGATCAGGCTAGAAACCTTCGTGCCGTCGAAGTAATCGACAATGATTCAATTCCGACCAACCCGTGCAAAGGTTCGAACATGGACCCAGCTCACGTATATCTCCTTCTGGTTCTCTGACACTGCAAATGTCTACAAACTCTATGTTGCTTCAACGGGTATAACTGTTGACCTCAGTATGTGGTAAGCCGTCGGTTTCACACTTGCCGGGCAATTTCTTGCTAGATGCTTGATGGCGCTCAATGGTCGCGGCGGTGCGCGTTCCCTACCTTATGTCGCGTCAGTTTCGGACCGTAGGGTACTGTATGGCCAACTCTCCATCGAGCTGTTATGTCTATAGTGTGGAATGGTGCTAATGCCGTGCAGGGCGCGCAAAGTATATAGTAGGATTCTCCTCCCCTTCGATTCTAAGTCTCGGGCTTATTTTCTCATGAATGATGAATATGTTAGCGTGTTCCTCCTTGCGATATTCCCCTCGATTGTGGACATACCAGACAAGATGGACTCCGTATCTGCCCTAAGCTCCGCCCAGATGATATGCTTCTTCGTATATTAGTATGTGTCAGTAGTTTCTTATTCTTGAGCAAAGCAAACCATAGTCAAAAGGGTTATAACTGCGTTCATTTCTCTGGGAATCGCTAGTTGTGAATCTTATTTCTAATGTGGCGGACCTGCAACGATACGCCCGAAAGTCCAACGATGCGATCCTTGGACAGATCATTGGCGAACCTGTTAGTGGCCGTATTTGGCAATGTCATTGCATCTGCGAGTTCAACGATTTTTGGAGAGGTGCGCATTACTCGTCTTCACAAAGATTTTTGGGTTCCTATACTGATGTCTCTACAGCTAATGTGGAATCCATTGGATTTCCTAGACATGCTGATAGCGGGCGAGAGATACACTCCGGTGAACGGAAGTGCGTGCGCCTTTATTGCTCTCGCTTTTGCCCACGCCACCGTCTTCTCAGCCATTTTTGAGCAATCCATTTCGCCAATCTACCCTGCATTTCTCTTTGGTCATTGTACAGTATCAATACAATGAATGGGCTCCAGAGCAGGAAACGATGTTGCATCCTTACTACCCAAATATATCACCATTCGACGAGGATTTATCATTTGTGCTAGTAATTTCTCCTCTCCTGCTCTCGCTGTATACCTAAGGTACTCGTCTGAATTCAAGGGGCAGTCCTTTTCTATACATCTGTCCCTGGTACCTTCTCTCCTCCTCAGGCTCGCTCTGAAGGAATTATGACGAGCCGGCAAGGAAGACGACGAGCTCCGGAAGCAAGAACCAATTTGCAAATTCAAAGTCGCATGGGCGCAAGTTTGGTCTTTTATTATTTTCTAATTTGTCGCGATTATTATAATAATAATAATAACAAAAATAATACAGCACAAGCAGCAGCTCGACCTGAGTCACGGAATGTTGGGAGCAATAGATGCGGTGAACAACACCAGCAGCAGCAGCAGTTACGACTTCAGCTCGATTCTCGACTAGTTCCTCAGACTTAGTCCCATTTGCTCTCGGAGAATATATATGAGCCCAATCTATCTGTGCAAGATATTTCTTTGGATTTGAAAATGGAAGTTGGGGATCGATTCTCGACTGATTTTTAGTATTTGACCAAGATGCATGAAGGACTGGGGTTTGCATGGACTGACATAAGGTGTCCCTATTACACATTATACCCTCAGGCAGATATGCTCTCGATACTCATGATTTTCTAGATTCAATGGAGCTGACAACTCAAGGCTGGATTAAAAATATACTATATCTGGTAAATCCCGCAGTTCGGCAGTGAAGGTCAGTCTAAATAGCTAGTTGTCAAGCAGCGTGAACTTGGCACGGTACGTCCATAATATGATTAATGAGAATAATATACAGCGAGACTTCCATTTCCATTACACGCGTGTGAAAGGTGAGTCCTTTGAGAATTTATAGATGACTAAGGTCCAAGATCTGGGCTCGGCTATGGTAATCGTAATCGATCCAATATGATTGGTTGGCGGGTAATCACTTCCGATTCGGGACCGACACTTTTTAGCCCCCGCCGGCCTGAGGCAAAAACAGGCACACCTCGAGTCTGACTCTTTGACTCTTTTCTTCCTCCAGATTTGCTCTCCGCACCACACCAGACCAGGAAGATTACCGCAATAATTCTGGCCTAGGCGGGCATTCTGCTCTCAATCGATCGAATCAATTCAAATTGAATACTTGCCAAACCCCATACCGACTTAACTGCCCTAGGGAAAGCGTTCGCCATGGAGTCATTGCTCAATCAATCCCGAGCCATGTGCCCGTTCTTGAAGAGAACGTCGCCGGCTGCCCTGCGATCGCTGTCGATGTCCACCGGTTACAGCACCGGGCCTCGTGGCGGAACAATGTCCAATTTGCAGGTGATTGCCCGCCGCTGTCCCGTTATGAGCAAGGCTCTGGCAGTGCAGAGCTCTCGTCACCACTTCAGCACCGCCGCCGGTGGTGCTGGAGCCGGAGCCCCCGTGAACTTCAAGACTTTTGAAAAGGTCTCTCGCTGCCCAAGAAGCCTACACACTACTGCAGGAAATGGTGCCAGTGTCGAGATGGGCGGTACCTATGAGAAGAATGGCCGACTCCATCCTCACCCTCCTCCCGTGGATGCTGGCAAGACTCGGGCTCACAAGCCCGAGGTTCCCTTTGCTGGTCCTGGCTCTCACCCTCAGTCTCCTGCGGGGTTCAAGTTCGATTACGAAGCCTTTTACCAGAATGAGCTAGACAAAAAACACAAGGACAAGTCATACCGCTACTTTAACAATATCAATCGCCTGGCTAAAGAATTCCCTCGAGCTCATATGGCGGCTGCCGAGGAGAAGGTGACGGTTTGGTGCTCCAACGACTACCTTGGAATGGGACGAAACCAGGCGGTTTTGAAAAGCATGCATCAAACTCTCGATCGCTACGGAGCAGGTGCCGGAGGCACACGTAACATTTCCGGCCACAATCAGCACGCCGTTCAGCTGGAGAAGACATTGTCGAAATTGCACCACAAGGAAGCAGCCTTGGTATTCACTTCATGCTATGTTGCTAACGATGCAACTCTTGCAACACTGGGGAGCAAGCTGCCAGACTGTGTGATTCTTTCCGACAGTCTGAACCACGCTTCGATGATTCAGGGTATCAGACATTCTGGCGCTAGGAAAATGGTCTTCAAGCACAATGATATGGTCGATTTGGAGACAAAGCTGGCATCGCTGCCGGCACATGTGCCCAAAATCATCGCATTTGAGTCAGTTTACAGTATGTGTGGATCCATTGCACCTATCGAGAAGATATGTGACCTGGCGGATAAATACGGCGCCATTACATTTTTGGACGAAGTGCATGCTGTTGGCATGTATGGTCCTCATGGAGCAGGTGTAGCAGAACACCTGGATTACGATATTTATGCATCTCAAGACAGTGCCAACCCGCTCAGCACTAGAGGCACTATCATGGACCGAATTGATATTATCACCGGCACCCTTGGCAAGGCTTATGGCTGCGTTGGTGGCTATATCGCCGGTTCGTCTAAGCTAGTAGACACCATTCGGTCCCTAGCACCGGGCTTCATCTTCACGACCTCACTGCCGCCTGCCGTCATGGCAGGTGCTAATGCGGCAATTGAGTACCAGGCTGTCCACCGCCGAGATCGTGTCCTTCAGCAGCTACACACCATGGCGGTGAAGGAAGCTTTCAAGGAGATAGACATTCCGGTCATCCCTAACCCGTCCCATATTGTTCCTCTACTTGTGGGTGATGCGGAGCTTGCCAAGCAGGCTTCTGACATGTTACTCGAAGACCACGGCATCTATGTTCAAGCCATCAACTATCCAACTGTCCCGCGTGGCGAGGAGCGTCTTCGCATCACCCCGACCCCCGGACATACCAAGCAATACCGCGACGAACTTGTACAGGCGGTGAACACTGTCTGGGACCAACTGGGCCTCAAACGCACCAATGAGTGGAAGGCACAGGGAGGATTCGTCGGGGTTGGAGTTGAAGGCATCGAGGCCAAAAACAAGCCTATTTGGGAAGATGCGCAGCTTGAACTGAAAACGAATGAGAGCATCGAAGATGCAGTTACACGAGAATTCCAGAATCAGGCACGCGAAGAAGAGCAGCAGTTAGTTACCAACGCTGTTCGTTCTATGCAGACTGGTGGTACTACTAGTTTTGCCGCGACTCGCACCTTCGGAACTGCGCCCATTGGAGTCGCTGCCTAGAAAGTATATGGCTGTACTCGTCTTCTTTGCTTGGTCGTCCCCACTTGACCAGTCAGTCGGTATACGATGGAGGTTTGATGCTACTTTGAGAGCATGCAACTTGGTCAGTATTCATTCTTTGAATCAATCCAGAGACGCGTATAGAGCCCGATTTTATCATGGATGCTTTTTTTGTTTTGATTTCTACATTCGATTCTTGTCAAGATAGCACGCCATTTCCTGACTAGGGAGAAAGGGACCTGTCTATTCATTCATCTTAGGTTCTGTATATAGTTCAAGGGCTTATTATCTGTCTTGTCGTTACTATATATTGTACACATCGTCAGGGCCCATGTAGGACTGTCAATTGAAGTGTATGTCCGTATAAATATATTCTAGTCTATAAGCTAGGCAAACCTGATCACATGCAGATAGCAGCTGTAGTGTACTACTAAATTTCTAAGTGTCTGCATGACTCTGCCACGTATGGCATAAGCATGACAGACTAGAAGAGTGATAACAATGATTCATGGATACAAATATAAATGTAAATATACAGATAATTACTGGTTTCAGCAGCCCTAAAACAAAGACGTCATGTGTCACGTGACGCCTCAGCCACAGTACCGAGCAAGCTGCCGTCATCGAACGCAAACGTTCCCGTCTTTTCCCCCCCCGAATTCCACTTCCCACACAGCTGAACTCGAAGCTTGCACCACACTTTGCCAGCGAAAATATATCACCAGATAGATATACACGTTTTTCGTCCCTCTCAGACACCCCTCCTGCCCCCACTCTCTTCCATCTTCAGATTCATCTTGTCTTATTATTTGAGTTTTTACCTAAATCTCGATCGATATGGCCACCTTTCAGGATCGTGTGCAGCATCAAATTGCGCAGCTTGACAAGGAGGTAAGCATCATTATCATCATCATCGTCATCGTTATCATATTATCCTTCCTTCTCTCCTTATTTCCTTTCTTTCTTTGATTACGCGGATTATCAAACGATCAGGGTATACTGACACGAGTCTCTACTTTTTTCAAAGCTGTCCAAATACCCCATCCTCAACAACCTCGAGCGCCAAACCTCCGTGCCAAAGGTGTACGCCATCCTCGGCGTGGTGGGCATCTACTTCTTCCTCGTGTTCTTCAACATTGCCGGCGAGTTTCTGGTCAATTTTGCCGGATTTTTGATCCCCGGCTATTATTCGCTTCATGCTTTGTTTACCGAGGGTACGGCCGACGATACTCAGGTAGGCTCCCTTTTTATTTCTTCTTTAAACTGAGAATATGGCTAATTGATTTTATTTTTTTTTCTTCTAGTGGTTGACCGTGAGTTTTCTTCCAGCTTTGAAATTGTGAAACGACGAACTGAAATTGACTTCTGCAGTACTGGGTTGTATATGCTTTCCTCACTGTCATTGAGAGCGCCATCAGCGCCGCATACTGGTTCCGTGAGTAAATTCATGCATTTATGAATTGACAACAGCACTAATTCTGTATAGCATTTTACTACATCTTCAAGTTCGGCCTTGTCCTGTGGATGGCCCTCCCTCAGTTCAAGTAAGTATTTCAGACTGATTATTTGGAAATATTATGTGCAAAGTCAACTGACAATCACAGCGGCGCTCAACTTGTTTTCCATTCCTTCATCCAGCCAGTGTTCGCCCGTTTCTTCACCGGCGGCTCGACCTCTGCGAACTTGAAGGCCCAGGCCGAAGCTGCCAGCAAGTCGCAGTAAACTGCATGTCATGCAACTAGTATTTCGGGACGTGGCAGAAATCTAGACAACAGGTTTTCTTGAAATGGTCCAGTAGTTACCATGTTCAGCCAATGGATTTACCCGTTGTTCTCGTTACTTGTTAATATGGAGTCCTACTTGGGCTCCCCGTGTCTGACTCGGTGAACGCTATTTTTGAGTAATGGTGAAACAATTTTCGTTTTGAATAGAGACCTGATTTTCTTGTCACTCAGGAAAATCCCAGATATTCTTGTTCCAATTTTCATCTTGTCTTTTGTCCAGTTGTTTCTTTTTGTCTTGAGCGTGTTCAATCATGTATGTGATCTCAAGTGCAGCCAGTTGTATGGATTTATTTCCCAGCGATAATGCTTTGGGTGCTTGCGACAATGACAATGGCAATGATATTCTCTTTGATGCTCGACTCGTATCATATTTCGTACTTCTGAATCGGGGATCGTCTGGTCACGTTTTAACTTTTTTTGTAAGCCTCATGTGGCTTGTTCTTTTCACCGCGGTTCGCACGAGTTGTATCAGACACTCAATACAAGCTGATACGATTGCCCCAACTATCCGTCCGAGGATTGAGGACGATGCGGTAAGGGAAAGGATTGGAGTCGCTTGTTGTGATGGGCGGAATATGGTCCTTATCGCGATTGACATTGGTGAGGATTTTCAGCGCCGCCTTTTGGAGCATGTTCTCCATTGCTTTGCGCACTTTGGCTCGTTCTGCGAGAAGATAGAAAATCAGTAAAATTCAAAGAACAAAACCAGAGAGTAAGAGAGACCATACCGGATTCTGTCCGCGGCGTCGCGATTGTCACATCCAACGTCCAAATCTCCCAGCATACCTCCTCATCGCCGCCCTTGCCGGCCAAGCCGCCAAACCATAGCCCGGAAGACTTGCGCCGTTTCTTTTCGAAGAATTCAACGGCGATCCTTCCGCGGACGCCATTTCCGGCGCTGTACGAGTTGGACGATGTGGACAGGTGCTGGCGCACCAAGGCGTTTACTCGCGAGTCGATGAGAGTCTCGAGTTCTACGTCGTTCACGGTTGGTAGCGTGAGATCGAGAATGTCCACCGAGCCCGGTCGAATGGAGGGGAAGTAACGGTGGAAAAAGATGAGGTTCAGGACGCCTTTGTTGCCACCGTCAGTATTTCCCACACCACGACTCGCAACAGAAAGTAACGATAGGGGAAAGAAAAAAGAAAGAAAAAAAGAGAAATAGAATCAAGATAAAGATTCGCACCTTTAAGCACATCCTTGACAGAGTTGGAGTCGGCAAAGATCTCGAGGAAATACTCCGGGGGACCGCCGCGGGGCTCCATGGCTGAGATTTTCGCCCTCTTTTTCTTTCCGCGCAGGCGGCCTTTCTTTTTCTTTTTCTCACCTCGGCAAAACTGCTAGCCCTCCTCAAACGAGACGGAGAAAATCGCCTTAAGACAGCCAGTTATGCCGGGGGGTTGCGGAGTGACGGCAGAGTCGTGAAAGAACCAGGTGGCGCATTATTTGGAAGGGCAGGAGGAGCTGGTGGCGAGGAATGCGCGAGGGGAATATGTAGTGCTATGCGGCCATGGCCATTATTTGTTTATAATGCAGTCAAGCCGGTATCGTTATGCCCACCATACCAAGTATTGGGCATTGGGATGGGAGTCGAGAGAGACGAAAATTTGGCGCATCGTTTCTGGAGGGGCTTTTGCTAGTTTGTTAGTGTTGGGAGCTCGACCCCTCTCTCTTCGGCCCCCGTCGGGCTTGTGCTTGTGCGTGCTTGTCCCTGTCCTTGCACGATTCAGCGTGAACGACAGCACTTGTAGGATAGAGCATTTATAATCGTTGGTTCGGCCATTAAGGGAGGCGACAGCTACGGCGTTCCTGTTCTACGTACCTCCAGGTAGGCAAATGCGACATATACGTCATGCTAGATATATCCTATGCATCATCCTGCTACATCTGCGATCTACTCTACGTCGCACTGCGTTAGTCGACGGCGACTAGAACTGGCCGACGAGGACCAAGCAATTTGTTAGATATTATAAAGATTATCGTCGGCGGTTCGACGTTTGATAAGATTCAATAAGAAGAAGAACGAATAAGAATAAGAAATCTTGGGGAGAGAATGCGGCGGTCACGGGACATGGCACTAGGCTGGATTGCCGGACGACAAGACAATCGTCAACTGGTCAAGAGTCCTGCTGGTTCTCGCTCCTCGGTCTGTTGACAATTACATTTCGTTGGAGATCAAACACCTGCCATGTCTTGAAAACTCTACCTTGATGCTCATCAGTCAAATACAATAATACCTTGATCGCGCCGCAAGCATGATCGGAGCTACCAGGCGCTGGTTTCGCCGCAATCGCAAGGGTCTCGCGATTGGAGCCGGCATTGTCGGCGTTGGGTACTTCGCAGGACAGTATGTGCTGTCCAAAATATCAGAGGCGCGCGAGCGGATGACCAGCGACAGAATTGCAAAGGAAAAGTGCGTTTGTTGTCTTCGTCTGTTTATCTTCGAACAAACCACGTGCTAACGTCATACTCTCTGGCCCAGCCTCCGTCGACGCTTCGAACAAAACCAGGCCGACTGCACCTTTACCGTGCTCGCTCTTCTTCCAACAGCCACCGAGAATATCCTCGAAGCCCTTCCAGTCGAGGAGCTGACCCAAGAACTACAAAAGAAACGCGCGGAGCGACTAGCCAGGCTCAGCGGGTCAGACGTGCTCACGTCCGAGCCCAGTTCGACCGCTCCCAGTGTCTCAGAAGAAGATGGCAGGAGCCTTTCCAGCTTCCAGGCCGATAGCTTCGTTCATGCGAGTCAATTAGCTGACTCGACGTTTTCCGATGCACAACGCCCGAGACGCAGCAAGGCACAGCTGTGGAACGATGTCAAAATATTCTGTAAGCCCAACGACCGTTTCGCTCGGCCAATACCATAAATCATACGCTAACTAAATCTCGTTTTGCTCAAGCCATAACGAGATCGTTTGTCCTAATATATACTTTGTCTCTGTTGACCCTCTTCACCCGAATTCAGCTCAACCTTCTCGGTCGACGAAATTATCTTTCTAGCGTTCTATCGCTCGCTAGCCCATCCGAGAACGACTCAAGCATCCGCCTAGAAGACAACGCCGATGACTTAGGGCAGGCTTTTGGAAATGATTTTGAGACAAATAGACGATATCTCACATTCAGCTGGTGGTTATTACATCGGGGGTGGAAGGACTTGATGGAAAGCGTTCGTGCCGGCGTGGAGGACGTGTTTGGGGCACTCAATCCTCGGGAAGACATTACACTCGACAGGCTTTCAGAATTGATCCTGGATGTTCGAAAACGCGTGGAGGGAGCCACAGAGGAAGACCGAAGGTACGCAATCCCGTCCTATTTTGCGGTGCATGGAATGACATAGGTATTGCGGTACTGACAGATGCAACTAGGGCTAAACAGTGGCTCCCATATCTACTTCCTCCAAAGGAGGAGGAAGACACAGTATTACAAGAATCAGGGGTTCTCAGCTCCGAGGCACCATCCTCATCCCAGACAACAGCCAGTCTGAGACAATTATTAGACGAAACATCCGATCTTGTCGAGTCACCCTCTTTCACCCGAATCTTGACTTCGTTAAACAATGAAGGCTTTGCAAAGCTGATTGAGCAGAAATGCGCCAACACCCTCTTCAATAAGCCCCCATCATCCGAACCAGCACCCACGACCACATTCTCTTCATCTGCTACAATAGTTCCTTCCTCTTTACCCTCATCGCCCAAGGCCAAGCTCGCAACAATCCTAGCCCTAATCACGCGCGAAGCTCATAATATCGGCAATGGCTCAAACCCACCAAATGAATACCTTACAGCCATGGAGCGAGGGGTGCAAGAGCTCGAAGCCTTTGCAGCAGTGATTTACAGTTCTAATTTTCATCTTGGACTGCTACAATCGGAGAATAATGCTACTGCTTCCTCAGAGTTTGCGGAAGAAGCCCAATCAGCACCACATATTTCGGGAGAGACCACTATAGAGAATAATGTCACAGACGCCGTTGAAACTGAGAAATCAGTAACAGCCGATGACTTTTTTCAGCCGAGTGAAGAGAAGGAAGCATCTGCAGCGGTCGATGATGACCATGCATTCGAGAAAGTCTGGGGCAAAGCCGTTGAGCGTTCTGGCTCTGGTTCTGGTCCCAGTTCTGGAGAAGAGGCATAATTTACATATGATGACATTTCCTCTTTGCAACATCTGTGGAAATCATTTACCGCTCGGTGAGGTGGATCAGGCATGTAAGTCAAAATATAGTTTACCATATAATACATATCAGAGATCAGCTCGGTTTGATGGAAATTCTGAAGGCCTGCTGCCTCAAACTGAACCATAATATAAATACAATTGAAATTAACAACGTCAGAAAGAAGTAGTTATCAATCGATAGATTTTTGACGCTAAAATCTGGAGAGATACGAACAACAACACCCTCGCTCTAAGGGGGAAATATTCATCACTCTATGCAAAGATGTACACGCAAAACAAACAACAGTTCTTTTTCCCTTCACTTCTGGCTCATTTCTCATTTCTATCGCCTACTAGGTGCACCACCCCTCGACACCTTGGGAAAATCAAGCGGCAATCGCAAACGACAAATCTTCTTCGTCGCCGCCTCAACCTTGGACTTAATACCCCATTTCGCAAACTCCGTTGCACGCGGCTTATCTGACCGGCAGCCCAATTCACGGAAATACTGCGTGATAGTCTGGTTATCCAGACGCAAGTCGTCGCGCAGATCTGACGGGTCAGTGGCCAATTCATTGGCCGCATTACCGCCAAGGGAACTCGTGCCTCCATCCTTGGTCGGGGTAGGCGGGATATGCAGTGATAGAGCACAGATAGTGGTGTGCAGCAGAGTGATATCGGATTTGTTCATGACTCCACTGGGCGCGAATTTGCGGCGGATCGCTTCCACGACGGGATCTGGGAGTTGCGCTGATGCCGATGAGCCCCCGGATAGAATGCGCTTGAGGTCAGTGCGGAGTGGGATTCGTTTGCTGCCTGAAGGATCGGATTGTTTGCCGCCGCGCTTGAGGTTTTTGGCAAGCTCCAAGAGCACGAGGATATAGCGCAGGATCTGCAGGTGCATGGTGTTGGTGGATTTGACGACGGCGTCTACACGATGCGCAACATAGCGCGATGTGCTTGTGATGGCTTCGCCGGCATCCACGGCATCCTGCCATTCCTGAACGGGGAGTTGATGGAGTGTCGAGAGACCACCAGCAACAAGTTTGTCAACTGCGTATACCTCTGACGGATGCTCGGCGGACAAGTTTGCGGTGGGGATTGGTTTGTTGGCTTGCACCTGCGCTTGTAATTCCTGTGCTTTGCTGGTAGCCATTGAGATGGCTTCTGAAGGCATGGACGACAGAATTGCAGATTCCACAGTCTTGCCGCCGCCCGCTGGCGCAAGCATGCTGTTCTCGGCCAAGGACTGCGCGGCCTTGCGAGACGCCTTTGTTCCAAAGGCCTCTGTAAGAGCACTTTTCTGTTCGCGAATTGATGTCTCGTAATCGCTGGCATCTTCTTCCGCAACGCCTGCGTTTCGTTTCTTCACGGTGCTTCGCAGAGTCATTTTTCGCACCTCGACGAATTGCCATGTCTTTGTTGCTGGGTCAACAATAGCAACGTAATGCTTTAGTTGCGAATCGGCATCGTCCGTGGCCTCTCTGCCCACGAAATCGAGTTTGGGGTGTTCGGATGATTGGAGAAGCAATTCTGTGGATGTGATGCCTTTATTGCGATCCGATGATGAAGATGACGATGACGAGACAGCATTCTGTGATTTGGAGTAAGGTTTGAAACCGTGTACTTTCTTGGGAAATTGTAAGCCAGGCGAGTTGACTATAAGATTGATTATCGTTAGTATTGCGTACTTCTGCAAACACCGCTGGCCGCTCGACCACCACTGAAGATGTAGGAAGGAATAGAAAACACTTACTTAGCACAGGAGCAAATTCATTGTCATCTTTCAGAACGCTTGCGGTCAGCGGAGGTAGGTTGTGCGCCTCGATAGCAGGCTTCTTGCTTGGACGCTCATGTCTGTCCGAGTCTCTCTTGCGCTTTTTCTCAACCTTGTCGGAAGCCATGGTTTATAGCCTTCTCATGCAATTAGAACGCCTCTTAGGATGACTGAAATTTTGCGATAAATCTTGCGAGTTCAATAGATAGACCTCGTCTTTCGTTTGCTTGAGATTGATATCTGGTTATCGAGCTGCGGACGGAAGAAAAAAAAAAATTACTATCTCCGCCGGCCGCACTTAAAGCTCGGACCACCAAAAAGAGTCGCACATACAAAATCATTTGATAAGTTATGACGATGCTCTCTATATTTACAATATTGTACTACAAATTGGAGTAAAATATTTCATCACAGCTCTGACTGTTTCCTTGTGCATTCTATCGGCAAGCTTAAGCTATCAATTGAATTGTCATGCGTTCAGAGCGAATAAAAATTCATCTTTTTTGGTTAAATAAATCGTCGAACACGACTCCATGAGGTAATTCACCTCGTACACTCGTCGTAAGACGAGCGAACAGCGGTGAAGAACAAAAGGAATTGACCAGTTCCCCATGATAAAACCCTTGAGAGGATAAGAAAAACATAAATGGCGAAAGAAAAAAAGTTTGCTTTAGTAACTCGTTTTTCATCCGTTTCCCTCATCACTACCCCTTCCAGCACCTTCCAAACACTCGGCCTATTCCCCCGTCGAGAAAGATGGAGAAGTTTCCCAGGCTTCTTCCACCTCATTTGAGGCGGGCACTTTTGCGAAACCAAAGCGCACACAACGCAACAAATCTGACCAAGATCATCGTAAACTTTTGGGCTTAGAGCTCGGCGACTGGAACAACAGAGAAACTTTGTTGAAAATTTGATAAAGCTCCAGGTAAACGACTCTTCGCCTAGCAATACAGACTAAAAGCCAATACTGCAGGCGGGCTCTTGGGCAACCCCATCGGAGGAAGGAATAATCATATGAAAATTTTCATGTCGTGTTTGATTTTTCAACGGAAGGTTTCAACATGAACAGAACTGAGATGGAGTGGTCGAGCGTTTATTTGCTAGAAAGCCGGAATTAGTCCAAACCCGAAAACCAATTGACTGCGGCATGGCAGAGAGAAGAGCAAAACTTACGATCTGGCTCTGACCTTTCTTCTCTTACGCTTCAATCGGCGAACGCGCTTCTTTCTCCACTTGGCTCTCATCTTCGCAGATGGTTCGAGACTGGTGAGATGTCAAGTTAGCAACGAGATGAATTTGTGATTCGGAAGCAGAGCAGGCTTCTGGCCGATCAGCTGCACAGTTGCCATTGATAATCAATTGCAATGCACATCTCTTCCGCACACAAAGCCAGCCGATGGTGGAATAACTTACACTTCTTTGAGGATGAGGAGAGATGGTTGAAGGAGTGATGAAGATCCGAAGCTGCACGCCCGCTTTGAATGTGTGTGGGCGCTGACTAAGCCCTCGTCTAAGAGGCCGCGCTAGCTGTTTCAGGAAAGTTATCGCGGGGCCGGAGACAAGAAGCAGAGCTGCGTTCTGAGCGTTGATTGGCCCGTTAAGCATTCAACGATGTCATTTTTCAACACTGCAATATTTTCCTATTATTTTATGTGTTTGTTTATTTTTTCAAGCCCTAACCCTGCGATTCTTTTATAGATTGAAATTACTTTAAACACCAAGCATAGTGGAGTATACACAAAGATAATTTTCTGCCAGAAAGCAACGACTAGCTACCTAGTATGCGTAGCGATAGTTGGGTGCCAGATCTCCCAAAAGCTCCGTCTCATCCTCACCAATTGTAGCCTCAGGATTACTGGCGGCATTACGGTCGCGCTGGCGATTTTCATGCCAAATGCAAAGGAAATATGCCACGCATGCTGCGGCTGACAGGCAACTGAAGGAGATGCAAATTATATAGCCGTTGCGATATTCCGGAGCATCTTTGGAGAGGAATGAATAGGTGGCAATGATTCCGCCGACTAGATAACACCAAGTCAGTATTCAGTTCGTTCCTTGTGGAAAATGAGGTATCGTACTATTGCCAAAGCCAACTTGCCAGGCTGTTCCAACACTTCTCCTCTTATGTCCGCCTAGATTCATTGCAAACCAGCAGACAACCACGGGCATTGCAGAGTAAGTGCCTATTTCGAAGGGAAATCAGCGTCAATGTGCAGACTGTTTTGGCTGAAGAGAAAGAATTACCTGACGTTACCAAGAACAATGCTCCGTACTCAGCATGTCGATTGTCGTGGATGTTGAGTAACATTGCTAAGCCTGCAAGTGAAACGCAGATTGGAATGAGAGTGAAGATGAAGCGATGGCGTAGTCTGTCGGAGAAGTAGGCGACCAAGAGAGAGAATCCAAAGGCTGCAGCCCATGGAGGGATCGAATACAGCTGTGTGGTTAGGGCTAATCAAAGGTTAGCAGGGTGACTTTATTTGTCTTCAAGGGATATCCTCATACTGCTATATCCATAGCTCTTGATAATGGTGTTGGCAAAGTAGGCATATCCTTTTCATTAACCTTCATGTTAGTAACTTTGGGGGCTCTAAATTTGAGGAGAAAGGTTTGAATCACCATAACCTGGAACAATGAGTCCGAAGTATGCCAAACCGCCGATAAAAATCTTGTCTGGAAGATTGAACAAATTAATAAAACAGACAACACCTCATAAATCATATTTTCCAATCACAACTTACAATCCTTGAACACAGCAAGAGCATCCCTGAACGAGATAGACTGCGAATGAGCCGATTTCCCACCATCCTTCTCCAGCTTCGCTTTCAGGAAACTCCGTTCTTCCTCGTTAAGCCAGCGTACTGTTTCCGGAAAATCAGGAAGCGTCCAGAACGAAATTGCAGCAAGAACTATGGTCAATAAGCCCTCAATTATAAATATCCAGCGCCAGCCTCTATAACCTCGGGTTCCGTTCATTTGCCCGATTCCGTAGGCCAAAAGGCCACCAAATGCGCCGGCCAGAGTGGTCGAGCTGAAGAAGAAAGAAAAGCGCTTCTGGGCTTCGCTTCGCTTGTACCAGCATGACATGAGATAGAAACCTATATCTTGGATTAGTACTAATTCATCAGATTCCAAGAATTGAATGTCATACATCCTGGAAACCTGATATCGTTAGTCAGAATATGGTTATGTTTTCAATTGGAATTCTGTTCAAGAACTACTGTACTTACATTCCAGTTTCAAATACACCGAGGAAGAAACGAGCGGCCATTAAACCACTCCAACTTTGTACGAGGCCCTGAAGAACCAGTATCAGTATCACTGCAGCAAAAATCACAAACATTATGCCTACCTGCATCACCATAACGAATCCAAACATTCCCATACAGAATGATAACCACACGTGAGGTTTGAGTTTCTTCAAAAGAATGTTGGAGGGTATCTACCAATAATCAGCAATTTTGCCCCTTCGCTGTATTTATTTCCTTTTCCTCTCACCTCGAAAATGATATAAGGAACAAAGAAAATAGTCAAAGCAGTATTATACTTTGTCCCCGTAGTGATATTCAGATCTGTCTCAAGCCCGAAAAGGACTGCATTACTGATATTCACACTATATTTTCACACGAGCCATCAATATCAGCTGAATTTGTATGTTATAAAAGACTAAAGGGTTATTATTTACCGATCAAGAAAAGCCATGAGATACAGCACGCATAGAAACGGCAGAACATGCAAATCAACCTTGGCCATCAAACGGCGCTCAGTGGTAGAGTTGAGCTGCGGCAAGGTGACGACATCATATGCCTCGACGTCGTTTTTGCCTTTGCCTTGGACGGCGGCATCATTTATGTCTGTCTGGTGTTAAACATACATCCCAATTGACATCTGAAATAAGGCTTACCTAGTGTGGCCATGAAGCTCCTATTCAGGGGGTGAGTTTTATCCTCGGTTAAGCAGAATGACGTCTACCAAGCAGTAGTCACGCACGCAACTACAGCGATATACTAGCAATGACCTCAAAAAGTAAAATGAAGAATTTATGGCGTGTGATAGCAATTTTTCTTTTTTCCTTTTCTTTGGCAAATAATCTCGTGTAGCACTAGTCATGACTCATGTGCAGATTTTATAGCCAAGACCGATGTCGGCAATCATGATCCAGTATAGGAAAGATGCGATCGCTAGCGCATTTCGAGTCTAGGGACATACATATACGTATAATTAGTCAAACATACATTATGTGCTCTATGAAAGAAGTTGTTTTGATCTATATATATAATCAGCTAAATGACCATCAATCAATCAGCACATCATACATCTACTTATCTCCATTTCACTGCTCACCGCACAAATATGTGTATAGTGGAGTACTCTTTAAAGTTATGGGGCATAGCCGCGACTTTACCAGTTCTAGCAAAGTTTTTGGGATTTCTCTTAAAGTTACCGTACTATTACAAATCTAGAATCTCAATTACGCGCAAGCTGATTGGTGGAGAGCTAGAGTTCACAAAAAGTAATAGGTAGTAATAGTAGTCTGGATCAATGAAACTACGAACAGCTATCCAGAAAGGATTAACGGCACAAATAGGTGCACTTCCTAGTAACCTCGGTGACTTCCATTGGTATGGTGTCCGGTAAAGCTCCAGTAATCATCCAAGAAAGGCGGCACCATCAGAATAGCCGGAAAGCCCTGCTCCCTTAGGACCTATAGAAAAGGGGGGAGATTATATCATGCAGGGCAATCACTGGGGTTCTGATAAGCACGTAGTTTCGTATAAGGTTATGCCAGTCAACAAATCGTCAAGTTGACTGGAGGATGAAGCAGGATTTTCTAGGAGAAGTGAATAGTTGACTATGACTCCTGGCTTGTAAAGTTCGAGAAAAGGAAAGCTTTGATAACATATGCCTCGCAACCTTAAAAGTAAGTCCACTATCAGTATTTATACACAACATGCTCATTCTCATACCCTCTGGCTACACTATTCTTACATGAGATTGCTTTGAAGCTATTTTTATAAGGTTGGCGTCTTCCAAGTCCCGTCGCTAAGGCTTAGCAGTTCTAGCAAAACCTTGGGGTTTTTAGACAGCTTGGGGTACCTTCTCTTGATAAAGTGCAGGATCCCAACCACCAACTTACTTAAATCCTACAGGGGAAAATTCAGGATAATACGCATAATCTTTGCTCGAGTCTTCAGATGTAAGTTTTAATAGTTGGTAGTGAGTTCGCCTTCGGTTTCTTCATAATCCCGCATGTATCTGACTCGCTTCCAGGGAGACCCCTTTAAGAATGATGCTGGACAGTCTTGCATTTTCGTTGCTAGTCTAATGTATGGAGTTTAAAGCATGCGCCAGAGCATGGAGGGTCTGTTCCTTGGTCGACCGGTAGGCGTTTGTCCATAGCGCTTGTTCATTTTGGACAAATACATCAATCTGAGTGACAGTCTGTCTGACCGTGGTGTTGTCAACCTTGGGAGAATGTCTCGTACTCTCTAGTATCTTTTCTTCTGTTTTGGGTCGATATTCTTCGACACGAACGATGAACCACCTCAGCTATGTCATCTCCGAAACAACTGGCCTGTTTCATGGTGGATTTAATGCATCGTAGCCTGAGTCTGGATATGCAATTTTTTTTTTTTTTTGTTCACGGAATTCAGTGGTGCAAACCCCTACAGCCAACATCGTATCCTACACTGAAGTCAGTGAAAATTTCTAACCCAAGTGCTCCTGATGAACAGCACACTTACCTTCGAGTCCGTAATAATGCCGCTCGTTTATGTTGCCTAGCTTCTAAAATGGTCGATGGCAAATTCTGCGAAGGCAGTCTTGAGATATCATGATAAGAATATCTAGGGGACCCTGAAGAAGCTTCCTGAGGCTAACCGAGGAAGATGTCTCTAGAAAGAAGAAATGGAGCCAAAAGGGCACCGCCGGGGTGCTGATCTGGGAACGGGTTGGAATTCATAAGGCATCGCATCAAGATATCGATCACGCGAAGCTCTATGGGCGAGTTTGTTGAGTCTGATTGTCGTCACGATTAGGAGCCAGCTTGAGGAGCCGATCAATCACCTGCTGTAATGCACTCACTTAGCACCGATTTTAACTTTGCCGCGTCGATTATTGGCTAACGCTTCGACATGTTCGTCAATGATAGACTGGTTCGCCTGAAGGACTCAGCTGGGGCAAGTCGACAATAGCTACAAACGCCAGTCCTAGAGAAGTCTTTGCGAGTAGTAGGTCGGGCACAGAGGAGAATAACTCATCACCATCCGACTTTCGCTTTGGCAAAGAGCCCTCGGACATAACTTCGTCAATGAGTATATCCGAAAGAGTATGGGGTGTAGGAAGACACAAGAAAATGCCGCCGCGAAGTGGAGACTTTATAGCCAAGACCGATGTCGGCACCCGTCTTAGCTTCGCGATGTGAAGCGCTACTGCGTTGTCCAGCCAATGAGAAATCAGGATCTGCTTTTCCCACGAGACTAGCGGTTATACTAAAGTTAGTGCGGCCCGCTCCATCCCCGCATTTTGATCTGGCTTACCGAAGTACATATATACAGACTGTTTATCCTAACTACGGAGAGTTCGCTAACCGTTTGTACTTTCCACAGCATTGACTTAAATTCGCAACATTTCAGTACTAATGAAATGAACAAGAGGCTGTCATTGTATGTCATATTCCAAGTTTATCAAATCTGACACGAGGTGCTATTCCTAGCCAAAGAGAAATAAAGAACACCCATGCTTTGTCAAGTTTCAGCAAAATCCCCTTGAAGTATCAAAACCAAACCAGCCCCTAAGTGGGAGGAGTCTAGAATTTTGTAAAATCATCGAAGCAAGCAAATACAGAGTCACAATGGTCGACAGCAGCAGCAAAACAATAAACAATCCCAGCAACCATACAGAGCAACGTAGACGACGGCTTCAAGAAAGGCGAGTCTGTGATCGAATCTTCAGCGAACTTGCATATGATACTATCCCATCACAGCTAAGTGAAGATGACATCCGCAACATCCTCTTAGTACCGGCGGAGAAGCGAGACGAGCTTTACCGAGTGTATGATGCAGATACTGTGTATCAGTATGTTCCTCGCATACATGATGATTTTATTATCGATCTTGATCGAGCAAGAGATGTCCTCTATCATGCTATGGAACTGGTACTCCATGAAAAATTGAAAAAAGTTGATGGGTACGATGTTCTCACGTCTTTTTGCCCAAGTCTCGAAAGCTAATACACCCTACTTTGGTTACGGTCTCTATAGATACGCTCATCTGACATAATCTAAGCTACCTGATGGTCACTGGAAATATGTGGTGTCCTATTGGCGTGGAAAAAACTTTACTCTCCCCGATTCTCTGGAGGACGTCCCCATCATTAGTACATGTGAGGACACGGCAGACGGCCCGTCATCAGAATTTAGGTGGGAGCGTTTAACACCGGCTAGACCTTATCGTGATCTAGAAATAATAAGTTTATTTTATCGATTACTCCACTACAAGCGCCATTTTTCAGCATTAGCTCTGTTGGATTCATTGGCATCCTTGACCGAGGCAGCGTTCAAACCCATGTCCTTGGGACAGTTGGCCATACCATAGACTCCAATGATGAGGGTATATGCAACGTTGGAACTAATTCCGAGGACCCGACACAGATGGTGCAATTGCAACCAATTGATGAATGCGAACGCGTTTGGGACGATAATGACGAAGGAATACGCAAACGGAAGTTCCGGAAATCGCGTCCTTTTAATCCTTGCCTGGATGAGATTTGCCTATTCTCAGTGGATGATTGCCCGAGGATCATCCATATCGCGCTCAATTATTTCCATTGCCGATTAAATGCAACTTGCTTTACACTATTCCTCGCGAGCTGCGGGGTTCTATTCCAGATCATATAATTGACCATTCCCCGTGAATGCCTGATAATATCTCCTATCTTATCAAATCACTACGAAAGCTTATGCCGATGATCGTGTACAAGATAGGGGTCAGAACCGGAGTAACAGCTGGAGTGATGATTTCTATTCGACCTTATAGTCAATGCAACAGAAGCGTTGTTGTCGATGACGATGCCCAAGCCTTACTATCCAAGAAGGATGACTTGCACTGCATGGTTACTCAATGGTTTTCGGCAGGCGAGCCTTTTGCCGACGAGGGTGATTCTGGAAGCCTCGTTTTTGCAATACATGAAGAGCAAATAGTGCCCCTTGGAATACACTTTGGCTCTGTTCGTGTCAGACAGGAGAGCTATGCTTATCTGCTGTGGTATTGGTGTGCAGAGTTGGAGAATTCACTGGACAGTGAACTTCTATTCTGTCACTCTGAATGTGCAAGTTCTGCGGCGTCTACAAGCTAGCTTGGTTTGTACCGATCAAAAGGAATCTTGGATTTGCGTAATTGTGATTGGTGACTCTGTTATATGGATAATGTATAGGGGTATAGCATCTAGTTTACAAAAGCATGTTGAAAAATTCCGATATCGACAACACAAGCTGATAGTGCCACCCGTCGAGCTTGCTCTCACTGCCGTCATCAAACGCATGCTCGCTCGGCTGATCGTCCTCCTCCTTAATCAGTATATAATCTTGAATCAACGCCGTGCCATTGACAATAGTTTCAACCTCTTCATCCGTGCATGTCTCCCACAACGCGAGAATGTAACATATCGGTTCTGGCATCGGGGGAGCCTCATTCTTGACCTCCCACGTACTCGACGGGCCTTCTGTGGCGTAAGTAACATTTTCCACCGTAGATATTTTACCCGTAGCAATATCCAGGTTCTCCAGGGACCGATTGAAAATGGCGAATGCAGTTTCGGGCTGATAGGCTGGCACTTCATGGCCGGCCTGATATACACGCGTAAAGGAGAAGTTGCCATATTGGCGAACCTTTCCGCCAATAAATGAAGTATTCGTATACAAATCAGCGTAACCGGCAGATCGAAATTGGTCGGCATCGCTGTAATCCACGGCCACACTGACTTCTTCGCCTCCTATCCAATTGCACGCATAATCACGATCGCCATAGACGAGAGCAACCTTGATACCTTGATCCAGGATATAGGCGATGTCTTCGACATAGCCGAGAACGTCGGACCGTGCATAGTCTCCTGTATCTTGAAAAGCATTATACACGGATTCAATGCTCTCGGACCAATTCACTGCAGCACCTATTGCTCCAAGGACCCAACGCTGACTTAAATATCCTTTAAAATAATTCGGTGGGAAGGGGTCAAGAATGTTGTGAGCTATGTCGTAGTAGCCCCTGTCTCCAAAGTCAAGATAAGGTCCCTCTAATGCATTACTGCAGTACTCAGAGGCGTTAGCACATATACCGTTGACCGTCTCGTTATTTCCAAAACTGAGTGGATCACCCACGGATGCCGCAGTACGACATTCCAGGATCTGGTCCCTACACCCGCCTTCCTTGTTCCACGCATCAACAGCCTCTTCGTAGACAGTTCGGTTGATGGTTTCAATACCATAGGTATTATTGTACGCAAAATCCGCATAACTGAGCTCCTGCAGCAACAGGTCGACACAGCCATTGATGATTCCCAAAGTATCCAAGTGAATATAATGCCCTTGAACACTCCCGTCTGCAATTTTTTCATTTTGCTGCTGAAAAAATGCAGTGAAGCTTGGACCGTAGCGCCCACCATATGACTCCGTCCAGAGACTCACTCGATCATCGATGGGTTTATACTCTGGAAATTCAGTGAGCCAAACCTGGGCAAATTCCCACAAGGATCTTGCTGCATTCTCGGTATTATTGGCTGTTGAGCGCGGGCCTTCAAAAGTGGGGAAAGTGCCGGGATAGAAAGTGTTATTATATTCTGGGATTGCTGCGCCGTCTTTCAGCGGCTTAAGCTCTCCCGTAAACGTGTTAAGAGTCCCGTTTTGAGGCTTATCATAACTGAACCCGACTTGATTTGGTTGATCGATATAGATAACATTGGCATAATTATTCCACGAATACGGGTTCAGTTCCGTCGAATTTGAGTCCGAATTGACTGTACACGGGCCGTTTTCCTGAAACAGACCGATCATTGACGAAGAGCCAGGACCGCCGTTCATCCATATCGACAGCGGGGCATTGGCTGGGTCGTGGCGGGACTCGAAAAACCAGAAGAAAGTGTTGATAGAGTAGTCTTGGTCCAGACCTACGCCCTTCAGCATATGCGGCGGAAGATGAACATAACCCGAGAATGACTTGACATTTGGCGTGGTCTCGCAGATGCCTGGCTGTAGAACGTTAAGTCATTAAACGAGCACTAGCATCGCAGGTGGTATACTAACTTCCTTGTAGGAAATGGTCACACCCTCGGTCACGTTGGATTTGATGATAGTGAGCCCCTCGGCAGGAGGAGGGAAATACTGCGCCGATGCAGTGACAGCTAGACCGGCAGCTGTGAGGACTGCGCGGATCATGTCGCGTGCTATATTGAGTGAAACTGCAGAATAACGATTGAAACAAGAAATCAGAATAAAGTATAAAAAGCTAGCGAGTGACCAGATGATGCGCCACTATCATGGCATGAAGTTAACGAAAGAGAAAGAGCGACGGGTTGTTGAGCGTGAGGTTGGCCCGGAGGTCCTCAGTCGGACCCGGCGATGTTTAGTCTGGCTTATCTTTATCGCCAAGCGTCTTATCGAAGCCCGATAAGCATCAATTTGCTACTTGGATTTATTTTGATACTGATTACTTGCTTGTGAGTAGGGGAATTCATTGATGAACTATACAATATTACAAGTGAATTGCATCATGTGCATTCAAGGAGGAACAACTCCAAAAACCTATCGTTTAAGGGTTTCACGTCTGACTTAAAGCTGCTATCCCATGCGCACCTTCAACAGATAGCGCTGGCGAATCTGAGCAACATCGTATACAATGTACTCATTGTAAAGCAGATGCCAGGCTTTATTTGACGCACCCAGTCCAGCAGTCACATCGGGCATCAAAACTCCCTGCAGGCTTGGGTGTACACAGCCGGCGTCTTTCCAACCAAGCGGTACTGTTGCGCCCAATCCTAGTGTCGCCAACTTACCAGCAGCTTTTGCATCATCTCCAGCAGTGAAGCTCGCGTGTTGGAGTTCATGCATTGGGTCACCTAACTGCACTTCACACAAAAGAAGCAATCCGATATTCCTGCTTGAGTGTGAGGCGCAATACCCAGCAGATTTACTCGAGATATCGGCAAGGTAAACACCCTTTCCAAACATGTATCCGTTCACGGGGGCTTCTGGTGGCGCAATGCGCAATCCCTGACTAAGGATACCACCAAAATTGGTGGTGCGAGAGCCATGCCACAGAAGCCGACGGTTGTTATTCGGGGTTTTTGTGAAGCCGGCGTCTTCAAAACGCTTAGACTCGCCGTTGCGTTCTATACGGAAGATGTCTTGGAGCTGTTATGCTTGTCAGAGGGAAAGAGAGTTTAGAGAGTTAATGATATGGTGCATACTGTGTACTTGTAGCCATGGGTTGGTCCGTATGCTTCCAACAGGTAATTTTTCAACTCCGAGAATTCAGTTGATGTTTTCGACACTGCAAAACTTGATTAGTTCCTTCACTTGAAAATGTACCAGAGTGCAAGTCTCACAGGGCGTCATTTCATCCAGGTTAAGGCCCTTGAACTGTTTATCCAAAAGATGAACTTGATCATCGGTGAGCGAATCCTTGAAGATCTTATTTGAGATTTCCATGTCTGTCAAGTTGTCGAGCAATTCAACTTCCTTTTTCAACAGAGACGAATGTGCAATCACCGGAGGTCGATTCCGACCAAATGCATGCGGAATGATGGTGAAATATCGGTTACTGAGCAACTCTAATGCAGATGTGTAAGTCCTTCCATATCTCTCCGTGGCAAGAGATGAGTCATTAATCAACTCCGATAGCTCTTTCAGCACCTCAAAGCCGGTTTGCAGTGTGCGTTTGCTAAGCTTGCCTAGTGGCAGTTTATTTGCGTCGAAGTTCAAGTCTTGCAGCGCTTGGAGAGCATACTCCTGGTTGAAGATAAGTGCCACGAGCTGCTGGACGGGTTCGGAAAGTGTGCTTTTGACATCGTCAAGCTTCACGTCTTCCGCTTCATTTTCCTTCTTAATTATGCCGTTGTCACCACCATTCTTGTCATCCTCGTCATCATCCTCGTAGTCAATCTCCACAAAGGTGTATTTGCCATCTTTTGGTGTATCTAGTCTGTTGGGCCATGGAAGGCCGGACTTCTCTCTGAATTTCTTCTCAAATGCCCTTTTTGCACTCGCAAAGTCTCCTGGTCCAACCATGGCACCGGAGCCAGTTTCACCGACTCGGCCCCAGCGTGTCCAAGTAGCGTACTGGTCTGTTTTTTTGGACTTCAACAACTGAATACGATAAAACTTGTTGTTATTATTGCTAGAAACAGTTAGGTTGAGCGAGGCATCCTGTTTCCGTTATTAGAGCTGAAGTCATTGGACTCTAGATAGAAGATGCGTACCCAAATAACTTCTTCTTCGTCAATGTAGACATCGAACGCAGCTTTATGAATTATTAGCCAAGGCCATAAACGTAGCTAGTTACCACGTGCATAGGATCCACTGACAGCCATTTTTGCATGCTTCATCCACAGGAATATTGAGCTTTTTCTTCTCCTCTGTTGGCTTTTCTCGCAATTTCTTTGCTGGGGGTTCTTCCGCATCTACAGTCGATTGGCCGCGGCGTTTCTTATCGACCTCTGCTGCGGGTGCCGATGCTACGCCCGAAGACACCGCTGAGTCTGTCTGGCTAAAAATATATTTCTTCTCTGTGGCTTTTTTCTTCGCTTTCTGCGAGTCAAGGAGCCAGTCAAGTGAGACAATCTGGCAATTGTCGACTAAGCAAGCTTGCTTGTCTATGAATGCAACTCAGTAACATAAAGGAACATCGCGAGATGCGAAGTACTCACATTTGGACCCATTACCATCCACCTCCTTCGACGTAGTGACAAGATGCGTACACTCGTTAGTCACTTTGGAGTTGAAAGAGCCGCCTCCAATTTCAACGATAGTCTTCAGGTCCGCTATATAAACCGAGAACGAAGAGGGTAAAATATGATTTTAGTCTCTTTCCTCCTTTATTGCAACATCTGTCTTATATGTATAGGACATGGTGTTAGACGGTGGCTGACCTTGCTTGTATCCAGAGAAGGTACCGCTGGCAACGACCACCAGACCCCTGAATGGTGCCGGAGGCATTATTCAGATAGTGCGCTAGTATTATCTTAAATAGCGACGAACAGTCGTCAGGCTATGAGATCAAGGGCAAAAGGACAGAAAGGAAGATAACGGGAAGAAGAGAGGAGAGAATGAAAATAAAATGAGACAAAGCGAAGAGGGAATACGAATTACTCCTTTTTATAGATGGAAGAGCCGCATGCCTAACTTGCCTAGGCAGGCATTGCTGCCTGCGGAATGGGGCGTCCCGCTTGGAGCCTTAGGCTTAGTTACATAGTGCCTAGGCTTTGTTTGCATAATGACCTAGTCTTAGACGCTGGACAGACTAATACTTTGTAGATGCAAGTAAATTGAATTTAAAATATCAGATAAATCATTAACGAAAAAGTCATGCTAACTACATCTGAAATCATAACATCATTCCCACTTTCCATCATACACGTATGTCCATATGCATAACAACACCAACATTAAAAGAATAACAGCATATAATATGACGACGTCGCCTTATACTGGGGGAATCCAACATGCAAAACACAAAGAGCCCAGTTAGTAAAATCAAAGGAACCCGAAACAGTTACCCAGATAAAATAACCCATTGTTTGTCTGTGAACAGGACAGGAGACCACGCCTTGCTAAACCCCACCAGCCACTAGTAACACCTCAAGAGTTTTGTATCTTAGTTTTGTGATTTTTCTAATTTTCTTTTCCCGTCTCGTGCTTTTCCAAATCGAGGGCTTTGAGTTCTTCGACAGGCGAAGTAGGCGTTGAATGAAACTCGTCTTTATCGATTCCTGGAGAATCTTTGTGAATTTCCATTTCGAGCTCGGATTTCGGTTCTTCAGCGGAAAGAATGGCATCTGGGGTGGTAGCATCTGGTGAGATTTCTTTGGTTTCTTCTTTTTCTTTCTTTTCTTCCTCCTGAATCTCTTTCTTCTGAGTTTCTTCTTGCTTTTCTTCTTTCACGTCTTGTCGAGTTTCGTCGACATGATCCTCCTTATAGTCACTGTCCACCAAATCTACTGGCGCTAGAACTGCGGCAGCCAAGGTAGACGGAGACAATGGCTCAGGAACGAGTGGCTCCTGAGTGGATGGAGACTCAAGTCTGCGAACAGGGTTTCGGGGAGGAAGAGCAGGCGGAATTCGTTTAGGAATCGTCACCAGTCGTGGACGCGTGAAATTTGAACCGGAATCTTCGACCGGAGTGGATAGAATTGAGCGCACAGACTCGCGCTTGGAAACTACGCTGTTGCTGGCGTCGTGGATTTCAAAATCATTGCTATCCTCGAGTTCATCATTATCCTCGTGGACGTCGTGGTCCTCTGAAGTATCTGGAGTGTCCCATGGGTTTTCTGAAGGCGACTCTGCCGCATTTCGAAGACTGCGAGATGACGCAGCACTTTCTGAACGGGGCGGATGAGAGGGTTTGATATCTGTAATTTCTGTTTGGGTTCCTCTGTCTACACTAACGTAGCTCTTCGTACTCTGCACGCTGGCCCGCCAACTTTGGCGCGGCGACGACATATCAATGCTTTGTCTAACGAATGAGTTATAAATTGGACTTGAAGGGCTAGGACGGAATTCAAAGACCTCTGAATTTGGACGGTTATGTGTCCCTGCTTCTCGAATGAACAGACCTTGGTCCTCTAAAGCATGCACTCCGTATGGGTCAGGGTCTTCGGCCGCTGGGATTCCAAACCCTTCCTTGCTATCAGCAATGAGAGCATCGCCAGGGGTCTGGCCAGATGGCAATTCATGTTCGCTGACGTCTCGATCGCCTTGGGCGGCCTTGATAGTCTGCATAAGCGTGCGAATGGAGTCTGGTGGACGCGTGACTTTGCCGGCTAGAATTTCATGCACCGACAACTTTCGTCCATAAAAGCGCTCGTTCTCGTCCGTCCTTTCGATGATGATGGTTCCGTCCACTTGAACACCTGCATAAAAGCCACGGCTTTTCATATAGGTCCAGATCGGCGCTTGTCGTTTGTGCACCTCGCTGTCGAGGATGCCGCCTGCGCCCACGGGTCCAGCTGTTACGCTCATTTCTCCGCCTAATGTAGCCCGGATCTTCTTGAACCCTTCGAGGGCCTCGTATGTGTTGATAATGACGACACAGTCGTAAATGTCAACGCCTACCAAGAACCCAAGGGCTGCCGTGTGCAGTAAAATACCGGAAGGAGGGCTCCATTCGCCAGTTTCTGGTACACGAGCCATCAGGATACCACTACCACCAGCGCCACTGAACCACAGACCAGTACGCATGGTTGTAAAGATGGCAATTCCTTTTGCATTTTTGATCACCTGGGTTGGAATCTTGACTAGCACTCGTTGCTTGCCTTGCGGGCGATCGATCTTGGCCTTTTGACCATACTCTTCCTCCAGCTGTAATTTCCGCTGCTCCTCAATGGCCGCCTCGGCGTCGACCTGCTCGTAAAACCCATCCTTGCAGAAACTCCTGAGAATACGAGCCGCTTTCTCGCTTTCTTTGTCTAGTGTCGTCGGCCAAAATGCCTCGGAGCCGATGCGATTGGACAGGCGATTCACGGGGGCGCCCAGCTTATCCAGAGTCTTGAAGGCTTTGTCGAAGCCCTTTTTTCCGTATCCGAGACCCTTTTTGGAGTAGTCTTTCCACGAACTCCGTTGCGACATTGTGTAGAGAAGAGCCTAGGGATAGTTCCGAGACATCAGTATGTGGGCCGCAAAGCGACTTACCCTCCGCGAAACGGAAGGATTATTGCTGACCGTGCGTCTCAGGAAGGAACAAGAGCAAAAGGCAGAAATAAGACGGTCTTTAATACTGCTCTGCAAATGCGACAAGACGCGGCGAGAGGGTGCTTTCGGAGCAATTGCCTGCCAATGGGGCGCGTGAATGCAACCTTGAAGAATGTACCGTATCAGTCAGCTATTTGAAACCTAGTTGGCGATTGGAATGTTGTAGCCTCGGAATTAAAGGGAGTACACTTACAGAAAGCGTATGTATATATACGATATACAAAGAATCGGAGGATACGTTGCTAGAAGATGGTCAGTCAGTCTGCCATTGACTGATGGCTAGTAGTAAATCCGGCGGGGTCTCACATATCGCGGTGACGCAAGCAGCGCACTCAGCGGAACGGCTATGTGTATTACTAAGTATATAGACCTAGATATTCTCTTGTCGAGCAAAGTGATGGAAAAGGAAAGGAATAAAAAAATAGAATAATCGAAATCCACACAGAGCTGGCCAGCCTTGGTTGTCAGGCTGCCGTGGCCTTTTTAAGACGAGGATTGCATCCGGGTCAGCCGGGATGAATAATGTACGCTGTACAAGTACAGGTTCGCTGCTAATCTTGGTAATAATGCTTGTTCTGCGGTCCAACTTCTGGGGATAAATCTGCAGTGTGGCGCAGCAGAGACATTGTCACTACCCCTCGGTGACGTTGGTTGGATGCCGTGTTGCGCCGAAATGCCGCGACATATCCGATCATTACATTTTTCTATACACTGCTTACTTTTACACCAAGGATCGTCATCAGACATGAATTCTATGCTCGTCTAAAGAGCCCCCAGTTCCTTGAGCTTAGAGACCAGTCCGTCAACATCCTCGACCTTACCGCCGCCTTGCCTTGGGGGTGGTTCTATGAAACAACCGAGTTAGAATGTAGTCAGAAGAAAGGGAAAAAAAAAAAAAAAAAAAAAAACAAAGATCAACACTCACCTGTAACCTTGATAGTCTTCAGGCGTCGCTTATCCTCCAAGCCAAAGTCCGCCAGCGATTTCTTCTCGAGAGGCTTCTTCTTGGCCTTCATAATGTTGGGTAGACTAGCATATCGTGGCTCGTTAAGTCGGAGATCAGTGGTAATAACAATGGGCAGCTTGGCCTTTAGCGTCTCGACACCGCCGTCGACTTCGCGAGTGACCTCGACAGTGCCGCTCTCGTCTTTGATGTCGACTTTGCTGGCCTGAGTCGCCTGCGACCAGCCCAGCAATCCCGCCAGCATTTGTCCCGTTTGTCCCTGGTCGCCATCGATGGCCTGCTTGCCTAGCAGGACCAAGTTGATATTTTCCTTCTGCACGACGCCCTGTAGCAGCTTCGCGATGGTTAATGGCTCGGGCCCGCCATCGGCGGATTCTGGAACATCGATGTGCAATGCCTTGTCGGCTCCCATCGCCATGGCCGTGCGCAGGGTGTCGGCGCATTTTGCGCCACCGGCCGAAAGGGCCAGGATACTGTCGACTTTTAACGGACCTTTTCTCTCGCGAAGGCGAACGGCTTCCTCGACGCTGATTTCATCGAACGGGTTTAGAGAGTGTTTCACGCCTGCTGTCTCTACCCCGGTCTGTGTTTTGTTGATGCGTGGTTTGATCTATATGAAACGTAGCATATTAATCAGTCAGGTCATTGAAGTAACGGGCATCAATGCGATGCAGCCGAGGCTCTGGCTATCCATCACAAGGGCTGGCGAAAACACAACTCACTGCGTAGTCAATCACCCGCTTCACGGGGACCAAAATCCTCAGACTGCTGGCCATGGTTGGTGAAAATAAAGCCAGTCAGCTAGAGTGAGTGCTGCTTTACCTGGGCGGTTGCGGTAGCCAGGACGCTTTGAAGCTTGCTTTGTCGAGACAAAAGAGCGGCGTCGGCCTCGGCAAGAGCAAAAGAATGCTGCCTCAGGCTGCCCTTGCCTTGTACTGCCGAGCCGCCGAGTGGACCGACAATACCCGCGGCCGCCGAAGTCGCTGCTTGTGCTCTGTCAACCAACCTCCTGATTCAATCAATTCTCCCTAGGATCACTGATCAGGCCTTGAGTTGAATATTACTCTGTGTGCACTCCCCCCGTAGACTGACAGTGGTGTACTCCATGTACAGTAGGTCTCATTGCCGGGAATAAATTAGCACGTGAGTTCTATATCAGCAGCAAACGACACATTGAAATATAAACAACATCCATGGATTCCTAGGTAAAACTTCTATTCGTGATAACAATCCGTGAACACTAACAGTTGTATGCTTCGTGACAAGAACAAGTCTCACGCCTAACGCAATGCCTTCCAAGTGACCGCATACTTGCTGTTGTTATTCCCCTAATATCTAGCCAACAATTATTCGCACGTCAACAAAGTGAAGACACAGCAAGGGCGATTCTACAAAGAATCGTAGGGCTCCAAAATATATCCCCAGTTAGCAAAGCCAATCAGGCCAACCAATAGATTCGGCCCCGCGATATTCCACAACAAATAGTGTGTCGCATTTGTACATTTGTCCTCGGAATCATGCTATCGACCACTCATTTGGCGCCGGGATTATTACAGGTCAAAGCTATCGTCGGTATCGAAGCCTTCAGTTCGGCCTGGAAATAATAGTAGCTATACCTGCTTCGGCTGTTATGTTGCCATCCAATTGGGGTCATGGTGCTTTTCCTAATAGTCGTAGCGAATCTTATGATGCCTTTTTTACCTATCATCAGTGGCTTTACTACGGTTATATATTTCTGCCGCTTCACAACACGCCCCCCACTCCTCTTCATACTCGAGGACATCTACATCGCCTTAATCGCAATAAAATCATTTTTTTTTGTATTTCCAGGAGAAAGCGGAATATGCCAACTACCCAGGTACCCAGATAGAGTAAGTAATAATTCATATTTAGATCACAAGGTTCTCACCTAGGTATATATTCAAGTCGGAGGATGTCCCCAACCATAATAAAGAGGTGATGAGACACACATACATAATTAGACATTGCAGACACATACCATGATTTTTGGCTTTCTTATAAAACCATACCAACTCAGACTTCCCATAACCCAGACCTTCGAACATAAAATTGAAAGTTGCCAGAAGTGATAGAGGCAAGACCAAGTGCTGAAGCTAAAAGGCTTAGTATATATTTTATATTCTGGCGAATCTTGTCACCTGTGGCTTTATATCAGCTGGGAGATAGTTAGACTGAAGTGGGCCTCTCGGGGTTTATCCAGATCATCTAAAAGTCGTGTGTTCGAGCCACACAAGCCACATTTTTTTGTCCAACCTTTTTTTTTTTTTTTTTTTTTTTTTTTTTTTTCCCATGTGATTCTCCGTGTTAACTCTATATCAGTTTCGCACTGTACATACCTAGATATAAATATCTTCTAAACCTATTTGGCATTCGTTTACTTTCTCCCATCTCCTTATGATACCGACACCCCGGGGACATCTTCCAATTCCATGGGATATATAGCCTAAGGATAGTTGGCATGGTCAGAAGGGACCGCTGGGACATCGCCCTTCCACTGATCCGATGTCATTTTTATCATCTGGCCGCCCATTTTCCGTATGGCCTTGTAATAATCCTGTGCATCGGGATTTGTCACGGCCCCGTCACTGAATGGGAACGGCGTAGGCGATCGCAGTCCCTTGACGAAGGCAGGTCGCTGGGCCAGTTTGTCGTGCCACTCCTTCACATGAGGAAACTCGGCGATGTCCACGCCACACCATTTAGCAGAGTGCGCGAATACAAATATTGCGATGTCCGCAACCGTCAGGCGGTCACCGGCAACAAAGGGATGGCTGGACTGGGGAAAAAAAAAGTTTCGAGAGTTATTGTCTTGGTCTCCAAATGAAAAGTATGCGAGGTAAACTCTTACCAGCAAGTCGTTCAATACTTGATTAAGCCGTCGAGACTCAGCCGTGTAGCGCCAGGCGCCGTATGGCACTGGCTCAGCAGCGTATCGGTTGAAGTGACATGCTTGACCCATCATGGGGCCATAGCCAGCGACCTGCCATGAAAGCTATACAACAGGACGGACATTAGTTCGTTGTTGTTGGCTTTTTTCTGTGGCTGAAATTGGGGGGGAGGTGGATGGGGTTTCTTACCCATGACAGCTGCGCCCAGTAACCCTCAGTCCCATGTGGATACGAGATTTTGTGCTCCTTGTCGAACTCACTAGCGATATACAGCAAACAGGCAGCGCTTTCAAAGACGGATACAGAAGTACCATCCTCCTTGACGTGCACGATTGCAGGCAGGCGCCCGTTCGGGTTGATTGCCGTGTACCATTCAGTCCGTGTCTCGCCAGCCGCGAGATCCAGGCTGATATAGTTGTATGGAACACTGTTTGTGAGGTCAATCAGCTATAATGCCTGAGTAACTTATATGCGGTAGTAAGAACCTACCCAAGCTCCTCCGCGGCGATGGTCAGCTTGTACGGGTTCACGGCCGCAATACCATAGATATTGAGACCAGGCTTGGGAGATTTTTCAGGCGGAGCAGCAGCCATTGTGACAAAGCAGTATGACTCCTGATAGAAGAGCAACGTAAAGGCCAAAAAAGAATATCGTTAGTTGGACAGACACGGAACAAGTGGCTTCCTTGTGTAATAAAGCATGGAGTTGTTGAGTCCTTGACGATTACAGATCGCCTGTTATATAGTAGCAATGGTCACTCAACAGCTTACAAATTTAATTCTAGTAACCAACTATTTAACGCAGTGCCATTGTACTCTGTATATAAGCACTAAACACGGAGCTGACGTGTAAGATTATAGCAACCCAATTAAGCTCGCAAGCCAACGCCTAGGTAACTGTATATCTGTTATGACTTGTTACTATAATAAGAAGTTGTGGGATCATAAATAGAGTATCATTTCAAGCCAAGTAGTTTTTACCTTGACTCTAGAATGAAACAGTCACTTAGAGGAATGCTGTTGCACAGTATGACTAACAAAATTGATTCGATTCAGCAGCTCAGCAATTAATTGTAAAAAGCCTAGGGAGCTAAAAGCTTGTTTGTACTAAGTCCATTATTCAGAGCTTCGAATTGGGCCTCATGGGTCCATATACGTCACTGGTTCTGCCTCGCTTGTATAAAAGTAAACAAGCAGCCCTTTGATTCGGAGAGTGAGTATAAACGAATTGTCGATACACGAGCATGGTTTATAGAGCTTGTCTCAGCGGGTGAGGATGAGTTGTATTCCTGGCAGAGAGCAGAACGCTGGGCAAGAAAAATTTAGCGAATCAGCCAACATATCAGTTGCCCAAAATAATCCTACCTAATTGCAAGAGAATATCTGTCAACTGTGTGTGAATCTTTGTTACCGGACGTAGTTCTTCCTCGCTTGGTTCAAAATCTGTACGTTCTAACGTAGGTAATGCATGACCAGGAAGTCGCTCCATGAGTATGTATGTGGCGTTGACTTTATTTCCGGGAGCAGATCGTATATCGTATGCATATACTTCCGGCACAGGAATGGTGCTCTTCTTTTTGATGTACTTCAGAGTCGCAGCATACGAAACAGAGATCTCTTCTGGTTGATAGCAGTTATGGGAGGGGTATGCGTGCAGGCCAAACTACCCCATCCGAGGATTTCAGCTCGTAGACGATATCGAATCCTGTTACAAAATTATTTAGTGAAGAGAAAAAATATTTGCCCATACAAAGCGTATTCAGTACCTCCAATCGTATGATTACCCAAAGAGCAGGAGACCCCATTTTGAAAGAGGGAGGCAGTAGCGCAGAGCTCATCCAGGAGGATCGTCTCAACAAACCGCTCCAATTCGGGCGTATGATCTTTACTCACCATATTCGTAATTAAGTATAGAAATGTTGTAGAGTTTCAAAATGTTTCGTCTTCTCTCTGAAGGCCGAGAAATCCTCTCAAGGACTCTACCCCCGCGGCAGTGCTAGGGTAACTGGAGTACGCATTTGTTTAGTTAATCAAATAATCTAAGACCTGCTTAATACCGTAAAAACTAGGCTTTTTACAACAACTCTAGATGCTATAATTCCACAACGGGCTTATGCCTCCGGGAACCCTGGCATCAAAAAGCTAGTTGGCTATGATGTCAACATCAACTGGCCCAGCTGCAAACCCAATATAGCGAGCATCAATAGCGAAATAAAAACACCAAAAAACCCAGTTCCCCAAAATATACACCACGACCGATAATCCCTGCGATCAACCCATAGCTGCCGTAACGTATTTGGCTGGCGAGAATCCAGATACGTCTTAAGCCGGCGAAGCCGAGACGCAAAATAGGGGAACCGCACGAAGGACTCCATATCTTGAAAGTTATTTTCCATCACGGAAGTTATCATGAATTTGAGATCCTCTGGATAATTTGGTGCAAGCTCCAGAATCTGTTGCATTGAGGTTGATGTTACTCTATGCCGGTCCAGTAGATTATCGATTCCCTTGACGGCTCTGGATGGATCCGCAATATTTAATGCAATTTGTGCGCTTGGTAGATATGAACAACGGTAAAAGCTTTCCGAGAGAATGTCTTTGGTGGGACTCTGTACGGGGTTGATGTCTAGTATTTTTGATGCGTCGACAACTTTTCCTTCGTCCCAGCGCGGTATAAATCGATGGATTGGACGACCATTAAATGTCACACATCTGTGCCATGGTATCTGCTGGTTCTCTCCAGCAACGACGTAATATTTCAGGCGTTTGAGGGTGCGAGATGATGCTGGACGAAACAAAAGGGCGTAAGTGAGAGCTAGCTCGTAGTATGTTGGTTCCATATAGTCTCGCTCATTCCTTGAGAGAAAAGGAAAACAAATTGGGTCAGCAGATATCACCTATCTCTTTCCGAGACTTGGTACTTACTGATGTAAATCAACATTGTTATAGAAAAAGGTGGGATGGGCGAAGATTCTGATAGCATTCCGACCTGTATATATCTTTAAATGTTCATCCAAGCAATCTGTCCATTCTATATTCAAGCCTCCAAAGTCCAGTAGGTATGATACGGTGAAAATCTCCGGTGAAAACACTGAGCTTGTATTCTCTTCTAGAGGTAGCTCTGGAAAGTTATTGATGCCGATAGTTGCCTCTCTGTGAGTCTCCACAAGTTCAAAAATCGTGTGGACCGTTTTAGACTTGTGTCGCATATAAAACAGTAGGCATAAAGGCTCTCTGATTTCCCGGAATTTCCTAGTAAAATCCAGAGCAGTCAGGCAGTCATATAATAGATCAAAATGTTTCTCGTAAGTGTCGACGTCGCTGGCATCTGGCTGATTAAGGATTCGGCGTGCGTAGCATTGACGAAGAAGCTTATCCATCGTCACAGAGGCGTAATTACCATACTGTAATGCGCGGGCTACAAGCGCCAGCACACTCACAGTTGTGGGAGCACTAAAGGGTCTTTCTTCAATTTTATCCTGACCACAAGCGCTCACGATATATATCTGCCTGCATGCAATTCGGACAAGAATAATGAGTAGACGAGGAAGACGAGAAACTTCGAAAAGCATACGCGATCTTTCGGGAGATCCTCCAAAACGGGACATTCGATATACTTCAATTCCGAAGATTGACTCAATCAGGAGATCGCGAGATTGTGTGAGGACAGACTTGTCAAACAAGGCATTCTTGTCGTCCTCACGCCATCCAAGGAGACGATAGATCTCCTGAAACCGGTCAAAAGCTGACGTATATGCTTGAATAGCAGCTTCCTGTTCTGACGATGTTGATTCATCGATCTTCTTCCAAAAACCTATCATGTATGTATGTAAGTTATCACTGTCTCTGACAGGGTGTCGGTTGTGTGAAACGAACCTTCGTACTTCTGTGCGTATTGTTTATTCTCCATCTCAATTTTGTCTATAGGCATGAGCTCTATTTTTTCCCAGTCCATTATCTTCTCTGGACGACCCTTGCTTATTTGCTCGTAGAGTGTGTTGGTAACCTCATCCTTCGCCTTTACTTTTGCCCGCAATTTATCAGGATGAGAAGTGCGGTATTCTGAGGTGATGGTATTGCAGACATCCTGGACTGATGCTGTTAGTTCACGTAGAGACTTAACTACATCCTGATCTGTAGTCTCGCTGTCGTTGGCTATCATTTTGACCCGTTTGATTGAACAAATTCGATGGGTGTCAAAATCCTCTTGTTGCCGGATTTTCGCATGGCAAGTGAGGACAAGCAATTGGAACGTGGTGCAGGCGGGGTTTTATATAGCGTGCGCCTAGTTTATATTTGGTCACCTAAAATAGCTCAACGGATTTATCAACATGTAAGCAGTAACTACTTTGAAACTTTATACCACTTGCGATTAATATCCTAATCCCTGAATACCCGGCGATCCAATCGTCCATCGCTGATACGTTGCCAGAGAATAAAATAATTACACGTGACTATAGCATTGTGATTCGCGGGTTTACTGTATTAATGATCGTGTTGCAATGGGGCTCACCCTGTTGCCAAGCCACTAAAGGCGGGAACGGCCCGAGTTCCGATTAAGTCTAGCCAACTATCTTGCCGACCAATCAGAACGGTGGTAAGTTATTTAATCTTGATCTTCTTTTATTTTATATTCGAGGGCAAAGCTTTGGAGTTTTTATGTTCTCTTCCTGCTGTTTCTTTTTGCTAGGGTTTCTATGCTAGAGTAAAAATTCTTCTTCTTTTAGTTAAGTTCGTCTTCAAGGTTCGAGAATGTGAACTTGATGTTCGTGAAAACAAGGAGAAAGAAAACTAACTGATTGGGCCTGGAAAACCTTTGCGATAGTCCCGTCAGGAGGTTGATAGGAATTAAATGAGTCAGAAAAGATTCTTGTGAGAAACTAAATTTCGTGGTGCGTTTTAATACATACGAAGGCATGCGGGGTGCCCATTTAGGAATTGAGGTAAGGGAGTTTTGATATAACCGTCTTGGGCTATCTGTGATCCATTTTGCGGTGAATCTTCGCATGTTAAAGCACAGTACTATGTACTTTTTTATTGAGCACACAAATAAAGCAATATAGAACTCAAACCACCTCGTTTAGTCATCTATTATAGCTGAATTGATATGTCCACCCGAGTATCGAGGTTTGTACCTATGTAAGTAACATACAACTTGGTATTAGGCTTTCCAGACAATTCCAAGAACTTTTATATACCTAGGTAGTCTCCACTGGACTTGGCATCTAGCCGGAACTCGCTTATGTCGGTTCCTAAAAGGGTACCGCATATGCCTTGGGATATATGAAAACGCACAATCCATTTATCTTCTCTGATAGATCAAATTTTCCATTGTTTTAACCAAACACATAAACGTATCTTGTGTCACCCCTCATCCATTTAGTTGCCCACGATGGCCTACGTACTTGAGCCAGAGATCGATCAACCTACGGCTGAACTTATTGTTCAGCTTCAACTTGAAGATGCTGCTTTTTACTTCGAATCGTCCAAAAGAAAATCTAGACATCCTACAAGCGAAGAAACAGCATTTCAATTACACAATGAGGAGTTGGATGGCGCTTTCCAGTTTCTCGCGGATAGACGGATGGCGATGAGTTTCGCGGCCGCGGTTCAAGCCGATGGACAAACTCTGGCTAACAGCCAAATTGAAGAAGATACTGCGACCAAAGACCGAGATATTGCTAGTCACTGGGTGGAAAATGGATCTCCTGTGACACTGGAAGACCCCCAAAAAGAATCAACGGCATTGGATGATGAGATTCTGGCTAAACTTCAGATCCTATACATGTCTGGTCTAGAAGGATACCATGCCATAGAGAGCGTGGAAAATACCAGCACAGAGATTGAGCAACCTGAATCTTCTACTTGGGCAGCCCAGCGGAATCGCCAATTATCACGACAATTGCATCGGTGTGTAGCTTGCAGAGAAGAAACAGAGTTCGTTAGGGTTTGCGCGTTCCCTGTGGCCATGAGTATTGTCTTTCCTGTTTGGAAGACCTCTTCAAAGCTTCAATGACAGACGAATCTCTATTCCCTCCGCGTTGCTGTCAAGAGCCCATAGTTATGAGCAAAGCTCGTATATTTCTCAAGTCCGATCTCGTACGGCAATACGAAAAAAGGAAGATTGAGTTTGAAACCCCAAACAGAACATATTGTCACTCTTCCTCGTGTTCTGCTTTTATCAACCCACGTCACATCGATGACGAGGTAGCCACATGTCCCGACTGTGGGCACACGACCTGTACAAACTGCAAAGGACGAGCACATACTGGCGACTGTCCAAATGATACTGCTTTGCAACAGCTTCTAGTTATCGCAAGAGAGAATGAATGGCAGCGCTGCTATTCCTGTTCGCGGATGGTGGAACTGAATCATGGTTGCAACCACATGACGTTTGACCCCCCTTAATCTTCCTCTACCTATCTTGACTCTGATTTCTAATAAATTACGACCTAGGTGTCTATGTGGTGCTCAATTTTGTTACAACTGCGGAGCACAGTGGAAAACCTGTGAGTGTGAACAATGGAACGAGCATCGTCTCCTTGCGCGTGCGTACCAGATAATCGATCGAGAAGAAAACCCTCCATTCGCCGTTGCTCATCCACCAGATATTGATGAGCCTCAGCTGGAAAATCAGCCTATACCGCAAATTGATGAAGCTCAGTTAGCAGTTCCACAATTGCAGCGTGAAGAAATAAATGATGATTCACATGCAACTGCAGAGGCTTCAGCGTCTGTCATTCGTACTCCGGGGATATCTATACCGCGAGACATTCTGGTCGAAAGAACAATGCAGGAGCTCCGAGAGAATCATGAGTGCAGCCATGGTAGATGGAGGTATATTCCTGGCCCTCATCTCTGTGAGGAATGTTTCCACCATCTGAACAAATATATCTTCGAATGTCGCCGATGCAGGCTTCAAGCTTGTAATCGATGCAGAAGGAATAGGCTCTAAAGTATGAACTATTTAGGGCGTTAAAGACTAATACAATGTTGGGAAGAGCGGAAGCAAGTTTTTATGACTCAATATTTCATGTACGAAATAATATGGTCGTTTCTGTGCTGAAACTATCAACGTAACTGCTAAGCACAAACTAAGTAAGACGTCCTATATTACTATGATAAGGAAATCTGTCAGGCATCAATTGAGTTGGCATGTTTGCCTATCCAAGTACAACAGTTTTGTTGTCCATTCTGGAACTTATAATCAGCTTCATCAAACTCGGAATCGCTCCTTTTTCTCCTTGTATGAACACATTGAAGGGATCTAGATATCTGTGGACGAAGAAGATGGAGGCCCTAGGAGCATTTCCTTGAGTTTTACTATATAGACGACACAAATATCTCATTCTCTCAATGTCTCAGTGGACGAGTCCTATGTAAGGGCATATTCGAACATTGAATACTGGACATCGCAAATGGATGACCCCGAAATGACGTCAAATTCATGTTCTTATATAACAAGGTTTCTAAGATATCTGATAGTCAAGCAGGGATGATCTCAGTCCTTCTAGCATCTAGCACGTTGCGGCGCAGCAATCGTCGCACAAGCAGTTGTATGAAATATGACTGGGAAGATGGAAAAGAGTGATGCCATGCATTCATAGACACTCGACAACAGATCACATTATGAGTGCTGATGCACGATAACACAGCGAGTAATTGAAATGTATGTTGAAATTAGGCTTTTCGCGCAGTAACTAAATGAGGGCCGAGTCCATGTGAAACACTATTAGCTGCTCAAGTAGTATATTTCTCATTTCAAAATTCAGGAACTCCTAAGAAGAACATATGCACTATTCACTACAAAGTTCTCCAAAGACAAGGTCACGAGAAGGATGCCTGAGAACCACCCTGACCACCAAAGAAGTCATCTATGGACGCGTAAATAGACTTGGTCCTCATTGATTTGTGGTTTTTTATATCATGACTATTCGGAAAATGCCATTCTTTGAAGGTTTTCACAAATAGCCAAAGTCTATAAAATGAGGGAAAGCGGGTTTCAGAGTTAAACCAAACCGGACAGGTGACCTGTTTAAGTGTAACTATAGAAAGAGTAGAGGAAAAAAAGAAAAATAGCGTCGTCGATTTACAAGGCGGTGAAAAAGACGGTGAAGCATTTTGCCGTCGACATTCTCCCCGCACAGCAAAAAAGATCACAAACAATCGATAGTTGGCTCGACTTCAAACCGCACTTAGATTCCACTGATCTCAGCTCTTGGATATTCTCAGGTCGAAGCTATAGGAAACTGCCGTGGCCTGATTTACGAGACGAATTTATACTCGACATAGAAAGAGGAACGCAAGCAAATCCTACCACCGTGCGGGGGAGCTCCTACTATGTCCGCTGCAGCAGACGCGGTGTTTCACCGACGTAACAAACAGATACAAGATGCCATTGATTCCCATAATCTCAAACAAGCTCTGCAGCTGATAGATAAAAGGATCAAGAAGGGCGAAGACACACGGTTTCTAAGAGTGAGTTGATTTGTGTTGTGAGCTCAAGAACTAGGGTACTTTCTTTCTATTTCATTTCCCCAATGATTGGATTTGCTCCAGCTGGTTGGAAATGTGGAATGGAAATTTATTATATAGACTTGTATATATCTATATATATATATATATATATATTTTCAATTGGATTGCTTACTGATATTCAATCTTAGGCATGGAAAGCGCACGTCCTGTATCTACATCCCGACCAGACGCATTCTCAACAAGGCATTGCCGCTACACTCGAAATATGCAAGCTCGATCCCCCGACTACAGATATAGACACACTAGATTTGTTGAATTCAACTTTGAGACTTGTAAAGGGTCACGAAGATACCGCAAGGAGCCTCTGGGAAAAGGCAGCAAAGGCAAAACCTCAAGATCATGATATTCAATCTCAATGGTTTACGAGGTCATTTGACGGAGGGGATTGGAAGTCTGCACAAAAGGTTAGCATCATCGAGAGAAATAAACCCGGAGGGAAGAAGTATGAAGAAAAGAGGAAGAGGTTAACCGACGTGTAAACTTTACAGGCCGCCATGAGTCTTCACGTCAACTTCCCCAAGCAACGCAAGTACTACTTGTGGGCGATATTCTTGTGCCACCTTCTAGCCGTCGATTCTTCTTCTTCGGATTCCGAACGCAAGTTGTTTGGCACCCTGGCGTACCGTATGGTCTCCAAGGCCGCGGAAAATGTCCCAGCTGATCCTGTATGTGCACCCACTACATAGGAGAGAAAAGGTTATTCTCAAGGCCGTGAAAGTGCTGACCTGTTGGTGTGATATTCGTAGAAAGAGCTGTTGAGTCCTCCAAGAGCTATCCAAACTGCCGAGGAGTTGTTGCTTCTCATCAAAATCTTCCAATCGCAGGGTCAAAACGATGAGATCCTGAAAATCCTCGATAGCGATAATCTGGGTCTGAATTCCCGCATAGTCCAAAATGACTGGTTCTTCATTAGGGAGAAATTGCTTGCGCTGGAGAGGGCAGAGAAATGGCTAGATGGTCATCAGTATGCGATGGAGCTATTGTCAATGCCTGCTGAGGATGAAGCAGCCAAGAAGCTCCTGCAGGAAAGAGATGACTGGGGAGTTTGGAACCTTTTATTGATCTCTTTTAAGAAGATTGATAAAGAAGGGTAAGTTATATACGTCATGTTAGCTTCTGCAATTCTTAGGTGAGCTCTGGTAACTAACCGGAACTGATCAGGACTACCGAAGAAGTTGTATCTTTTGTCCAGGAATTTTCTAAGCGTTTCCCCAAGTCACGCAATGCTCACCTGGCTTTGTTAGAAATATCGGCATGGAAAATGGGGCGTGGTGAGCTTACGCAGACTGACCACCTTGCTGCTTGTCGAAAATATTACGACTTCAATGGTGGCAAGTTGTACTGTTTTGACGACATACGCAAATACGCATCATATCTTGATAAGACTCGGACCTCAGAGCTGGTCGAATATGTTATAGAGAAAACGGCTGCTCAAAAGGATGTATGTATTGAGAACCGTTCTAGTGATCTCTTCCTTCAAAGCTAACCGGCCGTCTTTAGATTTCTGATACTTCCCAACAGGTTTCCATTATCAACGGCTTCAAGCTTGAATACTGTTATAGAACCTTCTCTGAAGACGGTTTCTCAGAAGGGGGAGTAGAGAGCTTTGTGTCACGTTGTCTCAAGGTTTATCGTGACATGAAAAAGGACAATGCCACAGAAGGGGCCATAGAGAACCAACCAAGGGATGACCTTGGGCTGCTCGCTGTCATGAGCCTTATTCGACTGAACGACTACAAACAACCAACTGATGACCAAGAAAGGACCCCTAGTTCCGAAGTGATTCGTTCAGCAGCTTTATTAGAACATTTCTGTCAGCACTCGCCCCACAACTACCAAATCCTGCTCCTTCTTGTTAGAATATATCTTCTTCTCGGTGCGGGCTCGATTGCTATGAAGACATTTAGCAAGCTTTCCGTGAAACAGATCCAAAATGAAACCGTTGCACACAATCTGTATACTCGTCTTGCCACAATCCATCCACACGGTGCACCGCCCATTGAAGCCGAGTATAAAGATTTCATTCCTGAAGCCGCCCTTACTCAGGCAATCAACTTCTACGAGAGTGCTGATCGGACGACGACGAGACAGCTAAATACCGGGCTGAACCTCGGAAGTTATGTGAATGTTGAAGGCACTATTGAGCTACAAAACAGCTTGAAGAATAGTATCTGTAAGCGGATGTGGGCTCTTGAAGCACGGCGTATCGACAGGATAAATGGAAAAGATCGAACCGATCGTTACGCAGGTATTGGTGAGTTGTACTCTTCCTCTCCCGCAATGAGCAGAATCGTTGACTTGACCCGTTTTCTACAGCTTCGGACGAGTCTGAGCTGGTTGACAAGCGCACTTTTGACGCCTTTATGAATTGCGAGCCGCTTGGGGCGCCATCCTTTGAGGAAAAATTGCGACTGGGACCCTTGCCAAAGGTAGGTTCAAACTGAACAGACGTAATTATATTATGTTGGGTTAGTATTAAATATTTGATGTCATAGGAATCGTGGATAAAAGCTGTTCGCGTGATTGATCGGATTTGGGTGTTCAATCACCAACTGTTATCACAGAAGCCGATCAAAGTAGACGCCACGCTATCTGAGCTTGAAAGTCTAACATTGTCTGAAAAGGACATTGGTGATATGACGTCAACTGAGAAGAAGAACCTCGAGCTTCATCACATTCTACTAAAAGCTATACTGTTACTCTCCGACTCTAACTCAGTTCCGGGCCAAGACATCAACAAGGTTTTTAAGCAGATGGAAGAATGGGTCTTGACCACTTTGCAGTCTATCTCAGATGGTACTATGAGCTTCAACGAGACATCAATCGCCCTGCCATCTTCAGACAACAGCAAACGATCCGTGCCATCATGGCACTATCTCCACAGCAGCTTCTCGCTTCTAGAGACGGCGAAGGTGCTATCAGCGACAATATCAGCGGCAGAAACATCCGCAAAGAGATTGCCAAAGACGGGTGCTAAGCCGTCCAAGGAAGCCGTTCAAGGTCTGAAGGGACTTGTTACTAAGCTTCAAGATACAGTAAAGTCTAATACTCGCACTTTGAGGTCGAATGTTATGGGATCTGGTGTACTTGGAGCATTAACCGATCTGATATTTCAACAGAGCGAACAAACCAATGGCAACGCCAGCAATGAGCTTCGCGGAGAGTTGGAAGAGACTTTGGACCCCAGCGACGTGGAGATCTTCTGCGGTGACCTCATGGAAAGTTGGGAAGAGGGGCTTGGAGGAATATTATCAGTCAAATAAATTCACAATCAATATGTATTTTAACAAACGGATATTACATAGATATTCCGTATGAATACAAAGTATAGAAAAGAAATACGAACCTTTTTAGGGAAAGAATAGAATACAGACCCACGTGACCATGTCTGGGGTCATCCAGCCCCCAACTGCAGCCCTAAGCCCTAAGCCCTACATGCTCGCCTACGGGACACTAACAGGGGCAGAAGCAGCGCCAAACCATTTTTGGACGGTGCCCCAAATTCCCTGAGCCGAACTCTTTTCGTGAGCGAACTTTTTGACGACCATTCGACAAATTCGACAACCCTCCCTTCTTTTCGCCCAACGCACCCTTCCCCTCGAGTTTCATCAGCACGAGACAAATAATCGACACAATGGCGAAGGAACGTACCGGTATCATTGTCGGCTTGAACAAGGGTCACGTATGTTCTCCCCTATGATATGGCATGACTTTCTTGGGTGTCTTTTGGCTCCGTTCGATGTTATCTTCCCGGATGTTTGTAACGAGGACGTCGTGATGGTGCTTGGGAGTCTTTTTGTGTGTTTTTATCGGTTTTACGAACTCGGTCAATTGTCAGCTCGCTGTCGACGGTTTTATGGGGCGACTCGGATCGGTGGATGAACGACAAATGGCTTGGGATGGATACATGAAAGGAATGAAGATTTTTACCGGCGAACTGGGAATACCAGTAGACGTCCATACGTTCGACCGGTCGCCCAAAATGCCGAATTACGAGTCTACGCATATGCTATTGGATTCCAAGAAGATCGTGGGGAAATGAGTTGGACTAGATGATTCACGCCGAATGACCTGGAATTGACTACGAGCGATCGAAAACACGAAAGACTTCCCAATCACCATGGCGAATGTTCCACGTGGATATGACATTGATATCACAGAAGATATAATAAGACATGAACTAACCTAGACAACTCGTACAGAAAACCACCCCTATCGAGACCAAGGCCCGTATCAGCCGCAGCAAGGGCCGTCTTTCCCGCCGTACTGCCTTTGTCCGTGATATCGTCAAGGAGGTCGCCGGTCTTGCTCCCTACGAGCGCCGCGTTGTCGAATTGTTGAGGAACTCCCAGGACAAGCGTGCCAGGAAGCTCGCCAAGAAGAGAGTGCGTACTACTACCACATATATATACCGAATCATATGAGGAAAAACAGTGCTAACACGAATATTTCAACAGCTCGGCACCATTGGCCGCGCCAAGGCCAAGGTCGACGAAATGCAGAAGGTCATCGCTGAAGCCAGACGGGCCGGTCACTAAAGAGAGAAATAAAAGCTTCTTGTTTTCTCTTTTTTTTGTTACCCTTTGCCCTCCCTCGCCCGCTACTTTTACGTGCTTCCGATATATCTTTTTTCCCCCTCCTCCCGTGTCCTCAGCAAAAACATTTTCCGTGTGTTCGTATTGGCGCAAATCGAATATCTCTTTCAATCCTCCCTCCCTATTGAATGGAATCATTTCGAAAAACTTTCCCCCCATATCTCTTATTATTTTGCCCATTTCGAACTTTTCTTCCTACTTCCCCGTGAACTGAAAAAAATTCCTCTCAAAATTTCTTCTTTCCGCCAAATAAAAAAAAAGAATTCGGCTACGGTGAAAATGGATCATGGGGGGTTTGCGACTCGGGATGATTTTTTTTCCAAATTCTATTTCTTTTTATGTTGGTCTCCTTTGAATTATTTCAAGGTTTCTTTTCTGGTTTCGAATATGTCCAGAAGCCCGATTCAATGAATGGAGGTGGGGGGCGCCAGGTAGAGGAGATTTGTTGATTGATTGATTGGTTTTGTCTATTTTACTATGGGCGAAAATCATGATCATATCACATCACATACGCTAGATGAAGAAATGAAGATGCCGTGGATAAAAGAAATATGAAAAAAATTAGATAAATAATGTGAACAATGTATGACCAGCTGCTAATTTGTATTTCCTTGAGAATGCGTTGGCATGATCTAACTACAAAATCTAGTAATCATAGAAGGGGATAAAGAATGTCATTATGATCATCTTAAAGCACAGTGCCCTGTCTATTATTAAGGCTTTATTTATATGAACAACAGCTCTTATTTCTTCCCAGGCAGCTTGAGCCACTTCGGCACTCCGCCGCCCTTTCGACCACTTCCACTGCCACCATCTTTCTTCAAGCCCATTCCTAATTTGCTAAAGGCAGATTGTTTGTTTTTCTCCGCTGCTTCGTCATCGGTAATTCCGGGCACACTGGGAATCTGGATGTCTTGTGCTTGGGTGCGGAGCTCTGGCTTTAATATCGCTGTCGTTGCGGCAGATGCTGGGCTACTTTCAGCCCATGTGAAATTGACAAGGACTCTCCCTCGGACCCCCAGATCTTTTATCAAGTACTCCTCGTCAGAGTCTGGAATTGCCAGTCTTGGTCCTCCGGGTCCTGCCCGTGGTTGCTTTAGTGTTGCTGCGAATATTACTAGGGAGAATTTCTCGTTGACGAACGACGGACTCAAACAACCCCGGACAAATGAGTAGAGAGATGACCCTGTATCAGCTTGTTTGAATTTTGCAACAACCTGGCTCTGGTCTGGAAATCGGATTTTGACCTCGGTTTCAGTGATGCTCGCCAATCTCTCTTGCTCTGCTGCAGCCTTGTCGGCGATTTCTTTGTCACTGGGAAGACGAACATTTTGAGACAACTGATTGAGTCGTTCTTGGTGAGATTTTGCGTGCTCAATGCTGGGAACGTAATCCTGCTCATCGTATGATGCCAATGCAAAATGAGGGGTTGCATTTGTAGGCGGCTTATAGACAGTAACTGGTCGCTCGGATACTGATAGAGTTGGCACTGTTTCCGTCGCTTGTGCCTCTGTTGCTGTTTCTTCAGAGGGTGGAAATGGTGTCGGGGACGATAAAGTTGAAGCTTCCGGTGTATCTATAGTTTGCGGTGTATCTTGTGCGGTCGTCACAACAGACTCTGGTTCCTGAACCGGGGCACTTGAGACTGCCGCTGCTCCTGTAATAGCGCTCGTTGGATCTTTCTCCTCTTCAGGTTCTTTGAAATACTGACTAATCATTGTCACCGCGTCCTCGAAGGGTTGTTGCGTTGTTCGGAATGATAACCGGAAAAGCACATTGCCACTATTGAACCCCAACTGCGCCAACGACTTTTGCAGATCTGAGAAATCTGCCAGCTCCCGGCCCATGACCTGCAACACTGGTGTCTGATAGTATAACCTCCCGTTGCCATTTGCCGCATTATCAGTGGCGGGCGCAGCTCGAGCTGTCAAATTCCTTGTCGAACCATTCCCAGCGACTCCAGCTTCAAATTTTCTCAGAACAAACCACAACGTTGTTGTACTTGGGAACTTGTCCAGGAGTCGTCCGTTGGGGGCTCCCTGCGCTTCGGACTCGGGAAGTTGGAGAGCAACTGTCACAACAGATGGGGACTTCGAAAGTTGTACAAGCTCGAGTTTCGCGCCGGAGCTTAGACCGGACAGACGGAATATAAGGGACAAATCGACTTGTTTGCTCTGATGTCTGCAAAAGAGGAAAAGCCATCAGTCAGATAAAAGCCTCGACGAGTATGCTGAGCTAGCCCACTCACTTTAGTCCATACTGGCTTGCATTAAGGCCGAGCTTGCTGCAAGCTTCCTGTAGAACGTCTGCTAAAGGCTTCGATGGGTTGGTCTTTATAACAGCTCTTCTGGCCGTGGAATCGATTACCACAACATGCGAGCTCATGATTAAATTAGGGAATGATCAAGACGACCGCGAGTCTGTAAGGCGGGGCTTCTTTACTGGCGTGCTGTCGTAGAGACAATAAGCAATAGCAAAAGTGTAATGCAGGGATATCCAGAAACAAGATGAAAGTAGTTGGCTACAATATCATGGTAAGAACAGATGAAAAGGACTGCGAGCTTGCTAAGCACTGGCAACTTCGATGAGGTTCGGCGAGGATGTTTGTATGGCAGCCGCAGAGGCAGAGCGTCATTGCTCAATCAGTCCCAAAAGGGTTACCGCCTGGCCCGAGCTCCCCCATGGTCCCATCTCACGCGTGTTGCTTCAGGCATCACCTACCAGCTCACATTCGCTGTGTTTCCTCTTCTACCACGACCTTTCCCCATCACTGGCTTCTATTTCAGTTTATTCCTGTCTTTAGGACAAAACAATAGTTCATCATGGTAAGCTCCTTTAGCTTCCAGCCCTTTTTGTCCTTCTCGAAGAGTAGCTGACTGACCTGACACTGTTTCATCCAGAGCTCGCCCTTCGACATCAGTATGATAGACTCACGCTTCTTTTTTCGGTTTTTTTATCTACGTATACTAAAGCTTCTATCCTAGATGGCGGTGCCTGCGTGGCAATGGTGGGCAAGGACTGCGTCGCAATTGCCTGTGATCTGCGACTGGGTATGCAAGCCCTGACGGTATCCAACAACTTCCCCAAGATTTTCAACTACGCACCATCGACTTATCTCGGCCTAACGGGGCTGGCTACCGATGTTACTACTGTCTCCGATCTCTTCCGCTACAAGGTCAACATGTACCGACTCCGTGAAGAACGACACATTTCTCCGCAGACTCTGGCAAACCTCGTCAGCTCAAGTCTGTACGAGCGACGATTCGGGCCGTACTTTGTGTCTCCCGTTATTGCAGGAATTAATCATACGACTGGAAAGCCATTCATTTGTGGGTTTGATAGCATCGGCTGCATCGATTTTGCCAAGGATTTTATCGTCAGTGGTACAGCGAGTGATCAGTTGTTTGGTACTTGTGAGGGACTGTGGGAGCCTGACCTGGTATGCCGGAGCTTTATTTTGTCCTCCCCCGCCTTTCTATCTTACACATGGCTTTAAACACGAATACTCATTTTAAATTTCTAGGGCCCCGAGGATCTTTTCGAGACCATCTCCCAGGCACTCTTAAATGCCGTCGACAGAGACGCACTTTCCGGTTGGGGTGCCAACGTCTATATTATAGAGAAGGACAAGGTCACAAAGCGATTATTGAAAGGACGACAAGATTAGATATTTGTTGTGTTTCGTTGCTTAAATTAATCGTTTATTCTTTGACAACTACAAATTTTTAGCAATCATACACGTCACGCATCATGATAAAATCTGTCAGATGAACTAATAAACCTGACGACTAGAACCTTTCCTCACTCTACTAATATATGAAGGTGGAAGTTTTTCAGATCTTGATTCAATATGTCAGCAAAGCAGCTCTGTCTTCAATTGTTCCTGAAACTAGGGTTTTATTTCGTAGAATTGGCCACAGATATCATGGCACAGTCCTGTAGGCTTCAATAGCTGTATAGCTAGTTGTATTCATCAAATTTTCCAAATTCATGCTGTTATGAAAAGATAGTTTATGGACATTCTTGGACTGCCAGACAGCCGGTAATGTTAGGTCTTTCATCAAGTTAATCCTTTCACAGCTACAGCTTCAAAATATATCTTCTCACAATCCTCCTTCTTGACCCTATTTGCATACTGGAGTACTAGGAAATCCACCCGGATATCCCCAAGCACGATCATAGGAGCATGCCACGTTCCTGCGTTGTAGGAGATTGCCTGACTGCCATGTGCAATGAAGGCTTTGAGATGTAGCAGGTCCGGGGCATTCGTTGCGGAACTGCTGTTTTTCTCATGTATATCATCAACCCGAATCGCCTCATGAATGGCAGTAGTAGTCGGCGCCACAACTACAAGAAAGGAGGATATTGTTGACTGTGGAGAATTGGACGCTCCTGCAGGTATAGCTATTGGAACAAACGTCTGTTTCGTGTAGGGATGGCGCTCAAGGCAGTCAACTTGCACAGCAGTACGTGGTTCGCGTGGAAATGAAGAGAAGAACGAACAATAAGGCTCTGCCTGCACTCCGCTGGGAGCGTGCGACTGTATCCATTTTCTAGTAGGTGCAGAGGGCCGATTTGTATGCCAGACCCTTCATTGACATACTGGGGTGTGGGAGCACGTGAATACAGAGGCTGGATGACTGTTAGATCCCCTGGCAGTGCCCTGCTGGCATCGCGAGGAATCGGACTGGATATGACAGTGCCAAACGGTGCAAAGGCCTCTTGAGTGAAGAGGCTCTGCAGTGATATGGAGTTCACACATATTGTGCGCGTACATGCATACCTAGATAATCATCGAGGAAGCCCTTTGAAATAGGCAAAAGGCCGTTAGACGGATTCATACTCCCTGAATGATGTGAGAAAGAAGAAGATGGAGAAGAAAAAGAAGTAAAAGGGCCTAGTAAAATTTATAATATACCTAGTTATATGAACACGATGACGCGGACCTCCTTGCACACATCTCCCAAGCCCATCATGGACTGACTGCCCTGCTAAGGAACAAAACGATCTGATATCACCACACATTGTACTTGGCCATGGCACCGCAGGCCACTCAGGATATTGTCTCTCGTGAAAATGGCAAGCGATGGCTGCCCACTGCCAAACAGGACCAGAGCGCCCTTGAGGCCTTGTCGCAGGGCACGCCCCTCCGTGGCATCCCAACATTCCCGTCATTCCATGAGCATCGCACCCATATACTGGAACACATGGCGGCCGCATTCCGCATCTTCGCCCGAAATGGCTACACCGAAGGCATGGCCGGCCACAATTCTGTTCGTGATCCCGAACACCCTCACACCTTCTGGACGAACCCCCTGGGCCATGCATGGGCGCTGATGCGAGCTTCCGACATGATATTAGTCAACTACGAGGGCAAGGCGATCGGCGGCAACATGAGCCGCCCATCGAACAGCGCCGGATTCTTTATCCACAGCTCTCTGCACAAGGCCAGGCCCGATGTAAACGCGGCATGCCATGCGCACTCCATCCACGGCAAGGCGTGGTCCGCGTTCGGCAGACCCCTAGAGATGATCAACCAGGATGCCTGCGTGTTTTATGGCGAAGCCCAGGCTATCTATAAGGACTTTGGAGGAGTTGTGTTCGACGACGCTGAAAGTCAACGACTCGCCGATGCCCTTGGGCCTAAGGGCAAAGTCCTCATGCTCACAAATCACGGCCTCTTGACAGTAGGGGAGACGGTGGATGAGGCGGCGTACCTGTTCACGTTGATGGAAAGGAGCTGCCAGATCCAGCTAAAGCAGACGCCGCGGCTGCTCATGGGATGGAAAAGGTGTATATAGATGACGACGTCGCGAGATATACATTTAAGATGACATCGACCCCGGAGAGCCTTTACTGCGAGTTCCAGCCGGACTTTCAGGTTGAAGAGTCTTTGAGTGGCAAGGAGTTTTGCGAATAGTCATCAGCAAGATAATTATCAACCTTGCAAGGATGTACCTAGTTAGGTATCAGCTAATCGTAGCATCCATAGCATGACTTGGATATGATTTTGATATTGTATGAGTGATAAAGAGCTATCTTGAAAATAATCATAATGCGTGCAGTTAGAGAGTATACAAATCTGATGTCAGTAATACCTCTTGCATGAAATTCACACCACTGCAGTCCGACTGCGACTAACATAGCTGAGAAAGTAGATTATGTTCAGAACATCTTGAAAATGGTTCTAGCTAATGCTTTGCCTGGTATGTAAATGACGCATGGGTCGATATCAAGAATCATCTCTCATCCAGAGTGCCGGAACCAAGGTTCAATTAAGGCCGTGGGGCCAGCCTGAAACCTGGTCCGATTTTTTTTTTAAAATTATAACACATTCGCATCGAGTGGGATAATTATTATATCCACGTTGCATGATTTATGAGTTATAACAGAATAACTACTTGATAGGATAACAACTGCGGCCATGGAGCGGGGTCGCCGAAAGCACGTTTCAACAGCGCACACCCCACCTCGTGCGGAAGAGGCCAGATTAGGCTAATTAGCAATCCAGACCGAGATTAATAAGAGGATATCCTAGGGAACTAGTTAACGTTGGTTACTGTGTACTTGACTACTTGTCGTTATAACTACGTATGGCAGTCTAGGAATACTGCGTACTGCCAGAAAAATTACATTAATTTCATATGCAAAGCAGTCGAAGACGGATATGCGCGTAAGTACGGCAGAGCGCTCTGATTGGCGGTGGGCACTGACCCTCCGCGCTTGTCGGGTCTAGACTGCCTGGTTCAGTCCCACTTTCCCTATGAGCGCGCGCTGGTTGGCTGCCCTCTCGTCAGAAGGCCAGATGGGCGATCAGTCCCCATCGCGCTAAATCGCTAGTGGTATTGACGGTGTGACACCGTGTATTTGCCATTTGGCATTAGTTATTGCACAGGGGAACGCAGGTTGTCGAGATGAAGAATCAATCGGACAGGCGTTCCTATGGATATTTTTCAACATCTAGTTGTAAACCCTCTGGAAATACCGAGTGTAGTGTCTGGCATGGTGTGCGCGCTAATGTGTATAATGTGACCGTATTTGGACAGGACCCACCGCTGGGGCCCGCGCTGTTCTGGGCCCTGAGCTCGGCAGCCGGCTGGACTCTCAAGCCGAAAGAAAGAGCGAGCGAGGGAGCCCTCTTGCCCTCTTTGCGGTCCAGGCTCCTCTAGGCTTCTTTTCCTCCTTCCTTCCATTCCTTTGGGACCACGATAGGACACTGGACTGCATCGTCCCATCTTCGCACTCGAGAGTCTTTCCATTCCTCTGTTCGACTCGGCCAAATCCGGTCTGGCACCGGCTGAGCGGCTTATATACACGTCCTTGTATATGGTCTTTTATAAGGGTTGTAAGTTCTTGTTTGTTCACCATTAGGGCATGGGAAATCGGAGTGAACCTGAGGTCTTCTGTGCTGGAAAATTGCTAATCCAGCAAGTCACAGTGTGAAATACAGATCGTCTCGACTACTTTGTCGGGCCAACTTTCGTCTACTGTGATGGTTTTTCCGCCGTCTTCCGTTCCTCATCACCTATAATCGACAGTCTCATAGTTCGAAATGTCGTCCATATCACCTCTTCCTCGACGGTCGTTGTGCTTGGTTACCGAGGGCTCCGGCGTTTCAGTGAATCATGGCGATGCCGGCTTTACCGCACTGCTTAACAAGCACTTCGATGATCGAGAGAGCGATGCTACAGAACGCTTGATCGCTTTAAAAACAACCTTGAAAACCCCCGATACGAAGTTGGCTTGGGACGAGTTTCTAGAAGGATTAGCAAAACTCGGTCATGCTCAAAGTGGATTCATTAGCTGCCAGGTCGACGAAATGAACGACGAAGAGCCCTCCCAGAATATGCTTACTACCTGCTACTACAACGATGAATATGGAAATAAGGGATTGCTCAGAGAGCGTGGCTACTCTGCTGTCAGTAAAGCTTGTGAGCATATGAAACACGGAAAGGTGCTTCTTATTCCCGACCGATTATGCTCTGATGACTTGCCTTTCGCCGCTGATGCCCTTATCGCTGTACCTTTGTACTCTGGGGATCGCAACATTGGCCACTTTGGGATGATGTGGACAAGTCAAGGTTTGCAAGAACTATCATTCTCATGGTCATATGTCGAGATGCTGTTGCATTCTCTAGAGGATGTGGTAGCTCAGCGTGTGGTGGATGAGAACTTTTTACCTACTTCATTGAATGATGCAACATTCTCGCCCCCGCCTTCCGAACCATTGGCACACAATGCAAAGCTTCACGAACCCGCATCTGCTCCTCCGTCACCCGTCTTTGCACATCCCTTGAAGCCCTTCGCCCCCAGCTTATCGCACGAGTTGCGAACACCAATGCAGGGAGTTGTTGGTATGCTAGATGTCATGCACGCGAGTGTGGAGGAGGCAATTGCCCGCAAAGTCGCCGCCAGCAAAGTCGCCAGCAAAGCAGCCAGCAAATCATTCTACCTTTTGCAAGATTTGAAAGAAAACATTGAGTTGGTTCAAGATAGTGCTCGGCGTGCAGTCGAAGCAGCAGATAACGTCGTGCACGCCTATGATCTCAACATGGAGGTTCCGGAAACCCCGCAGAAAGAAGTGTATGCTGACATCATGGAAGACCTGCCACCATCTTGTGTCGCTGCTGCGTCGGCAGAAAGATTTTCGTTCAAGGACAACAAGCTTCCAGTCAATCCATACAAACGCCGCCGAAGTATATCTATCGATTGGGCCGGCCATGGACGGGCACCGAAACGCTCCTCAAGGAGAAATACCTCGCATGGGGATTTATCCCCACGCAGCGAAGTGAAGAACGCAATCCAGGAAAGCGACAAGATTGTTTATTCTCCGGCGAAAGGTCGCATCGAAGAAGTGGTTGTTAATGCAGTTGCTCAAAGACCATCATCACTAGCTACGCGGCGAATGGCCCAGCAGATGGTGGTTGAAGGCGTACCACCTACCGCCATACGCCACACCAAGATTCGTGATCTTCTACATCTAGTCATCAATGAGTCATTACACGTGGGCAAAAGGCCAGAATCAACCTTGAGCCAAAGGACGTTGCTGGGCGAACACATAAACGTTCATGCGTTGGCATCGAACGGAGAGACCTGCATCAAAAGTATAGAATGGTCTGTAGATGCAACGGTGCCGGACACTTTATATGTCGATGAACGTGACCTGGCCAAACTGATATCATGTGTGTTCTTGAATGCTGTCAAATTCACAGAAAGTGGCCAAATCACCGTTGTGGCGACGTCGTGTAACAGATCTCCTCAGCAGTATATGCGCATCAACATTCGCGATACAGGGATGGGAATTCCAGAGGAGTTCTTCCCCAGTCTCTTTAAACCCTTTGCACGGGAGGATGACTCGACGACTCGCACGAGAGATGGACTTGGTCTTGGCCTTTTGGTTGCCAAAGGCCTAGCAAGGAAGATGGGCGGTGATTTACTTTGCGTTCATTCTTCTACGTCTGGTCCTGATCGAGGGTCTGAATTCGAAATCCGGATACCTGTCAACCCTTCGGGTACTCTGAGCCGACCCAACACTCCATACAACGGGTCCGCCGCACCATTGGCTACTCCTCCTTTACCTTCTAATTTAACTGGTTCTTCTGTGGTTGATGTTACTATTGCTGGTACAATCGTACAGCCTGTGAATATGGAGGTCCTTCCACCACCAGCAACAGTTTTATCTGCAGATATTCCTCCTATTATTCCCTCCATACCCACCATGCCCGCGCAAGAACTCATATACTCTCATTCCTGTGCGCGAACAACTAGTCAACCGTCTACCGCTCTTCAGGGTGCTGGACTCGGGAAGAGCCATCCTCTCACATTTTTAGTCGCGGAGGACAATCAAATAAACCGAAAAATTTTAGTAAACATGTTACGCAAGCTAGGATATCGTGACGTGTACGAAGCCTATGATGGACGTGAGGCCGTTCGTATTATGCAAGAAACATTGCTATCATCATATCCGCCCATCTCATCCCCGTCTACGCAAGGAAGCGATAGTGGCGCTGAGAATTCATCTCCGGTCATTGCAAACGAAGGCAACCGGAAGAGAACAAAGCCGATCGATGTAGTCCTGATGGACCTGTGGATGCCGGAAATGGACGGATATGAAGCCACATCAAAGATTTTCGAAATGATCGATGAACACTGCAATCGCCTGGCGCCTAACAACAACAACAACAACAACAACAACACTTCTAAACATACTCCCATGGAAAACTGGGACCAAAGCAGCGAATCCTGTGTTCCTTCGATACCCGATCTTTCGCCCAAGGTGCTAGCTGTGAGCGCAGATGTGACGGATGAAGCTTTGCATCGAGCTTCGTCCGTCGGCATCCAGGGCTACATGACTAAGCCATATAAACTGGCCGACCTGGAGCGGCTTATAATTGATTGTTGTTTTCCCCAAGCGTCCATATAAGCTATGGACTATGGACTCATGTAGTTAATGATATAGTTAATAAAAACACAAGTCATTATTATCGCCTATAACGCTCTTTCGAGCTCATTCTATCAAATGTGATGTAGATATTTCATTATCTATATTTGCATAGAAGACTGACAAAAAACATTGATTCTATAGATTAGCCAATCAAGCCCAGCGATTCCCGATAACTGCTCCGGTGACGTCATTCAGTAAAATATCGCAAACCCTACTCTATCATACTCTTATTATTCTCCTATTTCTGGTGAGACTGTTTACCTATTCGTCTGGGAGATGTCTCCAGCGCACCCCTCATAACACATGGCTTTATTCATAACGAACCTCGCACTATTGTGATGCAATGCCACGACCGGTATTTCAAAAGCATCGATGTCGTCGACAACTCCGGCCAGCCACTCTTCATTTTTGAATCTGATATTTTTTTCACGAAATGAGGCATAGCTGGAACGGCCCCAGAGACTGGGTTACCTTTGATGGCAGCAATAGCTGGTGCCGGACAGTGAGAGACCGCCACCGGCACTCAGCTGTTCGATTTTCGCAAGATTGATCGTCATTGGGAAGTGCACAGCCCAAATGACCTGGAAGTTTGCGTGATGTGGCGTGTTTCGTCGTTACGAGACTTCTTCGCGCTGTATTTGACGGTTAGAAATACGCTCGGCAAGGGCCATGAGGAGGCTGTCGAGGTTAGGGCAAAGGAAAATGCTGGTATTACCCTGCTGGTCAATATTGGCCAGCAGACTGTTGCTACCGTCCACTTGGTCGAAGCCAATATAATCAACCCGGTATGATGAGAAGGATAGGACTGTCCGGAGGGCGGAAGCTGCTGGAGGGGCGGATCTTGGTCTGGTAAACATCGCCGCCTTGGGACTCTGGAAGCAGTTTGAAAGATAAATCACGCTAACTGTATGCATAGGTCGTGGCTGTCATGCTATGTCAAGCTGAAAAGTACCACGTTCATAAAAGGTGGGGGAATAAACCTCTCTTATAGAGATAAGGGGTTAAACACGATGTATACCTAGGTACGAGCTTCAGCTACGTCTCGGTGAATCGTACAACTTCTTCTTCGCTTCCGTATACAACATATATAAGGCCGATAAACTCTATTTCTGGGTAACAACAACGCCGTCTACGCCGCGGGGACACTGGAGGTATCGTCTAGTCTTGGGTTTGTGGAAACTTGACTACTCTCATTTGCAAGACAGGGACAGGGCAAGGACAAACATGTTGAATATCCCAGTCCTGATAGGGATATGGGTCTGTGCATACCATGTTTATGTTTATGTTTATGTTTATGTTTATGTTTATGTATATAAGTAGTCCAGCTGCCACTCTCAGAATAGAAGAACAACGAAGGACGGAATACTACTTCAGCATACCCATTTATCCCGCCACGCCACGCCACGCGTCTCTCCCATACATACTAAGCAAGCAATACTCATTGAAGCTGGTTCTATCAAAGCATCTGCAGCAACACATGGTGGTAAAACCTTGTTCCCAAATCAGGCGGTGAGAATTGTCTGGCGAGTCATCACTCAATTCCAGTTTGCGAACGGATATCAAATTTAATATCCAGTTAACTCCAGCGCTTCGGCGTATACATCGTATAGAGCTGGATGACACTTCGTTGTCTATATCATATATATGACACATTGTGCGAGCAGTCCTACTGCGGAGTTGATGCGGAAGCCAGTTATTAACAGCAGCTACACAGATTAGCTTGAACCAAACATCTAGTGACTCGCCAGCATCTAATCAGCATGAGATGTTACAAAGCACAGACTAGTAGTTACCACTGTGGGTACGCTGTAGATACACGCGGCAAAATGAAAACAAAAAGATAAGAAAAGCTGAAGTTTATCTCCTCAGTGAACCGTCTAGTATATCCAACAGAGTCAAATAGGGCAAAAGAATGATTGGACAATACCATAAAACATAAATCAGTAATAAACCCTGAATAAAATATGGGAGGGAATGCCTTTTCACCTTCCTTAATCGATAAGCGCGGTGGGTAAGCTACTTCGGCCATTTTTGGCAGGTTTACGTACCCTTTTAAGAGTTTTATAGGGTTGTTATTGTTTTATGATCATGTATATGTCTTGCTGTGTTTGGAATTTATTGGCATGTCCCCATACACCTCATGGACCGAATTGGGCTTCCCTGGAGCATCTAAGGTATACAATAGAAGCCAACAGAGTCTTGAACACGCTGCTGCGAGGCCTAGGGAATTAGTGGGTGTAAATAAAGTGCTGATAGTCTGACGTTAATGATCCGACCCGGTTACAGTAGCCAAGTTTAGCTCGAGGATTGGGTTTATCGGATTGACCGCAGGAATCAACATGAAAGCAATTTTGGGCGCCTGGCTCGGACTCAAGAGTCCCATCTAGAAGTCTAGAGCATGGTCTTGCTCATAGCTTGACTACAATCAAGAATGGCGCCCTTCGATAGTCACTGAGCATTTGTCATGACCGCCCCTCTAGCAGCATCGTCTTAGTCCGGCGGGGTATTACAATTGACTATACGAAGCTAATTCTGCCTAGCATGGTGGCAATTATCTGTATAAACTTGTATAACTAAACCTCAGAAGGGACGTGGATGGTGTATAGCCTATGCGAAGTGTCTGAGCTACTCCATATTGAAAGTATTGTTTTCGTTGTGATACTGGGAATTACCAGATGAAGTAACGCATGCAGTAGGAAAAAGAGAAGTCTCCATTGATCAGTAATCCACCTCTATCTCAGCGAGTCGGTGTATTCGCTAAAACATAGGCAAGTTGCATAATTCATTTGTATAAAGTAGACTAGATAGCATAGTTACAAGCCCTCCTTGGCCCGGCCCGGCCTTTTGCCATGCAAGATAAGTGTCTAGGGTTGCATTCTCTTCTTTTGACATCTGTACAAGAGCGATAGTAACTAACAAGCTCGGCGAGATGGATGCACTGTCCTCCAAAACCGAGAATACGCCATGCGGGGATTGACTATGAGGCAGGCCCCCAAGAGTTTCCAGGTTCAAAAACCTCGGATCATCTCACTTTCTCATCTTGGTCAATCATCCGCTGTTTCTCCGTAAACTGTGTCTACCACCATGACAGACAATGACACCCCCATCTCCACCTCTGTGGTGGAAGAGACCGAGGAGGGCGCCTTCGCCGATGAGAAGAAGGCTGCCGACATCCACGATGTCGAGGTCGCCCCGGGCTTCGTCGCCGGGAAAGATTTTGAAGGCCATTACAAGGATGTCCCGCTCGGAGAAGGCATTGTGCCCGATGATAATGACGAGTTCATCGATCCCCGTTTGAGTAACTATCCTGTTCCCGAGGTCGCCAAAACCGTCGATCTGAGGAATGACCCGACGTAAGTGAATTTCTTGCAAAGTAAACTTGTCATGCTGCTGCTGCTTCTTCTGGTCACGATGCCCAACTGAGCAGATCACTCCTTGCCTCCTTTTCTTCATCTGCTTTTCTCCATTACGTTACGTCCTCTACCATTGAGTTCAATGACACTAACGAAACAGTGAACCGATTCTCACATTCCGGTTCTGGACATTGTCTACATTTTGGGTGCTTGTCGGTTGTGCGCTGTCCACCTTCTACTACTTCAAGCCATACTACAATAGCATCACGAGCTATGCCGTCCAGTTGCTGTCCTGGGGCATGGGTGATGCCATGGCGCGCTACCTTCCCACCCGTGAAATGAATTGGTTTGGATGGAAATGGTCAATGAACCCTGGGCCTTGGAACGCAAAGGAGCATGCCTTGATTGTCGTTGCATACTGGGGGAGTGTAAGCACTCACTCCGTTTTACAGCTATGTATATACCATAGCGATTGCTTGCTAATTTGATGCCAGTGCTACACTGCCTACGGCTTGGGCCCCCTGTCTGCCATGGAACTATACTATGGCGAGAAGCTCAATGCAGGATGGTCCATGTTCTTCCTCGTTGCCACGCAGATGATCGGCTACGGCTTTTGTGGTCTCTTCCGTGACATTCTTGTTCGCCCCCCGACGATGTATTATCCGGGTGTCTTGCCCAACGTGTCTCTCTTCAATGCAATGCATCGGAGCCCGTCAGCTACCAAGAAAGCTCTGAAATACTTTGCAATTGTAGCCAGCATTACCTTCTGCTGGGAATGGGTCCCAGAACTGTTCTTTCCGTTGCTCGCGTCTCTTCCGATCGTCTGCTGGGCTGGACATGGTAACTGGAAGGCATTTGTTCTTGGGTCGGGTTACTATGGATTCGTTAGTCAAGCATTCCCTTGTGCTAGTTAAATGAAGAGAAAAACATCAACTAACCGAACAAGGGAATCCTTGACTTCTCTCTGGATTGGAACTACATCTCGTTCTTGTACCCATACTACACGCCTCTCTGGTCGAGCTTGAACCAGGGCCTCTTTGCCTTGTTTTGCATGTGGCTCCTCTATCCGATAATCTACTTCACCAATACATTCAATGCGTTGAACTTCGCCCCCATGGACACCGACACCTATACATCCAATGGCAGCACCTACGACGTGTCAGCCATCGTGACTGTCCAACGTACGCTAAACGAGACAGCGCTGGCCGAATACGGCAAACCCTACTGGGCCCCCTCCTATGTGTTCTTCTGGTTCTGGACATTTGCCGCGCTGACGGCTTCGATGACATACGCCATACTTTGGTACGGCAAGTCAGGCTGGGAAGACTTCAAGAACGCCTGGAACAACACGCGCAGCGACTATGATGACCCCTACATCAAGCTCATGGACTTCCAGAAGCGAGTGCCTCACTGGTGGTACATTGTCCTGCTAGTGCCGTGTGTAGTGATCGGTATTGCCCAGGGGTACGAGGGCAACATGAAGATGCCTGCGTGGGGGTTGATTGTCATTTGTCTCGTTTCATTTGCATTCACCTGGCCCAATGGTATTCTCTGGGCCATTGCTAACACTCAAATTGGCATGGGCTCTTTCAGTGATCTGTTGGCCGGTCTAATGTTCCCAGGCCAGCCGGCTGCCGTGTTGGCCTCGTACACCTACGGCTACACTGTGCTGGAGCAGTGTCTGAACCTGATCTCGGATTACAAGTTTGGCTTCTACATGAAGATACCAGAGCGCGAGATGTTCTGGGGACAGGTCTATGGCACCCTGCTGGGCCCATTCATCAACTACGGCTTCATGCAACTGATTGTGGACCGTGAGCGACCCTACTTGATCGGCCAGCGCTCTTCAGAAGCCTGGGATGCCGTGCAGACGCGCTCTTACTACTCCCAATCGATTATCTGGGGGATCCTCGGCCCCAAAAGGTTTTTCAACGAGCAGTATCCCTGGGTGTACTACTCGTTTATCATTGGGCCCGGTCTTGTCTTGCTCGTCTGGCTGGTGCAGAAATGGAAGCCCAAATGGAACATGGAGCAATGGTTCAATCCGTCTCTGATGTTCCTTGGTGCCACACTCTTCCCGCAGTATCAGACGGTCAACTTCTTCATGTCCTTATTAGCCTGTATCCTCTTCATGGGTATTCTCCCGCGTTACGCCCCCGTGTGGTGGAGAAAGTACAATTATCTCACGGGTGTTGGTTTGGACTGCGGCACTCAACTGATGACCTTGGTTAGTTCTCGGGCATTCCTATTGCTTGCTGATTCCATTCACACTAACATCCTTCATAGGTCTGTATCTTTGTCGTCAATCTGCCCAATCTATCCTTCCCAGCGTGGTGGGGAAACAACAGTGAGGCAACAGACAGATGCTTCCCTCCTGCGGACCTGCCTCCGTATGCCTTGAACTAATATACAGGCGCTCGTATGGGAGAGTAGCAGTGAATACGTCGATGACCCCCTAGTGTCTAGTGAGTCACTATGTCAGTCAAGTATTAGAGTTATAGGGTTGTTGTGCATAAGACTTTCATATATAGTAAGCCATAGGGAGATACCGATAGTCAATACCAACACTTATGTCAACTACTATATATAGTAACTAGACCCTGGCTTGACAGCACAGTCCCCTAAGACTTCAATAAACAGGATGCCCATTTAAAATAAAATACACTAACAGAAGTAATATACTTGGCTACCTACTTAACTCATACTTACCACCGAAACCGGGCTTGTTTTTCCAGTGGATATGATATAGGATATGTTTGAGCCTAAAATCTCTCTAAACCCTGCAATTTCGAATGAAGAAAGGATAGATACAAACGGGAAATATACGAAAATGTTATACAATACTACATACAGAGACAATAAGCTCTGTTAGTGAAGAACTGTGGGGGTATTTAGTCAGGTATTAGTGCGAGACACAATCACGCCTTTTGAAACGGACACGCTCGTATCTTTTTTGGGGTTCAATTGTAGATTTTCTACACTCTTCCTCTTGAACTTTTTTTTTGTATATCAGTCATAACCATGAATGAAGCCTGGAAAATCGAACAATGCACAGTCGCTGATGCCAGCGCTCTGGCACGAAACAACATTTCCGCCTTCTGGGAAGACCCCAACTGGATACTCTCATGGTCCAAGGACATGCCTCTGGAATATCTGATCGAACAGTCGGAAAAACGACAGGCAAACAACCTGTTACGCTCCCGCGAAGACCGACGACACATCAAGGCCATTGATCCTGCGACGGGCAAGCTGGTAGGATATGCCCGTTGGGTTCTACCATCCAGCCACGTTACCGCTCCAGACGGCAGCCCCGAATGGGTCCAGGCGCAGGTCCCAGATGTGGAAGAGGTAGAGAAAAAGCGTCTGCAAGAATTAGCTGCTTCTGCATGGTGGGAGCCAAGGGCGGATGTGGGCGAGATTGATGTCCCGGTTACGGCCATCAAAAACCGCCATTTGGCTTCCAGGCCGTATATATGTATGATTCTCGCATTTAGACCCTTCTCCCCTTCGCCAGACTCTAACATGGACCTTTTCTTTTATCTTTTAGCACTGGACTATCTTGCTGTTCATCCTGACAACAAGGGCAAGGGCATTGCCACGGCACTGGTTGAGAGCGGTGTCAAGTACGCGAAAAGTGTCGGGATTCCGATATTCGTTCTCGCATTCAAGGCCGGTGTCGGTGTCTATTCGCGACTGGGGTTTAGAGAAGTAGAGCGGCTCATCCAGGATGACTCCAAGTATGGAGGACCGGGGGAGTATGGTTCTTATTTTATGGTTTACGATGTTGCCCCTAAAGTCTGAGCGTTGATATACAGATTTATTTAGAATATATCTTATTATATAGGATATATTTATATGTATTTACTGAATAGATAGGTTAGAGACGTTGTATATAAATCCGCCAGAGGTACTTATTTGGTAACGTACCTAGGTACCTATACAATACAATTCCCTCTATCGTCTAGGCAAAGAACTCGCTCAAAAATAAACTTAAGAGAAAGTGCTCTTCCATGTAAACAAGACTACACTGCCTAGTTACCCATAGATGCCTTCCAAGGCAGCATCTTTGAATGTTTCTCCAGGATTTAGTCCCGATTCACATGACACCCACTAACAATGAAGAGGACCCTGGAGCTACCAGTTCTTGTATTCTAGAAGGTAGTCATCAAATGCTCATATCATGTTTCTCACATTGCACCCTGCCTAAATACAGGCGAACCAACAAGTGCACCTGAAGATAGTTTTGTTGGTTATCTAGGCAGGTAAGGGCTCTGGGTTATTGGCGTGTATGTACGTAAGAATAGATGTAGAAGACATTCCGCTCTGTAATACGACAGAATGAGATACGAACAAGATCTATTTCCAGTGTGACTGACTAGGTGCCGATCTATATTTCATTTAAACTATAGAGACAGAGATAGCTAAGAACAGTGGATGTTTGGATTGATCGGGCATTTGCCAGAATGAACACTGAGCGGTACCTAAGCTAGATCCAAGCTAGCATTCCACAAATGGTAGAGCCGTTTTACTTCATCCTGTAAAAGCCCGGGGGTAGAGTGCTGGTAGATTGATGTGTGTTCTCCTTGGACGGAGACCCAGCTGAAGGGCGCATGTTTTCTCTAGACGGAGATCCAGTCGAAGGGCGAATGCTTCCCCTAGATGGAGCTATCATAGATGGTTCTCCCTGTGTCCTCCTATGTGGAGGCTTGTAGAGCTGCTGGGACTGTCGAGGCACCTGAGGCTGTACCGTATCGAGTGATTAATCATTCCAGAGGTTAAATGCATGGACAAACGCACTGTTCTCTGTGGTTGTCTCGTTTTCGAGATATTGAAACATCAATGCGTAAGGTCGACGACGTACCTACCGAGTCAGAGTCTGTTAGTTATCTCAGAAAAATAGAGCGTAGGGGTCGAAAGACCTACAGTTTGTCGGCCCTTCTGTCATATCGCAAGCACGCTGGGTCTTCATTCGCGAAGCATCTATTAATCTTCGCCATCTCATTCAAAATGTAAGCAAGTTGCCTCCTAATACTTTGAAGCTCCTCTTTTGTAAGCTCGTCTCTAATCTCATCAACGTTCTCTCCAGGAACACACTCCATTGCAATGAAGTAGATAGCACCGCTCTCGTATGGGTGGTTTTCTCCTTGTAGATAGCCATAGGCATCCAAAAGTTTTGGTTCGTGGCCAATTCCGTGCAGAAAATTGACCAAGTCTGCTTCAAATCCCGAGTAATCGCAAACCATTTCTTCGTGCTCGTCCTCGTCTTCAATGTCGAACTCCTCAGGATCCAGGCTGTTTACAGCGGATTAGAAGATGCAACTGCAATTATAGACTATAGGACAAGAACGTGAAAATGAAAAACATACTCGTAACTCAGCTTTAGCATGAATTGGCGTCCACTTTCTATTTCATGTGCTAGAGTCAAGACATGCCTCTGTGCCAGTTCAACGTTTTCTTCCTCGGTAAGCTGCTCCTCAATCACGTATTGGACCCCTTTGTGTCTAAAGCGGTTGCCCTCCCAGTTGTAGTCCCAAGGGTCGTATGCACACATTTTTAAGATGCCTAGATAGCGCTGTTTGCAAAGAAGGGTGGTGGGAACAGGCAATTCCAATATATTCAGGGTGCTGTTGCCTTGGAAGGCATCTATCGACCAACTTAGGCATGGTGTAGTCTTTAATTCCATGGAAACCCGGAAAACATAATGGGAATTTATCATTGCTTATTATTTTTTGGTTAGCTGGAACGAGCTATCTAGATAGGCTATAACTTGGAACAATCGGCGTACAGGGAAGTAATCTACTACTTAGGTGGGAGATGAATATTTTAGAAATCGTAGTCAACGAAATGCTGGCCTTCCTACTGTCTAATATATACTATATAAGCCAGTTAGATCCCCATATCGCCTAAACTTCTTGAAACTCCTTAGCAGCTATATGCATGCCCATGCCTCTGTCCAACATGAGCCAGTGATACTATTTACCCCCCTCTCGAAACGGGTCCTTGGCAGGGGTAAGCGCTGTGGTACGGTTAATATGCGATTCCATGCCGCATTATTGCCCCCGATATATCAATTTGGAGCTAGAAGACACTTCTGTGCGATAGCAGGTTAGAGAAACATTCGTTTATTGTTCGTGCCTCTATACTTACGGGCTTTGAGCTAATGTAGAGGGCCGGCCCGTCCCGTCCAGACTATGTAATCGAGTATGACGGCACGAAGCAGCAACACAGCGTGACAGAGAACGGCTGGAATAGTTCATTCACTGTTCAGGCTTCCGGTTCTTTATTTACAGAGATATGAACATCCATTCATCGGTGAGACTAGGTGTTGCCCATCGTGTTCTGAGAGTCCACTCCGGACCAGGCCTCATCGCTCAACCCCCCGGCGATGATTTCCCATTTTTCAGCTTTGGAATGACCGTGAGTTAGGAGAATGATAATTGAGTCTGTCTAGTGTTTCTTTTGCGGATCTAACTGACGTCTAGCACGATGAAGAACTTATATCCGTTAATATTTATTACCTCGCAATTTAGAATCTTGCATACCTGCTGTGCATTCTGACGCCATCAGGTCATGTGACCATTCCGGGGAGAAAAGTTAAAGCAGTCGTCTTATCTCTCATGGCGTTTCCGCGACGCCAGAACAATTCCCAGAGGCGGAAAGAGTCCAATTGAACAATTCCACTATATATATACATATATATATATATATACTTTTGCCCAATTCTTCTACAAATAACCATGAGGGCCATATCCCTCTTCACATCCGGCTTACTCTTAGCCGGAGCTTGCAGAGCGTCTCCGCACCCCGCACCATCTCCGCGACTACAACAACTACAACAGCCATTGAGCTCCATCGAAGAGCCGCACAATGCTGCTGTTACAGCAGACAAACTCGACCTGGAGCACGTAATTGACACCTCGCCCTTACTCTCACTGCACCGGGACCTCGTCAAAATCGAATCGATCTCCGGCAATGAGCAAGAAGTAGGCGATTTCATCATTCGATACCTTGACGCACGCGATTTCACGGTCGAGAAGCAAGTTGTAGCAGCAAGCAACAACAACACACGATTCAATATATATGCATACCCGAAATCGAGCCCGAGTGCCCCCAAGGTTCTATTGTCAACCCACATCGACACCGTACCGCCTTATATCCCGTACAGTCTGAGTCTACCATCCGGCGCCGAACCCACGCGAGACAACATCCTCATTTCCGGCCGTGGCTCTGTGGACGCAAAAGCCAGCGTCGCCGCTCAAATAATCTCAGCCCTTGAGTATCTCCAACAACCCGGCGACGATGCTTCATCATCATCATCATCATCATCGCTAGGCCTCCTCTTCGTAGTCGGCGAAGAAGTCGACGGAATCGGCATGCAACACTTCTCGCAATCCGCCCTCAACACCTCCCCGCCAACCTTCCACACCGTCATATTCGGCGAACCCACTGAACTTGCCCTGGTGGCTGGCCACAAGGGCTCACTCTTCTTCAAGATTTCCGCGACGGGCAAAGCCGCGCATTCGGGATATCCATGGCTCGGCCGCAGTGCGTTCTCTGCATTATTGCCTGCGCTCGCAAAGCTGGAGACGCTAGGCGACATTCCCGAGTCTGAAGGTGGGATTCCGGGGAGTGCGAAGTTGGGGAAATCGACGATTAATATTGGGCGCGTCGAGGCTGGGATTGCGAGTAATGTTGTGCCGGCGTATGCGGAGGCGCTGGTGAATATTCGGTTGGCGTATGGGGACGTGGAGAAGGTGAAGGAGATTGTGGTTAGGGCTGTACGTGAGGCTACAGGAGGTGATGAGAGTGTCGCTATTGAATGGGGGAATAATGGCACGGGTCATAAACCGATTGATTTTGATACGGATGTCGATGGGTTTGATGTCGTGACTGTGAACTATGCCACTGATGCTTGGTATTTGGAGCTCCATGACGGTGCTGGCGGTAGACCTGTTGGTCGCGTGCATAGGTATTTGTATGGACCGGGCAGCATCTTTGTGGCTCACGGAGCAGATGAGGCGATTACCGTGGGGGATTTGGAGGCTGCTGTGACAGGGTATAAGAAGTTGATTGATGCTGCTTTTGAGCGGAATTCGTAGTGATCTTCTGCAGATACCTATACAATATTATATATGCACGCAGATGTACACTTGACAAATCCATGGTATATTGCAAGTAAATCGAGGAAAGAAAGGCGGACAGACAAGCTATGTATATACAAGAAAGAAACAAGTACATGCAACAAGAACTGAAAAAATAAAAAAATAAAAATTACGAGCGCGGTTTTCTCGTCCACCCCGTCTTCAGCTCCCCCCCAACCTTGAATCGAGGGAAAATATGCGCCTCGGTATTGAATACTACATCCTCCAAGGGAATAAAATCCCTATTCGAGAATAGCAGATAGAAATACTTCAGCGTCTCTGCCATCCAGAAACTTTCCATATTGTCGCGCTGCATTGGCGGGTCAATATCTCCATTCGAGAGGGAAGTGAATCCCACAATACGATAAGTTGCCGGCTCTTCTTCTTCCGAATCCTTTTTCTTTCTCAGTTCGTCTTGTGATGATGCGTTCTCTTTTTCTTCGTCTTCATTCCTTTCCGGCATTACCTTCTCGGTGACTGCGGTGTATTTCACGAATGATTTGAACATCTCCCATCCCCATTCGCGATATAGCTCGTCTCCAGTGACCCGGTACATGTACAGGAGAGACTCGACGGTTTCCGGTCGTTGGAGGTTGTGCGTATCCTGGGCGTGGATTTCAATATCCGATCTCCATACCTCCCTATCTTCTAGAGGCGCAGATATGAGGTTAAGATCTTTCGGTTTGTAGTCTTTTTGTTGGTGTGCTGCTGCTTCATTGCTTGGAAGGAGCAGAGTCGAGTCCGGGTATAGGTCTGCTAGCATTGTAGGCGGTTTATCGACCTTGAAATACGTGATTTCAGGTGCTAGTCCCGTCGCAGTCACCAGGTATGTGGCCCAGCATGTCTTCATCAACTCCCTTGCAAGCAGGATTTCCTCGTCTTGCCGTTGGCCCCAGCTCGATGATTTCCTTGCATCGGACAGTAACTCGCCACGGGTTGCTCCGAGTGCTATTGTGCCGGGCATGAAGCATACGAGATGATCCATCTTGGGCAGCAGAGAATTTCCAATACCGTCTGGTCGCTCGGCTAGAACTGCCAGTTTTGCGTTGCTGGTATATGTGATTAGATGTTTGCTGATGCCTGTTAAGGCCTCGTCCCACATTTCCTTGTAGATGGGTTCTCCTTCCGAGGTCTGTAGGTATTGTTTGATGAGATACTCTACGAGTGGTTCAGTATGAAATAGATAAAAGTGGAGATGAGAGTATTAAACTTACCATAGTAGGAATCACCTCTACTTCCCAATCGAATATTATGGCCCCGGAACTTGCCAGTATCCGCGTATATAAAGATTGGTAGCAGTCCATCCTCTTCCTGCTGTTCATCGACAACCTTCATGACATGTTCCACAATCTGCCAATACTCCGCTTCGCCAGTCAGTTTGGCTAGGTATTTGAATTCCAACTGCACAGTAGTCGCTTCTGCCGTCGAGGAAGCGCCGCCGTCTGCATGTGATGGGATTCCCTCGGACGTATTCAGATTGATACTAGCATACGGCACTCCAGAAGGAGACTCAAAAGCGCCTAGCAATCGGTCCGCCAGATCAGTTGCTTTTTCAATGTACAGATCTTCCCCGGGGGCTCCAACGTCGTCGTCGCTTATTGGGGCCAAGTCTGGGTAGGTCGTAGATAGATAATGGGCCGATAGAAGACCGCCTAGCATGCGAATGGTTGTTTCGAAAGTATTCACGTCGTGGTCCTGGTCGTAGTGTAATGACGTATGAATCCAGTTCCGAGCATGCTGCACTCGAGACGTGAGATTCATGAGAATCATGGTGTCGAGAGCATCGACAATGGTCCAGCCCAAGCCGCCTTCAACCATGTTTTTGCCCTTTTTGGAGACCGGTTTGTATTCGTCGTATCCTGTGTAATAAATAGAGATTTAGTATATCAACCCCCCTCAACACAAGAAGAAAAACGCTGCAGCAACTCACCCCAGCCATATTTCTCGTATGAGTCCCAGCTGACAGTAAACACATCCTTGACCTTTTGCCTCCTCTCTTCCCAATTGACCTTCCCCTTTGACGAAGCACCACCCTCATGTTTTTCAACCTCATCATCAAACGTCTGAACCCATTTCCACAGATTCTCACCCGTATTTCCAGTCGGCCCACTAACAGCTGGAGGACCTCCCCAGCTTCCCCAAAAGACATATAGAAAAACAATGGCAAATGCCGCGAAAACCATATATATTATGCGGCTCGCGGCCTGACTCCGTCCCGTGCGACGCGGCTTGAAGTACGGCTTGTCCTTGTACACGGGCAATTCTCGAGCTTTGTTCCTACTTCCGCCGCCGAAAAAGCTACTCATCTTGCCGATGCCGCTGTCGCTGTTGTTATGATTGTTGTTCTTTGATTGAGAGAAACCATATCCGCCGAGATTGCTGCGCGATGATGATGATGTTGCTCTCCAGTCGAGGCTCTGCTGGGAATGGTCGTTTTGAGATGAGTGGACGAATGTGCCGCCCACCATTGTTCCCTGGGAAGTGCCAGGGGGAAGGGAAGGACCTGGCTTGTATGTGATTCGACTTGGTTTTCTCCCTCTGCCACCGGGGCAATGTCGCAATGGTATCGTAAATCGTAATCGAGGTCCGCGAAACGAGGGGCGCTAGATGCTTGGAGGATTACGGGCTCCGGAAGGATGTGCACGCATATACAATTGGTAAAGGAGTGACGAGTGTGTTATGCCTTTGCATAGCCTGGTATATGGATTATAATTATGAGAGAAGCGAGGGCATAGAGAGACAGTGTAGGAGGTAACTAGTGTTGGAATGTGATGGCGACCCCAGAAACTAAACATTGAAGCTAACCTAAGCTAAGCTCCAACGTGGCCGCAACCGCTGTCGACCCTCAATACTGAAAACTGATCAAAGCTTCAATGTTTTCCAAACGCTAGCTTGCTTTAGACAGTTATTACTGGCAAATGACTCAAAAAGTATGCAATGTTATGTCAGACGACTGAAACAATGCAGTAGTGTATAAGACGCAATAGCCATCTAATTAATTTACATGCACATGCACCTCCATCGGAAAGTATAAATGAATAGCATTATAGTTTCTGGTACTCCAATTTGCCCTCGAGTTTCTTTGCCTCGGCCACCTTGCGGACCGCCTTGTTGAAGTCGTCTTGGTTGATGGAGTCTCGTTCATCTTTAATAGCGAAGAAACCACTGCAAGCTAGTCAGTAATGATATCTTCAAAAACACAAGAATGAAAAAATCATACGCTTCAGTGACGACGTTTCGCAGATCGGCTCCGTTGAGACCATCGCTCATCTTCACGATACTCTCAAAATCGATCTCGCCTTCCGTCACCACAGTACTGGAGTGAATTTTGAGAATTTCCAAGCGTCCCACCTCGTTAGGAAGAGGAATCTCGATCTTTCGATCCAGACGTCCGGCACGAAGAAGCGCTGGGTCAAGCGTGTCTGGTCGATTTGTAGCCATGATAATCTTAGTCTTTCCAAGATAGTCGAAACCATCCAGCTGGTTAAGCAGTTCCATTAACGTCCGTTGAATTTCACGATCTGCAGAAGTACCCTCGGAAAATCGACGGCCTCCGATGGCATCAATCTCGTCCATAAAGATAATGCATGGCTCGTGTTCTTTTGCATATCCGAACATCTCTCGGATTAACCGCGCCGATTCACCGATATATTTGTCGACAATAGCAGACGAAACCACTGGAATCTATTAGTAAGGAAAATGTTGGAGCGGAAATCCTGTAATATGCTTGCCTTTCAAGAAGTTTGTCTCCAGGGAGCTTGCCACAGCTCTCGCAAGCAGCGTCTTTCCCGTGCCAGGAGGACCATACAACAGGACACCCTTCGGCGGTTTAATGCCGACTCGCATAAAGAGTTCCGGGTTTTTCAGCGGCAGCTCGATAACCTCCCTGAGCTCTCGGATTTGGTCGTTCAAACCACCGATTCCGGCGAAGTTGACTTGACCAGGATCTTCCAGCGACATGTTGTACACCAAGGGATCGACTTCACGGGGGAGCATGCGCATGATCGTAAGCGTTGTCATGTCGAGGGCGACACGTGTGCCTTGTTTTAGCTTCGCCTTGTCGACCTTGGAACGGCATCCTACGACGTATCTTGGGCCCGATGATGCTTTGACGATAACTGCTCGGGTTAATCCAGACTCTCCCGATGCAATGCCATGCACGTATGCATCTACTTACATCGTTCTTCGTCGAGCTGTTTGAGAACTTCACCGATGATCTGACCAACACTCTGTAGAGCCTTGATGTTTTCTTCGGTTATATCGTACTCCTTCTGAGAGTCCTTTATCTCCATCCGCAGAGACTTCAGCTTCGCCTCCCATTCTCGCAGGTCGAGCAGTGTCTTTTTGTAATCCTCGATGGCCTGGTTTCTCTCGGGGTCGACAGCGCCGTTCATCGTGACGGAAGAACCAAGCACTGGTTCTCTGGGGAAGGGGATGTGAAACACTCGTGGGTGGGGGTCTGAAACCGTAGACTTTTATTTTTTTTTTATCAAGGACTGAAAGCGGAGACAGTCATGCAATGAACGAGGTTACGGATGCGTCGTAGTGTTCGATGTTATATGATGGGTGATGTTGATGGTGAGCTCCCAACAAGCTAAGCAGACAGGGTACCGGCTGACTGAGCATGCGTCGTATCACGTGACTGACAGCTGGGACGCACGGGCCATGGACGGACGGCGGCGTGCAAACAGGGCAAACATCGCTGGTGCCTGACAAAACAGGCTCTCCGTGCCGGCGCGAAAACAGCAGCTCTCCGCATCTCCCCGACTGGAGAAGCGGGAGAAATCGCTGGACGTAAGCTGATCAGTAGAGAAATAGCAGCATATATGAATAAGAGGCATCCCGAAGAGCACAGGGGCTGCCCCACTGTGGTCGAGTTCCTCGGCGGTGCGCGGCAAGGCTGGTGGTCAGGGCTATGATGTCTTCATGGTATATAGCGCCTGCTGCCCCTCCATGGACGACTATGGAGAGGCTGTCCTTCTTATATATCTATCTATCTATACACACAGTACAAGAGCGACTGCTACTGCTTGCAGCTTACTTCCATTGCAACAGCTAATCCCCAGCGCTAATTGCATTGATCGCACACTCCTGTCCCCAGGTACGTATATGTTGAGAAAAGAACCTTGGAAGATCATCATGCCCCACCATCCCACCAAACACAAACAACAACGCCCTCAAGGTCGTCCTCTACAGCGACCAAGACCAGCATTCTCAGTCGCATCCTGTTGGCAGAGACCCCTTTTCCTGTACAGCTAGCACAGAGTGAGTCTTCGGTGTCGCATCAATTGACGCAATCCATTGAGTCACGTTGCCAGCTTACATAGCCTCTCGATTGGGGTTGTCGGTGAAACTTTTTTGCTACCTTAGCAACGACTCTTAAAAACCATCTGCCACCCTCGTCATCTCCTCCTCCTGATTTTCCTCCTCCTCCTCTATCCAGCTTCATTCTTCTCCTTTTCTTCGCAGTCATTCTAACTGAACTCCCACTCAGTTATCCAACATGCCTATCTCCAAGATCCACGCTCGCTCGGTCTACGACTCTCGCGGTAACCCCACCGTCGAGGTTGATGTCGTTACTGAGACCGGCTTGCACCGTGCCATTGTTCCCTCGGGAGCCTCTACCGGTTTGTCTGATCTGGCTTGACGAATCCTCGAGACTGCTGTTGCTAACCAAAAGGGGTTCAGGTCAGCACGAGGCCTGCGAACTGCGCGACGGCGACAAGACCAAGTGGGGTGGCAAGGGTGAGTGAGATTCGCACAGAATGTGAGGGGACATTGTGTACTGATCCTGGGTTTTCGTAAATGCATATAGGTGTCCTCAAGGCCGTTCAGAACGTGAACGAAACCATCGGACCTGCCGTCATCAAGGAGAACATCGACGTCAAGGACCAGACCAAGGTTGATGAGTTCCTCATCAAGCTCGACGGATCAACCAACAAGACCAACCTCGGTGCCAATGCCATTCTTGGTGTCAGTTTGGCCATTGCCAAGGCCGGTGCTGCTGAGAAGGGTGTCCCTCTGTACGCTCACATCTCCGACCTTGCTGGAACCAAGAAGCCATATGTTCTTCCAGTTCCTTTCCAGAACGTCCTGAACGGCGGTTCCCACGCTGGTGGCCGACTTGCCTTCCAGGAATTCATGATTGTCCCGGAGTAAGTAAACAGATATTTCTGGGAGCGAGCTTTGATTGTGGGCTAACCTCTTTCGATAGCACTGCTCCCACATTCAGCGAGGGTCTCCGCCAAGGTGCCGAGGTTTACCAGAAACTCAAGGCTCTGGCCAAGAAGAAGTACGGCCAATCTGCCGGCAACGTCGGTGACGAGGGTGGTGTCGCTCCCGATATTCAGACTGCCGAGGAGGCTCTTGACTTGATCTCCGAAGCCATTGAACAGGCCGGATACACTGGCAAGGTTAAGATTGCCATGGACGTTGCATCTAGCGAATTCTACAAGGCCGACGTCAAGAAATACGATCTTGACTTCAAGAACCCCGACAGCGACCCCACCAAGTGGATTACCTATGAAGAGCTTGCCGACCTGTACAAGTCTCTGGCCAAGAAGTACCCCATTGTCAGCATTGAGGATCCCTTTGCTGAGGATGACTGGGAGGCCTGGAGCTACTTCTACAAGACCTCTGACTTCCAGATTGTTGGGTTAGTTTCTTTCCCTCTTTCCTTTAAAACACAAGTGCTAACAGCTGCATAATCTAGTGATGACCTGACTGTCACCAACCCTCTCCGCATCAAGAAGGCCATCGAGCTCAAGTCCTGCAACGGTCTTTTGCTCAAGGTCAACCAGATTGGTACCCTCACCGAGTCTATCCAGGCCGCCAAGGACTCCTATGCCGCTGGCTGGGGTGTCATGGTCTCTCACCGATCCGGTGAGACCGAGGATGTCACCATTGCCGACATTGTCGTCGGTCTGCGCTCTGGACAGATCAAGACCGGTGCCCCAGCCCGGTCCGAGCGTCTTGCTAAGCTCAACCAGATCCTCCGTATCGAGGAGGAGTTGGGCGACAACGCCATCTACGCCGGCGAGAAGTTCCGCACCTCTGTCAACCTCTAATTTAGTCCGATGGTGACGGAAAGAGAAGCAACCATGCTCTGTAGGGAACGCAGAAAAGAGGATTTTTTCCTCGGTAGCAATGACAGAATGAAAACAAGCCACGAAGCTATGATCTCGAGCGACATTCTTTAATCTGGGATTAGTACTGATAGAAATGTCGCTGCAAGTTAGTTAGCAGACTAATATACTGCGATTCTCTGATTACGTAGTAAGTGTAAATAACTTAACTAGTGGAATTGGCATTTCGTAATTACAAAATTGTAATTTCCGCGTAAAATCGACCCCTTGTCGGTAGAATTCTTTTCTAAATATGTAATAACTAATAATGCTCTATACAGATTATTAATAAAACCTAAATTTAGAATTTTTTGACTCTCTTTTGGTGCAAGTTTGTAGATCAAAGATAATATAATACTCAAAGATAAGTACCTGGTGAGCGTTTTCATCACACAGGGTAGTTTCTGTCGCCGGGATGGGACTTCGTATCTAGCCAACGTTTCAAATATGGTCCTCTTTTCTGTGCAACACAAATACTCTATGCAATGTCAATAAACTCGATGCCATGGCCCTGCAAGAAGTAGTCACAACATCATGATTCTTCAATTCCACCTTGTGAGTAGGGAGTATACCTGGAATTAATAATGCTTGCTCCTTATCTAGTAATTGACGATCCTTCACTACTCGTGCAACGCTCATTGTGGTTTCTTTCCCCCCACTCTCTGTCATTGAAGACCAGGCTTATATGAATAAACAAGTCATTAATAACGCCATATGTCAATCATCTCAAAGTTCGGCCCTGTCAACATCATTCGAAGCATAGGTGTAACCTGTCCTTCCCAATCGATCGGATGTCCCAATGCTTCAGCAAACATACCACACCTAACCAGAATCCCCCAGCACTCGTCAAGATACCTCTCCAACTCCTCCTTGTTGGCCGGATTCAACGGATCATGTGCAATAGGAAGCGAGCGTCTTCGTCCACTATACCCCGCAAATTCCATGATTAGAAGGGTAATCTCGTCCGGTAATCGTGCCCGAGTGCGCAAAATGCTCCAAACCTCAGCTACCTCAGTTTCATGCGGTAGATACTTGATTTCATAGTATCCACAGTTTAAAAACACATCAAACGGAATGCATCCAAATGGGAATTCAGAGCTCTCAATCCTTCCGTCTACTCGCCATGGCGACGAAAAGACTTCCTCCCAGAATTCCACGGTTCTAGGCCTCGCCTTGAAGCTTTTGGTGAAGCCGGATTGCACCCTAGCCTCCGCAAGAATGGGCCATTCACCCGCCACATCTCTGGTGACGTATAAGGATTCATGATAATGTTCATCAGGAATTCCGAAGAATTGCTTGTGCGGGAGACTTGCGACCTCGTCTCCAAACTCTCTAGTACATTCGTAAAGCATTCTCTGGTATAATTCTGTGTTGCGGTAGTCGTATTTTTGTTCTTTTTTACCTCCCACAACTTCTTCCTGGGACTGGGATTGCAACGCAGGAAGGAAGCGATACAGGATATTCAGAGTAAGATAAGCCCGCAAGGCCAATATATAAAGCCGATCCCAGCCAAGTTGCTCATCCATACATTCGCACTCGCGCATATTTTGCCATTTCCAGTAATCCACATTCGGATGTGAGCAGACACGGAGAACCGGCTCCATTTCTCCACGCACCAAGAGTGCCTTGACGACATGTATATTGAAGTATGCAGCCTCATTAAGTGCATAGAATTCGTAGCAACCATTGGGTCGATATTGGCGTAGGAATGAATGAGCTTTTCGTTCCCGCAAGGGCAGTGCGCATTTACAGTTGAATGTGAAATCTTCGGTGTGATCTCCATCATCGTCCTCGCTCGAATCTTCGTCATGCTCGTTCCAATTTTCATAATCGAACCGAGTATGCTTGCCAGAAGTGTGGTGGCATGGCTCCCAACTGAGTGCATTGGTGCTGTGCATATCCTCGTGGAAGATATACGTGCGTTCGGCGACAGTCGGACTAATTCTCCTGGCTGTGGCATCGTCGATGATCAGGTCATCTTCATTCGGAGGATCATAACTTTCTTGGTACTTCGCACGCTCAAGAGAGATTTGTTCTGTCAGAGTCCGGGAAAAGGACGCCGCAAAGGCTCTCACTACTTTACTTTGCTCGGCTCCGAGTGGAGGTGGAAAAAAGAGATTTGATGCTCGTGGCTGTTCGGGGTGCTCTAGGGAGTAATAATCAAGATTCTGTACGACAATATTCCATGCAAGTTTTTCTGCTTGGTGAGCCATTATTCAAGGACGTAGTACGGTGTCGCAGATTTGACGTTGAAGTTGGAGCTACAGTTACTACTTCACTCGTTGCCATGGTCCACTAGTCGACGCCCCCTTTTTTTTTTAACATACAAAATCGGTTCAAATCTAGCATTTTTAAATACCTAAAGATTTTAGATATTCCATTTTTATCTTCTAATAATGACTAGTTAGTTATGGTTTTATTGACTATTTAACACAAAACATCTTTCTTCAGTAGTACTAGCTCCCGCTAGTGTCATGCAAGTTGGCTTCGTAACGCCATACTCCATACTCTGCTATCGCGAAAGCTGGTTGTTGACAAATTACACGTCTTGTTTCCTCTCCAATGTCCACCACCACGACTTCAGCGCCGTCAACGGTCACCGAACCACCCCCCGTGCTCACCACTGTCTTCACGCCGGCGTCTTCGTGTTTGATCGATCTTTGGCAATACTCAGCCACCGCATCGGGGCTGGAATGCTATGTGGGCACATCCCAGGTACAATGCAACTATGTGCAACTAGGCCCATCCGCAACCACGAGCTGTTTCCCATCGGACTGGGATTATGAGCCTACCGCGTACTTTTCGCCTGGCATTTGCCCGTCGGGCTATGAGACTGCCTGTTCGAGCGTGACCACATTCGGCACTAACACGGAGACGAGAGCGACTTGTTGTCCGAGGTATGTTATGTTACGTTATGTTCGTTTTGGAAGGACGAAATCGCTGACTTGGGCTGTTCTGCAAGTGGATATTCGTGCCAAACTGGCAGCGACTGGCCTTGGTATACCACCGATCTGTGTACTTATCACAACCCCGGCCCAGTCACGTATGTGTACACCACCGATCTCCCAGGCGTCGGCACTTCGACGGTGACCACCTCCGGAAGCGAGGGCATCAACGCGTATGGGGTGCAAATCCGGTTCCAGGCAACGGATTCAGTCACAGCACTAACAACAACCACCGCATCACCTACATCTTCTACATCTTCTACATCATCGTCATCGTCAACGTCCACATCAAGTGCCACTCCCGCGTCAACGGGACTAAGCACGGGTGCCAAAGCCGGAATAGGAGTCGGTGTTGCTCTCGCCGGGCTCATTGCGATCGCTGGCATTATCTTCTTCTTTGTGCGACCCCGACGGCGCAGCGCATCTGATGGCCGGCCGAGTGCGTTTTCGTCTCAGCCTGCTTATTATTCTGAGCTGGCTGGTCGGCCTGCGTCGGTTGAAGTCAAGCGGGAGTTGTATGGCTCGCCGTTGATAGAACTGCACAATGACCCGGTGCGGGCGCCGGTTGAGATGGAATAATAGTATTTATATTTTGACGGCGAGGTAAGGTTTTATATGATCTGATTCATTGCGTATAATTGGAATAGCGAAGCCTCCCTTTTTTGTTTGGTTGTATAACTGCTTGGAGACAATTGTTCGTGTTGTACCTAGGTATATAGTTATAGCCTAATGTAAATAACTGATACCCAGCAGCTGTCCGTGCAAGGTGGACATGAAATAAGCTTCCTGACAAGATCTTCAGGGTCGAGACATCAATATGCTGGCCAAGCAGCAAACTAAGCAGTAACTAGCAAGGATTCTGCTCTGCAGTAAAGTTGCAGGCTTGCAGCCCAACGCATTCACGTGATTGCGACCCCTCTCTTCGGCCTGTGATAGGACAAGCCAGACATTTCCAACTTCCATTTTTCTTGTACCACGCAGCATTCCTGCTACCCTCTCGCCTTTGTACTGTTTTCAAACGCCTTCTGTGGCTTACTGCAAGGTACCTCTGTCGTCTGTACGATTAGACAAAAGCCTGTCTCGAGGATACGCTCTCTATCTCTCTCGCCATGGCGCCTTCAAAGTGGGGTGAGTCAGAATCTTTTTTCTTGCAACATGTCCTTATTCATATGGCTTGTTATGTGACGATGTTATATGAATGAACTTCACAACTACATGTTTGATTTGTGTACAAATCCGTATTCTTGACTAACGACAGCAGACGACGAAGAGGAAAGCACCCCTCCCTCATCGCCGCCCGTCGCTGCTCGTCGCAAATTCGATGACGAGGAAGATGAAGAAGTAAGCGACCATTGCATTCTGCTGGAGCGCGGTGTCTTGCACACAGCAAGACGAGGAGAAGAAGGAGAAGATGAACTGACTTGCAACGACAGGTCCTCGACTCCTGGGACGCGGCCGAAGACTCCGACGTAGAACGGGAAAAAGCCGCCGCGGCCGCGGCCGCAAAGGCCAAAGCCGAAGCCGAAGCAGCAGCAAAGAAGAAGAGCAAGGCGCAGCGCATAGAAGAACACAAGCTCGAGCGAAAACGACTTGAAGAAGAAGACTCGTCGGACGAAAGCAGCGAAGATGAAGCCGTGCGCCGGGCCCGCCTACGCAAGACCGAGAAGGACTCGGATCTCAAGCACGCCGAAGACCTCTTTGGCGACATCGACCTGAACCGGACCAACCGTCGATCCGCAGCGCCCAAAGCAGTCGTCGTGAGCGACGCATCCGACCCCACAAAGGCCATCGATCTCTCCGCCATGCCGCTCTTCAAACCCACCACCAAAGACCAATTCGCCAAACTGACCAGCACGCTCATCCCGCTGCTGACAGCCAACTCGAAGAAAGTGCAGTACGCGCTGTGGGCGCCCGATTTCGCCAAACAGTTGGCCAAGGATCTGCCCAGTGACCAAGTGAAGAAGATCGCTAGTGCGTTGACGACGCTGAGTAACGAGAAAATGCGCGAGGAGCGCGCAGCCGATAAGGGCAGCAAGAAGTCCAAGGCAGCCAAGACCAAGACGACGTTGAATGCGCAACGCGACTTTGAAAAGGCGGATATTAATGCTTATGATGATGATGACCTGGGTGATGACGACTTCATGTAATTATTATCAATTATCATCCCTCAAAGTTTTATCCCCTTCCCCTCTCTCTCCCTCCCCCCTTTTTTTTTTAATCTTATTTGCCTCTTTGGGTTTTATTATATGAATACTAAGGAGAAAACCTGCTTTCACAAGCCTCCCCGTGAGTTTACTTCTCCATGCATAGCTAATGCTCGGTGTCATTTCTTTTTTGTTTTTTTTTTTTTTTTCCCTTCTCAGCAATGGGCATTTCCCTCCTCTTTTGATGTTGACATTGACATTGACATTGACATTACTTGGACTAAGAATATGTATCACCCACATTTCTGTATCAAGTCGATTTTGAAAAGTTGCGAGCAAATAGATCTGATTTACATACCCTACGTCATTTTCTTCCTTATCGTCAACAACTAGTTAGAAGTAATTGTAAAGATTGGTTTGATTTCATCGAGGCTTGCTTGCCTTGCTTGCATGCCTTTGCCCTAGGGTTTGTTTAAACAACAGCTCGAAAGGAAACACAAAAGCGAGAAGAAAAAAGAAAACGAAAAAGAAAAAAAAAAGACAAGATTTGAAATTGAACAGAGATGATTGTTTGTTTGTTGGGGCTGGTCATTATTATCATCAAGAAGATAGAATTAAAAAATCTTGTTGAAGGGTGACAGATGATCGACGCTTGCTTACCTTCCCCCCGAGATTCGAAGGGAGTATTTTGTGCGTGAGAACATAAGCCAGACACAGCGAGGAGTAGAAAAAAAAAACATTTGATGTTTGAGAAGAGGGGGGAGGGGTAGGGAAAAACGAAACAAATACGACAGACATTTCGCGAGCAAAAATCCAGCTCCATCCAACCTGGCGTTAATTCTTTTTCTCCAAATATCAAACTCCGCATCCAACTACAGGCCTGATCAGGAAAAAGAAAAAATACAACTATGGGGCGGCTTAAAATAAATCGAATCGTTTCTTTCACACGATTCAATAGCGGGAAATTGATAAATCGATAAATGGACTGGGGAATTGGGGGTTTCGGGGACAGGGAAATGAAGCATTCATGTTAATTGCCTCATCGAAGTTGATAAATAAAAGGGAATGGAACGGGGGAGAAACAGAAGCATGGGCTTCAAAAGTCAATTGACTTATCCCGTGTTCTTCGTAAATTTGATATCATGTTTAAGACTCGGTCGGGGCTGGGGCCTCAGCAGGAGCCTCCTCGGTCTTTTCCTCAGCAGCAGGAGCAGCAGCAGCAGCTTCGGTTTCTACTGGCTTGTCTTCCTTGGCCTCGGCACCTTCAGGCTCGCCGCCATCGGAGGAGGTCCAGAGGGTCAAGTTGTCGCGCAACAGTTGCATGATGAGGGTGCTGTCGCGGTAGGATTCTTCAGACAGGGAGTCGAGCTCGGCAATAGCGTCATCGAATGCCTGCTTGGCCAAGTGGCAAGCACGGTCGGGAGAGTTCAAGATTTCGTAGTAGAAGACTGAGAAGTTCAGGGCGAGACCAAGGCGGATGGGGTGGGTAGGTGTGAGCTCAGTCTGTGCGACATCGGTGGCGTTCTAAAACGACGGAAACTGGTCAGCGAGCTGACATGTAGAAAAAAAAATTAAATCATATTAACCTTGTAAGCCTCGTGAGCGGCAGTGGCTGCGACCTTGCGCTTGTTGCCAGATGCAAACTCGGCGAGATAGCGGTGGTAGTCGCCCTTCCTGCAAGCCGATCAGTTTTGTTACGCGCGGTGAAATCCAAAAGAGGTCAATTGTATACATCTTGTGGTAGAAGACCTTGGACTCGCCAGACTCGGCCTTGGGGATGAGAGACTCGTCAAGAACGTCCAAGACGTCTTGGCAGACTTTCTCGAGCTCAGTCTCGATCTTCTGGCGGTAGTCGCGGATGATGGTGACATGCTTGTCGGATCCCTTGGATTCTTCCTTCTGCTCGATTGAGGAGATGATGCGCCAGGAGGCACGGCGGGTGCCGACAACGTTCTTGTAGGCTACCGAGAGAAGGTTGCGTTCATCGACAGAAAGTTCACCATTCAGCTATACACTATTTGTTAACCACCAGTCTGGCTGAAAATTGGGAATTGAAAAATCGAGGGGACGGCGGTGAGGAGTCGATCGTACATTGGCAACTTCCTGTAGAGTTGTTAGACAATGGTTTCAAGCATAAAAAATTGCGTAGATGGTAGATGTGGTGGTTGACTGACCTTCATGTATGTGACCATCTCTGCAAGTTTCGCACAGGCCCAGTCAGTTGCATATTCCAGAAAAGAGGCCCACATGTCTTGACTCACCATCGTAACGCTCAGCCTGCTCACAGAGGCGTGCAAGAAAAGTCTTGCTTTGGGGGACATCAGTCACAGGTCTAGTGGGTTCAAGCCATGATACTTTACCTTTCACGCTGTTGCCAGAAATCCAGTCAGTTCAGATTATGCTCCAGAATCAACAAAGACACAGCGTAGAATCGCAGTGCATAGGAAATACCAGCACGTTTGACGTGCTGATGGCAGGCAAGGTGCAGGGCATGGAATGAGGGGCTATGATGTGTACAAACCTCAGAAGCCATGGTGGATAGATGTCAGTAGCAGGGGGGACAGCAGGTTCAGCAGCGGCTGGTGACTGGAGACTAGGAAGTAAGGTAACAGTGGGACTGAAAAGATTTTGATGACAGCGTCAAGGATGAGGAGAAAAGTTGGATAGAGGGTAAAAAAAAAGCCAGGACAAGACTGATAGCAGATGTTTGAGGGATGGCGGCGCAGTAGTTCAGTTTAGTTCCAATTGGGCTTAGTGCGCCAGGCGGCCAGGCCTCACATTTTGATTTTGATGCTGCCTTGCACAGAGCAACAGCTGTGAATACGTATCTGGCTAGAATAATGCAAGTATTATTTTTTTTTTGTTTTATTTATTTCTTTATTCATTGTATTCAACACCATCAAGAACACCCAGCGTGTTGTGTGGTGGTTTGTGTCGCAGGATAGACATCTAGATATCAATCCTGCAGATCATGTGAGGATCAAATTTGCAGTCAGTGACATGTGCCAGCAACCTTATATACGCCTAATCATCATTCATTGATTCAATGACATGGCAACTATAGGTTCATTAATCCTACCAGGGCATGATCATTGCCAGCTGAGCCCAGCCAAGTTCTTGGTCAGTCTTCTGACTGCACAGTTGTTAATAACACATTATAACTAACCAAACTATATCGTATCTCATGTATCATACGCCAAACACTGTACTTAGAAAGGACTCGCTGGAAACCCGCAGAAGCGTGAAGATAGGCGTCACGTGACGGCCCAATCCCCACCGATAAGGTTTGCCCTGTTTGGTATTTGGTATTGGCAATACACACACACAGTACCCCGGTAATTATAAAGGCGTATTACTGTTACGTATACAGCTCAGCGTGCTCCGTATTTCTAGCTATAAACACACGGAATAATGGCAGCCAAAACACACTGACTATATATCGTGTACTCTATACAGAGTAACTACTCCCTACCAGCTCCAGCCAGAATCCTCCAATGCTTGGCGCACATAGTAACCATTAAGATAGGCCAGGCTAGCTAGTTAGCTGCATATAATTATCGGCCGGGGCTGATAGCCGGCCAACGACGATACCGGAGACTTTCCGAGACTAGTCTGTTACGGATACGTGCCCCGTAATAATACCGACGACGCATTGTTTGCTGTCTGTCCTTTTGCCAACCTCTTTGCTTTTCGAACTTCCATTTCCTCGCTCTCCCATGCTCGCGATCAGCCTCGTCTGATAACGACATTGGATTTCTCTGCGAAGCAATGGACTGCTCTTTCACCCGCTCGCCCGCGGAGCTCCTCCGAGACTTCAGTGTTTCGGAGGAAGCAGGGCTGACCCAGGCACAAGTGCTGCATTCGCGGGAGAAGCATGGTGCAAATGGTAAGCCATGAGCCCGAATTCTTTCATGCACTCGAGCCGGAAAAAGATAAAATAAATAAAATAAAACGTGAAAATAAAACCGGGTATTTTGGATATGCCGTACTAATTCCTCGGCCAACAGCTCTCGACGAAGAGGAAGCAACCCCTCTGTGGAAACTGGTTCTCGAACAATTTCAAGACCAGCTGGTCCTCATCCTCCTTGCTTCGGCCGCAGTCTCATTCGTCCTGGCTCTTTACGACGATGCCGACGACTGGACTGCCTTCGTTGACCCCGCTGTGGTAAGCCGAGATTCGAAAGTCCCGCAGAAAAGAGAGCATATTTGCTGATGCAAGTCCGCTCGCCATAGATTCTCACCATCCTAATCCTCAATGCCATTGTTGGCGTGTCTCAAGAAAGCAGCGCTGAGAAAGCCATTGCCGCTCTTCAAGAATATTCCGCCAATGTAACCAAGGTCGTTCGCAATGGTACCCTGCAAAAGATCAAGGCCGAGGAATTGGTTCCTGGAGACATCATCCATATCGCCGTGGGCGACCGCGTCCCTGCCGATTGCCGGTTGCTGACAATTCAAAGCAACAGCTTCCGAGTGGATCAGGCAATATTGACCGGTGAAAGTGAAAGTGTCGCAAAGGATACGAAAGTCGTTGAGGATAAGCAGGCCGTTAAACAAGACCAGACAAACATGCTCTTCTCCGGTACTACCGTTGTGGCTGGCCACGCAACTGCAATCGTCGCTCTGACGGGAGCTTCAACCGCCATTGGTGGTATCCACGAGAGCATTACTTCTCAAATCTCCGAACCCACACCCTTGAAACAGAAGCTAAACGACTTCGGCGATGTATTGGCCAAAGTCATCACTGTCATTTGCATTGCCGTCTGGCTGATCAACATTGAGCATTTCAATGATCCTTCTCATGGTGGCTGGGCTAAAGGTGCTATCTACTATCTCAAGATTGCCGTGTCTCTCGGAGTGGCCGCCATTCCAGAAGGTCTCGCCGTCGTTATCACCACCTGCCTGGCTTTGGGTACCCGAAAAATGGCAGCCAAGAATGCCGTCGTTAGATCACTGCCGTCTGTCGAGACTTTGGGAAGCTGTAGCGTCATTTGCTCCGATAAGACCGGTACCCTGACTACCAACCAGATGAGTGTGGAGAAGATTATCTATCTGGACTCTTCTGGCCAAGGGTTTGAGGAAATTGACGTAGAAGGTACCACCTTCGCTCCCGTTGGCTCATTGAGAAAGCAGGGTAAACCACTGAAAGACCTGGCGGTCTCGTCCTCAACAATCAGTCAGATGACTGAGGTTCTCGCTCTGAACAACGAGGCTATTTTGGCTTATGACCCAAAGACTGGTTACTCCTGTATCGGTGAACCCACCGAGGGAGCCCTGCGTGTACTGGCTGAGAAGATTGGAACAGACAACGCTGTTTACAACGAGAACCTGCGATCCTTGCCGCCCTCCGCTGGGTTACATGCTACAAGCAAATACTACGAAAACAAGTTGTCATTGAAAGCCACCTATGAATTCTCTCGGGACCGCAAGAGCATGTCTGTTTTAGTCGGCGAGGGTAAAGAACAAAAGCTTCTGGTCAAGGGTGCCCCTGAATCCATTATCGAACGTTGCTCGCATGTCCTCCTTGGTTCAAACGGTCCACGTGTGCCATTGACCAAGAGCCACATCGATATGATCACCCAACAGGTTGTTGAATGCGGTAATCGAGGTCTTCGCGTTATTGCACTTGCCAGCGCACACAACGTCTCAGCAAACCCGCTCTTGCACACTGCGCAAACGTCCGAAGAATACGCCCAACTGGAACGCGACATGACTTTGATCGGCCTTGTCGGCATGCTCGACCCTCCTCGACCAGAGGTCGCTGGTTCTATTCGTCAATGTCGTGAAGCTGGAATTCGAATTATTGTCATCACTGGAGACAACCGGAACACTGCCGAGTCCATCTGCCGCCAAATTGGGGTTTTTGGTGCCAAGGAGGACCTTCGGGGGAAAAGCTTCACTGGTAGAGAGTTTGACGATCTTAGTGACAGCCAAAAGTTGGAGGCTGTCAAGAACGCATCTTTGTTTTCCCGCACCGAGCCTGCTCATAAATCTAAACTCGTCGATCTCCTTCAGTCACTCGGCCATGTTGTTGCTATGACTGGTGATGGTGTCAATGATGCCCCGGCTTTGAAAAAGGCAGACATCGGCGTGGCCATGGGTACAGGGACAGATGTTGCCAAGCTCGCTGCTGATATGGTTCTCGCCGATGACAACTTTGCTACGATCCAAGTCGCCGTAGAGGAAGGACGTTCTATCTATAGCAACACCCAGCAGTTCATCCGGTACTTAATCTCCTCCAACATCGGTGAAGTGGTCTCGATCTTCTTGACCGCTGCTTTGGGATTGCCTGAGGCCTTGGTGCCCGTTCAGTTGCTATGGGTTAACCTTGTTACCGATGGCTTACCCGCTACCGCTCTCTCCTTCAACCCTCCTGACCATGATGTCATGAGAAGACCTCCTCGCCAGCGCGACGAAGCTCTCGTTGGCGGCTGGCTCTTCTTCCGCTACATGGTTATCGGAACATACGTCGGCGCAGCCACTGTGTTTGGCTATGTGTGGTGGTTCATGTTCAACCCTGCCGGACCCCAAATCTCGTACTGGCAACTATCCCACTTCCACAAGTGCTCGTCCGAATTCCCTGAAATAGGCTGCTCGATGTTTGCCAACGACATGTCCAAGTCGGCATCAACAGTATCCCTGTCCATTCTCGTAGTCATCGAGATGCTCAACGCCATGAACGCGCTTTCGTCCAGTGAGTCGCTGCTCACTTTCCCCCTCTGGCACAACCCGATGCTCGTGTATGCGATTATCTTGTCGATGTCGCTGCACTTTGCAATCTTGTATGTGCCTTTCTTGCAAGGATTGTTTGCTATTTTACCATTGGACTGGAATGAATGGCAGGCTGTCTTGGTTATCAGTGCACCAGTAATGTGAGTCCCCTCTTTTTTCTCCCCTCTTCAATTATTTCTCCCGTGATCCTTTCTGACCTGGTTTTTTTTAAAAAAAATAATAACAGCATAATCGACGAAGTTCTCAAATTCTTTGAAAGACGTCTTTACGATAAACACGTAGAACAACCCGTTAAATCAGAAGCAAACGGTAAAATCAAGGCTGCTTGATTTTTTTTCCCTTCTTTTCTGGGGGGCGCTCCTTTGGATCAACATTATCATTCATGCGTTATGTTCAAAAAAACAAAAAGAACAAAAAATTGAAAAGAAAATGAGGTGGGGAGTGGTATTTTCGTGCTTACAATTTACAACATATAAGTTTTTCTTGCTCTTGTTCTTCGTGCATCCATTACTGAGGGGTTTAGATCATCATATATACATAGACAAGCAAATAAAATTCTTGCATGACTTACATATAGTCTCTTCCTGCTGCCTTTTTACCTACATTAGATCTAGTCAAAGAATAAGAACTATCAAAAACTAGACGAAACACGTGGTAGAACATAAGTAGATATCTATATTGATTGTTCTGCTCACACTTGTAGGTTGAGACATTCTTATGTCAAGTTCCGGCCATTCATACATATGTCGTAATTTATTTATCTATTTATCAAGTGCATAGCTGTCTTCGAGTGCCTAGGTGGATTGCAATTTTCTATACTTCACGGACATATGCATCAGCTGTGCTCCCTCCTTGATTCGTTTATAGTACACATAGTTCTGTGAAATAAAGAAAACTGGTGGGTGATACCATGGTATGGCAGTGAGTTTATATACTCTGATTATAGCTTTTTCAATAGCTAAATGAGCGTCCCTTTTTATATTAGTCGTAATATTTAGCTACCACGCCACCGATGATAGGCTGCTCTCCAACTTCACTCCGTGCCAGACCTTTGTCAACGCCCTTGGCCACTCTAGCCTTCACCCACTCACCAGCAGTTATTCCCACTGCACTATTGTCTGTTTTCTGATCATATCCCAAGCGCTGGAGCACGTCGCTCACCACCGGCCGTAACTCGAGGTTATCTTCTGGTCGGACAAAGTACAAAACACCGAGGCGGTCTACGTCCCTCTGATCTGGCGGTGGTGCGACGACACGGTGTATACTACTCTTGAGGAAACCATTGGTGAGAAAATCGAGTGAGTCGGCGAGATTCACCGTGATGCTCCCCGGATAAGGCTTCACCCACTTCCACTGGCCCTCCGGGGTACGAACCTGCAGCGCCGCAACTGGCTGTCGGAACAACAGGGTCAAGCTACCAAAGTCGGTATGGCCCTTGGACCAAATTCCGGCGGCCTTCTCGTTCTCTTCATCAGAACGGCGGTGGTACTTCATGTACCGCAGATGGCAGTCGCTCTTCTCATCGTAACGGTGCACCTTGAGGAAATAGTCCTCGGGGAGCTCGAGGATGATGGCGAGAAGCGTGAGGAGTTTGCGCACAATTTCGTCATGAATGTGGCGTGCAAATTTCTCGATAATAGGGCGATTCTGATTCACGATATCGGGCTGCGGCCGTTCAAAATCGGGAATGAATTTGGGGATGTTGTAGATTTCGGTCTTGTCGAAAACCCCCGGACTGATTTCCTGAGGCCGGAATTAAAAAGGGATGTTCACCATATAGGCCTATAGGGTCGATTTGTTTTTTTTTTTCTTTCCGACTTACTCGGAGACCCATTGGCTTATAGCCGTTGTAGCCACCTTTCTCAAGCTCAGCACGATACTTGAGTTTCTCCTCCAGTGGAAGCTTGAAGAGCTCCTTGCCAATCGAGAATTGGCGGTCAACATCTTCCTGCGAGAGGCCAAAGTTGACGATATAAAAGAAGCCTAAGCTAGGTCAGTCAGTACAGTAGTTCCAAGCGTTTACCTGTGCGTGTTCCTGACCTATATTCTGGATAGCTTCGAAGAGCTGCTTGGCTAGCTGCTCCTTACCACCTGGCTGGTCAAACAGAGATAGATCCAACGTGGCAAGGTCCGCCCAGTCCACTACATGTAAACACGTTAGCCATAGTCTCGCTCTCCAGTATTCCGCGGAGCATGAAAACGAACACTCAAAAGAGGTTTCCGGGACCTGGTAATACGTCGGGATCTCTGGGGCTGGAGGCTGAATCAACGTTGCCATGGCGAAATATCACAACACAAAACAATAACTAGGTAACTAGGTATCTGGAGGATGTTGCAGCAAGAAGGGCGGCAAATTTTGTAGAAACAATTGCATTGCAGCCTGCCTGAGAAATGCGACGGCCTCGGACTTGCAGTGGTCTTTTCAATAAGCTCGCACTAATACATGAGAGAGAGAAAGAGAGAGAGAGAGAGAGAGAGCATATTCCAATCGGGCGGTTTTGGCTCTATTCGGGAATCTTCTCATAATATCCTCCGCTTGCGTGATCGCTCGCGGCTATTTGGTGCAGAGGTCCACGACACCCCGACGATAACTAAAGAACGGTATCTCTATACTTCGAACCTTGGAAGTTAGAACTGCTGTCAGCATGGTCTAGGCCTCAGCATTCGTGATCCTAGTAGACCATGATACAAGTCGTTCTCCCGGAGGGTTTCTGAGCTGTTCAAACTAGAGAGACTCGCATACATTAACTATCGAGCATCACAGTGGTTTCTCACTATGTTGTCAACATCAACACCGCGACTATGGCAGGTAAAGAAGACAAAAACACGGCCACTGATGTTGTCTCCACCAGTGACAGCGACGCCGAATACAGGCTTCATTTTGCTAGACGTGGCCAGGCCTTCGAGGGTGTGTCATCGAGCGAGGAAAGCATTGACGGCTACGATGCAGAACTGATGAGTGGCAGGACGCTGCTCACGGCCGAAGAGGAGAAGAGATTGCTACGCAAAATCGACTGGCGGTTGATGACGCTTTGCTCGCTCCTCTTTATGTTCAAGAATCTGGACAGCAGCAATGTGAGTCAAACACTCCAGGTGGGTGCAATATACTTATGGCTTCGCAGGTATCCAATGCTCGAATCATGAACGAGGGAACGAATCAGAACATCATGACACAGCTTGGACTGACTTCCAACGAGTACAATCTCGTCACTGTCGCTTACTATGTAAGAGACAATTGACCCCAGCATCCACGGCGTGTCTGACTAAGCATCCCAGCTCCCATACATTGTGTTCGAAGCACCCTCAAATCTACTGCTCAAGAGATTCTCTCCGTCAAAATGGCAGTCAAGAATTATGGTCGGCTGGGGTATCGTTCTCATGTGCAATGCTGCCGTGAAGGACAAGGGCGGTTTGTTCACAACGCGGTTCTTCCTAGGTCTGGTACGTTGTACACCAACAAGGCTCAATGATACCAATCTACACTTTAACGCAGATAAGTCTAATGCTGCCTAGGCCGAGGCTGGACAGTTCCCCGGTGTCATTCTCCAGATGACTTACTGGTATCGCCCAGACGAGATGTCCTTACGGCTGCTCTACTTTTGTAAGCTCACACGATATAGTTTCGAATTATCCAGAGGCTCGATGAACGTCACTGACTATGGTATGAAGATATTTGCGGAAACGTTTCAGGTATCTTCAGTGGTCTTCTTGCCTATGCGTTTGACACTGTGTCTGGCGCAGGGGGGCTTTCCGGATGGCAGTGGTAAATTCTAATTCCTCTTCTTAGATTCTTACATACTAACTTGGTCCAGGTTGTTCCTCAGCGAAGGTATTGCGACTGTCCTTTTCGGTATTGCCATCTGGTTCTTACTCCCAGATTGTAAGGGATATCCTTTTCTTGCACTTCCGTATTTGCATTAACAGGAGATAGTTCCTGAGACCGCAAATTGGTTGACGGAGAGGGAAAAGAAGTTCATCCAAGCCCGACTGCCATCCAATGCTCCTCGAGCCAACGAGCAGAACTTCAAACTCCGCGAAGTGATCGAGTCCCTGAAAGACCTAAGGCTGTGGTTGTTTACGCTGATTTGGGCCACTTTTACTGTTGGAACCAACGGCGTCACATTCTATCAATCGACCGTCATTGCTGACCTCGGATACACGTAAGTGTCTACTCGTAGACCGCCAAAAAGGACAATACTGACCACTTCCCAAGGACCATTGCCGAGGCTCAACTGCTCAATCTCCCTATCACGGCGTGTGGTCTCCTGTTCATTGCCGCCACGGGCGTCATGGCAGACCGCAGTCGGATACCCCGGCCGTTGTACCCCCTTTCTTTCCTTCTCGTCATCATAATCTGTTACGGCGTGTTTGTTGCCTATCCGAGTGCTGGTGCCATATACGCTGTGACGCTGATCGGAAATGCCGTTACTGCCGCGTGGTACCCTGTCATGTGGTATGTTTTTGTTTACCCTAACCTGCCCAGATGTTTTAATGTACAGCTTCTCTGACATGCAAACAGGCCATGGCGAGTACAAACCACGTCCAGGGCCACGGGCTCCGCCTTCTCTATCGGCTTCGTCAACAGCTACGGTCAAATTGGGGGCGCCATCGGGCCGCAGATATTCAGAAGCAAGTACGCACCACACTACACAGTGCCATTCTCCATCGCCATGGGGCTCGTGGGCCTTTGTGTGATCTTGACGCTGGTGACGTGGTGGGTGACGAGGGACACGGAGCGCGACACGAGGCGGCTGAAGCTGGCCAAAATCGCTGCTGAGAGGAGGGGAGAGACGATTTTGGAAGATGTTGTGGACCGGGACTTGAAAGATCGCTAGACTGGTTGCGTGTTTCTCGTTTCCCTTGTTTATGAATAGTCGGGCCCTGATAGATCATTATCTGTTCTTCATCGAGCGAGTTTCTTAGGAATATATTCATATATTCCTGAATACTCATCAAGCGTATTGAACAAAGATAGAATATTTGATCTCCATACAAACTGGAGTGGCTCTCATTTGAATATTATACATGCCAATGAGATTCCCCATGCATCTTTCTCGCCTAGTAGGTAGGCCAATGGCCCCCGGCACACTTCTTGCACGTTGCTCCCAGCACTCCTGTTGTCTCACCAATATGGCATCCATTAGAAGTGTCTCCTGCCGGCTTCAAATGTTGACTGATTGATCAAGGGTAACCCTGATAACCCTAAGATAGCCATCCCCAAGTCACCCCCGTACAGCCAGCCTCTGGAGCATAGATCAAATCCAATTAGTTTACCCTCAATACGAAATCTACTGACTTTTTTAAACAGAAATAAATTATAATTTCCGAAATTTCAAACTGACCATCCCCTATCCCTCCGAGCAATGGGCAAAACCAAAAAAAAAAGGTCCGAGAAAACCCTCCGATTCGTTACTCCTACACATGCCCTGCAGCAGATCAAATCAACAATCTGTGGCACGTTATTACCTTCAAATCGGTTCCTTCGTATTCGTACATGTGACAGAAAGGATTGCACACTTTTTAGTATACTCACCTCATACAGCTTGGACAAATGGACGCCTTCCCGCCGCCCAGGGCTTCAAGCGATCCCTACTTTAATCTAGGGACATTCAGTCGCAAAATCAGCACCAATTCCCAGGAGGCCCAGGCATGGTTTGATCGCGCACTTGTCTGGACGTATTGCTTCAATCATGACGAAGCAATTGCTTGCTACACGCAGGCAATCGCGCACGACGAGAACTGCGCCATGGCATACTGGGGGATATCCTTCTGCTCTGGCTCCAATTACAACAGGACGTGGGCGTTATTCGGCGAAAGGGAGCGGGTGAATGCAATCAAGCAATGTTATATATTTTCTCAAGAAGCTTTGAGGCGGGCACACAAGGCGTCAGATTGGGAGCAGGCAATCATCAATGCTCTTGCGACAAGGTACCCCGATGATGATCCAAGTAGAGATATTGCCGCGTGTAACAGAGAATACGCCGATGCTATGAGAGAGGTGTACGTAAATCTGGGTCGCGATGATTTTGATATCATTACGCTCTTCGCCGACGCATTGATGAATTGTGCTCCGCGAAAGTTATATGACGCCTGCACGGGGCTCCCAATAGCGTCTTCCCCGGTATTCGAGGTGAAAGACCTGCTTGAGCGCGCTCTGAAGATGCCAGCGATCGAACAGCATCCAGGTCCCGCACACATGTATATCCACCTGATGGAAATGTCGGCCACTCCTGAGGCCGCTCTACCTGCAGCAGAGATGATCCGCGAGATCTTTCCTGATACCGGCCATACATACCACATGCCTGCACATATCGATGTGCTTGTGGGGGATTATCGGCGCGCAGTAGAATACAATTTCAAGGCGACGGTCGCGGATGACAAGTTCTTTCAACAGAATGGCGGCCTGACATTCTACAGCTACTATCGCCTGCACGACTATCACTCCCTCATCTATGCCGCGATGCTGAGTGGGAAATCCAAGGCAGCGTTGTCGGCGACGGACCGGATGGAAGCGACTATCACGGAAGAAATTCTGCGAGTAGAAACGCTTGCGAACTGGATGGAATTCTTCAAGGCTGTCAGAGTGCATGTACTGATTCGCTTCGGGATGTGGGAAGAACTCAAAAAGCTCGATGCGCTTGAAGATAGGGAGCTTTACTGTGTCACGAATGTGATGAGACACTATGGAAAAGGCATCGCGCATGCGGCCACAGGGCAGCTTGGGGAAGCGGACAAGGAGCGCGAGCTCTTCAAAGTCGCTTCCCAGCTTGTCCCTCCGACACGCCTCGACTTCCCCAACAAAATCACGGATATCCTCAAAGTCGCATCTGCGATGCTGGATGGCGAAATTGAGTATAGACGGGGGGATTACGAGACTGCATTCAGCAGATTACGGGACGCAGTTAGGCTGGAGGACGAGCTGCCCTTCGCGGAGCCATGGGGGTGGATGCTTCCAGCTCGGCATGCATATGCAGCTCTCTCCTTGGAGCAGGGCGAGGTTGAGCAGGCTGCAGAGGCTTATGCGGAGGATTTAGGGCTCTCGCCGACCCCCAAACGTGCACATCAACACCCAAATAACGTTTGGGCTCTCCATGGCTATCATGAGTGCCTTGAGATTTTGGGTCGCCATGCGGAGGCAAACATTATCAAAAAACAACTTTCGCTTGCTCTAGTGGAGGCAGATGTTGAGATCACATCTTCATGCTTTTGTAGGCTAGGGAATTTTCCTTCATGTGGAAAGCCCAAGACAAATGGTTGCCACGGCGTGAAGCGGAAGTGTCACAGGTAGATATCTTAATGAAACCCTGGCCTGCTTCATATGTAGCACTTAAGAAATATATTCCATATAGAGATAATAATAGCAATATGTGTGGTTTCGATGCTCGGTAACACTTGAAAAACAAAACTTATACGTGGGACTCGTTAACGACGGCATCTGCAACTTCCTTGATCATCCCCTGTACCTCATCAACGATGCGGAAACAAGGCACCAACTTCCGCGCCGCAGGGTTTTGCGGACAAAGGTCAAGGGGATCATGCTCTTTTCTCCGACAGCGTCCTTCAGGATCGGGGCAAGTTTCATGACCAACCCTATGGCGATTGCGTTGCCGCTGCTCAAATTCCTTGCCCAGTGCCAAAAGCCGCTCGGCATCGGTCTCAAGGCCATGCATGACGAGATCTCTGAACTTCTCGCCGCTGATTTGTAAACTTAGTTCCGAAGGAATTCCAATTCCGGGGTCGAGATAGACAGTTTCACTTTCATTCCTGGCATCGAGCTCGGCACAGTGTTTATTCAGCCAGTGTAGGTACTTTTGGTAGCCGGATGTTATTTCCAACATAAGCTGGCCGACGAGGAGGACATTTTGCACCGTTACTCGAGGCGGTTTTGACACGTCGTAGCAGATAGGGCAAGTCAGTAGCCTGTCTGTGAGAGACACCCCTGTGCGAAGCATGTGAATGATATCGTGCGACATCTCTGCACGGCCCAGGTTCCGGACTATGTTGGAAACGTCTTCGTCGCATGTACAAGCCTGTGAGGATGACACGGGAGAGACGTATGCATCCGAGGCTATTTGCAATCCGTCTTGCAATCCGAGATCAATCGGCAAGGAACGAACGCCGCCGTTCGCGAGCATCTCCCAGTCCAAGGCGTCGAAGCCGCAGTTCCCGGACAGTGGCTCGAGCTCGTCGCCTCCCATGAGCATACTGATGGAGTCCTGACAGCCCAGCGCCGCTTGGGGGAGGACCGGCGAGAAATGCGACGAGCCTGAGGATCCCAAGTCCTCATGCCTTGGGCGCTTTCTCGGCCGTCCAGGGGCCCCTTGACTCTTGAACTTGCAGGGCAAGGACAAGGCCCGGCAACGGCTGCAGCCGGTCTTTTCGCCTGAGCATCTGAGCTTCCGCGCGCCTGTCTAGTTAGCATCGTTGTTATTCGACGTTGAGGAGATACTCACGACATGCTTCGCAGGACTTTCGCTCCTGTCGACTGTATTCCATTTTATACTGTTGGGTACCTAGGTATATCGCGGTGGAGAACCTTGGAAGTGTTTGGTTGAAGTTGCGACTGAAACTAATGCGGAATTGCGTGCCAGCCGCTGCGATGGCGCCATCTGGCTTGCTTACTCCAATTTCCATCTCAACGCTGATCGTGATGTTGAGGTCTTGGATATAACAACGAACACAACCTCGTATACGGCGGACTTGATCAAAGAATTTCACCAAATTCAATGTTACGAAATTTACATTTAAATACGTCGGAACACGGGAGATTTGTAAATTCCACGGTTTTTGCTCATAACCATATAGTGGACTAACTTCCTAGAGTTAGTTAATACTTCGATAGTAGTACATACATTATTCGCTCCCTCCAATCACGTGAATTCTCGCAACCCTAAGTGTTGCCCAACATGATTAGATCGCCGTGCAGGAGAAAAACAAGGGCGTGCATGTAGGAAAACTAACTTGGATAGTAGAAATAGACCAATCATAGCTCTTCTCTATATATATCTAGAGAAACCCTCCGAGCAACTCAAGAATCACCCGAAACAGGCTATGGAGCAGTTTGCTTCGTTTTCCAAAACATATCCCATCCTACATAGATTCCAAACATAATGGCCACAAATATAACCCCAGCCAAGTTGCGCCAGCATTGGGCAAATCGCCAGGAGATTGCCCTCCTCGATGTCCGCGAAGAAGGCCCCTATGCCGAGTCCCATCCTTTATTCGCTCTCAGTGTGCCAGTGTCGGAGATTGAGAAGAAGTTGCCGCCGCTGGTTCCTCGATTGTCCGCCCCGATTGTGGTCTACGACGACGGCGAGGGTTATGTTGGGCGCGCTGCAGCCCGGATATTAGCCCTGGGATACCGGCATGTTGCCATCCTACAAGGCGGCCTTTCTGGCTACGCTCAAATTGGCGAAGTCTACCGCGACGTCAATGTGCCGTCCAAAGCATTTGGTGAGCTCGTTGAGTCGATCACTCACACTCCGTCCCTCGCTGCGCGAGATGTCAAGCACCTCGTGGAGAGTGATAGTGATGTGGTGGTCTTGGATGCCAGGCGTTTTGAGGAGTATAATACAATGAGCATTCCCCGTGGCCGAAGCTGTCCGGGGGGAGAACTGCTGTATCGTATTTTTGAAGCTATATCCTCGCCGGAGACTACAGTCGTCGTTAATTGTGCAGGTCGAACACGGAGTATTGTTGGCACACAATCCTTGATCAATTCTGGGATCCCGAACAAAGTGGTTGCGCTCCGAAATGGGACTATTGGCTGGACATTGGAAGGGTTGGAGCTGGAGAACAACAAGACGGACCATATTCCACGACCTTCAGTTGAGGCCTCGCAAAAGGCACGGCAATACGCTGAATCCTGGGCTGATTATATCGGCGTCTCTTTTATCGATGGCGAACAGCTCCGTCGATTTGCCGCCGAATCGGAAGACCGGACTCTGTATTTGCTAGACGTTAGAGACCCGGAGGAGTATGCTCTTGGTCACCCAGCGGGCTTCACCAATGCGCCTGGTGGTCAACTGGTACAAGCCACCGATGAGTGGGTTGGTGTTCGGGGGGCTCGCCTTGTTCTATACGATACGGACGGTGTGCGAGCGCGCATGACAGCCAGCTGGCTCGTACAGCTCGGGTGGGAGGTGCATGTCTTTGAAGACCCGTCGCCAGTGCCTGATGGCCTTCCGGCGCCTAAAAGGCCTTTATGGCATTCTCCAGAGTCTACTACTATTACGACCCAAGATCTTCAAAATCTCCCAGGAGCGACTGTAGTCGATCTCGCCCGCAGTTCGTCCTATCGCAAAGGCCATATTCCCGGCGCATGGTTTGCTTCTGGACCTGAACTTGTCCGAGACCTGACGGCTGTCACCGGTGACGGCCCTATCGTGCTGACCTCGCCTGATGGCAACATTGCCGCCATGAATGTTGAGCATGCACGCAACTCAGTCTCGCGACAGGTCTTGTATCTGGCTGGAGGCACTGCGGCCTGGGTAGCAGCCGGTCATCCGCTCGAGACCCAGTCTCGTTGGCTCTCGAAGCCAATTGACGTATATAAAAGGCCGTACGAGGGCACAAGCAACGCTCGCAAGGACATGCAGGGCTATCTTGACTGGGAGTATGGGCTTGTCGCGCAGCTGGCGAACGACGGGGTCGCTTGTTTTCACGTTGTACGGGACCGGCGTGGTTAGCTTGAGATATCGAAGACAAGGTATCAATTACTGATCAGAGATACCAGGCGAGGCAACAAATTGCGAGGTCTATGGAGAAGAAGCATTTTCCGGGTCCAACACGCTCTAATTACCTTATATCAGCTCCCTATCGTATAGTAAAAATATATAGGTGCTGACCAGTTCTTGATAGTAGCGGCTATTCAACGTAGAACCCTCTGGAGAAAGAAAGTATACTAGTTGGCCTCTAGAATATTGGTGAAATATGTCTGAAATAAATTATTATATGACCCAGATAACGACAGAAATCGACAAACAAACGGGCTAATATCCAAGATCCATGACAATGATAAGGATGGTAATGACGATCACGATGACGACCAGAGCGGCGTAGAAGGGGTATAAAAAAGTGAAAAGAATACATCATGTTTATGATAATGTTGGTGGCATATATATATATATATATATATGAACAATAGCATGAAAGAGAAAATGGTTGCGGTAGAAGTGTAGGTTGAAATGATAGTAAAGAAAGGAAAATGAGTACTTTAATACAGTGGCTGGAATGGATGATGATGATCACGAACGAAATGGGCTGTTTCAAGTTAAAGGGGGAGTGGTAGTAGTAGCAGTAGCGGCGGTGTCTTCTTTGGTCATGTCAGTCTCTAACTCGCTTGCAGTGGGCTGCTGTGACGAGGAATCCACGTCCTCGGTTGTTTGATTTGTGTCTTCGACGACGGATTCATTCCCAGTCGCGGGTTTAGGATCGGCCTCGGTCTGGCGTTCAGACTCGAAAATGGGAGTTTCTTGTTCTGCAACCGCGTCTGGTTCAAGGTCTTCAGCGAGGTCTGGCAAAGACTGCTGCTGAGCTTCTGGATCGTGAAGTGACGATGACCGCGGTAGGAGCAGATCATCACTAGGCAATGGAAGATCAACTGCCGGTTCAAGAGTAGGTCTACCATGAATCTCCGCCGAATCTTCCCTCTCTTCATCTCCTTTATTTGACGATATGATTGTTTCTGATTGAGTGGCCTCTTCCGACTCAGCTGGAGGCTCCGCAACGACATCAAGACTGGTGTCAGTGATGCCAGGATCACTAAACGTGTCAACTTCCTCAATGTCTTCTTCATCTTCTTCTACTACAGCATCTTCTTCTTCGATAATCTGGCTTTTGCGGGTAATTGGTTTGACAATTTCACTTGATGCTCCCCCCTTTTGAAGTGGCGGTGATAAGTTTGGCGTCCCGGGCCCGTTCGAAAAAATCACGTTATTAGTATTGAGCATTGGCCCCCTGAAAGGTGTTCGTTTTCGTCGAGCAAAAATAAACCCTTGTGACTGTGCGGGCAATGTTTCGTTGAACACTGAGTATATGCCATGATTCTCAGGGTCATTTGCGTCCCGTAGAGCATTGGGCGGGTTACGCACTAGCCGAATGTTACTAGGGAAGCGAGACCCAGTAGTAGGTGTAGCCGGGAGTACTTTGACAGACGTATGCGGAGACCGGCTCATTCTCGTAGATGCCGTTGGAGTTGACATAGTGTCAACGCTATTTGATGAAATGGAAGAAGCCTTTGAATGAGAGTGAACATGATGAATACTTCGTACAGAGGAGATGGAAGAAGACGTTGATTTACGCCCGCGCAAACCAGCAGAAGAACGTCGATAGGATCCCCGAGGGGTGAGAGGAGCTGGAGATAGTGAATTGCGATTACTTGAAGCACGGGCCTGGCGACCATATGAGTTTCGATGGTGAGCATATGATGCACTATTAGGAGCGAGGCTGCTGGCGTTTGAAGATCGCTTAATCTGTGTTGGCGTCATGACCGGAGTTTCGACGTTTGCTGACAGTCGTGCCACCTGTTTTCGCTGAATATCTGAGCCTTTTCCAGGACTAGATTTTTCAGATCGCTTGGAGGATTGTCCTCCCGTACTCTTTGGTGTTCTGGGATGAGGCGATTTAGCACGTTTGGCAGACTCAACTATCCAATGTTTGAGTGATGCTAGTTGGCTCATCAAGGAATGCTGATGGCGTCGGCCTGTGCGACGCTTGAATATACCGCTGGAATGGGATGCCAACTCTGGCTGAGACGCACTAACATGAAGCATGCTGGGTCTGGAGTGACGGTGCTCTTTTGGCGGCGGTATGGGGCGTCGTCTAGTGGAGCTTAGAGAGCGAACTGAATCCTTGTCTATTGGTTGCGGAGGCAATCCAACATCTAAAGGTGGGAGATTGGCGAAACCTTCTGGAAGTTTGGGAACTTCTGGAATCGAAAGGTCGGCTTGAGAAAAATGAAATGTTAGACCTAGAGATAACAAGGTAACGAGGCATTATGTACTTACGGGTTGGTAGACTACGACGATCCCGCCTTCCCCGAGCCTGCAGAGTGTCACCATCCTCTTCGTCCACTTCAACTAGAGCAGATATCTTTTCCAAACGACTGCTAGCTGCGCTTAGGCGACGCAAGCTGCGAGCTTCGGCTTCCTTTTCTTTCCTTTTGCGCTCGCGTTTCTTTTCCTTACGCTCCTCTTTTTCGATCAGCAGGGCCCACCAGCCGGCTAGAGCATCGCACCGCTGCGAGAGCACATGTTCTATGACCTGGTCGATATTCACTCCTGCACTCTTCATACGCAACAAAGTCGTCTTCTCTAGAGCGGTGGTAAAGGGAGACGGGCGCGTTGTTTGCAAAATAATCTGTTGCTCCACTCCGTGCTCCGCCAAAAAGGGATGCGATAAGATGTCAGTCAGCGTTGGACGCAAAAGAGGCCGCTTGGAAAGCAGTATCTTGATCAGCGACTGTGAATCTTCCGGGAACTTGTCATTGAAGAGAGGGTCTTCTTTAAGGATCTTCGCTTTAGTTTCCTGGTCGTCATCTTCATCGTATGGCAACTCCCCAGCTAGGAGAGCATACAAGATGATGCCTAGACTCCATACATCAACCTTTTCCCCTGCGTATTTTTCGCCTTTGAGCATTTCTGGTGCGCTGTAACATATTGTGCCGCAAAATGTTTGCAAATAACTTGCCTTCCCTTCGTATTCGCGCGTAAAGCCAAAATCGCACAGTTTGACGTTTCCATGTTTATCAAGTAAAATGTTTTCGAGCTTCAAATCCCGATGCACGCACGACTTGCTATGGACATAAGCGACAGCTCCGACTAGCTGCGCGAAAATTCGTCGGACCTTGTCCACCGGCAGAGGGCCATTGTTCAAGAGATGGTTGTATAGCTCATCCCCTACGAAGAGATGATTCATATTAGTCCGCCATTCCACGCAATGAGTGGGAACAGGCATACCTGGACAATATTCCAAAACTAGCCAAACTAAATTCTCCGTGACAATGACCTCATAAAGCCGAGCAATATGAGGATGCAGAAATTGGCGATGGTGGTGTATCTCACGCGCAAGAGTGGAATCCTGCTTGTTCGACGATTTAAGAACGACCTGATCGATTCACATGAGTCGGGATTCGCGACGGCTTTCCGATAATCGAGACTTACCTTGGAATTATTGGTAAGTTTGTGTGTTGCGAGGTAAACCTTGCCGAAGGAGCCTTTGCCAATCAGTCTTCCAAGAGTGTAGTTGCCAACAACTCGGAGGTCGGGGGAAGAAAATTCCCTGCAAAAATCTGTCAATAGGTGTCTTCCAAAAATCGCGTCAATGAGGAAACTTGGTGAGCTAGAACTTACTGAAGCAACTCATTGTAGGAATTGACAAGCTTTGAAACCACCGCGCATCAGCCCGTGACTCTTGACGACCGTGAATAGAACAAACCCACCTTTGCCTTCTGGGACAGGGCCTCTGTCTTTGTCCTAGCTGCCTGCATGTGTTGATATGGCGTAACACAAGCGCGAAGTACTCCAATTGCCCCAGTTGAATGTGCCCTCTTTATCCTCTTTGAGAGGTTACGTAGTTGTTCAGATGAGAAGACCGGGCGATGTCGCTGATGCCATTCGGAGACGCCTCCCTTTACTGAAGATGCCCAAATGCCGAACGAGTGTTTAGGGTACGTCTGTACTTCTCGGTTCTCTTGGAGGGGGTGGGAATATGCCGGATAGCGTAGTACGGGGTAAGAAGGAACGGCGATAACGTGATGGGGGCGAACGGTGGTTTGAAGTTGCGTTGCGTTGCAATATGAATTTCGTCCGAAGATAACAGGATTATTAAGAGACGAAAAGAAGCGAGCGCGAATGAATAAGTTTAGCCGAGAACCTCTAGATGATAGTATTGTATGATGTATTGAGACGACGCAGGGAGTAAGTTAAAATAACGACGCTGGTCTAGGGTAAATCAAATCAAAAGAGCGCTGTTCCGAAACGTCGGATAAACCGGGGTCATGAGCCGTTGAAGGAGGGGACGATCAGGGAGTCGCAAAGCAGACAGCGCAGAAAAGAACAATTAAGTAAGTAGGCAATAGAAATGATGGACTAGAAGAAGGCTTAGGATGGAGAGAGAAGAATATTTAACAACCAAGAGAGAAGAATATTTAACAACCAAGAGAGAAAACAGGAAGAAGTCAAATGGACATTCTCCGGCATGGAAGGCGGGAATGCTGCGGAAGCGCTGTGATTGGCCGGCTGCTCGTTGGGTCGACAAACGTCAAATGTGAAAATGTCACAACTCAAAAGGGAAAGAAGAGAAGCACGAGGATTCCTGCATCTCTACGATCAATAAGACTAGGCATCGAGGTGCGAATGGGATGAAGCGCAGCAGGAATCTATGTGATTATTTGTCACGTGACTTACAAGTAATGTTACATAAGTATCACGTGCCGCCAGGCACGTGACAAACCATGAACTGCGGAATAACATCTGTTCCGTAGATACTGTCTGTCACTCAACGATGACGAACATCAACAACCAGATTGGTTTTATGTCGGCTGTAAGCATGCTCGCTCTTACTCGGATTTGCTATTGCAACTTCTTCTCGTTTGCAACTAACCCTAAACATGTGAGGACGCCAATACTAGCCAAAGTTACAAACACTATTTCCAAACCATTATATCCTGCCCAACGCTCTGCAGCAGTGAGAAAGAAAGGCGTTACCACGATGCTGATACCCATGAGGCTTGTGATAATTCCGTAACCAATCATTATCAGATCGTCTCCATGTACCTTGTCTTCCACTGCAGGAGGAATACTTAGTAGGCGATCTGAATCGAAATTTCTTTCTTCCTCCAGCTCTACTTCTGGGGCATTTTCCGTCGACTCTAATTCCAACGGCATTTCCGCTGAATCTTCATCTTGCATAATACTAACAGATACACTTGCCCATATACCAGCTGAGAATAGTGCATTTCCAATGGCAATTAGGGACAAGGGAAGTATTGGCTCACCGTAGTCCGCCAAGAAGAGAGTATGCGCAACGAGCATCAATATCTGGGAGTAGAGAAGAGCAAGTGAATAGTTCCTCAGTACTGGAATCTCGAGCAACATTCCAAGAAACATAGGCATAACTCCTCCCACGAAATGTACAATGCTGTTTTATCACATTAGATTAATTATATGAGGGAATATGGATAATGGTAGTACCTAACAGCTAGACCCGCAGCGGTTTGATTGTCGGCATAAAATCTGGACGCGATGAATCGCTGGGCCGAGTTGAAGAAAGGAAGTAGACAAGCGTATCCCGTCAGACAGACGGACGCAATATACCAATAACTTCGTGGAAGTCGACGGATAGACTGGACGAATTTTTTTTTTCCCTTCTTTCTCTGCGGAATCTTCGTTGACATCAACGGCCACCACATATAGAGCACTGAGAGCGACAAGTCCAAGAGCCAACGTGCTCGAAAACCAGGTTGCTGTCAAGGTACCGTAGGTTTCAGTCAATCGCGGCGTCAAGTTCGAGTTTGCGACGCTACCGAGAGAAGAAATGCTTTCATAGATAGCCATTGCAAGGCCTGTCTTGTCTCCGCTAACTGGCGATTATTTAATTCCGTGCAATATGATTCCGGAGGGATTGACTCACGGAAACCATCTTGTAACAATTTCGGTCCCCAGTACACCTAGTACCTCACCTCCCATTCCCAAAAACGCGCGTGCAACAACCAAACCTGCCGTTGATTTGGTCTGTACACCGACACAGAATCCCAGCTGGCTACCAAATACTGCTGCTAAGCAGCAGTACAACAGTGGTCGAGCACCATATCTCTGGATGGCCCACCCAGAGAAGAAAGGTAACCCGATGCTTGGTACAGCAAAGGCTATATAAAGGGAGGAGAGAAGATACGTGTATTGAGGACTCGACAGAGTGAGGTAAAACTGTAGCTGGGTAGAGAGGGCCGAAGGGAGGTCGTATACTGTGATGCGTCATTAGACGTGCAATAGCGTTTACGTAGTTTGTGTAGTACACACTCCAGTAGACACCCAAGTACATGCAAGAAACAGCAACGAGAATACAGTAGCGTACCAGCACCGAAGTTGTGAGGCTCATGTTGGTACTTCTCGTGGGATTGGTGGGAGAATGTAGATGGAAAGACGTTCGCTGAGGTTCACGACCGAGAAAGGCTAACAGATCACGTTCTTTGTGCAAAATTCCACAGCTTAACCAATCAAGTTGAGGCGATAAGGTGTTCTAAACAGTATACAGTGCCATCATGCGAATACTCATGATTGCATAACCATGTTAAATATTGCAATTACCTGGCAAGTCGGTATAGGCCAGGATACTCGGTGCAAGCTGGCGTATTCGTGTGTTTCACTGCATAATTAACCCCTGCTAGCATCCACTTGAGGTATTTTCCATGAGCTTAGCCACTGCACGATTTCTTGGTATTGGTCTATTGAATGGCTATCACTTTTTGCTATCTCTAGGACTCGAATTATTACGCATATATGAGTCTGTCGTAGCCTGTAGATAATGCATCGTACAGGCTTATTCTACGGTGCTTCATGATCCCAGGTACTGATACAGCTGATCCTGGTTTTGTAGCACCAGGGGCGACTGTTACATCCAGCAATGAACTATATAAGATGGTAGGAGCAGTTGATTGAAGTGAGAGCAATTTATGGACTAGGTCCCGAAGATTTTGTTCCATACCTATACAATCATAAAAGTGACCGATGTAGGTTTTTCCTCTTTGCAACGACGGGACCTTACTGGACTGACCATCACTCAAGAACCGCAATATGCACTTAACCCCTGAGAACAGTTCTAACTTCTACGTACATCCGAACATCTATTTGACGAGTGACGCGACCAAAGGAACAGGCACTGCATCTAGAGTCGACTTAGAAGCCGGCACTTTGACATTCATTGACAACCCTTATGCCTTGGTTCCCACAATTGCTCTGGCGAGTGACATTCACCCACTTTGCAGCAGATTGCATTGTAGTCGAAAAGTCATTCACAGCACAATCAGAGTCACTTGCTACCATAATTGCTCGCCAGACGTTGTGTGGTGCAGTTCTCAATGCAAGGAATTAAGCAAGGCAGAACATGAATTTGAATGTTCATGGTTGAAGGCTCATGCAGACTCAATTCGTCAAGATGTTGTCGTAGAAGACTTCTACATACTCTGGCTTATAGTACGGATTCTCACCCAGCGGCACTTGGAGTTGTCAAAATCGAAGGCTTCCGTTGATAGGGCTTCCAAGGCGGATAAAATCTTCGCAAGCGAGTGGAATGTATTCAATAAACTGCGCTCGAACCAGGATTCATTACAGCCACTCAAGTTGAAATCCTGGAGAACGTTAATCAAAAAGTACCTCGTGGGAAAGCACACAATGCTTCCACACTCTCTTGATGTCGAAGAAATGTTGACGTTATTATGTCGAGTGGAAACAAATCATTACGATCTGTGGCCGAATCCCATTGGCATTTGGCCGAATCCCCGCAAAGGCCGCACGAGGCGAGAGCTGCTATGCATATGCGATGTATCTCAGGACACCATTCCTGAACCATTCGTGTATCCCTAGTGTAAGCAGCTCTAGTTTCCCCCGGCTCCGCCCCCTAATATGTCTCTTAATATTCTTTCAGGACATAGGGCTGATGAGATGATACAATAGTTAGTGCACCAGCCTGATGAAGACGGCCGGATGGTGTTCTATACAGCAAGAAAAGTCACTGCGGGCGAAGAGTTCTCACTGGCTTATTTTGACTTGGCCGAGCCGAAGTATATGGATGTGAAAGAGAGGAGGGCTTACTTGGAGAGTGAATTCAGATTCCTCTGTGTTTGTCCACGATGCCTTGCAGAGTCCGGTGAGATGAAGGCAAAATTGTGAATCTATACAATTCAATCTGTTCCTTTTGTAGTGATATATGGCTTCTTGACAATAGGAGGGGGGGAGAAGTATAACAATATTGCTTAGACAGTTGTATACAGGACTCAAAGCTAGCAATTCATCCACATCATCTTACGATGACAATAGCGCATCACCATTCTTACAAAGGGGCGTATGAGCGAGATTAGGTATTTGATACAGCATCATTATTTGCACCGCCGCTTCCATCTGCGGGAGAGTGACGAGGCGGCACCCTAAGTTTCTATCATATACAACCGTAGGAACCAAGGCATGAGGTGCAGCACAGGTACCCCCTGTATATCACATTCACTGAGCAAGCCTAGCCCTCATTTACTCTCCAGGGGATTCGCCACTACCTAGAGAGTGAAGCTGAGAGTTACGAAGAACGGAGCACTCGGTACGTGTGGCCTGCTTATGCCGTAGAGCACAAGCGTGGCAATCATTGTGAGTTGACTAAATTACCCCGATGATTTGTCGTTATGGTTCATCAACAAGAGTTTACTGATAATGCATGGCTAAAAAAATCATTATCTCTGATCACTGCCCAATGGTGCGTCCTCCGAAGGTGGGATGGTAATTTCTTGATGACTAGCTACGAGTAATTACTGAAACTCTGCATATGATCTGACTATGCGGTGTAACAAGACAGGACAGTTACTTCTTGCTGTCTAAACGGTTTTCTGACTGCATCGCTGGTATCTTCGCTCAGATAACCCCTTCGGCGCAATTGCCATCATTCCCGGTATGGACATGACATACCGAAGGTTGCTTACAGTTACCTGTCAAGTTTGGGCCAGTAGAACATTTGTCTACTCATCTCCATGCAGCCTCTTGCATAAGTGATGATGCATTGTTGCGCTGTATGTGCATGGATTCTAGTAGCGCGTAAATCCACTCTCAGGCATGAATGTTACAAGACCAGCCTGCATGACACTATAGACAAAGGCGCCGCGATCATCACTGTAACGTGAGTGATATCGAACTGATTATGAAGAAAGGGACAGGGACAGTGGAGTCATAATGCCGTTTTAGGAAAGGATTAGATAGGCCAATCGGTGCAGGATCATCAATTTGAATAGCTTAGATCTACTCTATCATTTTAATCACTACAAGTTCACGCAGATACTTCGATATTGAAGATTAAACTCTTCCATCAATTTCTCTCAAGGCCAATATATGTGAACACCTGATCCATATGGCTCAGCAGAACATTCCAAGGCCCTCTTGAGGATTCTGTCAATCCTTGTTCACAGACCAGCTTACCGTTTAAAAACCTTTTCAATTAGCAAGTATTGACTTTCTGCAAGAATTATTTGATATAATAAATAACTAGAAGCTAGCAAGAGTATAAGATCAACGGTCTTACAAGTGGACGAAAGAACGTCTTATAACACCAGTGTATTATATATGTATATTTACCTGATATAAATCCAAATTTGCTATTAGTACATCCAGAAGTTTCTTCGAGTCATTTCATCTCATAGTTCTTTCACGAACATCAGCGTTTCTCCGGCCTTCACGGTGTCTCCAGGCTGAACAAGAACCTTGATGACCTTAAACTGTGCATCGGCAGTATCCTTTTTATCCCCAGCATAGGAGACGGAGATCTCCATCTTCATTGCTTCGAGAATGACTGCAACCTGATGTGCGCTGAGAAGTTGTCCTTCCTTAACATTGACTTTCCATACATTCGCATCAAGAGGCGAGTCGAGAGTTAGATTATCGGGGTCTTCTAATCTATCAGTCGTACATTCATTATAGAAGTTTACGTAAAAGCAAACCAGATACGTACCTTGCTTCAATATCTCAACTTCATCAGCTGGAGTACTATGTTTGGATTTCTCAGCAATCCAACGCTCCATGGAGGCCTTTTCGAGAGCCAGCATGTCCGTCTGGGCCGTGAGCTGCCGATTTTTGAAGGAAGAAACCTCCTCCTGTGTCTCTAAAAGTAACTTGTTGTGTGCGCCCATGTCAAAGGAGACGTCTTCTTCAATCTTGAACTCATAGCGCCCAGACCGGAAAAGCGCCATGTCACGCTCAAATTCCTCTTTGTCAACGCGATAAAAGGTGATTTGATCAAAATCTCGGAAAAGGCCCGGCTGGCCCGACGCAAATCCAGGCTTTACACTGAGCTGGTCAAAGCAAGGTATTGTTTGACCGGTGAGTTGGTATCCACCTGGAGAATCCACTGGATAGATACTGTACAAGAAACATTAGCTCCATGAGCCTTGTTAATGATTCAGAAAGCGCCACTCACTTCATACATGAGCCACCCCAGCTCACGCTTCCCTCAGGCGTGTATACTCGACTGGGGTTTTGCTTGGGACACGTCAGTCGGTATCGAGGATCAATCGGAAGGCAGATGGTATCGGCACAGAAAAAGCCCACGCAAATAACCATAAACTCCGTAGTCAGGAAAACCTTTACGAGTTCGTCGTAGGTAATTCCATTAATCTTGGCTACAAAATCCATGTTATCCGGTAGGAACGGGGCATGTGGTCGCTGGGTTTTCATGTAGCGCTGAATAGCTTCTTGTTGCGCCGGGCTCTCAAAGCATATGGGTAGGCGGAATCGTCTACTAGGAACCTTGGAGCTGCTGAGGTCGCCTATCTCGCTCTGTGAGGATATCAGAAGATCCATCAACTTCTGACGTGGGAGCTTCAAGCCATCATAATGGACCAACAGTGCTGTGACAGTAATGTTAACATCGTTCAATCATACCCGGAGAGAAAAAGATCTCACAGTTACAGCATCCAATTGTCTTGTAAATACCGTTCTTAAATATTTGGTCAATTTCGCACGACTTTCGAAGAACCTCTTCTAATCTCGTCACTCGACAACGGTTGTTAAGGTCGAAGTTCCCATTACCGTACTCGACGAGAAGGAAATCGTCACCACCCTGTGATAATTCATTAGAATACTGGATAACCGAGAGAAACTCCAATGAAAAGTCACCTACCTGTCTGAAGGTTATCTTAAGATTCGACCCATCCAAAATCTTCTCGAAAACAACTGCCTTTCCAAAATTACCGGAGACAGTTGACTCGGGCAAAGATTGGTGATCAACTGGTTCAATTTCGTCTAGTTGACGCTTTCCCACAACAAAGGAGGCGACATCATCCAGGAACTTCTCGAGTTGAGCTGCAATCCGAAGTGCGTCTTCCAAAGATACTCTGCGATATTGGATTGTGTCACCCGATTTCACTTGTCCCAATCGCCAGAGGCTTCCTTTGACTATTGTGGTCGAGGAAATAAATCCTCCAAGATCAGGGGCGTCAACGGGGAAGATGCACGGGCTAAGTGAATATCGGTCAGCCAGCCTTTACAAAAAGAAGAGATGGTAAGTGAATGCAAGACTAACCTCTCTCCCGTCCAATTTAAAGTACCCAATGGATATCCATACTCAATGACATTGCTGGGATGTTGTCCACCCTCGCCGCCATCTTTCCTGGCCCATTTTGTAGGCGCTGGGCCGACCAGACGAATACCACCGCGAGTGGCATTGTGTGAAACTTTCCTGTATTCGCCAGTCAGCTTTTCTTCCTCCTCTCCATTCTATCATATCAGGATGTCGTTACCAGATGGTATTATAAATCATCTCTATATCTTCTGCGCCCATATAACCCTCATCGTACGGTCCGACCATAGCGTAGATATCCCAATGGTTTGTGTATTTCGGACGTAAACTCCGAGGAAGGGAAACAACAGAGGATGAGTCATTTAGGTCGACTTTTTTTATAGCCAGGAGATCTCCTGGAGCAAGAGCTCGACCCTGGTAACCACCGATCCCAAGAAGGGGCGTAGTAGACTTGGAACCAAAGTACTGGGCACTAGAATTTGTTAACCTCGCCTCTCACACTGGAATATTAAGAAGAAAAGAATATGGACTTACATAGCAGGGAAACCTCCCAATACGGCGAGATATGCTTCAATCACGTTAGAGAAAGATATGGCAAGTTAGCCTTCTACATAAACGCACCTCTGCAACCTCCTGACTCTAGCAATTTTCCGATAGACAAAACTTGGCCACGTTTTATGTATAGCCGCGTCCACATGGGGACATCAACACCGTCAAGGGTCAATGCAATCGGAGCACCACACACTGAGACAACTGCAGGGGCCAAAAATCGTAGCTCTGGGCCTCTCAGAGTAATTTCTAACCCTTCTGTATTACGAGGGTTTCCCACCAGAAGATTCCCGACTACCAATCTGTTAGAACTCTCAAAGTTTTGTGTCGTATAAAGGGAGACATACTTTGGAATGCAAGAGGGTCCTGTTTGTCCAACGATTAGTTTTTGGGTCTATGCAATGAAATGGCCTTCTTAATCTTGGGTAAAGGGATTAACCTACCATTGGTCCTGCATGGGGAATTCCTTGCCCTGCGTTGGGACGACCTGGGAAGTCCTGGACCGTGGTGTAGACGCCCGGTGAGATAACATCAATGGCACTTGGGCTATATTCAAAGGTTTCTAGGAAATTTGTCAAAGTGTGTCCACTTTTGAAAGTGGTGGATTGTATAATCGCGTGTGAGAAGTCGAGGTTCGTTGGAGGGCCACAGATGATGGATTGAGAAAGCACGCGACCAAGTTTTTCAATCGCTTCATTACGCCCGGAAGCATGTACCATTAACTTGGCAATCATGGGGTCTGGAATAGAGAAAGGTAAGCCAATGTCCAAATTCGAGACTGTTCCTAGGAGTGTTCACTAACCGTAGAAAGTTGAAATCCTGGTCCCGGTGCCTACCCAAGTGTCGATACGAGTCCCTTCCAGCTCTGCCCATTGAATGAATTGCAGCAAGCCAGGGGACGGCGTGTAATTGCGAGCCGGGTTTTCTGCGTAAACACGAACTTCAATAGCAGCTCCTACTGGTAGTTCGGGCTGCAGCGATTTCAAATACTTTCCGTCAATACCTCCTTGGCCAGCAAGTTCTCGGTCGGCTTGTTCCAACATGAGTTTTACCAGGTCAACTCCATAGCAGAGCTCCGTGATGCCATGTTCGACTTGCAGACGGGTGTTCATCTCTAGGAAGAAGAAATCGCCAGATACATCGTCCACAAGGTATTCTACTGTGCCCGCAGATGCATAGCTTACCGATTCCGCCAGGGCCACAGCCGCAGAGGTCAACCTCCTGCGTAAATCTAATTTTAAAGTCAAAAATTACAATCTGGAAAGACCTATTATAGTCGGACTTACCTGGATGCCTCTCGACAAAAGGACTGGGACACTCTTCTACGACTTTTTGATGCCGACGCTGGATTGAGCACTCGCGCTCTCCGAAGTGAACAGCGTCTCCGAGACCGTTGCCAAATACCTGCACCTCAATATGGTGGCTTTGTGCATAGTATCGTTCTAGAAACACTCCGGCATTTTTGAACAATGCTGCTCCCCGCGAACGGACCTGAGCTAATGTATCTCGGACCTCGCTAGGTGAGTTGCATATAACCAGACCCATTCCACCACCACCCCCGGTGGCTTTTAGCATTACCTAAAATAGCATAATTATTGGTCAATGTTCGTCATTCAAAGCGCCTGAAGAGGCCTACCGGGTATCCCAATTCATCTGCCGCACTGACTGCTTCTTCCTCTGTAGCAAGCAGCCCTCTTGTTCCTGGAACAATAGGCACGCCGGCTTCTATAGCCATTTCTCGCGCTCGATGCTTCAATCCAAAGGCCTCAATTGCATCGTGCTTCGGACCTACGAACACCATGCCTGCGCTGACCACGGCCTGGGCAAAATCGGCGTTTTCTGAAAGGAAGCCATATCCGGGAATAATGGCGTCGACATTCCGTAAACGAGCAATTTCTATGATAGCGTCTCTATGTTTCACACTTGTCAATTCCATACAAATCCACCATTGATGGCGCAAAGACTAACCCGTCGGTATATGCAGTGGCATCCTCGCCCGGTAGCAAGACGGCCTCATCTGCCACTGAAACATGTCGCGAAGTTGAGTCTGCTTGTGTATAGATTGCGACCGTGCGGACCCCGAGTTCCCTATGTATTATCGAAGCTTGTACGTTAGTCTACAGCTTTCCGCAAAGGACAAGGCATGCGTACCTCGCGGTTTTGGAGATGCGGACGGCAATCTCGCCGCGATTCGCAATCAGCAGCGTTCGCAACTTCTCCATGGCAAATTGTGCGCTCATCAGGAAAGTTACGTGCGTGACCACTTGAAGATGAGCCCACGAGGAATGCGTTGCTTTACTTTATTTCCATCCCAAACTGTTGAAACCTCCAAGCTGTGGATCTCGTGCATCCGATTGGCTGGAAATCGCCGGATCGCACGCCGGAGAAGATCTGATCTCTGATAAGGGCTTTGGCCAATCATAACGTAAGCGGCAGGAATTCAACTTTGCTCCGATCAATTGTTGTTTGTCTTTGCCATCAATAATCACGCTGTGTTAATGGATTGATTCCAGTGAAGGAATTTCTGCTCGTCAACACTCGGTTTCTGTCGGATCATGGCGACTACCCAGCGTCGTCGCGAACATAAGCGAGTGTATCAGGTTCGTGACCACGACACTAGTTATAGTCTACGTAATTGTTTAGCAACTGACCTTCTACAAAGGCCTGCGAGCCCTGTCGCGAGAAAAAGGTTCGCTGCGAGCTAGGCGTCGTAGACCAGCCTTGTAAGCCGCCATGTGCACGTTGTCGTCGAGAGTCGAGAGAGTGCGTGTTCGCAGCCACTAGGATTAGAGATCCAGGAGAGCCAAAGGAAAGACATCGACCCTCGTCCAACACTCGTCATCTCAAACGACAGGCCTCTTCTCCCATAGCCGAAGATAGATCCTCAGCACACACAGGCGTCTATTCATCACCGGCGCTATCAATCCCCCGCACTGTCATCAACCATACCACACCACCAGCAACAGACCGAAACTTACTCCCCCCGAATGGTCGCGCGACCGCTGTCTTGCTCAAGGGCCATCCGCGTACGTATCACGATGCGTTAACTGTGTTATCTGAAGCTTGTGATAGTGCCGAGCGCCGCAGGGCTGTTGTGGACGACTTCTCTGCGCATTTGAATCCTGCCGTCGCACACCTCCAAAACTCGTCCTCAGATACTGGCAATGCACCGGCTGAGCACGCCCTCAATCCCCTCAGTCCAGGTACCCGAGAGGCTTTACGAGCATGGTCTGGTCTAAGATTTGTCCGAGGGGGGTTGTTCACTCCGGAGGAGGCGCTCAATATGGTTGACCACTTTTACAAATTCCACGCACCCTTCTCACCAGTAGTCCCAGAGTGCTTTCGTGCCCATGCGCAACACCCGGCGCTAATCGAAGAGGAGCCGATTCTCACCATAACTATCCTGATGATTGGTTCACGATACAGAAAATGGACGGGGCTAGCTGCGGCATCACGCTCGTTTCTCATCCATGATCGGCTCTGGAGATACCTTCAGGGCATGATAACTCGTCTGTTTTGGTGCGAAGATATATTTGTCGGGGAATTTGCTTCACTAACGGATCCCTTGGACAATGCATTCTTCTCATCGCGTTCTAACACTTGGTCGAATGGATTTCGCACAATCGGAACATGTGAAGCCCTGTTGCTTCTGTTGGATTGGCATCCACAAGGGCTTCATTTTCCACCACCAGACGAAGATACCACAACAACTATTGTTCGTGAGCCGAAAAGACGTCGTTTTGCTGCCGAACATAAGCGACATCGCGGACCAGGTTCGGGACATGACTGGTTGGCGCGATCGGATCGACTGTGCCGTTCCATGCTGTCGACCGCTTCAATGCTTGCTACCGAGATGGGGGTGTTTGATGAAGAAGAGCTTATTTCCGAAGGCGAAAATAACCCACTGACCATGCGAGATATGGCTTCCCACCAGCAGAGGATCTGTCGAGTTCGGTATTTGATTTGGGTATATGCCACGCAGCAACCCGGAAGACCAGGTATTGCCAATCTAGCCCAAATATACTATAATATTTTTTTTCCTAATGTAGATTAGGATGGAGAATTCTAACACCCGAGCCATCTCTTTTATTACCTTCGACGGATGATGATACCATAAAATGTTGGGTTCGGGTAGCCACCATTATGAAGTATGCGAATGAGCTACTCTTCTCGTCTCAAAAACGCACAAATGAGATTATAAGAAATGGAGAATATATCAAGTGTCTCCAGACTCTGCAACCGCTTCTTCAAGACACTATCATTGAATTCGATCAATCCAAATGTGAGTCGGTGGATTAACAAGACTCGACAGTATCAAAACTAACAGCAATAAACAAATATAGTAACGAAACAAATGCGATCGATCCTAACTATCGAATACGCTCACGTCCAGTTATGCATTTTAAGCGTCGCCCTGCAAGCTGTCATAGAACGGCGCTACTACTGTGATGAGATGGCCAGGGAGCCGCAGCCCATTCCTCCTCACGTCTTGAAACAGGAGGAGGGTTATCTAAATGAGACCGTCAAGGGTGCACAAACCATTTTACTCACAGTTCTAGATGACTTTGTACCCGATGGCAGCTTGAGATACTTGCCTGTGCGCTCATACTCTCGGTTACTAGGTGCTGCATTATTCCTCCTCAAGGTATGTCAAATATCTAATCTCTTCGAGCTTCTTTTCCCCTCGAATCCTTATGTTTTATGGCCTAATTTTATCACCAGTGTTGTGCCGCTCGGATCAAGGAGGTAGACACACGAGCATCTCTATCCCTTATAAAGCAACTCGTCGCAGGTCTACGGTCCATTTACGTTGACGATACACATCTGAGCCCCCGTTGGGGAGATCTTCTCGACCAACTCTCGCGCCGCGTCGAAGCGCATGCCACAGCAGCAAAGAACTGCGCACAACCCGCAAACCTGGTCCCATCAGATCCAGCGATAGCCGGTAATGCCGCAAGCGGGTTGCATACTCCAATGTCCACAGCGTTGGGCCCATCATCATCGCAGCCTTTACTACTCACGCCCAACAAAGCCGATGGATCACGTAGTGTTCGGACTCACATGGAATTCCATCATAGTAACTGTAACAATAGCAATAGCAACAACAATAATAACGGTCTGCAAGAATTTGATCCCTGGGCTTTCGGTGGCGAGGTGGAAGGGTCCAACTTCGAGGCCTTCTCGATGTGGTGGGATAGCCATATTCCGCAATCGATAGGCACGAATCACACATCTTTGCACCATCGAGACAGTGAACAGCCATTTTACCATGCTACCGATGGAGGATTGATGGGGAGCGCACCGGGGTTTCCAACATATATGTATTAACAATGCCGAACTGACAAAATGAGAGCAAATACATATCTGTCTAGTTTTGTCCTCTTCCGAACAGACTACTGCTGATGTTAATACTGAATTTCGTACGTAACAGAATGAAGACCGAAAACGGAGCTCGTACGAACTCGAAACAATTCTACGATCTGATAACCAAGCTAATATTGTTCGGCATGGGGCCAAGATAACTTTGATAAGCCCGCCGGAACGGAAAGCAACGGAGATCGTGTGTGCGCATCCGATTGGCTGGTATTTCTGCATAGAGGATAGCTCAATAATAGCAAGTCAACTTGCTTGTCTTCTATTCTAGAATAACAGAGGAGAAAGGAAAACCAACCTGTTCTAAACAGCGACAAACAATCTACGTATCTACTCCTTTACTCATTTGGAGACAAAGGGGAAAAAAAATGGCAGGCCCGATCAAACACAAAGCACTCATCAACGTCGACATGGGCGAGGGATATGGGAATTGGGTTATTGGTCCCGATAATGATTTGCTTCCCTTGATCGATCATGCCAATATCGCATGTGGCTTTCATGCATCGTGCGTGGCTATTTCCATCTGACGTATGATATAGACAACGTGAAAACATACTAACGAAAAGTCCTGGTCTAGCGATCCTCTAATCATGATGGAAACAGTCCGCAACTGCATCAAACACGGCGTCAAAATCGGTGCGCATCCCGGTCTTCCCGATCTCCAAGGCTTTGGACGGCGAGAAATGAAACTCAGCGCCGACGAGCTCACCGCTATAACCGTCTACCAAGTGGGTGCGTTGAAGGGGTTCCTGGACCGTGAGGGCGTAGCCCTGCATCACGTCAAGCCGCACGGCATGCTATATGGGATGTGCTGCAGAGACTACGAAACCGCCAAGGCAGTCTTCTTGGGCATTCCAAGGGGGGTACCTGTGTTTGGTCTGGCTGGTACATGCATGGAACAGGCTGCTAAAGACTTGGAAATGGAGTTTATTGCTGAGTTTTATGCCGATGTCAAGTACGACGCGGATGGAAGGGTGGTGGTAGAACGTAAGAAGGGGTAAGTTTCAGTTTCCCCCTTTCTTTTACTTAACCCAGTTGCTTATGTATACACTTTTAGCGGCTGGAAGACGGAAGATGTCCGCAGCAGAGTCATGCAGCAGTTGGAAACATGTACGGCACCAGCAATTGATGGTTCAACGTGTTCGTTCCCCATCAATGACTACCGAGTTTCGATATGCTGCCACTCAGACGTACCAGGCTGTCTGGACGTTGTCAAGACGACCCGCCAGGCCGTTGATGCTTTCAATCAGACACATTTTCCTGATCTATAGACTCAATCTATTTACCGGGATTTTCATATGATGGATGTTTATAATTTGTAATAATCAACTACTTTGCTTCAAGTAGCCTCGGGTATATACGTATGTCATTGATAATCTAACAGGTTCCTGGATTTAAATTTAATGTTCCCTTTTAGTTCCTCAATGCAAACAACTGCTTATCACCAGCTGCCATGCTCAAGAAGAAAGAGTTTGCTAAGCCCTAAGTGTGGATCCGTGGATATCCGAAGTGAAAAACTATGTGATCCGATTGGCCAGCAGCGCCGAATACGACGCCATTTCCCTGGGACGCCAATGCTCGAGCTATTCCAGGGCCCAAGCAGAGAGAGACTCATACTCAATATACACTTCTTATCTTTGTTGCTTGCTGTGTCTATCTATCTGTAGCACGGCTCGTAGATACCATCCATGACAATGACGGCTGATATAAGAACAATTGTACATCATGGACGTCCTAGGTTGTCGCAGGCAGCTTTTATTACCGTTGATAAATTCCCTTGCAACCCCTTCAGTCATTATATCTGTCATATGTCACCACCCTATCTTAAAGTCTGAACAGAAACGCCCCTTCCGCTAAGAATGGTAGACGAAAGCTTTCCAATCCCTGGAACAGTCCAGCAGGTGGACGTGAATCACAATCTGCGCCTGCGCCATGGCGAAGGTCAAAAAGATATCGTTCTGATTCCCCAGCCCAGCTCGCACCCAGACGATCCCCTAAACTGGTCCTACAAGCGCAAAACTTTGAATAGTTTCTGCCAAATGGCCTGGTGTTTCTTTGCTGCAGCTCTGATCAGTGGTCTCTCTCCATCCTACCTCCTAATCTCAGACGACACGGGAATTTCTGTGGCTGACCTCAGCACTGGCAATGGCATCATGTATCTCTTCATGGGCTGGGGCACATTGCTCACCCAAAATCTAGCACAGAACTGGGGTCGTCGTCCCGTGCTTGTCATTGGCCTGTTGGGTGCCTCGTTGCTGACAATCTGGTCGGCATATATCCAGAGTGTTGGCGAATGGTACGCCAACCGAGTCTTGATAGGCATCTTCATTTCCCCACAGGAGGCTCTCATTGAACTCTGTATCTCAGATGTTCAGTTCACTCACGATCGTGGGTTCCATATGGGCATATATAACTGGACTTTGTGGTGCGGTGCCTTCTTGGCTCCCATTGCCGGTGGCTTCGTTGCCGATAGCCTGGGTTGGAGATGGATCCAGTATATTCTGGCCATCATCTGTGCTTGCGTGTCAATCTTTATTTTCTTTGCATTCGAGGAAACCATGTTTTTTCGCAAGGCTAGCATCAATAGCCAGGAAACTATCATGACTGCAGAACCGTCCCTGTCTTCATCTTCATCCGTCGATGCTGAAAAGGGAATCAACAACCCCCAGGTCGACATTTCCAGCACCACCACCACTCCCACCTCATCCGAATCGTCATTAACCAAGAACTATGCGCAGAAACTCAAGCTATGGGGACTGCGCAGCCCCGAACAACCTTATACATTCTTACGCTCGATATACCTTTCGTTCCGCTTGCTTCTATTTCCTACCCATATCTTCTCTGGTTTACTTGTCGGTTGCATCCTGGCCTGGTATAATGTACTGGGTGGCTCCCTCGCCGAGGTCCTTGGTGGAGCACCTTACAACTTCACCACGGACCAGATTGGTCTGACATACTTTGCCAGCGTCATCGGTGTCTCCGTTGGCTGTTACTTTAGTGGTTGGATGAGCGACATCCTCGCTATCAGACTTGCTCGCCGACGCCAGGGAATCAAGGAGCCCGAGGATCGCCTGTGGATGGCACTTATTGCCGTTTTTGCCCACCCTTTGGGCTGTCTTTTGTACGGCGTCGGTGCAAGCCACCATATACACTGGATTGGCGTCGTCATTGGAGTGGCTTTCCTATGTCTTACCCTGCCCATGGGCTCCGGTTTGGCCATCACGTACATTATTGACAGTCAGAAGGAGCTTGCTGGTGAATCCATCGTGACCGTCATTTTGATTCGTAACACTATTGGTAAGTCTGCCTTTCTCCATCAGCTTAGAATAATTTACGTCTTTGCTGACTATTTTCTAGGCTTTGCATTTGCCTACGCTGTGAATCCAATGATAGACAATATGGGCCTGCAGAATACTTTTATCCTTATTGCTGTGCTCGGTGTCTTCTTTTGGTGTGGTTGCTTCCTGTGGATTTGCGTTGGAAAGTCGGCTCGTAGATTCATTGCAGAGCCCTACTGGGCAATTGTCAGGAAGCATGGCCTGACGGCTCATTAAATGTATGAGCGTCCTGGTAGTTTGAGGGATGTATTTAGCCCAAAGTCTATTTCATGTAATCGTGGTGCGAAATTAAACGTATTAACTGAAATATTATTTTATCGTAATCTGATAGACAGGCCTCGCCAGGACCTTACAGAGAAAAGGCCGTCATTCATCAATCCGTGTAGCGAGTTGAGATTCAACAGATACTCGGATGGAAATCACTACTTTATAGATTGCAGTAGTCATGAGCCAGGCCGTTACACAACATCGTCTACAAAAATAAATAATGAACTAAAGTACAGGCAGTCTGTCGCCCAACTTTCTGAACCCCACAAGGCTTACCCTCAATTATCCAATATGATAATTCAGCTTGATACAAATTTCTGAATGGATATATCCAGATCCTCCTGAGGTAAGCCAAGCTTCTCATTCCATAGCCCCTTCGTGACTGAATAGTGCGCGAGATTGCCTTTGCCGTAGATAGCACCGGCAATCATTCCGAGCACACCGAGGGCTTATCTTTCCTTGACCTTGTTTGCTCCATCTTGCCATGATCCATTGACAGAGCCCTTGGTCACGGTGAATTTGTCGCCGGTGGCTTGTTCAAGAGCCCTTAGCACCTTATTTTGAGTGGTAGTGAAGCTATTCACGTAGACGTATTGATTTTGCGTGAGCTCCGGGTTTTTGAGACACTTTGCCAGAGCCATGCCGACTTGATCCAGATTGGTAGCTTCAAAGGGGATATCACCTCCGTCAAAGATTGTCGCAGGGCGCGCCGGAATATCCCAACCGCCAAAACCGGGGATTTTCAGACCCCAGTCAAACATACAGCCCGTGATGACTGTTGTCCACGAGATCTTGTCCTGCTGTGTCTTGAGGTAGGAAAGTGTATCGATTTTGTCTTCTAAGAATGGTATATATGTAGATGCAGCGCTATCTGCCGTGTCGATGCCGAATTCTGAAGGACAGAAGATTTTCACGCCCGCCGCAATGGCAGTATCAACTAGGGATCTTTGAGAGGCCAGGGCAGCCCCCGGGCTGATGCTGGAAATGGTACTAACTGAGCCTTGATGGGTATTTTGTATAGCTATACAGGTGGAATATTTGTGCTTCAACTCTTTGATAGTAACGCATGAGAGCATAGGCTCACCCTTAAACGCTCAAGCTTGGACGGCAGCTCAATTCAATCTCACATCACTAATCTTCACAAGACAGAAAGTGATCCTCTGGTAGGCCAGGTTTACTTAACGTTGCTGTAGCTGCTTTTCTAAACTAATCAGCACTTCCTTATAACTACGTAATCAAGACCTTAGACTCCGTCGTCATTTCATTAGCAGAATATCATTGACCTGCCGTTAGGCGAGGTGTATACGGTGGCATTTATTGGCAATTTTTCAAGCTTTAAGTGGCATGTATTAAACATGAGACACGCCAATCAAGAAAGCTATGAACAGAACAACGTAGTATTCGTTTTTCTGTCCATAAACAATCGCCTGCTCCTAATGCTTGCCCTGCCACCATGGCAGGCACTTTACATTCTCCAGCATGCTAGCTCCAGCACATAGGGCCGGGTCTGCAGCGGCAATACCCGGCTCGTTAACCAACGCGAGGGCAACCATACCCAGGTAGGAATGATAAATATCTGTAAATTCGATCAGTAATTTGTATGTATTGTCTGTGTGTGTGTGTGTGTGTGTGTGTGTGTGTCATGTCTCACCTGGAGGTTCCCCTACGGCTTTCCCAAAGCCCCCAATGAGATGCTGTGTCTTGTCGAGAAGATAGTGACGAAGACCAGCAGTGTCGATGAGCGACCCTTGGCCCATGATCTAAGTCAAGTTCGTTAGCTCAGAAATAGGTTCGAGATCAGGATACTCCTTACGCCTAATGCACCGGTTACCCAGAAGCAGTAGCAAGTATCTGCAATCTTGTTCAAACGCCCGTTGAAACCTGTCCATGTCAGGGACGTTGAAGAGAATGGTGGGATGTCTGGGAGGTTTCCAATCTGTTGGTTAATCTTTGCTGTGTTTTTCGTTTCTAGAAGTTGCGAAGCGTTTGCTTCTGTTTCTGAGTGTTCATTAGCGTCTGTCTCTTCGTCGTCCTCATCCTCCATCTCATGCGTTTGCCTCGAAAGTAGCCACTTGAGCAGAGAATCAAAACGCTGGCTTTGTGGCGAAAGTATTGTTGTTTGGTTGCTTCCCTTCTCTGTTCTCTCTAAAAAAGACAATGCCCCGACTGCGCAGTAGGTCAAGCCGGCTTATCAAGAACGTATGTCAGCTGTAGCCCTTGGGAGATGTAAACAATGACAACTGATAGGAAAATAATCACCATGTGCCTCACGGAATGATGTTTCCCCCATCCCACCATCGTACGACTTCAGATATTTTTGTCAGCAGAAGTTTCGGATCAGATATCCAACATGAGCAACAAGAGATACAAACCTGGCAGGACTGAATAAAAGAAGTCAACCCCGATACATCAACATCCTTCACATCCTCCACATCCTTCCCACGTGGACCCCTGAGGAAATATCTGATCCCAGCCGCACAATAACAAAACCTCAAATCATTACCCCCCTCAATCTCCTCCCCAGCGCCCAGCAGCTCTCCAAAACTGCCATCCTTACGCTGCAACTTGGGCAACCACTGCAAACACTCCCTACGCTTCAAGCGACCCAGATCATCACCCAGAATTAGCAACGTCTCCAGAGCCAAAAAAGTAGCCGGCACATTTGCCGGATCCCAAGCTTCGTTGTCACCGGTGAGTTTGTCGTCGCCAAACTTGGTGCCCGTAAAGCCGCGAAAACCGCCTGAGGGATGCTGGCAGTGATATATCCAGTTGATGTAGCCCTGTCGTTCTTCGGGTGTAGTGCTGCTTTGAAGTGCGCCTAGTAGATCAAGGCCTGCGATAACGAAAAAGCCTAGGAGCATGCGCCCGCCGTCACCGGCTGTGTACTGATGGGGGAGTAAGGTCTTGAGGCAACGTAAGAAGTATTTGATATGGCGGTCTTTATTGAAAGTTGGTGAGGACATTGTGATGGTGTTTATTGCTGTTTTCTCCTTCCAAGGTTCTTTGGGTGTTTTTTCTGTATGTGTGTGTGTGTGTAGTCGAGGTTGATGTATGTCTAGCCGGAAGGTCTGAGTTTAAAAGGTCGACGACGGGGAATTTGTCTGCGGCGCAAAAAAAGTAGCTATTGTTCTCTCGAGAGCGCCCATTGTTCTTAGATTTAGAGGGGTTTGTTCTCTTTCTCTTTGATGATTCGGAATCGCTGAAGCGGCGAAGCGCATTTATGCGGCGCGGCTAATCCCGCACTGCAGAGCTAGTCCGTCAACCTTCTCTAATTTGTCTCCAATCCCTTGAAGTTCTGTTCTTCAGTTCGGACAGTCAAGCACTTATATATGCTCAATTGACCGAGCCATTTTCACCCCATGGCGCTTCTCTCTTCTCAAACGCTTATACAGGCCCATGCGCTGTTCCTGTTTATCCTCGCAGTTTATTTGGTCGTATCCCCCGGCGCGGTCACAGACTCGGACATTGTTTTCATACTCGGCGAGGCAATGCAGATTGTGAGTTCGAACTAACGCGATTCTTTTAAAGACATAATCAATGGAGTCAATTAACCAAGCAATGATTATCAGGACATCGATACCTCCCTGGCCACCACCGCACAATTCCCATTCGCAATCTGTGGCATCCTCCTCATCAGCCAGGCTCTCTTCGACCTAATCATCGTTAGGAAACTACCGCAAGTCGAAGACCTCATTATCAACACTCCTCGACAACGCAGCAGACTCTCTTCCTCAGGAGAAGGAACCATCAACCCGTTCATGGTGCGACTGGCTACACTGTACAACGAGATCTGGTCATTACTAGCCGGTCTACGATTCTGTTTCTTTTTTGCCATTGCAATTTTCATTTACCAGAGCAGGCCCGGTGCTGGTAGTCCGCAACAAGCGTTTGGGTATGATGGCACGGAAGAAATGAAACAGGGGCTGGCTCAATTGAAGAGTCGTGTTGTCTTTACTTTTGTTTTTGAGGAGACCGTGTTTTGGTTATGGGTTTGTTGTCCCGCGTCTTATTTTCTATGATTGCTGCTTTCATATGTTTGTTATTATGACAAAAAAAGTGGTCATATCGCTAATGCTTCTTGCGCAACTATAACAGACTCTGGCGAACGTGCGCGAAGAACGGCGAGATATAGCTAACCGCCTGGCTATTCAGCAGGCTGCTGAACGTGAACGCGGTCCATTCTAGGGCACGAAATCGCTCGACCCGCGTGTCCTTCAAGAACTCTGATTGATTGATAATACGGAGGACTTTGTAATATCAGAATCTCGAAATCATATCAAAATTATAGCAACATGAGAAGAGAATAGAAGCGAATCTGCAGATTCACAATAAAACACAGTCTGGTCAACTGACATAAACCACAGCCCCGGCTTGCTGGTTGCACACATATGAAAAGGAGCTCTTGCGGGTAACTTTCTGAACTGAAACTTGCGGCATGAATCAAAGTCCGTTCAGAGCCATACATAGGAGAAGTAGGTCGAAATCTATTCCTTTCCTATGCGTTGGCGTGGCAGATGCACAGGTCGTGGTGGTTATGGAAGAAGTTTTAGAGGTGGAGGAACCGCTCATCGCAGGAATGTCAGCAACGGCTGTGGGCGAAGATATCGCAGAGGCTCCAGAAACAGTCGACGGTGACAACGACAAAGGTGCACTGCTGTCCGTCCCACAAGTAGCAGTTGTAGGTAGCGCGTTTCCGGCGCAAGGATAATTGGCGGACTTGATCGTTCCTGTCGGTTGGAGATATGTTGATAATAATGATAATAACAAAAGCCTTTGGATTTGTGATCAAATGGATTGAGCCCTACCTCCCCCCTCAAGCCGGTTGCACACAGAGCTAGTGTTCCCAATGTGCTCGATATCTGCACCCCACAAGCTTAATATGGCATTAGCTGCAGCTTCTCTACGACATTGTTAGTCAGCTCTCTCTTATTCTTACTTCCCAGCAAGCCGGAGAAAAAGGCTGCTAGTGCGACTTACGGCCCCTGGGGCAGATCGTTACGAGAATACGGGATTTAGAGAGTGTGGGGGAGCAACGATGACTGCATGTCATGGGTTACTCCCGCAGGCAAGTCAAGGAATGAACGAGATGACAGGCTTCTTTGTCCTCTGATTGTAATATGAATTTGAATCGTCACTATCATCAGCCACATAATGGAAGTAGGAGATGTTACACCTGTACTCGTCCGAAATCGTACAAGTCTTGGCAAGATGCATGTAGGTATTGCACCAAGTCAGGTTCTCAGTTGTATTGATTGCTTGATAAAATCCAGGTTGGCATCTGTTTGCTAGTTATACCCATGTGTGAGTTTGGCCATTACCTTGATTTACCATTAAAGGGAACCATTTTTGTAGCTTGGTGATCAATTTCCGTTGAGGCTCTGACGGTCAAGCACGAGACCGAGATGTGGTGCGTACAAATTTTGCTCTTGAAAAATATATAAAGCTACCTGTTCAACGTCAATCAAGTAAACCAGCGAGAAAAATTGCCCAATATGTTTCGGTACTTATTGTCTACTGGCATATCGCATGGCTAGTTTACCGAGTTTTACAATGCCCCAGGCCTATGACAATGACCTCAAAGCACATTTCAACTGTGCGGTTGTCTCGAAAAGAGAGTGAAAGAGGTGTTGAAAAGTGGTATCATATACGTGAGCTCTTATTAAAGTGAGATCTGCACTGCTCCAGTGCTGTATACAACCCTTGGCATGTCTCGTACCATGTAGTGATCTGCACGTTAGCATGAACTGCTGTTCTTGAGGATTGTTTTGCTACTTTGGCTCTGTCTTCTTTTTACGCCATACTTCAGCTATGAGGATCAATAGCGTGGAAATATTAAGGGTTGCATACACGATAGTGGCAATACGTATCTATGTCGTTAGTTGTGCCACTCCTTCGTCGTAGCATTCATGCGGAGTATACGAGTAATGAGCAAGTCGATGATCAGTATAAGCGACGAGACAAATCAGGTTAGTCCAGTGCAACGCCGACCGAGATCGGCCAATAGAAATTCGCTGCATAAATCTTTAGCTTTCATAATGCGAGCTGATCAAGCGCGCTAGGCCCACGTAAGGCATAGCCTGGCCGCGAATGCTGCTGGGGCAGTACAAAGAGGGAAATTATGATTGGCGAGAATCAGCAAAAGGGAAGATGGGGACAGGAAATCTAGGCAAGGTCCGATCCCACTAGTCCTGTCTAGGGAAGGGCACTTGGTAATGGGGGGGCGCAGCGTCAGCCACTTCTCTCAGGCTCTCAGGCTCCAAGGCGCTCACACTCCGGCCCGCGACCCCAAATACGTCATTCTCGCCAAAGAGCTGCGGAGCTTTTCGGTGCTGACTCTTGAGTATGTCATCATCTCCATAACTACCTACCTATGCTCGTTATATCATTGATTTTTTCTTTCTTTCTTGCGCGGTTGCTGGATCATCCTGCTTGCTTGATGGTGGCCATATTCCTCGCTCCCTTCTTATCGATCGCAAGGCTGTAACCATCACGCCTTGCTCATCATATACATAATCGTGCTTTCGCCATAACAGCCTATAATATGGCCGCTACACGGAGCAATGCGGTCGACTTGCGACGAGCTACTTCGAATCATTTGGCAGACCATGGTATGTCTGATTATCCTTTCAGATTAATTGCTACTTACGGGACACGTACTGACCTGCTGGATAAGCCGCATCGGCTGCATTGTATGTGACTGATCCAATGCGCAAGCGCGCTGGAAGTGAAACAGTGTCGCAAGAGCCGCAGAATCAAGGTCAGCAACGCCAAATAGGGAAGATGCGTATAAATGCTAGTCTACAGTTCTGACAGTTTCGACACTTTTAGCATACGTACTTCCTGCAGGTCTCACTCTTGCCAATGCCAGCGCTGCAGCAAGTCTAGCTCATGCGAACCGGAAGACAACCAGTCCCTGGCGGCCTGCAGAGAGACAGCCATATGCCGAAAAAGCCGCTGCATTTGCGCGCAGCTATCAGAGTCCCGAGCCGCCATCTCCCAGCAAGCCACACTCGGACGTTTACAAAGCAGCCATTTTAGCGGCCCAGGACCGGGTGTACAGTAAATCACCGCCACCAACGGCAGCGGCTGTAGCTACTACTACCACGACGTTGACGATGACAGAGCCGCGCTACCATCAAGCTGCCATGGCAGGTAAGGGCCGTCGGGACTCGCGAGAAACCTCCGCGGCGGCAGCAGCAGCTCTTCAGATAAACCCCGGCGCCTTGACGGCAGCTACGGGGGCTGTTGCTAATCGACGGAGGACAGAGTCTGCACCCACGAAGCCCGTTTTCCATCCCGATGCCGCATATGCATTGACCGCGGCAACTTTGTCTCATCGCGCCAGCCAGGATGCTCGCAATGCGTTGAGCGATCTTGACCCATCAATGGAAGCCGCGAGGTTACATCATATTGCTCGAACGAACGCGCAGCTTTACACATCCACGCCTCCCGTAGACATCGAAGTTGAAGAGCAAAAACACAAGGATACTCTCCGGGCTGCTGCTATCTCAATGGCAAAGGATATGTACGCAACATCAGCAGCAGTGACGAAAGAGGAGCCTGATGGAACTGGCTATGCAAGCACTGCTGCGCAAAATCGGGTATCACATCGCTACTCCCAGTCTCAGTTCTCTTGGGCTCCTGGAGATGAATACAATGCAGTCCCACGCACCCAAAATCTCCATGAAGCAGCCCAGAAGCTTGCCTCCGAAAAACTTGCAAAGATGCAGCAAAACGAGCTACAAAATAAACAGCAGTATTACGGAACTGTTGCATCCCCCAAGTCGCGTCAGACGCTTACACGTCGTCTGAGAAGGAGAACATCGAGTGATGGAGACGCTTCTGAGGTTGACTGGGAAAGATCAGAGCAGATCAGAAACCAAATGTCTTCGCTGCAGAGTCGCTTGCACCAAATCGACGAGAAAAAGAACCAGGATAGGGAAGATCTGATGGAGATTGCCCGCAAGAATGTGCACGCTCGCATTCATGACATGGACGAAAAAGTATATGCGCATACTGGGAAAGCTTCACCAAACATGCAACGTGAATGGGAAGAGAAAGCACATGAACGTGCAAGACAAGAGACTGAAGTTCGCATGTCCGGGTTCTCAAGAGTCTCTGTTGGTGGCGAGCGGTATATGGATCAGGCGGAGATTGAGGCGATTGCACGATCTCGCATCCAACCAACTCTAGACGAGATTAGTAATCGAGTTGAGGGACAGCGAGCTCGGGAAGTTGAAAAGCAGCTAGAACAGGAGAGGGAACAGCGATTACAGGAATTAGATCGTGAAAGACAGGCGGACATTCAAGCAGAGGAAAAACAACACAAATGTTTGTTTACGAGTCACCCCTTTCTCTATGTAAATTCCTACTAACTGTTATTCTAGCAGCTGGACTGGGGGGTGCTCAGTTTATTCGGAGACGGTCTACAAAAAAGGGGACGGGAAATTTGTTCTCTCGCACATCGAGAGTCATTCTAGGAAAGAAGGAGGCAGAGGGTGATGTTAATGGAGTTGGCGAGGAGCAGAGAGAGGGCGGAACAGCCACATCACCGATTAACGAGCGAGTGAATGAACAGCCTGAACAAGAGGCTGCAAACATTCCGACTTCTGCCACAGCGCCTGTTAATGGAACAACCGAACGAGAAGGCGATACCACACAACCTTCAGAGGCGCCGGTGGTGTCTGGAGCGACAGTAGATCAACCTTCAGCCGATACACCGACATCTCCGAGATCAGGATCCAGGCTGAGCACGTGGTTCAAGGGAAAAATCGGCCGTCGGTTTAGCAAACCGCCACCTCCTGAAAAAGAAGAGAAACTTGGTGATAACGATGAACAAGCTGTTCAGACTGGCTCCCAGGAAGCTGCCGCGGTAGGAATTGACAACCCTCGAGCAGGCCCTCTATCGTCCAACCCTGTTACAGAAACGGATCTTGCTCCGACAACGGCAGCTGGTGTAACACCTCAAATGCATGAGGAGATGGAAAGGGAAGAAGAAAGAGAGGACAATGACGAAATTGGCAACGAAGAAATGGCCCGGCAATGGAGCAGCTCTACAGAACATTCCAGGGACAAAAATATGTGGTCGTCCTCCAGTCCTACTTCGGATCAGCAAGATGGCGGTCGACGAAGACGACTGCACATGAGTCTCCGAGACATGATTGCTAGAAAGCCGCCTTCTGAGCAAGGGTCTGCTGCAGGATCTCCTTTGGCGTCTCCAACCATGGCAACCTCTTCCGCCGGCAAGGTCGCAGCGTCTCCTCGGCCAGGCCCGGTTCCGCGCATGAATACGACTGAACGCAATGAACTACATGACAGCTTTAAAGAGGAGTCTTTGCCGCCGCCGCCAACCTTGTTTCAGGATAGTTCACGACGAAGCGTGAGTTCTTCGGCGAGGGACTCGAAATTCTCGGAAGATCTTTGATTCGTTCCCTCCCCCTCTCCTTTTTTGGCCTTGGCCAATAGTATGACCTTTTTAACACTCTCGAAATTTCTTGTTTTGGTGATTGAATATATATATCCCGACACTCGTTTGTCTTGTTTATCGTGTTTCCGATTTTGATTCTCTGTATGATGTTATATGATGATGGGTTAAGTTTGTTTTCTTCAAGGTCGTTATTACGAGTGATCATTACCTGATCATGCCTAATGTATGTATGTTTGTATGTATGTACTAGTTGATTGATGAACACAAAATCTAATTAATCCTGACATTGATATGCAACAACTTCGTAGTAAAGAAAGGGTCGACTGCCCTCTTTTAATTGGTAGATGAGGTAACCCCACCAGTTGCCAGTCCCCTTTTTCTAAGGCATCAGCCAACTGCGCGACTCGACTCATGCCTCACCATCACCATGGATCCTGGCACGTTCGCATGCTCGCAATGCGACAAATCATATTCAAGGAAAAGCCATCTACTTCGGCATGAGCTAACACGTAAGAAATTCCAAATATCGTATTAACTCTCACAGACCCCAGCGCTCACAAACCACTAGACACAAACCAACTCTCAGCAAGCTGTCCGATCTGCAAAAAGGAATTTCAAAAACCGTACGGATTTCAATCATTTGTTTTATATATATATATATATATATATATGAAGTATGAACGAGAATGGGTTCTAATACGTATCCAATTCTGAAACAGAGAAGTAGCCCGAAGTCACAGCAAGTTATGCGCAAAGAAGCATAACCAGCCTATCCCGCCAGCAGCCAGAGCCGGCAGGAAGAAGCTCTCTTGTGATGAGTGCTTTGTTGCCAGGACAGCATGCGATAAAGTGACGCCTTGCTGTTCTCGGTGTCATGCGCTAGGGCGTCAATGCTCTTTCAGGGTGAATGGGTCGCAACGCCAGGTTGCTAGTGACTGCTCGACTGTTGCCGTTGTGAAAGAGTCAAATAGCAGCACCGCTGCTACTACTGGTGGCAGTGGCACTGATAGCTATGAATTTATAGGCAATGAGCCCTTTTACTTTCTTCTTCGCTTTACCGATCCTTCCGTGAAAAGAGACAGATTGGCTATTGCGGAGACTGCAGGGTGCTCCATTAGAAGAAATCTTGCGACTGTTTACTCGTCTCTTGAGAGCTCTCTTTTCCCTGTCAACAATTCTTTGCAGTTCTTTATCAATGACCTTGTGGACCCTGGTCTGTTGACTCTCAATGGCACAGTCACAGGAGATGATTACTACCATTTGGATGAATTTATCTCTGATGGCGTTGCCTCTGCGGCTTCAGAGTTGTCGAATCAATTACATAAAATTGCGACAGAATTAGTTGAGACGTCCCAGTCCATGATATTTAACAACGACAACAGCACTGGAGACGACAGGCAGAAGAATGTGCTTGACATTGCAGAATTGGACCCCCTTTTTACTGCTTCAAACCTTTCGGTGTTCATTTCTGCCTTCTTTCATTCACTTCACTGGCACATGCCCGTCGTGCACTGTCCGACCTTTGATCCTGGCAAAGTCTCGAGCTGCCTTCTCCTGGCCATCTTTCTCGCCGGCGCGGCTTATACTGTACCCTTTAACAGCGCCGATTTACCGCCGACGCTTCTCACTGTGGCTGAAGAATATATTTTTCGAAGGATTGCAAATCTGTCAACAACAACTCAGGACAATTACTTTCCCCTACGAGGCTCGGCAATAGAAGCTGTCCAAGGTGCTTTGATAGTTGAAATGCTTCAGTTCTCACAAGGGGATCCACTGGCTAGGCGTCGTATTCGCATTATCAGGCATCCATGCCTGGTTTCGACTATTCGTTCCTTGGGTCTGTTTCATTTCAAACGTAGAATGGCTCCCATGTACTGTGAAGAGAGTGCATGGAGGGAATTGGTAGAGGAGGAGGTCTGTATACGGTGAGTTGCACTTTTCTTATCCAAGATTGGGTTGCTTTCCGGTCTGATTTTCTTTCCTAAAACCAGAGTCGCCTGCTGGGCTTTCCTTGCCGATGGCTTCCTCACAATTTGCTTCAACAATCACCCGTCTCTTTCAATTTTTGAGATGGACTGTGACTTTCCGTGGAGCACTGAACTGTTCGAAGCCGAAAACGTGTCGTCTTTCAATGACATAGTTACTTCACACACGACTGAGCAGCCGCTTCCTTCATTAAGGAAAGTTGCGTCTGGTCTACTCCAAATGCCCAGTACTAGTAACCTTGATCGTATGCCCTGGAATGGCTCCTTATCTGTAGAACATCTTCTTATACTGATATACGGTATGTATCTCTTTCCACGCGCACACGCACACACACAGAGAGAAAGAGACAAATTTTAACTATCGACTAGCAATGAACTCCTTAGCTTTTCAAGCACGATCTGGGTTGCTTGGATATATATCAATGGATACAATCAAACTTGCCGCAATGAACTGGAAGAATCTTTGGGGATCAGTCCTCGGCAATTTACAATCAAAGAAAACGAAGTCAGCGACTGCAACAGCTACAATGAAAATAGAACAAAGTCTGCACCTTGGCTATCCGAAACATGCCGAGGAGCTTTGGTGGCTTTTGATGACTACGTTGGACGTCTCAAATCATAGCGGTGGGAGGAATTTTCAGTATTTGGATGCTACTGCGACTGATGATTTGGGGAAGTTGAATGAATTCATTCAGTTTGCGTCACCATGGACGGGGGCGTTGGATGAGGGTTAGCTACCTGTTATGCTATGACAATTCAATGACTTCGTGTTGATACCTTGTATTAATCTAAACTATGCACAATTTTTTTACTGCCGCCCATCTAACGCCATGATCCCTAGAAGTCCCTAGTTATGAATGAACCACTGCCTAATCCACCTTTTTCAAAGCCTGATCCCCATTTTCATTCTCATCAAAGGCTTTGACAATACCGTCCCCATCCGGTGTTTGATAAGTCCCCTTCACCCGATCCCAGAACGTGGTGAACTGTCCGTAGTTATAGTTGAAATATAGATGGTGCATCGTATGACAAGCAGCACCATTAATAACTCGCGAATTTGAGATGTACTCTGCGTCATCTGTTGCAAAGTTTAAGTCATTACAAGTCAGTCTATTATTCATAAACTTGTCGCTCCTGAAAGCTAGGAGGGAGGGGACTCACGAATCAGAACAGTCCACAGCGTAACAAAAACAAAAAGCCCCAAATAAGCCACTTTCTGTAAGGGAAACAGAAAAGGGAAAATGTGATACGGAAGACTCTGCATCCATCCATCAACTGGATTGAATGCATAGCTCGCATAAGGGGTCGGAACAACCCATTTGTGATGTCTCTTGTGCACCCATCGATAGACGGAAGGATGATGCAGACCGCGATGAATCCAGTATATCCCAGAGTCGGTGAACATTATGAAAAGCGGGTATTGGAGCCATGTGTAGATGTGACTCGGGATATAGAATGTGGAAGTTCCTTCGTCGGAGGTGCCGCTGCTGAAATCGTATAGTTTGGTCCAGCCTTGTATCTCTGCAAGGAAAATGGGCATCGTTAAAAGGGCCATTATGGGCATTGCTTTGAGGCTTTGTTGGATTTCTTGCTGTATCTGTCTGGGGAGGAATTTCGGGTGGTGTAGGAGTCTTTTGTCATAGCATGTGTGGTAAAGGAGTGTGCTTCCGATCAAGTACATGGCCATCCCGAAAAGCCTGTTTATATCCATGTATCAGTAGGTTATTTAGTTGGAGAATCATATTTGGATATTTGGACTAACCATGTAATCAGAAACAGCGATAATGCCTGTCTAGAAAGATGTTCGCGTTTCCAAGAGCTTAGCCCAGCCCATTGAGAAGGTTGCAGAGGGAAATATTGCTTGACATGTTGGTTGTATAATCGAATACTGTCTCCTTCAGAAGACCCTGCTAGTGTCGCTGCCCTGTCTGGCAAGATGATAGCGTACAACCTGTCAAAGAAGAAAGTATCACAGACATCGAGGAAAACATCCATATTGTACGGCGAGACAAGTCGACATCAAAAGTTTCTTTGTACTCTCACTAATGATAAGTATTCATTTTTTTGATCGGATTATAATCTTGTTCAAATTTTCTGATTGATAGGGAGATACTTATAGATGAGTGCGGCGATTACCCACATGTCATACCACCTATTACGGGAATACCTACTTGGAAATACCTACTTGGAAATACCTACTTGGAAATACCTACTTGGAAATACCTACTTGGAAATACCTACTCGGAAATATCTTCTCACATTAATATACAATCATACCTTATATTAACCGCATTCTATTCACTTTTAGAAAAGGAAGATGATTTAAGCTTGTGTCCTAACTAGAAAATAATCCCACCAATCACCTTCCAAAACGGGGTATCATTCTTGCGATTCGCGAGGTTCGGGGTAACAGATCAACCATATATAATGCGGGGAATCACGAAGAAAGAAAGAAAGAGGAAAAAAAGTTATACTACCCTACGAATGTAAAATCTCTTTTTATTGGGCAAAATTGGAAAGGGAAAGAGATGCTCTTCTTCCGTTCCATACTCCTTTCCCTCCCCCTGTTCATTCTAGTAGCAGCCACTGCGTCGAACTCATCATCTTCTGTAACCTGGGATAAGTACAGCTTATCGATAAATGATGAGAGACTGTTCGTCTTTTCAGGTGAATTTCACTATCTGCGTCTCCCAGTCCCCGAACTATGGCTGGACGTATTCCAGAAGCTGAGAGCTAATGGCTTCAATGCCGCCTCAGGTATTTTATATATGACAGCCCTGCCCAACAGTTCATAAAAGCGCTTTCTGACACGGACGTTTGTAGTGTATTTCTTCTGGAACTTCCATAGTGCCTCTGAAGGAGTATTTGATTTTGAGACCGGAGCCCACGACGTCCAGCGTCTTTTCGACTATGCAAAGGAGGCGGGCATCTATATCATTGCCAGGCCTGGACCATATGCCAACGGTGAGTTGACTGCGGGGGGGTTTGCTCTCTGGGCATCCAATGGTCAGATGGGAGAAGAACGAACAAGTGATCCGCAGTACTATAAGTATTGGGTCCCGTGGATGCAAGAGATTGGCAAAATCCTTGCGGCCAACCAGATCACTGAGGGAGGCCCGGTGATCTTGGTTCAACACGAAAATGAACTTCAAGAAACTCTCCACAGCCCGAACAACACTCTGGTGATATACATGGAGCAGGTCTCGAAAGTCCTGGCCGATGCTGGCATTGTCGTCCCAAGCACCAGTAACGAAAAGGGTATGCGCGATGAGAGCTGGTCAACGGATTACGAGGATGTCGGTGGTGCAGTCAATATCTACGGCCTCGATAGTTACCCCGGTGGATTGTCCTGCACGAATCCTGACTCAGGTTTCACTCTCGTTCGCACGTACTACGAATGGTTCCAAAACTATTCTTTTACTCAACCCGAGTTCGTGCCAGAATTTGAAGGCGGCTACTTTACGCCTTGGGGGGGAGTGTTTTACGACGACTGTGCCTCAATGCTCCTTCCGGAGTACCCAGATGTCTTCTATAAGAATAATATAGGATCTCGAATAACTCTACAGAGCTTGTATATGACTTATGGAGGAACAAACTGGGGTCACATTGCTGCACCAGTGGTATATACATCGTACGACTACGACGCGCCGCTGAGAGAAACTCGTCAAATTCGCGATAAACTGAAACAAACTAAGCTCATTGGTTTATTTACTCGAGTTTCTTCGGATCTTCTACAAGCTGATATGACATGGAATGGTACCGGATACACGAACGACACAGGTATCTTCACATGGGCGTTAAGAAACCCGCAGACAAATGCTGGGTTTTACATTGTGGCTCAAGATGATAGCTCTTCGAAGGCAGATGTTGTTTTCGATCTCGAAGTTGAGACTTCTGCAGGTATGTCTAAAAATTTTTCTACACGCCGTTAGAAAGATTGCCCTGCTAAGCGAAGATAGGTGCTATGAATATTTCGAGTATCGAGCTAGATGGTCGCCAAAGCAAGATTATCACCACGGATTACACTGTTGGGAACACCACGCTACTCTACTGTTCCTCAGATATACTTACTTACGCTACTCTGGATGTTGACGTCCTAGCACTATATCTGAACGCAGGTCAAACCGGAGCTTTTGTTTTAGCCAACACCTCTTCCGCCAACTTGACATTCAGTGTATATGGTAATTCAACGGTGACTACTTCCCAGGCCAGTTATGGAACAGTTTACACGTATATACAGGCACACGGGATATCGGTCATACAGTTCTCTAATGGGTTTCTGGTGTATCTTCTTGATAAGTTTACGGCATGGGACTCCTTTGCGCCGGCTTTGGTATCCAGTCCAATAGTGAAACCAGACCAGCATATACTTGTACTAGGGCCATATCTTGTGCGAGGGGCTTCATTCAATGGCGACACACTTGAGCTTATCGGTGACACTGAGAACACTACTTCTATTGAGTGAGTACATTGCTTTCCTCATTGCATTCTACTACCTATTCTTTGGTATATTTACTGTGACTGAAATGCTCTCCGAAGAGTACAGACGTGCTAATACTCGTTTAGAATATATCATGGAAATCCATCCATTACCACTGTGACGTGGAACAACGAGACAATCGTCACCAAACGCACAGCATATGGTAGCCTTATTGGCACAATCCCCGGCCCAGAAGGAATCATAATATCTCTCCCCAAGCTGAACTCCTGGAAATCACACGATACAATTCCGGAGAGTGCCTCGGACTATGACGACTCACGCTGGGTTGTTTGCGACAAAAACGCCACAGTCAATGCTATTGCACCTCTGTCTCTACCGGTTCTATACTCAGGAGACTACGGGTATCATCCCGGGCCCAAACTCTACCGCGGACGCTTTGGCAACATCAATGCCACCGGAGTGAATGTTACGGCTCAAAACGGCTATGCAGCAGGATGGTCAGCATGGCTGAATGGCGGATATGTTGGAGGATCTACCGGTGATGTGAGCATCGAAGCAACCAATGCTTTCCTTGAATTTAATTCAAGCGTTCTCAAGCAGGACAACACTGAAAACGTTCTCTCCATCCTTGTCGACTATACTGGCCATGATGAAGCCAACGTCGGGCCTGAGGGAACTCAGAATCCACGAGGTTTATTAGGTGTGATTCTCCAAAGCTCATCATCAACAACGGAGAATTTCACGTCATGGAAAATCCAAGGAAATGCTGGTGGTGAGAAAAATATCGACCCTCTTCGCGGGCCTATGAACGAAGGAGGGTTATACGGCGAGCGAATGGGCTGGCATCTTCCAGGTTTCGATATAGAATCCTCCCCATCTGGCTGGGACACCAAAGCTCCTTCTCACGGCGTAGATGGTGGTTCAGGCAGATTCTACATAACGGAGTTTACATTAGATCTTGGAGAGAATAGTCATACTCTCGACGTACCGATTGGAATCCAACTTAATGCGTCGTCGACCTCCGGCCCGGCAGTGGTATATGTGTGGCTCAACGGATACAAATTCGCGCATTATCTCCCACACATCGGTCCACAGACAGTATTTCCGTTTCAACCTGGTATACTCAACATACAAGGAAGTGATAAGGAGAATGGCATAAATACAAACACGCTTTCTTTGAGTTTATGGGCTTTGACAGACCAGCCTGCTTCGCTGGACGTGGTTGAACTTGTCATGTACGGGAAGTACACATCTTCATTCGATTTTGGGCGAGATTGGAGCTATTTACAACCAGGGTGGACAAATAGAAGTCAATATACTTGATGGCTCACTTCTTCCACTCGTTTATAGCATGAGATGCCATAGTTCCAAAGTGAGATAGAAGTGCTATCCTCTTAGTTATTGAATTAAATCGACAAATAGTCCCGTCTTTTTCCTCAATTTATTAATAGGATAGTAATTACATTAAATTTAATACAAATTGTACATACTAGAGCTCCGCTCTATTAGTCAAACCATTAGAGTCCTTATCACCCTGTCAATCTTCTCTTCCCCAACACCAATCGAGAGCAAATATTTCCTCACACCTCCATATTTCGTGTCTAGATACGACTTCAAAGCGCCCGTAAACCCCGACGGAGTCTTTGCATACTCCTCATCCAGTCCTATATCTGAGATTTCTTTCATTAAAGACTCAAATTCAGGCTGAAGTTCACTCTCCGATTTCATGTAATCAGAGGCCATGGCGTTAAGCGGTATGGATTGTTGTCCTTCTTTCTGTGTTGATAATAGTGCTGGTGACGACGTATCAGCAATCAGAAATAACAGTAACAAAATGATGAGTCCGGTACGGTCTTTCCCTTGCGTGCAATGAATCAAGACAGGGTATGATTTTCCCTTGGTCAATATGTCAAAAATTTCTCGAATCTCAGCGCCAGCGCAGTCGAGCGTGTCTTGAGCTAGGCCAATCAAGCCACGTGGTTTCATTACTTGTGATGCAATTACCTTGACTGCATCCGCGCGGTAACCTGAGGCTATTAAACCCAGTACTCTCCTATTTTGTGTACAGTCAGCTTTTGTTGTACAATAATGAGTTGACAAGAGAGCGAAAACAGGTGTAATACATGAAATTATACCAGTCCAAACGCCACAAAAGTAACCTCTCAAAGGCACGTCCTGTAAGACTGATAAAGTGTCGATTTACGCCAGGTAATTCCAAAAGATGCTGTCGATAAGAAGGGGGTGTATTTGCAATGTTGGCATCTTCTAGAGATGAGGCTGGTAGAGAATTCCGACGCCGTCTAGTGGCCATTTCATGTTCCGTACTATGCAAGTTAGAAAACTTGAATTGGACAAGTTATGAGACAAAGTATAAGAGGTAGAACAAAGCATACTTTGAACGCAAATCAATCACCGTCGATAGACTAATGTCGTCTTGGAGACGCTGCCTGTCTCGCTTGGATGCATCGTCTGGCTATATTAAAATAAAAAGAGATCAAGTTAGTTGATCAGTGTATCAAAACAATGCAGGTATTCTTTGTTATTGCTTAGGCAATGAAAGAAATATGTCCACATAAGATTCAGCATACCCGAGCACTACGGAAGAGTATGTTTTCTTTCAAAATTCTAGGCAAGTTCGTCAGCATTTCGATTCCTAAGTATTACAGGAAGAAATGCAAAAGACCAAAAAACTGGTACGTACTTTGAGCCCGTGAACTCATTAATAGACTTCCCAACATCCCGAAAATTCAAAATGTTGTCAAATGGCCGATCCGGAGAGTCGAGGTGGAAACTTGTAGAGCTATCTATCGTGGTTGTCACCGTGGTAGCATTGCTTGACCTTGATAACCTTTTTTGGCGCATATTTATTGTATTTTCTCGATTTTGTCTCCTGAAAGGTCAATTTGGTCGACTCGGTTGGATATTTAAGCTGTGTCCTTTTACCGATGGAAGGAAGGTAAAAAGCCAAAAGGATTAATCAAACCTCTGTGGACGCGATGATCAATTTAAATAATGGACATCAACAGAGAAAGAAAATCATGTAATAATATAGCGCGTAATCGTATAAACAAAAATTGGCGTTCAAATCAATAGTCGGTGAGCGCGTGGTCGGTGCCTAGGTAACTATAACCGGTTAATTCATATATTTAGCTTCATAGGAACGCACGAAGAAATGGGTATTTGGATCTTTGAAAAGTGAGCCTGATAGAAAATTGTTGAGAGCTAGTATATACATATAGTCATAGATTAATTATCCGGAGCATTTGATCGTAAGATGTTTGTTGCATGTTGCTTTGTTTCACTTTTCAGTCTTCCAGGTGCTTCAGGGGTCGCGCTAAACCTGTTACGGCATGATTATAGGGCTAGGGTTTGGAACATGTTCACTTTTGCGTAGAGGATGATATAACATGATAATATTGCACACAAATCTACATATACATTGTCTATTTGATTTGCATATCGTTTAAAATATGGTTTACGAAATACCCCATAGTCATATACAAGGAAAGGGAAGCTCATTTAACCTACGCCTTGTTTTAGCTTTTAGGGAGATTGAATTTGTTTTTCTGGTCCTTTATAGATGTCAATTGCTAAGGCAAAAAAACTAATTGGTTGTTGAAAGACATCGTTGGGCGTTTCGAAACATATAAGAGCCAAGATATAACACCGTGGCTTTCTATTAAACAATATTAACTTCATTCTCTTTCCATCTCCTTGCGTGATATCTGCATTATCCTACCCATAGAATCTACTGGCCGCTTAGTGCAAGCAGAAGACCGAGACCATTCAGTAATGTTTCTCCTATATCTACATTGAGTACGAGACAGATAACTCCAGAAGTATATCAGTTTGTTGACTTAGTATCCCCCCTGAGGTTTGGGATTGTTGATTGCATTTCGTAGTACCTAGCACTGTTATTGTGCTCATATCTAGCAAAAGTGGCAATAAGATAATAGGGTTTGTCTATTGGATCTCATATACTTATGATTATCAAGGGAAAAGAAGTTCAATTAACCGCACCCCACTGCGGAATGCGGAGCATCCCGTTGCCGCTACCACGGGTACATAGCTTATTTTAGATTGATCTAGAACAATCGAAATAGTTATATTAACGTGATGGGTATCAAGCAACGCAGTCAAAAGTAATATGAGATAGAATATATAAGATGAAGAAAGTAAATAAAGGAAAGAAAAGAGAGAGAGTAGAAGCAACCGGTCCCAGATGTCCAGCCCACATCGAAGAAGATTGCAATTTCAATGCAGGTTGGGGCCATACCACCTTAGACAAAATTTGTATCCTCCACGGCCTCGCTCTCATTGTGAAGCCATTCAGGGTCTGGGATTTTATGGAAATCTTTAATGAGGCAATAGAGGCGCTTTGGCTCACCAAACAAGCCGCTGACTGGATTGAGACACGTAAGAACCATGAGTGAATCAGTGTCCTGAATAGGGACCACCAGAGGACCCTTTGCGCAAGTTCTACCCTGTTTGGTACGAAAGATGACATTCCAATTTACGTAGTAAGTGATAATGAGTTCATCTAGCTTTGCTTCCCTTGCGTGAATGTAAATGACCTTCGAATGCTCTTCCGTCCCTTCTTTCCACGGAATTGGAGTATGCGTAAATTCGCTGTTTCCATGCAGTTTAGCCTCAAGCTCAAGTGTGATTGTAAGTTCATGTTTTGTTCTATTCTCCGAGTCTTTCCCTAGGAACATAAAGGCCTGGAGCTTAATACGCTCTTGGTTGTCCGTGGGCTCGCTTGGTATCTGCTCATAATCTTTGAGGAACTGGATGGCACGAGTAACCCAATAAGGAGTAACAGATTTTCTGTCAGTGTCGTATGTAAGCCTCTTCGATTCGTCCTTGGCGTCGTATGAAAGCCGATGGGTTCCAAGTGTATCAAATTTCTCAAATTGATCAAGCTCCTTGTCCATTATGAGAAACCTCCAACAGGTGGGAAAAAGCAACTTTAGTGTTGAGAAAAAAAAAGATTAGAACTGGATATTGTAGTTCAGAAGAAAGACAAAGAGAATCAATATTGAATCAAAGGCTCTGTGGAAAATATAAAAAAGGATACCGAACCTTAAAAATAGTAAGGAGATTGATTCCCTGAGTCAACTGAGTATGACTGAAGGCAAGACCAATTCTTTATCTATGTGAGTGTGATGTGAGTCACAAAAGAGATGAAATTCATTTCTGCGTATTTTCATTTGACCTCAAGGCAATGATGTCTTCTCTGTTACTCTCATATTGAGATATATGGCCTAATTAACTTCCTGGAGAACTATGAATATAGCTTTAAATGGTATCTGCATATCCTCTTTAGTTAAGTGCGCAGATTTTATAGTATTTCCAATACTGGCCGAGGGAACAGACGATACTGGTCAATATAACTGATGGGATCGAGCAGAGTAACCGATTGGTCATCAAAGTAGAGAGACTTAAAGCTGGTTAATATAATTTTAATTTGGTCAGTGCTACATCGCAGTAAAGCTAGGATAAGGCTGAAATCTTATATACAATATGTTCCCGTGATGGATATTTTGATATAGTTAGTAGCATATGTGTGAAAACCAGGGCCGCTTAAGAGTATCCAATCCAATGCAGTTACATTTATATTTTTGTTGGTTTCTGTTTCTTTACAATAAGAATGAAAAAGCATGTAATAGAGATTTCAAACTTTCGATGAAAAATAGCAAACTTTTTTTTAATTAACGAAACTTGCGCTTTTGAGCCCCATTTAACTTGGTTCTTAGGTTCTGTATCGTGCTTCTGCGGCTGGTACGTAGAACTCACTGCAGCGGAATGTATTTTTATCAAATCTGGCGAGAGAGATTAGGTATCTGGCTATTTCAACGCTGTACCTAGGTATGGAATGATATGCAACGGTGTACTGCCTGTCTGATAGCCTTTTCCCATGCTTAATCCTCTAGTTGAACATGCACTGATATGATTCATTCATAGACAACTATGAAAAATATCCAGGACAGTTTACGCTCCTTGCTTTGATGATGGTTTTAGCTGGCTGCTATGTATACCGCACTTGCAAAGAAGATTTACTCCGGTATGGGAATCACTCTGCAAATTTTCCCTCAATTATGTCCCAGCCATTATTTTTCTCCTTCAGTTCAACAATCAGCCTATCTTCCTCCTCCGAAAAGCAAGCTTTCGTTGCTGAGCCGCGAAAAAAGTTGATAAATGCGTTTGCAAGAACTCAAGGCAGTAGACAATCTCAGACCCACATTGTCATAATCTGAGAAATCCTTGGACAGGAATTTGACTCGCTCTTCTAGATAGAGTCAAAGCCTGTTGCTGGCTGCGTACATTACGCAAATTGCGAAGACTCAGAAGAGGATGAAGTCAAGCTCTAAGAACCCAGTGTGTTTTCATGCAGTTTCTCCCCCCTGCATCGTTTTGATCAGTACAGCTCTTCTTCCACTTCAGTATGGGGGTTGTCTATGTAGTCAGTATCATTTTCATCATCCGAGGGAATTGGGTTTGAATTATCATCATGAGGCTGAGAGATTAAAGACCGTTTCTGTGATGTGCGGAGACAACAAGTTGGAAGAGTCAGGACGAGGATGATCACTACTCGAATAATTTTCGTATTTATCTTCTCATCTCTCGTTCGCCAAGAAGGCCTGGTTAATAAAAATACTTGGACTTTCTCCTATATACCTAATTTTCTATACCTATGTCACGGAAAGGTCTGGTCTCTCAGCTACTTAAACAAGAGCTCAACATAGGTACAGAAGGATTCGCTAGAGAGAAAGGAAACAGACATCCGTAACCTATCGGCCCCCGGTTCTTATATAATCTTCTACTACATGGCGATTCTCCGCCTTATTCATTGCCGAGCTCCCTCATATTGCCGCTTAGGCTCATCATACTGGAATGGTCGGATTCTATATATGACATGTGTTGGTGTGCTCGTATCGCGGCGAGCTGCAGTCAGCTCCGTGGCTAGGGCAAGCTGCCGTGTAGCCCTAGCTCTGTAAAGATATCTCTGGTATGCTCATGTCCCATGCGTCAGAGATGTCGGTATCTATGTCAAAAACATGAAGGTCTGGGGAGTTTCCAAAGGATGTTGATTGCGTATTGGAATAAAGTAGAGAAGTGCCTAATGAGAAAGGCATTAGTGGGGTGAAGTAAGCCCCTGATAAGAGGGGAGTCCGCCAAGTAGATGCCTAATTTGTCTATTTTTCTCAAACAAAAAAGCTAGCAAGTCATCATTGGCTGTATGTACAGTGTACGATGTATGATATTGCATTGCCAACCTGCTTGATTAGGCAGGTGGCAGACCACGCCGCCTTCCCTCCCTAAACACAACGAAGCAGGTAAGGCTTCCTCCTCCATCAACCTACTCTCATTCTTCGCACAGCTAGCAATACGATCTTTTTGTTTCCTTTTGCTAATTAGCATCTCATCCTCTAGTTACTCACCCGCCCATGGCAGCCCCAGGGGGTGGAAGCCCTCCCTCGCAAAGGGAAGGGTCAGATTCGTCGAGTGGTAGAAGTTAAGGAGGGATCCTTAGACAAGTCACAGAGCGGCAACATTGAGCAAAGTCCTCATGAGCTTGCAGCTTTTCATCCTGCCAATGACAATTCTAGAGGAAAAGGAAGCGGTATATCAGCACAGAAAGTCACAAAAAGAAGAGGCCTCCCAGGGTGTAAAGCTTCATATAAGAGGCCTACGTAGGCCCAGAGGGCCGTCTTGATCTTCCCTTTTCTTTTGTTGTCTCGTGATAACTAGGGGGTATCAGTAAAAATAAAATAATGGGAAAAAATAACTCCCGAACTGGGAATTGAACCCAGGTCCTCCGCGCTTTCGCAGTCAATGACTATGACAAGCGGAGATCATAACCACTAAACTATTCGGGATTAATGGAAGAAGTCGATACTTTTTCAAATTATGTCTCACATTTTGATGTTAGTTTTGAAAAATGAATGATTTCCATATTGCTTGAATATATATGGAAAAAAATTGACTCCCGAACTGGGAATTGAACCCAGGTCCTCCGCGCTTTCGTAGTCAACGACTATGACAAGCGGAGATCATAACCACTAAACTATTCGGGACTGATGGACGAATCATTCATTTATATTTTCTTATTCTTCTAGGCCAATTAACATATGGATAACGAGGCTATTCGTACCTGGGCCCGGTAGGTCAGCCTCAGCCTCAACATAACATCAAGGTAAAGTGACCTATCGCATTCTAATGAGAAAATATGGATTTTTCTCGACCACGCACAATCTATCCTCCCACCACATACGTATAAGCTTTGCCTACAGGCGATAAGCTGATATCCAACTGACCGTGGTATCTATGGCTGGTTTGTTTCATTCTCTGAAAATTCCCACCAGGGTCAAATATAACCTATATATATGAAGACGACCGAAGCTAGCAAGAAATGGATCATGTTCCTCCGACGCTTTTGTTGGTCCCAGACTGGCATGCTATATTTTAAGAGCTCTATCGACCGAGTGGGATGTCAATATATATACTCGCTCCTAGTAAAAACATTACCGCGAGACACCGTCAACTCACTCTACAACTCACTCCAAAGATGCATACAAGCAACTACCTTGCTCAAGGTAAGCTTCATGCCGCCTGGCTGCCACGTAGCGCATCCCATGCGACAATAAATGCCATCACCGTGGCGTGTTAGAAGCTCTTCCCTGAGAAGAAAGGTTCTCATTGCCATGGTCATCGGTATCACTTAGATCAGCCAATCTCCCACTCTCAAGCGAAAGAACCCCGAGTCCTTCCTTAGGAACTTCCAAAGTGCAAAGCACCCTTTTTCCGCAATAAAATACTAGATCTTTGGTAGTTGGAAATATTCTAGGTTCTCCCTATTCATTCTAACATGTGTTCATCTTGGCCGTTTTTATACCTCCTCTCCGAGAAATTATCTTTTTGGAGTATTTCTGCTCCTACAAGAATTATTAAAGATGGTGAGCTACAGCGTGCTTCGTCCCAACTAGCTCGTCTTAAAGAGAGCCAAAAGTGTGCAGTGTGTTTCCTAAATTGGAAAGTTTATGGTTAGGGCTATTCGTCTTACAGATAGATAATATAGATAATCCGTGTTCTCCTCAATTCTATTTCAATAATTAGTGACCAAATAGATAAGTCAGTTGCTTAACATCGAAGAGAAACTTGGGTTATTTTATGCTTCACTTACACAAGTTTAGTTTGCGAGGTGGAGAACAACACAGGAGTTCAGGCTCTGTGACCAACTATTGGACATAGCAAAGAGCACCATCTAGTGAGTGAGCACTCACACGCCTGGAATTCTTCCACGATGTAGCTTAAAACAATTATCTGTAGTAGTAATACAATACGGTAGCCTGCTGAATTTAGTCTGCTGACGGCATATCCTTCACGCCCCATAAGGGGCTGTTTTTTGGCATGGAGGTCTAGTGCATTTTCCCACTTGTTTTTATTTTGCTTTTAGACACGGTAGAACGACATCAAGAATTGAAGCCTGTCTGCCGAGGCGCGGATAAAGATATGATCGATTGTGATTTAATAAATTCCGTGAATTAAATGAGTGAAGTGGTAACTAGATCGCCATCTAGATGGATGCTTATGTAATGCAATAAACTTTTTCAAAATTTGATATTGGAACATAACTGGAAAAATAGAAACGGCTTCCAATAATCCCGAATAGTTTAGTGGTTATGATCTCCGCTTGTCATAGTCATTGACTGCGAAAGCGCGGAGGACCTGGGTTCAATTCCCAGTTCGGGAGGCAATTTTTTTTTATTATTTTTAAGCACCACGGAGGTGGGAGTCAAAAGTATTGAGAATACGCTAATGCACCCAGTGACTAGTCTCTCTATATAACGCTAATATAGGCAATAGGGTCTATTTTACTACAAAACTAAAGGTTCCTTCCTATTCAAGATGTTTCTCCCCTTAAATGATGGAGCTGGATGGCCTGGCCTTAAGATTTTTATTTTACTCCTGCTTGGCTGCATTAGCGTATTCTCAATACTTTTGACTCCCACCTCCGTACGGGAGTTAAACGTATGGGGGTTACATGTGTCCAGTTAGGGAAATACGTTATGTGGTAGAAGTTAGGTGGCGCTACGCACAGATCACGTGCAACTCTTGGCACGGAAAATTAGAAATGCCGCTCCTAGTGTAGCGGCACTTGGTCTGTGCGTAGTCGGCGCAAACTAGACGTAATTCATTTTTCAAAACTAATACTGAAAAGTCACATAAGCAATAAAGTGGCAGCTCCTTCCGTCAATCCCGAATAGTTTAGTGGTTATGATCTCCGCTTGTCATAGTCGTTGACTACGAAAGCGCGGAGGACCTGGGTTCAATTCCCAGTTCGGGAGTTATTTTTTTCCCATAATTTTACTTTTACTCATAAATAACCCCTAGTTTTATCAACTGCGAAAGCGCGGAGAACATTCAGCTTCGTTACCACGGAGGAAAACGGCAGGTCTACGAAGCCATGGCAGCTCAATTCCAAGGGACCGGTCATTGGTACTACTGTCAAAACAACCACCCAGTAAGATAGATACATTTTTTCTAGTCTAAAATCAGAAAGCAGTGCTAACATGGTACTCTCCAGTTTACGGTCGGCGAGTGGACTTCCGATGGAAGAGGCCCGTATTCATGATCATATGGAAGTTCAGGGGGGTAATAGATCCGAAGATCTCGAGGCTGAATTTGGGCGTGTTGCAGAATGGGCGCGAGATAATTGACTTTATGGGCTCAATGACTCAAGAACGCCTTCATTAATTTTATGTATGAAGCAACCATTTAGTTGAACAGGAGGGGGGCGCATCCGAGGTGTCTTTGTTTTAATAAAAAATAGAAAATAAAAATAAAAAATAAAAATAAAAAGATACCTAGGTATCACAAGAGGGCTGCTCCAAAATTGTTCAACGCTACCAACTCCGTACGTTTATCACAGGCTAGAAGATATCTATTGTCGAAAGAACACCAAGTCTTGAATTTAGAAGACATGACTAGTCCGCATAGAAAGAACCCTTTTCCTCAGACATCTCGCAAGACATAAAAAAAAAGGCCGTACATTGTAGGGTAGAATAAAGCGCGTCCTGCGTTCAATGTTTGTATAACCCTTTACCTAGGTATTCAATTAGTAGAGAGCCAGATCTGAAGGAACGACGTATTGATAATCGATTTACCTAGGTGGCCTATACTGGTTAAATAGAATACGCAAGGAATAGTAACACAAAAAGAAATCAGACTTAGTAATACCACCCCCACCAAAAACTAGGATATACGCTACACGGCTATAATACACGATTCCCAAGTCCCTGGGGACCTTGTTGTTGTTGCTTTTGATAGACCCAAGGTATCATGTAACCCAAACGCCGTCATTTTTAAGATGCTCGAACTGGAACAAAAAAGAATAATAAAAACAAGAAGCGAGATCAATATGTAAGAAAAGATCGTGTCAATCGTTAGTTCACGGGAGGAAGCCGGTTGTTATCCATATTCACGACCATCGGTGATGAGACACGGTGAGAAAATGGATTTGTATATATGGGGCAAGTATAACCAAAAATGCAAATCAGATAAATCGAATTGATTGAACTGAATCAATGGGTATCACTTTCATCGCTATTAATCGTACGAATCTTATCAGAAATCTCGAGGCAGATAGGCGCCGTTCGTTTGTCGTCCATTGACAACATGGCCGCGGTAGACGTTGCCTCTGTCGCCCATGGAGTCCGTGGTCAATGGCTCCTCGTAGATGACGTCCTGCGGCTGACCGGCTGCACCGGAGCTCATGGTTTGTTGCATGTGTAGCATTTTCTCGCCTTGAGGGACATGGCGGCGCGTGCGGACGGATGGTAGCAAGTCCACGACAAAGGAGAGGACATAGAAGGTGAATACCAAAGCGATGACTTGCAGCAGGAGAATTAGCATGTGGTTGGAACGACTGATTAATGATAAATGCATACCCCATTCGATGATGGCGACTGAGTTTCCCTCGTCGGTATTATTGTGCAACACGCCAAAGGCAATGGCCAGGGCGAGCTCTATGATAACGAAGGAGATCTTGATCCAGAAGCTAATAAGAAGAATGCTGTGCTGCCTGCGGTAAAAGATACCGATGCGCAAGTACTCAATGCAAATAAAGATAGCACTGATGATGTATGCCGCACTGTGATAAGAATTATGTCGTTAGAGCTACTTCCGAGCAGCAACAGAGCGAGAAGAAACCCACATAAACAAGCCCAAAAACGCATCATGAAGACGATCATAATCCCTGTCATTGAAACAAGAGAGCAGAATCAACCCGGCCGCTCCGGCAATAGAGAAGATAATAGAGATAATTGAGCATGCTTTGTCAAAGCGCCCCTTATTCCGCGCCAGCTGTCCCGAGTGTCGCAGCCATCGCTCCGCTAAGAAGGAGAGATCCAGAAAGACGACGGTGACGCAGGAACCGGCTATGAACAAGGGCTGCAATCCTGTAGCTCCAATATCTGAGATGAAACTACGGATTTTTTTGAAATCTCGGGGTTAGTACTTTCTATGCTCCTATTGCAAAAAAAAAAAAGGGGGAAATTGTGTATATAGACTGACGGGATCGTTCGAGTCGCTGGCATGTTGTAGTAGTGTGGCTTTCCATCTACTGCCCATACCGATATCATGGCAATCAGCATGGCCAGCCACATGCAGGCCGAGATGACGGGGAACACCCAGAAAGAGATGATCCACATGCTGGCGGATTGCTGGAAGCGTAGTACCACGCGGAGATCCGAAGTGAAGCTTGAGACTGTCGCGCAACTGCTGTTAATTTGTGAGAGAAACGCGTAATACTATACTCGCTCGCAGCGTGGTGGCTAGGAAGACAGGGAGAGAAGCAAGCCGGAGCAGCAGCAAGCAGTAGCAGCACGCGGCACAGGAAGCACAAGCTCACACTGTAGCAAAAGCAGGAGACAAGAAGATTATAATAGAACAGCAGCCAAGGAAACTCAATGACTTCATAGAGAGAGAAAAAAGAAAGAAATTGGAAATTCCATCATGACGTTGCGGATCCACCGGCTGCACATCTTAGTCAGCCACTTATTGCGCGTCTGGATTTCGTTCTTTCTATACAGGTTACACCGAGCAGTGGCACAGCCTGGACTCCTCTTTCTATGCCAACCCTGGCCATTGGCAATATGCGGAAATAAGCGGAAACACGGGAATTAGCAAAGAGAACAGAGCCTGGTCACTCGGGATACAGACAGAACATGTCTCCCTTGTTCGGAATGCGACGGAATTTTTCAATAAAAGGAAAAGAAACACTGTATATACAAAAATCTGAAATGGATTCTCTAGAACTATACATAATGCGACCGCCATCTATTAACTCCATGACACGAAAAAGCCCTGCCATAACATATATTATAGCGCATGCTATGACAAACAATGAAGAAAAAAAGCACCAAACAAAAAGGCTAGGCGGAAGAAATCAAAAAGGCTGCGCGAAGGAAGACATGGCTTTCAATCAACGACCACGACGGCGACGAGTTCCGCGACTCCCACGGGAACCACCGCCACTAGCTGTCGCAGTTCGCGCTGCGTTGGTGGGAGGAGCTGATGGCGGTGAAACGGCCTTTACTTGCACCCCTTCATCGGCGTTGTCGTCATTGTCACTTTCACTGTCGTCGTTGTTATTGCTGGCTTCGTCCTCGGAAGACTCGATAGGGATGCGACGAGCAGGAGCGTTGACCGCTTCACGACGAGGCTGATTTTGCGCTGTAGGCGAGTAGTTGGCATTGAACGTTGACATCTCCGGAGCATATCGGCGACCTTGAAAGCTGCCGGGCCGCGGATCCAGGTTTCCAGCTCCGTATTGCTGCGGCATGAAAAGAGGAGGGTCGTAGGGATATGGTAATGAATTGGACGAGGAGCGCTGCCGAGGGACCCATTGAGGATCATCAGGCAAGGAACGAATGAAGGGGAGCTCACGCTCGGATGAGAACCGTTGGTTGTAACCCGATTGATACATCAAGGGTGAGCCGTTTGAAGGCTGTGGACGCAACGATTGCATAGTCGGGGTCCTCGGACGAGACGAAGGGCTGCTTGGGCTACTATTGCTCATAGAGGCGTGCACGCCGCTTGTAGGTCGTTTGTCATTCATTGAGTACCGTTCTTGTAGACCTTGCCGCCAATCAGAAGCAGACCTAGGAGACGACTTTGAGAACGAATCTTTGCTTTTTGGCCGCATGTCGTTGATCGAAGGTGCACGGGACCGAGCAGGCGAGCCAATTGTTGTTGGCACAGTAATTTTCCTGCCACCCGTTCCCTTGCGTCTGCGTTCTAATGCATCCAGCTCTTCTTTAGAGAGCCGCACGTTCTTCTTGCCAAGCATCTGGGCGCGTCTGATTCGCTCTAAAGCCTTCTCGACCAACATTTCCTCCTTATCTCGCATCGCCAATTGTACTGCATAAGCCACAGTACTGTCCGCATCATCATCCAAATCATAATCCGCACCGTCTGACACCTCACTTTCATAGTCATACCCGTTGTTTCTCAGTCGAAGCTCGCGCGGGCTTGCTCTGCCCCCATTATTATTACCATACCATCGAACACGATTTGGTGAAGAATCCATAAACGCCATTCCATTGTACCCATCATCGTTATCACTATCAATTTCCTCGAAACGTACACCATCGAAATCTTCCCATTGGGTTGCCCTCCTTCGAGTCTGTTTCCCCTGCCATAGCCCTGGTGGTCTTCCCCATCGGGGCATATCGTAAGGAGTTCGCGGCCGACCACCTAGACCGCCTCCTCGGAAAAAGCATTCTCGATAGGTTTTTCCATAAATGAAGCGTGACCAAGAACAGTCACGCCAGTTGCTCCAATCAACCAGAGCGCAGTCGCGAGTGGCGATGCCCAGAGACCGAGTGGCACAGCGATGATGAGCAAGGTCGTGTACAACTGGGAGGTGGTTGCGCGGAAAAAGCCAACATCGAGGTCACGGCCCTCCAGCTTGCCAATTCCATACATACCACCGGTGACCAGAATAATCACGAAAAGAAGGATGGGGTTGGTAAGCAGACTGTAGATGCTGAGCATCACAAAGACGGCGGCATAGTTGCTGGAGAAGTAAGAGAGGTTGTAGTTCACACGACTCTGGATCTCGCCAAAGTCCGCAGGCTTGGAGAGACGCTTGATGTCCAGAAACTCGGAGATCGGCTTCAAGTTGGCGAAACGCGAGCTCACTGAGGTCGAGCGCATGCTGTTGAAGCGGTCGCTGAAGCGCGAGGTGATCATCTCGACTGGGAACTGGAACTGGGCCATTGCGATCGTGGTAGTGAAGATTGAAAACAATCAAGTAAAAGGCGAAAAGAAGTAAAAAGTTGAGTCGATTAAAAGACTATTCGATCAATGCTGGGCAGTGAGAGGATGTGGTGGTGGCGAGGGTAGGTAAACAACAATAATAAAAAAATAGAGAAGCCTAAGGACAATTGCCGGGGAAGGCGCCAGGGGGCTCGCCGCGAGCCAATCCGCGGCTGCCAAATTCCCTCCCCCCTTCAAAAGGGACTAGCGCCGTTTATCTGCCTGCAAAAAGCAATGAACTGCCAGCATCCCCTCCCTGCCTTTTTGGGAGGCCGGGTTATGCTGCAAACAGGACGGAGGAGGAGAAAGAAAAGAGGGGGGAACACCGCGCCTTAAATATCTGACGCTTCCTTTATGCTCTGTTTCGGGCCTTTCGCTTTCACTCACTCATTCACACCCAACCCCGCAGACGGAAGCAGACAGCAAGCAACAAGCCGTCGATTCAATCAATCACAACCACGCAGCCTCTGAATCTCGCAGCCGGAGGTCCACTGCCAGCCAGCAGCATGCATGGTGGGCATATGGTGCCAAGTTCATGCCCGGATATGACACTGCCTCGACGGAGCCAAGCAGTTTTGAGCTGACGTGTCACTTGAAAGCTAATACTAGAATAATCTCCGCAAGACATGGCGAATTGCTCCGATATACCTCTCTTCAGAAATGGAACGTGTCTTCCACGCCCTCAGTTTTCCAAGATCGAAAAGGCTACCGGTCGATCCCGTTGTTCGTTGTGATATTACATAGAATGGAATAGTGCAGCCCCGAGGATTAGGACTAGGAGACGATACTACGTAGAATGAAGACAAGCCCATAGGCATATAGATTGGCTGGACCACAAGATGTCCTGCATCGACTTATCATTTACTTCAACTATCCTGATCGACGAAGCTATGGTAATCGATGACCGAGGCCTCAGGCAGCCTTCGACCTCCGGTCATTTCGGCTATACTGCTTAAGGCATAGTAGTGTATGCCCTACCATTCAGGCATAAAATTTGATCGGCATTTCCCCGCTTGGCCAGATTCGGTAAGGCCAGGTAGCTTCAAACCGAAATAAATTAGATTAGACCACAGCAACTGTCAAGTATCACCCTTCTGTGTACTTCGCTGTGTTGCGTTTGAGCTCGAGCTCTCACCATGCGCCACGTAGCTTTCCAGCTTTTTGCTGTGGCCATCCTCGTGACGCTGGTCGCGGCATGGACAAAAGAAGGTCTGTTGACAGTCTTCTTGGATTTGAGGGAAAGCTAACAACAAAATAGATCACGAGATTTTTCAAATTCGAGACGAAATCATAGCCAAGGAAGGCGCCAATGTGACGTTTTATGGTAACTCGCAATTCTGATTTTTGTTTCCTAGCGTTGGAGTATATGCTGACTGCATTGCAGACTTCCTCGAAGTCAAACCAAACGCAAATCAAGATGATATTAACAAGGCCTACCGCAAGAAATCGAGGCAGCTTCACCCAGACAAAGTGAAACGAGAATTTATCGCAAACAACTCGCGAGCTACTGATAAGAAGAAGAAGGAGGATAAGAGCTCCTCAGAACGCCAGAGCGCCAGTCCTAAGAACCAAGCTACTGATAAGAAGAAAGGGGACAAGTCAGGTGTACCTGTGTCCAAAAACCCCTCAGAACGCCAGGTCGCCAATACCGGGAAAGAACGTACTGATATCAAAACGAAAGGGGACAAGGCAGGTGCAAAAGTGTCCCGCCCCTCGGAGCGCCAAATCGCCAATGCCGTGAAAGAAGCAACCGAACGCTCTGCTCGACTAAACGCCGTTGCCAACATCCTCCGTGGTCCCTTGCGCGAACGATATGATCATTTTCTGAGGCATGGATTCCCCGTGTGGAAGGGCACCGGATACTATTACTCTCGATTCCGCCCTGGTCTGGGAACTGTCTTGCTCGGCCTTTTTGTTGCCTTTGGCGGCGTTGGCCATTACATCGCTCTTGTGCTTTCATACAGACGACAACGGGATTTTATGGAAAAGTATATTCGTCACGCTAGGAAAGCTGCTTGGGGAGACGAAAGAGCCTTGGGCGGTATCCCTGGTCTCGATGCGAATATACCAGCCCCCGAAACGGAAGCAGAAGAATCTCCCGCTGCCATGGCATTGAATCGTCGACAAAAGCGGATGATGGAGCGTGAAAATCGCAAGGAAAGCAAAAAAGGGAATAAAGCAGCTGGATCAGGCGAGTCCGCAGCCTCCGGTACATCTACGCCCGTCACCGAGACTGTTACATATGCCTCTGGCAATAAGAAACGTGTCCATGCAGAGAACGGAAAGATTCTGGTTGTCGACTCCATTGGAAACGTCTTTTTAGAAGAAGAGACGGAAGATGGCGAGAAGCAGGAGTTCTTACTGGATGTCAATGAGATTCCACGTCCAAGAATTCAAAACACGATTATGTTTCGTTTACCACGTTGGCTGTATGGTAAGATCGTTGATAGTGTTTCTGGAGGGAAGGATGCAAAGGAGTCTGAAGAAGTCATTGAAGAAGGCTCAGAGTATGTATACATTGATGAGGCGGATATTCCGGCTGATAGTGAAGTGAAGGCTTCCACAGGGGCATCTACCACGACCGCCGCCACAAGAAAGCGTGGTAAGCGTGCTCAGAGGAAATGAGGGATCTCTGCATTTGATTGGATAGAAAAGTTTTGTCTTGTATAATACTGAGATACATTCTACTATCGCTCGTGCCAGCCCACCCCTTGGTGTGAATACGCAGCATCAATCCCATACAAATTATAGAATCACAAGGCCTTAAAATACCACCATATTAACTACTCGGAATCTGAAAGTAAACCAGATCCGATATATAAAGTTCCAAAAAAAAGCAAAGCGTGAGATGATGAATAATATGGTGGTTGCTGCCATTCAGGCTATGTCTAGTTACTCCAGAACCTGGCTAAGGGGTCATCTCGTTGAAGTCACAATACGTGATATCGGTTTTGTCTGTCGTACATTGGACACTGATCCAAGTAGTCCATGTAACATCGGATTAATTTCATAATTTCTAAAGTTGCATGCATAGCAAACTTACCACCCATGCACGAAACTGATGCCCGATCTCGAGGTCGTTGCATTGAACAATCTACATGTCATCGTCCAGACGTGCATACAAAAACCGGTTCTAAGTCTAAACCGAGCTATACGAAGACGATAAATATAAGCGCCTGGCGGAATGGCATTACCCGGTTGATCATGACCACTCTACGTATCTACTTGATACAACCCGACTTCAAATATTCCTATCGAGTACACACCAGACGTACCTAGTCAGATATGGCACCACCCACTATGAAAGCAATCCAAATCCAGGAATACAATGCCCCGTATCATGTGTCCGAGGTGCCAGTTCCAAAGCCAAAGCCGCACCAGGTCTTGGTGCAAATCAAGGCCGCTGGCTTCTGCCACACAGACCTCATGGCGTTGAACAATGAATTCCAAACTCCGCTTCCATTCATCGGCTCTCATGAGCCGGCTGGCATTATCGAAGAAGTTGGCTCCCAGGTAAAGGGTTTCCAGAAAGGTGATCGTGTTGGTTGCATTAATTTTGACAGTATTTGCGGTAAGTAGTGCCATAAAAGGGAGGAAGTAACTGTGTTCTCATTCTTTATATATGTATATATAGGGAAATGCGCGGACTGTAAAGCAGGTTTGCCGATTTATTGCGATGCTCCTTTGATGAAGGGCATCACAACGGATGGCGCCTGGGCAGAGTATATGGTCGCGTGAGTACCTATCTCCATACCCATATTCTTTTGGATGTTGAAAACGACTAATCGCGTTACCAGAGACGCTCGGTTTCTCGTGATACTACCAGACGGTATGGAATTCAAGGTGGCAGCGCCGTTAATGTGTGCCGGAATTGGCGGTCTTGGTCATATTGGCACTCAAGTTGCCAAATGTATGGTAAGATGAACCGGATCATGCAAAATCCTCGTAACATGCAATCAATTGACACGGGTGTTCAAACATGTAGGGTTATTCTGTCGCTGCAATCGACGTCAAGCAGTCAGCATTAGATGCAGTCGCTTCCTACAAGCACAGTCCCGACGCGTTGATCCTGGCAACTGATCCAGTTGAGAAAAGTCTGGAGAAGATTGACAGCATCGGTTCATATGACCCTAACTATAGGGGACTCGATGCGATCATCCTTGCAACAGATCATCCTGACGCTTTTGAGCTTGCAGCTGCTCTCACGAGAAAACACGGAACTATGGTGCTTCTGGGTCAGCCTGAGAAAGGAATTACAATGTCTTATAACACTGTAATCTACAAAGATATCAAGTTGATTGGATCTCTGGTTTCTGATACGGCTGAGGCTCAGGAGCTAGTGAAGATATTCCACGAGAATAATCTACATGTTCAAGTCAAGGAGTGGAAGATGGAGGAAGCTGAAGCAATGCGACAGGAATATCTCTCTGGTAAGAGCAATGGTAAGAACGTGGTTGTTTTGGACTAGAAGTTGAATTCTACTTTGAATAATCCTACTATACTTCAAGTATATATACGATGGTTACATAGTACATAGGTACAGAGCGTTTATATCGCATTCAACATTCTGTAAAACCACAATTCTATCTGATTAGTACCCAGGTAATAATTCAATTATGCGGTTTGGTGAATTACCTAGGTACCTGTAGTGGACAAGTTATGAAGAGATTATGTATGATTTTCTGCGGGACTCTGCGCTCCTGCACCACATAACATTAAGCCAGCGCTACACATTCGTTCAATAAGAGTTCATATCCCATGATATCTCGATGTCTGTCAGCCTCAGTTTTACGAGAAACTGCGCCAAAATGCATATTAGAATGAGATCGATGAGAAGAAGAAGTTGTTACTGGTGGTTTGTATTTACTCCGATGATATGTTTCTGAACCCAAGCATCTGTTGGCAGAGGTATTTATAGGACTATCTATGGAATTCGTATCAATCCTTTAGTCCCTTTCGTCTTGGGCTTTGTTAGCTTTATTGGACAGGGTACATTAATCATGACATTTCCAAATATTTGACAAGATAGCTCGACTATAACTCATCATGACCGGACCTCTGTCCCAAGCATCCATCCTTTATCCTCTCTCTAGCTAGAAATGCAGCTCGAGCAGCAGCTTCAGTTACAAGTGTGGAATTTCCTGGACCGCCACCAACCAACTCAACATGCTCCCCAATAGCCAACTCGACAGCTCGTTTGATGAGACGAGCATCCCCGTGACTTTCCAGAATCACTACAGCGTCAATATCCTCGCTGTAGTCAGATTCAACGCCGTTTTGATAACACTTTTGGCACCTCGATAGACGTTGCTTTGTACACTCTGTTTAGCCAGTTACTGTCAGCTCCATCATCGTCGTTAAAAAAAGGAATGGTTTCAAGAAACCCACTTCTCGCTGCAGACACAGCATATTCTAGCCACTTTGTTATATAGCTAACATACGCTTCGTCCACGGCTTGAACATCCTCTCGTCGTAGGACAGCACGCTTCTCTTCTCCAGCCCACCAGCCATCCAAGTCAAGCTCCCATTCATCACAGTAATCATCCTCATGATTACACTTATCTCGTATGAGCAGCCTTGCCTCGTAGATAGCATTGTATAGAGTCACCTCAGATGCACCTTGATTAATCTGCTGTCGTATATCCTCATCCTCAGCTATAGTTTTGTTCATAAGTGCATATGTTATATAGTGCGCTCCTTGGTTATATAGCGGAATGAGCGGTCCACACATTTTGCCCGCCGGTTGAATATCAACGTATAAAAATTCGTGATCTATAATCAGAACATTTTTATCTGTCCTTTGTACCATGTCCCTGGTAGCGTTGTCGACTAAAAAATCGAGAGAAGCATCTATCATTTCTCTCGGGCTACTCGTCCCTAGGACATGTATATCGGCCTTTCCGGCGGCTTGACTGAGGATGAAGCGCATCGAATCGTTAAAAAAGTCTGGGGCTATAATATTTGCTGAGGTTATATTTATCTGATGCTTCTCCCACGCAATCGACTTGATTGCTTCAAATGCAGAGGTCAACTTGTTGATATGATTCGATTGCCGGAAAGAGAACTCCAAGGTCGACTCCTCCTGTCCGACATTTGAGGCTGAATTGACTGGACTCGACGGGTAAAGATAGTGATAAATTAATCTGAAAAGAGTGCTCAAATTTGCATCAAGCCACTTGATACCCCCGGAGTTCGAGTTTCCAACCATATTCGTCCATAACGTAGACATGGCCAGAACATGCGAGTGCGCAATTCCCACAATCCCAGTCTTTGGAGGATTATCAAGGAGATAGCCGTACACAGCTTTGTGGTATTCATCTCGCAGTCGATAGGTGTAATTTGCGTATTCGTGGAGATTTTCAGTTTGGTTTTGTCGGACGTGTAATACGCCCAACAGACTGATGTTGTTGGCAGAATGGGCATAAGCAGCGGAGCTATTTTGTTTATATATCAGTAGGTATTCGACACATTAGAATTTGTTTGCCGGACAAATGTAGAGAGGAAGGGACGGCCAGACATTGTATCGAAGCCCATGTGAATGCCAATCGGCTGGGTGGCATCCAGCAACAAATCGATATGTTTGCAGAATTCAAGGTCGGATAATGCTGGTGCCGTGAGCATCCAAATAGAGATGAGATATGAGAGTAACATGATCGGTTAGAAAATTCATTCTTTTTTGTCGTTTCATAATTTTGACGAAGGAGATTTTGATTTCAATCTAGAAATGCGGCTTGAAATGCGGCTACCTCAACTACCGTGATTACTCCCTACTTACCAAATCAGGTATTGCTGATTTTTGAATGCATAGATCTAAGAAAATTACCAGTTGATACGCATACTTTCTCACTTGGTTTAGTTAATTAGGGCTAGGGCTCATCTGGCATTGATGTATCTCTTCGACTTTTTATTGAAAGTACGGAGCTATATCAAGCGTACTGACCATTATTCTAGTATTGACTGTTGTACAAACAGGAGAAAGAAGAAGAAAACACAAGAATATAAAGAGTGTAGTAGTTCTTCTATGCATCAATTATAGATTCGACACTTCTCACATCAACAAGCGCCAGGCACCGACAATGAGAGCAGCAGTACCGGTGCAAACACCACTAAAAACAAAGGTTAGCATATAGAATATCCTCTAGATGATTGACAAATAGGGCCATGCAACTTACACAAGCCATTGCAAAGTCGACTGCTGCACAGCCTGCACCCGCTCTCTCAGCCCAGCGACTTCCTGCTCAATCCTCGTCTCCGTCTCCTTGATCCGCATTTCTTGACTATTAGCCTCCTCGCGGATACGTCCCTTTTCTAGATTCAAATCCAGTCGCACCGAAGCTTGTGTGCGTCCAATTTCGTCCCGCAATCGCGAGTTCATCTTGGCCAAGTCTGCGGCTATTCGCTCGTGAGACGAACGGGTTAATTGTGCTTCCGTCGAGTCGGAGTTGAGTAATTCGGATCGCAGTTTCGCAAAATCGACTTTTTGTGTATATGTAGCCCGCTCGGTGTCTGAGAGTTTGTAGAAGCCAAGTTAGGTTTAATTCCATCCGAAAATCATATATCAAAGAAAAAAAGGAAAAAAAAAGAAAAAAGACTACACACCCTCTTTTAAAACCATGGTCCTTGTGAGATTCTGGATCGACTCTTGAATCACATCATTAAGCACCTTCATCATGGCCACAGCTTGGTCCTCGCTGAAGCCCTCGGCTTTTAGCCTCTGCACGAACTTTAATGTATCAAAATGATGTTCGCGGCGCATGACGGCCGATGCATGAAATGCGCGTCGTGCTGGTTTAAATGCCGCAACATAGACACCATTGTGTCGGATGGGTGTGCTATTGCCAGGGCTGGTGGAAGGTCGTGAGGGGGAGGGGGAGGGGGAGAAGCGCGCCGATGATGAAGACGACGACGATGAAGAGGAAGAGGTATTTCGGACGATGTCTGCTGATACATGGAACTTGCGACTTCCTATATGATACTCATCGGCCCGGTTATACTGATTGTGAGGTCGAACAGTCGAAACCGGCGCACCCTGCACGGCGGTGATGGTGATGCGCGGGGTCCCATTCCACGTCAGACGAGGGAGCAGATATCGGGGCGTGACGGTGATTTGTTTCGACGGCGCCATGTCTCGTGCAAGGCGAAGGAGATTCTTATAAGAGCGATGGATGGTAGTAAGTTGTATGCAAATAATACTGCAATAAATAATGCGCCGGACCGGGAAAGTCGCTCAAAAATTGCAACTTCCGAATTCCGGCCAGTGTGTTTGCTCTGTTTGCACTCTGCACCGCTTCCCCGTGCCAAGCCAAAGGACTGGCCTCATTTTTTGCTTCAACGACGAAACAAAAATACACCAAGTCTCTCAACTTAACCGCCATCAATTGCAGATCATCATGGCCTCCAGGGGTGCGGGTCTTCCCTACAGGCAGCTGGTACGGGGCTGTAAGTCTTTTTTTTCCTTCTACTGACTTCTTTTTTGCATCTATCGGTGTATTCGACGTTTCGACTGACACTCAGCAGCGCGCTCCACTACAGCTACCTGGGCGGCCCAACGAACAATTAGTTACACCTCACCACTGCGCGCCGGCGAGAAGAGCGGAATAGACAAGAAAGATGGGCAAGAGGAAGAAGAGTCAAGTCGGCCGCGGCGTTCTTTCATGTCGTCAATCAGAGAGCGTCTCTTCAAGGGACAAAGTCACTCCGAGAAGCCGGCACCAAAACCCATGAAACCTCCACAGATCCAACGACAGGGCACACTAAGTACAGACTCCATTTTTGCCGACGATCCGATCTTGACCGAGGAAGCCGAGCAGGCAGAAAAGAAGACTGGGCCCTCTCGGCTCGAAGATCGATTGCACAGTAATATGCAGATGGTCCTCGATCCCAGGCCCGAAGCACGCAAGCGGTGGGAGCGCAAGATGATTACACGCGAAATCCGGAAACGAGGTCGTCTGACGAAGAAAGAGATAATCATGGCGACGGAGCGCGAGTCGCTTGTCAAGTCTCACTGGTTCAAGACCTCGGTGAAGAAATTGGGTCCCTTGGCACGACAGATTGCAGGGAAGAACATTGATGAGGCGATCCTGCAAATGCGTCTGAGCAAGAAGAAGGTCGCCAAGGATGTCATGGAGCATCTGGAATTCGCCAAAAACACGGCTATCGTCCGGTATGGAATGGGACTGGGCAAGGAAGGCGACCAAGCGCCGAAAAGCAACCCGATTACAGTGATCCTTAACGACGGCACCAAGAAGACTATTACAGACCCGACTTCGATCTATATCGCAGAAGCATGGGTGAACCGAGGTCCATTTGATACCGGGCACGACCATCGGGCGAGAGGAAAGATTAATCTGCTGCGCCTGCCTTACACTGGTTTGTCAGTGCGTCTCAAAGAGGAGAAGACCAGGATTAGAGAATGGAAAGACAGGGAGACAAGAGCGAAGCGTCAGCGCAAATCCATGCTGTGGGTGCAGTTGCCAGACCGGCCTATTTCGGCTCAGAACCAGTACTACAGCTGGTAAACGTCTTTTTTTTTCTCTCTCTCTTTTTCTCTCTCTTAGTAATTTGTCTCCATATATTATCAACTTGACCGACTGTATTATAGAAACCAGCTTACTTTGCTATAATGGCATTTTCCATATTATACCGACCTCTCCCGTTTGTTCTGGCTAAAGTAAACTGGCATGGTTACCGCTTTTGGTACCGCCGTCGAACTTGGTTTAATAGGCAGCTTGTCCCTGTTACAAAAACATCCCACCTCTCTTGGACGTGAAGCTTGGACGGGTTTTTCTGTCCTCATCATTTCTGCTATCGACAGCTCCAGCCCTTTCACATCCTTCTCCTTCCGCTTACCGTGTCTACCTATCGTTTCAGGCTTGGACAGCCAATCTTCCTCGTCTGTGAAGACTGAAGAGAACAAGCTTGGCCTGTTCTGGAGTCAATCGTCTTCTCGTCTGTATCATTGAATCCACAGATTGCACAAGGAGTGGTTCAGACGACAAATTTCACCAGCCACTTACTCAGTTAGCAATCGAAATCCCTGAACAGCCATGAGTCAGTCCTCCTCGTCACAATCAAACGATCCTGTCCGTGACGAAAGTCCTGGAATAGCAAACGAAACGCTCCCAAACATGAGCGAGTCATCTAGCCATGCATCAACCACGGGCACGAACGCGTCACCATCAAGGCCTCGCGTTCTCTACGGCACTTCCAGAAGACCAGTAGCAAGCGATGAAGCAACAACACGTTCATCACCTCCTGTGGTTCTGGGCATTGTGCCAATCGACAGACCACGCTCCAGCACTTCTACTGGCAGCGCCGCTTCAAAAAAACCCAAGAGAAATACCAGAGCATCAGCATCAGCATCGACCAGCAAAGTCACCAAGAAGAAGAACCAGAGATCTAGCACTTCTTCTGCTGCTGCTGCTACTACAACAACAACCGCTTCAAGCTCAAATCCAGCCGCGACTGAAATTAGCAGAACTCATTCATCCGCTGAGCTTACCGCCGATACTCATCTTATGACCAGAAGCAACGCTCGCAACCCCAACTCGTTGATGAACAGCACCATGCGCTCAGTAACGAATTCAGACAATCCCTCTGGCATCGGCAGATATCGTTTACCAGTCCGATCTGGCATTGCCGATGCCGAGCAATTAGCCACTCCTATCAGCTCTCGAGGGACCAGAAATCGCTATCTTGAAACACCAGCGTTGAATGCAGAGACCAATATTAGCTTCTTCAACAGCAGAAACCGCTTCAGCAGTAACAGCACCAGGGTTGCTCTCAGCGACCATGAGCAGCAACAGCTTCAGCAGATGACCACTCAAGCTCGAGCTAGACGCGCCAGAGACACGATGCACATAGACTTTGTGCTCAATCAGGATTTTCCTTCTGCTAGTGGCGCTGGGGCAGCTAGTCCAGGTTCTGGTGGTGCTACTACTCCCTCTGCACTAAGCGATTTCGACAGACAATTCTTTTTCGGGACGCCTCGTACTCGAATTACCACCGCGGCTACTGGTACAGCTGCCGGTGTTGTAGGAACGTCAGCACCATCTCCCACCGCTCTTTCACCCCCCGCCGACTCCTCTAGTGACAAGGAGGACCAGCCAGACACGAAGAAGAAAAAGAAGAACAACAGCAGTTATGTCGAATCTACCAGGGATCGCCCAGGGGACAGGGATGTTGAAAGATTCATGCGCCCTGAGCAGCGGCGATATGAGGATACGCTGCTTGAGATTTTGGATGGGCTTGAGTTGCCGTTTAATGCTTGATTTGGCGATAGTTAGAACTACCAAAGGGAAGAGCAAGTTGGGGGGAGGGGGGAGGGGGGGGTTTGGATAGGAGTTTAGGAATGTTTGTACTTGGTAGTTAGCCAGTGAAGAAACTAGGGATGAGGATTGTAGAATTGGTCTCTAGCAGTTAAATAGGAATCATGAATGACTCTTTTTTTTATCATAAATATAAATGTGAAAATAAAATCACACATCAACTCCCACTTCTCTAACCTGCAACGACACTCCACCAGCAGCAGCCTTCACAGCACCATCCCGACAATCAGGTATGCCCGTCGGCGGCTCAATAACCTGCTCTGGTTCTTTGCCGGCGACCCGTTCCGCCTTGACAAGCACTGGGATTACGCCGCCAGTCTGTAGGTCAAATTTCCTGTGTCCGATGACCTCTAGGATCGAGATGATGGCGCCGGAATGCGCGGTTATGGAGATGAATTGGGTGCTTTTGTCGTTATTATCGTTTTCGTTATTATTAGTGGTAGAAGAGAAAACGTCGTCGAGAAATTTCTTGATTCGTGCATTCCGCGCAGAATCGGATTCCCGCCACTCCGCTTCCCAGAGCTCGTCATTCTCCGAGAAGTTGTCTTCGATAATGTACTCTGGATACTCCTCGACAATGGCCGTTTTGCTTGAGCGGCGGTCGCAGGTGTGGATTCCCAACGTTTCTCGAACCAGCTGCACGGGACGGTGTTAGGACGTCCAGTACACAATCATGACCAAGGCGAGAAAAAAAAAAAAAAAGGGGGGGGGGAGGGGGGAGGGGGGAAGCACCTCTTTAACAACCGGCCGAAACGGCTTGACTATATCCTTGTCCAACCCATCAAAAGTGATAAATGCCGTCTGCAGACAGCGATTCAGGGGACTAACATAAAACGTCTCAGGGAAAGGGATCTTGTTCTCGATCTGTCTGCGCCATGCATTATTTGCGGTTTGCGCCTGCGATTTGCCGATTTCAGTTAATCGTGCGTCGTCCCAGGTCATTGTCTCGTTGCCGTCGAGGAGAGACCAGTAGCACTATTCTCATCAGTCTTGAGCAGTTAGGAGATGTAGGAATGATAACGCACATCCCAGGCTTCACTTCCGTACCAACTCTCAGCAACGTTATGGAACCCTTGGCCATGTCTACCCAGGTAGAGGACTTTATATTGAGTGTTGGGGTCTACTTCGATGTTCATTGCACGGATTTGATGCTCGAAGCGTTGCCATTGCGTTTTCCCCCCTTCCTCTTCTTCATGCCGTGCATCTAGCTCTTGGTCATGATCATATGTACGATTGATAAGACCGAAGTTCGTAGATACCTGTCCAAAGGTATTAGAAACCGTCAAAAGTTGTCCTGTAAAGAAACATACATAATCGAATTTGTCTGAATCGGTCCCCTCATCATCCTGCAGGAAATATCCCGTCACGGTCGAATACCGCCAATGCGATTCCTGCTGTCGCGTTGCCATTGCCACGGACTCAGTCATGGTCATGACCCATGCGAGGATTATGGTGATAAAGAGTAGAATGGGTCTGATCTGTTAGTCTGTGGCACCTTTTAATAGGAGCATGGCTGGTACTTGCATGATCACCACAACGCGACAGAATCCGCGAGCTGCCCGGTGACGATTCGTCCTGAAGTATGCATCACCTGCGCGCGCTCGCTGAGTGTGTCTATCCTCGCTAACTCGGGGTCCTCATCTGTATAATAAGTATTTTGCATGGTTGTTGCCGACTTGCGGGCGTCGGTCGTCGTTGTCGCGACCCACCGTGCTGCTGCCTTAGCTTTTAGGCTTACTGCGGGACTGCCTGCCTGCCTCCTCAAGTCTCGACTCGACTCGACACTCCAACAACAACACCAGGAACAAGGATTGCTATATCGTGTATACAGAACAACCTCTTTACTCTCGCCGAGCCTGGCAACGCAATGTCAAGTTGCAGTGCCTGCTGATACGCATACTCTGATTGGATTTCCTGACTCTGCCCAGCTCAGGAATGCTACATACGACTTCAAACATGATATTCGCTATTTCGCTGATGTATCAATCACAACCATAGCGATAACCAGCAGCACACAAAAAAGAACAGTCAACCCACCAATTACAATATCAAATACAATGCTATATTCATATCAACATACATCCCAGGCTGAGCATCATACACAGCCCACCTCTTACCTGGGTATTCAAACACACAAGCACACACCCCAACATTTAAGAAGAAGACACATAAACCCTCTCCGGCCTCGACACACTCGCCACACTTCCCCTCCTGCTCCTCGTCACTCTCGCGCCTCTCACAGGCGACTTCTCCACGTATTCCACATAATCCGGGCCTGAACCCCGATACCCATACCCATTAGCACCGCGCTGACTATAACGACGAGTACGGCGTGAGGATGCCGGGGACGTGGTTGTCGATGAGTATACTACTCCCCCGTCCTCAGGGTCCTTGTTGAGAGGAGCCCCCGGCCAGAAGCAGGCCCGAATCAGCCATTCGAGCAGCAGCGTGCCGGCCATTGTGCCCAGGACGATGCCGGCGATTGCGCCGCCGGAAAGCGTGCTGGGGCAATTGTCGGAGGTAGTGGTGGTGGATTGCCGGGGGAGGATGATGGCGGGCTTATAATCCGTTAGTCAGATCGATCTTGGGGGAATGGTTCGTATGGGGTTGACGTACCATGGTTGGATACTATGGATACTACGAGTAAAACACAATGGGAACCACGTCTCAATTGATATTGATATTTTATGGGGGGGAAAAAATTTACTTACATCAAACCCTCCTGAAGAAAGGGAAAGGCAAGCATATCAATCACATTGGAGGGGCAGAATGATCTCATCCTGACAGAGAGCGCAGTTCGACGTCTTCCAAGTTTTGAATCCTCACTATCACTGCGACGGTTAGTACGAAACTTACGTCTAGCTAGTTAGTAAGTGGCATAACCAATGATGATGGGGAATAGCGTCTGATTGACATTGCCGTGCCCTTAAGATCTGCTGCTCTCTTGGTGAGCGGACAGGGTGACGTCAGCGGCCATGGTTATGCGCGGATAAAAAGCTTCATAAAATTATTTTTAGATCTATCAAGTCTATCAGGTCTTCTAGTTTACAGCCATGTCAACTTCTCTACGATGTTTATACGGTTCAAACGGAAAACACATCCGCCCACCGACCAACCACGCTCTGCAGGGCCGCCTGCGCCGTCGTATTACCGTCACGCTTGAAGAACGCCTGCGCAATCGTGTCATTCTGCCACTCAATCTCCCACTCCAACAACCCATCCTTGAACGCAGTCTGGTTGTAATCCGCCACATCCGTCTCTGCCAGATACTCAATAAACTTGGTCCAGCGCGGGATGTAGTACGACGACACCAGTCCCGACCACGACTTGGACGCGTAATCAGACACTTCGCCCGTCGGGCCCCAGAGAGTGATTTGGTTGAGGGCGTTGAATTCGAGGAAGCTCTCGATGCTGCTGTCCTGTTCTCCAGCGGCGGAAGCACGCGCTGCCGACGTCCAGGTGGACAGTTGGAAATGCTCGTTTGTGTCTAGTACGAAATCCAATGACCACAGGAGATCGAGTAGAGTGGCGCCTGCGACTGCGATTTGGGGCGTGGTTTGGTTGCTTTCATACACTGATACGAGGTTCTCATAGATGGGGATAAAGGCATTTGCCAGCACCTGGCGAGTCATGTCGACCAGGTCGTATTCGTAGGCCGGGTTCAGCCAGAGGAGAGGGTCCTGGAAAGCGGCATCGTAGAACAGGGTCCATGCGTAGACCATGTCATTGGGGTCATAGTTGAGTGTTGTCGGATGGTGGCCGGTGCGATTAATCAGACCCGATGTGCTGGGGATCAATTCGAGAATTGCCTTGGGCACTGCGTTGGAGGTGAGGTTGGTGTTATTGTAGACCGATGTTCGCAGCGTATCCCAGGCAGTGTAGATGCTATCCGGTATCGAGTTGCTGCCCGCATACCGCGCAGTCACCCAGTCATGAAAATAAGGAGCAGTGTCGATGGGAGTCGCGTTCCAGGCCTGGTCCAGCAGAAGATCGTACACAACTTCATTACCTTCCTGGCCCTCCATGGTAAGACCGAAGCCGACTAGGGAGCTTGAATTGTGCAGAGCAGCAATAGGGTTGACGGTGATATTCATGACCTGCCCATAGAATCCCATATTACCGCCGTAGTCGTGGATTTCACACCAGACCCATGGTTTGCCGTAGTACGAATTGGTGCGCTGCCACTGAGGCACAGACTCGGATGCCAGATCCAAAATTAACATGTCAGAATCCACCGTCACACCTCCCAGGTACGCTTTGATGCGCTCGTCCGTCCAGAACGCAGAGTTGCTGGAAAACAGCCATCCTTGCATCACCCAGATAGCACTTGGATCTGCGGCCTTGAGCGCTTCCCACGTTGACTGGCTAACATTACGCAGGTAATCTATGTCACCTGACGCCGGGTCATTCTCGTTGAACTGGTCTAGAGTGTAGAAGTTGGTGACATTTCCATACACAGCAGTCTGTTTCGCAATGAAGCTCTTCTGTATCTGCGCAAAGTGCGGATCAGTCGGCTCCATGAACGTGTCATTAGTATACAGAGCCGGAAACCTTTCCCAAGCTGACCCATTAGTCACATTCGCATCTGGGAACACGCGAGTAATCGCTCTGGGAACAAAGCCCGGGAAAGCGGGCAGAATCGGCGTCATGCCGAGCTCCACCATGCGCTTGACAATCTTCTTCTGCATCTCGAATTGACTATCAACCCAGGAAAACGGCAGAGATTCGCCGCCCCAGGAGCCCTGGATGTTACCGAGATGGTTCCAGGCCAGGAATGCCGGTCCTGTCAAAAAGTCCGAGATTTCGGCGTCGGTAAGCCCGATTTCTTGGAATACTTCGATGAAGATCTTCTCAACGCCAATCCAAGCTAGGGGTAGGTTGATGCCGTGGAGCGCCATCCAGTCGAGTTGCAATTCCCAATCCTCCCAGGACCAGAAAGCGCTAGTATAGGATGTTGTTACTATGTTACTAGGTTAGCCCAGTCTGCAGTATCTAGATGCAAGGAAATTTATTTTACCCGTGTTGAAATGATACCGATAAGGCACAATGCTCGACCCCGTCAAAGGCTGGCACAAAGTCGGAAGCGGCCCATCAAGCACATCCAGCCGACTGCCAATGAACCAGTAGATATCGACATGGGCGACATCAGCGAGATAGCGATGCAGTCTAGTATAACCTAAGTCAGAACTTCATCCTAGCTGCCAGTTGCTAGTTAAGAGGCAAGAAACTCACCCCGTTGCGAGCGCACTCAGTGAGTTACCCTCGACTTTAATCTTCCCATTCTGCCCATTCGACACGGTGTAGGTGTCGTTGCTGGTACTCTCAAGAGAGGCTAATTCGCTCAAATACGAGCTCGAGTTGACAAGACTAAACTCAAAATCGCCTACATGCTGCGGCAGCCGGCGCTGAACGAGCGCTTCAATGCCTGCGGTCGACTGCGCTGCTGCGACTACAGTGGTAGTAGTCGTAGCGACGGCCAGGGCCGCGGATATGAAGCCCAGAATCTGCATTGTCACCTCCCACACCAGAAAGGAACTTCACAATTATACCTTATGAGAGAAAGACCACCAGACACAGACCAAGGGGCGGCTAAGATTTTATCTACCCATGCACGTTAACCGAGTCCCGACTGTCAGGTACCAGAACTATGAAGAATCCGGTTAGAAATTAGAACAACGTGCCAGATAGCGGGACGCTCAGACTGCTATCTCAAATGAATATGGACCGGGGTAGCATTTAGTATCTGCTATCTGTATAGTAGCATCGAGCTACTCCGTAGTAGTATCCATGGCGCCGTTTAGGTTCATGCTGTGTGGGCCGGGAATTCAAAGCACGCGGTTAACTTGACGTTGTCATTGGCCGTGGGAGGCAGATGCATGGCGTGAATTATGATATTCTAGGATACAGCGTGTAGTAGTATACGGTGCTTGATTCTGGCCATTGTTGTCTGATGTTCGAGAGTGTTCCTCTGCAGTGCTCCGTCAGACGTCGTTCTCCGTATGGGCGGACTAAGGCATCCACGTGCTGATAACAACAGCTTGTATGGAGACGCGCATCCGCCAATCAGAGCCCGTCCTGTGGCCCCGCTACTTCGAGAGACGTGATTGGACATCGGCCACTGCGTTTTTATTTCTAGGGCTGATATTAAGATTCAAAAAGTCGGAGTGTAAACTAAAACCGTGCAAGAAAAGTGCAGAAACCTAATTCAATTGTCATTGCGCAGAGGAAGAGATAAGTGAAGCTAAGCTAGAAATAACCGAAAAACGCTACATTGGGTAAAATTCAAACATCAGCCAGGCAAGGAAGGCCATCAATTAAGCGCACCCGATCAACCCGGCAGACACTGTCTGGACAGTGCTGAGTTCCAAAGAGAATGGGCTAGAGTCAGCGCCCGTGGCTTGCTCCGATAGAAATTGGAATAGCTGCGGGCGACACGCTAGTATGACTTGCATAGTTTGCATGGCCATGCTCGTCGAAAGCCGTGATATCCATTCCATCGCATATAGAGACGCGGTGAGATCGCTGGCAGTTTGTGCCACCACAGTAGCAGACTGCACATCTGTCGAGTGGGCAGTGGCCGAGTTCGCTGTCTCGCTTACAGCTGTTGGTAGTTGCGTCTGTATTGTGCTCAGTGGAGATACAGGTAGACTTAGGATTGGTGATTGGACTACCAGTCCTGATGTCTGTAGTCCCGATGATGCCCCAGCCAATGCTCCGTGTTCTGGTGAGCGGTGTGAACTGCCTTCGCTTACACCATGTAGATCGGATACTACGTCTAATCTCGGACCTGTGGTTTGTAGATTGCCGCTGGTGCGACGCCTAACTAGGAGACTCTTTGCGTTCTCCACTGCAGTGTTCAATCCACTAGATGGTCCAATCTGGAGTGATCCCTGGGACTGTGCGTCTCGAGCAGGAGAGTTTGCCGAGGATCCTGAGCCAAGCAGCACATTTGAGGATCTCGCCACGGAGTCTGAGCCAAGAAGCAGGTTTGAGGGCGACCTCGGTAAGCTGGCTGGATGGTGGTGCGTAGTTGATACAGAGCCAGCCGATCCTTTTTGCGCATACTGGTTTTGGAGAACATTCTCCATGGGAAGCTGTGCATCCAGCTCGGGGAGCGGTTTGTAGCTGTACAAATCGGGCAGACTTGCCAAGGCGGTGTCAATATCATCGCCAAATAGTACGTTGTCTAGCTGAGACAGTGGCGATTGAGAGAAGGATGATACCGACAGAGAGGATGGGGTGTTGTTTGGAATGAGTTCTGGGGTCGGCACACCACTGCCAGACACGGCTAGCTTCTGCCTCTTTACCTTGACGTCTGCGGTTGTCTTTGCAGATCGCTTCTCGTGGCAGTTGCACTATACTCATGTCAGCTTGCAAATATATCAATTACACAGAGACAAAATGCAATCCGACTAACCTTTTTGTGCTGTTTTTTGTGCTTGATACAAGCGCCGTTCCGGCGAGCATTGATGTAATCTTCGATCTGAGCTTTAGTGCGCTTCTTCTGCTTCTTCGGTAGCTGCGTAGCAGTGTTCAAGTTCATGTCGAAGACGAGTTCGCGACCACCCGTCAGGGTACCGGTCGATTGATCGGTATTAGATGCCGATGACACGGGAGTGCTGTCGCCGGGGCTCTGATGTGATGATGTGATAGAAGGCGTAGCAGAGGGGGAAGCCTCGGAATCAGTCGGAAACAGCTGAGGTCCGCAGTGATCATTCATAAACCGTTGTAGATGCAAGTCAATAGCTGCATCCCTTCGCTTCTGCTTCGTGGAGCGAAGGCGATGATCAGCGGATGCCCAGGAGTCTATCGCATAACGGAAATCCTCTGCTTGTGGTGCAGGTGTCCGGGTCTCAGCCGTAAAAGGGGTTCCATTGGCCAAGTCGCAGGCAGGGTATTCCAGTGTATCGAAGAGATTGAAGTCGGCACCGCACGGAGAAGGATTCGTCTCTGGGTAGAGTTGCATATCGGAGAAGTCCATTGACTCTACTGAGGTGTCCATTGTAGGCAACTGAAAGTCGGAAGGCTCCATGTTCTCCTCGGGATAGTGGATGAAGGAACCAAAGTCGAAGGTGTCGTTGAAGGCGTCGAAGTTTGCCATGATGACCGAAGTGCTGCCCTCCTAAGATTGGTAGTTTTGAAGATAGTTGTCAATATTTGGGAGGTAACAACGTGAGCAACGGCAATTGAATTGGAGAATTGCTTGCGCCAACTGTGCCGATGATGGTACAGACTGACTGGGGGGAAGAAACGCAGTGGCCAGAGAAGGAGAGAAAAGGAATCAATCACGCTGAGGTTGGCATCTGGGAACTGGCCATGCTTAATACGAGCCTGAGGCCCCGTCAGCCCGATTTATCGATAATCTCTATCGTTGCAGCGTAGGGAGGATGACTCAGTTTCTGCAGCGCTGATTGGCTGGGCCCGGGCCACACTTGACGGTCTGGCCAACCAGAGATGCAGCAAAACATAGCCGTGGTGGGGCAGCCTTTCCCGATTTGCTCCCCGCGCCCTCCTCAGCTCCGCACGCTAGCTCGTTTGGGACGCCGACTTCTTTGTTTCATTGCGGTACGAGCCCTAAGCCCTAAGCCCTAGGCCCTAGCTACATCTTGCCTGATTCGGAAACCGGTTGGCCAATCTTCCCATTGGCCAATGACAGCCGGCACAGCCCGCGTCCTCTCTGGACCAACCAATTCGTCGTCCCGAAGCCAACAGCAGACTGCTCATGCAATGCCACGTCAACAGTCAGCGCAACCGACTCACGTGTGTTACAAGGCGAGTTTGAAGATGGAGTGCTTGAAACGCCCATCGTCGGAGTGCCAGCGGCGATTCCATATTGGAAGCGCGGAATGGCCGGCAGCAGTCGAGCCGCCGTTTCGAGGATCACCCGCTAGATCTCTTAGGGGGACGAGGTCGGCATGACGTAACCACCTTCGTCTCCGTCATCCTCGAGTCAAAAATTCGACTCTCCCTCCTTGCTCGCTGCATTCTCATTCTTCCCTTCCATAAATTCCTGAGCCACTCCCCTCGCAGAGAGACAGAATAAAAAGGAGACGAAGATCGCTACTCTACAATACGCATCAGGCCGGCCTGACCTAGTCTGACGTCTTAGCTACAGCCAGCTTTGCTACCTTATATCATATCTATCAATCACCATGCCACGAATCATTGGAACAGGCCTTCGGGCTTTGGAATTCGTCTTTACGGTCATCCTTCTCGGTCTGGTCGGTTCTCTGGAGGCTAACAGCAGCCATAACCCAGAGAGCATTCACTACTCCATGTTCACCGCGGCGTTTTCGATGCTCTTCCTGTTCTATCTGATCCCTGCTACTTGGTCCGATTCATTCACCTTCCATCCGATTTTTCCCATCGTTCTGGATTCTCTGAACGTCATCTTCACTTTCTGTGCTGCCGTCACCTTGGCTGCAAGAACTAAGGGCGATAGCTGCTCAAACCACGTAGGACTCCTTCCTTCCCTTGTATTTCCCTCAACTAGTAATTGCTGACTATCGTCAGGGCTTCCTTAACTCCAATGAGATTGCATTGGGTTCTGAGCATCGTTGCCGCGAGGCGCAAGCTGCTTGCGCCTTCTTTTGGTTCCTCTGGGCTTGCTATGTCGGCAGTCTGATCAGCTCAATCGTCGGTGGAAGGTCAAGTACCAACCTCCATTCTAGTTCATCTGCTCGACGCCCGGGCATGTCTCAAGTGTAGATGGACTGGCAACCATAATTCTCGCTCATCTTTGGAATCTTTGATTCTTTTGATCTTGTCACCTTGAGACAAGCCAGGGTCCTCAGCGAAACGGTCAAGTCCCCCCGCAATAGAGTCTGCGACACCTTGTGGGTTTTTTCTTAATTCTTGTTCTTGCTTTACTTCGTCAACAGGGGCGGCGTGGTGAGGTAAGAGCAGTGGTGAAATAAATTGTTTAATCATAACTATATATTAATCGATTGAAACGATGTACGAGGGAAAATTACGTTAATCTATGTGGTTGTCACAATGTTACGATCTTTGGTGTACTTGGGAATTTTGTCTATTTGTTGTCTATGCGTTGTGCTTTATACATATTTACATAATATATATCAATTGGAATTCGATGGCAGTTCAATTATTTGTCACCACTTGCCTCCCAAGGCTCTTTCTGGACTGACTGGACACGCAATTAACTCCCTTCACATCACTAATATGCCATTAGATGTCACCAGCTGGTCACTCCGCGCGCCTTATCAAATCCACCTCTCAGCTGAGACTCGGGGTGAACAACCTTGCCCTGCAAAATAGTATACTTGACAAGGCCCTCGCAATGTTCAGGGCGAATACGAGCTAACCAGATCAACTGCTCCTCTTTCTTTCGATACACCAGAACATTTGCCGAGAACTTATGTCCGCCGACGTGGGAGACAAAATAAATCCCCACGCCACCGGGTCTCTCGTCATTTGCATCCCGATACAGACCCGCGGGACGCAGATGTCTTTCAAGCTCTTTCTTTATGAGTGGCGCGGATATTCCGCAGCGAGCATCTCGTCGCTGGTGCGAACATAGGAGCACCACATAGTCATGCTCGCATGGTCTTGATACTAGCTGCGAGTTCGATGGTGATGGTGCTGATGAGTGGCGGTTATCTATATAGCGCGAAACTAGTTCCGGGACAGAGTTGGTGGTGACGTTGTCGACATATTCAAAGGAAGGCAATAGCAGCACGGTGGTCGCTTTGTCGCTATCCTTGCCTTCATCGTTGTGAGCAACGAGGTTGGAAGCATTCACCCTCAGACGCTATTGACATCTCGTCAGCTATACATTCTCCCCTCCTTTCGAAAGAAGCGAGGACATCTAATACGCACCTCATTCGAGCTAGCTTCTGATAGCGCATGAATCACCGTGCCTCTCTCATTATCGGGATGCGAAGCCCAGTCCGACTTGCCCGTTGCAACTAGCACGTGAGTTGTGAATGGCTTGACTTTCCCGTACAGTTTGCGTTCAGTTTCCACGTTGAACTTGTTGGGAAGGCGAACTGTACAGTCGGCGCAGTCCTTTGAACAGTCAGGCCCGTCTTCTTGCGGGTTGACAGTGGGGAATATATAATTATCGTCGTTTCCGCCGCCGATGCGCGTAGAAATCCACGAGAGCATTTTCTGAGGATGAAGATGCAACTGGACTCAGTCTAAGAAGAGAAAATGGAACAACAGAAAGACGCCTGCTCTTGATCTGAAAGCCAAACTCTGGGTTTTTTCCCTGCTTGGCTGGTGCCTTAAGCTTTATAGACTCGATTCAGATCTGCTAAATCCGATCTCCGATATCAGGTATGTGTTTCGCCCGACACTAGTTAGTTACCAGCAAGACTTATTCGTCTGCCTAGAGATGGTGCTTAGAGGGCCGTTAGTGACGGCGTATGCAACTTATCAGGATTTGGATTTGCCGCCAGCAATTGTGGGCAGGCTATTTTTCTGGTAGAGACTTTGATGCGATTGTTGTTTGTTTGTGGTGCAACACACAGAAGCAAATAACCCTAACCCTAAGCGTGTGTAAAATACGCCGTATTATCGTACCGCCGTTACGCTGCCAGTCGCACAGGAGCGCCCATGATTGGCTGGCACAGCACACCAGCCCCACACTGCTCGGCTTTGTGTTCCCGTTTGGGCATCGGGCAGTCCAACATCGCCCAACTCGCCGTGAGACGTGAGATGCGCAGCGCTGAGTCTTGTAATTTTGGTCAACAAGGCTATCGTCGTGTCGATGACCACCAATTGCTCATATTCTCTCCAAACCGCTGAAAGACAACCAACAGGAGGCGACTCATAATGTCCGGCGCGGCCGACAATGGTCTGCCAGCTGCGGATCCCGAAAACGCTCTCTCGCACCCCGAGACGCGCCCGCGCAAGCGTCGCAGGCGAACTGTCGCCTGTTCGCAGTGTCGCTCGAAGAAACTAAAATGCGATCGCGAATACCCTTCATGTAGTCGCTGTGCTAAGAGCAGAATTCCCGAACGGTGCACATACGAAGATAGCATCATTTGGCAATATCCATCTACTGTCGACGCATCAGCATCAGCTTCGGCTGCGGTAGCAACAACAACCGCGCCTTCAACAACACCAAGCGCTCACATCACGCTTCCACCGCCAAATCGTGTGGGCGCTGCCTCGCCAGGCTTCGCGAATGTCATACGAGTATCATACCCCAAATCAGCGACAGGAGCAGGAGCTCCGCCTCAACCGCTTTTCTCCGGGTCGCTAACCTCGTCTCATTTTCATCACAATATCTCTACTCCGGACCACCACCTCCGGCAACCTGGATTGTCCAGGCCCCGGTTTCTGGATACCGTGCTGGATGGTCCTGGTCCGAACACACCCGCCACCAGCAGCTGGTCACGCATTCCCGATGCAAATGCAACCCGGCCTGATCATGTCAGCAGCTATGACAATGCGCCGGCCTCGCCTTCACAGAGGCTGGACATGCCGAATAAAGTCTTGATTCGAGGCAAAGGAACGAGAACCCGCTTCAATGGTGGCGGAATGGTGTCTAATCTGATGCTTCAGGTGTGTCTTCTCAATTAAAGTCTATCTGTACCTATTATTCATCCTAACTAGCTATGCGTCTAGTTTCCAGAGCTGAAGTCCTTCCTCCATGAAGTCAAGACAAACAATCCTGATTTTAGACGCGTGCGCCTGGCAAAGGATGCACTCAAAATTGGCAGTCTCAAATCCAAATTACAGGATCCACTTATGGCTCCTCCAAATACTGCCACTTTGCTGTCGCTTCTCCCTCCCAAGGCGACCATGGATAAGCTGCTCCGTCTGTACATGCTCTACGTAGAGTCGACGCATCGCGTGATACACATTCCTTCTTTCCGACAAGAGCTCTCCGAGCTACATGCCCACATGAACAACCCGGACATGGTTTCAGCAGCCTTCGTTGCCCAAGTCTTGCTTATGCTTGCTTCTGCGGCGGGATTTCACGATGCTGAACCTCCTCAGGATTTTGATGAACCTCCCACTAGCATCAACTCTGAGCAAGTAGTAGGGTGGATTCGCTACGCTGAAAAGTGGTTTGATTCTACACACATCAAACGGCCCGATCTGACCGTGTTACGCATCCAGTGCTTGCTCATAATTGCGCAAAACAACCAGGGCCTAAACCGTAGCCACGCATGGCTGGCTACAGGTAATTTGGTCAAGACGGCTATGCTTGCAGGCTACCACAGAGACCCTGAAGATATACCGAAAATTAATATATTCCACAAAGAAATGCGAAGGCGCATTTGGGCTACAATCGTTGAATTGGACGTCCAAATCTCACTCGACAGGGGCATGCCGCCGACTCTGCAGGCATCGGACTTTGACACCGCACCGCCTTTAAATATCAATGATGACGAAATCCACGAGAATATCACCGAGAAACCGATGTCGCGGCCTGTCCAGGAAGTGACCGATTGCTCTTTCCAGACTATTCTCGCGCAGTCCCTTGCATTGCGACTGAGGATTTGCAGTATAATGAACTCTCCGGTCATATCATGTTCCTATGAAGACATCCTCAGACTGGAATGGGAGCTTGGCCGCCTCCAAGCAAGTATTCCTGCGTGGCCCACCACCGCCGACAAAGAAATTAGCCATAAGCTCATCCTGTGGAATGCGACGCTCGAAACCAAAATAGGCCAAGCACTCCTAGCAATTCACACTCCGTTTGCCATTGAAGCTGCCCAGGATCCCCTATTCAACCCGTCATCCAGATCTCGACTAGAAGTCGCATCCCTCATGTTGTCGCGACATTTGAAACTCCACGAAACATCGGGACGACTTTCCTTTGGCCATTCCACGGACGCTATCGGCCAAGCGGTCTTATCCGTCCTTCAGCATCTATTCGCTAGACGGTCGGGGTATGCATCGAACCTCATGCGCGAAATGATTCCAGAGATTACCGACTCTCTTCTCGATCTTGTTGAGAGGACTATCACCGCCTTGGAAAGCAGACTGCTTCTGGTCATCAAGAGCGCGAAGCAGTTTTTCTTCCTATACATGATCTTCGCACTCGTGAAATCGGAGTTGTATCCCGATCAGGCTGAGGAGGTTAGGAGTGTCATTCTCGACCGTATTTGCACGACTACGTATCGTATTTTGCGGGGCGTTGATGGGACGTCTAATGCAGATGGAGTTGATCTTGTAATTACCCTTCTCCCCTTTCCCCCCTCCTCCTGTCAAATGCGTGTATATGATTAACGAGAAAATTCTGCAGTCATTCCTTGCCCAAGCTCCGAGCGTCCCATCCAGCCACGAGAATAACACGCCTCTAGAAAGCGTGCCAGGGTCGTTTGAAAGTAACAACCTGTCCGATCTTTTGCTGACGGTATTCCCCCCTAATCCCAAAATCAACAAACACACACACTAACATCCATAACAGCCACCGGACGACTTCAACAGTCTCCTTCAAGTCCTCGACTGGGAAGATTTCTCGGCGTTTCCGATATCAATGTGAAAATGCCAGTCCTCTCATTATACCACACCCCCCAACCTCTTAAGCTTCCCTGTTACATCTTGCTACTTCTACTCCTTATGAGTTGTGATGAGTACATAATGAATGACCCACTCTTGATCCAAGTTGATGACCCTTTCTTTTGTCTTTTCTCTGTTGAAAGCATGCATGCGTCATGCGTGATGTATCGTGTATATACCATACCACACTTTCTCTGTTAAAGAACAAACCCCGACTCTATTGACAAGCGTCTTGGTAACCATCTCTCGTAGTCTATTATAGATGTACGTCTTGATTTGAAGCATACTTGATAAGGCGGGTCCTGGGAATACATCTTATATATACCTAAGTACCTAAATGATAAAACCAACACTAAACATGTATATGCAAATACCAAACATGAATAACCGCTAATGCATTCGTCCCTTTCCACCAACACCGCTCGTTAAGTTCATCAACGTCGTGACATGACAATATAGTTCTAACAATGGTCTGCAAATCCTGAAACTCCATCAAAAGAAAAAGGAAAAGGAAAAAGAAAGAAAAAAGGCAAAAGGCTAACCTAACTCCAACCAAAAAAAAAAAAATAGTCCATCAGCAAAAAAAGGAAAGAAGTTTTCACCGCCGCCCAAATCTACCTCGTCCAAACCTTCCCTGCCCCTTTGAGCGAATCTTGAGCGATCGATAATTAGCGTGTGCATCGGGGTTGACTTTTCGTCTTTTGGGGGATGATTTTTCGTTGCTTTTTTCTTTTCCTGCTGCTTTTTTGGTTGTTGTGATTGTGGTTGAAGTACTGCTGGTATCCTTCACCGGGATAGATGAAAAAGCGGCTTTTATTTTGTCTGTGAAACTTGATGTTAGTCGCTTTTGTTGTTGTTGTGGCGGTGGTGGTTTTGGTGCGGATTCTGTAGTGGTAAAGTCCTTGTCGGAGGAGGAGTCGATCGAGTCGTAGTTACTGTCTTCGTCGTTTTCGTTATCGTCTTGGACATGTTGTTTTCTTTCTCTTAGTCTTTTGGCGGCTGGCATCCGAGAGTCATCAAGAGTTGCGAGTTCGTCCTCGCTTTCGTGTTCGGATTTGTTTTCTTCTTGTGTTGATTTATTGAATGTTGGTACTGTTGCAGTTGTGCGTGAAGCTCTGTTTTTGGTCTGTATGACGGGCTTCATTTTAACAAGACGAGTAGTTCTCTTTTGCGTTTTCTTCTTCCATGTTTTCCCACCGGGGCCCGATTTGTTGTCGGCTTCGTTATGCGGCACTTGACTGTCGCCTACTTGAATATCCTCCTCTTCTTCAGTTCTTGCAGCATTCTGTCTCTGCTCTACTTCGAGCTCGTTCAATATATCCCAATCATCCTGCATGCGCTCCTTTTCCATATCACGCAATCCCTGTACTAGCGCTGTAAGCCCCTTTCCATTAAACCGCTGATGCTTTCGGACACCAACTGGACTCAGCGGATTATTCGCAAATGCATTGTTTGATGCATATCGTCCTGAATTCGACCGTCGTAGAAAGCTTGGGGTTCCCGAGCCCAAAGGGTTCGTGTCATCTTGCTCATCTGGCTGGGTAATTTGCCATGGGATCTGCTGGCTTCCGTCAATGTCATCGTCGCCCTCTTCCTCCTCTATCATAGTCGCGAATCGTAATGTAGTAGGGGTAGCAAAAAGTCGTTCAAGATATAACTTCTTACTCGACGAGGCTGGCGTGCGGCCCATTGCTACTGCACTTTCGTTGCTGTCGTCATCGTCATCACCATTCCCTTCATTTTCAATTCCTTCGTTATCCGCCATTTCAGGAATATCGCCTAGTCTCTGGACCTTGCTTCTCGACGGTGTCTGGATAATGGCTCGGTCAAGCGCTGCAGTCCGTTTCACAGATGGCGTCACAGTGCTTCCGCCCGAAGCAGATAGCATATCAAAAAGACCTAGCAGTTTCCCATTGCGCTGTGGAGTCGGCCCGATGGCGGTCTTGAGTGGAAGTGGAGACGGTTGCTGCTGTGGTTGTTGACGATGAGTTGTTGGACTGAACAATCGCCGGAATGCAGTGGGCGAATCATAAGGATCTAATACAGCTGGATGAAGCGGATCGCTGGCCACGCGCTGGTTCTTTGCAGGCGTGGAAAGCTCCCGTCGCGCTTTTCGAGGTGTGTGCTGATCTGTCGATAAAGCGCCGTACTTACGCTTCGTTCGGGCGTGGTGCTGGTCTGATTTGGAAGGTGTTTTTGCGACGTCTTTACTGCGTTCGTTGCATGATGGTTCTTCGAGGGCACGTAGTCGGCCGTAGGTTTTGTATTTGGCGGCTACAAAAAGGATTAGTGAGACTCAAAAGCAGAAAAAGAAGAAATCATACCTATCTCAGGGTCCTGCTTGATATCATGTCGCCCGGCTTTTCTTCCCCCGTTAGCATCCGCAAATGCTTTCTCCCACTGTTTGAGTTCGGCGCGCAAGGTATTGAGCTCGCTTGCGTCGGCGGTGCTCAGCGTAGTGGTGCTCGTGGTCGTTGCCATTGCTATTACCGCATGTTTCTCGGTGTATCAACACGGAAAAATAATTGATATCAGCGAGCTTAGGGTTCTGGCTAGTTCATTGTGTTCTTCGAGGTCTGCAAAGGGAGGAAGTTCGTGGAGCGCGTCGCGGAGTCCATTAACGCGTGCTATTGTGGGTCTACATTTCGGGCAGCTAATTGGTCAATATGACATATTCAGTCATTTGATTGGACAGATGACTATATAGTACAAATATAACGGGAGATAGATAAATCATCCCGAGAGTTCTAAATAGCGACATTCGTTACCCATCTCACGGCCGCCTTCACAATGTCCTCAATTACCCTCAGCTCCGCGCTATCCCTTGGTGCATACACCATGATCCATCCACTCTGTACCATGGGCAAACAGAACCGCTGACCCCAGCCAGCTGCAATCACTTGACGTGCATCTGGATCACTCAGCCAGACATGCAACCCATTATCAGTGGGATGTGCGTGTCCAATCTCATGATCCAGAGTTGTCTCTGATTTCACAAGTGGGTTTATGTTAGCGTTGTCCTTGCGTGCGTACAGACCGTCGGTAGTTTTGCCCTCGGTAGCAGAGGGCTTGGTCTCGAGGATGTCCGGGTGCTCGTCAGCTAGGCGGCGCATGAGGGTTAGGAGCTGCTCTCTGGTTCCCGGGTCAATGGGCTCAGGGACCTGTCTCTGGGGCAGGATGCGCGGCATCAGCTTTGGTCGGCCGCCGGCACGCGGTGGGAGCGATTCCTTAAGGTAGGATGGCCCCTCGGTGCTCAGCGTCTCGGGATTGGTTTGGCGTGGTATATGGTAGGCGAACAGGATTCGAAAGAGAGTCATGCGGCAGTATCCACTAGAACCTATACATGAGTCACTGTGACTTTCGTAGTAGGGCAGATGTACTCACTATACATTTGGCGGCGTGCCACCTGTGCCGAATGCCCTCCATTGCTTGTAATCATTGATCATCCTGCCATTGGGATAGTGGTTTAGCCTAGCCGTGAAAAAAACAAATCGTCTCCGTCTCCTTTCTCGACTTTTTCAGACACCGTACCAAATAGAGCCAATAACGGCCGAGGCAACAAGCCCCGTCGTGTATGGATTTGCGAGGATTCGCTCGTTGAGAGGTCTCATGGATGCCATTTGGCCTAGTTGTGGTTCAGAGTGTGGTTTATTCACCAGCTCCAACTTTTCCTTCTTTTTTTTTGGAAGTTGTTTTGATTTAGGCAGCATGACTTGTGCATGACGAAAGGGAGGAGGATCGCCGCCTCACATCCGCAAGCGGCTAGCCAGCGCTGCCTTGGAATTCAGGCAGGGTTGAAGCTTGGTTTTTATATTATTATTACATCTTCAGATAGTTCGCGTACCTGCATTTCATGACATGGTAGTATCGATCCATTGAGCCAGTGGGTGAAGAGTGCGAATACTTGTTTTTGTTGGCTCGAAAATCTTAAACTACAGGGGATGTCATATGACCATACAGTACTCCGTACCCTTTGACCAATCGGAATACATTAAAAGAGCAACTCCCAAGGATTAAAGTGACTGAAGGCTACTCCGTACTACGGAATTGATGTACACCAACCCCCTAATCCAACTGATACTGACGGAGATATACATAGAACAAGGTCCAGAACAGCATAGGACCCATGATCAACCCCAAAGAAGCACGCACCGTGAAATGCAACCATGGACCTGGAACTGGCAGAAGCGCTTGATGACAGTTGATCGAGAATGAGCTCTATATACTCTCACGTACACGAAGTTGCTGGTGCTGATAGTAGAGCCGCTAGTGCCGGTCTAGGTCATTTCGATGGTCTTATTGCTGGCAATTATTGAGTTAGATGCTAGACGCCTAGATCACCCCGGTTTGCAGGGTAAGAGCGTGCGAGAATAAACCGCTACTAATAAACCCCCGCCCCCCGCAGTAAAAGTGCTACATACTAAACCGTTATACTAATTCGGATTCGGACATGATGGGTTACCACTTTGATCCTTTAGAAGGGAGCCAATCGCTTTGATACTTATTAAAATGCTGAATTGGTCGCAGGATAGGAATAGGATTAAGGAACCAAAAAAATGAAATTTCCGAAACGGGGAATCGAACCCCGAGCTATCGCGATAAACCATGAAAGGCGGTTGAGAGGCGATAATGTTAGCCATTACACCATTTCGGACATGGTTGACGGGCAACGTCAGACAATGTATCTATAGCATAGTTGTAAGAGCAACGGTTTGAAACAAAAAAAGACTCCGAAACGGGGAATCGAACCCCGAGCTATCGCGATAAACCTTGAAAGGCGGTTGAGAGGCGATAATGTTAGCCATTACACCATTTCGGATATGCTGAATAATTATTCGTCTCAAGTTTAGAGAGCAGGATAAGAGCAACGGTTTGAGGTAAAAACCGGTCTGCACGTTGGCGTGCTATGATAACCGTTCAGTTATGCCAATTCGGACATGTTTAGCCGTAGAAAGTGCGTTCATACTAGTAGTCCTAAATATATATACATTGTAACAAGTCGTTGCGAAGCGTCTGAGGCACCGAGATGATGATCACCTGGAATCTAGTGAATATATATATGAGCAAGAAAAAAAAAAGGATATCTTAACGCACAATACACCTACAGAAACCCTAGACCCTAGACGTTTGGATGTGATTAGAGGATAGGCACTCAGTGATTTCGATGTGGCTCCCAAGTATGAGATGTGGTGTCGATGTATATGTATATACTTCGGAGTTGCTGATGTATGGAATCTTTATTTTGATCTCAACGAGTGAAGGACTAGATAAGGGGCTTTCCAGAACTTCATTTCTTTTTATGCATCCTTTAATATACCTATTAATTCCGTAAACAAACTTAAAACTCCGATTGATTTCAACATATGTACATAATCCTAGCTTTCGTATGTGATCGTCTTGCTATGGCCCGGCAACTGTTCTATCCAGATCCGACGCTTTATGTGTCTCGACTCTTTGATCTCCAAGCCTTCCAGATTATCAACAAAAAATAGTTGGCGCGCAGGACGCTTTTTCTGTCACTGGTGAATAGCCATGCGTGTGAGTCTCCATGTTCTATCGAAACTAAAAGTCGGCTTGAGGGGCCAGTTGGAAGAGCCTGCTGAGCATACCGCAAAGGATGCGGTTCATCAGTTAGAAGGGGGCATTGGACTGTATCACCATGTTCGAAATATAACCCTAACTTCCGAGAGAAGACAATGAAGAGCGGGAGATGTAGCAAGGGGAGTCATCATATTCTGAAGGGGCGTAGAAGGTTACTGTTTTGTGTTCGAAGTGTCAATGGACGTATACCGTATACTGTGTAGAGAAGGGAAACGATCCGGCGAGTCTAAGTCGAAGATTCTGGCCTGTATTTATACGTTCTGTCACAACAGAGACAGAACCCGGCGCAATATGTGCTCACTGAAAGGACCACACAGGCCTCTAGCTACGAAGGCGTTGACAGGTGACAAGGCTGCATTGCCTTGCTCAATGGCTTATATCAGGTCCGTGCAGCACACTTGATCCATGCTAGTTCAGCAGGGATCCCGGCGCTTAACACTCAACAGACTCACTCTGTTTCAGCCTGATCCTTTTTCCCACCACCCCGAGTGGCTTCATTGGCTCATAGAAATTACTTGGATTCCAGGCAAACATTCTGAGATTGCTGCCTACCTCAATCAAGGTTGCCGAACTTGGCATATGAATATTACCAAATACAGCAAATATACATGCACATAGTGTCAAACCTAAAAAGTCCAATGCTCTTCGAACTACTACCAGTCGTGAAGGTCCGTCCGGTGGAGTTGGCGCGAGATTGAGTAGCAAACACGACGTGAATGGGTATGCTCGCTTGCTTTGCATGGGGGCCGTCTTCGTGATATTTGTTCGATATGCGTATGGCTATGCAAAGGATGTGACCAACAAATATTTCAGTTCGTCATTTCTCTTGCGGGCGAGCGCATTGCTGACTGATACCAGGTCCTACGATCTATATACATATCCTACTATGATTAAGCATACGAAATGGTTGCCAACTGGGTGCACAGTTAGCCCTTCGCAAAAAAAAAAGCAGTCTCTTTGATGGTAAAGACCTAGTAATGAATATTTATCCAGGACTAACATATGAAGAAGAAGCCTCTGTCTTACTCTTCTTGAAAGTGTTTTTTTCCTTTCTGGTTTAATAAATCTCAGCTTCTATTTCACTGTCGGGTAAAAAATTATCATAAAGAGATCTCTATCTCTTGTATTGACACATCACTGGACATCCTATTTAAATTCATGGAAGAGTGTCATATCTAGTATATTAATCCTATCTAGAAAATAATTATGATCTTCAAACCCAACAATGGCGAATGGAAAAAAAAAGATGGTTTATCGAGTGCTAGGAATAGCTTGATAATTATAATGGATGAGAAAGTAAAGAAGAAGCTTTGAAAGATATCAAGGAATTCCTTGATAAACAAACTTAGAGATAGTATTTAGCCTATAGGATTCTTTATAAGTGCCCGTGTTTACTTCCTAGTGGCCTTGTCTTTGTACGTGTTTTTGGCTGCAACTGGCGACTGGCAACTGGCAAGCTGGCTTATATATAAGAAGCATATCTGGGGTTTTAGAGGATATTGTGTACAGATAAGGGTCAGGGCTAATTTTGATGATGGAATATAAGACATTATTCTATATACTTTAATAGTATAACTAGATAAGAACAGATTAGGGCTCCGAAACTTTGAGCTCTAACCCTAACATTGTCTGTTTCCCGATCTGGTAATCCTCTCCGTCCACACCGTAAAGGTAGGTAAATACTACACAACAGCATTGGATACATGAGACAATTATTCAAGACACGCTGTGGATATGCGTAAAAGTCGCGTTCGACATTGTCATGATGGCCATGGCTTCTGGCATGGAAAGTACGTATAGATTTCTCGATCCTAAGAAATCAAGATTTACTCACACGGCTCGTATTCACAGGAACAAAAGAGCAGTGGACTGCTTTGTTAGAGGGGTCTGGATTCAAAATCAACCATATTTACAGCAAGGCCCTCGCTATGGAGTCTGTCATTGAGGCGGAGATCGTCTAGCTATAAGGGACCTGGAGAATGTTTATGCTGTATGTCGTGCGAATTTACGATACGCTTCAAACTATGAAATCAGGTTGAAACTAGGGATGAGCATGTAATACTTAACTAGGTAGCTGCGTTTACATATCTCTTGGTTAGTGAGAGGACAAGGATTTCTATCTACTGCAAATCCTGTTATCTACCGGTAGTGAAAGAACTAGAGTCTATATCAGAAATATTTCTCCACGAGAGTTTCTCTTCATATTCAATATTACTTAAATAAGAATTTCATTGAGAAATTACCTCCTTATCACATACCTGATACCTACTAGTATGAAATACTCCGAGCGTAACACGTATCAACTCACGTACATTTATCTGTTTGCTACTGCAGGATCTAAACAACCGGCGTACCTCGTTTCTGGCTATGCATAAAGATACGACCTTCTGCAAATGAAAATAGTCGCCGATCCCGGCTTCAGACAGGGGTGGTGTCTAGGCCATGTAACATAATCAATTACACAGGTAAAATCGGAATAAATTCCACCAGTGCTGGCTGCACTGGCCCATGGATCCAGAATGCTTTGCATGCACTTAGTCGCCGAACATGCAGGATGACTTCTTAAGATGGCTCAATGTTGTCTTCCCCGGCGGCTTCGTGTATGCATGACTTGAGTCATGACTAAATAGCCAGGTAAATGAAGTGTCTCGGTGGGATAATTGTGACTTATGCAAGTGCTAGTACGAGCTATTTCACTTGAAGACACTCCCTGTCTGCTACTTCTCAGGTGCATTCATTAGACCAGCCTGTTATAGACAGAGGCACGCAAGGCCATCAGTTACCAAGACAGACGAATTACATAGGCAAACATACAGGCATACTCCGTATTAAATCTAAGTATAAAAGTCAGAGGAAAGAACAAACGAACATCTTGAATCATTGTACCGCAAACTATCCGGATTGCATAGAGAAGCTGTTTCTCTAAAAACAGCCTGTCTATTACTTCACAACCGACACGATGATCGTTCCCGATTTCAGAGCACTTCTAGACGACATAGTCACCAATTCAGATCGTGGCATGCACATTTACGGCCATGGCGATACGAAAAATGGCCAATGGCTTAGTTATGCCGAACTTCGAGCCGTCGCAAAGCAGACTGCAACCAAGATCCGCCAAATCGATGGATTCAAGCACCACGGCATCATACTGCTGCACCTTGATAACCACTGGGATAACATCATCTGGTTCTGGTCAACGGCCTATGCAGGCTGCGTGCCGGCTATGTCAACTCCATTTGTGAATAGTCCGGAAGGACGCAATACCTCGAGACTTTGGTGACGCTCCTCTTCTCCGGCTGTATGCTGTCGAGGACATTGAAAATGCTGAAAGTATCCAGCATGGAAACGGTGTCACCCCTGGCCAAGCCCTTGAAGCAGTCAGAGAAGATCGCCTTGCTCTTCTCATGCTCACGTCGGGAAGTACGGGGAATGCAAAAGCTGTATGCCTTACGCATAGCAATCTTCTCGCTTCCATGAGAGGCAAATCCTTGCGCACGCATACGCCGCCAAATACGTGCTATTTCAATTTTATTGGTCTGGACCACGTGACTGGATTAATTGACGTTCACCTTCGTGTTCTATACTCGAAAGTCAGCCAGGTCCATATCCAAAAGGCCGATTTGATTTCCGATCCTCTCGAGTTTGTTTATTTGGCTAATAAGCACCGTATTAGCCTTACGCTCGCACCCAACTTCTTCCTATCCAAGTTACGGCCAGCAATGGACAACGCGGAAGCGCAGCTCATCGAGAGCAATCTTGATTTGAGCTGTCTGACATGTATTCTTTCTGGCGGCGAAGCAAACGTCGTTGAGACTGCAGATGCTTTGTCGCGACATCTAAGCAAGTTCGGGGCCCCTCGTTGCTGCATCATCTCTGCCTTTGGCATGACCGAGACTTGTGCAGGAGCAATACTGAATGTAGAGTATCCGGAATACGATATCCGTCGGGGTTATGAGTTTGCATCTGTGGGCATGTGTTGTTCGGGCATTGAGATGCGGATCAATGTCTCGAATACGGCCTCGATGAAAGACTTCCACACCAATGGCACTAACATTGTAAAGAGTGGAAGTAGGATACATAATGGAAATCATTCTGCAGATACAGCTGTAGGTGATCTTGAAGTGGGCGGCGAGGTAGTCTTCGAGCGCTACTACAACAACCCAGTCGCTACTACAGAGTCATTTACATCTGATGGCTGGTTCAAGACCGGCGATCAAGCAATGGTCGATAGCGAAGGCCATTTGAACATCGTCGGTCGAACCAAAGACACCATGACCATCAACAGTGTCAAGTACCTACCACATGAAGTCGAATTTGCTATCTAAGAAGCTGAAATCCTAGGCGTTACCCCCAGCTTCACTGTCTGTTTTGCGCACACCGGTTACCAGGAGCTTCAACCGAAACAGCGTGCGTTGTATACCTTCCAACCTACCAGCTCGACAACAATGATAATGATGTTATTGCTGCCCGGATGCGCGCGCTGGATGGAATTACAAAGATAGTCGTTCTCCAAACAGGCTTCAAATCCTACGTGCTACCCCTGAACGAGACGCTGCTCCAAAAGTCCACTCTGGGCAAGCTCTCACGAAGCAAAAATCGCAACGCGCTGGCTGAAGGCAAATATGCCGCTTTGGAAGAAGAAAACAAAGCAATAATCAACGGCCAGTTTCCCGGCCCATTGATCGAAGCTGACTGGGGGGATACGATCAGCGTTACTGTGGCAAACAACATCGACACTGATACAGCCGAGGGGATGACCCTTCATTGGCACGGGCTACTTCAAAGAAAAACGCCGTGGATGGACGGCGTCCCTGGAGTCTCTCAATGTCCAATTCCACCCGGCGGTGGCAATTTCACATATACCTTTCAAGTCGACCAGTTTGGTACCAGCTGGTACCATTCACACTACAGCGCGCAGTACAACGAACCCCCCAGCCTTTGTCAACGTTGACAACAACCTCATCAATGGCAAAGGGGCCTACGACTGCCAGTTCAGATCGCGAACAAGGCACTGATCTAGCCAAATTCAACTTCACCTCCGGCAAGCTGCACCGACTGCGCCTCATCAATACCGGCATGAATGCCAACCAGAAGTTCAGCATCGATGGGCACGAAATGACCATCATAGCCAATGACTTTGTGCCTGTCGAGCCCTACAACATGACCGTCGTGACTCTAGGCGTCGGCCAATGCACCGATGTCATCGTCAAGGGAACCGGGCAACCCACGGATCTGTACTGGATGCGTTCAGACGTCGACATGGACTGCTTGAACATGACCGACACGTTCCCCAATGCCACGGCCATCATCTACTATGAGAATGCAAATCTGTCCGCCGTGCCAACTACAACACCGACCTCCTTTTGGTCGAGCAATTCATGCGCCACCGATCCTCTTCAGAGCACCACCCCTTACTACCCGCAAACACTTTGTTGACCAGATAGACTCTGGCGTGTAGCTGAATGTGAATAAATAGATATCCGTTATCCATACTGGGCGTCGATAGAGATAAATATGCCCGTGTTTACTTCTTAGTGGTCTTGTTTGTACGTGTTTGCAAGTCCTACATACATGGCCTGGACAGAAGTACCTACCTACGTAGACAATACATAGTAGGCAGTCTATACTCAGTCTGAACAATCCTGCCAACTGGCTAAATACTCAAATCAATAAACCGCCATCATCATCATCATCATCATCCATCCCCC